TTCTCTAATCGTTTACTTAGAGGCCTAGTTATTAGTTAGAAAGACTAATAAACTAATAAAATAGTAAATATTAGTCTAACCTAAAGAGTCTTAAGATATTAGAAAAGGGGCTATTTATTTAGTAATACTACTAAGTACGTAGTATTCGATTATGTAATACTCTACTTAGAGGCCTAAGTAATAGTTAGAGAACCTAATAAACTAATTTTATAGAGATAATTAGTCTAATTTCGCGTTCTTAAGATATTAGAAGAATATATATTCCCTAAGTAGTACTAATAAGTAAGTAGTATTTTTCTATAGAGCTATATACTTTAAGGCCTATAGAAAGGATATAATAACTAATAAACTAATAAAATAGAGAGAAGTAGTCTAATTTAGAGATTAAAAGATATTATAGAAAGATCTATTTCTTAAATACTACTACTAGGTAAGTAGTATATTTTTATCTAAGAACTTACTCTTAGACCTAAATTAAAGGTAGAAAGACTAATATACTAATAGTATAGAGAATATTAGTCGAGATTAGATATTTTAAAGATATTAGAAAAAAACTATTTATTAGATAATACTACTAAGTAAGAAGTATTTTACTATCTTATTACTTACTTTAAGATCTAGATAAAAGCTAGAAAGACTAGTATACTAATGGAATAGAGAAGATTAGTCTAATCTAGGGATATGTAAGATATTATAGAAAGGACTACTATTAAAGTAATACTATAAGGTAAGTAGTATTTTTTAGTTAAATCGTATATTAAAGAGACTAAGTAAATAGTATAAAAACTAATAAACTATTAGAATAGATGAGATTAGTCTAATATAGAGTTTTTAAGATATTAGGAGAAGGTCTATTCCTAAAGTAATATTACTATATATATAGTAATTTTATATTCTATTGTCTACCTATAAGTTTAGGAAACTAATAGAGTATAAAAGTTAGTCTAGTATAGAGTTTAAAAGGATATTAGAAAAGGTACTATTTTTAAATAATACTCCTAGGTAAGTAGTACTATATTATCTAATTTACTGTTTAGAGGCCTAAGTAATAGATAAAAAAACTAATAAACTACTTAGATAGAGAGGAATAGTCTAATTTAGAGTTTATAATATATTATCATAAGGTCTATTTCGAAAATGCGGAGCCGAAACAATCTCTGCCGTGCTTATAAGGACGATAGCAGTCTGTTCTCGTACTGGATTACCATCACTAGCAATGTAATCGTCAAATCTAGAAAGCAGACAGAATATAGCTTCGTCCGACTCATTACTACAGGCGTATAACAGCTCCCTAGATTCTTAGCATAGCCAGACTAATCGCCAAATATCTTGACCCAATCCCTCGATACTATTATGAACACGATAACACGCGGTAATCTAGTACAGGCCCAAACGCGGTTCGGGATATGACCTTGTACCGAGTGTCGTATTGCGGTAAGAAGACGTACATCACTAGACTGACAGGGTCAAAGAAAGCTTCCTCGACGTTAGAGAGCAGTTCTCTGCAAGCCTATAATGATCTTGTCAATTCCTTACTGACTTCCGCAAGAATTATGGCAAGCCGACTAAGGCCATGCGAGCCCAGCTCGACACCTGATGTGCAACATTGGATCTTGAACGCGTCACTAATAAGCAGAGTGTCAGATGGCGCCCTCTTCCATCGTTGTTCAGCCGAATACGATGAAAGGCAAGCATTACGTGTATAAGAACGTCGACTGGTCACCTTTCGGGCCCTGGCACTAACACCGAAGGCTCTTCGGACTGAACGAGTTTGCCGGCGAGATCGCGACACTAGCGACGCAGAAGCAGGGCACCAATATTGAGGGCAACATCCAGCCACATCATGTCTTTCAGCTCCTATCAATGCATTGTAGATCCTTTCGTCGCGTCGCGGGGCTGGACTGTAAATCCGCTCCGAGGCTACATTCCCGCTGGACCACCTTGTGGATTTTGGCCTCGCCGCAGTGTGTCGATCTGTTTCTCGAGTCTGGTTCGTGTACTCTCCGCTACTCTATGCCGCCGGCTTGATCGAAGGCATCGTTCTAGTCCAATGAGTTCTGGTGCGGCTTTGAGACGGAATGACTCAGCCCGCCCTCGCCGTCCATTTGCACAACATGCTTGTCGCTACCATCGAGACTCTTTCTGAAGTCCAGTTCTTCCCCGACGGCATTCCCACCGAAGAATTCTATAGCGCGCTTTCCGCTCGAGTGAGTCAGGGTCGCATCGATCGAGACTCGCTACGCCGCCGAAACGAGGCACTCGCTTGCGACTCAACTGACATCCACGGCACTCCAAATGTCAAGCTCAATCGTTTCTTATGGGCAAATCGGTCTTTATGATGTTTTATAACGCCGGATGAGTGCCTGAGAGGATCCCTAACGCAGATGTCAGACTTGGGTCGATCTTGTACACGATGTGCCTAATAAACACAGAGCGAGTGACCCATCTTGAGACTGGCGAGCGGCGGCTTAAAGAGACGGAGCTCGTGGAGCGCCAGTAGAGACGAAAAGCAAGAGCATCAGGGTCGATCTTTCAACTACAGAGGGACGACGACGACGACCACGTTACCTTCACTGAAGCAGCCATGCGCCATATTCCGGAGCTGAACGACTATAAGCTGCCGCCTCCACGTCGTGATCCGTACAACCTGCACCAAGAGCAAAAAAATAAGAGAACCGTAGCGGATGCCTAAGGCCGCAATCTGCTTAGCTTTCTGTGTCCTGATCTTTTTAACCACCTTTGCGCTAATAGACCCGTCTCTAGCGTCAACTATGTCTAGGCAACGTGCATTTTTTCTAATACTTTTCAAAAGAATTAAGACCGTTCTAAGTAAGGCCGAGCACCTACTATAGGTAAAGACATACAAAAGGTTATTACGTTAACGGTAGTAGGGGCTAAAGCGTACTATATTAGTTATATAGACGATAGTAAGTATAGAGAAGGACGCGATAAGGCCTTTTACGAAAGTTTTCGAAGAGATAAGAGGCGGAATCCTCGCCTATATATAATATATTAGGAGAGTTTAAAAGAAGGTAAGTAGGGTCTTAGAAAGGCTTTTACGAACGGTAATAGTAGTAATAGCGTCCCTAGTCCTAGGTAGGATACGGTAGTATAACTTAATCGAGTATCGAGATTATCCTTATATACTATTAGAATACTAGGAATATTTTAAAGATTTAGTTTAACTACTAAAGTAGTCGTCCTACCGTAAGATAGCCTAATCGGGTATCTAGTACCTAGTAGTAGTGGAACAATCTACTAGCGTACTAAGAAGGGCTAGGAGCATTAACTAGCTACTACTTAGGGGCGAACCTGCCGCTAGACACCTAATAAGATATCTAGTATATATCTAGAACAACCTAGCGAAAAATCGACGATGAAATTATTAGGTAGAGATAGTAATAATACGCTTGAATGATATTGAAAAGTAGCGTAATTCTACTTAAGAAGCGTGTAATAGAGTCTGTGAACATGTCTAGAGAATATTTAGCTACCTTTCTCTCGCCTAAGGAGAGGAGAAGTAAGTGACTGTTTATACTACTAGTCTAAGTACTTACTCGCTACCTACATACCTACCTGCTTACCTGTCTACTGTCTTAGTAACCAGCTACGCTACTAGCTACACTACTATCTACTCTACTCGCTATAGTATTTAGCTCGTATACTGCGCTCTATCTTACACCACTTCTACAACCTACACGGACGCTCTACGGCTAGCCACGACACTCCTATTCGGTATATCCACGCTCTATACGACCGCATACCTTTTAATACGTACACGGCACTTTACTTACGACCGGTCATCTACACAAGTGCGATAAAGCGGGTTCGCGACTGAGCGCCTACTGTCCGTATAGTAACGAGGCCGCTGCCGTATCCCTGACAGAGCCTCCTCTCCCAGGCAGATTTTGCGTCATGTTCTCACTCCGCTAAGTTGTTCTCGTTAATGTGGCGGTAGTGGTCTCTTTCGTCGCAGCGAAGAAGCGCGCGACTGTCGTCGAAAGAGACAGGCCTGGAGCAAACAGCGACAAGCAAAGCTCACATGTTAGTGGGTTCCACTTGCAATGGACTACCGTTTCACGTCTTGGAGCATACCTTAGAGGCCTCGGCAAGAGCGGCTACATCTAGAAGAGGTACGGGCCCTCGACGCGAAGACGCGCGCTTTTCTCTTGCACGCAATTCAGACTTCAACACTCTATCTCGCCGGCGGGACTGATGTAGTCATCGCTGAACAAGTACAACTTAGCTAGCAGTCGCTGGAGGCAGGCTCATCCAATATTTCAACAACTTAACATTGAAACATGCATGTTCGAACTCCAGGCCTAGCGCCGACGTGGAGCAGATCCAGATCGGCTTAGGCACAATGAAATACAGTACCCCGTACCGGTCCATGGCTCGTCGTACTGGGCGGTTCGGAGCACGGCTCTTGTATTTGAAACATATCTCGTCGTCATTTACCGAAGATGTCACCCAGTAGGGTATGTATGCATCGACGAAAAACATCAGTCCAAACGGTACAGGAAATCTCTGCGCGAACATCGTCGCCAATCTGTCTGCTGCGGTCTAAGTAGTCATGGGCCCTATTGTGCTGCACAGTCCCGAGATAGGCATGCTCTTCCGATGCGAAGGGATGCTCAAGTGCTTCAGAAGGAGAGCCAATAGCACCTTCAAAAGGCTCTAGCACCCGGAGACCGGGCGTACCGAAGCGTCCCTTACTGTCAGCGTCATCCGTGCTGCTCACGGAGCTGCCATATGCATCCGTTCAGTACTTCCATCGGGAGTGATCTTCGCGCGAGTCGAGTAGCATGATGTTCACGCACTCCATTCTGGATGCTTCGCTATCTGATCGGTAAAGATCTTGAACTCGTAAAAGCTAGGTTCCGTACCAACGCCGTCGCTAAAAATGTCGCTCCAACCAAACAGCCATGTCACGCTCTGATGCTGCAATGCACCACCGTGTATCCCTGATCAACGCTTGAGTTGCACCCGACCTCGCCACCTCAAACATCCGCATTTTCCGCTCCAATGCGCGGTGGACTCCTACTCGCTTTGGCGTACGGACTGTGGCTCCTAGACCGCCTCCTCTCGCCTTCTTTCCGGCGCTGGTCAATGATGCGCATCATTTCCTTCCGACCGCCTGAGGCATCCACCTCTTTGCCTCCCATGCTCATACTGATCTTGTCCTGCGCGTGGGCCCGGAGCAGGCGGGAGAGAAGGAGGTGTTGCATGAGAAGGCAGACGTAGACGCCGCAGTCGGAGCCATTGTCCTGCTGAGGGGTGTCATTGAGGTTGATAAAGCGCAGCGGCTTGCCAAGCAGCTGGGATATGCGGTTCGTGACGAGCTTGGCGTAGGACTCGTTGGAAGGGAGAAGGGAATCGTAGTGGAAGGCGACGCCATCGATGGTGGAAACGAGAAGGAGAGACCAGTGTGAGCCTCCCTCGGCGACCTCGACGTTGCGGCAGTCGTTGATGGGGAGGAAGACGTGCGTAGTCTGCTCGAAGTCGGGCAGGGCGCTCTTGAGACTGAGCGGATCGCGCGTGTTCTGCAGCATGAAGCTCATCGAAGGGCGCAGAAGGACAATGTGTGCCTTGGGATACGCGGCCAGCTTCTCGCGCTCGAGATACTCCTCCCAGAACGCAATGGCATTGTCCGTCAGCCAGTCGTGCTTGATCGATTCGATGTCCTCGCGCATCAGGCGCACGTCGTGGTAGCTCAGATATGCATCGTCGGGCGAGAGGGAGGAGCCGCCGAAATGTCGACTCAGTTGGCCGCCGAAGGGATGGAACCCGCTGCCGGAGGAGCGGTGGGAGCCATGCGGCGACGGTTTCTGAAGCGGCATGCTGTTTCGAGGTCTATCGTCGTGTCGTGTGGGTTGCACGCGAGACTGGAGCGGTGGAGGAGGCTCCGGTGGATGCGAGTCGCGTTTGACGTGACGCCGTGAAGTCGTCGAGTCTCGCCATTACTAGGTACATGTATTCTCCAAACTTCACCCGCATGACGTTGCAAGGGCTGGCAAGGCTCGTCCCGTCCCGTATCTCGTGCACGGTCACACAACTCAGATGAAGGCTTCTAGATGCCATGAAAGCAAGTCGTGAACGAACTCTTACACCAGCCAGAACATCCACATCATCACCACCACTAACCCTATCGATTGCGCTCAGAGTCAGCCAAGTCGACCCTTTGCGACTTGCAGCAGGGTTCCGCTGTTGTGATTTCAGATCTCTCGTGACAACCGCCTTTCCAGCGACCGCCTGCACGTCCTCATCGTGACGACACTCAGGCCTGGGCGCATTCAAAGTGTTTCGTGCAGGTTAAGTAGGTCCCGAGCCATGGCCAGAGGGTGTAGACGATATCTTGGACTAATCGAGCTGAACTGAACCGTGGAAGAATGTTGATGCTGTGGACCGAGACCGAGACCGAGCCCCACGACGAGCCGAGGCATCGCGTCATGTGCCGAAGAGCTCCAAGGTATTTGTCTCGCGCGCTAACTTTACCTCTATAGCACCTTCAATCCTGTCAATGTCCGCGGGAAAGACTGCCTTCCGGTGAGGATAATTCATGATGGCGAACAGGAGGGTGGAGAATACTACCTACGTCGAGCTCGTCCTCCTCCCGGGCCTGAAGAGCTGTCTCGTCAACCTGCCCGCCTCCCTCGTCTCCCTCCTGCTCAACTCCAACACCGTCGCCCAGAATGTCGTCGTCGAGCTGCAATGGCGCCAGCCCTCTCCCTCCAATGGCGATCAGCAGCGCGGAAAGCCGGCGGCGAGCACGCAAAGCGCCTTTTTGGGCTGGACGGGCATGCAGTCGCAGGCCAAAATGGCATCCTTGGTGGGAAGAGACGGCATCAGGTCCGCGAGTGGAGGCAGACAAGAGCAAGACGTGCCCACGGTCGAGATGGACTCTACATTTGCGAGGAGACTGGGCTTGAGCGATGGCGTGAAGGTGTGAGACAATCTCTACTATCCAACCGGGCATATTGATTGAGGAAAGTAGGCGAGTGTATCTCTGCATGTAGACCCACCACACGCCCATACCATCAATATCGAACCCCTCACGGCTACGGACTGGGAGAGTAAGCACGCCCACGTCGTATCATACTGCACCTGCGACGTCTGATATGCTGATATCCGCGTGCCTTGTCCAGTCATCGAGTTGCATTCGTCCTTCCTGGAGATGAACTTCCTCTCCCAAGTCCGCGCGCTGCCCAATCCTGCTGCGGGCCACTCGCACCCAATCACCCTTCATCTGACGCCCACGTCCACCGCGAACATCACAGTCACGTCGCTTGCGCCCGCTCCGGCAAGCACACAGGCCTTCGTCAAGATATCCCCCGATGCCGAGGTCATTGTTGCGCCCAAGACGAGGGAAAAGTCTAAGCCCGGTAGCTCGAGGGACAACAGGAGTACGGCCAGCACCGGCAGAAGAAGCGCCGGCGGCAGAAGTGCCACCAGTGCTGTCCGCCACAAGAGCGCACACGAGAGCGAAAAGGCAAGGCCTCCCATTTTCCTGAGGGGCGTCACGCGAGCATTGAAAAATGAATGGTTTGGCGAAAGCGCCGACGATATGAAAGACGAGGGACTGAGAATCTGGGTGGACAGGGACCATCTGCTCTCCAAAACGTTGCGCGGCGTGTCGTGGGTGACTGTGCAGGTCATCAAGCCCGCCGGGCTGCAGGAGGCTGTGGATCCACAGAGCCAACCGCCTCCTGAGTTACAGCCTGCCGCCAGAGTTGTTGCAAAGCTGTGCCCTTGGGAAGATGCCCCGGATAGCAGACACGCAGCGCTCTCTACCCGCCTTTGCTCAACTCTCGAAGCAGATGATATTGTCGGAGGCATCGTCCGCATTGATCCTGCTCCGGCCCCTCTGCCCAGAACAGCTTCCGCGTTGAAGGAGCCTTCTCAACAGGCCAGCAAGGATGCCATTGTGAAGCGACTCAAGGTGACACCTTTCGCGCCAACCCAAGTACAAAAGAAGATGGGCGGAATCAAGTTTGGTGGAGAATCAAAGACGGAGCGAGAAGAAGCCGCACAGCGTATCAAGTCCGTGCTTGGCAAAGCTATCCTGGAAGGTCCGCTCACCCATGGTATGCTGCTACCGCCGACAGATGGCTGGCCGGGCGGCATCCTGGACTTCGATCCAGTTCCTCCCGGAGACCCCTCAAAGCCGAGGACTAATTGGCTTGTTGGTAGTGAGAGGAGGCTAGAGATTTCCTTGCAAGCCGAGACTGCAAGGCAGAAGGGACCACAGTGGCCACCAGGAGAGAAGCTGCCGGATGGGACACCGCACATGGTCGGCATCGATTCTGTGATTGAGCAGACCAAGAAAAGCCTCCTGCACATGTCTTCTGTCCTGCTCACCGGCGGTCTTGGATCCGGGAAGTCGCGCTTGTCACACCTCCTTGCTCAGCAGTTACGGAACGAGTACCTCTTCAACATCATCTACCTCCCCTGCCGCGCTATGGTCACGGAAGAAACACGGGTCAAGACCATCAAAGAAACGCTCCATCGCGTGTTCGGCTCGGCAGCCTGGGGAGCCCGTTTCGGCGGCCGGGCGCTTGTTATTCTCGACGACCTCGACAAGCTCTGTCCAACTGAAACCGAGCTACAAGTCGACGCCAACGGTAGAAGTAGACAGGTCAGCGAGCTACTGGGTCCCATTGTACGTCAGTGGTGCAACCGGGACACTAAAGTGGTCATGCTGGCAACCGCACAGAGCAAGGAGGCTGTGAACAACATTGTTATCGGCGGACATGTAGTACGGGACATTATCGCACTGAAGGCGCCGAGCAAGGACGGTCGACGCAGAGTGCTTGATCTGCTTGTCAAGCAGGCGCAGAGAGCCGGCAATAACGACGGTGCGGAGGACGTACTGAGGAACGGCGGTGCTGCTTCAGAATGGATGGAAGGATCGGACGACGAGGAAAATGCGAGGCCGACCTCTGCTGCTCTCACCAATGCCGATCCTGAGGGCATCAGCATGAGCCCTCAGCTTGATCTCTTAGAGATCGCTGGGGAGACTGATGGCTATATGCCTGGCGATTTGGCACTTCTCGCGTCTCGAGCTCGCAGTGAAGCATTGATAAGAGCAGTTTCGAACGATTCGGATTCGGACGAAATTACTCTGACGGCGGACGACTTTGCTGCTGCTCTGAAAGGATTCACGCCAGCATCTCTGCGCGGCGTTACGCTGCACTCCTCGACAACGACGTTTGCCTCTATTGGTGGTCTGAAGGAGACGCGACAGACCTTGTTGGAGACGCTCCAATACCCTACGACCTATGCACCACTCTTCGCGAAATGCCCACTGCGCTTGAGATCTGGCTTGCTCCTCTATGGGTATCCAGGTTGCGGCAAGACGCTCCTCGCTTCGGCCGTTGCAGGCGAATGCGGGCTCAACTTCATTTCTGTGAAGGGACCAGAGATCTTGAACAAGTACATCGGCGCGTCTGAAAAGAGCGTGCGAGATCTCTTCGAGCGAGCTGAAGCGGCAAAGCCATGTGTGTTGTTCTTCGACGAGTTCGACGCGATTGCTCCGAAGCGTGGACACGACAGCACTGGCGTCACAGATCGTGTTGTGAATATGCTCCTCACCATGATGGATGGCGCGGAAGGACTCAGTGGGGTTTACGTGCTAGCTGCAACCTCACGGCCTGACCTCATCGATCCCGCTCTGCTTCGGCCGGGACGTCTGGACAAGAGCCTGATTTGCGACATGCCGAATGAAGAAGACAGGCTTGATATCTTGCAAGCCATTTCGGGGAAGTTGAAACTGGCACCGAGCGTTGCCGATGGCACCGGATCGCAAAGCTTGGAAGAGGTCGCCAAGAGAACTGAAGGGTACTCCGGTGCCGATCTGCAAGCAGTCATGTACAACGCTCACCTGGATGCCATTCATGATGTTCTAGGCTCTACCACTGATGCTGCCGCACAAGACTTTGGAAAGAGGAAAGCTGACAGCGGATATCGTGGGCGGAGTGGCAGTGGCAAGCAGCAAGATTTCACGTACTTTCGAGTTGATGAGATGGCCACTTCAAGTAGTAGTCTGCCATCACAGGTCAGTCCCCCTGCAGCGGCGGCTGCAGCTGCTGAACGAGCTCAGATCGCGGCAAAACTCGCTGCTCTTCAGCTGGCTCGTCGGAAAGCAAAGGCAGAGAGGCACGCCGCTCAGGGTCGTCCGCAGTCTTCGTCTGGCCAGAGGCAGACGAACGGCTCAGGGGCCGCCCCAAAGGATGCTGCGGAACCGACCATCAATTGGCGCCATCTGTCGAAGAGTCTGCAGAGCACGCGAAGCAGCATCAGCTCCCAGGAGCGAATGAGGCTGGCTCGCATCTACAAAGAGTTTGTCGTAGGTAGGAATGGAGACATGAGTGACGGACAAGGAAGTAGTGAGATCGGTGGGAGGACGAGTCTGATGTAATTTCCTCGGAGAGGTCAACTCTGCCGAGCTACGAGCAGACCCGTGATCTCTCATTCACGCATTCGAACAAAGCCGTTGAGTTCTGTACAACCGCTAGCTTCCGCCAGTCGTCGCCCAATGGCAGATGCTACAGCTGTGGTATGGTTGCCCTGGTCTCCTGGATCCCGTAACCTGATCCGGAAGGACGACGCATCCAGCTTGCAGCTCTCCCTTGCGCGACCGCTCTCCATGCCCAACTACGCGTCCCAGTCTACGTGAGCGCAACAGAGACTCATTCACTACTGTCTCGGGTGGCGTAATCGGTGCATGCGCAATGGACGACATCGACGAAACAGGTCGTCTCGTCCTTTTCCGGCTGAATAGCAGCACTCCACCGATAACGAACATCATAAGATGCAATTACAGACACTCTCTGGGATTTATCTTCAACCACTGCGCTTCTGAGCACCGGCACCGCCCTTTTGTTGAGTAAATGTGATGTGATTTCCATCTCATACATCTGCCTACTCTGTTGTATCCACATTCCACTGATCAGGCACGTCTGCAAAGCTATCTGGGAGGCCGCACTGGTACATCGCCAACGCCGTGTCTCTCACACACTCTGAAAGACTCCGCAGAAATGGCCAACAACCCCAAGATCGTCATCATTGGAGCTGGAATCGTTGGAACAAACCTGGCCGACGAATTAGCTCAGCGAGGATGGAACAACATCACGGTCGTCGAACAAGGTCCTCTGAATATGCCTGGAGGATCGACCTCGCACGCTCCAGGATTAGTGTTCCAGACGAATTCGAGCAGGACCATGACGCAACTTGCGAGATACACCATGACCAAACTGCTCAGCATGGATTGCTTCAATCAAGTCGGTGGGCTGGAAGCTGCGACCACTCCTGAGCGGGTAGAAGAGCTCAAGAGGAAGCAAGGGTGGGCATCTTCTTGGGGGATTGAGGCGAAATTGATCAGCGCAGAGGATTGTCTGAAATTATACCCGCTTCTGAACAGAGAGAAAGTCCTAGCAGGGCTGCACATTCCAAGCGACGGGCTGGCCTTGGCTGCCAAAGCTGTGCAAGATCTGATCGCGAAGACCAGAAATGCTGGGGTCAAATATCTTGGCAATACGGCCGTGTTGGGCATTGACCAGGCAGATGGACATGTCACTGGAGTCAAGACGACCCGCGGCACATTGTCTGCAGAAATTGTTGTCTCCTGCGCGGGATTCTGGGGGGTTGAAGTCGGTGCTATGGTAGGACTGCCGGTCCCCCTCCTGCCACTGGCTCATCAATACGCAAAGACAACAAAAGTGCCTGCTCTAGCCGGACGGGCAAGACCAGCAAATGGAGCCGAGTTGCCCATCCTAAGACATCAGGATCATGATCTATACTATCGCGAGCATGGCGAACAGTACGGCATCGGATACTACGGACACCGGCCCATGCCCGTCGTAGCGGCGTCTCTGGGAGCCACACCAGAGAAAGTCGACGAGAAGAACATGCCGTCCAGGATGACCTTCACTGCGGAGGACTTCGAGCCGGCGTGGCAGGAAACGCAAAGCCTCATACCAGCGCTGCGAGAGACCAGGATCGCAGACGGATTCAACGGTATATTCTCCTTCACCCCCGACGGTGGCCCCATCGTTGGTCAGTCGCCGACCGTGGACGGGTTTTGGGTCGCAGAGGCTGTCTGGGTAACGCACTCTGCTGGTGTAGCTCGAGCTGTGGCCCAAGTCCTGACCACCGGACACTCTGACGTCGATTTGACCGAGTGCGATATCTCCCGGTTCGAAGAAGTCCAGCTTGCACCAGAGTATGTCAGCGAGACATCTCAGCAGAACTTTGTCGAGATATACGACATTCTGCATCCGTTACAGCCGCGCGAGTCACCACGCAGTCTCAGAGTCAGTCCATTCTATGCTCGACAACGCGACTTGGGAGCTTTCTTCCTTGAAGCGGGTGCTTGGGAGCGGCCGCACTGGTATGAGGCGAATGCCGCACTCGTCCAATCTCTACCGTCCCACAGGCAGCCTGTTGAGCGGGATGGCTGGTCCGCACAGTGAGTTATACCCGTGTCGAGATCGCGTCGAATCCAGAACTGATGTGCCATAGATTCCATTCTCCAATCGTAGCCGCAGAAGCGTGGAGGACCAGGACAGCAGCAGCCCTGTATGATCTGACTCCATTACGTCGTCTAGAAGTGTCAGGACCTGGGTCCGTCGATCTGCTGCAGAGACTATGCACCAAGGACATATCTGGCAAACCGGGAACAATCACCTACACGCTCCTTCTGAACAACAATGGAGGTATCCAGAGCGATATGATCGTTGCAAGATTGGAGAACCATCTCTTCCATGTTCGCGTGAATAGCAATATCGACGTTGTGAACCTTGCACGAGAGGCTCGAAGGCAGCAAAAACGCAACCCAAGCAGCTGGATACAGGTACACGATATCACTGGCGGGACTTGTTGCCTCGCACTCTATGGTCCTCGCTCAGGCGACGTGATGAAGGAAGTCAGTACAGACGACTTTTCCGACGAAGGGCTGCGACATTTCCATGTCAAGAGGGCCAGGATTGCTGGAGTTCCGGCCACTGCTATGAGGATGTCCTATGTCGGCGAATTGGGGTGGGAAATCTACACGGACGCCGAGAATGGTCAGAGGCTCTGGGATGTTCTCTGGCGAGCCGGACAGCGTCATGGGCTCATTGCCGCCGGGCGTGCGGCATTGAATGCCTTGCGTATTGAGAACGGGCACCGAGACTGGGGAAGTGACATGCACTCCGAACACGATCCCTACGAGGCCGGCATGGAATTTGCCGTTGATAGGAACAAGCGGGGGTTCGTTGGACAGGCCGCACTGCAAAAGCGATCTCAAAGACCAACGTCTAAGCGGCTCCGTACAATTACTATTGACGATGGTCGGTCAATGGTGCTTGGCAAGGAGCCAGTGTTCTACGAGGATAAGGTGGTTGGGTACATCACGAGTGCTGCCTTTGGCTTCACGGTGGGAAAGCCCGTTGCATTTGCACATCTGCCCGTTGCAATGACCGAGGGAAGTGGAGTTGAGGTTGAGTATTTTGGACGGAGGATCAAGGCTACAGTTGCGGCCGAGCCACTATTGCAGTACGCGCAAAGGTCTGCTGGCAGTGCTAACGCTCACGAGCAAATTGTTGACGTGAGGCCTAGACTGTAAAGAGTGACGGAGATTGTGACGAACGAGGATGGCGCATAAGTGCATCGTATATATGTGTAACAAATGGCATGATACTGTTCCCACGCTGCACGCTGAAGACTTGTTGTGCTTCGGACTTGGGCGGAATGAATCTCGCCGGCATCTTCTTCCATCGTGAAGGGTCAGGACAACGATCGTGTGTACTCGACAGGGTGGGCACCAACGAGGACCAATGGCAGCAGCCCGGAGCCCAGTCCGCTCGCTGCGCATGTGCACTCTAACCACATCCGGACTAGAGCGAGGTTTGAGACTTCCTAAATAGTGCTGCGGATCCTGACCTTGACCCTGACATCCGACATCTGACAGCTGACATCCGCCTCTGGGCGATTCGACGAGAAGATGCTTCATTCGCCCGGAGACCACCAGATCATCCCGTTCCTGGGACGTGTCAACACTGTCGCGTGCTGTCAATCGCTCGCTCCCGTATCAGGATGAGCTTCGGCCCGCGACAAGTCCATCAGACGAGTGAGTCTCGCCCATCCACGGCAGCAACCGGCCTCTCGATGGCGGCCTTGGGTCAGAAATTGGCCTTCGAAAGCGCTGGAATGGGTCCTTGGGCCACGGGGAAGCGACTCCATTCGAGTCCACGAATTGCATTGCTCTCACCAGGGGGATTCGTCTCACCCGCGTTGGGAGCCAACACACTCCGGGCACTTGATCATACGCATCGAACGAGTAGCAGGTTGGAACTCTTCGGATTGATTCTATGGTCGCCCTGGTGGACAACGTGCCTCTGGCAGGGTGACAGCGGACCTAAGTCAAGATATCAGCAAAGCTTCGGAAAGCCACGCACGCGCAGAACATCCTATACGCGGAACTTGAAATCGCGATGGAGACTCGGTTCATGCGGGGACGAGCACGACATTCTCCGCTGACGCCACTGGATCATATGGCAACCACTCCGATGTTCCGTTTTGCTCGAAACCTGTGTGAACGACAACCATATCTGGTATCTATGGACCGCCAGAAGACGATAAGCTGCACCCCAACTTGGCGGTGACGATGCAAATGCGTTATCTGAGCAACCATCCACCGCTTTGGGGAGCCTGATCTGGGCCGGGCAGCTGATAGTGCTAGCCCACGTGTGCAGACGACGGTTGGTCTCTCTGTGAGACGCTGTCGCGGCCCGTCATATCCCATGTCTTCATGGCATGGAAGTCAATACCTCATGGGGTGGTCGGGACCACCCGCTCAGCGTCACCATAACGATATATTGCTCTGAAGATGAATGAATCGCACTCATCACTATCACTGCAGGCCACGTCCTACGAGGTCACGGAGTACCATCACCGTGCCTTTCACTTCCCTGTCCTATCACTCTTCTCTTATTGATCTGTCAACCATGTCGAAATACCTCAGAGCGGACAGCATTACCAATTACTTCTTCGGCGGCGCCGAGACTGCCAGAGATGAGGAAGAGAGGAATGCTACGCGGGCTTTGCCTGCGAACTGGTACACGTCACCAGAGATGTACGCGCTGGAGAGAAGGGCCATCTTCTCTCGCAAGTGGCAGCTCATTACCCATTCCATGAGGTTCAAGCAGCCTGGAGACTGGCTCAAGTTTTCTATCGCTGGCTACGAGTTCGTCATCTGCAAAGACCGAAGCGGGTCCATCAATGCCTTCCACAACGCATGTCGACACCGCGCGTTCCCTGTCGTCACGGACGAGAAGGGTACTTCGAAGATCTTCTCTTGCAAATACCATGGCTGGTCCTATGGTCTTAATGGCAAGCTCGCCAAAGCCCCTGGCTACCAAGAGCTTGAAGGTTTCGACAAAGAGAAGAACAGTCTCCTCCCGATCCACGTCCACGTCGATTACAATGGCTTTATCTGGATAAACATGGACGCAAATCCAACGCCCGAAGTCGCCTGGGAGGACGACTTCCAGGGCATTGATCGACAGGAACGATACAAGCAGTTCAACTTTGAAGATTACGAATTTGACCATTACTGGGACATGACGGGCAACTACAACTGGAAGATACTTGCCGACAACTACAACGAGTGCTACCACTGTGCCACATCACATCCCGACATCGGTGCCCTTGCCAACCTCCAGACATATTCGGTTCAGACCAAGGAAGGACAGATCATCCACGATCCCGCGACAACAGAAGAGCAGAGGAAGGCAGGTCTCGTCGTCGCAAGCACTTATTACTTTCCTAATGTCTCGACCAACATCACGTAAGCTGTTCATGCCTCGCCTCCCCTCACCATTACAACACCGCTGAACTTGCCACACAGACCCCACTTCTTCATGATCCAACGATTTGTCCCTGACGGGCCGGGGAAATCCTCCATGCAGTACCAGGTCTTTCGCAACAAGAGCTCTTCCGACAAGGACTTCGATCTCGTGAACCAAATCTACAAGCGCATCATGTCTGAGGATAAGTACCTCTGCGACTTGGCCCAGAAGAACTTGAACGCTGGAGTGTTCATCAACGGCGAGTTGCATCCTCGCCTGGAGAAAGGCCCGCTCTACTTCCAAAAAGTGGTCCGGGAAACAGTCATGGGCCACTATCATCGAGAACAAGCACTGAAACAGGAGATTTGGCCGGCACGACCAGCCTTGCCACCGACCAACAACGCAAGAATCAGCCAGAAGGATATTGACTTCTGCTCTGCGTTGCCATGTCCTGCGCAAAGGGAAGAATTGGTATGGTAAGCGGGCTGAATCCTGCTGGGTTGAAACTCGATGTACAGACTTGAAGCGACATTTTCCCCACGACTGTGATGACGATTGCATATGGCATTTTGGTGAAGCTGGAGGAGAGACATTAATATGGTTCCGAATTCGGGTAGGATGTTCCGGCCCGTTCGTAGAGCGTTTTCGGCTTTGGCGGTCAGAATATTGATGCACAGTGCTGCGAGGTTGTAGAACTGGTCTGCACAGGTAGCAGAATCTCAACATGTTGAAACGACCATTCGCTCCCAACCCATTCTCCTTCTCTGTAGTCGCGATTTCCAGAGCGGCCTTGAAACCCCGGGGTGCCCCATTTTCTTTCAACTTATCACTGGGCTACAGTGGAGTCAATTGCCATTTATAGCTTTGCTGATGGATTCTGGTTTCCAAATCATAGGCCACAGCTTGACGCCAGACCCGCCTCTCTCCTGCTTGCCAGTGCTTGCATGTGTGCCCTTCCCCATGACCAGCTGATCGAGCTGCTTGAAACCGCATCTGAGATATATGTCTCGCGAGTGAGCAGTCGTTGCCTCCAGCCATATTGGCAGCCCGTCCTTCGCGGCAAAATTCTGATACCTGGCAATGATCCGGGTCGCAAGGCCCTGTCCTCTTGCTTCCTCTTCCGTCGCAATGAAGAAAAGGTACCAATAGTCTTTGATTCCCTGCAGGTGCTTCTTCTTCATCTTATCCGATTGGGCTTGGAAGTCCCAAAGCATTCTCTTGCCCATGAAAGCCTGATCAGCTCCCAGAACCACCACAAAAGTAGCATGTGACAATAACAGATCACACATACCTTGGCGCCGCCAAGGCCCAACCTCGCTACGACAGGAATGAATCCGGCTGGCACTATGGTTGCGATATTATCGACGCGCTTGCGAGGCGGCATCCAGACAGCTACGCACTGCCAACCTTCTGCTTCCTCCAACTTGGCGTCGTTCAGTATCGCCGCTTTTACCAAGGTGTGCATGTAGCTTTCCAAGTAAGCATTGTGAGCCTCGTCCGAGAGGGATGATGTCAAAAAACGAATGACTGGATCGGTACGGAAAGCTCTACTGAGCACTTCTGCAGTTCGGAATTTGTATTCGGTCACTTCGTAATTGATGAGCTGTCGCATGAAGTGGCATGGCATTCAAATGAAGCGCCTACCTTGGCGTTTCGCTTGTGAGCAAGTGGTGATTTTGATACCTGCCGTGGGGTATTTCTGCGAAAGACTGTCCTCCGCCAAGGGCGTTGAATGGTCCAAGTCATTCATAGATGTTGCCTGTTGCGAGTGGAATTGTGTAGCATTACGAACACGAACGAAGCAACAGGTGGAAAATGCCATTTCATTAGCCGAGGAGCAGGCGTTGCGCCGGATCAATGATAGTCCGGTCCGAGATTCTTCCCTATCAATACTAGGCAGGAGGGTGCTGGGTATCATGCCTCGTAGATTGCTGAATTCTGCTCTACAGCCTCGCGTTCAACCGCTCATCTAGTCAATCAACCATGATCTTCCCCTCCAGCTCCCCGAAGTGCTCAAAGAAACTGTCGAACAGATTCACGCCATGCTCCGCATCGTACGCCCCGCCAGTCTCTCGGATGGAATGCATCGCCAATTGTGGATTTCCGACATCAATGGTCCTCGCTCCTAGAGCGGCGCTGAGCATGGGTCCGATCGTGCTTCCACATCTCGAGTCGTTTCTTACAACAAACATCTGCAACGGCACGCCACCTGCTTTGCATTTCGACTCGGGAAGTTGATAAGCTGTGGGCTTCGCGCGGCGAGCGCATTCCTGTAGCAAGACGATACCAGGTGAGTTTGTCGCATAGCGGACGTTTGCGTTGATCTTGATGACTGTTCCCTCATTCATGTGGGGGCGATGTTCGGGCTCGTACTTGCCGCCATAGTTGGGATTGACGGAGTGGGCCATGTCTGCGCTGATGAGGAAGCTGGTGGACAGAGTCTGTTCGTAAGCAGTGCTGTTGTCTACTTCGGTGACTTTGTCGTAGCTCTTCTCGCTGCCATCTGATGGAAGGCAGGATAGACGGCGAATGACGGCAGGAAGCATGTTGCTGTCTGCTCCTTGTGCGGATTGAGAGCCGATCTCTTCGTGGTCAAAGCAGGCGATCAGACGGATGGTGGGATCGCCTTTGAGTGCTGAGGGATCCTGCACGGATTGGATGAGGCCTTCGACGGCGCAATATGTCATTCCGAGGTTGTCCAGACGAGCGGAGAAGACGAATTCGTCATTCAGGCCACCGATGCATGCTGCCTGCGTGTCGTAGAGAACCATTTCAAAGTCGACGATATCATCTGCTGAGCACTCGGCCTCCGCTGCGATGAGATCGATGAGGTATGGATGGTGTCTCTGTGTCGGCGTCTTGAGCGGCTCGAATCCAGCCTCTTTCTCCTTCTCGCCCTCCTCTTTCTTCGATTGCTCCGCCGTCTTGCCTTGTCGGTTCAACTCTGCGCTCACGAGCCCGGTGATGGGGAACAGCTGTGTCTCCTTGTTGAATTCGAACGGCTCATACCCACCAAAATGGACCGCCAAGTTCGGTATCCTGCAGACCGGCTTGCCGATTCTCACCAATCTCTGCTCAATGTTGCCGTCCTTGCTCTTGACCATTGCCCGACCTGCTGCTCCTAAGTCCCGGTCGAACCAGCTGTGCCACATTCCGCCGCCGTATGTCTCCACGCCAATCTGGAGGAAGCCATCTGCTGAGCGCTTGGAGACAGGCTTGATGCGGAGGCAGGGCGAGTCCGTGTGGGCTCCTACCATGCCGATGGGGTTGCCGGGTTTCCATTCTGAGCCGATAGCGAAGGCGACAATGGTCGATGCGTTCCGAGTGAGATAGTATTTGCCGCCGGGCTGGAGGGTGCCATTCCATGGGTCTCGCTCCTACATACCGAATACAATCAATCAGTACGAGCTCCATTGAGTGATAGCTGTCCTACTAGGCACCTTGATGGCTTTGAACCCGGCTTTCTCGAGCCGGAGCTTGGCTGAACGGACCGCATGAAAAGCTACACGGTGCATCAGCCAGCGCTACGCACATGTTACACTGCTCTTTGCGTACGGGTTGGCGAGGCGTTGAGGAAGTCGACAAAGTCCTGTGGTCGTTTGGTTGCGGCTTTGGAGGCCATGTTGGCGAAGAGCCTGGGGATTGACAGCTGGACGGATCTTTGGGCGATGTGTGTGGTGTTGTTGTGGGGACGAAGACTGGCAAATAGCAATCGAGGCGTCATCCAATGTTGCGATATGGGCGGCGAGGTACAAGCGAAACGCGGCGAGCTCTGGGCTGGTGAGTGAGCGAAAGCGTGAGCTTCTCGCTATCGGATTCGGCTTCCGGCAAGCAAAGTCGACGCGTGCTCAATGAATATTTCATTGCACCATCTCCATCAAATTGCGAGGAGTATGAATTCTTATACATATTACTATAGACTACATGTATTAACGCTAGAGACAGGCCCTATACCAGACTCACTGACCTCACCCGTTACTATCCTTATAATTACATCCTTCCGATAGAATTCTTCCGATTCGTAAAGGCTAACCGGAAAAGGGAAATGTCGAAGCCTATCCGCCTCGCGCGTATGGCTGACTACACGCACCTCGGCCGATTATATCCGTAACGGCGAAGATTAGGTAATACTATTAGAACAATAGCAAATATATCTATATTAGTAGAACGTAAACGACCTACGGGATATATAAGTGTTAGCCGAGGGCTTCGATTTCTCTACGTTAAGCGACAGACCTCGAAACATATTGCTAAGTTTAAGGCGGACTAAACAAGGCCTAATATACATCGGAGTTAGTAATGTATATAGCGGTAGCCTAAGCTTACAAATCCGTAAAATGGTTTTACCGACTACCGAAGCGGTACTCGCTATAAGTCGCGACTCACTCTACTACTATAATAACAACTTACGACGGCGACAATAAGGCTCTACGAGTGTCGCGTACCGCTATTATCGACGTAAACGGTTAATATAAAGTTAGGCGTAGCTTTTAGCTTTATATTAAACCCGTTAATAGCGGTACGCGGCTTTATATTAATTAAAAGCTATTGTCGCGCTTATACTATTATAAGTACGAGTCTATAATATCGAACAATAAGGTAGCTACTAATAATAAGTAGGCTATTTTATAAGAAGGCATTCTTATCTAGCGAACCTAGACCTCTTTTCCTACCTAGATCGTACTCGTAGACTCGTAAATCGACAATTTATAGTATTAATCGACTAGGAGACTCTTACATTTATCTATAGACGACTCTACGACCGATACTAGCCTAATTATTAACCTACTCCTTCGCCTCCGCCTTAGTCTACGCCCGAGAGCGCCCTAGTAGTAACTATATCGGCCCTAAGGTAAGCTATCCGAAGCCTAAAGAATAGGCAAAAGCTAATTAGCGAGTCTAGCGAGTCCTACCGTAAACTAGAGACGTAGGATAAGACTACATTCTAGTATATCTCCGATAAGGATTAGTAGCGCTATTTAAACAATCTTAAATCTAGTAATAAGTAGGTTCGTAAGTCCGCGGCTAATAGCCTACGGCGGTTTACTTACGCTAGCGAGATAATAGAGACGGATCTAGGTATGCTTTTTCTAATTTATATAGACTCGCTACTAAAATCTAATCGACTCGTAGATATACTATCTTCTAAGCCTAGCGGCTATAAGTAGTACGCTACGAGAGGTCTAGATTATATTATCTATAAAGGTAAGGAATACACTTAATACGCGTTCTATAAGCGCTACGGTCGCCTAGGTTATAATAGTAAGCTCTAGAAGAAGTACGAGAAGTAGAAGGATAAGTAGGATAACTCGCTAAAGCCTAAGCCGGACTCGTAGGCTGCTATAGGTGATTCTAGGGCTACTATAGGTAACTCTAGGGCTAAGATAGGCGACTCGTAGAAGCCTACGAGTCTTTAAACTAAGATTGCTAGGCTTAAGGAGGGTTTAGGGTTTGCCTATAAGCGTATTAATAATCTAGAGGCTAAGCTCTACTATATAATAGACTTTATTACGCAGCTACCGGGTAGCGAGTAGTTCGTAGCCAAATATAAGGGCAAATATACTTAGTAGATAGTATAGATTAATTCTAGCCTACGAGTTATAGCGAGTATAGCTAATTTTAGCCTACGATTCCGTACGAGTCGGGTAGCTTAGGATATATAGAATCTTAGAGCGATTAAATCGCCTACGAATCTAGCAATTTTAGGCCTACGAGTCGGGCAAATTATAATACTACGAATCTTAGAGATCGTAGAATCCCTAAATCGCCCGCGAGTCTACCTAATTTTAGCCTACGAGTCGGGAGAATGTTAATATTAGAGATCTCTAAGCCTTTAATCGTTATTATATTTATACTATTAACCCTATACGCCCTTCTATCCTTTTAAAGCCTCGCTACTAACTCGCTACCGACTCGCTATAGCTTCTTTAACGCCCTTATAACCCTTTAAAACTCCGGAATCCTTATATACTCCTTCCTTAGCTTCTTATTCCTTATTGCCTCCGCTAGTACACTCGTAGTACTCGCTAGTCCGCTCGGGGGCGTACTCGTAGGCTCCGCTAGTACACTCGTAGCCTTAGTATCCTTAGGTAAGCTAGTAACCTACCTATCGCCCTAAATCTCCGTCGCTACCGGCGACTCGCTAGCGACTCGCTCTACTAAATCCGTAGGAGTAATCTCTATTCCTTCTTTAATAGTACTTAAATCTATAGGCTCCTTCTTTATTACTATACGTGCCTCCTACTTTACTACTAGCTTGCTTTTAGGCACTCGTACGTACGTAGGCTCGTCGTCGTCGTTATTATTAGTAAGGTTAATAATATCGATAGGGTTATAGGCGCTTAATCCCTAGGTACCGGATATAGACGAAGGAGTAGATCGATAGGGTAATTCGCGACTCGCTTAACGTTTGTAACTAACTAGCGGACTAGTAGAGGCCTCTTTCTCGGTAGATTAGGCACTCGTAGAGGGACTCGTAGGCTAGCGGAATTTAGCTAGTTTATTAGGGCTAGTAGAAGGCACTACTTTAGATTCGCTAGTACTCGCTACTATACTCGCTACTACACTCGCTACTACCTCCTTAGCTATCTTTCTTTTAGCTTTAGTACTAGGCCTCTAACCTAGACGCCTACTACGATAGCGCCTATTAAGGCTCTTTATTAGATCCGGATCTAAAGAGGAGCTGTCGTCGGTAGACTCGCTAGACTCGCCGTAGTCCTTCGGAAGCCTATTCTACCGCTTATCTTTAGCTACAAGGACAGCGACCCTAATATCTACCTCCTTTCGCGTAGGATTTGCCTAGTACCTACGCTTAAATAGTAGTAATTGCTCGTTAAGGTCGTCTTTGTCTCTACTGTTCGAGCTTAGTATAATTAAGAGCTTCTACTCTTTGTCGTACCGGGTATATATAAACGGACGTTTGTAGTACTATAGGCCGGTAACCTTCTTAACCTTAATATAGCTAGCGTATAAAGCCTAGTAGTAAAGCTAGTTACGAGTACGCGGCGAGTCGAGTAGTAGGGCCTTAAAGTCGCTCTAGTAGCCTACGATAGACTAGTAATCGACTAGCTCTAGATTATCTCTAACCGTCCACCTCTACTAGCCTTCCTTCTTAACTACATTAACTACTACTTTGCTTATATACACTATAACGTAAAGCTTAGGGCCCTTTAGTACTTTCTTCGGTCTACTACCCTTGTTCTACGACTACGAGTCGGCCTACGAGTCGTCTCGTAGCTCGGTACTACTACTACTACCCGCCTTAAGTCGATTCGTAGCGATTAGCGTGCTCCTATATAGACTCGCTTTACTAGTACGAGGACCTTATACCTCTCCGGATAACGGATTAATACCTATATTACTAAGCGGGCGGATATGCTACTTCTTATTAGCGGCTAAAACGGCATTAGTACGGCTAAATAAGCTTTTAGCGAGTCTAGTAAAGCTACTATAGCCCTTTATAGACGCGGGCTCCTTCCGCCGTAGAGTAGGGGAATCGATCGGATCCGGTACTAGTATTAAGGAAGGGCCTACAGTCGACTCGCGGCGACTCGCTATATTAGTGTCTACTATAGTAAAGAACGGGTTCCTAAGGCCGCATTTACTATAGCGGGGCTTATCGCTATACTCTTTAGTATAATTAAGAGCATAATCTACCTTATTAGATATATAGAAGTCTTCCTAGAAGTTAGTAGAAGAAGCTATAATAGACGTATATAGAAAGATAAGACGTAGTATTAAGGAATGTAACGTTACGAGTCTACTACGAGTATATACGAAGCTTTATAGAGGCTCCCTAGTAGTAGTAAAGACGGTTCTCGTACGATTAGACGGCTCGAGGCTATTTAAGCGAGTCGGCGCGATATACTTAGCGAGTCGTCTACTAGTATCTAGGTACTACTTAGCTACTCCTCGGAGGTACTAATAAGCGTGTATATAAAGCTTCTTAGGCCTATTACCGAATCCGGGTTCGCTACCTTTAAAGGTTAACGGGTAGCTAGCGAGTACGAGCTGTTCGTTTACCTATTATAGAGTTGTCGGAGGCAGGTATAAGCTAAGGTCTATATATAGCGAGGCGTAGTTAGCGTAGGAGTAAGAGAGGGGTAACTCTATAGGCGGGTAGCTAGAGCTGCGAGTGACTACGAGTACAGCTAAATTGGCTACGAGTACGGTCCAATTTCGAGCTACTTACCTAGTACTAATATAGAAAGCTCTTTAATTACCCGCGGAGCTTACTATAGCCGTCTATCCGGTTTATCTACTACTTAAGAGTAGTACTCGCTAGACTCTTAGGGTTAATTAGATGCCTACGCTAGGTAGTGTCCTCGAGCTCTAGATACTCGTAGAGCAAATCCGGTATACTACTAATATAGCTCTTAAGGTTTTGTACTCGTACCGGGTGCCGATTCTACTCTAAGACAAAGTAACTAACTATATAGCGTATAATTAGAGTATAGATTACGAGGAAGGCGAGTCGATTAGATAGCTTAGCGGCCTCGAAAAGGTGTAGGTTAATATACTAGTTAAATAGGTCTCTCTAGCGATTTATAGCTAATTTAGCTATCTCGCCCTACTAGTACTTAATAGTCTAATTGCCTTTACTCGTAGTATATAAGAAGGCCTTAACAAAGTCGATATTACGGCCCTCGATAAGCTCTCGAAGCCGTAGATAGGCGTCTACTAGTATAGGTGTCTCGACACCTTAATTAGAGCGGACTCGCTAAGGGACTCGCTAGATATAGTTAATTATAGTATAGTACTACGAAAACACTAAGTACTTTGTCTTTACTATTAGGCTAACGTAGAACTAGATAATCCGGCGTAAGTAGACGTTAATATAGGCGTAAATCTAAATGCCGAATTGCTCGATTTTGTAGAAGGCATTAATTAACTAGACGTAGTTAGGCCTATTAGCTTTTAGTCGTACGTACCGTAGCCTATTCGGATAGCGATTACGTAGTTCGCGAAGCTTATATAGTAGAGCGTTAATTTGCCGTGAAATCCGGTAGATACGGTCCCTAGTAGGCATTAGTATAGTAAGAAGAGGGCTACGAGTCGGCTACGAGTCGATTCCCTACCTACCTATAATATACTAGTAGGTTCTTAACTCTCGTACGAGCTTACGATAGCTAAAGTCTTAGGTTTGCCTATTAATTAGTACTACTCGAAGCACCTTATCGACGTAGGTAGTAGCTACTTCTAATTCCTCGTGTTCTAGTCGACGCTTAAGGCCGTAAGTACGGCGGAGCTCTTAATACTACCTTAAAGAGATATTATAGCTATTAAGCCGTAGTATAGTATAGCTCTTCTTGTCGCTAATAGTATATAGCTAGAATAGCTCGGTAATCCGCTTAATTAGTACTACGTTACTACTATAGTTAATTCGAGGGCGAGTAGTTACTCCCTATCGCGATAAGTGTGTCTATAGAGTTCTAATACCGTAGCGAATGCCCTTAGTATTATGTAGGCTCTATACGACTCGCTAGTAGGTATATCTAGTATAAATCTAAAGCTTAATCTAGAGCCGATAGGGCTGTAAATCGAGGGCCTAAGGCGGCATAACGACAAAGTAGACAATAAAGGACCTAATAGATGGATTGCGAGTCGATAGCGAGTACATCAGTGCCTAACCACTGCGATTACGGTGTGTGAGAGTGTGGTGGTGCGGTAGCAAAACCGGCAAAACCATTTTGCGGATTTGTAAGCTTAGGCCACCGCCATATCCTCATCCTCGGCGCTTCTGGACGGACAGGTCGTTTGACAGTCTCGGCTGCCTTCGTACATGGCCACACAGTCAAATCCGTCGACCGCTCCATTTCAAGGACAGTCCGGCCTCCACATCATCCAAGGAGACTCCAGAAAGCCTTCATCCGTGGAAGAAGCCTTCTCCTCCCAACAAATCGATGCAGTAATCGTCACCCTAGCCGTCCTCAGACGAAGCGATTCACCCTTCGCATAGCCCACAGGAGTACCCTTCCGCATCCGAGATTCCATTCAAAACGCTCTGACGGCAATGAAGAAACACGGAACCGAGACATTGGTAATGATGTCTGCTTTTGGAGCGAAAGATGTAATCAAAAGCGCACACTAAATGCTGTCTAGTCGTCGATGCACCTCATACGGGTAAGGCTCGATCTCTGGATGCGCTACCTTGCGTCCTGCGGCTTCGGTCTCTCCTCTTACATCCCCAAGCCGACAGCCTTCGCATCACCCTGTCTCCACAATGCCTTGATCCTGAAATGCTTAATCTTCCACAGCGCATCCGTCTCGTCCAGCTCCAAATCCAGATCATACAGCGCTCCTCCCGTCAAGAATGCCCTTTCCACACCCGGCGTGGGTTCCTTTCCCTCGCCGGCCTTGAAATGCTGCGAGAGAATCGTAGCCGTCATGTGTGCCGTCTTGCCTCCCTCGTGAATCTGGACTCGTGGCGTGGTGGCCATGTGGGAGGTATCGAGCGGTGCGACCATGTGGAAGACCATTCGGATGGATTCAAAGCCTCTCATGACCGTGTCGTCTAGCGAGACGAAGCTTTCCGGGCTATTCACGAATGCAGAGTCATGGAGGGCGAGGTCCTGAGTGTCGTAGGAATTACAAGCGCGGTAGAGGGCATCAGCAACTGCTTCTTTGGGCGTGAGGCCGGTGAGGTGGAGTGGGTATGCCATGTCGGGTGACTGCTTCCGGGCTCTGCGATGTCTTGCTAGATGGGACTATCTGGCTCTAAAACAATTGCAGTCTTGTCTCTTGGATACTTTCTGCGTCCATCTCCTCTTCGTAGGAGGTAGCGGAGGTAGACGAAAAGCCGGAGACGGGCCAAATCGGTAGCCGAGCGAAGAGACCGACTCGCCTTGCAGGATAGGTCAAGGGATAGCTACCTGCCAAACTTTCCATCTCTGGGCGACTACCCAGGCGGTTTGATGAGGCCGAGGACTTTGATAGTGGGTCGTGTCTGCACTGGATCCAACAAGACCAAGGAACGAGCATCTCTACGAACGAATGCTAATCATAGAGAGCACGAGGTCGCTGTTCCGAAGTTGTTGTCACTGATGATACTTACGGTATTGTACCCAGAACAAACAGCAGGTGAGGTTGGTGAGGGATACAGGGATGCTTAAGTCCGCCTCTCACCATTGCTGTGATTGTAGTCCGAAGAACATCCATCTTTCCCCTTTCTCCCTTCTTCGCGCATTGAACCAATCAGAGTCTGAGCTCGACGAAGCTTTGCGAGTGCATGTAAGAGAGCAATACTTCCCATCCTACTCTCGCAGCACGGTGTCGCTGTTTCCAAATATAACAGACATCAGCAAAGGAACCAGGAATCTCCAACCTCTCTTTCCAGGCGGCCTGCATGGATGTCGCCGGTCTTGGGGATCTGCCTTCGAACTCTCTCTCTCGACATGTTGCATTCCCACTAGGGTCATGTTCCTTCTCAACGATGCGGCCTCCGCATTAAACAGATGAGACGTCCTGCGAAACCGCAAGGTATCGCCTTGCCTTGTTTTCGATTGGTTGCTTGCGAGTCCAGAGCCACACACTGACTATTCTTTGGCTAACAGCTGCAGGCTGTCCACACTGGCTCGCGGTGGAAATCATTGCTCGCATTGCTCGCTTATGTGACTTGACATTGGGGAGAATATATCTCAGCTGTACAGAATATCGGTCACCTTTCTTTTCCTCTTGTCACAATTACATCGGTCAGCCCGATCAGGCAAAGGAGAATCTCGACTATGGTGTTCACGACAGTCTTTTTCTCCGACACGCTTTTCTTTTGCGCTCAAGAGCAGCCCTATGCGTCCGAGCCCTTCGCACCACCCTCGACGTTGAAATTCTGGACAAGCTGGGTCGATTGGCAGTTGACAGGCGGCTGGCTATCAGTGCTGGCGGTTCCCCACTTGAGGAAGAAATTCTCCTCGCCCGCAGCGGTGTCCTTGCAGGCTACCCTCACGTTAGATCGTCTGAATTCCAAAGGCAACGAATGGGAGCAGCGATGCGTTACCATAGAATTTGTTCAACGCAGCATCCAATTTGTGCGAGACGGTACCGTTCGTCACAATCCATTCGAATTCCTGGTATCCGAGAATTGCGGTTGCCGAAGCAGCGTGCCCGTAGTTGTCTCCTGCATCGGGGAGAGAAGCGCCGTAGATTCCGTCTTCGAGATCGAAGTTGATGGCGGAGTAGCCGTTGTGCTCGCCGGTGGTGTTGAGATAGGCTGGGAGATTGTCAGCATCATGGTGCATTTGGGGGAAGCGTTGATGGGGCTTCACCTGGGGAGCCTGGGTAGACACTGAGCCTGCCAGCTTGCAGGACCTTGCTTCCACTGGTTCCGTTGCTGACAGCAGTCAATGAGACGAAGCTGCCGTCAACGGTCATAGCTAGAGAGAACTCGGAGCTTTTGTCTGGTTGAGCACCGACAGTGCTGCCGGACTGAGGCGCTGGCAAGGCGCTGGCGAAGGCGGCCAACGCGAGAGGTAGGTATTTGTACATGGTGACTGCGGTTTGTCGAGCGAGTGATGGAACGAGGAAATTTCTAATGTTCTTGCTGCCTTTCCCAGAGAATTGCTTGTGTGATGACGAGAGCGAATATGGGCAGCAAGTCTTCTACTTATCCTCCTTTCAAGGCGACCACAGAGGCGCGTTAAGGCGACCACAGAGGCAACGTTACATCCGACTCGTCCTGCGGCTGAGTATCTCCATCTCGTGTCGACACTGAGAACAGTGTATGCAATGAAGTCATGGTGCCAAAGAAAGGCGACTCTCCCTGCGGCTGAAGGGCTTTTGTCTCCCGTCGACACGCAGGATAATGTATGCAATGAAGTCATGGTGGAGTATACGTGCAAAAGGAAACACCGCAATACGACAGCTGAGGCGCGCCAAGGGAAGGCCTAAACGCAGGCGGCTAAATGCCGGGCGCGCCGAGCGGCCATCTTGGCTGTTTAAAGGGAACACAGAATAATACGAACCGTTCACGTACTGCGCGTGGAATACGGGAAGGAGCAATCCTTCCAGAGCTGGAAGGCTGAAAGAGTTTGAGCTACACGAACGGGGCCTGGAGGCTATTGTCCGTCGGAGTACAGCCACATGCTGCACGATTAGAGGATCGCTTTGAAGAAGTGATGAGACCTCATAGTCAGGTATGGTGCTTGTGCTGAGTTTGCGATCGAGTTTGAGGCTGTCCGGGTGGAGTCACTTGGCTGGCCCATCTTACCGTGTGCACGTAGGTCCTCGATAGTCCTTTCTTGCTGCACCAACGAAAGAGTCCATCTAAGGCGCAGAACATTCAGCTCTGCATAACGAGTGTTTCCAAACCAAAAGCACGAGTCGTGTCCTGTAGATTCATCGTCAGCACTCTTGGTTGCGTCCGACAGCCTGATGTGCACGGCGTTGGCAATCACATGGAAAAGGTGTGCCAAATGCCGGAGATTTTCCGCGAGACGCCTCTCTCTCGGATTCGACGATGGTCTCTTGCGTGGAACAAGCGCTCCATAGAGTGGACACTGGCTGTTCTCGGGGCATAGAACCCAATAAATCATATTCACATCATGGTATCTCTGCTCATAGTAAATCGTCAAACCCCAAACCCCCAATCAGGATTCCAAATTCCATAGATCATCCTCACAGACCTCAGACAGCCTTGACCTGCATCGTCCTGGGGGCGCTAGGCAGACTCTGGGGCCTACTCGCCTCCCGAGAGGCCTGCTTCAGAAATCCAATGGGTCCCGAATGAGTCCTCTTGTGCCCATTCGCTCCCTCTTCCGCTCTGACCCTCCCCAGCCCACCATTAGAATGCGATTTCCTCTTCGTCGCAAAGCCCATCCAGCTCCTTCGCTCCGATACCCGCTTCTTGACCTCGCCATCGGGAACGACGGAAGAAGCAGAACGAATCTCCGGCGCCGCTTCCGCTTCTGGAATGCCCTCGAGCATCCGTGCGTCCGGTTCCGGGAACGCTTCGGAGAGGATGCGGCTGAGCTGGACGTCGAGCGTGTCTGCGTCGCCGATTGATTCGGGAGCGATGCTATCTCGACTTGCGATACTGACGTGTGGCAAGAGGGAGTCGTAGGTACGCCTGCAGTCTTGTAGAGTCATGGGTTTGGAGGAAGTTCGGTTCAGCCGTTCAGCAAGGAGGCGCGCAACGGTAACCCGGTGCGTTCGAAGTTGCGCCAGTTCCCACGCCCAGAGATGTTTCTGCATGAGAGCGTGATCATTCGTGGCCGAGGGCTTGAAGTAGGTAGGTGGATGATGGCCACCGCAAGTGCCTGCTACATGGCGAAATGTGAAACCACAGTGTTGATTCAAATCGGCCGACTGTACGTGTCGCTCGAGATCCTTCTCATTGGCGAAGAAGATGCGACAGTCGTCGCATTTGTGTCGCTTCTCGGCGAATTCCAACGAGTGAGTACCGATGTGCCGAGCGAGCCCATCGGTCTCTGCGCTGAAGGTTGCGCCGCAAAGATCGCACGTGTCTCGTGCCAGCCGCGACGACGGTTTCTTGAGCAGCCGTCTCAGGTACGACATTGTCTGGTCCACAACGTCGTCTTCTTCTTCCGTTCCGCTGTCCGGGAAGGATTGACGGGCCGAGGCGCGGGCGTTGGTCCAACGGTGATCGTCATCGTCGATCCAGTAGCGCTGTGAAGTCGACTTCCGTGTCCCACGTTCGTGTGTTTCGTCGATGTCAGGCATATGCAGCATTGGAATCTGCACCATACCGTCGCATCCACCAAGGCCGCTCGCAAGGTGCTTGGGGAGTAGGTGCGCAGGATACAGGTTTCCACACTCCGGACACGATTCCAGATTGTTGTTGTGTCTCGAAGCGATATGTCGGTTGAGCTGCTCCCTCGTCTCGTAGACGTTGTCACAAGTAGGACATGGATGATGCGCGGTGCCAGCACATTGTTTAATGTGTTCTCGAAGACGGAAGGAAGTGGAATACGATTTGCCACAGGAGCAGCAATATCTCCCGGATGGATCTCTTCCCAGGTCGCAGTGGAGTTGCCTATCGGTGATGTGCCTATCGGTGATGTGCCTATCGGTGGTGTGACTGTTGGTGATGCGCCTGCCGGTGATGGGGTGGACGACGTGGTCGGCCACAGTCGACTGGTCTGGAACTGCTTCGCCGGACAGAAGCTGAGCAGCAACGCGATGGAACTCGGCCGGGTCGACGTCTTCATCCATGGTGGAGAAGTGGAAGCCAGGCAGGGAGACGGGCGCCTCGGTTGAAGTGGCAAGCAGAAGGCTCATGGAATTTTCTTTTTCTTCGACTGGTGTGAGTGGTAACAAGGAGTCGGTCGGCGTCGAAGGCATCATCGTATCCAGACATTCGTTGGATGATGTCGACGACAGCGACAGTCGCGGCAGATCTGGAGGCAAGGCATGCGGAGTGAAAGGGCGAGGATTCGATATGTTGTCTCCCACAGGCCCGTCCTCGTGCTCCACGACGATACCATTGCGCTTAGGTGAGCGAGGGATGGCAGTCGGAGTGGACATGTTGGCCAACATGATGTATTGTGTTAGCCAACAAGATGGATTCTGTTAGCCAGCAGGATGTGTTCTGCACGCCGACAAGATGTATTCTGCAAGCCGACAAGAGATGGTCTGTACAGTCTGTGGAAGGGTGCGGGTAGTCATCCAAAGACCCGGGCAGATCAGTAAAGAGCCGAGCGATGACAGGCTCAAGACGTCAGGCCAGGCCAGGCCAGGTCTGGTCGGGTCGGATCAGGTCGCACAAGAGCGAAGCCAATGAGGAAGAGAGTGTGGACGGCAATGGAGATATCATCAGCAGTAGGAAAGCGGCGGGAAGAAATCAGCAGCGAGGAGAAGAATGATAATAATAATAATCACGACCAACACACCGACTCACCTCATCCGGCGTCGAAGGGCATGTCGCTGTCAGTGTCACTGTCATAGGTCGGGCGCAAAAGCATCGCCGCCGAGCAAATCTCGAGTCCTGGTCCTGGTGATGCCGGCTGAGACAAGATGACAGAAGAAGGTTGGGGAAGGGCGCCTCCCCCAGGAAAGGAAAGGAAAAAGACAATTCTCGAACAAGAGGCAATTTCGAGACAATCCTGCAAGTTGTCGAGAGACGAGACGGCATTATTATTTCTCATCATCGCCTGCTCATCAATCATCGTCGTGCTTGGTCCCTTTGACTCTCGGCAGACGTCGCGACATGGTTACCGTCGTCGATCTCGAACCGTCGTGTCTTGCATGGCCCAAACTATCACAGCGAAGGAGAATGGCATCGCTGTTGCTGGTCTTACACAACATGGCAATTGACTTCAACGCTGCCCAAATAGGTAGGCCCTTGCCGCCGTGCTGGGCGGAGTCTTGGTGGGCATCTGGTAATAAGACTCGAGGCGATTGCCGTTGCCGCATTGACGCTGCCAGACAGTGACGCTGCAAATGCAAAGCATACCGTGATCGTGTCGACACGTTCTCGCCGCAACCGTTGCGTGTCTGGCGCAGGAGGGAGAAGAAACGTGGTAGAGGAAGAGACAATTTGGATGCACGGTGAAAGTCAAAGGGAAAGTGGAAGTGAAACCGTTTGTCAGCTCGCCTCCGCCAAGCCGCCGCCGAAGTTCCGCCGCGATCCGAAAGACGTCAAAATAATAATAATAATGACCCGACGCAGCGGACACGAAGAGGAAAAGAACTTGGGTCTGGCCTGTCCCCGGATGTCATCATCGTCATCCTCACCAGCTGGCGGAAACGAAACCGACCGAGATGAGGTCGTTCGAGCAGGAGCCGTCGGCAGTCGAGGGAGAGGTCAATTCATTGCAGAGGTCATTCACAGGTTAGGATGCACATCTTTCACGTGCCCATTCCGTTCATTATACAATCAGGTAATACTGCTCGGCCGACCTTCATCCGCCTCATTCACTGCACGAGGTCGTTTCAGAATCATCTGTCCATCTCAAAAGCTGTGTCAATACATCTTCTCTCTCTCCAATGCAAGAAATCAACCAAAGCCAGAACGCTCACCCCCACTTCATCCCTTCTCCCTCGCGCCCGCCGGCATCAGAATGCTACTCCATACTATTCAACTCCCGTGAACTGTTCGCATCCCTCAAGCTGTTTCCTTCCCTCGACATCATAGCAATGGCGCCCTGCTTCTCCGCAATCTCCTCCGCCCACGCCTTCTTCTCCTGCTTCAGCTGTCCCTTCACATACCATATCGTCAGCAGCGTCCAGATGCCCGCCCACGCAAACGGCGCGCTCCACCCCACCACGTACGCCGCCTCCCCGGTGATGGTGAAGACGAGGATCGTCGTCACCACCGCCATTCCTTCCGCTCCAAATGACCAGAAGATGCCGAGACGGCGCAGCATCGCCCGGAACATGTGCGACGATTCGTAGCGCTTGTTGAGCGCTTCGCGATACGCCGTTCCGCCGCTGCCGTCGACGGCGATGACGTCTTCGATCACCGTGTAGATTGCTGGCCGGAGTTGGGCGCCTTTGGGGATCGACGACATGCGGCATGGTGAGGGGATCTGGAAATAGCGAAGCGTGTCGACGATGAGGAGCTCAGTGCCAAAGGCATACAGCATGGATGCCAGAGGCATGGAGAGGAGGCGGATCGGCGGGTTTTCGGGGATCGTTCCTCTGTCATCTTGTCAGTAACGTAAACCCATCATGACCATCGCTGGTGGGGTCGACGTACACTATCAACTCGATCATGATGATCGCCCAGCCAAGGCTGAAGTTCCAGTGGAACCAGTCCAGGTACATCCTCCTAGCTCCAATCACTCGACATGTGCTGCCCTTCTTGAAGAGTCTCCAGAAGCGCAGGACGTACTCGAAGATACTGACACCCCCTATGGCAGCAGTGACGATCGAAAACACGGCGTTGGCGGACAATTGCTTGCGAGTGAGGCCGTACCATAGACCGAAGTAGAGAGCGATGGGTTGTCCGACAACATCGATGATAATCATGCTCCAGAAGAGGACGATGAACCATTTCCTCTCCCACAGGTTGTAGTTCAATGGCGGTGGCTCCGGCTCATACGCAGCCTGCTCTTCCGCGCTGGTCGGCATTGCTTCCAGCATCGCAGGATCCGGCGCAATGCTGCCCTCTCTTCCATCTCGTGCCTCAGCCGGCTCTGCCGTTGACATTCCCGTACCAGACGATCTTCGTCGCTGCATATTGAGCGAAGGCCGTCCATATGGTCCATCCCGTCGTATGTCGAAATCCCTGCTGGGTCTCCCCGATCTTGACATGGCTGTGCTCGTTCTTGGAGGCCGACCCGGGTCCTCGCTCTTCCTCACCAACTGCTCGCTCTTCCTCACCAATTGCTCGCTCTTTCGGGGCAATTGTACGCTCTTCCGCGTCTTGCCGGGTATTCCGTCCGGAGCGGAGCTGGGACTTGTCGTCCCTGTATCTTGCAGCGGTTCGGACACATGTCGCTGGGGCGCGGGAAGTAGTGATGTCTGTAGTGACGGCCGCCCCGGCTTTTCGGGATCTGCCTGTGCAGCTTCGAAAGGTCCATCGTGGCGCTGGTCGAAGTCGTGCTTCTTGGGGTCTTCGTTCATGGTGACGATGAGCCAGATTTTTCGCTATCGACCGCTATCGACGAAGCTCCCCTGGGACCGGGTGAGTTGAAATCGTCGCCTCGCCACTCGAATGACGCTACGAAAGGATAGCTCCTAGTTGCTGACCCAGTGGAGGGATTGGTTCTAGTGGCGTTCCAACAGATTCCGGAGAGCTGTTGTATTGACGCTGGCGCGGAGGGGCGAAGAGGTTCTCAAAAGATACGTCGTTGTGACAGCATTGATAAAGGCGGGCTGACGCGCAGACAGAGTATGTATGGAGGGAGGCTTGCTATGGCTGCAGACACGAGCCATCACGATCGAGAACAAGACGAAGAAGCTCAATCATTCGCGGAAGCCGTGAGCTGCCGGACGCCGCGTGCGGGAGGAGAGGGATAGAGGAGGCGCGATGATGTCACCCCGTCTTGGCACGGAGCACGTCCGCGGCCCGGCGCGCATGCGGGATGTCCCGTCCTCCAGCGAATCACTCTTCACCAGACATCTACTACTCCTCACCATCATCACCACCACCACCGCCATATATACCTACTCATACCACCACCACCACCACCACCACCACCACCACCACTCCACCGACACCGCCTGCATCACAAGCGCCCTCCACCCACCTCCGCCTCCACGGAGGCACTCCAAACATGTGACCTGCGCATCCACCTTCGCAAACGCGATGATGTGGTATTCCTTGACAACAGCATTATGTGTGCTCCTCTGTCAGCCTGGTGTCGCCGCTGAGCAGACACCACTACTCCGGCATGGTAACGGCGGCCGTAATGTGAGCGTCGCGCTCTTCACCGAGCTCGAGGAACTGGCGCGCATCGTCGACATCTCCTACTGCGTTGGCATGACAAGCTTGGGAATCACCAAACCGTTCAAATGCCTGTCGCGCTGTACAGACTTCCCGGACTTTGAACTAGTCACCACCTGGAACACCGGCCCGTTGCTATCGGACTCATGTGGGTACATCGCTCTGGATCACGGCAAGCGACGCATCATTCTTAGTTTTCGAGGCACCTACAGCATTGCAAATACTGTCGTGGATCTCAGCACTGTGCCCCAGAAGTATGCGCCCTACCCAGGCGAAGGTGACGACGACCAAACCAGTTCTTCGGACGATGTCTCGAAAGAAATGCCAAAGGGTATCAACAGACCCACGAAGCGGAATGATACTGGCGAGCCGAAATGTGATAATTGCACGGTGCATTCGGGATTTCACTCTTCTTGGCTCAATACTCGCACGGTCATCCTAGACGACCTCCAGGAGTACATCTTGCTCTATCCGCAGTATAAACTAGAGCTAGTGGGTCACAGTCTGGGCGGAGCGGTCGCCGCGTTGGCTGCGCTGGATTTCAAGGCTCGAGGCTGGGATCCAAGGGTCACAACTTTTGGAGAGCCACGAGTCGGCAATCGGGCGCTGGTCAAGTACATCGACGACCGCTTCACCCTTACCCAGACATTACCAGACGACGACACTGCGATCAAGTACCGACGTGTAACACACGTGGACGATCCAGTGCCTCTACTCCCTCTGAGCGAATGGGGTTACGCCATGCATGCTGGCGAGATCTACATCTCAAAGCCGAGCCTATCACCCGACCTCGCGGACTTACAACGTTGCGAGGGCGACAATGACCAAGACTGCATTGCAGCGCAGGACTCTACAGCCTCTGATGATCCGACAGCAAGAAAGCGAGACCTCATCGCCTCTGTGAAGGACGAAATCTACGACGTGACGAACGAGCCGTGGGGTATCCCATCACGTTACAAGCTCTGGGAGCTATTCTTTGCGCACCGTGACTACTTCTGGAGACTAGGTCTTTGTATTCCTGGCGGCGACCCTCTCGGTGGCGGTTCGAAGTACGACCCGAAAGAAGAGTTGTAAAAAAATACCGCGATTGTTCTGCGACGAATTTTGACTTGCGAGCGTGGAGTTTTGGGTTGGCGTCTCTGGAATGGATGAGGTTGTCTGCCCTGCCGAAGGTTTGATGCAGGCACCCTGATTACATTCTCATGTTCTTTGGATGGAGTCGCGAGACCGCCAATGAGTTGCGCACATACTCACTGCGAGCCTGGTCTTTGTTTGAGCTATTCCTGGACACAAATTTTAGTGCTTTATTACAGGTCTCACGAGGACACAAAGGCGACCTCCGAGTCTCTTTGTGCACTGATCTTACATTGTCCTCTTTGATGGTATGGCTCCTTCAAGCACTATCTCTCGTCTCCGCTAGCAGCAAGTCCAACTTTGCTACATCTTTTTCTCTATCCTTATTCGGTGGTTTCCGCGTCGACTATGCGTAACCAGAAGACTATCATTGCCACAGCGATTCTGGCTGGCCAGATCGCTAACGGAGCATATATTTCTATCGTCCGCGACTCCGCAAACACACAAGCAACTGCTGCCGCCTCTTCACAGAAGATCCACGTCGCTGGGAACGACCCTCCTCACTTTTCCTACGACCCACAGCCATCTTTCAGCTATCAACCATTAAAGATCACTACCGAATTCGAGACTTTGACCTGGACGCCTACCATCTTCTCCTATCAGCCTATGACCACACTACTCGCGCGCCGCGATGTCAACCCTATCAATGGACTGCCTGTTCCCTATGTTGCCAAGGGTATCGTGACTGTCATCACGAAGACCCTGACTACCGTCGTGCCTGTGAACTCTGTCTGTCAGCGACCAGCTCCAACTTCGAGCAGGGAGGCATCCTCCGGTTCGTGTTCTGTGGTTACCAGTTTTAGTCCGTATTCTTTCGCTGAGACCAGCAGCAGCAGCTCTGTGAAACACCGTTTGACTCCGGAAGCGCCTGATCCTACTGCTGTCCCTTCTACTTTTCGCACGACACTGCTTTCGAATGGCACAGGTATTCAGCGTACCGTTGCTGAGTCCCCAAATCCAACTGCTATCCCTTCAGCCTTTCGCACGACGCCGCTCTCTAGCCAAAACAGTACCACTGGAGTCCAGCACACCGTGGCTGAGTCTCCGAACTCTACTGCTATCCCTTCTGCTTTTCGTACGAAGCCACTGACTACTACTCAGACAGATAGCAGTGGCATCAGTATCACCCCAATCAGCCCTACCAGGATCAATAATTCTACGGCTTACATCCCTGCTCCATCGAGCAGACCCGCGAGCACAGCCACACAGTCATTCAACGCTGTATGGACTTCTTCCAGCACGCATTTCCCTACTGCTACTTTCGCCACTTCGACCCCACTGCCATCTCTCGACCTCTGGTGGACTCATACCTCCTCTTCCACTTTTACTACGAAAGCTAGTCCGTCTTCTTGGGATTACCCGTATCCGGACGAGACTAAGGCTCCGGCTTCGACAAAGGCAAGTTCATCTTTTGAGTATCCTTACCCTGACGAGCCTACTAAGAGTAAGGCACCGAAAAGTACGGCAAGTGGAAAGAATTGTGCGTTTCCCTATCCAGGTTGCGATGAATGACGAGTAAGTCATCTTATTGAACAGTTGTTTTGATAGCGACTTAGCGACTTTATGATATCTCTCTTCAAAGCCATTCAAAGGTTCGCCATCATCATGGTCATCATTGATATTCTCGTTAATAATTATCAGCTAGCTGTATACCACCTAATGAGATGCAGACCTCGACAATCGAGGCGCGAGAATCGGCGCTGTCTGCACTCGACATTGACGTTGAACCACTCGCCTCTAAATTCCTCACACCCGGAGGCCACACTAAGTCCAACCGCTCCATCTATCCCCTTCGCGGGCCAATGACACAATCCGCCTTAGCAATAGCAAGCTCGGAATGCCTCAACGCCCCTTTCGTCTCGCCTCCAGTACATTCTTTCTGTCCTAGTCGGACCTTCAAATCATCCATAGTACGCGCAATACCCCTCCTCCAGCAACAGAATTGACTTCCTTCAAGACAGAGGCCTCAAAAGCCTTTGCTAAATGCAAAGGACTCATAGTAGCTTTCACACCCAGCTTCGAGAACCCGTAGAGTACAGGCAGGATAGCTAGAACGGTAAAGGCCTGATGTTGAGAGAGGCAGAGGTTGGGAAACGCAGAGGGGAAGTGTAATTGGGACGGAAATGGTGACGTGGGTTGTTAGGAAGAAGTGAGCAATCGCAGCAGCCATGGATAGCCAATCTAGACGTGTTGGGTATTCTCTGGGAATCAAAGCAAGCCTCCTGTCCACCCGACCCCACCTACATCAACAACCTCCAGACACCAAGAATAATCGCCGCGGTGCCCGTACACACTCCCATCAGCCACTGCAAGGTGCTAAACTTCACCGCTTCCAACCTCTCCCTCAGCGCCGCACTCTCCTGCTCAATCCTCGTCTCGGTCTCCTTGATCTTCAGATCCTGACTATTCGCCTCTTCCCTGATCCTACCCTTTTCCAAATTCAAATCCAACCTCACACTCGCTTGGGTCCGCTGCACCTCATCTCGCAAACGATTGTTCAACTTGGCCAAATCGTTCGTGAGCCGTTCGTGGGAGGCGCGAGTAAGCGAAGATTCGGTAGAATCGGCAGAGAGGAGTTCGGAGCGGAGCTTAGCGAAATCGACTTTTTGGGTGTAGGTGGCCTTCTCCTGGTCTTCGCGAAGGACCATGGTGCGCGTGAGATTCTGGATGGATTCTTCGATTACGTCGGAGAGGACCTTCATCATCGCAACGGCTTGTTCTTCGGTGAAGCCTTCTTGCTGCAAGCGTTGAACGAATTTGAGGGTGTCGAAGTGGTGGTCCTTGGAGGAGACGGGTGTCGCGGAGAAGGCTCGTCTTGCGGCGTGTTGGACGGATAAGGCGCGAGGTATCCTTCGCTGTGCCCAGGTGTTTCTTGCGAAGGCTGCGGTGGCTGTCGTGCGTCCGTCCTGGGTGTTTCGTCTGGCGGAGACGTGTTGTGCTATGGCGGCGGAAGGGCGGACGCTGCTCGCTGTCCAGGCTTGGCGTACAAGCGACCTCGAAATAATGCTCACCGGAGCCATGACGGTGGTATTGGCGGCGATATTTGGGAGTATGGATGACGTGAAAAGTAGTTTGGTTGTCTGCGTGAGAAGAGGTCGAAGGTGAAGTTGCTCTTCCCAGTTCGGAAGTCATGAGGGCCCACAAACCACAGCCAATCACAGCGCGACTGCCGCCGCATCCTTGCTCTGCATCACCCCCTGTCTACCTTACTATCTCCTATCTTCCACTCACTCACTCACTCCTTCCATCTGCACGGCCACTAGTCTACTGGCATGTGAAAGCCCCATCAGGTATGAGACACTCTACTCCACGCACGAACTCAAAGATCCAGCAGAGTCATGTCGACAACTTTCTCCAATCGTCTACTCGGCTCACAATACGTAATGCGAACCCTTTCTCCACCTCGGGTGCGCCGCCGTCTGAATCACATCGAGAATTTCGGGGCGCGAAAAGAGAGGCAAGCCATGTGATCTCCTCTGGTCTTCACATGCCGTCCTAGGTCATGCGGGGTTGAGAGAAAAGCTTTCCTTTATTTCCAGTCACGCTGTCGCTGCCCTCATTCTTCCATTCTTCATTCCACGAGAGAAGCTACCATCGCGTAGCCAACATCCATCTTGAGCTCGCAGGCAGAGAAACAAGCATCACACCCATCTCATACCCCCAGACAAATCCCTACGCAGTCGAGAAGAACATATATACATCACAATCAAACACACACAGCCCAGCATGGCCCAACCACCAACGTCCACGTCATCTCCAGCACCCCAAATCCAACAACCACAACAACAGCCCTCCCGCTCCCACGGTCGCGGCGGAGCAGGCAATATCAACTCCACCCAACCCACGGCCCTCAACGCCAACGACCTCCAAACCCCAACAATCAAAGGCACAACTTACACCACCGGTCGGGGCGGAAGCGGAAACATGGCCTCCAACAACCCCTCCAACCCCTTCGAAGCCCGCGCAGCCCAAGACGTCGACACACCGCTACACCATAATCGAGAAATGAGCGGAACCTACCACTGGGGTCGCGGCGGAGAAGGGAACATGACCACCTTGGGTCCAAATTCCGGTGCGAAGACCAAAGACAGTAAAGGGACCATGAGCGGCGATGCTGTCAAAGAGAAGCTGTCGGGGAGGAGGGAGAGCAGTAAGGAGCGTCCTGGCATTGGAGCGGAGAAGAAGGAGAGGACGCTCTCCCAGGGTTCCGAGAATGGTGCAGGGAGGAGACCGAGTCTCCAGGGAGTATTGAACAGGGGAAGGGAGATGCTGGGGCTGAGTAAGAATAAGGCTGGTGGAGAGAAAGACGATCCGGTGAGACAGGGGAGTGTTGATGAGAGCGCTATCGCTGAGTAGGACCCCATCACCTGCGATGCGTTGTTTTCTTTCTTCGAGATACCCCACGAGGCTACGGGTGGGAACAGGTCTGGACTTTGGTGGCAATACTTTTGGATGCAAGAACATGTATCACAGTACACGAGCAAATCAGGAAACCGATGTCAAAAGTACAGGACGAGTCAATTGATAGTATATCATATCATTTCATTTTGATCAGCCGCGAAGCATCATACTATACTCAATTGTATCATTCCCGTGCTTTTTGCATCTATATTGTAATCTGCCTGAACGATTCCAAGAGTCTATCTATCTAACTCTCTTCATTCGATCTTCTTCCTCCCACCACCCTTCGTGGCCTCCGTCTTCTCCATAAAATAAGCCCTTTCGAAGAACTTCAGCACCTCATCAATCAAGATGATAGGCGCACTCCAAGCTAGGACAATTTGCCACTCAGGCCACCCAAGCGGCACGATGCCGAAGACGCCTTGTAGGACAGGCGTGTAAAGGAGGATGAAGTGAAGCACCATGGATAGCGTGATGGCATATACCAGGATCATATTGTTCCACAGGGGAAGCGTGAGGAGAGATTCGGAGGACGAGAGGGCGTTCATAGCATTCAGCATCTCGATGACGACGAGGATGGAGAGTGAGACGGTCGACGCTGTTCGAGCAGAGTCGTTGGAGAATATCTCGCAGCCAATTTGCGGGAAGGTCGACGAGCACCGGTGGAAGTGAGTCTAGAAGACATTAGTATACTGCCATACCGATGATACGTGACGAGACTTACCAGTTGCCACAAGGAGATCTGAGGGCCCCCTTGGTAGAACATGAACCACCAAGCATATCCGCCGACCGTGGCCAGGCCCACATAGGTTCCTATCACCATGTACCGGAAGAACAGCCAGCCACCGACAAGCGGTTCGTCCCTCTTTCTCGGTGGTCGATTCATCACGTCGTGATCCTTTGGATTGAAGCTGAGAGCTGTGGCTGGTAGGCCGTCGGTGACCAGGTTGACCCAGAGCAACTGAACAGGAATCAGAGCTTCGGGCATGCCAAGAGCGGCTGTCAAGAAGATCGACACGACTTCTCCGATGTTCGAAGAGATCAGGTACCGGATGAACTGCTGGGTGTTGTTGAAAATGCTTCGGCCTTCCTCAACTGCCGTCTCTATCGTCGCAAAGTTGTCGTCGGCGAGGACCATGTCCGCGGCGAGCTTGGCGACATCGGTACCCGATCCCATGGCAACACCAATGTCACTCCTCTTCAGCGCTGGTGCGTCATTGACACCGTCACCAGTCATCGCGACAACCTCCCCAGTGGACTGCAGGAGATCGACTAGCTTCGACTTATGTCCAGGCTCAGTTCGTGAGAAGAGAGAGGCGGATTTGGCAGCCTTGAGCTTGTCGGCGTCGCTGAGCTCGTCAAATTGTCGTCCTGTGAAACTCTTGCCCTTGAGATCCTCATGCTCGCCGAAGACGCCAATCTGTCGGCAAATGCTCTCAGCTGTGCTGGGGTTGTCACCAGTGATGACGACCACCCGAATACCAGCCGAGCGACACTTGCGAATGCTCTCTGCAACTTCGGGACGAGGAGGGTCAAGCATACCAACAAGACCTAGGAGGGTCATGCCCTGCTCCAACTCATGGTACTCACTTGAGGTCTTTGCAGTCTTAGCAAGACCAGAGGTGACGTTGTCGATGCTGGCGAAGGCCATTACTCTCAGCCCAGAGTTTCCAAAGTCAACGACCTCCTTTTGCAGAATAGATGTCAATTTCTCAGTCAGCTTGACCTTCTTGCCGTCGCTGCCCACCACACAATCCGTGCAGCGTTCAAGGATGGATTCTGGCGCGCCCTTGACGAGAAGCTTCTGGGTGTTTCCGCTGTTGACAAGTACAGACATACTCTTGCGATCTCTCGAAAATTCATATGTCCTGAGTTTGCGTGCGTTCTCCTCGTAGTACTTGCTAGCCAAATGACGCTGTTGCTCAGGGGGTAGAGTGGCTTTGCGTGCATTGTACGACTCATCGGGGGCGCCAACCTTCTCGCTCAATGTTCTCAAAGCGCCTTCTGTCGGTTCGCCAATATTGCTGAAAGTACCATGCTGGCTGTCGTATGCTAGTTCCGAGTCATTACAGACCGCTGCGACCTCAATCATGTTGGCAACGGTCTTGGAGGATGCCGCCGGCCACGCAATGACCTTGCCGCGCTTGGAGATGGCTCCTTCAGGGGCAAAGCTGGTACCCTCAACATCCAGCTCCTCCAAGCCCGACTGAGACTCGCTGACGTAGACCATCTTGCTGACACTCATTTGGTTCGTTGTGAGCGTTCCGGTCTTGTCTGAACAAATCACACTGCAGCTACCTAGAGTCTCGACAGATGGCAAGCTGCGAACAATCGCATTCTTTCGAGCCATAGTTCGGGTTCCCAGAGCCAGACATGTTGTGATGACGACAGCAAGACCTTCTGGAATGGCGGCCACACCAAGCGAGACGGCGATCTTGAGATAGTAAATGGCTCCCTTGGTCCACGAGTTACCAAAAGACGGGTCGTTGAAATGCCGAATGTTAATCAACCAAACCAGAATGCAAATGCCAGAAATGACCTTGGCAAGTAAATCACCGAAATCGTTGAGTTTCTCCTTGAGTGGTGTAGGCTGGGCGATTTGAGAGGTAATGCTCTCGTGGATGTCTCCGATCGCCGTGTTTGTGCCGGTGAGTACAACAATAGCTCGAGCATGTCCAGTGACAACCGTGGTTCCGGAGAACAGCATGTTGATCTGATCCTGCTTGACGGCCTGCGCATCTTCGATCGGCGCGGTATCCTTTCCAACACTCTCGCTCTCTCCGGTCAAGATACTTTGGTCCACGCGGAAACTGTTGCTGTGGATGCTGAGCAGACGGCAGTCGGCTGGAATCTGGTTTCCCACAGCAATATCGACGATATCTCCCGGCACCAGCTCTTCCGCCTTCACGGTGTAGATTCTACCCTCTCGAATGACCTTTGCTGTATTTGCGCTGTACTCTTGCAGCGCGGCGATCGCCTTCTCGGCCGAGCTCTCTTGACTGACACCGACGATCGCGTTCAGGATCAGAATCGTGAGGATGACTACTGGATCGACGAATGCGGTCCAACCTTCCCCTTCTTCAAACAGGGCGAGTACAAATGAGATCGCGGCTGAGCCGAGGAGGATGATGACGAGCTGATCCTTGAATTGCTCCAAAACGAGTTCCCATAACGGCGTAGGAGGGTCCTCGGGGATGGCTATCCAACATGTCAACATACGTGCGATGTCTGACAGATCGTCCATTTACATACCATTTCGGCCATGTTGGTCTCGGGCAGCCTTGACTGCGCTCTGCGACAGACCCAGCTGCTCGGAGACGTTGAAGTGCTTAAGCACGTGCTCGGTTGAGCGCAGGTATGCAGACTCCATCTTGGCGAGCCAATGTTGTCGTTGTAGCACTATCGAGCCCGTGCTCTTCCTCCTCTCACGAACTTGGTCTGAGAATGGCCGGGAAGCTTCCTCTTTATAACATCCCAGCAAGACCGTATGGTAGTCGTGGACGTGGCGACGGCGAGTCTTCGGATGGAGGCGATATGCTCAGAACACGTGTCTTCGCTCACTTTCGTATGAGTTCCATAGGTCAAGCGAAGGACTCGGATCCTGGTGTGTCGGATGCGGAGGGGAAGGATGAGGATGGTACAAGTTAACGCAGACAAAGAAGAAGACAGCTGGAGATTTCGATAGCTCCCGCATGCAGACGCAGGTCCCGCCCCGCCACCTGCCCGATCTCCGCGCGCACGGGCCATGTTCGATGACCTCACCTGTGGATCTGGCACGTTCCTACACTTCGTTTCTTGCACACAACTCATCTCTCCCACTGTAAGACGAAATATATATTTTGTCCCTTTCAGCGCCTATAAGAAGAGCACCTTCCCTCACCTTTTCTTCCACCTCGTGACGATGAAATGTTTCGTAACCAGCTGCGCTTTGATAATCTTGCGAATATGGTCCTCTGGCGCCGGTATGTTCGTCCGATAGTATGTAGAATCGGACTTCTTTTACCGCCTGTTCGCCCTCATGTGTGGGAGGTTTATACCCTGAGCATGAAATCAGCCTCAGCTCGTTAAGCTCCAGGACTCTATGCAAGCCGACACGCACTGCGACTCGCTGGAGATCTGCTTCGCAAAGCGGCTCGTTGGACGCAGTCTTCTCACGCAGTCTTCTCACGCAGTCTTCTCACGATCTAGAACACCCCACAGCCGACTGCTCTTCAATCTTCCTGCATGACAGTTCCTACACCTCAATCTTGCCTTTTTGTCGCACCAAAATGGCTTCGCTGCGTGGACTGATATGACCTTCGAGATCCACTCGATCGCCCTGGACTTCATCTGGCCACCGTTGGCTACTCAACTCCGACGAATATAGCATCTAAAGCCTTCATGGCCCCCTTGAACACATTGCCCAATTCATGTCTGCATGTTGTTTGTCCCAACGCAAGACTCATGCGAGCAGTCAGCTCGATCTCTTCCAGCTTTCGAATTTCGACAAGATCCAAATATCGGGCGACCTCGCGGATGTCACTTCCGCTGGGCAGGCTCAGCCGAGCATCTGAAAACATGCTGAGGGATCTTTGGAAGACTTCGCACGAAGAACTTTGATGGGTGGGAGGCACCTGTGCTCGCGTCCACTGAAGTTGGCGACGCGGATGCGCACATCATGCTGGGAGACAATGCTGCCGCGATCATACATCATGCCTGAGCTGAGATTCGCCAAGGCTTGAGTTTGGTGATCGTTGAAGCAGGTTTGAGGCCCAAGTCCTTGAGGCATCTTCAAAGAAGGATTTCGAAACCGGTATCTGGCTGATCTTTAGCGCGGGGAACTGGCGGGTGATATAAGCCCAAGTCACACAAGCTCGGCAAGTCTCGCGTGCATGCCACTGACGGCAAGTGAGACATCGAGCACCTTCATCGGATGGATATGCGAGGTTGAAGATGGCGTTCTGGCGCTCTTGAAGCAGTCCGGGGAGATGGGGAGCATTCGAGTCCTCCTGGGTTGGCAGCTTTCCGTACGCCAGAACATGCCCAGAAATGACGTAGACTCGGACTTTCGCGCTGACATGTTCATGATATCGTTGGCGCTAGTCGTGTCCATCCTGTCTCGCAAAGGGCAAAGGGGATACAGAGTCTAGTTGTTACAGAAGCCGCCTTCTTCTTGTCAGTAGTCGATTCTGCGCAGCGGTCACTGCTTCCTGCTTACAATCGTCGCAGATTGGCATCTCGCAACATCAAGCTTGCATCCTATCCGAACAGAGCTCTCCGCAGGATTCGCAGAGGAGATTTTCGTCGAAACGCTGGAGCAGTGGATCGTCCTGAGTTATCCTCATTTTCCAACCGCCCCAGCCATAGGGAGTGGACTACCTCGGGAATTCCACCATCCACTAGTCGACGCGGAACGTCTTTGCAAGCTGCGCTCGTTTTTCAATGGTCGCGTATGGGGCGACAGAGGGAAGAAGAGGCAACTCGAGCTGGAGTAGAAGCAGCTATGCTATTACCCATCTACATAAGCTAGCTATGGAAGTAAGCCCGGATACTGTATGTGCCTGCCAAGCCACTAGGTGGACTTAGCACCCAGCACTATCCAGCACTTGACCCAGCGCTATCCAGCACCTGCATGAGAATGATTCAGCATGCTTGAAACAGCGATGACGCGAGCGCGATATTCCTCACCAGCTGCGTCCAATCACATCTTCGACGACTCCGCGTATTGTTTATCATTGCGCAAAAGAGCTGCCTCATTGAGCATAGCGAAGCATAAGACACCAGCGATAACGTGCTCCTGCAGTAGGCCGCGGCGGGAGGTGGGTATTGACTGTGGGATGGCGGACCTCACCTCGACCTCCTCCTTCGCATCTCTTCTGTTACTACCGTGCTCAGTGGTATAGGCTCAGTGGTATAGGCTCAGTGGTATAGGCTCAGTGGTATAGACTCAGTGGTATAGACTCAGTGGTAGAGAGGAGCGGGCAAGATGAAACTACTCACCACTCTCGCAGCCCTCGTGGCCACAGCATCAGCCTTCGGCTTCCAGAAGCCCATCGGCGCCCGGCGCTCTTACAGCGCCCACCAGAATGCGTTGGTCCGCCGGAGCAGCAGCACCGACTACCCGCCGCATACCATAGACATGCCCATCGATCACTTTCCCAACGAAACCCGCTACGCGCCACACACGAACGCGACGTTCAAACAACGCTATTTCTTCGACTCCACCTACTATAAACCGGGAGGACCGGTGTACTTGTACATTGGTGGTGAGACGGCGGCGGAGAACCGCTTCGCCAACTTGGAAACGGGTATCATCAAGATCCTTATGCAAGCGACCGACGGCCTTGGCGTGATCCTCGAGAACCGCTACTACGGCGACAGCTATCCCTTCGACACCACTACGACAGATCAACTCCGCTTTCTGTCCAACGAGCAGACCATCGCGGATAATGCCTACTTCGCTCAGCACGCTACTTTCCCAGGTGTGAACAGCACACGCTCCCTCAACTCCGACGCAACGCCCTGGATCCTGTACGGCGGAAGCCTAGCAGGCGCGCAGACGGCTTTCAGCGTGAAAACCTACGGCGACATCCTCTGGGGCGGTATAGCTAGCAGCGGCGTTACGAAGGTTACATTGACGTACCCCGAATGGTACGACCCGATCCTCAAATTCGGCCCGCAGGACTGCGTAAGCAGCATCAACGCTATAGTAGCCAATATCGACCACGTCTTCGCCACTGGGAACCGAACAGCTGTTCATGTCATGAAAGCTGTCTTTGGCCTTGAGGCCTTGACGGATGATAGAGATTTCGCCATGACTATCGCGTTTCCACTAGGTGGACCGATGAATTACCCGACGAATACTTGGCAGGAATTGAATTGGGATCCCGAGCAGGGGAGTAGTGATTTCTGGTATTTTTGCCGTAACGTCTCCAGTCTCGACGCACCGCATAACATTACCCAGGTCGATTACTCGCTCGCCCAGTACACTGGTGGTGAGCCGTGGATCAATCTGGGAAAATACGCGAATTATATCAAGCAATACCTTATCCCCATCTGCGACGGCGCACCCATAAACAGCGTCGAATGCTTCGGCACGCAGAACGCGAGTTACTGGGCTAACACCACGAACTCTGGCACACGCTCGTACTTGTACACCACCTGCACGGAGGGAGGAATCTATCAGGTCGGACGCCCTGCACCTGGGCCGAGCTTGCTGAGTAGGGTTATCCGTGCGAATTATACGCAGCAGTGGTGTACTTGGGCATTTCCTCCTGGGGAGTATAATAGCATTCCGAGCAGTCCGGATCTGGAGAGGTGGAACAAGTATGGCGGGTATAACGTCAATGCCCCGAGATTGGCGCATATCGATGGTGATCAGGATGTGTGGAACTATCTTTGTTACCACTCTCCTTATGCAGGGCCCAGGTACTCCCTCAGCCTGCCGGAAGAGGAGCTGCACCCTCAGCTCCTCATTGCCGGGGCTGGGCATCATTGGGATAGCTACGGGCTGGGCAGCCTAGCGAATGTCAGTAGTGAGCCACAGTTCATCCGCGAGGCGCATTTGTGGGAGATCAGGAGTGTGCAGCGGTGGTTGAGAGAGTGTGAGTGACGCACGTGCTTTGATGAACTAATCGATGTAGTAGCTGACGATTTGCAGGGAATGCCAGGAAGGCCTAGAGCCCAATGTGCCTGCGAACTCCAGCGAGCGGACGAAGTCGCGACTCTGCGGAAGTAAGGAATCACAGAACGGCTTGACAACCACGGCCTGAAATTCGACCCCCGATCTTTGCCTGTCTCTATCTTTACCTCCGCGTTTTTGTCCCAGTTCTTGAGCAAACTTGTCGTGATTCTAGTTGCCACAAGGTTCCAAATCGTAGGCCGCCAACACAACACAACCGTAGCATGCGGAGCCACGGCCAAATCGGCATGAGAGTCACCACATCACGCCTCAGCCGCATCTTCAGCGCCCGATCCAACACAGCGGACTAAGCGGGCGTAATGAGTTGTCAGATCTCGGGTATAGAGTGTATGTGGCTGTGATGGTTGTTCTTCGCAGTCAAGCAGAGAACTCCTGTGAAACGCATCTGCCAGACGTGGTACGATAGTATTCCGTGTAAGCGACGGCGTGGAAGATAAGTAGAATTGGCCGATTGGTGTGACGGAAGAGCTCCGAGCCGAGTGGAGGCGGCTAACATAAACATAATGGCGAAGGCAAGTGACAGCGAGCAGCTATCAAATCTTGCCTGTTACAGACCAGCGCCGGACAGTAGACAAAGGTGAGGCCATCGAGGCACCAAGCTCCTTATAGGATGGGAATACAGTCTTCATCCTGTTCTTGTCTCTTCAGCATCTTCTCGAGGCTTGGGCAGTTCATCTTCTTCCCCCCAAGGACTATCGAATCACGTCAGCAATGAAAGTCGCCATAGCCGGAGCCGGCGACCTTGGCCACTATATCATCGAAGAACTCCTCGCCGCGAAGCACGAGGTTGTAGTCCTTTCCCGCACATCGAAACCATGGCTCGCGGAACTACCTGTCGATTTTCGGTCTACAGACTATAGCGTTGCCGACCTCACGGCGGCTCTTCACGACTGTGACGGCCTCGTCTCAGCTATCCTCGATTATACTCAGAAAAGCGCAACCGTACACCTCGCCCTCCTCGAAGCCTGCCGTCGGTCGCCGAAATGCAAACGCTACATACCTTCCGAATACGGCGGCAACATCGACGAGTACCCACAGCAACCCACCTTTTACTATCCCAACCATGAGCCAGTACGTGCAGCCCTTCGGCAGCAGAAGGACGTCATGTGGACACTCTTCAACCCGGGATGGTTGACTGACTACTTGATCCCTCCCGACTTACGATATATCAAAGACATCGGCCTCTTTCACCCTGTTGATCTTCAGCAGGGTACTGTCACAATACCAGGTGATGGCGAGGACGGTATTGCATTCACTCCCTCGCGCGACGTAGCCAAGGCGCTAGCTCGGCTGTTCTCTTGCGAGGAGAAGTGGGAGGAGACCATCTATGTCTGCGGCGAGACGACCACTTGGAATCATATCGCAGCGGTACTACAATCGCGATATGGACGTCAGTTCACCGTCAGCTATAAGTCGAGAGACGAGTTAGAGCAGCAAGTGGCCGCTGCGGAGTCGGAGGGAAGTGTGCTTGCTGCGCAGTTTGGCTTTTGGTCAATCTCCGGGGCGAGTAAGTTGCCGCAAGCGAAGTTGGAACGGCATAAGGAGAACTTCTTCCGTGATGTCAAGTTCAGGACGGTAGAGGAGTTTCTTGACGATGCTGAGAGGATGGGAGACGCTAAGACTCCAGCGGTGTAGAGTATGGTGTCTTGAGTAGCATACCGTACTATCATCGCTCGAGGAATCGAAGCGTGCCCGCTCATGGTATTTGTCTCGAATGCTGAACGCTCCGGAGGATGCAGAATAAATTGTATAGAGTTATCAGAGTATGTACATACTGTTGAGAAGGTCGAGCCGCATTCTGAAAGTACATCTGAATCCGAGAAAACCGAATCCGGCCGCGGGAGAAGTGACCATTCCTTGTGGTCGTCTGGACGGATACCGTATGGTCGGATATTGTATTCACAGGTTGACATTCATCTATGCTCAGACGAAACATAGCCCTCCGTTTGCATTGACCGTGCTGCCCGTTGACCAGCGACTACCCTCCTCCGACAAAAAGGCCACGATCTGCGCGATATCGTCAGGAGTCGCGATCCGTGGAGCTGCAGGCGTCTCCTTTATCTTGGCATCCCACTCGGCCAACACAGCAGGATCCGTGTCACGCAGCCACATGTCCGTCGCCACAGGCCCGGGGTTGACGCAATTGACAGTAGCACCATACTTCTGGCCCAACTCAATTGCCATAGTCTTCGTAACGCCCTCCAGTGCCGCCTTGGAGGCTGTGTAAGCGGCAGTGTAGGCACAACTTTGTCTGGCAAGCACGCTCGACACATTGACAATGCGTGGAGCGCTACCGAAATGAGCCATTGCCTCCTTGACGAGGAAGACCGGGAAGCGCAGGTTACAGTCGAGAATCTTGTCCCAGAGCTCGTGCGTCAGCTCCTGAACAAGTGCGTCATCTCCAGCGCCGGCATTATTGATGATAATGTCGATATGGCCCCATCGGTCTACGGCCGCCTCGACTATTTGTTTCGGAGCGTCGCGGTCGCTGCCTCTGCCTTGTACCGCGAAAGCATCGACGCCGAAGTCCTGCTTAAGCTGTGCGGCGTGTGTCTCGGCTTGTGTACTTGAAGCATTGTACGTCAGAAGGATGTTGGCGCCGCGTCTGGCCAGTTCGAGTGCGATGCCGGCCCCGATCCCTCTCGAGCCGCCAGTCACGATCGCATTGCGGTTTTGGAGCGACTTACTCGCCATAGGATCGATCAGTAGAGGTCCAAGCCTGGCCAACTCAGACTCCTTGGAGGGGTGGTGTATGAGCGATATCTCCGTCGCATTGTACTTGCTTTTATGTGCATATTGCAAGGGGGAGCGGGTTTACCTTGCCGCCAACGTATAGTGGGACATCAGCAAGATGCAAAGGAAGGAGACAGCGAGAACAAATGCCGCAATGGAGCCGTATGCTCAAGCCTAGCTGTGTCAATCAATGCATAACATATGCCGCTCACCAAGATTGTGGCGAGAAGATAGTGGGGTATAGATAGGGAGGATCGGCTGGGGCTGATTTGGCCTAACTTACCTTACTCCCGAGTCTATAACAGCATCGCGTCGTGCGGGCCGCGTACCGTGCGCTAGGACGTCGGACATACTTGACTTCCGCTTCCTAACTAAAATTTACTTCTAGAGCCTAGATTAAGGTATAGACCCTTATCTTTTATAATATAATTAGAAATAAAGCTATAGTTTATATAAGAGATAGCTATATAGTTAATACTTAATCTTATTACTTATTACGAGGCTATTAAGTACTCTTATAGCTAGCTAGGTCTAGCTTACCGCGTACTACTACTTCTAGTAGCTAATTACTTAATTCTACCTAGTCTCTAAATTAGAATTAAAGATTAGCTAGTTACTTATAAGTTATATATAGTATCTTTAGCTTCTTAAGGCGTCTTTACTATCTTTGATTCTAGTATAATACTAGCGTATCGCTACAAATTTTATACTATAAGCTAGCTAATAACTTATCGTAGATTAGAGTAAGTTAAAGGCTATTTGTTACTTATAAAAAAGGCATTCTTAATCAAGAAAGAGCTTTTTAAAGGGCTAATTATTCGATATTATTGCGCGAAAGAACGCGAGATACTACGTGTTTCTTCGTTCAGATAGAAGCGCTGCGAATTCGCTACCGAGCCCCGTCTTCCGGCGCAAATTACGGGACAGCGACGCTGCCGTTGCTGTGGAAGCGCCATGCCCGATTCGGCATAGCTCGTCCCTCGTATCCCCACCTCACTTGCTCTCTGTCTCCTTCCTCACTTCAATCTCCCTTCTCTCGCTATCCACTTCCTCATCTTCTGTAACGATGTTAGAATACCTTAACGACGATGCCAAGAGGGACCATGCCACGCGTAAAGCGATCAATGACCTTCAGCGGATGCTTTACCTGCCGTGCCCGCGGAGTGAAGTGTGATGAACAACACCCTGCATGCCGGCGCTGTGGTAAGGCAGGACGCACATGCGATGGCTACGGCGTGAGGCTCATATGGGAAGAGGACCGGGTCGATCGTCGGTCTCTGCGAAGCCAGAGGAGGCATCTACCCCGGGCGTACAACACGACTACTGCTGTGCTGGATGAGGATGAATTGGATGCTGCCATCGAAGCATCAAGCTCACCAAGTGCAGACGAGCAACATCTCCAGGTAGGGCCTTTTGGTGTGTTCAAATTGATTCCCTTGCGAAGCACAGGGACGACCCCGCTGCCATCTCCGCCGCTTCTGTTATCGCCCTCGCACAGGACGGACATCGTAAGCAATGCACTTCTCTGGCCGTCACCGCTAGATTTCACAGGCAATCTATCACTTGAAGATATCTTGAAAGCATGTCCGGACGCACTGAGAACGGCCCAACAAGCTGAGAAGCCCCTTGGCTCAGACGCGACTCTCGAAGACTCCCTCGAGTCTCTCGACATGTCTCACTTTACGCAAGCCTGCACACGTACATCACCTCGAGATGGTACAGAAGGGATTTTGCGGATACAGACAGAACTGATGGCATCGATTAAGCCGTTTCCGACGACGTTCCTGAGTGATGAGGCTCGTCTCCTTCAATACTGGATTACTAGTATGAGTCATGTCATGATTGCAACTCCTAAGCAAGACAATCCGTTTCGTACAGTACTCGTACAGCTCGCGCTCTCAAACGCTGGAGATTCATCAGGGAACCTCGCTCTTTTGCATGGCATCTACGCCATGGCAGCTTTCAGTTGCGCGTTGAAACAGAATCCACCTACCAGCAGCTATCGAAACATGGGAATCAAGCATCATCAGGCTTGTCTAAGGCATCTTCAATGCAGCCTTGGCGACCGAACACGATCGCAACCTGATGCCGTGCTCGGCGCCATCATTCTACTGATCACGCTGGACTGCATCACGGGCGACTCTTCCGCCTGGCGCACGCACGTTCGAGGCGGTCGCAAGTGGCTTCAGACGGCGCGAAGCAAACTCTGGAAGGGGACAGACAGCATGTCAACGCTGTACCAGATCTTCTCCGTTCTCGAAGCAATCGGCGGAGCTGCCCATGGGCTCGAAGACTTTGGTGGAGATCTTGCTTCAGATTATACCTATGACAGCATCTTGGGCGTATGTGGGACGACACTGCACCAGAACTATAGACTGGACAGCTTGTACGGCCTCACGCAGCCCATTCTCGAGGCTATAATCCATATCAACAAGCTCGACGCACGCCCGATGACGGCTACATCACAAGAGGTGGAGAACTTGCGCATCAAGATCCTACTCAACGATCCGCGTGGTCTATGTCTGGACGACGTTGTCGATTCCACGGAGCGTGAGTTGGTGCGGCACCATGCTTGCGTCTTCTACTTCGCCTGCCAGATCCACTACGAGCGAACAATCCACCGCGTCACGCCAGAAAGCACACAAGACCTGGTGACGCGCGCACTGGAGCACCTGGAGGCTATCGCTGGCCTGGAGATCCACCTCAACGTTGCAGGCCTGATGTGGCCGGTCTTTGTGACTGCTTGCGAGGCAGAGTCCGACAGTATACGGAAGCGTTTCCATTGGTACTTTGGTAAGGGGCAGAAGCACGGGATCCAAGGCATCTCGGCTGGGCAGAAGGTTGTTCAGGAAGTCTGGAGGAGGAGAGACGCATGTTCGGCGCCAGATAAGGCTAGCATTAGGTGGCAGCAGGTAATGGTCGACTTGAGGCTTGATCTTCTACTTACTTAAGGACACGAACGACTTCGGCGAGTACTATCGTAGACTCAGGTCAATGATACGTTAGCGATAACGCGTGTGATCTAGCCATGCGGAAAGCTCGTCGATTGTCAGGTTGGATCCGCCGTCTCTCCTGCCCATTCGCTGTCTTGGCAATATGCCGAATGCACAGCGCCATGGAAAGGGGCAATTCATCGATCCCGGATATGGAACGACAACACGTAAGACTCGTACCTCCAAGTAGGCCGCGACTACCGAGATAATACGACTGGTCTTGATCCCTTGCTATCAGCTATCAGCATGGAATGAACAAGGCACTGTCGGCGGCCTCGACATCAAGAACGTCAACGCACCCGGTCTCGGAGAACCGCTCAGTGACGTTCTTCTCCATATCTCCAGGTCCTTCATCATTCCCGTCACTATGACCACCGTCACCACTTCCGGACACACTGGCTACACTCAGGGCATGATCTACCCGTCAGATGCCAAGAAAGTTTTGCTGGTATTCCATAATGTTGACGACGCTTTGAAGGCGGCTGGAGGTTTGGAGAGCTGCAAGGCTGTCATCAGACCTCGATAGTATGGAGCGAAAGTTGGTCTGTAGCTAACCTTTTTCAATACATGTCCTCGTTCGCCGCGTGGTCCTTCAGAAGAGCCCTAATCGGGTTGCCCCCTTCTATCCAGCCCAAGAAAGGCGCACTGAGATCATAACCAATTAACTTCAGCATGTCGACGTCGTCCGCATACATCTCCCTCAGCTTCTCCCGATCGTTGTTAAGATACTGATTCTCTTCCTAGGGAGAGCGCAGAGTTAGCCAACGCGTTTTGTACAACGTCGGAAGGTCAAGTACATACCTGTCGCAGATAGCCTTTCGTCATGAAACAGCTGTAGACCAGCCTCTCTTCGTTCTCAGTCGTGTTGGCGGATCCACCATGATAACAAGAAGACAGCATGATAAACCCGTCGCCCGGTTCCAACTCCGCATAGTGCGCGAGACTCTCGCGCGGAGGTGTATCGGCATCCCACAAGTGTGAGCCAGGAATGAACCGGGTGGCCCCATTCTGCCTCGTGGTCTTCTTTGCTCCAACGAAGAAGCCAATGCCGGTGTCTTGGCCAATCTTGTAGTCTCCGGCAGTCATGCGCCTGGTCAAGTTGTGATGTATCATGTCATCCCGGTGCAAGCCCTGAGCACGAGCGCCCGGCCCGATCGAGAAGATGATTGTGTTATTGAGTTGCGGTTTCGAAGTACTTGGAATGCGCTCCTCTTCGCCCAACCAACTCTTCACAGAACTGGAAAGAAGCGTCTTGCATACCTCTTGATACAGAGAGTAGCGGACGATGCTTTGCATGAACGCCTTCGATTTGGCGGCCAAGCCATTGACACGACGAGTCTCCTAGTAAAACGGATGCAGCTGTTAGCTGCTGCTGGAAGGTTCGCGCAATACTTCGTTCCGCAGTACAGCGTACCTTAGGAAAGAAGTCGCCGGACCACTCGGTGTCTGCATCCAGGTAGGGCCTCGTGTCCTTCTCGATCTCAGCGAGAGCGTCTGGAGATACAATGCTCTTCACAACGCAACCACCGGCTTTGATCAGACCCTGAACAATCTGCTCAGCAATGGCGGTCGCATTGTCGAAGACGGGTACCTCTGGCAAAGGTCGGTCGCGGTCATCGGTGCCTTCGTGAGCGATAGAGAGTCCTCGTTCGGCCTGCGTTGTGACAGTTTGAGACATGATTGCGGTAGATTACATAAAATAGTTGGAAGACTGACCTGACTTATAGATGCGCATTCTCAGCTGTCTACTTTGTCTGTTGGAAAGATACTGCGAGCGCCAGCCGCCATCGAGACCTGTGATACTGTTGTGACACGTGAGGTGCTGGAGCTGGAATGATAAGGCGTCTGGCGTCTACGGAAGTTGACAGCGAGCCGCGCTAAGGAGCTGCTGTGCTAGTTCGGCTCGAGCAAGAGACTGCGAGACGCGACCATGGAACAGTCAGGCTACGATATAGCTGATAATATACTTACGACGCTGTGACATATACTTCACAGCGTTCCACTACTCCCAGCTTGCTTGTACGAGAACGTCTTTGCTCCGCCATCTTTATTCTCGGACGCACACACATCAACAGGCTCTGTATCGTTAAGGAGTGACCAATTACAATGCCTTCCGCAAGGAACAACACCACGCTCCGGCATACTACGCCTGATGCGGGCGTTGAGCACATCCTACAGATCGTCCGCGAAGACGGAGGCGTCATCATAAAAGGCCTCCTCTCACGGGACCAAGTAAACACTTTCAACGAGGAGCTGGAGCCTGCCATGGATGAGACACGAATGGGATCAACACATACCGACAACGCCTTCATCGCGGGCTTCCACGGCGACCAGACGAAACGACTCACCAACCTCGTCACGCACAGCAAAACGTTCCGCGAGCATATCCTCGACATGGACTTGATCCATGAGCTGGCCATCAAAGTCTTCCAGGAGGAGTCTGGAACCTACTGGATGAGCACAGCGCAGGTCATTGAGATCGGTCCCGGAAACGCGAGCCAGATCTTGCATCGCGACCTGGAAAACAACCCACCATACGTCGCAATGGGTCCCACCGGGCCCGAAGCTATGATCAACTTCCTCATCGCACTGTCCGACTTCACGGAGGAGAACGGTGCGACTCGCGTGATCCCGCAGAGCAACCACTGGCCGGACTTCACAGACCGAGGGACCCAGGAGATGACGATTCCTGCCGAGATGGAAGCAGGCGACGTGCTCTTCATCAATGGTAAGGTGGTGCATGGAGGCGGTGCGAATAGGACTGAAAACCAGCGTCGCAGAGGCCTTGCCTTTACGTTTCAGCCCAGCTTCCTAACTCCCGAAGAGGCCTACCCATTCTTAGTTGAGCTGAAGCTGGTCAAACAGATGTCGGAGCGAGCGCAGAGCATGATTGGTTTCCGTTCACAGTTTCCGAAGGGATCGCCTGGCCTGTGGCAGTCCGACTACAGAGAAATCGCGGAACATCTAGGTCTGTAGCTTGATGAAGCTGCTGCGGCATATTTCCACATCAGATAGCGGATTCACGATCGCTTCATTCCATGCCAACGTCTTTTGTTATCATTTGCAATGGATCAATCATCCCGTCCGGTCCTAGAGTTCGTGATTAGAGATCGAGTGTCATCGCAATCAGCTCCGGCGGACCAGACCCGTTCAAGCTGTACGTTGCCGCCATCGCCAAGAGATCAAAAAGTCCAGATGCTGCTGCATCATCTTCTCGATGGCTATGGGAGCACCGCATCCGGGGGATAGCATGGATGCATTTCTGAGTCGAGTGGCCGATGTCAGTCCGTCGCAGGACGGTAACATAGACTCGTAACGGCCATGCTTGCTTGGAACCTTGGACGGCAACATCCATTGTCGCCAATCTTCGGTATTGGCGCGCGAAAGCTGGCGTGTATGCTGCAGCATCCATCGTATGCGTCGTCCCCGTGATAGGCAGGCAGATGTAAAGGTGGTGGTCAACTTGGTCATGGTGAGGAAAGATAGCGCTCAAGACTTCTATTGGATCAGATAAAGGATAAGGCATTGATCGCTTGAGAAGTAGAAAAGATGCGGTACGGCTGTGCTCGCTGACTCCTGCCACCGAGAAGCGCGCGGGAACAGGCGACCGCCGAGGCGTGTAAAGCTGGGGGCAATTAAAGTTTCGGAAATACCGCATTACCTAACTCTAATCACATACATAGTACTAAGAGCCACTTTACCTTATACTTTTTCCGTACAGACCCTTATTATCGGTAATATTATAACTACTACCTTATCTATTATAACTAGAGTACTATCTACTCTATAGTATTAATTTAAATAATATTAAGTATATAGCTTATTTATATATTAATAACTAAGAAAGAATTAGAAGAGATTCTCTAGATTAGAAAAGCCGTCTATAAGCTTAAACTATAAATATCTAGAAAGTAGTAGTATACTAACTATATATAATAGCTCTAAGTATAGACAAAATATACTTTCTTATATATAGATTCTAATAGAGACGTAGCTATGTCTATATATATATATATTGTAAGTAGCTTAGTTAAGTTGTAATAAAAGTATGTTATACTCAAGGCCTACAATTTAAGACTAGTACTCGCCGTACTACTCGGGCTAAGCCCCTGGCCCGGCTGAGAGCTAGCCGGCCGAATCCGAGAGCCGCTGCGCTACTACTACAATCTTAACACTACCTTACCAATGACACCACCAAAAGGCCACCGAGATTAAGACCAGAACAACCTCTATTACTGTTCCTAACTGTGCTAATCTCATAGCTACAGCTAGAGTTCCAGCGGTCGTAGGATGAGCTGCACCTACACCAACTGAAGGAGCACCCCTTGCGGCATCAAATGGACAGCACCTTATCATCGCGCGGGGATGCAGGTAGCGCAGATAGGCAGATTTACATGGTGTCTTCACAGGCCTGCCGAACGCGGCCTTATAGGGCCTAGCATGTACGACTGCGTCGTCAAGAGGCTTGATCTGACATGATACGACTGCTCCTACAATCTTCACATCCTCTCTAGCACTTCTCCTTCATACCACAATGACCACCTACGCAGACGAGAAGCATGGGCGCGAGGAGAAGCAGACAGTAGAACCGATGCTGGTGCAAGACATTGCCCTTGGCGAAGTCCGACACACACGAGTCAAGAAGTCGTTCAGCCTCTTGAGTACCTTGGGAGTCTCGTTTTCAATCACTTCTACACCAATCGCCATAGGAACCTATCTCTCCGTGAGCATTGGAGTGGGAGGTAGCCCGGTATACTTTTTCGGCTATATCCTTTCGGTCCTCATGGATCTATGCATATGTGCCTCTCTCGCCGAGATGGCAGCTGTCTACCCGCATTCATCTGGTTCGTCACGCTTGCGGACTCTGTGAGGTCTCGACCGCATACTAACGAGCGGTATAGGACAGACTCACTGGACTGCCGCATTGGCGCCACGCAAGTACGCACGAGGTCTTAGCTACGTCGTAGGCTGGTTGACCGCCGCCGCATACTTCTTCTGGACCTCCGCAACCTTCCTTATCACATCGCAGTTGATTTGGGCTTTCGTTCAGATCTGCAGCTCGACCTTCGTCGTGCAGGCCTGGCATTACTACATGGTGTACCTTGCCGTCGCTCTGGTCGGCCTACTCGTCAACATTCCCCTCTTCAAATGGTATCCATATCTACTCAAGGGACTGGTCTTCTACATCAACATTGGCGCACTATTCATCCTGATCGTATTGCTCGTCCGCTCGCATCCGAAGCAAAGTGCGGAGTACGTGTTTGTCGATATCGTCAACCTCACAGGCTGGTCTTTCAACGGCGTCGTGTTCTTCCTGGGCATGCTTCCGGGCCTGACCGCTGTGAATGGTTTCGACTGCGCTGCGCACATTGCGGAGGAGGTTCCGGAGCCGAAGCGTCAGATTCCATTGGTGATGATGCTGAGCGCTGTGACCAGTGCTTTGGGCGGCTTGACAATGATCCTGGTGTACATGTTCTGCGTCACCAATCCGGCGAACCTTGTCACGCCTGTAGGCGGACAACCCGTCGCCCAGCTAATGTTGGATTCTCTGGATTCGCTGACGCTGACGCTCATCGGGATGCTGGTCTTCATCATCACCTTCGCTTTCGCTTCCTCATCAATGCTGACGACATGGAGTCGTGTATGGTGGTGCCTCGCACGCGAAGGCGGTACGCCGTTATCTAACCTGCAAAGCCGTGTCAGTGACAGGTCGCAACTCCCAGTGAACGCGATCCTGTTCACCAGCTTGGCTTGCGCATTGATCGGTCTACTGGAGCTCGGTTCGGCCACCGCACTCAACGCTATCTTGGGCGGAGCAATCTTATGCATCTTCGCCTCGTACGGAATTCCCATTGCATGCTCGCTCCTGGATCAGCGCAGAGCTTTCACTGGCAATCACGACGTTGCATTAGGCTTTGCGCTCCCAATCCTCAACGCTATTTCAGTCGCCTGGATTGCTTTCGTTTTCGTCTGGCTATGTTTCCCTCTGTACATACCCGTGTCGCTGGCCACGATGAACTGGGCGGTCGTGGTCTTCTTTGGAATAGTGGCACTGAGCGGCGTCAACTGGCTCGCTCACTCTCACAAGCACTACACCGTGCCTGCCGCGATCGAAAGCGTTGAAGTGTAAGTTAGTCAGTGGATACTGCAATTCGAGCGAACGCATTCCTTCTACAGCCACTTTGAGACCGCGTCATGCCCACTCTGCCGCCATGTACTCAGACCTCGATGCATGCAACCCGAAAGAGTCCAACCAGTCTAGTCGTAAAGTGCACAGATTCTCGTCGGCTATTCCAGTGCTCTCGACGTCTCTAGCCCCAAGCAGTCGCGTTGTCCGTCATTCAACGAAATGCCTGTGGGTTCATTGGGTGTATGTGGCCCCTTTGACGGGTGGCTTTGCTACAGTCTGGGACCTTGTTCAGCCCGTACGATTGCCAAGACTGTGCAAAGCTGGCTGGCAATCAAGGAGACATTCACGCGTATCCAGACGGATATTTGAGGGCTCCAATACCCCAACATGACTGGGACTCGTCATCCAGAAGGATCCACAGGCGCATAAATACATAATGACTAGTCACTGGCTCTTTCACACGCCGGGCCATTGTCTGACTGTCTTGAACAACCAGCGGGTCCAGCAGGAACGCCTCCAAGGACGCATCGACACAAATGTTAACATGCACACTAGACTCGTCCTTTACATTTGCATTTTCCAGCCTGACGGAACATTACTCCTATTTCCAGCGTCAGCAGATGACCCAGCGAAGCAGTGGACCGTACCGACTGCCACCTACGACATCACTGCTGGTCAGAATCCTGATCCGATTTGCAACGTAGTTCTGAGGCACCTCCTGAGGCTCGATCTTGATCCCAAGACGTTCAGAGTCTCCAATTCATGGAGTTCAGCTTAAGGGAGCCCCAGAAGTGGTGCGCTGACTATACGCACTCGGTTCACATGCTTGTCATTCTGTCTGCTGGCGTCAAAAGTCCCCAGAGCCATCTCCACTTTGAAGATGTGGCATACACTATCCGATACGTCAACCAGCAAGAGGCGAGGCAAACACACTTTTTCGGCGACTACAACCCAGTGCCAGCCGGCTGCCGGTTCGACTTCCTCTACGCGAATGCTGCATTCCTCCAGGTCGGATTCGCCACCAAGAGTGCTGTCAGATCCCACATCATGTCGCGCAGCGCCGACGCTGCTCTCCCGTACATTTGCAGAAATGCTCTATTCGCGATCCTGGTAGTTAAGAACATCCGCCAACATCAGAATGCGTTGTACGGACTCATTGGACATCCGCTTGTAGACAGCAGCGGAGGCCATGGCCAGGTGTTACCCATCATGAACGTGAGCGGTCCGCAAACCCTGCAGAATGTGCCGGAGAGGATCACGGTCATGGGCCAGCCGCACAATGTGATCAGCAGATGGCAATCAAACGGAATAATCGAGGTCAAGAATCTCTTCGATTGGATGGATTTGATGAGTGAGAATGGACGTATCCGGGTCGTTTGGGACTGAGCTCTCATTTCGCCGTCTCTGAACAAGTGCATGCCTTCCGACGAGATGCAAAAGACTGTGGTACGAAGGGCTCCGCTGAGACAGACAGCGCTACGAGATAAGTCGGGGACGTCCTAGCATGGACCTTGAATCGGCCATACTAAAACTCTACGAGGAGAACAAACTCTCCCCTCTGTACCACTCCATTCTCCTGTTTCTGTGTCCTCTTTCTGGCCCCTCGCATCTCATCTGACCTTCCAACTCCTTTCCTCAAACATGCCTGCCTCTGCAAAGCGCTCCCGCCGCTGTCTTCCATTTATACTCGTATGGCCCAAACCCCTCGTCCTCAATAAATGTAATGCCAAATCCGATCTGATCTCGTCGAGTTCCCTCCTCATCGTCTCGATGTGTTCTACCGCTTCTTCGATCAGACTTCGCAATCGAGAATGTAGCTGTGCCGGTGGCAATTTACTGCATTCCTCCAATCGCCTCACCAGTCTCTCTAGTTGGTGCGGAAAGACTATCTGCGAAACCGTTACTGGTTCCTCAATCGAAGTTCCTAGCTTTATTCCCGCGTGGACGTTTTGGTTCAGGAGTTCATTCCGACGATCGAGTATCGCGTCCTGGAAATCGACAATGGATATCCGGGACTCTTCTGGAAGGTAGATGGATAATGCCGAAGAATCTTGTGCTCCTTCACAGCCGTTCATAATGCTCTCCGAGACAGACAGTATCGGCTCCTCTTCCAGCTCGCTCAAACTCTTCAGCGCCTCTGACATCGCGTCGCCACGTCCATCCGTGGTCACCTTCTCGAACACCTCCTTCCCCTGCTCCAGCTGATGGCTAGCGTCTTGAAGCCAACCTAGCTCCTCACAAACAGCCAGATACTGAACCCTCTCCTCAACGACTTCTCCCAAAACATCCGCACTCTCTGACGCCTGCAAAGAAGCATGCCTAGCATCTGGAACCAATTCCTGTCCAAACTGGAAAGCGGCTTGCAGAATTCCAAGTCCCAACTCCGACGTGAGGGAGTTGAGTCGGTTCTCAGTGCTCCCAGCGCTTATTGGAAGAGCCTTGATTGTGTTGATAGTCTTCTTTTTATTCGCTTCAATTTGTTCCGACACCGAGTTTCTGAATTCCTCGTAGATGGAGCAGCGTTTCTGAATGGAATAGTCGGTATGCGTGTATATCCCATCGTCAGCGGTGCGTGTGCATCGAGAGTCGTATTTGTTGTCAAGCTCCCCTATACCCAAAGGACCTGGCACATCCTCGCTTTCCTTTCTGAAGTGACCGTATATTGAACATCGCTTCTGGCCAGGAAAATGGAGATGACTGTACCCTCCGGTGTCGATCAGACTTGAGCGTCGAGATTCGTTCCTGCTATCGGTCTTAAGATTACAATCAATACTCATGAGATTCAGAGTTCCGTCGCTTTTTGTGTCGTTTTCGAAATGTCCATAGATCGAACACGTCTTCTGACCAGGATAGTAAGCGTGCATGCACACCCAATTCTCCGTGGCGCTTGGGCGGTGAGTCTCGTCTTCGATAGTTGCGATGGTGTTGTCCTGGATACTGTCCCTGCGGACATTGCCCTCACGGAAAAAGCCCCTCTTTCCAGAGTGCTGTCGAGTGGAAAGCGTGATGCCCATTTTTTCCCAGCTGTCTTGGTCAGTATCGCCCTGCAGACATTGAAGGAAGAGGAGAAGCAGCAGGACGTGAAGTGCTGGAACGATTACCACTAGAAGAGCTGCTCGTAAAGTCCCAGCCGGATGGAAACCTCCGACTGTCCCACAACGGGGAGCCTTGGAAAGAATGACAGAGGTAAGCATAATCATAAACTTCATCTATCTCATTCGGCAGACCTCTAAACAGAACGCCTCGCTCGAAAGACGCGATCAGATCAGAGCATCTTCCAGAACCCAATGGAAGCAAACATCAGCGTTCCAGCGCATGTGATCCAGACGAGCACCCAATCTCTACCCACCCCCGCTACACCAACGCGGTGTGCCGAAGACTTCTTCGTGCTCATAGAAGTAGCAGCATCCGTGTACGTACTACTAGCCACGGCGTATCCATCCAATGTCGCAGTCGTGGTTGGAACTTCCGTAGATACGTCATTCGGTAGATAGGTAGTGAATGGCGGCATTGAAACATTCATCTGCGCCGCGTTCGGATTCGTCGGGAGCACAGGCATTTGCGTCGCAGAGGTTGGATTTGGTAGACGATCCGTAGAATTCGGACTAAGGACTCCATCAATGATATGCAAAACGCCGTTGTAGAGGAGTATGTCCTGCGTGAGGACCCTCGCCTGATTAACGAAGAACGAATTCGGAAGGAATCGCATTGATAGAGTCTTATTGTTCATGGTGTGAAGAGTCGTGTCATTGGCAAAATCCGAACTGTAGAGTGGTCCATGGTCGCTGGTGAGAACGTGGTATTCTAGTAGTTCGGTCAAGTCCATAGAAGAAAGGGAATTGGAAACCACCTCCACAGCGATGTTGGCGGGAACGAAAACAGTAAGGTCGCGGGTCTCATTGAGATACTTTGCAAGGCGCGTATTGTTGGGGTTGGAGTAAACTGCTCCAAGAAAAGCGGTCATTGCGAATGGCGTATAGGCGAGTTGGAAGGTCTCGATCGTTGGGGCAATTCCAACCGGTGGAATAAGGAAGTTGTCGATGACTTGGATAAAGCTGGTCCGTTTGTAAGTATAGCTCACAGCAATAGTATAGATCGACTTACCCTCCTGCAAATGGTACATCTTGGAATGTCACAACTGATCTTGTGCCCGCTTGGGATGTGAACACCATCTCGTGTTCAAAAGTCGTGTTGGGATTGGGAGGTTGCAGCACCGCTCCAACTCTTTGACCGCCTGATACTGCAGAAAAATTGGTTCCGCTAGTCATGCTCGGTAGGAATTTGAAGGTCGTATTGAGCGTCTTGGATGTCCAGAGTCCGCTCAAAGCATGGTATGCGATAAGCTGCTGTAGAACTGCGGTGTCGTTATTCGCGAACGCCGCGGAAAGGGTTTCGCTATATTGCATCTGCTCAAAAGCATGATTGGAGGGGACTAGAAGTGTGATGGGCGTCGACTGTGCGTTGTACTGCTCGAAAGTCTCGAGGATGGCCGGGAACTGTTGACGCAGTAGATTGCTATACGAGCTCAGATTGTCATTCTTGCTCAGCACATCACTGAGAGAAGCGCCGCTTGTGGATTGAGCATTGCCGATACTGAACAAGGAAATGAAGGGCAGCACGACGGCTGTAAGATTTCGTGTATGCATCTTGAGCGACGGAGAGAAGAAGAGGTGCAAGAAACTGCTTCTCTCGCTCGAGGGCGCAGGAGCCTTGCCATACTTATTCAAAGACGACTAGTCATAATATCGACCGGGAAGCTTTTGAACAGCCTGCGGTACAGAAATGAACCAGATACAGTTCCTGAGCATGGCCGGGCGCATACGCAGCATGGCCTGAACGTGGACGGCCGGTCCGTCTCAAGTCGTGCTGCTGTGGCTTGGGCCGCTGCAAGTGACATTCTGCATTGGGCGTAGTCGGCTTTCAAACTTCTGTGGATCCTGGCATGCTAGCTCGAAAGAATACGGGCGGTGGCCCAGTCTGTCAGGAGCCTGGCAGCCTCTGGGTCCTAATCGCACGGCGCAAGGTGGCTTCGCATAGATACGAAATGTCTGTCCAGAGGGGAAGGCTGGTGATCAAGCCTCCAAACGCTGCTATGTCGTGTCGGACGGAGCTGTTCGCTTATCGGCAGTTGCCGAGGGCCAGCGCAAGTTAAGATCTGGGCGCGACAAGGAAAGCACGTGACTTACAGCCGTAGGGGACACCACCATCACCCGCGGTGCCTCGACATCGCAGTGGATGCTAGGTTGGTAGGCCAGCAAGGCAAGTGTATGTACAGCTGGAAGTACCCGAGCGCACTTTCAGAGAGACCTTGCACGTATCACTCAGGCCCGTTTGGCATCATCACCAGACATAGACTCAGCCCTATGTGCACGGAATCAACGAGAACATCGCCGTTCCATGTCCCCAAGCTTGGAGAAGCATTTCAGCCGTCGCAGGGCGCTTCGTGCAAGGCTATTTGGGCTTCTTGTTCGAATCTTCTCTTGGGAGAGTCCGCGAGCCAAGCCAAGAGATCCGAATGGTCAGTCGTGATCTCGTAGTCTCCCACAGTATTTCTTTCGCATGAAGAGCACCAATCAACTCAATCTCCTGGTTATCTCTCTCCTGCAGAAAATGGAGATGCGGCCGACCAGCATACAACCATCACGTGTCCGACGCCGAGGACAGGAGATAGGTGGACATCCCTTCCGAGACGTTTCGAGCAGGCGATCGCGACGCTTGCTGCGCTTTGCATCCGATGTGTCGATAGGCGAGACCAGGCGCTGCCGTGGTCGGGTGCTCTGAGAGGTACAGTATGGTGACGCTGCGTGTCAGCGCAATGACGTTTCGCTCTGATCCTTGCAGTCGGCGTAGAGCAGCGGCGTCGAGGCGCAGAGCATGCGGAGAAGTGATGATATTGTTGTCGTCGATGAAGTCGTTCGAGGTGGGATGGTTGTTGTGGTGGTGAGTGGAATGAGGAACGAGTGGACAAGGACAAGAGTTGAACGGCGGGAGATCGGGAAGGGAGCGAAGCTACGGCAGGGGTCCCCCGCACAGGCCTCCTCGCTGCAACTCCTCCTGCCTTGCATCGACACGACACCCCGTCCACTCTACACCACCACCACCACCTCCACCACCTCCACCACCCCCTTCTCCGCTTGCATCTTCCCTCTGTCCCCTCCGTCGCATTCATCTCCGCCGGCAACTCCACCATCGACCCGTTGCACGCCCTCGTCGGCGAGGCTGAGGCTCCCTCCACGCGCCAGCGCGCTCACCAACTTTTCCGAGGTCGCGCGCGTGGTGCCCGCCTGCGCCAGGATCTCGTGGATGATACGCAACAACAACGCCCCGCGCCCGTGATGCTGCGGCTGCCGCGCGTGTGAACGAGGCCAGTCGTCCTCCCGCCAGCGGCTACCGCGCTCACGACATGGCCACCGTGAATGGCGGCCACGCGAGTAACAGCTACATCTCGCCAGACTCGGATGGCATGCAGACCGAGAATGAGACCGAGAATGGTGATTTGCTGCATGGTGAGGGATCAGCCAGCTCACTTGGAAGCAGCGCCGCCTCTTCCGTCTTCACGCACAGCTCACACGCATTCACCAACAATAACAGAAAGACTTCCGCCGGCAACGGCCTCACTCCTCTCACCAACCACACAGAATCTTCGCCGCCCAAAGGCAACAGCCCACCACACTCGAAGAACACCACAGCTATGGCCTCCGTGGATGGCATCCTTGCCGCCTCGCACACGTCTGCCGCACATATGACCTCGCAACCTACCCAACAGCCTCCACCACGCCCACAAATGCTCCCGCCACCGGGCAAAGTGAAAGGGTACAGAGCGGTTTGGGATCCGGAATTGGACGGCAAGCTCAGCAAAGAAGAGCGCAAACGGGCCATACCAAAGAAAAGAGAATTTGGCACAGAGGTACGCCACACGTTTAATATTCTGCTGAGCTTGCGCAACATGATACACATAACTTGAAGTGATGATGATGAAAATGATGAGACCGCTCTGTACCCTTTCGCTGACACTTGGATAATGGCAGACATATGAACCGGATCCTCCACCAGATCCGCGATTGGCAATTCCTGGATACATGTCAGGTCAGTGTAGGTCGAGACACATGCCGAGCAAGGCCATCCTTCGTATCGCACCGTACACGGTTCCGCCATATAAGATCGACAGAAATTCAATTGGGCCGGGTGAAGCGCAAGCTGTGGTGGCAATAGGATTCGATCCTTTCTTGCCGGAACCCACGCTGAGACTCAATTTTGGAACTTTCGGCACTATTGCATCTGTTCAGAATAAGACCGATCCAGAGACGGGCAGCTTCCTCGGCATTGCCTTGATTAAGTATCGAGACGCTGTTAGGGATGGCCTCGAGGTCACGGCGGTCGAGGCCGCGAAGAGAGCAGAGGTCGAGTTCAACGGTCAGCGCATTGGTGTCCACACTGTGAGAGTTGAACTTGATCGGGAAGGGCGGCGGTGCAAGCGTTATGTGGATCAGGCGCTGAAGAAACTAAGGGACGAGCGAGTCAAGGATCAAATCGCTGCTGCACCGCCTGCTCCAGCAGAAATGAAGTCTGCAAAGGATTCCCCCGCTCCTCCGCCGAATGCACCAAAAGGTCCGTCCAGCAAATCAGCGCCAAAGCCGCCCATAGGTCCACGGGGTTCGGAGACTCCAATGCCCACGACCAAAACCGGAGCTGCAGCTCTTATCGAGGACGAGCCAATTCTCAGCAAGATCAAGCGCAAACCGTATATCCACATCCCTCACAAGTCTGTTCCTGTGCTGGGCACGACAATTCCTCACCTCAAGAAGCGACTAAAGGCCTACGACTGGCGTGAAGTTCGACTGGATCGGACAGGATACTATGTCGTCTTTGACGACTCAAAACGCGGGGAGGACGAGACTGAGCGGTGCTACAATGAGTGCAATAATCAGGCCTTGTTCACGTACAAGATGGGGATGGAGTGCCAGAAGTATGGCAACCCGAACTATGAGCGAAGCCCGAGTCCAGAGCGTGTTGTGCAGGAGAAGCGCAAGCGAGAAGAGATTGAACGGCTGCAACAAGAAGAAGCCGCAGACCTGGAGATCGAGAAGAAGAACCGAGCCGAGAACTTGGATCCCGTTCAGGGCGCTCTTGAACAGCTGCGCGCGGAATTGCTTGACAAAGTGATGGGAGACGTCAAGACCAGAGTAGCGATTCCCATCTTCCACGACAGCTTGGAGCCTGCGAAGCATGTCGCAAAGCGGAGGAAGCTCGGCCTTCCAGACCCCTCGGAGATGGAGAACAAAGCGCCTGCTTTGCTCTTCAACAAAGCAGGGGAAGCGTTACCCGATACTCACAAGTTTCGTCGTGGTCATCCTTTGCATTCGAAGCCTCTACGACCTCACGATCCAAACTCACAGCGTGGCAGGAAAGGAGAGAAGGGCCCCACGAATGCCTTCGTCGACGAGAGGAGGCGCAAGCCCGCGCCGCGGCCGTCGCATGCTCGAGGCCTGCACTTCCGGTTACAGCAGATGTATGCTGAAGAAGAGGAGGACTCTGACGATGAGCGCCATACATCTATTACGCGGGATACGGAGGATCAGGAAAGTCGGCCACTCAGCCGTGCGAGTCGCAACTCTACGCCATTCGAGTCGGAATCGGTCACAGATACGCCCAAGCACAAGCGGAGAAAGATTGCGGACTGGGACGAAGACGATGATGAGGTCTTCGACGCTTTCCACAAGGAGATGCTCGGTCACCTCTTGCATAAGGCGCCTGAGGACCTTGCAACTCGCGAGCTAGAACTCATCTGCCAGACACTTCCCCGGACTTCCAAGTTCGAGAACCGGGCGCGAACAGAGCTCATGCTTCGCCAACGATCGAAGGCCGACGATGATTTGTTCCAAATCGAGAGCGTGGCTAAGAAGGGTCACGTCCCGGAAGACTTCATTGTTTCCAGCAAGGAGGAGAGCACAACTGCCGACAACGAAGCGAAAGCTGCCAAAGAAAAGGCAAAGAAGAAACGTAAGACTAAAAAGGAGCTCCTGGCCGAGCAGGAGGCTCTCAAAGCAGAAGCGAAGAAGGCTAAAGCGACGAGCAAGCCAGTCGCCGAAGAAACCGTCAAGCAGATCGAGCAGAAGGAACTTGAGCTTGAAGCAGTGGAAGAAGAGTCCGACAGAGACGTGGATCTGCATCTTACCTACGACAAACCCCGTCGCACCGTCGAAGAAGACCGTGCGGTGGTTCTTGACATCGACGGCTGGCAACAGTTCGTTAAGGACGATGAAGATTTGGCATTTGCCAAGAGGGCCCTAGCCGAACTTCCCTCTTCGGATGTCGGAAATGCCAAGCTTTGGGCCTGGAAGCAGAAGGAGATCAAGGCGCTGAATAGTGATGGCACTGTAGGTCTTGCGCAACCCGAGCCTCTCATCTCTGGCTACTACGTGCCCAACGCGACTGGCTGTGCCCGTACAGAGGGTGTCAAAAAGATCTTGAACGAGGAGAAGTCTAAGTACCTTCCCCATCGTATCAAGGTCCAAAGGGCGCGAGAGGAACGCCAAGCGCAGGCCAAAGCGAATCCGACTGCTGCAGCTGAGGCTGCGAAGATTGCAGCTGCCGACAAGATTGCCAGTACGGCTACGTCTCGCAGCAATCGTGTCAACAACCGCCGTCTCGTCAACGACATCAACCTTCAGAAGCAGACGCTCGCTACCACAAACAGTGATGCCGATGTCGCGATCCGATTTAACCAACTCAAGAAGCGGAAAAAGCTCGTCAAGTTCGATCGTTCTGCCATCCACGGTTGGGGCCTGTATGCCGAAGAGAACATCGCCGTCAATGACCTGATCATTGAATACGTTGGTGAGAAGGTGCGTCAAAAGGTTGCCGACATGCGCGAGATCAAGTACGAGAAGCAAGGCGTCGGTTCCTCGTATCTGTTCCGGATGATGGACGACGAGATCGTCGATGCGACCAAGAAGGGCGGCATTGCACGTTTCATCAACCACTCCTGCAATCCGAACTGCACGGCCAAGATCATCAAGGTCGAGGGCACGCCGAGAATCGTCATTTATGCCATGAAGGACATCATGAAGAGTGAGTACCCACCGAACAACGATGACGGCAATGGAAAAAAGATGCTGACCGCTTTGACACAGACGAAGAACTTACGTACGACTACAAGTTTGAACGCGAAATCGGCTCCACGGACCGGATTCCTTGTCTGTGCGGTTCTGCGAACTGCAAGGGCTTTTTGAACTAGACCCAGAGGGGAGAACGAGATACCCTCATAGCAATTTCGACTTTTTTACTTTTTGACACAGACGGGATGGGCGGGAGGCTTGCTTTTGCTTGCATTTGCATGGCGCTGGAGGGGAGGCTTCTTCCAAAAAGTTGATGGGACACCCGGGGGTGTTCTATCCGAGACCACGAAGCATTTTGCCGAGAAAGGAGGCGCTCGTGCTGTGCTCCGGTCTTGCTCTCTTGTGAATATTGAAATGATGAGGATGGGAAGGGAATGCCACGAGTGGGACTAAGAGCAGAGAGCTCGAACTCGCGCCACCGTGTCAGTAGTTGAAACCAACCAGAGAGGAGATGTTTGCCAAACGTACTTTTGAATTCTTCGTTCGGATTTTTCCATACCTATGTGGAGTGAGTGAGTACTTTTTTAATTCAGCCTGCTAGCAGCTTTTCCCGTCCCTCGTCGCTGCTGCTTTCTTTATCCAAGATTTTAATCGCGCGTCCGGAAACTATTGTGTGAAAATCAAAAGCCGCCGTAAGTACAGATCAAAGAAGCAAGTAGTACCATTCATCAGTGAAACGCCTCGCTGGGTTTTATGCAGGATCAAAATCAGTGTTAAAAACAGCAACAATAGCAGAGGATCCTGCTGTCCGATGCTCCCACGAGCAAACGCCTTCGCTTTATCGGTTACCAAATCAATCGCCTCTCCCTCTGCGTCGGGAGCACCGCTTACTATGCAGCCTCGTCGGCGGGATAGAGATGGTGCGCGAGGATTTTATTCATCGTGAACATGTGCACCTTGTCGCTCTTGAAGACTGCGCGCAAGGGTTCGTCGCAGATGATGTTGCGCTTGTCGGATTTCTCTTGCAAGTCGCGCTCTTTGACGTATTCCCAGATCTTCTTGACGGTTTGCGGTCGGGAGAGTTGGGTCTCGCCCAGGAGGGCTGCGAGGGGTTCGGAGAGGTTCATTGGTTTCTGTGTGAGACATATTAGTGACGAGGCATATGGGTAGGATGAGGTGCCTGTTATTATTCACGTGAAAGCCGCCCTTCTTCTCCTTCTCCGGTTTCTCGCCATCCTCGCCCTCTAGCTCGCTGTCGTCGTCCGCACGTATTTTGGCAGGAGTCTTCTTCTTGCTCTTCTTTTGCGTCTTGCTGACGGTTTTACGCTTGGCGCCCCCACCGCGCGTGGAGCGCATCGGGCCATTGAGCTCTGCCTGTATCCGTGCTGCCAGCTGCTCGTCCGATTCGACCTCGGTAGACTTGGAGACCTTCTTTTTCTTCTTAGGAGCAGGCGAGGAGTCGTCGACTTCACTCAGTTCGTCCTCTTCGGTCTCGGAGGCTTTACGCTTGTTGGTAGACGCTGGTGGAGAAGCTTCGTCGTCGTCGTCTTCTTGCTCTGGAGAGTCTTCGGGTTTGACGGTGCCGTTTGTGGTGGGTGCCGGCTCTGTGACGCCGGAGTCGCGGGTGCCACGACTTGCTTGGGCTTTGTCGAATCGTTCCATGATCAAGCCGGTGATGGCTTTCTGTTGGCCCAGTGTCAGTCATGATTGTATCGGAGCGATGCTAGAATACGCGCGTACCTTCTGAGGCGCAATGTCATAGTCGACCTTCTCCTGCAACTGCTTGCGAATGGCCTTGGCAGAGATGGTGTTGAGGTCCGCAGCGGCAAGGATCTCGTCGATGAGGGCGCTGTAGGAGGCATGTTGCGCTGGCGGAACTGGAAAAGTTTGACGATCAGCTCTGTGTTGCGTCGGTGCGCGAGCTCGTTGTGTAACTTACGGTCTGCCATTGCGTCGGTGATTGTGGTTGAAGGTGTGTAAGTTGATGTCTCGGGTAGCGATGAGCAGCGTGGTCGGAGATGGTCGAAGCAATGCGTTGTATGTGGCAGGGCTTTAAGTTGCTTGGAGCAGCTTCGTCCGTGGACTGCCTGGTGGACGCACGTGAAGGGGCGAATGGCCAGAGTGAAGTGAATGGTGACAGCAGCAAAGGCGTGGGTGCGGGCGTGCTTGGTGAGGTCGTGAGTGGCTGGGATCCGTCTTCAACTACCTTACGGCGCCGAACCTTCCGGAGGCACTACCGTCGCCGTCGAAACGGACACTGCCGTCTCCCACCGTCGATCGAGCGGATTGCCAAGAATGATGTGTTGTTGGACCTTGTCCCAATGTGAAAGATGGACTGCCCAAATGAGGCGTGATGCCGGTACCTTAGAGAGGGAGTACATGTAGTGGAAAGTGGAAAGTGGAAAGTGGAAAGTGGAAGCGTGAATCCCCGCCAGCTAAGGTAGCGAACATCATCGGAACGGGCGAGGCGTGGGCCGTCGCGAGCCGCGTGACAGGTTCCTGGCCCTGAAGAACTCCGGTCCCGACTCTTTCTCCGTCACACCACCGACATGTGACATCCTTCGTCCAAGAGCATATGTACTCTCCTCTCTCTGCATAACGATGCCTAGCGCCGCCATACCCTGTACTTCCGGACGTTCTATCCGGCCCACAAATCTAGCCGGTTCCTGAAGGGCTGAAACAGACCATTCCCAAGTGCCCGGGTCGCCCAGCAGTGCTACGAGAAAGCACCATCATGGACGGACCCGTGGACGCAGCCTTCACCAAGGCTCTGCCCAAGGCCGAGCTACACGCCCATCTCACCGGTAGCATCAGCCCCCAATGCCTCCACAACATCTGGAAACAAAACCGCGAAAGCGCCGGTGACCTGGAGGACCCGCTGGTAGCTTGTCGACCGGAAGGTCAATACCACGACATTTTCACTTTCTTCAAGGTCTTTGACACGTACATCTATGGTCTCGTGAACGATCGGGAGGCTGTAGCGTTTGCTACTAGGCAGGTGCTTCAAGACTTCGCAGAAGACGGTGTGTGCTACCTGGAGCTTCGCACCACTCCTCGTGAGTCATTGGTCAGTGGGTTGACCAAGGAGACATACGTCGAGACCGTGCTGGACGTAATCGCCGAGAACAACTCCAAAGGTCAGATGTCAACCTACTTGATTCTCTCCATCGATCGCAGAAACAATGTCCAGCAGGCAATGCAGGTTGCCGATCTCGCCCTGAAGTATCGGTCTCGTGGCGTTGTCGGAATTGATCTCTGCGGCAATCCGCTAAAGGGCGACGTGGGCATCTTCAGAGAAGCTTTCGATCTCGCCAGAAGTCACGATCTGAAGATTACCCTCCATTTCGCTGAAATGCCCGAGTCAAGCAGCCATGTAGAGCTGATGACTCTGCTCTCGTACCGGCCCGACCGAATCGGACATGTGATTAACGTCCCGTCCGACATCGAAGCAGAGATTGAGCGGCGTAACATTGGCCTCGAACTCTGTCTTTCTTGCAATGTTCATGCCAAGATGATCTCAGGCGGCTTCGCTAACCATCACTTTGGCAAGTGGTATCACACCCGATGTCCCCTTGCACTCTGCACCGATGATGTAGGGATTTTTGGAAGCTCGATATCGAACGAGTACTTGCTCGCTGCACAACACTTCAATTTGGCAAAGCAAGACTTGATCGAGTTGTCTCGAAGAGCGATCACGTCGACATTCGGCCCCGCTGAGGCAAGGACCAGATTCCTTCAGCTGCTAGACGACGCATCTTGCATATAGTCTCCTCTCTCTTAACTAGCTGTTTGACACATTAAGCGCTGAGAACGTAGTTATTGTTGACTCAACGATGTTCCAATTGGGCCACATCTGATCTGGGCTGATGATACCGACCAATCCCTTCAATTCGAACGCTTAAGTTGTCATCTGACTCACATCGCTGTTTAGTGTGCTCACATCAGAGAGCTGCGCCGCCGCTGGGTAAGATCACGTGAGAGTCGGGGCTTGGCAAAGTGGGGCCCGAACCTGCGAATTTATGGTGGACTAGGTATCGACGCGACAGCCTCTTTCTCTCACCCACACACACACAGCAAAGATGGCACCTTCATTCGAGCAGCTCGACCCGGAAACGGAATACGAAGATGACGAGGAGATCGACTACAGCGACCTCCGCGAACAATATGAAACACACATGGAAGAAGGCCTTGACACGTTCATCGTGATTGATGGCCTGCCCAAAGTACCCGCCGCCAGCAAGGACAAACTCGTCAAGTTCTTGCTGCGCAGCCTGACCAAGGTCGGCAAGACCAAGGAAGAGAATGTGTACATGCCGATGGGCGAGGATGGCAACACTGAGGGTTTCGCCTTCGTCGAGTACGAGACTCCTGCGCAGGCGGCCGCTGCGACCAAGGCGCTGCACATGACGCCGCTGGACAAGAAGCACACCATGGCCGTCAACAAGCTCACCGACATTGAGCGATACGGAAGAGAGGGTAGGATAGATGAGACATACAAGGCACCGGAGATCCCGGCATTTGAGGAGAAGGAGCATTTGCGATGGTGGCTCGGCGATGCGGAGGGCAGAGACCAGTTTGTCATGTACCGCGGCGAACAGGTCGGTGTCTTTTGGAACGAGAAGGACAATTCGCCAGAGAACGTGGTGGATAGACAACACTGGACCGAGTCTTTCGTGCAGTGGTCTCCAAAGGGCACGTACCTCACTTCGATGCACTCTCAAGGTGTACAGCTCTGGGGCGGCCCAAACTGGTCGAGACAGAAGCGATTCATGCACCCTGGTGTCAATCTTGTCGACTTTTCTCCGGATGAGCGCTATGTGGTTACCTGGTCTCATCGTCCGATGACGGTCGAGGAAAACAACCCGGTGCTCTCGCTGGAGGAGGACGGCAAGAACTACATCGTCTGGGAACTTGCCACTGCGAAGCCTCTTCGATCTTTCGTCACTCTCGATGCGCCAGGCCCAAGCACAGACCAAGAAGGCAACCCAGTCAAGAAGAAGATCCAGTGGCCGGCTTTCAAGTGGTCTGCCGACGCGAAGTACGTGGCTCGTATGACCCAAGGCCAAAGCATCAGCGTGTACGAGCTTCCCAGCATGAAGCTCATGGACAAGCAGAGCGTCAAGATTGAGGGTATCATGGACTTCGAGTGGTGCCCTGCTAACCCGCAGCGTGAGGGTGTCAGGGACTACGAGCAGCTTTTCTGCTACTGGACTCCCGAGATGGGCTCAAATCCCGCCAAGGTCGGTCTGATGACCATTCCATCCAAGGAGATCGTCCGGACACGAAATCTGTTCAACGTCAGCGATGCCAAGCTGCACTGGCAGTCCGATTCCGCCTTCGTCTGCGTGAAGGTGGACCGCCACAGCAAGTCCAAGAAATCCCTCGCTACCAACCTCGAGATCTTCCGTGTCAGAGAGAAGGGCGTGCCAGTTGAAGTCGTTGACAGCTTGAAGGACACTGTTATCAACTTCGCATGGGAGCCTAAGGGTGACCGTTTCGTTCTTATCACCGCCGGTGAAGTTCCAGCTGGCTCAGCCGTCCCGCCCAAGACTTCCGTCTCTTTCTTCTGCCCAGAGAAGGCCAAAGGCAATGCTGTTGGCAACTTCAAGCTTATCCGTACCATCGAAAAGAAGAACAACAATGCCATCCACTGGTCGCCAAACGGTCGATTCGTCGTTGTTGCTACCGTCCTCAACCAGCAGAGCTTCGATCTGGACTTCTGGGACTTCGACTTCGAGGGCGAGAGGGAGGAGAAGGATAAGGACCTCACGGCCAATCTGCAGCTCATGAACACGGCTGATCACTACGGCGTCACTGACATTGAGTGGGATCCTTCCGGGCGATACGTCGCTACCAGTGCTAGTGTGTGGAAGCACAGAGTAAGTTGGATTGTTCAGAAACACATTCTCGAAGTTATGCTAACGAAAGCCATAGATGGAAAACGGCTACCACATCTACACTTTCTCCGGTCAGCCTCTGCGCGAGGAGCCCATTGAGCAGTTCAAGCAGTTCACCTGGCGTCCTCGCCCCGAGCGTCTGCTGAGCAAGGAGGAGATGAAGAACGTCCGCAAGAACTTGCGCGAGTACTCCCGCCAATTCGAAGAGGCAGACAACGCCAAGCGCAGCTCTGCCGACAAGGCTGTCATCGAGAAGCGCCGTAGATTGCTCGATGAGTGGCTGGCCTGGCGTGAGCGTACCGAGGAAGCCCTCCTCGACGAGCGCCACGACCTGGGCCTGCCCGACCTGTCAGACGAGAGACGTGCGCTTATCATCGAGGCTGGGGAGGGTGATGAGAGCAAGGTTGTCGAGGAGATCTTCGAGGAGATTCTCGAGGAGACGGAGGAAGTGATGGAATAGACTTGCTGCGCGAGCCGTCTCAGACGAGTAGAATGATTGAGCGAGCGCACACGAAGCTGTCCAAGATACTCTTCCTTGCTCATGCCAACAATGCAAACGATAGACGTGTTGCAAAGACACTGAAAGTTCCACTTCGTTTCGACGACTACAACTCCCCCTCTGCCCTCCTGCCTGTGATTGTTGCGGCTGCGGGATAGTGCAAGGCATTCAAGACAAGTGTGCAACTCTTGCTTGGCTGTCTGTACTCTAATCAAACTCCTGACTAAATCACTATGCTAAGGACAAGCGAAGCAAAATTTTGCGTGTTGGGGTATCATGCGCGGAACTCGTAAACGGGACATTCAAAAACCGTCATTCACCCATCGTCATTCATGCATGCATGCATGCATGCTTCTGCCAAAACCAATCTCTCCTCCAACACCAATTGAATCGACTGACCTATACATCCTCCTCTCTCCCCTCCCCACCATGTTCTTCTTCGACGACTTCCGGACTGGCATTTCGATTCCTCGCAATGCCATCCGTATCCTTGCTCCCCGCAATCCATACCTTGCCCAGCGGCGCAACAAGACTAGGATTGATGAACCTCATCTGTTCCCCGACCTCCCTCCTCACCCTCCTGACGACTTCGGAATTGTTGCCCCACACGTTCCGTTCCGGGGCCAAGTTCGTGCTACTCAGACTCGGCGCATAGCTCTCCTCCGGATTTGGATCATCCCTGTAGCCGTCTTGTTCACTCTGATGCTCTCCTCTGCGTACGCTCGAGAGCGCGATGAATTTCATCAGAGGTTTGTAAGTTTTTCCGTAGACGATGGAGATCCAGAAGGTGGCGATGGTAAGCGGGACGACCAGGGCTGCGCGGGCAAAGGCTTTCTGGAGGATGAGTTGGCCTGCGGTGGTGAGTTGGAAGAAGATGAGGCCGACGAAGATGCGGTCGCAGATCATGCCCCAGGCTCGGCCGGAGGTCTGCTGACGGTGGTCCATGGCGTAGAGCAGCTGGTACTTGTAGCAGAAGTGGCCTAGAGAAAAGACGTGAGTTAGAATGGATACAACGGAACGGTGCGGTTTGAAGCTTACCAAGAGCAAAGTACAGGAAGCCGGCAAGAAGCACTTGCCAAGAATTCCGAATCACACTGTAGACCATGCATATGATGAATATGAGAAGGGCGTTTGGTAGGTAGAAGCCGTAGCAGAACGTTGGTGGCTGTACAAGTTCGGCGTAGTCGCGAGGCGTCTTGGCTCCGAGAAGCATGATGGGGTAAAGCGAAACGCTGCCAACCTCCAGCAAGCGCAGTGGGAACAGGCCGACACCCTGTAGGATTACAAGATTGGTGTAGAACGGAAGCTGCGTCTGCAGTGAGAGCGCAACAGCCCGAGCCACGTTCTGAATATCTCGGATCGCTTCGCCAAACTTGTCGAAGATCTCGAGGAAGTTCGACGCCGTTCCGAGGACGGTAAAGATGATAAAGAAGTTGAAGAATACGAAGAAGAAATTCTTCGAGATGGCCGACAGTTCGATGTCGCCCTGCGAGATCATTCCTTGGAACCATGAAAGGTAGTAGTAAAGATATGGAACCAAGACAACCAGAAGCGATGAGATCAGGGTTGGCAACTGGGTGTTGATGAGTGCTCTGATGTTTGCATGGTTCTTGAGGATATTAGCCAGTCCTGGAAACACCTTTGCAATGGTCGTGACGTTCAAGAGACCGGCGATGGGGACGAGGATAGCAGACCAGAAAACTGTGAGAAGGATGATCAGTGCGGTGATCATCCAGGCGCGGACCATACGATTTCGTCGTGTCAGGTAAGTGTTTGGCCAGATGACATCCGCCGGTTCCGGACTTTGGTTCGCGATCAATTGCAAAGGAGACGGATCCAGTACTGCTTGCATCGCCATCTGACACGCCGCGACCGAGTCTAATGTTACAAATGCTAATGGCATCGGAGGATATTCCTTTGCGCGCAGCTGCTTGAGTTGTTCGTCCGCTTTTCTCAGTTTCTCCTCATAGTAATCAATGGCATCCACCCTTTGTCTTTTGAAGCCTAAGAATCCATGGCCAATGGTCGCTTGTGGTCTCGCCTTGGCGTAAGGTCGAACGTGATCTCCATTTGCTCCGATCAGTGTTGCCGTTTCGTCCCCTTCATTAACTGCTTCCACATGAGGCGCCGGAGGCGGAGGCTGGGAGATGGGTAATGTCTCGTGGTTTCGCTCCACCCTGCGATATCCGTGATAAATTGTGTATGCCTCCTCCAGTCGCCGCAGTATATCCATTCGAGCCTTCATCGCCTTGTCCAGCTCCTTCCAATTCCGGCAAAGCACGACATTCTCAACTTTGCCAATGTCCAAGTCCTCAATGAATTCCTTGATCTTGTCCTCATCTTGCAGATGTTTTGGAATACCCGAAAGCCTGATGGTCCGATCGGTAACCGTTGTTTGTGCCCCCAAATACTCTTGTCGCACCTCAATCACTCTTCTCGTCGTTGAGATGATGAGGTAGACGGCAATGGCAGAGAAGAGATATGCGAAGACCACATACATCCACAGGTAATCGGTCTCCAAGTTGCCTGGCCACAGAGGTACATATGGAGAAGTGTCGTTTCGCGATCCATTGTTCGCCGCATACATTAGACTAATCGAGCGCTTGAGGCCCGTCCGTACCAGTGCTGCCTTCGCATCCGTCTCGTTATGCCCACCGTCATCGTCGTCGTCATCGTTATCCGGGTAGGCATCATGCACCGGCTTGATCACAATCAACGAGAAGAACAATGTCATGATCAGGAACTTCATGGCCATTTTGAAGAAGGCCAGGAAGACATATGCATCGAGACCCGCCGACGCAAGCAGCTGCTGGTCGTTGATCCTCCACAGTGGCATTATCCATCCAAACAAGGTGTCTGGCAGCTCTGGTAACACAGTTGCCTCACATTTCTGCTTCTTCCTCGCCGCATACAGGCCGGGCCAGCGTGGTCTGAGTATGCAGAAGGCGAGGAATGCGCCGACACCGAGGGCGAGGGACAGCAGGATCTGGATAGTCGTTGCGCGCGGGTTGGAAGCGCCGGAGATGACGCTGTAGTCGGGTTGGTGGTCATCGTCGCCGTCGTCTCCCTTGAGGAATAGGTCGAGGAGGTCTGTGGGCATGGCGGCGACGGATACATCGATGCTCGATTAGATAATAAGGTGAAGCCAGGGCAACGCGACGAGGATCCATTCACTGGCGGGTCGGGGGGCGTGCCGGCCCGAGTCCGAGCCATGTGACACTAGGTCATCAATCAATATCAATGAAATATTGAAGGACGCTTTCTTCGAGACCAACCTTCACTCGACGTCACTTCTTCCCTGGAGTTCTCTTCAATGAGTCTAACGACCTGCGGAACACTGCCCTTTGCGCTTTGCTTTCAGCGACATTCCACCAGTATTATCCTGATATTCGATCTCACCATACTCTCGACTCTTACGGAGCAGCGGCCTCACAGCGACGTGCTTATCGCCATGCTTGCATTCTGTATTGGCAGCCTTGCTAGCCGCCTCTTATCATGACAAGTAAAACCTTCATCAGTCCTGATTGTAGCTACCTGGAATCGAGATCCCGGTAAATGCTTCAGCCGGACCGTAAAGCATGTCTGCAAACCATGGCTATTGGCAGGGATTGATCTGCGACTCCATTTGCTTTCCCTCCTGGTGCGCGTGTGCATAACACTTCGACGCGCTCTTTGAAAATGATACGCTTTGAAGATGCCATCCTCACTGCTCTCATGTCTGCGACGTCGAAAAGGAACAGGAACTAACCAGCCATTCCAGATCCAGCTCGACGTGTACAGTACTCTGGAAATGAGGATCAGTCAGGTTCATGGAAAACAAACATCAAAAGTATCCAAGAAGCACGTCGTCACCATATAAGACAAGTGGAAGCAGACGAGCTCGAACGCACACTAGATCTCTAAAGGTATAGCTTTCTCGTCATCTTCAGATCATTTCATTCCTTTCATGTATTCTGCCATCTACTTCGTAAGTCAAAAAGAGTCGTCTCCCGTACGTTCTTCTACTGTGGTTTCAACGGCACCCAGTCTTTCAATTCTTTCTCGCCTTCGTCGTCCATCAAGCCCGTCTGACGCCGCGGTGGCAGCGGAGGACCTGGGTCAGCGCTACTCGAAGCCACCGGCTTCCTAGGCGGCGGTGGCTGCGGCGGCGGACTGTTCAGTGTCCGGTCAACAGAGCCATTGGCTCTCGGTGGAGGAGGCGGCAGGACACTTTTCGCAGTATTCCAAGCCGGAGTACCTGTCCGTCTTGGCTCTGGCGGTGGAGGGGCTGCAACGGGCTTGATCGAAGCAGTTGCTTGTTCAGACTGCTGGCTTTCAGATCTGAGGAGATTCGGCTTGTTCGGTTTCGGTGGCGCGGGCTTCCGGAGTGTCTGCTTAAGATGCACTCGTTCATCCGCTACCCCGTCGACATTGGCCGGTCTATGAGGTTGTGTTGGCGCATCAGTAAGTTTGGAGGGTGGCGCGAGCTTCCTAGGCACCACGCCACGCTGCGACTGTACTGGTACATTGCTGTAGAGCGATGCCGACTGAGATGGAGGCGTGTTAGGCTTCTCAACCTTGACCCAGTCTGGCTCGTTGCTCGGCGTGTAGGGATTGGCAGGTCGTGCTGGGTTCGGCACATGACCAGCACTCGGAGGCAGGACTGTTGATCGCGCTGGCATGCCGTTGTCTAGCCACCACTTTCTCTTGTCCGAGCTTGCAGGTGGAAGCCCAGGCTCGATCGAGTCGTACCCATAGAGTGACTCATCGTCGCTCTCAGCCCCTTGCGAAGCAGTATGATTTCCAACGACTGTCTTACGCTTAGTATAAAGCTCATTGCTAATGGTGTCCTTCTTGACCTGATCGACAACACTGATGGTACAAGTGAACAGCCCCCACACAGGTCGATGGTCCGAGAAGCGCAAAGGTGCAGAGTCGTAGTAAAGCGGCCGTAAGTTGTCGCCTCGTGTGAGAATACGATCGCACCAGGCTGGGATGCGAGCTTTGTCCGAGGTATCGTACTCGTCTGAACCGAGATTGAACTTATAAGTTGGCAAGAAAGTGGGTGTTTGCTCCGAGTAATGAGGGAAGCATTTTCCATGCACCATCTGCAGGTTCAGTTGATCATTCTCGTACAGCTGACCTAAATCCCGCTTCTTGATTAGCTGCCTCGCTCGTTCGTTTTCCATTCCAATTCGATAGTTGAAGTCGCCAAACCAAATGATGGTCTTATGATCTTCGATTGCACGGTTTCTTTGGAAGCGTAGGCCAGTTGAGATTGTGCGATAGTCCTGGTTTCGCTCTTCGTAGTTTGCGAATCCGGCCGCCAGATGTGCCGTGACCAAGCATATCGAGGTGTCTGCAAAGTCCATCCGAATCGCAACCGCACCTTTGTTTCCCGCCATACCGCTCAGACCAGTCTTCTTGACAGCGCCTTCAACGTTTTTGATCAGTGGAAGAACACTCGCGCGAACGTAGACTGATAGTGAGGCCCCAACCAGCTGACCGCCTCTCAGCAAAACGTAGTCCTCTCCACGGTACCTCTGCGAGTTCGCGTTGAGTGTTTTGCGCACAGCCTCTTCCCAAACCTGCCGGCGGTGCGGATCAGTGGACATGATCTGTTGCACATCGAGCTCCACTATCTCTTGGAACGCAACGGCAACAATCTCTGGACACCTGCACTTCTCCTCGACGTTAGGGCACAGCCAGATGCTAAGATCCGAATCGATTCCGCGAGTCTTCCCGTTCAGATTGAATGTACCGACCCAGATGTTGATATTCTCGGATGTGGTGAATTCTGGAGACCTCTTGGCGACCTCAGACGTGACCCAATCATTTATCGGGTCGTACAAATGAACCGGTGTCTGTCCTATCAGCCGACCAAGCAGCATATCCATCGTCTCTTGTCGGCCCTTGTCCTCCACGTTGTTGATGTAAAACCGCTGTGCAGATTTTCGAAGGTCTGCCAGAGTACCAGCCAGGGACATCTTACCAGACCTCGTGAAAGAAGACTTCAGCGCTCCGGTGCCAGCATAAATCTTCGACAACTGATCCCCGTTGTCCGCCCAAAGCGTGCCATGTCTGGCCCAAAAGTCAGATGTTGGGTTACGCTCGCCTTCCTGTTTCAGGAAGATTTCGAAAGCCATCCGCGAAATGATGGTCTGCACCAGATTGGTTCTGTCAAGGCAATCCAAGCAATTGGTACGAAAAACGCCAGCTTGCTTCAAGATGTCGTTTCGCCCAATAACTGTGGCCTGACGGCCATCTTGGTGGATGATTTCTTGCTTGTCCTCTGCAAGAAAATACTCGAATGCCAATGCGGAATTCTCAATCGAGTGTCTGATTCCACTTGCAGCAACGTAGCCATTCGGCCCTCTAGTCTCCGCATGGAAGTCGTAGTTGACTGCGGTCACGTGTTTGTGCTCTGATTCTCCGCCCTTCTCGACACCCGAATTGAGTGTACTCTGTCTGATGTGAAGTAGGTATTGCCGAGTCAACTGCGTTTCCTGGGTCTTCTCGTCACTCAGCAAATTGACTGCCACAACATCTCCATAGTTCTCCACCAGTCTTTGAAAGTGCTTATCAAAGGCATGCTGTGTCGCCTCCACAGATCTGGTCACCTGTATTTTCTGTTGACCTGGGAGTCCCGATGCCTGTTCCCAAAATATCGGGACACTGCCACGGCATTGGACGTAGGAGAAGATCATGGCATCTGTCGCGAAGATCGTTTCTGTCTCGACGAAATTCGCAACATTGCCATCATCATCGATACCTCGAGCATTGAACCGAGTTCCAGCTCGGCGGCACGAGAGACGCGAAATCAAGGTCATGCTCGATGGCATCCCTGTCGCCTTCACTCGCAAAGGAGAGGAAGATGCGGGGACTGTGACTGTACTTGCAAAGCCACGGATTGCTGATGTCAGGATGCCAGATTGATCAAGCGCCTGCCTCTCTCGCGATGACAGTCTTGAGCGGAAATCCACCAAGGGCTGAATCATATATGTGTTCCACAGGAACCCGCCGTCCAAGCTGTCGATTGCAACGGTGCTGGCCTCCGTCGGTCTATCCTGCAACCTTTTGGTGAGATCGAAGTCGGCACTGTGGTAGAAGCTGCCGCCACTGAGTAGTTTCCTCAGGGCCATGCAAGGATGCTCATTGAGCGGCTCCCGGTGACCTCCGTGGTCGTAGCCATCCGCATCGAGGTCATCTGTTGGAAACGGATTGACCTGATCATTCAGCAGATGATCATAGGTGGAAGAATTGAGACAGTGAAACTCGACCGAATGGATTCTTTGGATCGTCTCACCAGGCCGGATCGTCGCGACCTTCCTGCTGCCATTCACGACGCAGAGAAATACGTCGCCGTTCAGAGTGACAAGACCCAGTGTTCCGTGTACGGGCTGAGACGCAGACAGCGCTCGGTAGCCTTGCATGTCTTGGCTTTCCCATGGTGAGAATTCGACGATGCATCGTGGAACGCCGCCCTCGTTGACCGACGAGACGGAGCCTTGGCGAGGGTTGATAGCCGACGGACTATGTCGGAAGATGAGAACATGAGTATCTGTGGCCAGGGCGATGGCGCGCTGAGGAGAGTCCCTCAGAAACACGCGGATGGGCATGACGACGGCGCATGCTTGTTCCCGACGAGATAGATTGATTTATTGTCGCATGACTCGATGTTCGTAGCCGCAAGATGAACGCAAGATGAAGACGAGCGCGGATTGTTCGATTTCCCAGTTCAATCTGTCGGTGTCGAAGAGTGGAAGAGTGGAAGAGTGGAACAGGAAGAGAAGACAAGTTTCTCGGCTACGCCTGCCGTGGTGGCAATATGGGGCTCACGTCACGTGACGTCCGCGTCCAGTTAAGCCATCGCCACATCTCGATATGTTGCACACGTAATTTACCTCTTCCGACAAGATGAAATTTTCTTCAAAACAGATACAATCTTCTACAACCGGCCGGTGAATGAAAGAATCCATGTCACATGTGGACATCCACGCACCCGGTTGTGTACCTGCCGAGTGGAGCAGATGCACGCCGTTGAATTGGCCTATCTCTTCGCTTCTCGAGTCATCATCTTAAGCAAACTTCATTGTATTCCTCCTTCGATCGCTCTTCACATGTCGAGCACACATGGCTTTACAGGATCTGATCGAGCGGCTGCCGCTCCACGCATCACCGGCTCTCACACCGCTCTCAGCATTGCTTCTCCTCTTTGCCACCTACATCATCTACAGATCTTTCCTCGATCCACTCTCCAACATCCCAGGGCCTCTCATATGCAAGCTCACATATCTCTGGGACTGGTATCACTCCTATCTTGGCGATGAGTCGAAACAGATTGACGTCCTCCACGCCAAGTACGGGCCAGTTGTCCGCATCGGCCCCAAAGACGTGGTCATTGCAGATGGCGCCGCTCTAGCCCCAATCTACTCGGAGAAGGGAGGGTTTCGGAAAGCTCCATGCTATGCCAACTTTGACTCGGAAGGCCATGCGACAATCTTCAGTGCTTTGGATCCGAAGCATCGCGCTGTTCGGAGCAAAGCCGTCATGCCAATGTTCAGTACAGCCAACATCCGAGCCCGAAGCGATGCCATCGAAGGCTGTATCGACAACATGATCTACAGATTAAAGCAAGAAGCAGAAGAGAGCCGGCGAGCGAAGAAGGAAACAGGCGTAGCCCCACCCGTCGACGTGCTCAATCTTTCTCGCGGCCTGGCCATCGACGCTGTGAGCAACTATCTTTTCGGAAAAGACTACGGCGCCATCAGTGAGAAGTCCTCCAAAATGAGTGCAAGCACATACGTCGATTCAATCGTCATCTTTGGGCGCTTGTTTTTCCTGCCTCCTTGGCTCTTCGTGCCTCTAATCATGGCCTACGAACGCTTCTTTCCCAACCCTGAAGTGGGCGCTAGCTCGGACAAGGTGAACTCCTTTACCAATCCGCTCGCTGAAGACTGCCCGGAACACGAGGATACATATCAGTCTCGGCTCCTGAAGGCAGGCTGCTCGGTGCACGAGGCAGATGTACAGATGAAAGACGTTATCTTTGCCGGGACAGACACAAGTGAGGCAATCCACCTGTTATCCCTCTCATCTCGCACCTACTGACTTGCCTCGCAGCTGGCACCAATCTCGGGACGATACTATTCCAGCTCGCGAAACACCCTCATTCGTATCGTGAGCTTCAACAAGAAATCAAAGCGGCCGAACAAGAAGATCCTAATTACAACCCCTCGAACCTCAAATACCTCGATGCAGTGATTCGCGAAGGTCTCAGAACATCACTCGCGAACCCAACTCGCTTCCCACGCTTGGTGCCTCCGACTGGCCTCACATTCACAGCCAATAACGGATGTACTTATCATCTGCCACCCGGAGCTACCGTTGGTCTCTCGCCATATACACTGCATTTCAATCCAAAAGTCTTCTCCGACCCAACGGCATTCAAACCCGAGAGATGGCTCAATGGTCCGACGCCGGAGATGTATCGAGACTTCATCCCATTTGGTCTGGGCCCAAGACAATGCATTGCACGCAACCTCGCTTCGATGGAACTGACGCTTGCTGTGCGAGCCGTGGCAAAGTCGAATGTCCTGGAGGGAGCAAGACCGGTGAAGGACAAGCTAGAAGTATATGAATGGTTTAACGCCAAGGTCAAAGGCGAAAGGATAGACCTGGTATGGGACTAGGCTTCTACGTCGAAAGCAGGTACCATACACGCGATCTGTTTGCAGAGCAGCGCTGATCGTCTATGCGCTTCATTACTATTCTGTCGATATCCCACTATCCACCATTCCTCTCCCGCCCAAAGACCTCCCTAATAGGCTGATAGCACACATCCGCCCAAGCTTTCATCTCCGGCTTCGTCGTATCATAAGCCCGTTGACTATCCAATTTCTCCCTCAAATTCCCCTTTGCAACCTTTAACAAACTGCCGCCAGCATATTCCTCCCCTTCCACCATTTCCTTCATCGCCAACGCAATCTCTTCGGGCCCAATCCCCGCTTCGTCTTTATACTGGAACTGCGCCGCAACATCCTTCGCTTCATCACCCGTCCACAGAGGCGTGCTCACGACGCCGGGACAGATACACACAACTTTGACATTCTCATCCACGTCGGCCTGAGCCATGGACTTGGTGAACCCCACCACCGCATGCTTCGAAGCACAATACAGCGCGGCCCGATATTCCCCCGTGAGCCCAGCGACCGAAGCGACGAGCAGGACCACACCGGGTTTGTTCGCGCGCAGGAGGGAACGCGTGGCAATCCGCGTCAGTTTAATCGGGTGTTCGGCGTTGATCCGCATCACCTTGTACCCATCTTCCTCCTCATCGTAGAGGAAAGAACTCCACCTCGGCTCGAACACTCCCGCGCCGGCAATCCAGATATCCGCCACTGCCCCTTGTCCGAAAGCTTTGGAAACCTGCGAGGGGATGGAAGTCAAGTCGTTCCAGTTGGAGACATCGCAGCGCATGAAAGCGAGTCTGTCCGGATTGTGTTGGGCGAGTTCTTCGGCTTCGGACGTGAGTTTCAAGTCGCAGATGAGAGCCTTCGTTCCGGGGGATGAGAGGAGGAGTTTGGCGAAGGAGAGGTTGATGCCGGAACCGCCGCCTGTTACGACGGCGATTTTGTTGTCGAGAGGAAACGCACCGACGACCATGGCTGGTGAAGATGCTGCTTGGGCGTTCGAGGGTCTCCTGTTTCCACGGTGCTTGTTCGATGAGGTTTCGCTTCAAGCCTTCCTCGAGTATACCACTTTTGCGAGAGGTCCTGAAGTCTTGTGGGTGTTACTTGGTCTGGGTGGCGAAGCTTGAAATGCACAATCGAGAATGTCTTTGAAGATGAAGGCGATTGCTTGTCCTGATTGAAAGATTAAGCCTGGCCGTGTTTGTGTCCGTAAGCTGCCTTAGTCTACTCGGCGATATTCGGTCCAAGAGATGAGGTCTAAGAAGTGGGGTCACTCTGCCACACACTACTGCCTATCGTTTTCCCGCTTCGTCCTGCGATGCCTCCCCAGAGCTGGTGAATGCGTGAAGAGAAATCTGGCATGGAACGAATCTCAGAGAAGGGAGCGCAGCGTTGCGCGAATTTAGTCGTCGTAGCCGTTTAGGCTGATGAGATCTTCAAATACCTACAGCATGACGATGTTGCGGTGGGTCCTCCATTGAAAGCATGTGAAACCCGATCAAACGCTCTCATCGTCAACGAATCACAGTGAATTTGCTCTGTCGACCGGATGTTCCATTTCCTCAAATACTAATATTAACAATCTTAATATCCTCCACCGGCTTTTCCTTCCAGACCTTCGTATTTTCAATCTGATGCACAACATCCATTCCCTTCACGCATCTCCCAAAAATGGTATGTTTATCATCCAGCCACGGTGTCCGCTCCGTCGTAATGAAGAACTGACTAGCATTTGTACCCGGTCCCGCATTAGCCATACTGACCGTATACGGCTTGTCATGCCTGAGTTCCGGAGCAAATTCATCCTCGAACTCTTTGCCCCAGATCGACTCACCGCCAGTTCCATCCCCCAGCGGATCACCGGTCTGAATCATGAATTTGCGAATGACACGATGGAAAATGATGCCGTTGTAGTACCCGCTTCGAGCGTGGACGGTGAAGTTTTCGACTGCCTTGGGCGCATGCTGAGGGAAGAGACGAATGCTAATGTCGCCCATGGTAGTATGTATCGTCGCTGAAGTCCCCATCCTCGCTTCTCGCGCGTCTTCCTCTGCCTTTTTAGCAGCATTGAGAGTTCGTGGTTTCTCGTTGTGGATGTCTCGATCGGATTTGGGCACGCTGTCGTCGTTTGTGAACATGTAGAAGCGTACCTTTCCAGAACCGGTGGCTACCAGCATAGCATCACGAGCCTCAGCCTCAGCTAGAAGCGGATTGTCCGAGGTTGCCATTTGTACAGTGACAACGCCCTTCTTATCCGGCTGTCCTTGGTAGAGTGCCAAATTGAGTGGTCGGAATGGCTCGTCGCGACCGTAGATCTTGACTACGCGGTTCGCGAGCGTGTTGATAACTTTGGTGCCCAGAATACTACCGTATAGAATGAAGTGGCCGCTCTCGTCGAAGATTACGCTGATGCGGCTCCGCACGATGGGGTTCTCCAGTTCCCGCTCAACAGCGATTCTTCTGCCAAACTCGATTGCTTCCAAAGGCTCACTGCTCAATGTTCCAGCTTGTTGCATCTCGGTGATAGTGGCAATGCTTTCGTCATAGGTTCGATATAGCTTCGCTGTGGGAAAGTCGAAGACCCGCACTTTGCGATCAGGGAAAGAGAAGGTCGCGAACTGGTGTCCGGATGGCGAGATTGTCAACGAACAAGGCACGGACTTTGCCTTTTTGAATTCGAAAAGGGAGGTGCTGCTCTTTATGTCGAAGACACTGTCCGGCTTGTCGTACGAGCCTGAAGGCTGCCAGTATTCGATCATGCCACCCTCATCAGCAGATACAACACAGTCGTATGCATTGTTGTAAGCCATTAGGTGGACAGGCTTGCGATGCAACGCAAAGATGGTGTGAAGCGACTTCTGATTCTCACCTCTTCCATCGAAGATCGCAATGCGCCCATCCGTCTCACAGGACACAGCAAGGATAGGATAGGAAGAACCATGGCCATGTACAAAGCAGATGCATTTAGGCGCTGTTTCTGGCTCTAGCATTGCAAGCAAGTCAAATGTCTCGACGTCGAAGATCTTGACTGTGTTGTCCACTCCTGCTGTAGCATAGCTTCGCCCGTCCGCGCTCACAGTCACGCTCCTTATCTCGCCATCGTGTGCCTTGTACTCTTTCACGAACTCTACGCCTCCCGATGTCTTCTTCCAGAACTTGACGTAACCGTCGATGGAGCTTGTGATCAGAAAGTCCGTGTGCGGAGTAATGGTGCAGAAGGCCAGCTGTTCCCTGTGCATCAGCGATTTTGAGTATCGTGTCGCGGACGGTAGCGCAGCCATATACTGCTTCTCGTAGGGCAGTTTTCGCCGCTTCTTCTTTGGCGCCTCTGCGGAGGGCAGAGCTGGGCCGATATCGTCGTCGTCGCTAGATTCGCTGGCGTCATCTGCGGTCTGCTTAAGAGCTCCATCCTCTTCTCCAACCTCATCATGCGATCGCTTCGTGCCTTGCGGCGTTTCTTCTGCTTGTGCGGCCATTGTAAGTAGAGTATGCGATTCTCTTGCACGCGTCGGGAGGATGAAGGTGCTTCCAAAGTCGAAACACGTGCACGACGCTAACGAAGCTCGGGTACAGCGGGCCGATCCTTCGGCTACACGAGCCTAAAGTGATCAGCAGCGTCATTCGGTGCACTTCGCCACGAACAAACGTTCATCTTAAGTTCTTCTCTTCTGCAGCACCGCAAAGCCCGCAAAGCCACACGCCAACTTTCTGAGTCACTTTCTCTCATTGCCGACAGACCGGTTATTTGCTGTTTTTAAGCCGTTCGATCAGGCAGTATTTGTAGACGCCTGAATTTCCTTACACTTGACATATCTGCTCCAGTCAGACCACGAAAAACCATCACCCGTCACGACCAGATCTGCAGCATACCAACTCGTTTCGAGTACGCCAAATACAGCAGACTATGGAGGCCACTGTCCCTTCTCAACCATCCTCGTCAAGCCACCAATCCGATTCATCTGGACAGCAGCGCAGGAGGCCTCGAAGGGGAAGAGGCCAGGGTCGAGGTGGTAGTGAGAACGCTTCACTTGCTTTTAGACCGGCGAGTGTAGCTCCATCTGCTCCATCTCAGGCATCACGTGAACCCGAGGCATCGAGGTCGCGTGGACGTGGCGGGCGAGGACGAGGCGGTGGACGAGGTCGGGGGGGAAAGCCAGCAGAGAATCGCACTGTGAATGGAAGAGCTTTTGGAGGGCAACTAACCACGGAAGGCGCGCCTATTCCAGAGAATCTAGTGGAGCCAGGCCATCTCCAAGCGAGTGCACCGGTCTTTGTGCCCGGCCAACAGCACGTCCAGAATGTCACCCAGGCACCAACTCAAAAGCAGCCAAAACAGCCCCGGCAAATGAAACGAAGAGCCTCTAAATCTCAAGCACCGGACATTGCCACTCGGACCCACGAGGACATCGACAATGGGCACTACGAGTGTGCAATTTGTACTGCCGACGTGAGACGCAATTCGAAAGTGTGGTCTTGCCACACGTGCTGGACTGTCTTCCATTTGAAGTGTATTGTCCAATGGTCATCCAATCAAGGCTCTGCAATGAACCAGCAAGATGCCCAAAATGGACATATCCAATCATTACGGCAGTGGAGATGCCCTGGCTGCAATCTGCCCAAAGACGACTACCCCAAATTTCCAACATCGTACACATGCTGGTGTGAGAAGGAATTTGATCCCAAGTCGCCGACTGGAATACCGCCCCATTCATGTGGACAGACTTGTGGCAAAGAGCGAGTGAGAAAATGTCCCCATCACTGTCAACTTACCTGTCACGCTGGTCCTTGCCCGCCTTGTGCGCATATGGGACCAAAGCAGAGCTGCTTCTGTGGCAAGCATGAGTCCTTGAAGCGATGCTCGGAGACGGACTACGTCTCAGGATGGAGCTGCGGTGACATTTGTGGAGCACTCATGGGCTGCGGTGAACATCGTTGCGATCGCCCTTGTCACGACGGACCTTGTGGGCCCTGCGAAGTTCGTCTGCCAGGCCGATGCTATTGCGGTCAAACGGACAAGGACTTGTTATGTAGTGACCAAGGCGAAAGAAAACACAGCAAGCGCGAAATTCATTCGGAGAGCGGCGAGATTATTTCGGAGAGCTGGAATGGCGTGTTCGACTGCCATGGTGTATGCGGCCGCCTCTTTGACTGCGGTGTACATCGTTGCGAGAAGACTTGCCATCCGCAAGACTCAGCGTCAAGTCACTGCCCTCGATCAGCCGACATGGTGACACACTGTGCATGCGGTAAGACGCCGCTAGTCGATCTGTCGGAAGAGACAAGAAGGAACTGCGAAGACCCGATTCCTGCTTGTACGAAGTCTTGTGGCAAGGCGTTGGCATGTGGGCATCTATGCCCAGAAATTTGCCACTCGGGCGACTGCCCATCTTGCAAAAAGACGATTGAAATCAATTGCCGGTGCGGAAGAACCACGTCGAACAGCATCTGCCATCAAGGGCACGAAGAGCGGCCCCAATGCCGGCGCATCTGTCGCGTAAATCTCAATTGCGGTCGCCATATGTGTGACGAACATTGCTGTGCCGGGGAAAGAAAAGCAGTCGAGCGTCAGGCTAGCAGAAAGAAGGGACGTCCACTGGACTCTGCACCACGTTCAGCAGAGGAGGGCTTCGAAGCCGAGCACATCTGCACAAGGCAGTGTGGTCGACCTCTGAAGTGCGGAAACCATGTTTGCGAGGAGCTCTGCCACAGAGGACCGTGCGGGACTTGTCGGGAAGCAATCTTTGACGAGATCAGCTGCAACTGCGGCCGAACTGTCTTGCAGCCGCCGCTTCCTTGCGGAACGCAACCTCCACCCTGTCGGCAGCCTTGCGAAAGACCCAAGGCTTGTGGGCATCCTCAGGTGGCACACAATTGTCACGAAGATGATGCCACCTGTCCGAAGTGCCCATTCCTAGTGGAGAAGCGCTGCATGTGTGGCAAGAAGACACTCAAGAACCAGCAATGCTGGCTTCGAGATGTCAGCTGCGGCCAAGTCTGCGGGAAGCGGCTGAAATGTGGTGTTCATTTTTGTCGGAAACCATGCCATCGTGGCACAGACTGTGAGGATGCAGATGGACAGCCATGTCAACAACCTTGCGGAAAGGAAAAGAAGATCTGCGGCCACCCAGACGAGGCGCCTTGCCATGCTCCGTTTTCTTGCAAAGAGGACAAAGCGTGCACTCATCGCATCTTCGTTACATGCGAGTGCCAGGCGCAAAAGCAAGAGATGCGTTGCAATGCCTTCAAGTCGAGCGAGGGCAATCTCAGCAAGTCACTGCCTTGTAACGAAGAGTGCGCTCGGCTTGAGCGCAATCGCAAATTGGCACTCGCCTTGAATATTGATCAGTCAAGTCATGTGGACGGAGGTGACCACATCCCATACTCGAATGATACCCTCAACATATTTGCCCAGCGCGTCAAGTGGGCACAGACGCAGGAGCGCGAATTTCGTGTCTTCGCTGCGGCAGATGATGAAAAGCGTCTACGCTTCAAGCCAATGCACGCCCAGCAGCGTGCTTTCATTCATGCTCTTGCAGAAGACTTCGGCTTCGACAGTGACTCAGTCGATCCAGAACCACACCGCCATGTCATGATATGGAAGACTCCTCGCTTTGTGTCTGCGCCGAACAAGACTTTGGCAGATGCGTTGAGATTGAGGCAGCAGACTCAGAGGTCCACAGCCACGAGTGCGAACGCCTCTGACAACGAGGGCGCGAACTCGATCAAAGCTAAGGCAAAGGTACTTGAGCCCTACAACAGCTTTCGGATCACCAAGCCACGCTTTGGCCTTACGATCGACGAGGTACGGACGGAAGTCAATACTGTGCTACCACCCAGCACGCCCTTCACCCTGGATATTGAGTTCTTGCCTTCGGAAGATATCGTCTTGAAGGCTGTGAGCCGGACACTTTCGCCCGCACAAATCGAGCCCCTGCTCCAGAACCTTAAGATGGCGCTTGCAACTGCGATTGCTGCTAAAGGCTACGGAACGACTCAGCTTTGCACCACCGACAGCTCTCTCAACATCACACGTTACGAATCGGACACAACGGCCGGAGACGGATGGTCGCGCGTCGCAGCAAAGAAGGCTGCGCCGAAGGTGATGGTCTCAAGCACTGGTCTTGGTGGTGCTACAAATTCGTTCACTCCTCTATCAGGAGGCAAGGTTACTTTCGCCAAGAAGAAGCCCAAAGCAGCTACACCCATCGTGGATGACTGGGAGGCCGCTGAGATGGAGGAAGAAGAGAAGGAGCGCGTGGCGACGAGTGCAAGTGAGGATGAAGGCGGCGCCTCTATCGAATTGCCTGAGGGCGGCAGCATCGGTGTCGATGCGTCTGGTGGCGATGTTGGACCTCAAGAGTCTAAGCCAGAGCGGAAAGACTGGGCTGATGAGGTTGAGAGCACTCTTCCTGTGTCTGAAGAATTAATAATGTGAGCAGTAACATTCAGACTAGCCGAGTAGTCTAGAATTCGAACGAAAGGTCCTGAGTTCAAGCATCGCTATCATCGTCATTCATGCTAGAGTCGCCAATGTGGAACTTCGCCTCGGAACTGTCATATCAACCTTCTCCCCTGCACTCTCCACCCCTTTCTGCTCGATTCCCCGGACTCCCCAAACTCTCCACGTCACCCAATACGGCCTTGTCACACAAAGCACCACGACAACCACGACAAACGGAATCGTAATCCCCACATACGCCCCAAACAAAACCCCTCCATTCGTGACAAATTGGAAAGCGGGAACATTCAAGATCGTAGCCACCAAGCTCGCCGGCAGGAAGATGGAACCCAAGACGGCGATGAATTTCATATCCTGGCTATCTCTCCGCGCGGCTTTCGCGATGCTGGACTGCAGGCGGATTTCCCTCTGCTGGACGAGATTATGCAGCAGGGCGGAGATGTTGTCGACGCGGTGGGTGTGGTCTTTATCCCGTGCCTTGAGAGATTGGAGACGTTGACGGGTGAGAGAGGACCATTGGTAGAGGTCGTCGCGGGCGGTCCTGTTGATGGCGAGGGAGGAGGCATAGGTGAAGCCTTCTTCGATGGCGGTATGGAACGTGTCCCAGAAGTCGTAGCGGCCTCTGCGACTCGCTTGGTCTTTCCGACAGCTCTGGAGGAGTTCAAAGAGATGGTCGAGATCTGGGGGGTCTTCGTCGACGTCGACGGAGAGGACGGGGTGGCGGAGAGCGGAGATTGTGCTTTCGAGTTGGGAGATGCGTTCTTTGATGGAATGGCGGCGTTGGACGGCCATGCGCAGGGCTGCTGAGAGCATGATGCAGGGGATGAGCATGGGGTGGGCTGCGTGGTCTTGGAAGTCGTGTAAGTCTTGCGTGAGAGCTTGGGAGTCGATTCGTTCGTCGACGCTCCAGAAAGCCGCGGTCGACATGGTGGAAGCATTATGAGAGAGCGCCATGCCCCAGTCGCCTTGCTTGGTTACGCAGTACGCCACCAACTCATATCTCTCCGGCTTGCCATGGTCGTTCCAGATGATAGCCGACCTCGCAGTTGCAGGCGAACCATCTGCTATCTGGAAATATGAAGCCGGCAGATCCAGACTATCGAAAACAACGCGCATTTCTTCGGCATTCCCAAAGGGCAGCACGTCCGGACGAGTGCTTACATGTCGAGGACGCGTTCTTTGCAAGACACACCGCAGCGTATATGGTTTCTCCCAGTCCAGATCCCTGTGGAATGGATCGTAACCTTCGGCCGTACTTATCTTAGGGAGGAATCGTGATGAGAAGCCTTTCTCTTCCTCTCTATCGTTGGCTACCGTATACTGAGTCTTGATGCCGCCATTTGCGGGGGCCGTGATGCAGTGATACTCGGTCTCCTGGGCACAGAAACGTCCATCTCGCTCAGCTTGCAGCAAGACTCTCTCCTGCACTCGCTTCATGATTCGATTGTCCATTCTCGAAAGACCAGCGTACGCTTCCCAAAAGCGAAAACATATTGTAGGCTTCTGTAATCTTGACCGGAATTCGAGTGAAGGTGGTACGGCAGAGGAGGCTGAGCTAGTAAGAAGTGTGGTGGCGGAGCCCAAGGCTTGATGCCCTGCAGGGCAAATTCATGCACGCTTAGAAAGACAAGCTCATTGGTGACTGGTGAGTGTGATACGGGGACCGCAGCCTCACGCCTTGATCCTGTCACTGAAATGGCAATAAACGCACTTCGAAGAATAGTGCTGCTTATGGCGAAGAAGATAGGCTCATAGCCGCACCACGATTACACCCTAACTCTCGTTCAAGGCTACTCTGCAGACTCATATATATGACTCCGAAAAGGACCAACGATACTAGATGAGTGTACTCAACCTTTCTAAAGCAGAACATACGCACCTAAAAGTCAAACAATTTCGATGCAGTTTAGGAGGGCTGGTGCCGACTCTTTCAAGTCTTGTATCGTCTTGCGTTGTTGGGATGGAGAGCAGACGGCAGCTTATCGATCGCACTGGATGTAATCAAATTTTGCACACCAAATTTTGGCCAAGGGGCACAGTGCAGCCCAGTCAGCTCTCCCCTATTGACCTGTTCAGCATACAACTGGCAGCGCAGTGTCGACCATGCGGTCATACATCAGGGTAGCAGATTCCGCAGCGCCGAGAGTGAAGTTACTCTGATTCCGCTACGTTATGCAAGTTGCTCTGTCCGCGGCACTGGCCCTAGCGAGCAGCAAAAGGAGATCCTAAAATATCGATAGGCAAATCATACGGTGAAATGTTGTGTGAAACCAGTCTGTTTTGGACTGACAAGAGGAGGCTTAACCCGGCGGCCCTTATCCAGCCATTCTTCGATACCCCGACGACTCATGACAGTCGGCTTCTCCAGCATGTGCACGTGAGCCAGGTGAGATCTGAACTCAGACTCGGTCTCGAAGACTGAGACTCGGTTCTCGCCGCAATGATCCCAATGACATGCCCAGTCATGTACGACTCGATTGTTCGGATCAACACAGGGCACTTTCCAAGCAAATCCGTGGGTCCGAATGGCGTGTTGGCGCAGTTTGGCTCGTGAAGAGAACAGGAGACCCTCGCACTGGCTCCCTTCGCGTACTCCTTCTGGACATGCGTACACGAGATTGAGGGCGAAGCGTTCCCAACGCTCCGTTTTCTGGCGTTCGCGGCGAACCTCGACCATCTTCCGTGCGCATGCAGCTAGCTCATCACGGACACTTTCCAAATACTCCTTAACAGCATCGTTCATATTCGCCTTCGTATCGTTCCCTTTTGTTCCCCGCCAGTCACCCAGCTTGATATCGCTGAGTCTGTGGTCGGAGACATTGAATCGATAATAGAGAACCTTTTCTTTTCCCTGGGAGATCAACCGTTCGTTGATGCCATTTCAGCCGTCTAGCTCCCGTTTGAAATCCAGATGTTTGCTCTCTGAGTCCAGCGCCAGCTTTTGAAACCACTTTGAGGTTTCTCGAGTTTCTCTGAGATTCTCTAGAACTGGTAATAGCGCCCTGCCTTGCTGCATTTCTTTCTGCGGTTGAATCCCGGTTCCGATGCTGATGATTAGACAGGGCTCATTCTTCCAGTGTACCTGCTTGACCTCCTCATACGCTAACAAGATCGGATTATTCGCCTCGCCAATGGCACCGTCTTTGATCTTATGTTCGCCAATGACCATCGGTGAGAAATAAGTTGGGGCAGCACTTGTAGCTCTGCCAATCTTCCAGAGGGGCAGATCGGATGCTGCGAAAGGTTTATGATGCTTGACTGGGCCACTATCCGCGGAGGTGATGTTCGGAGGAGGATGGTCATAACTCCGAAAGAGCAGCGGTCGTTTTGTCTGCAAGTTGTCGTCCCAGGTACCGTGGGCGACTACAACTCTACGAGCTGTCAGCGATCGCCTTCCCTCCGACAAACGAGACATACGTTCGTGCAGTGTCTACATTACCGTTGCGCAAAGTGACTCTATCCGCTTGATGTCGCGTAGCGGCATGGTCGCGTTGCCTATTAGTGGCCTTCCCATTCCCGTTGTTACCATTTGCTCCAAAAGTAGTACCCGCGCGGACAATCATATCACCCGTGTGACGACCTGCTTCATATCCAAATTGGTGCGTGATCCTCTGCAGGGCCAAGTCCATGTGCCTTGATTTGTAGCGCGGCGCGAGAACCCCTTTCCAAGTCATTGCGCGAGGTCGGCCAAACACATCTGCACCTACAACATCGTACTGAGCCATTGCTTCAGACACTGTCATCTGAAGACGACCTAGCATCATAACGCTCAAACTACAAGTACGTCAGCACAGGCCAGTGACGACAACCGCTTCGGAGTCTTACCCGCCAGTGCTCGTTCCAACGAAGTAGTCGATGTACTGATGGGGCTTGAATCCGCCATGGTGTTGCGGCAGTTGTCCATTGGGGCTATGCGGAGGTTTAGACCACCGGTATGCAGCACTATGTTCGCACAATTTATCCCTCTCGACCACGGTCCCTTGTAGTCTCTGTCGCTCTTGCCTTCTGTTCTCCGAAATCTCTTCTTCAATTGTCCTCACCCGCTCCATCAAGCTATCCAGTATTAGCAGCGAGGCATATCCGCGGACTCCACCTCCATCTGCACAATGGCAGTCAGTACATGGGCTGCTAGAAGAGGCTGTTCAGAAGTTGCATCTGTCCTCCACATACCCAACGAGAGTATAATCTTGCGCGCCCATGGACTCGCAGGCGTTGAGTCCGAGTTGAATAGCCAGCCCCATATAGGAACTGATTCGTCCTCGACTTCGTGCAGAATAGAACCTCTCGTAGCCGCACCAGTGGAACCTATAGTGCTAGATTGCGGGTCCGCCATGAAAGCTTCGCGAGTGGACTATCGTGTCGCGCCGCTGGTGATACATATATGCAGGCGCCCTGTCCGACCAGTCTGCCATCGAGCAGAGCCTCTGTCTGGCAAGACAAAGCGAGTGGGCCAATGTAGAAGGCTCAGCCGCTTGAAGGTCTGCCAGGGGAGGCCAATCGGGGCAGATGTAAAGACACCATCGCATGCGTATTAGGAGGAGTTTGCCATTCCGACAGACCTGCGGCAGCAAGATTGCGGTCGGTTCGCCGATCGGCTGGCGAATTTGCCATGGCGCTCCTCAGATGCTCCTCCGATGCAGATGTGAGGCTGTGAAGAGAGCGCGCGCCTAGGGACCGAGGGAGAGAACGGGGGAGTCTACCTCCACGCCTGTTTCGCCGATAGCGTCCAAATGCATCGAGATAACGGCAATCTAGTATGGACTACAGCCCTATCTTGGGTCCAAAGCAATGTTAGCGGAGAAGCTTAGCCGTGCTCACCAAGCTCAGCTCGAAGCCACAAATCGTAGCGAAGACGATTCGAGTGGCAATGCCGCAGACGACGTTTTGACAAGAGAGACCTTCGACAGCTGTCGTAGCAGCCGTGTCAGGATTTGCCAGGCGACGCCCAGCGCTGATTGGACATACATAGGGCCGGCTGCGCAAAACCTCATGCACGACTTATCTCAGCTGCGCGCCATCCAAGCCTCCTTCGCTAAGACAGGCTCAACAAGGAAGCGAACTGTTCCATATTATCCCATTTGCATGCGAACATGGTGTTCCGGTCTGTGCGCTTGTCGATAGGGTGCAACGACCACCGGTCAGCCTTGTCCGTAATGCATGTAGGAACTTGCACGGTGTAGCAAGCGAAGTGCACTGAGGCACCGAACTCCAGCCCTGTGCTGAAGTCATCTCAGTGTGCGCACCTGCAAAGCCCTCGGCGGTCTTCTTTAAACGAGGGTGAGACGACATGGCGCATGTGAGGCCACCAAATGGTGGTCTGACTTCGCTTGAACTTGTCCACATCGACGATACCCCCAGGTCATGTGGTCTGGTCCTTAGGGCGAATGAAAGTTGTCTCAGACTCAGAGGTCTAGGTGACTGCAAGGCTGCTGCGCAAAGACTTGTGACACAGCCCGCCCCGCCAACCTCCTTGATACTTTGTGAAGTGTAGTCCGGCTTTAAATGGGAGGGGTATGTCGCTCTCCGGAAGTGGGGCCCGCTTGCAATCTGCGGTTCTTCTATCAACGAGATCATATCAAGCCTGACTACCGGATTGACAGCTCATCCTCAACTGCATCAATGAGGGTCGAATATAGCCAGAACGAAGTAGCTGACGAGCTGAAGTCGAAGTGGTGTCTTGTCTATGTCAAGTCCGACGACACGGCGTCCCTAGAGCCTTTGGAATTCGTGGAGAGTACGTCGTAGAATTCACTTTGCGATAATTTGATCTGACGATACTCCAGAACATCCGTCGCAGCCGCTTTACGTGGACAGAGTCTCTCGGTCTTTATTGCAGTGGGAGCAGAAGATCAAGGTGCCAGTGTCTGCCAAGCCGAGGTCTCACGCCAGCAAGACCACCCAGGAGGATTTCCGTATCTCGAAAGAAGGCGCTTGGGGAAGCAACGGCATGGTCCAGGATTGCGATGGGTCATATGTCTCGATACTGGTGTTCAATCGGATCGCAAAGAACATGACATGGAAACGTGTAGCCGGGCGGGTGAAGTCATATATGGTGTTCGAGGAGCCCCTTGTTTGAGTCGTGGTTCTTTTCTGGCGTCAACGACGACGACGAGAATACGTTCTAGGTCTCTTAAGAGACGCTCGATATTGTATATAATAGCGGATGTACTGTCCTCTCGCATATCGGAAGTGGTGTCGACGGCTGCTTTGGCTGACTTTATGCTGTTCGGCTGTGCATGCCCCTGGCTCTCGTTGGTACCGTTGGCAAGGCAAGAGGGTTCGCTGTGGGATGACGCCCGAGGAACAACAGGCCAGTATATCGTCGAAACAGAGGGTTGCAGACCGAGAGATGGTAAACTGAAAGGTGTCGGCGTCATCGGTTGCCGCAAACGCCATGGCCTTCTGCCATCCTTTGGCTCTTCTGGTCAGCATTCGCAAAGTTTGAAGTCTTCTTCAAGTACACTGTGAAGTTCCAGATGCCGCTCTACAAAAACGAGAACTGTTGATGTGGTCTGGCGGATGGATGCCGACAGGAGGTGATGTTCTCAAAAGGTTGACACCCTTGTCCAAGAGGCCGCACTTGACGCAGACGCACAGACTTCGACACGTGATATTCTTTGCGGTCCACGACTCAAAGACGGCAGACAAACGTTACGAGACGAGTACCACTGGCTCATGCTCATGTCGTCGGGAAGTAGTTGCCGTTGTACGGGGTAAAGTCACAGATCCCAGACTGACTTAGACTGCCACTTGCGAAAAGGCCAGAGCTCATCTCAGGCGCTTGGTACGTTGTAAGTCCTTGGAGGTGCCTGTGCCCCTAATCTTTCCGTAGTGAGACGCGGTATGGAATCACCGCGAAAGTGTACATAGCCGGAGTATTGTCTTCTATAGGAGAGATCCCTAAAAAGAGTATTGAGTTGTTTTCAGCTAGGTACCGCAGGGAAGGGTATTGTTCGGCTCGGCCGAATCTCCCGCTGGTCGTCTCTCGACCACTCGCTTCCAGGCTTCCAACATGCGGGCACGCTGGACTATCTCGGGAAGGGTATTTTGAGCCCCTGCGGGCTCCGTGGCGAGGCAGCGTTCTCGGGAAGGGTATTGTCATCGTTGACGCGGTCCGTGTTCCATAAAACGCTGAGTAGCTGATGAATTTGGTTAGTTGCTGTATGGAGACGTTGATGTTGGTGAAAAGAAGTTGAATTTGTTGGTAGAGAAAGAGAAGAGGAAGAAGGAAGGAAGAGAGAACGGGCTGCAGGTTGAGCGTTGCGTCCACCTGCAGGCGTCCACTAGCTTCCGCAGTACCCGCCATCACATGATTGGCCATATCCTCTTGACACGGAAAAACGTCCTCCCGCAGCAAAACCACTCTCGACTTCACCTCGACCTCGGGAGCAGTAGAGGCCAAAATGCGGAAAGAAAACATGTACTCGAAGCGTTCATCGCTATTACTTACCGGGTAGGGAGAGCGCCTCTGGATAGCTCCTACATCCACAGCATGCCACACTCTCACCGATTGGAGCAATTCCTACTCCCAGAAAAGATTCTACTACTCACCAATCCAGTCCATCAAAAGCGCCAACCCCAAGAGCAGGGCTCGCAACAGAAATGACAGTAGAATGTCTAGACGACCTCGACATCCTCTAATGGGTCGAATATACTGCATGACCCGCAAAACAAAGAACTCTGTATTCCCTCTTCAACAGGCCCATGCCGACCACGGATACCCCGCAAGCCTTTAAATCCTGGCTGCGTGATACCGCTATGAAAGAAGGCGAAACAGCAGACGCGTAGAACAGCCAGGCATAGGAAGCTCCACTCGTAGCTTCGACGGGTCACGGACTAGATAGGTAGGCATGTGGTCTCGCGGATGGTGGGACGATTGCTACGCTTTTCGATGGAGAGCGCTCGCTTTCGGCGCTACAGGCTCTGGATCGACAATTTATGATAGGCCATTCTTTCATTAAGCATCAGGATCCGGTGCCGATGCCAGGTGAGTGCAACGTTGCCGTTGTTCTAGAATACTGGTGTGGAATCATGATGTTGACCAGCGTAATATCGACGAGATGCTGGTGCGAGAAGTACCAAGGTCAGAAGGCATTCATCAAAGGAAAGATGGAAGATGGAATGGTAGGATGCGTGTACCGACGAATCTGAGAAAATTGCACCAGAGGCGTCCAGAATTCCTTGAAGAAGAGGCACATCTGTATTCTCATATCTCCATCTCTACCTGTCAATCTCGTCATCACCTTCAAAAAATCCAAAAAAAAAAGGATTCACTTCCACTCCAACGCCCGTCCAATCCTCTCCCGAGAATTCTCAGGTCTCGCATACCTCTTCGCAAACGCACTTCCCTTCCGGATCCGCTCCCCGTAGAAGTAAAACACAATCGGCAGGGGCATCTGCAGCACCGCGATACAGCCCAACATCGTCATGACCCAGTGCACACCCATGCCATCGTACATCGGCCTGCTCACCAGATTGATAAACCCCGATGCCAGGTACCGCCAGCACGTGACGATAGCAAGCGAACTCCCGGCGTAGATCCCATACGTATCTAGAAGGTAATGGTAGACCGTGACGTAGACTCCAGCCCACGAGAAACCGAGAAGAACGATAGCGCCGAGACTGCTCCAGGGGGAAATGGAAGGGTAATTCGTCCAGCCGAGCCAGAAGAGAGAGATGGGAAACGCCGGGGCCGCGAGGAGAGCGGACCAGAGTCGATACTCCGGGTCCGGAAGATCCTGGCCGGGCAGATTCGCCGCGCGAACGAGACTGTGCCTTCGCTGTTTCCCCGTAATCCCCTCGTGCAGCTTTTCCACCTTTTTCTTGTACGCGTGGTAATAGAACGGAACCATAGAAGTCCAGATCGCAGCTCCAATCCCAATCGCCACAAAGCAAGTCCCAATCAGCCCGCGGTCGAACCCGTAGGTATCCCCGAAGATATACGACATCCCCTGCAACAGCCCAAAGACAACAATGTATTCCAAGACCAGCCACCCGCCCAGCAACAGAACGATGGGCTCCCGGGTAATCATGTGGAAAGCCCTCAGTAATGCAATCTTCAGCCGATGTACCACCGTCTTCTGCAAATCCATCTCCGACAAAAATCTTCCATCTCCTGTGACGTCTCTCAGATGCTTCGCCCGCCAAGTCAACAAGATCGGACTGAAAGTCTCCGGCAGGAACAACAGAGTCAAGATCAAAGTCGATGCGGAAAGGATCACGGGAATCCAATCCGCCCATCTCCAATCAATGCTGACCGGTCCCCAACCCATACTCTCTCCAGCTTGATAGATCCAAGCCCCCGGGATAGGAGCAAACGAGGTTCCGAAAAAACTCGCGATTGCAATGATGGGCCATGCCAAAGTTCGATATACCGGGCCGTAGATGTCTGCCGTACTGGCCGCATGGATAGCGAGTAGGATGCTGCCCGAAAGACCCGCCAAAAATCTGAAGATACATTGCGCGCCGAAATTGGGTGCCAGAGCTGCGCCGACGAGCCAGAAGACATGAAAACATCTCGAGACGACATAGACCGGATTTCGTCCCACGGTTTCGGCGATGGGACCCGCGAAGAGAGAGCCAAGTGCTATGCCGAAAGTATAGAGGGAAGAAGAGAGAGATTCCGCTTCTTCGCTCACGTGGAAAACTTGAGCAATTCTCCCACCCGCTTGGCCATCTGCTGCGGAAGCCCAGTCGACCGCAAACCTGTAGCACACAATCCTCAGTGATCCTTCTCCACACGTCTTCTATCTCGCCACCACTTACACATTAATCCACAACACCCCGAAAACAGCAGCTCTTCTCCATATCGACCAATTCCGAGGATTCAAAGGGTCATTAACTCCATCCCAGCCAACGATAATAGCTTCTTCATTTTCACGTCTCTCTTGAGAGTTTCGCACCGTCGTAGTTGTCAGATTACTCCTCGAAGACTGCGAGTCATCATCCAGGACACTCGTTTTCTCATTACTCAGATTCACAATCCTGCCAGTCTGAGCCTGTGCCTCGACCGCGGCTCGGATGCGGTGGTATTGGCGGTAGGACTGCATGGCCGTGGCGAGACGTGGTTATGAAAGGAAAAGGCGAATTGCATTTCGAACGGTGGTGTGTGATTAGGAAGCATGGTCGCCTTTCCAGGTTTTGTTAGGACTGATCAGTTTTTTTTGGGTCAGGACTGTGATGAGGTGATGAACTTAGACTTTGAACCAAGTCGGTGCAAGTCGTCAATGTGTGGATCCTTGGACGAGTTAGCGTGAAGCAGAACCGACTGCCGAGACTCAGATCGGAAGGGGACGGTTAGACGTCATCGGGTGTAGATTTCTGTTCCAGCAGCTCTGTTGTGTGCTGTCGATGATTTTCGTCTTGCACAGCGCATCCAGGATCAAATTAATGACAAGGCGGCTAGGGCGACTGTTCGTAAGGCTGTGTTTCGATCGAATGTGGGCTCATGCTGCTAATACATCTCCATCCCGCCGTAAGAGTGCGTAGTATTTCCTACCACTGTCCCATTCTGATCCGCCTGATTGGCCCACGTATCTCTCAGCCCCCAAACTCCCACGCTGGACGAAGCGTTATTCGCGATCCCATCCACGTAGACCGCCAACGTATCCAGCGGTCTGGTGGGGAAGAAAGTAATAGTTCCGGCGCTCTGAGCCCCATTGAAAAACAATTCCAGAACAGAATTGTCATATATCACACTCATACCCCACGTCCCATTCAACGAAGGCCCGAAAAGCCCTTCTTCAGAAAACTTATCGGTGAAATAAGGATTCTCGAAACCTTTGATATTACCTCGATTGATCCAGATCCCAGGGGATCCGGCCGCGTTGATGCCGCCTTGGATGTATTCGCCCGAAATGGAAGAGGAAATGGTGAAATTCGCAGTGCCGCGGAGGGTGTACGAGTTGATGTTGGTGATGTTGGCTTCGAAGTACATGGCGCCTGAGGGGACGTCGCCGAAGTAAGCCAGGAGAGTGCCGTTACCGAGACTTTTGTTGTAGGCTAGTTCGTGATCAATCACGGCTTGCAGACCGTAGGGCTCGGAGATGAGATCGTAGCCTCTCGCCGACACGTTAGCGATGTAGCTAGCTCTAGGAACACTCATCGCGCTTCGGAACTGGCCGTGCTCGAGAAGTCCGGTTGGAACGATCTGGGTGTATTGCCAATTCGATGCCCATCCGAGAGTGATTTGTGGCTCATTTGCAGGGATTCCATGGAAGAACTGTCCAGCATAGTTATCCTTCGCGAAGTCGGTGAAGCGAGTCGCATCATCGTAGGGCTCGAAGTGAGTGCCATTGAAAGAACCCACGAAGTACTGAGAGATACTTCCACCTCGGGGACTTCCCGGATTGATCGACAGCTGCAAAAACCAGACAGGCTCGTCTTGACCTCTCATGGGCATCTGCAGAAGATTTGGGCACTCGTACTGTGTCCCCAAATATCCGATTTTCGTGACATTGGATGCATGCGTCCACTGTTTCAGATCGGGTGAGGTGTATATGCCAACAACGTAGTCCGCAGCATAGGCTATCACCATGACCCAGCGGCTGGACGGCTCATGCCAGATTACGTATGGGTCTCGGAAGTTGGTCGAGTTGATGTTCAGCACCGGGTTGCCTTGGTAAGCTTCGAAGTTGTATCCACCATCACGGCTGTATGAGATGGCTTGGTACTGTGTGCCTTGAACGCCGCCCGGGTACTCTGCCAATGTGTAGATCGCCACAACACCGTTGTCTTGATTGGGGAAGAAACCAGAGGTATTGTTTGGGTCAAGAACAGCAGAGCCACTAAACACAAAGGTGTAGTTGTTGGGAGGCCACAATGCAATCTTCTGGTTTTCCCAGGTATATAGATCTTTTGAGGTGGCATGCCCCCAATGCTAGCATTGCCGTCAGCCTTTGCAACATAATGTTCCTCCGGATGACAGACTTGATTCCCCGCAACCGGCGTCAGTGGGTTATATTGATAGTAGAGGTGATACGTTCCATCGGCGCCCCGGTGCATGCCGTTGGGGTCTGGGTATTGCTTTTAGTCATGTTCTTGCCTCGCCTCAACGTCAATTCGTACCGTTCATGAAGTATCTGGGCGGACTGTAATGTACTCGTGGCCGGAGGTAGTCGGTGTAATTACCAGGCACAGGTATATCAGTGGGTATGCCGGGGCCATAGTAGCTGGATGTAGGGTTTGCCGCCTGAGCAAGCACGTGCTGGGCGAGGAGAGCCACTGCTGGTATCAATGTCGACAACATGGTGAAAGCTGAGCGGTGGACGGTGAGTCTCTTCCACAGTCTCCTGCAAGAGATCGGGCACGAAAGCCTTCTGGACCAGGCGAAGAGAGAGTCTTGAACCCTGAGAAGAGGTACGAAGGCTAGGCCGGTTGGCCGTGACAATTGCCGTGTGCGTTGCCTCTATTATACGAAGCCACTGCCATCTACGGCCCGAATGGCATCGAGCGCGTGCGGAGCTACATCATCGAAACTCTGCGGGCCGGCGAATGAGCCTCACGTGACGGGAAACGGTCCCTGACTCGACGGTGTAGAAGTGTCTGAGCGTAGGCGTGGCAATGGAAAGAGGTGTGTAAGTTCTACCGCGCGTGGAGGTGGAGTCTGCATGGCGATGTGATGGCGGGGTCCCCAGGCCAGGCAAAGCGGAGACAAAGTCACGACCTCATCAGATTCACCCGGCTACGGTATATACCACATCATCATTGTCGACGTCACGTCCTTGGATCGCTCGGTATCCCGAAAAAGGCCCGTTTCGACGCGAGAGAAGAAGAGTCTGTCCAGATGGTGGAGGAATGTCGGAGTGCCGTCATGAGGGCGGCATGGTTCGGTCCTGTCGCAGTAGGCATTATTCATAGTCTCTCCTAGACTGCTCAGAAGATGAATTGCGCGAGGGTGATGGCGACATTGATGTCGATGTTGGATTATGGTGAGAAAGCAGCAGAGGACGAAGTGAACAGGATTCTCGTCGGAGCTGTTTCCGCTCGAAATGCCTGAGGCATCACAAGATTGGAGCTGTGCAAGTGTCTGCCAAGCCACTACCTGAACAACAACAACCGAGACAGAACAACGATCGTATAGCAGGTGCCTGCAATGACCTTGAGACCAGACTATTAGACATGCTACTAGACATGCTATTGGACATGCTATTAGACATGCTATTCGACAAGGCGTCGACGTTATCGATCAGTATACCCTATATACTAGAAGAGGCATGGAATGACAAAAAGAGACAGAATCGACAAGCAGCGACTGTTCCTATAAGCGAGCCGACGACTACGATCTACTGTCAGCTCTACCTCCGGAAGACATCGAGCAGCATAACAGCTTAGCGTGACGAGATGGCGTCGAGCTGTTCGTATACACGACGTTTGCTATTTGCCCCTCTCTATGCATCCGCCAACCCAAAGCGGGTGACTGGAGTCTAAGATCGCCTGGTTCGAAGCTTCATCATCCCCACAGATTTCATCGTACTTCACGCTTCCTAAACCTCGAAGCTGGACCGACCGTCATGGTCAAAAGGAAAACCATCATCGTTATTAGGGCACTGTGAACAACTACGAGAGACTTCTAGCAGTATCATCATCATGGGCCGATTCAGGTGAAGATATATCCAAACTCACGCCGATCGACATTGCTAAAAATCGAACAGCATCACATCCGAGACAGCATTCAGCCATCCACCCGAGGTGGTCTACGACTTCGCGGCGAACCCCAACAACTGGGGACGTACTTACAAGGGCAGCGGCGGCATGCACAAGGACGTAAAAGTGCCGGTGGAATTCGGAGACGTTTGGACGGAGAAGGTCGACCTTCCGCCCAACACATACTATTCTACCTGGACCTGCATTCGCAAAGAGCGGCCGTGGTCGTTTGTGATCCAACAGCAGAACCACATTGGTGCTACAGAGCCGGATGTCGGTGGCTGTGACGGGTTCACGACGATTAGCTACACTTTTGAGAAGGTCGGAGAGGGAGTGACGCTGTTCACGAGGAATCTCACGTGTGAGCTGCCGAGAGGAACGGCTATTCCTGATGACTTGTTGACGGTGAGCTTGACAGCCATCACTCGTGGAAGTCCGACCCTGACATTTGATGCGATTAGGTCTGTTGCCGTCCGCAAGGCATTGAGAAATATCACGACTCTATCAAGGACGAGCTTGATCAGAAGCACGAGAAGACAAGAAAATAGTCGAGGCTTCGTTTACGCTTCCTAGGTGTCACCAACTCCTGGTGATGGCATGTGACGTTCGAGTCCGTGCGCAAGTAGTTCCCTATGTATTTACGAACAGTCAAAGCTTAGACACGCTCAAATTCAATAGCCATCTCAGAGACTAGTTCAACCAACAAGTCGTTCCAAATCCCAACCACATGTGGATCGCGCTGGTTTGGGTTCTCTCCAGCTCAGTGTTCTTCACACATATAGGCAAGCTTTCTGACATCTTTGAGAGGAGATACTGCTTCGCCGAATGTTCTGGTCTGGCCACAATGGAAGGCATTTGGGGGTCCACTGCGGGAGATGTTAATCAACTGATCAGAGCCTCGAACTCCTTGCGCACGGGCGCAGCAGGGCAGATCTCATTCAACTATGTCCTAGGCGAGCTGGTTCCGGTTCGAGATCGTTTCCCAGCAAACGGTCTCCCCTTCGTGCGTAGGCCCCCTTTTCGTCTCGGAAGTGCTCGAAGCTGACGATAGGCCAGCTGATGACTTTCCCAGCGTCCAGACTGGGTCCTTACATTGGACGTCTCTTGATCGAACGATTATCAGCCGTACCTAAAGCTTAGCTCGTGCTCCATCTGGTACCGCTCGTTGACGCAAGTCCTTTCGCAAGATCTTGCCAGCAGCGCTTCTTGGAATTTCGTCGACAAAGAAGACGCCTCCGCGCAAGTGTTTGTAGTCCGCTACTTGCCACTTCAGGAAATCAGCCACTTCGCCCGCGGATAGGGAATGGGTTTTTTGTTCTTGTGGCACCACGTATGCTCTTGGTAACTCAGTCTGCTGCTGCTCGTTCCACACGCCAATGACAGCCGCGTCTGCAAGCTTTGGGTGAGACGTCAGGATACCTTCGAGCTCGGCGGGAGCGACCTGAGCTCCCTTGTACTTGATGAGTTCCTTCTTACGATCCACAATATACACGTGCCCATTCTTGTGGACGCCAATGTCTCCGCTGTGATACCACCCATCGACGAAAGTGTCGCGAGTTTCTTTGGGACGGTTATGGTAGCCTTGGGAGATGATCGGGCCGCTAATGAGCAATTCGCCTGCCTTACCTTCTGGTTGAACGTCCTCGTCGTTGTCATCCACTATTCGGAGCTGCACATTGGGACACAGCTTGCCAACGCTCCAGACATCGTGGTCTTGAAAAGTTGTCCAGTCAAGCGCGGTGATGACGCCGCTCGTCTCGGTCGTGCCCCAGGTCTGCGCCAGTAGAGCGTTGCCACGGCCCAATTTCTTCTGCACGTCTCTCACGGTAGCCTCTCCGATGGGTGCTGAGCCTGTGACGGCTACTTCAAGACCGTCGAAATCATCGGTGACCTGTTCACTTTTTGCAACGCGTAGCCAGATGGGAGGGACACTGAACTGGTACGCGGGACGATACTGCCGATGAAACCGGATGAAGTCTTCGAAATTGTACTTCTTCATCCAGTACGTTGTGCCGCCCATGCAAAATGGGTTAGTCGAATATCGGCTTACACCGGCGATATTTGCCATGGGCAGATGCGCGATAGTGTCGAATGAGAAATTTCGCCCTCTCCTACTGCGCTTGTACCGAACAGCAGGATCCATGGTACAGACATTGCTCGCGACCAGACCGGAATGCGACACGAGCACTCCTATGGGCATGCCCGTCGTGCCAGATGAGTAGAGGAGACAAATGGATGTGCTGTGCAGTAGTTGTGGCTGTGTGATACGCTGCCAACCTAGTGTCCTGCCGGCCGCATTCGACAATGTACATTCTCGAGTAGCAGAGGAGATCAATTTCCAGTGTCCGGGTGTTTCTGACTCCAGGATCAGTACACGATCCGGTGCAAGCCCAATTTGCTTGGCCACGGCCACCGTCTTCGACTCGCAATCCGGAGAGCACACAAGCAGCTGGGCGGCGCCGTCCTTGGCTTGCCGGACTAATTCGCTTGTCTTAGCATCGGTGCTTGCTCCGCTGAAGACACCACCAGCGGCCACGATGGCATAGAAGAAGACGGGAGCAAAGGGACTTCCTTCCACCATTGTGAGGACGACGTCCTGGCCGGGTCCGTTTCGTCCAATGCCGTATTCGTGGTGCAGCACATAGGCAACCTGTCTGACGAGCTGGCGGGCTCCTGCTTTGGTGATGAAATTATCGGGGTTTGCAGCTTCTACATGGATCTTGCGGCGAGATTGATAGACTCGCATTACGCTCGATCCAGAGTCAGGGCTGTAAGAGGCTAGAGTGTAGACTCATGGCTTTACAAAGGGATAGAATTGAACCATACCAGTCTTCGGCTATCATAGCCGAACATGTTCCACATCCGAGCGGAGTATGATCATATTTCCTGGAGCGGCGTTAAATACGGTTTGGTGGTATGGGAGCGAGCCGGTCTTACTAATAGTGATTTCTAGTCCGGTTTAAGAAGAAAGAGGAGTGAGTGTACGTACCCGAGTTGAGAACTTGTAGGAGGAGGACATATCTCCGGAGCTGTCTCCGCTTCGTGCCTGAGGCGCATCTGCACCCCGCGAAGCTATTCTATTTTGGGGCTCAATGATACGTAGCTGCAAGCAATTCAATTTCATACCTTTTATCCTCACACGACCATACCTTCTCCACCCTCTTCTCTCCTCTCCTCCCCTCTCCTCTCCATCCATATCCTCCAAAGATGGACTTCCTCCGCCGTCTCGGCGCGGGCCTAGACAGCCCGACAATCCCCTGGAAATCTCTCATCATCACCTTCAGTGTTGGCGAATGGGCCTTGAATTCCTACCTCCTCTACCGCCAATACCGCGTCCTCCAACATACCAAACCCCCAGCCCAACTCAAGAACGAAGTCGACCAGAAAACATACGATAAGTCACAGGCGTACGGCCGCGCAAAAGCCAAGTTCAGCTTTGTCACGTCTATCTGGGCCCAGATCAAGAACTACATTCTCATCCAGCACAATGTATACTACAAACTCTGGGCCTTCGCCGGCACGCTTATGCTCAATTACGCACCCGGGCGCTTTCAAGGCGAAATCACACAGAGTCTACTATACATCTGCATCCACGGTATCGCCGAGACCATTCTCTCCACGCCCATCGATTACTACCACCACTTCGTACTTGAAGCAGCTTTCGGTTTCAACAAACAGACACTATCTCTCTTTATAACAGATAAACTAAAAGGCATCGGCCTCCTGGTCGCACTCGGAACTCCCATCGGTGCCGGCTTCCTCAAAATCGTCCAATCCACTGGCGACAGCTTCTTCTTCTGGCTCTGGCTCTTCATGCTCGCCGTCCAACTACTCGTGGTCACCCTCTATCCCTCCCTCATCGTCCCACTCTTCAACAAACTCACGCCCCTCGAACCCGGTCCACTAAAACAACGCGTCGAAGCCCTCGCCCAGAAACTCAAATTCCCCCTCGGAGAACTCCAAGTCATAGATGGAAGCAAGAGAAGCGCACACAGCAACGCCTATTTCACGGGCCTCCCTTTCCTGCCCAGGAAGATTGTCCTCTACGATACCCTCATCGAAAAAGCAGAAACAAAAGAAGTCGAAGCGGTTCTCGCGCACGAACTGGGTCATTGGAAAATGGGACACACTTCCAAACTCCTGGCCATCAGCAGTTTCCATCTCTTCTACGTCTTCGCCCTCTTCGGCGTCTTCATCAACAATAACTCCCTGTATGAAGCTTTCGGCTTCCACAACCAACGCCCCATCATCATTGGATTCATGCTGTTCAATGAAGTCCTCACGCCAACGGACGCCATCGTAAAACTCCTCATGAATGTCTTGACAAGAAAATACGAATTCCAAGCTGGTACGTCCACCCACCACGAACACTGACTGAAATTCTTCCACCTGCTAATTCCTCCTCTCGCTGCTGTTTAGATGCTTTCTCCTTCGATCTCGGCTATGCTCCCGAAATGGCCGCCGCCCTCATCAAACTCCAAATCCAGAATCTCTCCGCCATGGATTCGGACTGGGCGTATTCCGCCTACCATTACTCGCATCCCACTCTCACGGAGAGACTCAAAGCCATAGGGTGGACCAGCGAGAAGAAAATCTCGGATCAAAAACCCAAGATTGGAGGCGAGAAGGAGGCCAATGGTTCAGCAGAGAGGAAAGAACTGTAAATCCGAGGTAGATGTATGTTGTTCGTAATTGCATTGCTACGACCGATGTTCCATGATTCCACGCAGCGCACGAGGCGGCAACACCTGATGGAACACCTCCTGAAAGACAGCTACTGGGGTATCTCCGCGTTCTGTATCGCGCAACTCAATCCGGCAAAAGTTAGCAAAGACTCCATAACGCTGCGCTTTTGGCCCCAATTCCTCCCTCAACACATCAAGGAGATCCAACATATACAGTTGGGCCGCCATCCCTTTCCCACAAAGATTCATTGGTCCAAATTCTGTCTCCTCCTCATCTTCTTCGCCTCTTTCCTATTGAGTTTTTGCGCCTGGCTCAAAGGCTTATCCCTCTTCTTGGGAGGAATGATGACATTTCCATCCCCATCGTGCTCCACCACCACCGGTGGCTTTCCATCCTGTCGCACAACGGGCGCACCTCCTCGCTCGCCGACTTCGCCTTCGAGGATAGATTGTGATTGTTCGTATTCTTCCTTGCTGGTCCATTTTGATTCGGAAAAAGCCACCATCGAATCGGCGTAGGGGGTATTAGCCCCAGATCTTGCTTCAGAGTCCTCCGCTTCTTCCTGTTCTTCGGCACGCTTGCGCTTCTTTGGGGGTGATATTGGGAGGGAAGCTCCAGCAGCCTTGGCAGCTTTCTCCCGCTCCCTTCGTTCTTTCTTTTCCTTCCTGCGCTTCGCCCGCTCATTGTCGCCTTCCTTGATAACCTTATCCACCCTCGTATCGTCGCCCAAAGATTTGTCAATCTCATCCTCATTCCCTACAGCAGCCTGTACATCTCCCAGACTCATCCCTGTAGCCTCTACTACGGCGTCTTCTCCAAATTTCAACACCAATTCCTGAGTAGTCTCTGGCTGTAGCGATTCTCCTCTCAATCCAGCTTCGATGCGTCGCAAGTGGTGCATGACGAATCCACCGGAAGGACCGCCTTTGAAGCCGTGGCGGACACCTTCAGCACGCAGCCACGCGTCTGGGTGGAGGCAGGGTTTCTTGGTGGATTTGGCGAGGTAGGTTGCGAGGAGCGGTTGGGCTTCCGCGGCGGTGAGAGGTTTCGTGCCGTGCACGCGGCAGGGCGGGAACATGATGATCTTTGCGGGTTGAGCCATGGCTGTAGGCGAGTCGTGGCGGGTGGATTCCTTGAATGGGTTGTTGTTGTGCGCGACGAGGTCTGAATTGAAGACGAAAGTGAAAGCTCTCGGAACGGAATTTTGCCCGGCTGAACTTTCTTCCAAGGGGGTCAGAAGTCGTGGTCGGAGGTTTGGAAAGGGCACCGCAACTCCTGCTACATCACTTCTCGCGACAACGATATATCACGGCAACATCAACATTTACCAAAATGTTGTGCTCACGGTGCCTCCGCGGCACTCTCGACGCCTTCCGCCCAACTGCAAGACAATTCGCCAAACCCACTGCACCCATCAACACCATCTCTCAAACTCGGTACACCACGTCCGATCCCAATGCAAACCACCACCAACCATCTAACATCCTCACAGCCCCTTCAGCGCTCTCTCCTCCACCCTCCCAACGCGACCTACAATCCTACCAAGCCGCATCTCCCTGCCCGCAACCGAGGTCAAATCGACAACATACCTGCCAACAATACAACCCTCTCTTTCCAGTGTCCAAGTACGAGGCTCAAAGCGAGACACATACAATCCCTCCCACCGGGTAAGAAAGCGACGGCACGGCTTCTTATCAAGGATAAGAACGAGAACGGGAAGAATGACCTTGAAGCGGAGGAGAGCGAAGGGTAGGAATACTCTGAGTCACTAGGAGGGAGCATCTCCGTGTGAAAGGGAAGATAATTGTTTCGGAGCGAGTTCTAGGCACGAAGAAATTGCGGCGTTGCGGAGTGGAGGGTTGGTAGTATGATCACATGCGAGGAGCTGCATGAATTGAACCACCGCAGAAATACTGTACAGCATGCGCAGGGGCGATTCAAATCACTCATGTGTCTGGACATTTTTCACACCTCGACAAGGACAGGAGTGGTATCTCTGATGCATGGTGATAAGGAATGTTGATTGATTTTCCAAAACCACAGACCAGAGCCGCGGCAAGACACAGGGAAACTTTCAATGGAGTCATCCGCCTTCGATATCGTATCTCTACACAGATCTATTCCTCCTTCTTAAACAAAACAACAGGCCTCACGTCTTCTTTCCTCTCCCAAACCACGTAACGAAGCGCGGCGATCATCAAATGCCCCCAAACAGAACAGGGGCCCAATTGAAATTCTCAGCCGTAACGTCCCTGTACAACGGCCTAAAATAGCCACGGTGGCCACGGAGGAGCAGATAAGAACCACACTGGGGACACATACCATCTCTCTCTGCTCGGGAGTGGGAGTAGACCGCCTACCGTGACGACTTTGAACACAGACGAAACTCCGAAGACGGGGTGGTCCTGCGAGAGGGTCAGGGGGTAGCATAGAAATTCCATCGCACTCTGGAGTCTTGACAACCAGCGTAAATTACATTCTGGTAGTCTTCAACAAGTAATTTTACAGCAGAAATGTCCCGTAGAAGTGAGTGGACGATCTTCGTTCGGCGTCTTGATACTAAGTGTAGCTATACCAAGCTTTCGGGATCGGGACGGGCCCCAGGAGATCTGTGCGCAGAATTGAAATTGACCTTCTGCAGACTCTTTCCTCCTCTTCCTCTTCACCACGACATCAACTTCAAAATGTAATTGGTGGCGGTACGACGAGACGTCGCCAATCCTGTCCGCACGCAGAGTCGCATACACAGACATGTGAATGCCGATTATCATTCTTGCCCGGTAGGTCATTCGCGGCTCTGCCAGCGCTCGAGGAGTGCCTTCGAGAGAGCACCAACACCCACGATTTGCCTGCTTCCTGGCTCCACCACATAGCCTCCAAGCCTACTTCATCAATCAGTGGAAGATCAACCAACATGGGTGTAAGCAGCACCTCGTCTTCTCCACCCTTCTGTCACCCGCTTCAGTGGTACTGGAGGACTATTTAATGGACGGACATACTCGCCTCTTCGAACATCTTCGCAAGTCCTGGTCGTCGCGGTATCTTGTCAGAGCTGACAAGGTCGAGGTGAGGTTCCACGGACGTTATTGTTCAACTCCTATCGTTCCAACGGTGGAGAGAATCTATCCTAGCCTCGTTCTGCTGTAGCATACCGTTACTGCTCTCTTCTATAGCGCAGCAACAATGCAGATCTCCCTGGTAAACCTTGCACGATTACATGTAGAATGTCTGCGATATGTCCGTCATCATTCGCGAAACCATCGGCTTTAAACGCGACCAGTAAACCCGCACAATGTCTTCCTTCTATCTCCAGACATTTTCTTTTGAGAAGACTGTCGACAGCTTTGCAGGCCCTTCGATTCACTAGAGTCAACGCAACTTTCATCTCTGGCACTCTAGCTAGCAAGCTAGCTACGACTTTGGTTTTTTGTTTTTCAAGCGCTCTAGCGTGGCAACTTCAGCTGCAATTTCACTAGCTAGAAAATTACACCTAGAGAGTCACTAGCCAGAAGTCACCAACTTGCTAGCTAGGAGTTCACCACCTAGAACATCACCAACTAGAGCATTACCAGCTGGGAACTCACCACCTAGAGATTCATTGCTCAGCACATCACCAGCCAGGGCATTACCAGCCGGGGCATCATCAGCCGGAGCATCACCAGCCAGAGCATCACCAACGACAGGGTTGACACCAATTGACGTTCTAAAAAAGTGGAGTCACCTCGATCGGTTGCGATGCAACAATCATCATCTTTGACCAATGGAGCTTCTTGCTCTTTTTCTACAGCAGGATGCCAGCTTCATTCGATCCATATCATCTCTCTCCCATATTCACATGCGCATGTTCTCTTCTCGATTTTGACACTGACCCATCACAGACCAGAACCGGGTTGGCGATTAGGTGATAGCAGTCATTCTCGCAGTGGCATTTAGCGCCCAAACTTCTATCTTGAGCGGCCATGTTACTACAGGACTTCTCAGACCTTGACCGGTATGTTGATCAAAAACGAGGCTACAAACATACAGTCTTCGCCGCCGAACGAACCATTACCAGGCTGACCATGAAATCGTCAAGGTCGTCGAAGATACGCAGCTAGTATCAGCACGGAGACTGCTCTAAACAACTCCGATTACAGCATCTTCGCAGTGCAGCAACTTGTTATCTTGCCAACAATTAAAGTGAAACTCAGGACCACAGACACAGCAGAGTCAGACAGAGTATCGATAACGGTCGCAACCGCCCGTATAAAATTTCGATGAGCAAAGACGCCTCATTCCTGGAGAGATGGCGTGGTCGGGGCGGAGGTTGAAGCAGGTGTGAGCTGCGCAAGCTGCTGACATGTCTCCTGACCGCGTCAGTCTGTCGTTTGACATGGCACCCCATAGCATCACAATTGTGAAACCCTTGCAGAAACAAAAGCACTCACAGTCGCCTTCCATCCGCTCTACTTGTTCAATACATCAGAAATTGGAGAAGAGCACATTTACCATCGACAAGAACAATACCTCACCAAGACAACCCAACAAAAAGGCCTTATAGAACGTTCATCATGTCCAACCAATCGTTCACGCCAGCCATCGCCATCAGCATTGCTTCGCTTTCCACATCATCACGACAGCCAAATGATCCCAAAGCCTTCGATCGCGGCTCTCCTACTTCCAGCACTAGCTCCTCGCCTTCCAGCTCACTGTGCTCGTCACCTCTAAGCCGAAGCCCTACACATACTACGAGCCAACAAACCATCGGACCTCAAGATCCTTCTGGTATAGCAGACACCATCGCAACCCGATCTTGCAGGAACAGAAGATTCGCATTCTCAGAAAGCGAACGACGAAGACCCGGAATCTCAATGGAGGAGAGATTGGCCATGGATATGGACGTCACATTCTTCAACGATGCTACTCAGAGGCATTGAGGAGGAAGGTTTTTTTGTATCTATAACATGTCAAGCACGGCGTTGGGCACGGTCTCGAGGGCATCGTGGGGGGATCACAGTACATCACGAATGAGGAATTGAACGGCTACTTTTTGTGTAATGTACTTACCTCGGGGAGCGATGAGCTTGAAAAGGGAGGCTGGAGCAAGTGAGATTGCTAGGCGGAAGTATGATGGCAGGTCCAATCGTCCATCTCAATAAATGAATAAGAAGCGCGCAGTTAGCACTTCGCAGGCTTTGGAGATTGATTCTTGCTAGCACACGGTAATCCAGTCGTGTTCACCTGCATGCCATTTGTCTCCGCATCTACCCTCTCATCCAACACCTTATCAGCCAGCCTTCTCAGCAGAAGAGCCAATACTTTCCTGAATACCAGCCGCAAGAGTGTAAATGTCTTTTTCCATGTTGAAACAATATCTCATCCGGTCATCCCGACTATTGGGCCAAACTTGTGTAAAGTGAGTAAACATTGGAGGACGAGAACCGTAGCAATGCAAAATGAGCACGAGAGATGAGATGAAAAGCCCCATTTGTAGTTCCTCTGTGGTTGACAGATGGTATTGCCGCGCAGCCATTGTTTGCCCATGAGGAAACTCCAAAACTCAGAGTGATGCTGAGGAACACCGGATACTGCTTGATCGTTGCTGCCAAGGGAGGAAGCGGTTCCCGTTTGGAAGATAGACGTGGCTATCTCCTGGCGTTGGGTCGATGTGGCCACATGTGCTCCAGAATGCCCGCGTGAAGATGATGCTTGCAATGTACAGACATGACGGCAAGAGTATGCTTTCTTTCCTGCTGCACATCACCAAATACGGCCGGTCATTGCTTGGTCTATTGGTTTCCACAGTATCTGCGTTTCCGGGCTCAATCGTGTTCATCCGTCGTCTATGTGCTCGGCTGCAGGCCAATACGACCCACCAGAGCTGTCCGGCAGTATGTTGTCTCTCCACAAGACCAGTTGCGCCGTCGTTGCCATCATCGGATAGCGACATCGTTGTCGTCCGATGGAGTGTATGAAGCTGGGATCGGTCTCTCAGAGCTCGAATATCTAGAAGTGTGAACTGTGCAGTCAGCCTGTATGCCGTGTATAGCACAAGGATCCAACTCAGCCTTTCGCAAGCTGGAAAAACTTATGCATTGCTGGTCGAATACCACCAGGCCACCTCGCAGGTGAAGGCTGCAATCGAGAGTCTTGGTATATTCATGTCTACCTGTACTCGCTCATTTTACACGCCTCAGCCATACAAAGCATGGCCGATCTCAACTTTTAGCAACTCGAAAATCGATCTGTACGCCATGCAAAGAAAGGTAGAGACAGTCGCATCGGTCAATGGACTTAGGCGTGACCGTTAGCGCCGTTCGTCTGCTTGACGGGGCCAAGCTTTCCTCTCCTGGCGCGCACAGCATCTGCGAGCTCCAACAGCACCTCCTCGGTATCCTTCCAGCCGATGCAAGCATCTGTGATGCTCACGCCATACTTGAGACCAGCCTTGCCCTCTGGAGGAACCTTTTGGCTGCCCTCGTTGATGTTGGACTCGATCATCACGCCCATGATGGCAGTCTCTCCCTCGCGAATCTGGTCAGCAAGAGCTTTGGCAACCTTTGGCTGGTTCTTATGGTTCTTCTCCGAATTGCCGTGGCTGCAGTCTACCATCAAGAGCTGTCGCAGATCTTGCTTCTTGAGTGCCGCCTTGGCTTCGGCAATCGATTTCGCGTCGTAGTTCGTGCCCTTGCTACCACCACGAAGGATCACGAAGCAATCGTCGTTGCCGTCGGTACCAACGATGGCAACGTTTCCGGGCTTCGTGACGGAGAGGAAACGATGGGGAGACTTGACAGCGCCGATAGCGTCAATGGCAACACGGAGCGTACCGTCTGTGCCATTTTTGAAACCAACAGGGAAAGACAGACCAGATGCAAGCTCACGGTGAACTTGTGATTCAGTTGTGCGTGCACCGACCGCGCCAACAGACAATAGATCTGCCGTGAACTGCGGGGAGATGGGGTCCAGCATTTCGCTAGCCAAAGGCATGCCCTTGGTTGTTAGATCCACAAACATCTGTCTTGCGATGCGCAGGCCCTTGCTAATGTTGAAGGTGTTGTCGATGTCCGGGTCATTGACCAGACCCTTCCAACCAACAGTGGTTCGCGGCTTCTCCAAGTAGCTCCTCATGACAATCAACAGGTCATCCTCGTACTTCTTCTTCAGCTCTAGCAGTCGATCGCAGTACTCAAGCGCCATTTGAGGGTCGTGAATCGAACATGGTCCAATGACGACCATGAGACGGCGATTCTCGTCGCGGCCTTGTACAATGTCGACCGCCTCGTTGCGGCCCTTGATGACGGTCTCTTTCGACTTTTCGGTCTGTCGGACCTCATGCTGTAGGAGATCAGGAGGAGTGAGGGGCGTCATGCCACGAATCCGCCAGTCCTCGACGCCATGGCGCTGACCAACGAATTCATTTTTCATGAAGAACTGCGGTGGAAACGCTGGTTAGATCGTATCAAGATGTATGCATGGGCCGATGTTTCCTACCTCAGACATGATAGCGAGTCAAATGGTAAACGGTTGTACAGTTCCAGAAGACAGTCCGAATGGAGAGAGCTTTTCAATGCGCCAATGGTGAGGTATGAGTCGAAGTGTGAGTCTTCGTCTCGTCCGGTTCGGATTTCTCGGTCCTTTCCCCAAGAAAATGACACTTTAGTGCCCGGTCTGTGAGTTTGTCCCATTCTATTTCCGTACTAGCTCCTCGCTTGTTACGCCAATGACGAGCATTGTCCAGTCAGCAAGGCACAGTAAGCAAGCCTGAGCACATTAACTTCACCTCCACGATCAAACTCTCTTCCTCTATGCATCCATACTCCCAACATAGACCATACGATATCATCTTCGAGCAACCACATCCAATTAATTCTGAGCGATTCGCTGCTACCATCACCTTCTCACAAGATGTTGTCTCCGCCGATGCAGGATAGCGCCGTGCTGCCAATGCACTGGGGTCCTGAGCCAATCACAAAAATACCAGCATCACGGCTCCACAGAGGTGCTTTGCCAGGCGTGCAATGCAATATCCCTCGTACTCTTGACACTGCCACGCACCCGCCGTCAAGTATAGGCGTCAATTCATTTGATGGTGTAGCCTCGCGGAGAGCAGGCCATTCACCATGACTATGCATACGCCGCATTTGCGGCAGCAGGGGTCGCAGGGATTCTTGTCGCCATCAAGTCCTCGAGCATTTAATACGGGAGCGCTCCGCGCGTTCGTTACACAGACTGACACACAACTACCGTCGCTTCATTCGTCTCTATGGCACCAGATCTCTACGAACTCGTTCTTGGCACCCTCGAAATCATCTTTCTTATTACATGCTGCATTGGCTGTTACGGCGTCGAAATTTGGACCCGAACATCGTGGAAAACTCTTTGGGGGCGAATTTGGAGATGCTGGTCGTCTCCCGGAAACAGCGCAGGCTCGCGTTCCAAACCAGAATGTTCTGAACCCACCGAGTCGAAAGATCATGATCTAGCCGCGGAGAAGAAGAACGTACTCGTGTCCAAGAAGGAGCTGGACCGTATACCGTTGCGAACAGGATTTTTCCGCTTCCTCTGCTATTTACCACCCTTGTTGTGGATGTTGACGATTGCGCCAACATGTGCGCAAATCTCTCACCGGGTCCAAAACTCCAGCGTGATGCTGCTGGGCAGCCACACAAACTCCACGCGGACAGACGATCTAACAGTTGACCCAGACATAGGTGGTCTTGGGACTAGAGTTGGACTGTATATTACGATTGGCTTGATACTCTACACGATGGCCATGGGGCTGATATTCGTGGATGAAGGCGGGGCCAAAGAACTAGGAGCAGCGCAGCTCTTGAGTACGTTGTCCTTTCTTGGAACTTCATGGCGTCTACTGAACTTCGTCAGATCTACTCTACTTGAACTTCAACGCAGCCAAGGCCGCGGCAACGCAACCTCCGTTCAAGAATCTCAATTTTCCAGAGGTCGTAATAGCTTGTATATGTATTGACTTCACCGCCGCCGGGCTTCAAATGACCACATCCGATAAAGGCACGCTCTCGGCGCGCTTGTTTGTCAAGCTATCCGCAGCGAATCAACTGGTCGGATTGCTAATGATGATCTTGATGCTTTCAAGCATTCCAAGCAACTTTAAAGATATGAGTCACACTTACATCGTGTGGTGGGGACGAGTGGACTCTCTTACGGGACCATCATCTGCAACCTGGATCTACATTGCTATTCGTGCCCTGATCTTGTGCCACGGCATCTGGTTGGACTTCAAGAACACCGATGATTTTGATAGACTGAAGAAGGATTGGACTGCTTTAGCTCCGGGCGACCAACGTCTGGAAAAGAGAAAACACGCATTATCGGACTATCATTGGGCTAGTCTGTCGGCGACAGTGTTCTCTAAATGGATTGAACTGATTCCTTCGGTCATCGTCGGGATTTACAGCATCGAAGATTTGAGCAGAAGACTTCCCAAGTCTGGATCAATTACCGACTGGGGACAGAGCGCCACACTTGTCCTTGCCATAGCAGGTGCCTTAAACTGCCTGTACGTCATGAGAATACCCCTCCTCCGTCTCAGAGACAGAGATACTGGATTGGAATCGGATCAGCTCCTCAAATATCCAATCGATTGCCCGCGATACGACCCAAGCTGGGACCCCAAAGACGGCCACTGGGATCAGATGCTTCTGTCGAGTGCAAGAAACGGAATTCTAAAAGGAGTCCGACGAGCTCTCAACAACGGGGCGGGCGTAAACGTTGTTGACCTTGAAGGAGAGACCGCTTTACTGTACGCAATCATGGAGAGCAAGCGGGATAAGGGAGAGATGTACACCGAGATCATGGAATTCCGACCCGATCCTTTATTGAGCGGTGTCAAGCCCGCAATCTGTGTAGCCGCTCAGTACGGGACCCTCGAAGTTGTGGACGATTTGCTCCAACACTCGAAAGCAGTATCTTGGCAGCGCGGACAGACGGGTTGCAAGGCTGTAGTACTGGCAGCTGGCGCAGGGGAAGAACGTAATCTAAGACGTATTCTACAGGCTTGGACAGACAATGCGGCCCGTTCGAGTGGGACGGTGTGGCATTTCCAGGATGAAGTCGACTCTTGCGGAGAAACTGCATTGACTCTGGCCACCAAAGGGCACCACTGGAGCTGCGCCAAAATCCTCCTGGACAACCTACTTGAGCATCGCGAGTTTCGCAGAATCATCACTGCTCTGTTATTACCCCAGCGATGGAAGGAAGGGCAAGAGTCTGCTTTCGTCATCGACAACAGCCTTGGATCGGACTCGTTCGTTAAGGGAACCAAAACTACCTTTCTCCATTTAGCGATAGAGCACGAACGCACGTGGAACGTTGAAATCATTGGGGTAGCCAATATCATTCGAACCTGCAAACGATCTGTCGACTGTCCCGATGGAGAAGGCCGCACTCCTCTTTTACTGGCGGTCGAGAGAAATAACTCCACATGCGTCCGGGAACTCCTTCGGCAGGGAGCCGATATGACGATTAAAGATCGCAAAAGCCGATCCGCATTTTCTCTGATCTTCCAATCTGGCAAGACCGAGCTCTGGACCGAGATTCAAAGTGGACTACTGAGAGGGGATACTTCGTTCCTCAAGAACCTTCCTGTCGCCGAGCTTGAGTGGCTATTCGCCAGGGACTTGATAAGTGCGCATCTAATCTGCGACCACATTCCTCTCCTTTACCAGGCTATCTCCAGAAACCTCAAGACGCTAGTGAGAGTTCTGACCAGCAAGTTCAAAAAATTTCCGCGTTACGGTCGGTATAAAGATCCTATGTATCCTGGGGGAGAGCAACTGGACTGGCGATCACTGGCCGAGCTGACCCTATCTGCCGTGGACGAGTGGGAGTACTTCCATGGGGATAGCTACCTTGAGGCTTGGGATGTGTTGGTAGAGTCGTTGGAGAAGTACGACGACAGCGAGCCGAGGGTGTTGGAAAGGATTAGAAAAGTATTGGAACAGCGGCTTGGGCCTGACCCTTTCCAACAGAAATGACGAGCAACAAGTGGTGCCACGAGCGGTGCTGCAAAAGGGCTTCAATAGTCGAGAAGAAGTGCATTCCCACTATTGTACGATCAAAGCACAGACGGTTCTTCAAGCAGGCTATCTTAGCGCCTTTCCTTAGCGTTCGATTAGGTTTAGCTTGTGACGATCGAACTCGAATTCCCGATACCGAAAACTCACGACTGGGACCTCTCACTTCTCACTCCACCAGTCTTTAACATGTCGTTTCCGAGTCAGGTCCATGTCCACCTACAACGCTCTACTCGTCGATACAGGTGCTCGAAAGGCTTTCACGCTTCTCGATTGGCCTCTATCGCCACCCAACCCAATCTCGGTCCTGTCCTGTTCGGTGGCCCGAGCAAACAGGCCATGGCATTGTTGGAGGAAACTCTTCAGTATATGGCAGGTGTCATGAAAGAACTGCTGATGCCGCAACGATCGTTCTTGGGCAGCCGGTACCTTCATCGTTACCCTCTATCGGAGCCGCGTTTCAGAAGGCGAAGGACGACGTTTCAGGGAGCAAGCCAAGCATGTGGAATAATTGGGAAGCCGCAAGAAGAGTGGGGTTGGAAGTCAAACCCTCTGGTACAAGCAAGAGCCGCTGGAGTAGATCTGCCAAGGGTTCGGAGTATGTATACTTTGCTGAACAGTGCTCAACAGTTGGGAGTCCAGCGCTCGTCCATGCCGATGCTGCTAGTCGTATTTCTGACAGAGTTGGATAACATCAAAATCCATGCTTCAGCGTCTGATAGGCAAGCTCGTCTCAATGAAAGACACAGAATACAGAATTCTCGCACCAGCCATGCAAATGCACTTCAAGATTCCATAAGCTTTCTCATAGCCCAAAGCAGTGTGGAGGCCCACGCTTTGAACTGCAGGAATGACAGCTCCATCGCAAGACAAGTCGCCAGCCTTCCAATGCGCTTTGACGTGCCGACTTCTCCCCATGGCGCAAGCACTGTTGGCCAAGTAGACCTGCGCTTCAGTACCCGGGCCTCTCGGACGGCCTCCACGAATATCGGAATAGACTTTTGTAATTTTTCGATTGGTATCTTTACTTCCGGCGTTGCACCCTTTTGTATTGCTTCTTCCGCCAACACCCAGGCCCCCTCATTGATTATCTTCCAGTGAGCTCGCGCGATGATATAGTTCATGTCGTATTCGAGACGAGACACTGCCCGTTGGCGGCGCTCACTATCTCCGTCGCTGCTTTTCCTGATGGCTTCGATTCTTTTTTGTAGGGTCTGGATCTCTATCAAAGTGATTCTGTCGAACATATGCCGCCGAAGGTCACCCCGTTTCTGCGAAGAATACTTCCGATCGTGGGGCCGTGTGGCATCGTAGGATCGAATTTTGTTGTTCTTGCGCCCGCATCCAATGCACGGCGAGACATTTGTCTCTACTGTGCTTGCATGACTCGTGAAGTATGCTTGTATCCGAAGCGTACTTGTGAGATAAGCCAATGCGAGGAGAGGACGCGTCCCGTGATGGAGTGTATGCCGTCGACAGAGAAGTGGAATCGCCATTCCGGTGACGGTTCAAACCTGTGATGATGTGTCCTGCAGTGTCTTTGTCTTCCAGGTCGGGAATTGCGACGAGATGATGCAACCTTCGCGTTCCTGACTCAGCGAAGCAAGGTGGAATGTTGTGTAACTCTCGACAGCAGGGGGTGTTTGCGATGGTAGCATTCAGAAGTGCTGGCACTCATGGCCCGTGTATAGCGACAGAAATGATTCGACATTGAACCGCGCGTCGAAGGTCCTTCTCGGTAAATGCGATGAGGGTCCCAGTAATGTCAGCTTATCCAGTCCCCCAGATTAGCTGTGTTGAAGTCCATACTAAAAATGTCCCCAGTCAACGAGGTCAACATGTCTCCCGATAAAGCGTCGACATCCAATAAAGATTCCCAGTCAAGCGCATCTCCGAGAGAAGAAGCAACATCGACACCAGAGTCCGCCGGCGCCGATTGTACCTTTTCCTCAACCAAGTGAGTAGCATGATACACCAGAACAGTGGCAACTTTCTCCAATTTCCGTGCTAAGGAATTTCGCTCGCCCATCGCTTTGAGAAAAGGAGGGAGGCGGGTCATGGCTTCCAAGAGGCTTCTCACGTCGACGGAGGAAGAATTCGCTGTTTGCTTCGAAAATGACAAGATCTCTCCGAAGAGGGCCAAGAAAGGAGTGAAGGGGCAGCACACCAGCTGCCACACGATGCCGTTGAAGACTTCCTCAGAGTCAGAGACAAGATTTGGGAGGAGACTGAGCATGGAAACACAATTCTCTCTCATCTTGTCTGTCTGGTTGGAATGCCGCGCAAGCAAAATGACCAGATAAAAGTGGTTGAAGTCAAGCATATGCAGACCAAGATCGATCGACCAGCAGGTAGAAGAGTCAAGGAAGGGCTTTTCGGTCATCGCAGCGGCTGCAAGGACTTGATGCGCGTTGCGATACCATGTGTCCAATTCATCTCCAACTCTTTGTACATCTGAAGCATCGCCTTCCTCATAGAGCACATGCCATATATCCGCCATGTTCAGAGTGAGGATCATAACCTGGTAAAAGAAATGCGCTCCGAACGTGCTCGGAACGTGTTCCCCACCTGACGTTTGGTCCGCTGGTCTGAGATGTGGCTGGCAAGAGAGCAGTTGTTTCATGCTGGGCATGGGTATCTCGCGACTCATAGCTCTATGGAATGTTGGTGCTCGGCCAAAGATCATTGCCAGGCCCTTGTCCAGTAGGTTAAGATGCCAGAACGCGAGCTGTCTCCGATCCTTAGTCTCCTTGTCAAGGCCTCGACGATTTACACCCAGAGCTTGCAGCATCCTACAGGCGTTGCTAGCCAGCATCCAAGAGAGCGACGGGGTCGTAAACTCCTCTACATGAGAAGCAAGAATAACCAATGCCTGAATGTTAGCGTCACTGGGCTCCAAAAGCAGTCGAACATCGTTTAATGCTAACCAAAGGTTGCATCGGAGCTTGCCTTTGGTTGTTTCATCCTCGGGCGAAGTAGAAGACACATGGCTTAAAACGATGCTATAAAACATGACAAGCCACGCTCCATCTTGGACCGTATATGGAGCACAGGCTCGGAGCTGCTCGACGACCTGAGCAGGCGGGGGATATAGCAAAGGCTGGCCACGGTCCATTAAGGCTACGAACACTTTCACGGCTTAGACATCAGTATTAATTTTGTATTTACGGCACGGAGAAAGACTGACCATCAACCCAGATGCTCATGCGATCTCCCAAGAGGAAGAACTTTCTTTCTGTCTTTCCAAACGCCGCGGCATCGTCATGCCATACTGCTGCGCAAGCTTCGGAAAGAGATGAGAGTGCACCTAGCGAGTTATGGCTGATTTGATCGACTCCTCCGAGTCTCTCACGAGTGATCTCAATATCCGAGGCGAGGTAAGGCTCTGGACCAACTCTGCCGCTTTCGTGCTGTGGAGACCGCTTGGGCACTTTGAGTGGCGTGAAACTAGTCTGTTCGTCTGCATCTTGTTTTCGCTTTTTGTTTCGTCGAATGATGCCAGCTCGGGAATAAGTGCAGGCGGTGCCTTTTGAAACACAACGTTGACATCCAGAGCCCACGCGGGAACAAGTCACTTTCCGTGAGCGACACTCGTCACACTATTGGGAGGCTCAAGTTAGGAGAATCGTAACGCATCCCAGGGCAGACTCACAGCATATTCGGCAAGTGTACTCATCGGAGTATTGGGTCTGCGAGGATTCTCGGGAAGCCAATATATTCCGCTGTGCGAAGACGCTGCCACCTGCGTCGAGGAGGAGGTGAAGTCATTAAGTCCCGAGGGGCGGAAGTTACGGCGGTTGCGGAAGCTTTCTTTCAACCCCCATTCATCCTTCAGCGGACATTGGAGACTCCCGCCTCCGAGGCACCAATCAACGTTGAGCTGGTGGCATTGATCGAAGACATGTGAAAGACATCCGGATCATAGGATTTTACGACATGATTGTGCCATCTGGCAGTTCAGTGGATATAAAATGGCGCCTGGACGTCGATTGTATCGAATGCATCCAAAACTCACAACTCTGCCGGCATATCAACCAATTTCCCGAGTTCAGGCCAACAACAGACTTTACGTTTGCAAGACTCTGCTGCGAGACTTCTCTGGTGGATTGAAAGCAGTCGCGAACGGATTGCCTTCAATTCAGAGCATCTCTTCAGCATATTTGAAGAGCGTACAGCCCACCAGATCGTTGCAGACATCGCATTTCGCAACAATGACGAGAACACAGCCCCCGATTGCCATTTGCGGAGCTGGTCCCGGAGGTGAGTAAACGTAAGAGAAGTTTGAATTCCGTGTCGCGAGCTGATTCAGTCAGGCCTCATGTGTGCGAGGATCCTGGAACTCGCGAAGATCCCATACGTGGTGTTTGAGCGTGATGAATCAGCTACTTGGGCAGACGGTAGAGGTGGCAGTGGATGCCTGGACATTCACCCCGATTCTGGACAGCTTGCGCTCCGTGAGGCCGGCCTATTTGACCAGTTCAAGGCCGTTGCGCGATTTGATGCCACGAATAGGTTCGCCGACAAGCAGGGCCAAGTCGCGCTGGAGCTCAAAGGCGGTGGCCTGAGCTTACAAATCCGCAAAATGGTTTTGCCGGTTTTGCTACCGCACCACCACACTCTCACACACCGTAATCGCAGTAGTTACGGGGCCGACATAGTTGCTGCTAGGGCGCTCTCGGGCGCAGACTAAGGCGGAGGCGAAGGAGTAGGTTAATAATTAGGCTAGTATCGGTCGTAGAGTCGTCTATAGATAAATGTGAGAGTCTCCTAGTCGATTAATGCTATGAATTGTCGATTTGCGAGTCTGCGAGTACGATCTAGGTAGGAAAAGAGGTCTAGGTTCGCTAGATAAGAATGCCTTCTTATAAAATAGCCTACTTATTATTAGTAGCTGCCTTATTATTCGATATTGTAGACTCGTACTTATAATAGTATAAGCGCGATAATAGCTTTTAATCAATATAAAGCCGCGCACCGCTATTAACGGGTTCAATATGAAGCTAAAAGCTGCGCCTGACTTTATATTAACCGTTTACGTCGACAATAGCGGTGCGCGACACTCGTAGAGCCTTATTGTCGCTGTCGTAAGTTGTTATTGTGGTAGTAGAGTGAGTCGCGACTCACAGCGAGTGCCGCTTCGGCAGTCGGCAAAACCATTTTGCGGATTTGTAAGCTCAGGCCACCGCCCAAACCAACGGGCGAAGACGATGCTAGGCCAGAAATGGATCGCAAGGACCTTCGCAGGATACTTCTCCGATCCGTACCTCAGCACAACATTCGTTGGGGATGTAAGATCCAAGAAGTCAAGAAGGACCGTGACGGCTCCATGACAGTGCATTTGGCAGATGGCCGAATAGAATCTGGATTCCGTCTTGTCATTGGAGCCGATGGCGCGTGGTCCAAAGCTCGACAGCTGGTTTGTTGGTCCTTCTAGAAGTGCGACTTCGGATCGCTAACGTCGATCAGATTTCTCCCGCGAAGCCTCAATACCAGGGCGTCCATTTCTTGACAACTTCCATGTCTCCGAGAAACGAGCACTACGCTTGTGCCTCTTCGCTCGCCGGCAAAGGCAACTACTTGGCCTTCGGCGATGCCAAGAACATCATCTGCATGAAGCTTGGAGACGGCTCATACTACGTGGCCTTCGGGACGTGGCTGCCGGAGAATTGGGTTGAGGAAAATCCAGTCCTTGCCAAAGATCCCACAGCGCTTCGACAATGGATTCTTGACGAACATCTTGCCGACTGGCCCGCCGTACATCGCGATCTGATCAAGTACAGCGACGCCAACTTCCGGCCTTGGAAGCTGGTCTCTATGCCGACAGACGCCATTCCATGGAAGACAGTCCCTGGCGTAACTCTGCTCGGAGACGCAGCGCACTGCACGTGAGTATATATCCGTGGGGTTCGTAAGAATGGACATGTGCTGATCGGTCCCAGAGTTCCAAACGGTGAAGGTGTCAATCACGCTTTGTACGATGGGTACCTCCTGGCTGACCAGATCATCAAACGCGGCCTGGACGATCTTGGTGGCGCAGTAGAAGAGTATGAAAAGCTCATGTTTCCTCGAGGCATCGAGCAGGCCCGCAGTGGGCCGACTGTCATGAAGATGATGTTGGATGAGGGCGCACCGCATTCATTGATTCGGTTTATGATGGGACCTGAGCAGGATGCCAGAACTGCTCCGTTAGCAGAATAGTTCCGAACACAGAAATGTATAGACTCCAGATCACATCAGTTATCGCCGAGTTCTTGGAGTCTCCGGTGGTCATTTCGTATATGGGAACTTAGAAGGTGATCTCGTCGCAATCTGGCGCGGAATTGCTGATATCGGACTGCTTGGGATCATCATTATATTCTTTATTATAAAGTCATAGACTTTCTTTTCTTATATTAAAGGGGACAACTACAACATTATTAATAACAAAAACCCATTTAAATAGAAAAGGATTTCATGAGATTCTTTCTATAAGAGCAGCTATGAACCTATTAAACTAAGGTTAGGAGTAAGAGCTCTTAGATAACGTTTACATAATAAACTAGGCATAATAAATCTTATAAACCGTATAAACTGTTATGAAATAGTAGCTTAGGAGGAAAGTAGGAGTAGGCCTAGCAGTAAGCTGAGTGGTCACGTGACCAGGTCACGTGACACGCCAAGCTTAGTGATAGCAGCTAGAAGGAGGAGAGCGGGCTTCTCTCTCTCTTACCTTCTACTACCTTTATACTAGACTATCTTAGATACCTCTATATAAATTAGGTCCTTCTTCTTCGATTATTAAGTCCTTACTTCCGCTACAAACTACGTAACATATCCTATTCTTAATAGGTTATAAGCCCGGGTTTATAAGACAGGTCTTAAATTAAGTAAGAAGTACAAGTTATTCCTTACCTTATAAGACCTTACGGGAGGTAGAAAAGGAAGGCCGACTAGAGGCTCGCTACCGTAGTGTACCTAGAAGACATAGCTCTTACTATAAGTGTATATAAGTCGTAAAAGTAGCCTAGTAAGAGAGTAACCGGTCTGCTCTTAATACCCTATAACGGTCTTAGGAAGAGTCTATCTAGACTACTACAAATTCGAACCCCTCTATGTGTCTAGGAGGCACACACCTATAAGAATCCGCCCTTCCCGCCGACATCCGGCACTTCTTTGTGTGTTATCTAACACATACCTTTTCACTAACAACTGTTTTACTATAAAGCTATAGTATCTACTTATTAAAGAAAAGTATAGAGTTAGATTCTAGGTCTTTTAGAAAGAGGAGGGTAGTACCTCTATTATTAAAAGAAAATTAGAGAACATAGTTCAGTCTTTAGGAGGACAACCTTAAAGGGAAGAATATGTTTTAGGTTATTTTAAGTAGTTTAGCTTTAATAGAGACCCTAGTATTAATACTAGAGGAAATCCCTTTACCTAGTTTAAGACATTCAGTTCACTTACTAGAGTAGTCTTAGGCTAATACAAAAGCAAGATATAAACTAGTTATCTACCTATTAGAAGATAACTAGGATAAGGTAATTAATAAGAAGAGGGCTAAAGCTGTCTAGGACAAAATAAAGGCTAAATACTATAAAGTATATATTATATATACGATGTCCCTAGTTAAGGAGTATATTACATTTAGGATGTTAGAAGAATAGACAATTAGAAAGGCCTAGGTACACCTTAGCAATCTTAGGAGAAGGATTACTAAAGTAGATAAGAGGGAGTCCTACTATAAGAGTATAGAAAGGAGGATAAAACATCTTCTTACTAGTCTACTACCTATATACTAGAGTATAGTAGACACTATTTATGCCTAGACTAGGATAACACCTAAAGAGGCGCTTCACCTCTTAGAGTTATATAAGGCTAGGCTCTAAAGACAAGAAACTATAATGTTTACTAGGTAAAAGGGAGGACTTACCTACTATCTCTATAAGAAGTAGCACTTAATTAAAGACTGTCCCTACCTCTAGTAGGCAAAGCAGTCTCTTAAAGGAAAAGAGAGGGGCAGGTCCCCTCTAAGGAAGAACAGATCACTATTAAGGATAAGCCTGTCTAATCTCTAAAAGGAGATAAGATCGTTAAAATCCTTAGTAGAGAAGTCTCTAACCTAGAAGAAGTCTAGTTAGAGAGCTAAGAAACCTTAGAGAGCTTATGCCTCCTAAGAGGCTAAGGACTCTATAGCTAAGTTAGAATCCCTATCTAATAATAAGGAAACTAATAAGGTTGCCTACTCTATAGTAGAAGCAAAGGGCAAGTACCTATCTAAATAGTTGCTTAACTCCTATATATTATCCTATATAACTAACTAACCTTCTCTCTTTAGAACTATAAAGCCTCTTTAGAGGCCTAGATAGATTAAGGTTAGTAGTAGCTTTATAAAAGCTACCTATATAGGAGAAGTAGAGATAGGAGGGGACCTTAGGAAACAAATTGTTCTAAGAGATGTTCTTCTTGTTCCTAGTCTTAGTGTTAGTCTTGTTTTATAGAACTAGTTTAGCTAACAGTTTGCTATCTAACTACCTAGTTTCACCCTTAGATCTATGTCTAGCAAACTAGTTGTCTAGACCAAAATTTATAGAGGTGTACCCTTTATTTTATCTCTATTAGATAACCTATAGGCTATATTAGTAATAGATGCAATAGAGGAGCATATATATGCCTTACTTTTAGCTAAGGAACAGGCTTAGTAGGAGTTATAGTATAGGAGATTTGTATACCTTAGAAGTAGTAGCTTAAGAAGCTTATATAAGGTTACTATATTAAATTCTCCTATTCTAGTACTAAGTAAAAAGCACCTATATAAGGTGTACTTACTTACAAACAAACGAAAATATAAGGGTCCTATTACTAAAAGGAAAGGTAAAAGACTAGCCCTTATATCTATTAATATCTATAGGCCTTTTAATAGTACTGTCTTAAGGCTTAGTTTTAAGTACTAGCTAGAAGTAGTAGACAACTTCTCTAGGAAGAAGTGGATCTCCCCCCTAAAAGCTAGGACAGATGCTCTAATAGTACTAGAGGAATAGAAAAAGAAAGTAGAGAGGCAATTAGGCTGCTTTCTAAATTCAATTAGGAGTAATAGTATAAGGGAACTCCTTACTATTTTTAAGTAGTAGGAGAAGAATTTTAGCATTTAGGTTAATATAACTAATGCCTATAACTCTCTCTAAAATAGTGTAGTAGAAAGGTTAATCTAGACCTCTAAGTAGACAGTACGTACAATGCTCTAGGATTTAGGCATGCCTATAGAGTTCTAGCTAGAAGTACTACTTACTTAGGTAGAGATAAGGAACAAGCTCCTAAATAGTCCTCTAATTAATAGAATTCAAGTGTTACCTAATAAAGCATTTATAGGTAAGATCCTATTAGTTAACTATTTTAGGGTTTAGGGATGCAAAGTAGTAGTCTATATAGATCTAAGGTCCTAGCCTTAAGGTCTAAGAAGAGACAAATTAATAAATAGGGGGAAAGAGGTTGTCTTTATAGGTTATATAGATAGAACTATAAAGTAATAGTTGTTTTAGGAGCCTAATATAAAGGCTATTAAAGCTTACTCCTAGGTAGATTTCTTTAAAGAAGAAAAGGGAGGGGATATAGATTTAGGCATTTTAACTTCAAACTAATCTAGTAAAGCCCCCTAGAGGAATCTAGTTAGGAGACCAAAACAACTAGCACCTCCTACCTTATTATTAGGGCTAATAGATTAGCTACTACCTAGAAAATTGTTTATATAGCTCCCTCTACCCCTATTAGACAGTAGGGAGTACTAGAAGATAGATCTAGAGGGGACTTAAGAAAATTTAGAGAAGGAACCTAAGGCTATACCTTAGGAGTTATCTAAAATTCCACCTTAGGGAGAATCTATAGGATTAGCTAACCTAGATACTAGCTATTAGGGACCTACCCTAAGGAGCTAAGCTTAGAAAAGGAGAAGGGATCTAGATAATAAAGGAGACTAGAGTATAAAGTACTATAGGTTATTTATCTCTATAATGTTCTATCTAGATCTAAGTATAAGCTAGGCTAAGGAATTTTTAAATAATATAGAGGAGTATACATTTGCTATAGTAGGCCTAACTATTACTACATAGTAGTAAGTACTAATCCTAAAAACATATAGGGAAGCTATATCTAACCCTACCTAGGGTTATATATAGAGAGAAGCAATCTAAAAGGAGCTTTAGGCTTTAGAGATAAACAACACTTAGGAGCTAGCTATACTACTATAGGGTGCCAACCTAGTCACTTCTAAGTAGGTCTTTAATATAAAAAGAATAATTAGTAGAGCTATTAAAAAGTTTAAGGCAAGACTAGTTATAAGAGGGTTTTTATAGAAGTTTAGTATTAACTTTATAGACACCTTTGTACCTATAGTTAGGCATAACATACTAAGAGTGTTTATAGTAGCTATATATAAGAAGGATCTAGAACTGTACTAGATTAATATAAACAATACATTTACTAAAAGCACCCTCTTAGAAGACATCTATATAATCCTACCCCTAGGTGTTAAGATTCCTCTAAACACAGTCCTAAAGATTCTAAGGAGCCTATATAGACTAAAGTAGGCAGCTAGAGATTAGAACAAACTCTATGTTACTAAGCTAGAGTAGATTAGGTTTATATAGTTAGAAGTGGACCTATGCCTTCTTATCTATAGGGGGAGGAACATAATAGTCCTTACCTATATAGATAACATCCCTATTACAGCTCTAAAGCTGTTAGATATTCTCTAGTTTAAGGGAGAGTTTAGAAAGGTCTTTAGAATTAAAGACCTTAGGGAACCTAAAAAGATCCTTAGTATAAAAATTATAAGGGACAGAGTGTAGGGCACTCTAAAACTTAACTAAGGACATTTTATCTAAACAAACCTTACTAAGATAAGCATAACTAAAGACAAGGCCTATATTATATACTTACCTCTAGACAGCTATAAGAGCCTAAAACCTTTAGGCCTCTAGGATAAGAGGTGTAACAAACAGGAGTACTAGAGTTATACTAGTACCTAGATATAGCTAATAATAATAACAAGGCTAGACATTGCTTTCCTACTTAGGAGACTAAGCTTATATATTATAGACCTATTAAAGTAACATATAAAGGCACTAAAGAAGCTTGTAAGGTACCTAAGATTATACCTAGATCTTAGCCTTTACTATAGGAGAGGAGGAGGTTGCCTTTAAGGCTACTCTAACTTAGACTATATAATAGACAAGGTAGACAGAGTGTCTGTCCTTAGGTATGTCTAGTTCCTTTATAGCTTACTAGTCTCCTAGATAAGTAGAAAGCAAAAGTCTGTTATAACATTAACTATAGAAGCTAAGTATATAGTAATAAACTCGTATACAAAGTAGTTACAGTTCCTAGCTACATTGCTTCGTAAGATAAGCTGTCCTAAGCTTGTTAGAGAGTGCCTATTTTAGCTAAAGATTAAGGCTAACAATAACACTACCTAATTACTTAGACCTGTCCTTATTAAAGGGGACAATTAGTTAGCTCTAACCCTTATTAAAGATGCTTACATCTATAAGAGATCAAAACATATTAATATTATATACAACTTTGTTAGAAATCTTTAGTAGTAGAGGAAGGTTGTAGTAGAGTATTACCTAACAAAAGAGATAGTAGCTAATAGACTAACTAAACCCCTAAATAGTCTATAGTTCCAGAATTTTGTAAAGCAACTCTAGCTAGCCTAGTAAAAGGAATAGCTAAACTAGGAATTAAACCTAGGTCTTTAGAACCCTATCGTACACTCTAATTATTAGATAGAGCCTAAGAGCGCGGGGACGCTTCGCGGATGTCTATTTAGGAATGACTTTATAGGCCTAATGTTCTAACCCCTAAACTATTTAGCTAGAACTAAGAAGTATACTAATTAGGTAATAGAAGACCTAGAGTTTGTTCTTATATTACTTTAGTTAAAGGGTTTCAATTCTTTCCTCCGGACCTAAGTAGGAGTGTTATGAAATAGTAGCTTAGGAGGAAAGTAGGAGTAGGCCTAGTAGTAAGCTGAGTGGTCACGTGACTAGGTCACGTGACACGCCAAGCTTAGTAATAGCAGCTAGAAGGGGGAGAGCGGGCTTCTCTCTCTCTTACCTTCTACTACCTTTATACTAGACTATCTTAGATACCTCTATATAAATTAGGTCCTTCTTCTTCGATTATTAAGTCCTTACTTCCGCTACAAACTACGTAACATATCCTGTTTTAACATAAACGGTAATATCTTTTATACTAGACGTCTACTTTAGCTTAATAGCGTACGGATTGCTTATTTTTGTATAACGTTTTTATTGTTATTCTATATCATTTTTTTTTATTTTTTATTTTTTTAGATAGATTTTTATTTTAGCTATTTTTTTTTATAGATTTTCTATTTCTCTTTTTCTATCTTTAAGTTTAGTATGTTCTAAACAAAAATATAGACAAAAGTAGTATAGATACTAAGGTATATTAGTAATAGTAGAAATTAGGTAAGAAGTTTATATTATTACGTAGGTAGGTAATTTCGGCTAATATTATTAGGTAGCTATAACCCCCTCGTAAGAGGGGCCAGAGATTCTCGGAGGCCTCGGATACCTATACTACTGTATATCCAGATATTTTCAAGTGCATGTGATCGCGCTTCCAATGAGCACAGACCATCGCGCCGGAATTAAGGTTTCGGCGCGTTCCTCTCGAATTGTGAAGCTCCACTTCCAAGTTCACCTTTTACCGCTCGAAACAGATTGCACTCTCACAGTTCTTGCGCGACGCGCAGTGTCTGGTCGCATCACGCCATGGCGCTGTTCAAACCGCCTTCGTGGGCGAAGCAGAGGGCAGAAACCAAGGACGAAGGCGAAAAGGACCTCTTCAGCCATTCAAGCTCCTTCCTGTCGATACAGGAGGAATCCATCGCACGTCAAAAGCGCCGCGCCGAGAAAGCGAGAGAGAAGGAAGAAGTTCGAAAGGAGAAGGAGGCAGCAAAGGAACAGAAGCATTCCAGGAAGCGCAAAAGCGAAGAAGCCGAATCTAAGAGTGGGCTCAAGAACAGACGCATCAATGCTGCAGACGGTGCAAAGCTACTGGCACAGGCCGGTCTCGGCAACGTCGTCAATCTGGACAGTGACAGCGACGAAGCACAGCCGATACGGGAGCCTGAGCTTCCTGTGAGGAGATCGCCGCGAAGCCAGCGCACGAAGGACATCTCCAGCCCAGCGAAGCACAAGAGCAGACTCAGCAGTACCATAAACATCCAGCAAGAGTCAGACGACGATTTGCAAGTCACGGCCGTGTCGACGCGCCCTGCGCCTCCAACTCAACCAGACGACGAAGAGGACTCTGATCCTGAGCTTGATCCAGAGCTTGCGGCCGCGAAGCGCCGAGCACGCGCAAAGGCACGATTGAAAGAGGAGCAGCAATCAAAAGGCACACCAGACGTCGCAACCACCTCAGATGGCGACATCAATCAGACTGCAACTCCTCCTGCACAAGACCCTCCAGTTCAGATCTACATCTACTCGCCTCTTCCCAACACCACTCCGCTTATAGTATATCGGAAGCTGTCGCAGACGCTTCAGCCGGTCAAGGATGCGTGGTTGACGAAGCAAGATATCGATCGCGAGGTGGCAGACCGAATCTTTCTCACCCATTGCGGACGGAGGTTGTGGGACACTACGACTGTGAAGCGGTTGGGTCTTGATGTGGATAGTGAGGGAAGAGTCTTCTCAGTCGATGACAGGAGTCGGGAAGGCGTGGAGAAGGTAGCTGTAGTGGCTGTGACTCCGGAGCTGTTTGAGCAGATGAAGGAAGAGAGGGCAAAGCGGTCCAAGATGGCCACGAGCGAATTCGAGCCGGAAGTCCCAGAGGCCGATGCTGCGCCGGAGGAAGGGGCGACACCGCAGGAGATCAGACTGATCGTGAAGGCAAAGGACAAGCCGGAGTGGAAAGTCAAAGTTACTTCAGTAAGTGTGCCCCCGCGTCCTTCGAAACAGACCGAAGCTAACAATGCGGCAGACAACTCTCTTCTCCAAGATACTGCGAGTTGCGAAGAAGAACCTTGGGATACCACCAGAGCAGGAGGCTTACCTCGAGTACGATGGCGATCGCCTGGACCCCGAGGACGAGGTCGGGAGCACGGATATCGAAGACTTGTATCGCATCGAGCTATACCTGAGCAATTGATGCGATTCCCTTCAAGATTCGCACTCGCCTTGCGACGGCTTCACGACTGCAACCATTTCCCACACAGCCGAAATGCACGACCATACCACACGACCTCGACGACATTCGACGAAAGACTCCAATTTGGCGTCTCAGCGCGAGGACGCGAGAGAGAATCCCGCTTTCTTAACTTGCAGGCAGGACCTTCATCACACCGCTCTTCTTGCGAACGAACATGCCCCGACTTGCTTCAGCGAGAGATACCCGGAACCTTATTTGAGCTTCAGAGAGTAGTTACTCTTTTTACCAAGATATCGTAACGACGCGAACGCGTGCAAGCGGTAGAACACCATCCTTCCTCACGATCTCTGCTTTTGCGCAGGAACGAACGCGGCTAGATATCCCCCCCCACTACTGACCGAACTTCAGGCGCCGCGGCCGCGCGAAGCCCTCAAGGAAGGCCGCAAGCGTGCCCAATCCCGCCCGCCAGTCCACACTTGGGCAGCAGCCATGTCCATGTCCATGTCCGCAAATAGACAGACGTATGGCACGTGTGAAATCCGTGCGGCTTAAATTTTCCTCTCCCACAAGTCCTGTTGTTCCAGCCTTGCACGTGATGAAGCAAGCAAGCAAGGATGAGTAGGGTAGGGTAGGGTGGTTTTTTTCTGGCATGGTATGCTACTACTGCTGCATACTGCATGCAAAGGGGCACGTTAGCGGGATTCATTGGGCATCTATCCATTCCATACGTGGCAGATGGAAGCCCAAAGGCTCATCATCACGCACGCACGCACGCACGCTGCCTCGCTGCAGCATCATCATGGAGCAAGGTATTCCTTGTACGCCATGATCATCTCGCCGTCGACGAGATGTTCGGCTTCTTGCTGCATGTTTCTTGGGTAGGGGATACGCTGGTTGTTCATCATGGAGATGGAGGATGGAGGCCCAAGTGGTTGGTCGGATTGGAAGGTAGCAGATGGACTACTACTGCTATTTGTTACTTACGAAGGCGTGGGACGCCTTTTCTCTGCAGCCGCAGCGGTGTAACCACACCTCTTTTTTCTCCTTCGTCCTTCTGCTTGTCAGTGAGAGCTCGCGCGGTGCGGGTGGTTCAGCTCTTGACGGTGCGTTTCTTCTTATCACGATTGTGCTGCGCGGCATTGCATGTCGCATTGTCGATCCAAGGGAACGAGCAGGCAAGCAAGACAGACAGCAAGGCAGGCAGGCAGGCAGGCAGGCAAACGTGCGACGGTGTATGTCTCTTCTGTCTGTCGTTGGGAGGAGAGGCTGCAGGTAGGTCTGCGCTGTCTTCTGATGAAAGGCTTCGGTGCAGATTCCGGTGTGGCGAGGAGTCATCCATCGCCTGGCCAACAACGTCGACACGTCCTTTTCAGTTTCAGGTTCTCTTCTCAATCAATATCTCAATCCTCCACCACGCAACAACAACAACAACAACGGAGATCCGGACATCAACCAGCCGACCGAAACAGTCTCGGGATTCTTGGTGAGTTCTTGCCCCCCCTCCACTGGACCCATGTTGGTTTCCTTATTATTAGCGTGCGCATGCCGCCCTCGGGAGCGGCTACTTGCTGCATGTCTCTGGGAAGCACCCGGTCGGGCCCGCCTCTCGCTGCACTTTTTACTTCTCGGGAGGCTGCACTTTTTTTCTCTATCGACGCGTCGTCGCCTCGGACGAAGACTGCAGCAGAAGACCGAAGAACAAGAAGAACAAGAGGAAGACGAAGCAGAAGAAGAAGAAACCGACTGACGCGTGGATTTCATCTTCTCACAGGTGGAAGCGCCAACCAACGGGACGGGGAATCGAGAAAGGAACCGCCCACCGCCGAATCCGATATTGCATGTCGCCATCTTCCTGCCTTCCTGCCACCTGCCCACCTGCCCACCGCCCAACCGTCGCGTCGCGAAGTCTCCCCTATTCTTCTCGGGGGCATAAAACGGTTCTGGACCAGCAATTCAATCTCCACGGCTACCGCTACCGCTACCGCTACCGCATCCCGCCGTGCGTCAGTCATTGCGTTGTTGTCGTCCGACAGCTGCAGCCAGCGCACACAGCGTTCTTCCGCAGCCGCAGCGGCAGCATTGAACACTGCGCGGCGGCATCGGTGACTGCTTGTTGACAGTCAGTGATTGATTGTGTTGTGTTGTGTTGTGTTGTGTTGTGTTGTGTGGTGTTGTGGATGTGAGAGAGGACCTGGAGGAGGAATACCCAAGAAGATCACCCCGCAGCGGCGCTTGTCCTCCGCACCCGCACCACCTCCAACAGCAATTCGGACTGCGAGACTGTCTCCCGGGTCCATCCCCGTCGCCATCCGCGCCTCATAAACCTATACCGCTGCCCAGGGCACTCACTCATCATCCCATCGCATCTGGACCAGCAGCCAGCCTCACCCTCCCCCTCACCTGACTAGCACGCAGCAACCGCCTGTCATCATCAAACTCATCCTGCAACCGTCGTCCGTCACATCACGCGCACAGCAACAACACCCATTCATCAGCCACGGCGAATTTAACCCTCGACTCGCCCGAAGCGCACAAGCGGCGACGCGCGCAGAACAGTGGTAGACTCCCAGCGCCTCTCCCGTCCTTGGTCGCGTTTCTGCCCACACCCACCAGACGCGCTCCGGCTCCCGGGGAATAATTCAGCTCATCACACATACCTGACATTGTACTCTCCCAGTCCTTGTTCGCACCCAGCAACAAGGCCTGCCGGGAGTACACTGCAACACACCACCCATCCATGCCGTGAGTCCTCCCCTCCTCCAGCGAACTTGCTGGATTATTGCCGTCAGCACTGCTCCACTCCGCCCTCCCATTCTACATTGCATGTCTACAGTACCTTATTCCTCCACTCCTGCCCAGCCCCCCACCGCAGAGCACGCAGAGCGACTTTCATCGAGCGGCATGCCGCTCGCCGTCATCAATGGCAATGGCCTCCCGCTGCCCGCCTCGAGGCGCCGCAGCCGCAGCAAGCCAGATGTTGATGTTCATGTCGTCCATGCCCCTGCCCCTCCTCCCCCATCTTCCTCCGCCCCCTCAGCTCCCCCGAACGCCAACCCGCCATCCTCCCACAACCTGAAGCGTCCCGCCCCAGCTGACACCACTCGCAAACACAGTGCCACATTCACCGTAACATCAGGCTCGGAGAGAGTGGTGCACGTCTACCCTGACCGAACCGACCGTACCTCCTCCGGCGGCAGCGCATCCGTCCGCTCTCCACTCTCGAGCGGCGGCAGTCGCACTCCCTCCAGCGAGGAGAGCTGGAGCGAAGTCGAATACGAGGACGAAGACGAGGAAGAGATCGGTCCCTCGGACAGCGCATCGCGTTCGCGACACCCCCCACCCAGTCGCAGGCATACCGTGGAGGCGCCGGGAGCGCCCAGCAGGCGGCACTCCTCTCGCAGAGAGTCGGCCAGACCAGAGCGACAGGAGGCCCCGCCTCGCAGACACTCGTCGCGACGCCACCATACGAGTCGGCACGACGACCGTCACGACCGTCACGACCGTCACGACAGTCATTCGCGACACGCGCGGAGTTCTTCGAGACGCGTCGGCTCGGACGAATCGTCGAGCACCGTGGCTTCTGCAGACGACTACCCGTATGGACATCCCACCATGTCGCACTTACCCTATCCACCCCGCAGAGGGTACAGCCAGGCACAGCCGCACAGCCATGCTGGCTACCCACCAAGCATGACCTCCGGTTCCCACTACCATGACCCGTACGCGCCTCCTCACCAGGCATTGGTGCGGATGCCGCCCGATCCATTCGGCTACCCACGACAATCCAACCCATTCTCCGCGCATCCGCAAGAGCAGAACCCCTTCTCGCCCGTGACCGAGGCCTCGAGCTACTTCGCGACAGACCCCATGGGTCCTCCCGCCGCACCTCGTCACCATCCACCCCGACCCGAAGGACCGCCTCGACCACAGAGTTTCGCGGCCCCGTCTGCGGGGTGGGGCAGTGAGGTGATGGCGCCCTACCATGGTGGTATGCCCCCGTACGGCGGACACTATGGCATGCCAGGTTATCCTCCGTACCCACCACCCATGCACTGGCCGCCTTCAGCAGGCAGCTCGCCCCCGCCAAAGGATGACAAGGTGGACCATATGGAGGCAATCAAAGAGTTGATCAAGAAGCGGGATGCGGACGATGAGAAAGGCGAGAAGGAGAAGCAATCGGAGATCAACAGCCTGAAGGAACTCATCAAGAAGCATGAAGAGGAGGCTATTGCGCGACAAAAGGCATGGATCGCGGAGAGAGAAGCTGAGGCTGCTGCAAGAGCTGCAGAGAAGGCCAAGGCGGAAGCGGAGGAGAGGCGCAAGCAGGAGATCGACGACGCTCGCAAGAAGGCCAAGGAAGATGCTGAGAAGAAGGCGGAGGAAGCAGCGAAGAAGGCCCAGGAGGAGCATGAGAAGAAGCTGGCGGAAGCCGCGAAGGCGAAAGAAGAGGCGGACAAGGCGGCGGAGGAAGCGGCGAAGAAAGCCCAGGAGGAGCATGAGAAGAAGCTGGCGGAAGCCGAGAAGGCGAAAGAAGAGGCGGACAAGGCGAAGAAGGAGCTGGAGGATGAGATTGCGAAGAGCAAGCCCACTCCAGACTCCTTGAAGGCGCCGATCAAGTTCAAGGATGCTCTGGGGAGGACATTCCGTTTCCCATGGCATCTGTGCAAGACGTGGAAGGGTATGGAAACGCTCATCAAGCAGGCCTTCATGCACATCGATGGCATCGGCGATCATGTTCACCAAGGACACTACGATCTCCTCGGACCGGACGGAGAGATCATATTGCCTCAGGTCTGGGATACCATGATCCAGCCCGATACGGAAATCTCTATGCACATGTGGCCAATGGACGAGCCCAAGGAGGAGAAACCAGAACCGCTTATCGACCCCTTCAGCAACCTCGGCCTCGGCGACTTCCCCGGCGGCGGCGGCTTCGGGATGCTTCCCCCAGAGGGCCCTCTTCCCAAGAAGAAAGGCAGCAAGAAGGAAAAGGACGGCAAGAAGAAGGCCAAGGGCGGCGGTGGAAGCCCTGATATGATGTTTGCAGGAATGATGCCTCCCCCGCCTCCTCCACCTCCCGGGCATCACGCCGGTGGAGCGGGCACGAAAGACGCGTGGCCGGATCCTTTTGCTGGCATGAACGTCTCCATCGTGCCGGAGAAGCCATCCAAGGCTTCTGATAAGACCAAGGCGAGGACCAAGTCGAGGAGCGGAAAGGAGATTTCTCCTCTCGCGGCTTGGTTTGCGGGTGGAAGCTTGAATGCCAAACCACCCAGGAAGAGGTGATGATGACGCATCGAAGGAAGGGGAGGAAAAGGAAAGAGAGTTTCGTATCGTTTGAGATGTGTGTGTGTGTTATTGCGATTTGAGCGATGATTTCGTTTAACGGAGGATCTGAAAGGCAACGGAGAGGACAGCAGATGCGGCAATGGCAAAGAAGTTGGAAAGACGCACTGGGAAATGAAGGGATTTGATGGAACGTTTTTCTGGGCGTTTTAGCGGGACTCGCGTTGTTTGTTTGTTTGTTTGTTTGTTTGTTTGTTTGTTTGTTTGTTTGTTTGTTTTGTTTCTTTTCCTCACTCTACGCGATACCCTTCTTCTTCTTCTTCTTCTTCTTCTGCTGCTGCTGCTGCTTCTACGATGTTGGGGGGCTCTGGATGGTAACACGGGGAGAGGGAGAAGCAGACAGGCGCCTGGCGCCTGGCGCGCTCAAGAGGCTTGGAAATTAGTAGGAGAGATACCCCTTCTTGGGCTTTTTTTGGAAATGGATTGGATCGGATGGAATTGGATGGATGAATATCTGCGAATGTGGTCTTGCGAGGCGAGGCGAGGCGAGGGCGGGGAGAGAGAGAGAGGAAGATGGCTCGCGAGAGCTAGAGATATGCTGATGTGAGGATGAAGAAGAAGCAACGTATATGAATTGAAGCAAGGTATTGTAGCGTTTTTCGAATGAATATTTGATGATGATGATTATGAGTGATGAACATTGGGGGTTGCTTTCCGTCCCGATGAAGTGAGAAGTGATATCGTTTTTTTTTTCTGTCTAGATATTGATCTATCTGTTTGTCTACCTGCTATAATGTTGGATGGATGGCTGGACTTTTCCTGATTCGTATCATGCTGAGCGAAGAGAGTTGGTAGAATGGAGCTGCGCTCGCATTGGTAAGACCGTCAGCACCTTGGTATACATGTAGGAAGATGGGTTCCAGGCTGGAGAGAAGGGAGATATGCTAACGGAGATGGTGTTACCGTCCGATCAAAACGGTCAAGAGGGATGGTCTCGCAGTATGTTAGTGCGCTTTTCACATGCCAATCACAAGCCTGCCAATCATGAAGTCAAGTGAGTGGGTGAAAGTCGGACGAGATCGAGGAGCACAGGCTGGCTAAATGTGGATGCAGGCTTACTTATCCGCGCCTTTCCGAGACCCGAGCACCCGGGGGCTGGCGCGATTTTCTGGAGCTCGAGCGACCGAGTACTTGAACTTCAACTTCTTGGCCGACAACGACTCTCACCCCAACCCCACGACAGCTCGATCGCTACAGTAACTTACCCCATTTTCATGGTCGGATAACGCGTTGGGAACCTGCGACAACCAACCCATCTTTGCCAGAACGTGAAAGGGAAGGTGCAGACCGGCCGCGGCGTCGTCCTCAGACATGGCCGAAGCTGTGGAGCTGCAGAGGCTGCAGCAGAAAGTGGTACGCGTCGATGGTATTCGGGTCGGAGGAGGATCGATGACTGACTGCATCTGCCAGACGGACGAGCCGGAGGAGTTTGAGCACTGGGAGAAGCTGGTGCGCGCCTTGGAAACGCAAGAAGGCGGCCTGAATCGCAACTCCAGCCCGCAGGCCATCGCAGTCACCCGAGACACCTACGATCGCTTCCTCGCGCGCTTTCCACTCTTCTTCGGATATTGGAAAAAGTATGCCGACCTCGAGTTCGCGATCGCCGGCACCGAGGCCGCAGAGATGGTATGTCAGGCAAGAGCAGGAGATGGAGAGACATGCGCTGAATGACGTCCAGGTCTACGAGCGCGGCGTCGCGAGCATCGGCATCTCGGTCGACCTGTGGGCAAACTACTGCTCCTTCAAGGTCGAGACCAGCCACGACCCAGATGTGATCAGAGAGTAAGTCTTGGGCAGCCCTTTCCTTCCCTGCCCATAACTGCATCCAGCATCACACTCGAAGAGAGCCCGGCCTCGTGGGAAGCAGTGCTTCATCGCACTGGACTTGGTGAGAATTCCACCCCCACAGGCTGGCTACTATGAGAGTCTCACGTCTTACCTATCAGACCTGCACCCTTCACGGTTGCGCTCACCTCTTCGCTCGTCCATGTTGCGCGGATCATACAACCCCACCGCCCCTCCCTTGCAGCGGGCTCGGATCACTATATCCTAGCAAGAGCGAGCTTACGAGCTCCCTGAAGATGTTCGCCGCCCTCTCCCTCCTTTGTTTGCAACCACCCCTCCACTGCCTTCCGCCTGTACGACACTGACATGTACGCAACAGGCTCTTTGAACGCGCTGCAGAGAGCGTTGGGCTCGACTTCCTGGCGCATCCATTCTGGGACAAGTACATCGAATTCGAGGAGCGCTTGGAGTCGCCCGACCGCATCTTTGGGATTCTCGCCCGCATCATCCACATTCCGTTGCACCAATATGCGCGCTACTTCGAGAGCTACCGGACCATGGCCGCGAAGCGACAAGTCGAAGAGCTCGCCCCTCCGGAGATACTTGCGGGTTTCCGGGAAGAGATTGAAAGTAAGCCTGCAGCTGATCAGGAACGCGAGTTGCGATCTCGTCTCGATACGTATCACATGGAGATATTCAACAACACGCAATCAATGACGACCGACCGCTGGACTTACGAGCAGGAGGTCAAGCGTCCCTATTATCACGTCACTGACCTAGATGAGGCTCAGCTCACGAACTGGCGGAAATATCTGGACTTCGAAGAGGGCCAAGGCGACTATACACGCACCAAGTTTCTCTACGAGCGCTGTCTGGTGACTTGTGCAAATTACGAAGAGTTCTGGTATCGGTACGCGCGATGGACTCTGGGTCAAACAGACAGGCCCGAGATTGTTCGCAACGAGGAGGCTCGTAACATTTACCGGCGAGCGGCGTGCATCTATGTCTACATCAGTCATCCTGAGATTCGCCTGTGGTACGCCCGCTTTGAGGAATCCCTTGGCCGAGCAGACATAGCCATCGCCATCCACGATGCCATTCTCCGGCATCTCCCGGGACACCTCGACACCATCATCTCACTGGTCAACACGCATCGGCGGCAAGACGGCATTGATACCGCGTTGAATATCATACGCGCCTACATCAACAGCCCAGACTTCAACTCGTCGGTCAAGGGTGCTCTCGTCGCCGAGGAGGCTCGTCTCGTTTGGAAAATCAAGGGCGACCCTGAAGCAGCGCGCCAAATTTTTGCGAACAGCAAGCAGCAGTTCCTCGACTGCAAGAAGTTCTGGGTTGATTATTTGGAGTTCGAGAGGAACCAGCCAACTTCGGAAAAAGAAGAGAACGCCCGTTACCAGCGCATGAAGGCCGTCCTTCAAGAAATTCGATTCAAGACACGCCTGCAACCTGCCACCATCGCAGACTTGTCGGCAACTTACATGATGTACCTCGAGGAGCGAGGTGACAAAGACGCCATGATCGAATGGATAGAGCTGGACCGACAGATCAATGGACCCTACAGCGTTACCGGCAAGGTCGACGGCGAAGTCCCTTCTTCGTCTGCCAAGCCACGCACTGTTCCCAATGGTAGCTCCTAAGAGGCACTTACTCCACTTCTTACGAGTTGACCAGGCCAAGGACCGATCGACAAAGGATAATCACCTGGCGTCTGTCCCAGTCTGCAATGACCGGGATCTAGCCTTTGAGTGAATGTCAGCAAGTTGGTCGGGAGGCGCTGTAGAAGACATGTCGGCTGGTGTAGTGTGCTGTCGCAAGCGCGCTCCCAGCCCAAAACGATACCCGCGATGCTTTGACTTTAGACGTGACTTCTCTCGTGCATAGCACACTGAGCTTTGAACGAAGATAAAGTCGTTCGAATGTACTGAAATGTACTGAAGAAATACAGCGTCGGATTGCCATAGCTGTATGAATCCTCGCAATCGCGTTCATTCCAGACCGATGTTCATTTGCGCATACTCGCTCTCATAAAGTGCCGTTGTTGGAAATTCTGGAGCCAGCAGGCCGCTAATAGGCTCGTCGTCACAGATGGCAGTCTACCTAGCACTGTGAAGCGTTTAGTCATCAGAGCAATGGATGGCATCAGCGATCCACCCGTATCATACATACCCTAACTTTTGCGAGAACAGAGAAGCTCAAGAAGGAATGCAGATCCGATCACACGTCTTTTCAGCCAAACCAAGAATTCCCTTCCTTTCGCTTTTGCTCTTTCATTTCCTGCATCTGTGTCGTCCGAGAATTATTAGTCATATAACTTATTCCCCCGGAGAGAAAATCACCATCTCTCTCTCGAAAGAAAGAAAGAAAAAAAAAAGGAAACATACCCATGACTTCTTACACTGCTTGTACGCCCTAGATGTGTTTAATATCTCGTCAACTCGTCACCGTTCGTCTCGTCTCCGGGTCGGGTCGGTAAAGTAGGTAGGTACTTACTCGAAGTAATCCATACACATGGCCCGATCGCCTCCATTGCGTCGCATGCATTTCAGACTCCGGTCCGCGGCGTCTTGGCAGGGGTCGAAGTATTCGCTGTAGCGTTTACTGTTGGGTTTTGGAGAGAGGGGGGGGTTAGTTAGGTTGTAGGTAGGTAGTAGGGGGGGAGGTGAGAGGTGCAAGTTGAAGTTGAAGAGGGTTAAATAGGTGAGGTTGAGGCGCGCGTACCTTGAGAAGCGAGCGGAGCCTTTATCCCATGCGGAATCTTCTTTGGGTAATTGCTCTGATTCCTTTGTCATGTTTATGATTTGGATGATTTGCTTGACTTGGATGGATGCTTTTTTTCTTGATGGGAATGGAAAGGCAGAATGGAAGTTCGCCACGGAATTTGAATGAGTGAAGTCGATGGATTGATAGGTCTGTGCTGCTGCGACGGCTTAGAATTCACTAGCGGGTTCTGCGATTCGGATTCGGATTCGGATTCTACCTTACCACACTACCTTACTTACGTCTCTTCTTCTTCATCATTCCCTCTTCCTCCACTCACCATACCTTATCTACGAACATTACCGCGCGGTCACGTGGAGTCTGCGTTCGGACTTCACTGAGAATGAATGATGTGACTGGAGTTTACTGGACTGGACATCACTCGCGGATCCTTGGACTGGAACAATGCGTTCTGGGCAATGAGCGGACGAAACAGTAGCAGCACCGATCAAAAGAGCCCGGCAGAGCCCAGTACCGGATTTCCAAGATGGCTGAGGACGGTTGACCTGTGGCGCTCATCGCTCTCCTGGCGCAGGACCTATCTGTTATCGTTGCCGGCTCCCCGTCATGCACTCACTCACAGACCGCCAAGATCGGCGTTCGGTAGCGCGCACCCTATCGCAGCCTATAGGTCTGCTCTATTTCCTTGGCAACGATCACAGGCACTGCAACCATACTGCATAGCTTCCTAAGCGCGTGGCTGACTGGTCCACCGTTCTTGATACGAGGACGATTGCTGCCAAAAGGGTCAAACAATATCTGATTTCAGTACTGTATTGGCTCCAAGACGCGGAAGAGTACATCTCCAGTCGCCTGCGACAGACTGAGCAGTCTTCTAGACCTGTCTGAATCGGTTCAGTCGTTATAGTGCTGCTGTCCAGTCCGGAGTTGAATTGAAGACGACTTACAACACGCAACCCAGAGACCTCATGATGCTTTGTCCGGCTTTGGGTTATAATTTTAACTCATGGACGATCTATGATTTATGCAGGAGGACGACTGGGCACGAAGATCGACCGTTGTAGCCGAATATCAAAGTTGGGTTGCCTTGGTTGGGTCAGGCCAACCCTGCGACGATACTCGTCATCTTCTTGGCTTGGACACTTCCTGGCTCTGTGTGGGTGTCTGCTCCTCCAACAGCAGACGTGGTACACAGCGCTGAACAAGGTCGAAGTCACGTAGCCGAGACTGCTTGCCTCCGATTGAGAGCTTGCTTCGCTCCTATTCTGGCTCTTGTCCATAAGGCGGATTCAAACCATCCATCAATGCCACGCCAAGCCCTGCGCCCTGAGCCAGACATCACGAGCATTCACAGCACATCTTCCATCCCGATGTTGTGAACTCTCGAGCTCGCTTGCTCTTGACAGACGTCACACCTTATTTTGAAATCTGGGCTCTCCACGCGAAGCATCCTGGAACAGACTCGAACTAGAAGGACCATCCTGGTCTTGAGAATAACCTACAGACAGCCCGAAGCGCTCCCAGATTCAAACCTAGAGCAACCACACGGCCCAACAATTGAGAACGAAGTGCGCTGCTGGCATGATGCTGCAGGACCCGAATAGGGTAAATAGCGGCCTATCAATCTCATGCGAACAACCATTGGTGACGACAGCAATGGCGGTGGGAGTCGGCATCTTCGCACTCGTGATGTGGAATACAATGAGAATGAGCTGCCATCCTCTTCTCTCAAAAGCCTGAATTGACTATACTCGTGGATGCGCGGGAATCGAGAGCCCGAGTAAGAATCGAAGTGGTAGATATGCCGATATAGCCTGGAGACTTGAATCTCCATCGAGCTGACTTATTGCAGCTCTACTAGATCTTTGCCGGTGGACACGTAGCTACCACTGCAGCGACTCGCAATACCGCTGCGACAGCATCCGGACCGATTCTTGAATTGGGATCGCATTCGCGATCACGACATTTGATTGGAAGCGTAATGGTCGCCTCTTCCGCCGGCACGCTGCTGCTACGCAGTCTGTTTGGTACGCCAGCCAAGGCCGGAGATGGTACTGTCAAGCCAGCTACAGTGCCATTGGCAGCACATATCTTCTCGGTATGCATTCCCGTATTAGAGCGAGGGGAGACGCTGACGATGACGACCTAGATGTGCCTCTCACTTATCACGCTACCCGTCCTCGGAGTCTGTCTGACCCGCCGGATTGAGAGAATACACAAATGGTCGCGACTACCTGTCTCTGCTTGGTTGCTGCTGACCATATACGTCGACTCGTTTTTGTTCATCTTTGCCACGGCTCTCTTCAAAGACATCGGCACCAACAAGTCAGCCGACCTCTGCGAGGGGGCGATCCTGCTTTGTATGACAAGTTTTCGTCGATCGAAGTCGTACCGCTAACGTGCTTCGCAGGCCTGGTATGCTACATGAGCACCAAAGTGTTGATCTACACTTTTCTGGTTGAAAAAGCAGTAAGCCGACTTGCACCAGTTCATATCGCCTCCTCTGATCATGTTAATAGTGGGTCGTGCGAGGACGTCTACACCGGCGCAAGGAGTCGAAGCTCTACTTGTTCAATTGCTTTGGCATGCTGCTACCATATGGAATCTGTGTCGTGTTGAACTTCTTATGGTCAGTCTTCTCTCGCCTCCAGAGCCGCAAACTAATGGTATCCCAGGCGAATCTCGTTCATCAACACACATGGAACATGCATCATCGGAATCCAGATCAAGGCGTTGATGGCTCTGATCGTCTTTGAGGTCATTGTCAATATCTACCTGAACATTCTGTTCATTATACCTCTGCGAAGTAAGTCACCATGCCTTGACGCGTGCTGTTATGTATGAGCTAACGCTGTCTGCTAGAGCTTTACTCGTACCGACATGGAAACGGCAATATGAGACGATTGGCCTTCCGGGCGTTCATCGGTAGCTGCACCACTCTGCTCTCGAGCGTCGTCAACCTTTCGGTTCTCATGTCGGTTGGAGGTGAGCCAGGCTGGATCTGTCTCATGCTCTGTAATCTTGACAGTGAGTCTCGCCCTCGTCTTGCCCTCGGCTTCTTCACTCACTCTCTTAGTCCTCTTCTGCGGTCTCGTCCTTCACTGGGTGACAGCCTTCGACTCGAACGGCAGCTTTCCTCAAGCCCATGGCCCTAGGCCTGCATGTTCCTGTTCTGCTCCCGGCGCCTCCAACATGACCGGCTCCACCGCCGTCGGCGCTCTTGTCTCGAACGCCACATGCCAAGTTCCGGATCCCGTATACGCTCAGCGGAAGCAACGTTGCAGCGATGAAGATTTTCCGGAAAGCTGTTGGAAGGCTCATCCTTGGGATATGGCAGGACTCCCGCCTTCGTGCGGGGGCCCTCAGGCCGCGCAGACTGCCCCAGACGGTGCGCCCAGCAGTAGCTGCGAGACTAGTCCTGGGGGAAAGAAAGAGCAGGAGGATTTGAGGGGAGATAGTGTCACTGAAGTTGACGAGACAGAGAGAATAGAGATGGAACTCGGTGAAAGGGGGTGTACCCATGGCGAAGGGGACAGAATTGAGAAGTGCGAGGTCTGATGCTGTGTGGGATCGAAGCTCGACGGCGTTGGAACATGGATAGGACGGTGTGTGTAGCGACTGTGTCACTGCAATGGGAGGTTATCGGAGCGCGCATGTAAGGTCAAAAGCTGAAGGTTCATTTGGGATGCAACTTTTGTAGGACGAGCGCCTGGGCTCGCTAATACGTATGGGAGGAAGTGACACCATACCTGGAGAATTCCTGGTTGCGACATGAGAACGGTCAAGTCATATGAGACGCGACACCAGGCCACGAATTGGAGACCAATCAACACGGTCCGCAAGAAGCCACAGGCGAGACTTTCAAGGCTAGAACAGCTGTGGACGGGCTAGTGAGATGAGATTTCTCAATTCATGGCATGCAGCACTCAGCTTCAGGTCCTTCCGCGGCTCTAGCAGAGGGCGCTGCGGTCGCTGTCGAGGCTACGGGAAGGCGTACTGGTGTGGCGACCTGGGCAAGAATCCATGGTGCAGGCAGAAGAGCTGCCACAGCGACGAGAGAAGCGTCTTCTGGGACGAGCGGTGCACAGATGGCAGCTACTATTGCTGCATCAAGAAGTAGAGGTTGTCGAAACGAGGCGCCAAGTACCGGGAGATATGTAAAGATCGAAGAAATGAAATGGTTAACGAAGACGTTCGGCTAAAAGAACTTCCAGACGTGAGCCTGACACGTGATGAATCTGTCTTAGGCTTGCCGCTAGCCGCTAGCCGAAGTCTAAAGTCGCGCCAGCGCTGCAGGCTGCGCATCCCACCAAGAACACCCCTCGTCACAGCAGCTTCTCACACGACAACAATCATTCACTCGCCCAACACAAGTGACGACCGGCGCCCCGACCATTAACGCTGCGCTCCAAGACGTCCAGCAACACCTTCGTACAACCGACAGGTCCCGGCAGGACCGGCCCTGCGGACGTCTGACCACTTTTCATCAAACGCAACAACGGGGCTCTCGGCCTCACGCTCAGACAACGAAGACCCTCCGACCCACCAGAACATATGATACACAACACACCTGGAATTTAGTACACGATGCCTGGCGACGGATCATACCAGACTGCGGAGGGTAGCTCGCGGAAGCGACTTAAGACCAACTCTCGCGATGCTGGCCGCCCCGCAGGAAATCCCTCCAAAAGCCCAGAGGTTGTATCGCTGCTGAGTTCCACGCCCGCGAAGCCCCAGCTTGCTGCTGCGACCGAGCCTTCTCAGCCGGAGGGCGGTCACACGAAAAGCGCACCCTGCGCCCACGAACAGTCTTTAAGTACACTTCACGGCGACCTTGACGCCATGCGCCAGCTCATCACGTGTAAGATCTGCCAGCGCTTCCTCTACGAGCCTTACGCCCTCACCTGTGGCCACACATTCTGCTACAGCTGCCTCTCGCAGTGGATGGTGCAGAACCATAAGAAGACCTGTCCGGACTGCCGTACCAAGATCAAGGAGCAGCCAGCTCCGTCCTATCTGATCCGTGAGCTGGTTTTGGTCTTCACCAGCAAGAGCGAGTTGCTCCCGGACGGGGAGACTTCAGAAGAGCACAGTCAGATAGCCAAGGAGGAGGCGGACATAGTTGCCAAAGATAAGTCAAACACAGACTCACGCAGTGGAGGTCTGTTCAAAGGCTGCTTCACCGCGGGGGGTCCTCGCCTACCCTTGGTTGCGATTCGCGACGATAGCGACCACGTGGACAGATGCCCTCAGTGTCTACATGAGGTAGAACGCGGTCGGTGCAACCACTGCCATGTCCGCGTGCGCACGGAAGAGGACGACGAGAGCTTGGAGTGGAGCGACGAAGACGACACGGACGAAGAGCTAGATCAGGAGTTCCTCGATGACCTGGCTCGGGATGCGGAGAATGATCTTGCCTATGAGGGTTACTCTGATTTCGAAGGTCTTGGGCCGTACGGCGACGACCACTGGGTACCAGGGTTTCATCCGAATCTTGGTGCGGCCAACTTCCCGTTTTCCGATGGCGATGATGACGACGAGGAAGACGAAGACGAAGAAGACGAGCACGATTTACAAGGCTTCATCGCTGAGGATGACGAGCCGCTGCGCCACTACCACGACAGCCTCGACGGTCTCTCGGATTCTGAGGAGGGCACCGAGGCAGCCGCACCCCACCGTCGCCAGAGGAGGCAGGCTCCTATCGTCGTATCCGATGAGGAGGAAGACGAGGACGACGACGAAGAGCCACAGCTCCACAGTCGGCACGTTGAGCATCGCTCTCTTGACAGTCGTCCTTCTAGAGGACTGCCCGTGGGTAGAGGCCACGACTCGGAGTCTGAAGATGATGACGATGATGACGATGATGAGCCTATACGTCCAAGCCAGCGTAACGTGAACCGCAGAGATCGGACCACTGCCAGAATCGCTCGACGTCCTGTCACCGTGGTCAGCGATCCAAGCGATGACGAAGATTCTGATTCTGATTCTGAGGGTGAGGGCGAGATTCGCCCCGTCGGAGGCGGATTCTCTCCATTACAATTCACAGAGCACGACGGCGAGGAGCACTCAGAGGGCGAAGGCTACTCTGGTTTTAACGGCGGACACGAGGATGACGACCAATCCGAGACCTATCGCACCGAACCAGACCAAGTGGGCTACGATGATGGCTATGGGTACGGCGCAGAAGACGATGAGGATGGCATGAGTGATGCATCCGATGAGCAGAGTACGGCTACTGGGTGGGACCCGTGTGCTCCCTAGATACTGCCATTAACGCTCAATGCTGACGGCGATCACAGGTATTCATACTAGTCGCGGAAGACCTCGGCCGAATTCCTTCCGTCGTTTGCCAACGCTCAGTCTCCGTCGAAACCGCTTCGCTGATCCACCCTCTCGACCTTCAAACTACTCATTACTGTTCCCGAATGCCCCACAATTTGGTGCGTCCCACCACGGGCCCACTCGTCGCGTGGCGGAGCAACCTGCGGCGCGAACATTTCGATCTCCCGCCGCCGCATACCGACCAGTTCGTCCCACCCCAACACACCCCTTCACGCTGGACAACACTCTCGCTTCCATCGGTCGCAACCGATCGCGGTACTCTCCGAGGAGACTGGGCAGTCGCCGTACCGATTCGGCTTCGGCTGTGAGCAGCCAGAGCAGCACTGGCGGCGTTGATGTTGCGTCCACGTCAGGGTCTTCTGGTAGCAGCAGAACGATTCGTGCCGATGACGACAACTTGAACGTGTCGAGACGGAGGCGCTTCTTCGAGCTAGAGTCGGAGTCCGACTAATTCCCTTGTCGCAGTACTGGTGGGGATCTCACGCGCGAGCGGGCATTATGGGATTGTGTTCTTCGCTGTAATGCCTCTGATGATGCTGATATGTTGGAATGAGAGATGAACAAAGTATGCCTCAGCGGTTTCTTTTAGCCAAGAGCAAGGTATGAGCCTTGGAAGGGCATCATTCTGTAGTTTAATGAGGATACTATGAGGATACTTCAGCAATTGTCACGTGCTGCCAGCGGCCGTGCGCCGGTCTTCGGCAAGCGCTGACTGCACTGCACCTCGTCTCATTGTATCCCGTCGTTTGTGATCGGGTTCTTGTGTCCCATGAACATTCGCGCGCTTAACGCTTCGCCTTGAGACACCACATGACTAGGTGCCACTGGCATTAGCGTGCTTGCTCTCGATGCCTTGCTGCCTGACCATTATTAGAGAGCTCTCACCGGGGACGGGGAAGCCACGAAGGGGCGTGACAAGGGCTGGAGTCAGGCGTCGACCCTCAATTTACCTCACTCTCGCGTGCGGCCTCCGACTTCGACTTCGACTTCAACTTCGACTTCAACTTCGACTTCACGATACCATACCTGAACCTCAGCACGCATTCATTTCGCTCGCCACATTTTGGGCACCACAAAGCTTGATCATAGCTGAGGAGCTACAAACGCGCCGCTCCTGCCTTTGACCACTTGGAGCACGCCGACTGCTTATTTTGCTCGCCTCTCAGACCAGCTGTGTTTCACCTGGTCGCGTACCTTGATCCCAGACTATCAAGCTGTTATTGCTCCACAAGCCGAGATATTGCTGTACGGCCTGCCGTGCGTCAGCCTCCGTAGGCTACGTCTTCCAGACCGGCATTTCCACCATGGACAATGAGCAGCCAAATGAGCAAACGGCAGTTCCGCAATGTCACCTCTGGAGGATGCCGCAGGAAATTATTGATATGATCGTCGATATGGCCTACGCTCACAAGTCCGGAGACTGCATCAAGACCATCCGCGCCTGGAACGACGAGGAGATTCGGCGCAAGAAGCTCGGTGGGCACACGTATCAGATTCGGCCTTTCAAGCCCAAGGTCGATGATTTCCTGGTCTCCAAGGCCTTTTTTGCACTTTCCGCAAAAGCGTGGTTCAGCGTGCAGACGTGGGAGGATGGACCTACGCATAAGTCATCTTTCTTCAGGTCAAGGCTATTCTACGAGTATGGAACCTACGTGGAGCGCCCAGCAGATTCGAGACTGGAGGGGGTAGTCACATGCCCGAGACTTCATACGGCGCACATCGGCATGACGACAGACAATTTCGATGAGCTGATTCTGCAGGAAGGCCTACCTGCGAGTGAACAGAAACTACCGTGGATCGACAAGCTCGAGGCCGCGGACTTTGAGAAACTGAAGGTCACCGCTGCTCTGAAGAAAGCAAGTGGACTGCGGGAATTCTCTCTGCGACCCGTGGGATATGGCTACACTAAGAGTGACGAGGACCGACAGATATGGAAAGACAATGTGCATGCTCTGGAAGAATACGTGCGTCCCATTGTCACTGGCCCGAAGAAGCTGGCTGATGAGGAGTATCCGAAAGACTGTCCACGTCCGCTCTATGCTGGATCGAGAGTCTGCTGGGACACATCAGATATGCTCCCCGAGGACTTTTGGAAGGAGAGGTCAAGGGCTGGAGGGCCGTTCCAGGTAATAGCCAGGTACAAGAATCTGGAAGACAGGGAGGTAAAAGCGAAGGAGCTGAGCGGTATCTACCTGGAACGCATGTTGAAGCTTGGTGTTGATGCGGACGAGATGCTGCGCTTGGCGATCGAGCTGAAGAATAAGGAGCAGCATGAGAAGGAAGAGGAGGAGCAGTGCGTAGAGAAGAGTATGGTCGGCGCGATCAACGAGCAGTGCAGCTCCGCAATTCACGATCCCACGATATCGGACAACACATCGGTGCCCAGTGCTTCGCAAATCGAGACATCGAGTGCCACGGAACAGTCATGCGATCAACTGTCTACAACTACGATCTCCACTACGGGTCACCGAGGAGCAGATGAAACAAGGGAAGAGTATAGTGCCGACGACAAGAGGGATTGTGGAGACCCCTCTGAGAATCCCTCTAGCAACGAAACGCTGGGCTAGCAGGGAGGGAACTGGCTAGGACCCAAGACAGCTCCAGAATAAATATTTACGCAGGGTCGGCATTTTCTAGCAACCTTGAGACGTGGTAGCCATTGGGGATTCCAGGTGCTGGAAGACTAAGATCACGACGCATCTTTGGATGATCGCACGTATGACCTTCGTGGATCATTGAAAATCCATATTGAAGCACCACCAACGACAGAAACTTGGGTTGAAGAGAATAAACTGCAGCTTCATATTCATAATATCTGAAAGTCAAGAAAGTAGTATCAGCGTGATTTCCAATCATGCTCAGAGAACTCGGGACTCAAGCGTCGGCTTGTCACATTGTTGATCACGCATTCAAGTCATGTCACAAGCTCTGGTTACTGACGTATTTAAGAGGAACTCGCTCCTCAAGATTCGAATTGCTTTCAAGAAAACCATACAACTGCCATGGTCAGCAAGGCTAACCCGGGACTTTGCATTGATTCGTGGGTGGAAAGAGACTCTGAGATGGTTCCGGTCGAGATCCGTATTCAGCAGATCTTTCTTGAGGAGAGCGGCTGGAGAGGCAGAGGAACGGCGGGGAGAACGCGGATGGCTGTGCCTTTTCAATTCTTGAGCTGGAGGATTTGTGGTATGGTTGCTGCTTGTGGGTATTTATGTTCTCATACTCCTCTTCCAAGAACGCTCGCACATGCGGTCGTAGAATCAGTCATCGAAACGTCACAAGAAGCCAGAAGGAGAAGAGTGGCCGTGCGGTTGCATGGAGATGTATCTCAGGCGGCTGCTGCGAATCATTCAGAACGTCGCTGACCGACCTTGAACTTGTAGCTTCTATGCCGACAGCACGGCCAGCACAGGGGTTCTTACGAATGCCTAGATGTGGCGATCGACTTGCTGCTACCTCTTCGCGTCTGGGAGTTACTGAGCTCTGCTTGGGCGATTGCTACCTTGGGGAGGAGAACTTTGTTTGCTTCCCGCCTGGCGGGTTTGTAGCTTGGTTGCAGTGAAGGGTGTTCTTATCGAGATGACTGAATAACCGAGTAGTCGCATGGGCCACTCTCCAACAACAACTAGACAAAAGAGTGAACGCTGTTGAGACGCGATGCCAAGGCGGCGTTAGCGCGGACATGTGAAATTCGGCTGGTCGGCTAGCGGGCCACAGTCGTTCCTTCCCAAGCAGAGAAACAACACAGACAAACTTCTTCCTCACTCACGCACGACAACTTTCAATCTTCATCAACCAACCAACCAACCAACACCAGACAAGATGACGACGGTCAAACTCACCATCTCCGTGCCACTGGAGACTGTCCAAGCCATCAAAGCCGCCGCCACCAAGGAGTCCGTGCTCGCCAACACTGACATCTCTGCAGCCAGCACTGCAGCCGTGTTCGCCGCGGTCGAGGCGTCCGAGAACCTGGCTTACTACCCGATGTCCACGGCTACACCGATGACCTTTGTCATCGCGATCCGCAGCTCCAAGGGAGGAAGCTACCCACTGTGGATCGCTCCTACCACCACGGTCCGCCAGCTCAAGGCGATGATCGCGCAGCGCAGCGGTCTCGCTCCGGAGCTGCAGCAGCTGGCATACTACGACAAGCAGCTCGGCGAGTCGGCCGACGACGAGCACGGCGAGGACACCAAGTTGTACAAGGTAAATTGAATGGACACATACTTTCTACAGACGTGGAAGCTGACTTGCGCCTCTACAGCATGGCCTCCGCAGTGGAGATGTGGTCCGTCTTGTCGTGAAAGACCGCGAGTCCTAGGGCGGCGAAGGATACCGAATGGGCAATCAACGGCAGAGCACTTGACTGTACTGAGGTGGCGGCGGCAATGACGAATGGTCTTGGGCGCTGGATACGATGTCATGCTAGCATGTGAAAGACGGGCGCCCGGCCGGGTGGCCAATCACCGAATTGCACAGAAATTCACAATGACCTTCAAGTTGCCTCGTTTCTCAATTTTCCCTTCCACGCTATCACAAGCCTTCGTCCAGGACCCCATCGAAGTAAACACGGACGACAAGTTCGTGATCTCTGCAGAATATGCCGTTGGCCCTCAGCACGACTATTTGAGCGCTTTCAGTGGCTCTCAACATAACACATCGTCCAGAGCTCACCGAAGCGCAGACACAAGCTGCTCAATATCGAAGGGTTTCCTTTCAAGACCCCAGCTCCTCCACCACGATCGATAGCGTCCGCATCTTGATCCGAGACAAGGAGGGTTACTCGCCAGAGCGCCAGATGTTGACCTTTGCAGGCAAGCAGCTGTTGGATGAAAGCACCTCGTGAGATGTAAGCTCTACTCTCGAATATAGGGCGAGGAGAGGTTGATCTATCCTTGACAGTACCACATCCAGAGGGACTCGACCTTACACTTGGTCCTGAGACGTATCGGTTCTTGAAGTTGGAGCAGAGATGATATGATAGGCAGCATGGCTGCGGAAGGTGCCGACTCCAGCGGCTGCAACAAAGGCTTGTTATGCTTGAGCCTGTGCGGCGGATGTGAGTGAAGATTGTAGCTTGAGGTCCTAAAGACGAATCAGTACAGTCGAAGCATGTGAAGCGCTAGTGATTCGGCGAGAAGCCGAATCACGGCCCGCCGTCCGTTTGTCGAAAAACACAAACGCTGCTTTCAGAACTGCGAAATTTTCTTCCACCACAGATCTTCTCCACATCCGAGCCCGAAACAGCCTCTACGACACCACGGCAAGATGTCGCTGAACTTGACCGTGACCGTGCCCCTCGAGGCGATTCTGGCTGTTCAGGCGGCGGCCGATGGAGATAAGACGCAGTCGGTCACCAACTCGAAGATCGTCGAAGCTGTTGTCGCCGCCATCGAAGCACTGCCTTGTCGGATTCAGCCAAAAGACACTTCCGCAGAACAGTCTGTGTCTGCCGCTCCAAAGCCGGCTCCTGTGTACAGTACCGCTCGATTCGACATCACAGTACACACTTACATGGGAAGGACCTTCCATCAGCGAGTGTCTGCTTCTTCCACGGTCAACGCACTCCGCTCGGCGATCCAAGACCACCAGGGTATTCCTTCGGATCATCAGCGTCTTTTCTACCAAGGCCAACTTATGGGCGGTGATCCTGACGCTGACGGATTGGAGGCCGGAGATATTGCTCTTGGAACGGTGAGTCGCGTACAAAGGTCTTTCTTGAATTACTGGCAACTAATTAGCATCTTGTAGTACGGATTGACTCGCACCGACAAGGCTCATCTCTATCTCACCTGAGGCCTTCGAGGTTCCTGGAGGGGGTCTGGGGAACTTGAGCAGAGATTGATAGGTGGAGATTGTACACCTTGACTCAGATTCGGATGCTGCGGTCAGGAAGAACGCGTTCGAGCGGCCTCCGGGCTAAGAGGGTATCAGCCTAGATGGTACGAATAAGGGAGCTGTTAGTCGTGGATGTAGCGTGTGGACACGCGAAGCGTTAGCCGTCATGCGAGGAGCTGGGCGGACACTTGAAATGCACATGGCACCTGGTACAATTCAAACCTTCCATCTCCAGTGACATTCGAGACGGGTCGGAATTGTTCGATATAAGACCGTCTGCTCCTGCAGCCTCGTAGCATGTGACGTCCCATAGCAAGAGCCAGGGCTTGATAACGAGTAGATCGATGCCCTGTGGAGGACAGTGAAGGCAAAAGATCTCTGGTGGTTTTGATCCCATGTCGAACGTCGTTTAGGGCAATGCCCAGTTTGTGTGCCATTTCGATCGTACCATTCGCAGCAACGGACTCGTGAAAGGATCCTAGCGCCTGTGCAGAGCCTGTCAGCTGTCCGTGTCATTTAAAATGTCATGTGAGACTAAAGGGAAGACAGACGCGTTAAGGAGATGAATGTTGGAGGACATGTAGTGTATTTCTGCCTGACTGATACTTCAGGCATCAAAGCGTTACGAAATCTTGGCGCGGGGCCAGCCGATTGTGACTCTTTCGAGGGCACTGAAACCTCCAAGGGAAGGCTCATGCCATGAAATTCTGTGAACAGCACGACCGACTTCCACCAACACCACTCACCGGCCACCTCGAGATTGCAAAGATCGCGTGATCATTCGCACTTCCATCCACGCGCTTCTACACCAAGCCAACGGAGGCGCCTCCCTCGATTTCCACGACATTCATACGATCGGAGAAGAACATGGTGACGAACGGCGACTACCCATCCGACGACGAAAGTCCTCCTCAGTCTCCCACTGTTGAGGCCCAGCCCGACGATGGCGCAGCAGAGGAGCCCAGACAGAAGGGGCCCGCGCCAGCACCCAAATCTGCTCTGAAAAAGAGCAATGCCGCGGCCGCTGCGGCTGCAGCGAAACCACACCTCCCCGAACAACCAGAGCCCTCGACACTCGATGTATCTACTCTCACACCCCTATCGCCCGAGATCATCGCACGGCAAGCCACCATCAACATCGGAACAATCGGGCATGTCGCTCACGGAAAGAGTACGGTTGTCAAGGCCATATCCGGTGTGCAGACTGTGCGATTCAAGAACGAGCTCGAGCGAAACATCACCATCAAGCTGGGTTATGCTAACGCCAAGATCTACAAATGCGATAATGAAGAGTGCCCACGACCGACATGCTACAGAAGCTACAAGAGCGAGAAGGAAGTAGATCCGCCATGCGAGCGTCCAGGATGCGATGGTACCTACAGGTTACTACGACATGTCTCGTACGTGCACACGTGGAGAGCATTGACAAGGAGGATGTGGCTGACGTGAACGTTAGGTTCGTTGACTGCCCCGGACACGACATTCTCATGAGCACCATGCTTTCAGGCGCCGCAGTCATGGATGCTGCTCTTCTCCTCATAGCAGGCAACGAAACATGCCCTCAACCTCAAACATCCGAGCATCTGGCAGCCATCGAAATCATGAAGCTGCAACACATCATCATCCTTCAAAACAAGGTTGATCTCATGCGGTCAGAAGCAGCAGCACAACACTACGAGTCCATCAGAAAGTTCATCCGTGGTACTGTCGCCGACGACTCGCCCATCATCCCCATCTCTGCCCAGCTCAAGTTCAACATCGACGCCATCAACGAGATGCTTGTGACCAAGATCCCTGTGCCCATGCGTAACTTCCAGGACGACCCACACCTTATTGTGATTCGGTCTTTCGATGTCAACAAGCCTGGTTCAGAAATCGACGAGCTCCAAGGAGGTGTTGCTGGTGGCTCGATCCTGACTGGTATTTTGAAGCTTGGCGACGAGATCGAGATCCGCCCCGGAATCGTGTCAAAGGACGAGCAGGGAAAGATCCTATGCAAGCCCATCTTCTCTCGTGTCATCTCCCTCTTCGCCGAGAACAACAGCCTCAAATTCGCTGTGCCCGGTGGCCTGATTGGTGTTGGAACTCGCATCGACCCCACTCTCTGCCGTGCTGACCGTCTTGTGGGCTTCGTGCTGGGCCTCAAGGGTAAGCTTCCTAAGATTTTCACCGAGATTGAGGTCAACTACTTCCTTCTTCGACGGTTGCTGGGTGTCAAGACCGCGGACGGAAAACAAGCCAAGGTTGCGAAGCTCTCGAAGAACGAGATTCTGATGGTCAACATTGGATCGACTGCGACCGGAGCGAAGGTCCTGGCTGTCAAGGCAGATCTGGCCAAGCTTCAGCTTACAAGTCCCGCCTGCACAGCCGTCAACGAGAAGGTGGCGCTGAGTCGAAGAATCGAGAAGCACTGGCGTCTCATTGGTTGGGCAACCATCACGAATGGCGAAACGCTGGACCCGCAACAGAACAGCGACTAAGAATGGCCCCGAGATCTGCGCCAAAGGCCAAGGCTGCCATATGTCTGACGACACGAAAAGCACGAGGGCATTCGTGGAGATTGTCCTTGAAAGTTTAGAGCGTATCGCGCGCGGGGAATAATGAAGAGATCATAGTGAGCGTTCGTAGACTTTGGGATGACCTTGATTGCTACCACGCGCATTCTGTTTCTCTACGCCTGCTTCCGTGTGATGTTCGCGGCATCCCTTCTTCCGGCATAGATGTTGTCTGGAGTCTTTAGATATCCGAAAGAAGGTTTTGATATCACCTGCCATTCTAAACATTTTCTGATTTGTGCGTACTTTCCTCGCATAGAAATGCTAGACCATCAGACATGGCCTTCGCGAACGCTCTCGTTCACATGCAACTCGCCAGTCGTCAAAAGTCGTAGCGAGGTGTTACATAAGCGAAACGCCCGAGCTCCGACGTGATGCGCAACGGCGGCATCGCCTGCTGCTTGCGAGCTTGCCGGAAACACCACCACTCGCCATCAAACAAAACAACTTCCCATATCTACATCCACGCCCTCGACCTCGCATTAAACGTAACACTCGCCATCTCCATCAGCCCTTCGCCACACGCAATTCAGATCTTCCTCATCGGTCTGTACAGGCCAAACCCCGAGCAACGATGAGCGCCGATCCGGAGAGAGACAATGCGCTGGATCAGTACAAGTCGAAGCTGCTCGAATCACGAGAATGGGAGGCAAAGCTGAAGGCACTACGGTTAGAGATCAAGGGACTGCAGCGGGACTTCGACGTGTCAGAGGAGAACATCAAGGCGCTGCAGAGTGTCGGGCAGATCATCGGAGAAGTGCTGAAGCAGCTCGACGAGGAGAGATGTGAGTTGAGGCAAGAGTGGAGATGAAAGAGCAATACGCTAATATCTTGTGTGATGGACAGTCATTGTCAAGGCATCGTCAGGTCCCCGATATGTCGTCGGCTGCCGCTCCAAAGTCGACAAGGCGAAGCTGAAGCAGGGCACGCGTGTTGCTCTCGACATGACCACGCTCACCATCATGCGCATGCTTCCTCGCGAAGTCGATCCGCTCGTCTACAACATGTCGCTGGAGGACCCTGGTCAGGTGTCATTTGCGGGTATTGGTGGACTGAATGATCAGATCCGAGAGCTACGAGAGGTCATCGAGCTGCCACTGAAGAACCCCGAGCTGTTTCTACGAGTGGGCATCAAGCCGCCGAAGGGTGTTCTACTATATGGGCCTCCCGGTACAGGGAAGACGCTTCTAGCAAGAGCTGTTGCCAGCTCGCTGGAGACCAACTTCCTGAAGGGTATGTCGCGTGCCACACTCTAGTAGACTTCGCTGACTCAATATGCACAGTCGTCTCATCCGCCATCGTCGACAAGTACATCGGAGAGTCTGCACGTCTGATTCGTGAAATGTTCGGCTATGCGAAAGAACACGAGCCCTGCATCATCTTCATGGACGAAATCGACGCCATCGGCGGACGACGCTTCTCCGAGGGTACAAGTGCCGATCGTGAGATCCAGCGTACGCTCATGGAGCTGTTGAATCAACTCGATGGTTTCGACTACCTCGGCAAGACCAAGATTATCATGGCCACCAACCGACCCGATACCCTCGACCCTGCGCTACTCCGTGCTGGACGATTGGACAGGAAGATCGAGATTCCCCTACCGAACGAGGCGGGACGATTGGAGGTGCTCAAGATTCATGCACAGAGCGTACAAAAGGAGGGCGAGATTGACTTTGAGAGCGTTGTGAAGATGAGCGATGGTCTGAACGGTGCAGACTTGAGAAACGTCGTGACGGAGGCTGGGCTATTCGCGATCAAAGACTACAGGGACGCCGTGAGCCAGGACGACTTCAACAAAGCGGTGCGTAAGGTGGCAGAGAGCAAGAAGCTGGAGGGCAAGCTTGAGTACGAGCGTCTGTAGGCAATGCGGCGTGACTAAGTGCATCGCGGTATCAGCAAGGCGTTTCGGACGAAGGCTCGAGAGGAAGGGTCCCAGACGACCACGACCTGCCTACTGTATAATAAAGATGGTATGCTACGAATGATCAACAAGATGAGCCGCTCCACCAAGGTCTACTCAGTCTCATCGTCGCTCCTCTTTTGGACTAGCTCGAGGCACTCGCTGACGCGAAATCCCTGTCCTTTTCGAACTTCACATCTGCCCGTCACCAAGATCTCTACTTTCAGTTTCCCGAGCGCATTGAAACTCATTGCCATATTTGGTGCAGGTAAGATGTTTCATCACGCGTCTCTCATCTTCTCTGACTTCGTCGCAAGATAGTTACGACATACTGTCGTAACTCGCCCTTTCGAGCAAGAGCAACACTCATAAAACTCACCATGAAGATCAACGAGCACACCGGCACGTCTCAGTCCCTCCCGTCAAGACCCTCTCGCTCTCAAAACACACTCGTCATCCTAACCTCCTCCTTTCCCCTCCTCCAGCTCTCTCAACGCCGAAAGTCCTCCTGGTGCCGTACAGCGAACACCACGTCCCGCCCTACCACGCATGGATGCAAGACGCCGACCTCCAAACCGCCACGGCATCGGAACCGCTCACCCTGACCGAGGAATTCGCCATGCAACGCAGCTGGCGAGCAGATCGGGATAAATTGACGTTTATCGTCTGTTTTCCGCTCCCAGAAATTCTTCCGGAAGGCACCCTCCTCAGGGCAGGCGAATATGATCCTCCAGGGAGGATGCTGGGGGATGTGAATTTGTTTTTGTTGCCGTCTGACGAAGAAGAGGGCGAAGAAGACAGCAATGATGTTGATGAGAATGCGAGGAGCAGCATCATCATCGGGGAAATCGAACTCATGATCGCGCGCAAGGAATTCCACAGACGAGGCTTCGGGCGTTCCGCGCTCCGGGCTTTTCTCGTTTATCTCCTCTCGCATTGGGAGGCCCTGGCGACGGAGTACGCGTCCCCACCACCACGGTTGGAATTCCTGCGGGTGAAGATCCAGAAAAGTAACGTGGGGAGTATCCGATTGTTTGAATCCGTGGGGTTTGCGAGGACGGAGCAGGAGGCGAATTATTTTGGGGAGGTGGAATTGAGGTGGGTGCCGGATTTTGAAGATTGGAAGGAGAAGGAGAAGGGGGAGGAGGAGGAGGGAAGTTTGGTGGAGTTGAGGTATGGTCTGTTGTCGTGAAGGGAGGGATGGTTGAGAGGAATGTGTAGGTTATAAAAGGGGAGTGTTTCTTAGGGTTTCTCGATTCTTTAGGGTTGGGGTTAGCGGGATGGCGGCGTGCCTGTCCCACGACGATGGTGATGACATTTCTGGGTATTGTATCGAGGGAAGAGAATGATGGGGTTTGGGGATGATCGGGTTGTAGCTTGTCGTGGTTGCGCGGCGTGGATGAGAGGAAGTGGCACGCTGACACTTTCTTCGTGTGAAGACCAAACATTCATACCACATATCTGTCTTCGCATCTTTAGGTCAACTAGAACAAGCCTCACCGACAGCCAGAATCCACGAAATCGAAAAAGGTCATATCATGGACAGAGTTTCGAGAGACGAATTCATCGCTTGACCGTGATATCTACAATTTCGCCTTTGCTCCCATCTTCTCCATCTCCTCCTGGTACTTCACCTTCAGCATCCTCCTCAGAATCTTGCCACTGACGCTCTTAGGAATCTCATTCGTAAACTTCACTCCACCCCTCAAACGTTTATGGTTAGCCACCTTCGCCGCAAGCCAGTCCTGAATCTCCTTCTCCAGAGCCGGAGACCCATCCACACCCTGCTTGGGAACCACGTACGCCAGCGGGACCTCCGTCGCCAGGTCGTCACGATGTACACCGAGGACGGCAACGTCGTTGATCTTGTCGTGAGATGCGAGGAGACCTTCCAGTTCTGCGGGAGGCACTTGGAAGCCTTTGTACTTGATCAGTTCCTTGACGCGGTCCGTGATGTAGAAGTTTCCGTTCGTGTCTTGATAGCCGACGTCTCCCGTCCTGAAATATCCATCTTCCGTGAGGGCATTCTTCGTTCCCTCCGGGTTGTTCAGATAGCCTTTGAAGATGTTCGGGCCTGCGAGCCAGAGCTCACCGACTTCGCCTTTAGGTAGCTCCTTTTCTTCAGGGGACATGTACTTGGCAGTCATGTTGGGGAGCAGAACCCCGACACTTCCAATTGTAGAATGCCATAGCTCCCACGGCTGGGTGTGCGTCGTTGGGCTCGTCTCCGAGAGACCGTAGCCTTGTTTGATGGGGACTTTGATTCGCTTGTAGACTGCCTCGGCGAGCTCCCGTGTGAGAGGCGCCGCGCCCGAGTTCATCATCCGCAAGGAGGATAGGTCGAACTTCTCCACGATTGGGTGCTTTGTCAGGAGCAGTACGACAGGCGGAACGACGTAGGACATCGTGATGCGCTGATCCTGAACGGTCTTGCACCAAGCTTCGATCTCGAATTTTGGCATCACAACGCACTTGAGGCCTCGATACAGGCTCTGATGGATCAAGCAGGTCAAGCCGTAGATGTGAAAGAACGGCAGAAATGCGAGAATCGCATCTCCTTCCGGTCTGCCTTTCGCCGGTTTCCATGACAGGGGGGATTCGCCGGCTGTGAGCTGGAGGATATTGGCGACGATGTTCCGATGAGAGAGCATGACACCCTGTCGAGCCAAAGGTTAGCAAGGGCAAGGACTGAACACTTCTGATCACCTCACCTTTGGCAGTCCCGTCGTGCCACTGGAATACACCAAAAACGCCAAATCGTCATCCGGATCGATCTTCGCCCTACGATACCGCTGCGTGCCAGAAATGTTCCTGACATTGGTAAAGTGCTTATACTTGCCCTGCGGATGTCTCTCGTCTCCGATCAGGGCAATCCGGTCCTCCGGAATGCCAACCTTCTTCGCCGCCTTGACAGCATTGTCCAACTGTGCGAACTGCGTGATCAATGCCTTTGCTCCGCTGTCCTTGAGCTGGTACGCGAGCTCTTCCACAGTGTACCCTGGGTTGGCAGGCGATACGATGCCGCCAGCGAAATGCGTACCCCAGATGATCGCTGGCGTGTCGATGCAGTTGGGCGTGTACAGTGCGAGCACGTCGCCTTTCTGCCAGTCCCAGAGACCTTTCAAGCCCTTGCCGAAATCGACGGCGGTGCTCTTGACTTGCGCGTAGGTGTAGGATCGATTGGTGTACGGATCGACGTAGATGGTCTTATCGTCTGGGAAGTCTCTCTCCTTTCGTTCGAAGAGCAAGTCCCACAGGCCTACGTTCGGGATGCTCACGGGCGGGAATCTACGATTGATCAGCTTGTCAAGTCTTCAATGGTTACCGTCGGGTTGCTGGAATGTACCCACGTGGATTCCGCCGGCATCTTGGGCTTCAGGTGTTCCAGTCAGACAGTAAGTAAGAGGTAGGGAGATGGTGCCGAGCACAGGTCGGAGAGAACCACCTCTCGGCGTTTCTTCCCGAGCAGCCGAATAGCAGCGGCACCGAGGTACCGAATCATACATAACTGTGCGTCGAGAATGCCGCATATCAGTATCAGTGCCATGCGCGTGCCGTCATTCTACCCCAGTTTTCCAGCGGATTGTGGGGAAATCTGGGAACGGACGGGAGACTCGGCTGCTATACCGCTTGCGATTATCCGAAGCCGAAAATGTCACTTTTCAGCTCTCACAGTGCCGCTTCCTCGTGAGAAGACTTCCCCATACACCATGTCCAACACGTTCCTTGAGCAAGTAATACCTTACGTACAATATGGCTCCTGAAAGTCATGTATCCACTCAAGTAGTCAATTCGCGTGAGAGACAGGCCGATCAAGGCACTCTGTCTCGCGCTGGGAAGAATTGGAGCAGACTCACTCCTGACGGCCTTGAAGGGGACTTAGGATATGACGAGACCTACCATGGCTTTTCTCTCGTAAGCGACGGAAGTCCTGACTTGATCCAGTGGGATCGACTTGCCCACGCGGAAATGGGCCCGAATCCACGCGAGCACTTCCTCACGCGGGAGCAATTTGACAAAGTCCTTGGAGATTGTGTGGGAGTGTTGGACCTGCCATCTGCTATCTTCGACCTTGAGCTTATCAGAGCATACCCGAAGGTCAGGATGATCTTGATTCGCAGGAAAGGTATTGAAGCTTGGCACCAGAGGAGCTGAAACCGCTCAGTGCGAATGACCGTCATGGGCTAGCCATACAGCGGTCTGAGGCGGAGGCATTATGGATTGTGAGGACAGTGTACTGGATGAAGTGCATGGTCGGCTTCGACTATGCTCGTCACGGGAAATCGTACTATCGAGAACATCACGCTCAGTTGGAGGCGCCGAGCTGCGGCGACAGAGGCGAGCATGGTTGGACGGGAGAGGTCAAGACGGGGGGGCAACCTCTGTGCCAATTTCGCGGCGACTCTGTGCCTGACAAGGCGTCCCGTTCACACAAGGTAACGCTTGGGGTGGCCAGTTCCAAGCGACGAGGGCGCGAATCCATCATGGCCAAATCGTCAGAGGCTTTCGCAACATGAAGATTGCAGGAGCAATGAGCGTTGTATGCGTTGTCGGGGTGATCTGGCGGAGTTTGACGCGTTAGAAGGTGTACTGCCGAGATGGAGGAGGCTGAGAAGGCGGGAAGAGGGAGAAGATCAGGAATTGGTTGGATAAGGACGTTGTGTACAGCACGGGTTATCAGAGTGAGCTGGGTAACGTGTGTTGTCATCAGATGAGGGAAGCCGGGAGAGCAAAAGGAAGAATGGGCTTACCTGCTGTCGAGTATTAGATATGGTGCAGTTGTTGTTGTTGTTGTTGTTGTTGTTGTTGTTGTGATGGAAGGAATCTAGGAATTTGGAAGAAATGCCACGACGCGAAAAGATGTGCTCCGGAAGTCATCGGGCCGAAGCTTCCCGAATCCGAGACCGAGCTAAGCTCCTGAAGATATCTTCCTTCACAGCATCCCATCACCGTTTTCTCCATCTACCTCCCCCACCATATCACTCCCATACTCTCCCAAGACCCCCTCCCAAAAGTCGTAAAACTGTGTATTCCTCTCTTCCCCCATCGCATTCGTCGGCAGAGACTTCCCACGCTTCGCCCACAACGTCCTCGGCGCTACATACACCTCCTCAGGCATCGGATCCGGCGCCGAGTCCGAGTACTTATGCTGTCTGATCAGCTGCGGCGTACCGGCGCGTCGAGGTCGGGGAGCGTGGAGGAGACTGTCGCGCAGGTGCCGGATGACGTGGGGTTGTTGTTCGTGTTCTTCTTGCAAGATCTGGTGGGATGGGGACGAGAGGGCGAGAGACTCCCAGGATGAGAGCGAGGGGTTGCGTCGAGAGGAGACGAAGCGGCTTCCGATTCCCATTTGATCTGGTGATGGTCTCCCGTCCTCTGCCACGCCAGTTGGCACGGCGAATGGATTCCCGGCATCTTCGTAGACGGTCTGACGAACTCTTCGAATCGTCCTCTTCCGCGCAATCTTCATGTATTCTTCCTCGTTGACCGTCCGGGCTGCATGGGGCGATGACGCGCGACTAGATCTCATGGAGCCGTCGTACTCGGATTTCTCGTCTATTGGAGTGGGGTTCGAGTCGGCGTCCCAGAACTCTGACATGTCGAGATCAGTTACTCATACTCACATTGCTGAGAGCATTTGACGAAATCAGGCGAAGGAACAGAGAGAAGACATGAAAGACAAAAGAGAACACTTACCTCCCACCAAGGGCTAACCTACCGTTCGTTCCAATCTACTCCTCGGTCATGGCTCATTAGTCGTCAAAATGCAATGCAATGCAACCGCTCCAAAACGCATCAATCAAACACAATTTCAAACCTCGCCAAGACAGGCAGGAGGAGGGAATCAAAAGAGAGACCGGCTCACTTACCATTAACCCTCGCCTGATGACAATCCCGACAGAACCCTTTCACAAGCCATTCCGTCGTCGGTTTGCCGCATCGTTCGCAACACTCCAGCTCATCTGGCTCGCCACAGTCAGCGAAATCCATGCCGGAATCCGTACTCATATTCCTCCCCGCCTTCTTTTCCCTCTTGAACGCATCCAAGCCGCGGGACAAGAGAAAGGCGGCTCGCTCACCTGTGTTCATCGGTGGGGCTTTCTGCCGATCGGCGAGTGCTTCCCATTTCGAATCGTCGTCGTTGTTGGGATACGTCAGCGCGAAGTCTTGCGCGAGGGTGAGTTCGTTGGCGTTCAGATGGGCAATGGGGTTGTCCGTCCCGTAGTGCATGAGTACTTCGTCGTACTGCTGGAAGCCGCCTCCCGCGCGGCTGATGTCGCGCTGTCGGATGTATTCCTGCTGATACTTGGGTCTCCCCAGCGGGTTGAGACGGCGATGTTCTTCGATCTCCGCATCCATCTTGGCCTTCTCTGCGGCGAAGTGGCGCTGGCGTTCGGCGGGTGTCATTCGCATGATGGAGACATCTTTCTGGATTTCGTTCGAGGCACGGCGGAGCGTCTCCCTGAAGCTCGAACGCCGAGGTGCTCTGGGCTTGCGGCTTTCCGTGCTCTCTCGCTGGGTGCTGCTCTCGTTGGTGTTGGTACGGCCGAAAGACAAAGTCCGCGAGAAGATGCTGGAACTTGCGGAGCCTGGACGTGGTGGGCGTTGCGACTCGAGGGAGACTCGACTCGACTCGTGGGAAGGTCTGCTGGGCGCTACAGAGGGAACCGCAGAGGCAGCAGATCCCATTCGCTGATGACCAAGAGGTCTACTCGGCGCGGCGGACGCAACCGTGGAGGCAGTGGAGGCCCCAGAGGCATTGCGTCGGTGCTCGTAAGGCGACGGAGGAGCATTGCTCGACTGCTCCGGACGGAATCGTCCACTTCCACTCCTATTGATCACTCGTCGTGGCTGAGCCTGTGCAGTCTCCATCCTCAAACCGTCTGGACCCGTCAGTACATTCGTCACTTTCCGTCCCGAAGCAGGTCGCTTGTCTTTCGGCGGGACGGGAGGCGGAGGAGGACTGTCCGGAGGAATCTGTCCGCCGTTCGGCGTGTACGTCTCCGGCGGATAGATCAAACGCTCACCCTGCGGGTGCCGACGAGCCTCGCGAATGGCCGCCTCTCTGCGCTGAGCGTCAGTCCTGCTGTGCTTCGAACGATAGTGTTCCATCTGCATCTGGTGATAGCCTTCGGCGTCCAGGTGGGTTTCTGGTGCGAAGTTGGACATACCTGCTGTCTTCTTTTTTGCGATTTCGGTGGTCTTGCAATTCCTTTTCTCAAGGGCTGTGTGTTGTGCGTTGTGTGTTGTGTGTTGTTGTGTGTCGTGAGTGGTGAAGGCCAGCTACACCGGAAACGGACGGCAATGCTTTCGTACAACAAAGACAAAGAGCAGTAAGATTCGAATGTAACGCGGAGAAATTTCTGCGAGGAGAGAGAGAGAGAGGGTCGAAACTTTGACAACAAGAAGGATGACAATGTGTTTATACCTCCCGGATCCCATCAGTGCCCAAAGGTGAAGACAAAGAAGAAGAAGAAGACAAAGAGGCATTGTGGCTGCTGTCTGTCCTTCACGAGTCGAGACCGAAGAATGGAGGACGCTGAAACAATTTTCCCTTTCTTTCTTTCTTTCTTTCTTTCTTTCTTTCAAGAAGAGAGAGGCCTTCATTGATTGTTGTGGTCTGCTTAGAGGCTATACGAACAAACAAACAAACAAAGAACCAACCCAACCCAACCCCCGTGGTGTCGAGTCATGCGCCGTCATCGCCCGTTGATGCTTCTCAAGGTAATCGATAGGAAAGGTACAGGCGATATATTAAAAGTCGTAAAAGGGTCTATGCCTATGATGAGCGAGCAAGTTAGCACGAGGGACAATATGAGACGGGCGATGTGATGAGGTACGACTTACCCCATGTCATGCATCAAAGCTATAGTGCAAACGCGAGCCCGCCAACAATGACGGACAGCGCGATCGAAGCGAGGTATCCGGCGTGGATGCTCGCAGCAGCGCCCTCGTATCCACTCGGGGCGGGCTCGATGGGAGCAGAGCTGCTTGCACTGCTGCCGCTGCCGCTACCGCTGCCGCTATCACCTGGGCTGACTGGGCTGCCACCGCTTGGGACTGGAGCTGCAGCACCGCCAGTCGCCTTGGCGCGGCACTCTGGGCCTGGACATTGGATGCTGGTGGTGGTTGGGTATGGTGGGCTGGCGGCGCCGCTGCTTCCTGGTGCGGCTGGGGTGTTGCCAGCAGCTGGAGCAGATGTGCCGGGGGACTGGCTACCAGCACCGCCACAGTCATCGCCGTTGCATTCTGGTGGGCTAGCGGCGCCGCTGCTTCCGGGTGCGGCTGGAGTGTTGCCAGCAGCTGGAGCAGATGTGCCAGGGGACTGGCTACCAGATCCGCCGCAGTCGTCGCCATTGCATTGGGGAGCTGGTGGAGCTGGTGGAGCTGGGGACTCAGCGGCTCCAGTTGGGACTTGGACTTGACCGTCAGAGATCTAGAACGCGAGCAGTTAGAATCAATCTACAGCTTTATTCAACGACATGGAGTGGAATCTCACCTGCTGGACGTTGCCGCCAGTCGGGGTGGGCTTAGCTGGGGTCTTAGCTGGGCCGACCGAAGTACCCTTTGTCGCTTCGCAACCGCATGGCTCGGTGATGGTGACGTGGGGTTGGGTCTTGTCGCACACGCTGCACTCCTTGACAGTGACAGTGAAGCCATTTGGAATGTGGTCTGGGCCGGGAGTGAAAGTAGGCTTGTCGTCTGTGCAGCTCTCGGTGACGGTATATGTCGCAGGCACAAGACCAGTCGGGCACAGCGACTGGTATACGGTGGTGTATGTTGTGGTGTAGCCTGGGCCGGTTGGTGCTGGTTGCGTTTGGTGCTCGCATTCGGGGCAGTAAGTAACCGTCGTACCGCTCGTGACAGTGATCAAGACTGCCAGGGATGAGGTCGGACAATCATCGACGGTGACTGTCGTGTAAGATACGGGCGCGCTAGACGGCACTCCGGGTCCGTATGAAGCTGGGACCTGTGCAGCAGCGCCAGCAACCGCAACAGCGGCAGCAACGCCTGTTCTGGCCTTCATTGCAAAGTTGTGATTAGGGTTATGTCGAGTACTTGCTGTATCTCTCTCGGAAATGAAAATGTTAGCGAGCGATGTGGTCGGTCGAAGAAAGCGAGCGTGGTGTTGCAAAAAAGATGCTGCTCCGTAAGACCGAACGAGTGAAGATCCTCCCGGAAGCAGTGATTAAAAGATTAATGAAAGAACGGAAGCAGACACTGGCATCTGGCGATGATGTGCCTTATAGAGAGGGTGTCTGTTCGCAGCATTTGTTGTTGATATCACATGCATTCCAGAGACAGATTGCCGGAGTAATGGGTTGCCCATTCCATAGTCCGGCGACAAACATCCGAATTGGGCCAAGCAGCACTTTCCACACCAGTAGCGAAATGAGATGTCCCGAGTACTGGAGTTCCCGATGGCCGATTGTGCGGCTTCCGCCAATGCCTTGTGCTCTTGATGCTCCGCAGAGTCGAGGCCATGCGTGTAGGACAAGCAGCTGCCACTGCCAAGCACACCATGATATTAAAGGGATGACCCCGATCAACCATGATTGTGTTCAGTCTACTGGGTGGGAAGTGTGAAGAAACCAAGTGATCGTGGTTGCAAGACCTAGGCCAGTGTACCAAGCCTCTGGAGGGCGTTTCAGGAGCCTCACGCTTGTTTAGATGTACGTGCTGCGGTAGTCTGGACATCTGTGATCGACTTCGGGCGGATGGTCACGATGCACGAGGTCCAGCACAGCGCATGATTTCGGTCGAGCCGCTCTTGGGTGGGACGTGCCGCGTGCCGGGAGAGATGATGTTTTCATCGAAGCTGAGGAACGTGATTCTACGCGGTCCGAATGCGGCCTAGTGGCTACTCGCTTAATCTACCAAACTCGTGTCAGCGCAACAAGTGAGTGAAAGTCCGGGCTCGCCCTTCACTAGAACATCTGTGTCATTTTCTCTAGCTACGGCAGTCACATCTGTATTTGGTTGGTTCATCATTCGTGCATCCAATCATCGCCATGCTGAGCTTCGCTGACTTTTAGCCCCGAGCCATCGAAGACGTGACGGGGAGCTTTGCATTAACCCTCATCACATACCATCTAGAGGTTGACGGCAGTACGGAAGTGCTTGCCGGCGTAGACGGCGTTGCTACCCAGTTCCTCCTCGATGCGCAGGATCTGGTTGAGCTTGGCAAGACGCTCTGACCGCGCTGGAGCCCCGGTCTTGATCTGGCCTGAACGGAGACCGACAGCGATGTCAGCGATGGTGACGTCCTCAGTCTCGCCCGAGCGGTGGGAGACCATGACTCCCCAGCTGGCTCCGTAAGCATCCTTGGCGGCCTGGATGGCTTCAGTGATGGTGCCGATCTGGTTGACCTTCAAGAGGAGGGCGTTGCAGGCCTTGGTCTCGATGGCCTTCTTGATGAAGGTCGGGTTGGTGACAGTCAAGTCGTCGCCAACAAGCTGGAAGTTGGAGTTCTTGTAGAAGTAGCTCCAGGCCTCCCAGTCATCCTCGGCGAATGGGTCCTCGATGGAGACGATGGGGTACTTGCTCGACAACTCGCGGTACTGCTCAGCGAGCTGCTCGTATGTCACCCACTTGCTCTTGTCGCTGTCGGGGTTCTTGAAGTCGAGGTCGTACTTCTTCTCCTCGGACTTGTAGAATTCGGAGGAGGCCACGTCCATGGCGATCTTGACCTTGCCGGTGTATCCGGCCTGCTCAATGGCATCGGTAATGAGGGTGAGAGCCTCGTCAGCGGTCTCGATATCTGGAGCCACACCACCCTCGTCACCGACGTTGCCAGCAGACTGGCCATACTTCTTCTTGGCGAGCGCCTTGAGCTTCTGGTAGACCTCAGATCCCTGGCGCATGGCCTCACTGAAGGTTGGTGCCTCACTGTTCAAAGTCAGCATGGTTTCTTGGAACATGACGTCCGGCTTGTTCCGCTGAGGTTCGCTATGACCATGACCTTGCCAGCATGGTCGGTGATACTCACTCGGGGACGATCATGAACTCCTGGAAGGCGAGACGACCACCTGCGTGCGATCCGCCGTTGAGGACGTTCATGAAGGGAACCGGAAGGACGTATGGCTTCTTTGTGCCTGCAAGATCGCTGATGTGGGAGTAGAGCGGAACACGCTTCTCGGCGGCGGCGGCCTTGGACACAGCCATGGAGACGCCGAGAATGGCATTGGCACCGAGAGTCGTCTTGTTCGGGGTACCGTCGAGCTTGTTGAGGAAAGCATCCACAGCAGACTGGTCCTTGACGTCCAAGTTCTCCTTGATGAGCGCAGGGGCAATGGTCTCGTTCACGTTGGCAACTGCCTTGGTTACGCCTGCGCGCTATTAGTTCGCTGCTCTTTCCAATCGGTCGTATGAGATGTGGTATACCCTTTCCGCCCCACTTGCTCTTGTCACCGTCACGGAGCTCGCATGCCTCGTGGGAACCGGTCGATGCACCGGATGGGACGATGGCGCGGTGGAGGCCGGTCTCGGTAACAATGTCAACCTCGACAGTGGGGTTACCACGAGAGTCGTAGACGGAGCGAGCGTGGATCTTGGTGATGGTCATCTTGACTGGTTGACTGTATGATCTGTGTTTGTCGTCAGTGGGTGTTGGTTGCTTGCTTTTGGTAGGCAGAAGGTAGGCAAGGAGAAGTGGAGTGGCCGAAGAACAGCAGTATCTTGATGTTTTGCATCCTTGAAAAGTTCTTCTCCCGGCGCCCCGAGCTCGCGGTGTTGCACACACAGAGTCATGCAGCCTTAGCCGCAGTTGATGGCCGGAAGATAGCCATGGCCGTCGGGGATGGCGGGACGAGCTCCTACAGCGGAGGCCCGGATTGCGGATACACGTGTGACGAGCTGAGGCGGAATTGACTGACCTTGTTGTGTTCTGTAGACAGTCGAGCAGCTGATGAGAGGGTGGGTGTGGATGTGTAGGAGGTGAAGAGAATGTTGGTGTCGTTGGTTGGGAGACAATGTTTGTCGCTTTATTTTTCTCTCAGCAGACTGCCCCGCCTCGTCACCACCCAATCTCAACAGCCCACCTCACTTCATCGGAGCCTTCCGAAAGAGTATTTCCGAGAGTCTCCGCACACCGCGTCAAGCGCGTCGGCCTTGCCCGAATCCGGGGGATTGCCAAGCCAGCTCAAAACTTGCTGCGGCTCTCTGCCTTGATGCCTTACAGCTCGGTAGTAGCCTCACTTTTCACTTGCTCAGACATGATCCACTGACACCGCACAAGCCTACTCTTCATTTCCTGTCCACACAGACAGACAATTCGTTGGACTTGAAGTCATCGTCTCTAGCAACGAATGCACTTGGTCAGCTAAACCCTCCTTCACAATTTAAAAGGTCGATGACTAGGATCTCTCCGGCGGTCTCTTTTTTCTTCCTATCGGAGAATACAAACCTCCAGGAAGCTTCCAGTTCGACATGAGCGACTGCGGTGCCGGCCAAACTGAAATCTGCGTCTGAAGAGGGAGAGAGAGAGTGTGTGTGCCTCTACAGCGTGAAAAGCGTGCTAGATCTCTTGAGAACATTCCATGGTGCTAGTACGGATGTAGTGGCTGTCCACTCAAAACACACGACTCTGTTGAACAGACTACCTCTCTGTCATTCGTACGACTTTGTCACAAAGCATGTGAAATTCTTGCCGCCGCCGCCGAGCTTTACAATACACGGCATACTGGAAGAGAGGACACGTTGGATTAATCCAAGCAAGGTGTTATAATTCAAGCTTCAATACATGATGACATCAGAACCAGGTTGGACAATCCGTCCTCCGAATCCAAACACTTCAGAGAAAGGACGCGGGAGGCTTGTAGGCATTAAGCGCGTTGTGGGGGCGGCCTAGGGGGAGGCGCTGGCTTTGGGATGTGGGTGGTGTCTCGGTTGGCTTTGACGGTCATGGTGAGCTTTGTGCTTTGTCGGAATCGCGGAGTGCTAACAGTGGGTGATTTGTTGGTAGGATAGGAAAGAGAGACAGAAATGAGAAAGGAAGAGCTCTTATATACCGAAGCGGAGGTATATTCACTATAGCAGGCAAACGGAAAGTTTTGTCATGTACTGATAGCGATTGTATAGCTTACGTTGACGATTGGAATAGCGCTTTGCTAGATTGCGTAATGTTAGAGATATTCGCTGTTCACGATTGAGTACCTCTTGAACAATTTTGTTGATCTATATATGAGCCTTCGCACACGCCAGATGAGGGAGCTTGTGCTATTACATTATAGATGCAGGCTTTGCAGATCTCTACAGGATCAATGAGTGTCCACCTGTTGCATGTGACTCCACAGTCTGTGCGCACCTGGATTGTGCTTACATCTCCCACCCATGCTCCCCTCTCTCGACTCACATCGTGTTGACGATCAATTGAATGTATCAGAGCAGAATCATCGATACGAAGAATCAAAATTCGATATCCAGTGTCAGAACATGCTTTCTCAAGAAACTACATAGAGCATCTCAAATCAAAAAGCGCCCGCGGTCAATGAGTGTCCACGGTTTGCATATGATTCTAAAGTCTGTGCACGCCTAGATTGTGCTTACAATCCCCGCCCGTGCTCCCTTCTCATAACTCACATCGTGTCAACGACCAATTGAATGTACAAGAGGAGAATCATTAATACGAAGAATCAAAATTCGACCTCCATTGTGTCAGCACATGCTTTCTCAGAAAACATCATAGAGCATCTCAGATCACAAAGCGCCCGCGGTCAAGTTTGCACCCACGAGACCCAGAAGTCAAGCTAAACCCTCCATTTCAGTCAACCTAGAGTGCTACAACAGCTTTCCTTACTCATCAGGGCGCGCTGGTCGCGGAGGCTTGGGCTTCTCGACAAAGGCCGTGTCTCTGTTCAGTACGCGAGTCATGGCTTAGATGCGTGTTTTAAGAGAATTAGGGTATGTTGAAGATAAGGAAAAAGAAATAGGCTGTGAGAGTCAATATCTCTTTATATCCCATGAGAAACGCATTCACGACGGCGCCAGAAGGGTGGTTACGTCCATGTATGATATTGAACGGCGCATCATGCTGTCGGTGATGCTAGGGAATAGCGGACGGACAACCTCGAATCGAATGATATAGGGTGTTACTGTTGTTTGTCAGGAAGCTTTTTAGAAATCCTTCGCAAGGTGTGGAGGATGTGAGCGCTTTGCATTCGCTCATTGTATCTCTCGAAGGAGCACGCAGGCTTAGAGAAGCCTAGAGCGTTGCGATAGGTCTTCTTATGGACAGAACAGCACATTATTGTGGGAACAAGCGATGGTCCCAAGTCCTAGGCAGTACGGAGATCGTAGGATAGTGCATTCGAAGCGAAAGCGCTAACTTGAAGCCGAAGAGTGTACCTTACTCCAAAATGCCATGATGTTATTGTGGAGAACGACCGCCCCGGAAGCTCTGCAGAACACTATGCGGATTCAAAGCGAGATCTCGGCATTGAGGCAGAAGAATTGGAATTATAGGAATCTTGCCACAATTGTGGTTCTGAAGACGCGATGTTGCTTCCTTTATTCCTATCCCTCATCGGTCCATCACATGTCGGGTAGAGACGCGATCTCCAGATGGCGCCGAGGTGGCCATATGTATACATTCCGTACAAAGCGAAATGCGTGTGATGCCCGACATTGTGCGACTCGGGGCCCACGCACGCAATTCTCTGCCGGGCGCCCCGTGGCCGGTTCGGGAGTCGAGGTGACGATCGATGCCAGATCTTTGGCGCGTCCCGAACAGGCTGAGTGAGAGCGTTCCACGTGTGAGGACGCTTCCGTCATGGCTTCCAAAAACAGGTCGATGGCGGTTGTAGGAGTGTGGGGGGACGAGGTGAGGTTGCCGCACGTGACAGTGCGAAGGCTAGTGTGAAGTCTGTTAGCCGCTCGGATCAGCCAGCGGGGAGATATGTGCTATGATTGGCTGGCAGATCCCTGCATGGAACCGGCCGAGCATGGAGCTGTGCAGGGGCCGAATTCCCCTCTCACCAATCGAATTCGGCGTCTGCATAAACTGGACGCTGCACTGTGCTGTGATAAGAAGCGGGCGCGTACTGATGAGGGACGATGGCGGTAGACTCTTGCTGTGCGCAGGCGTTCTCGTCGCCGTGCGAAGAATCGCTCGCATGAAAAATACCCTCTCCTTCCACTTCATTTCATCTGCCATGTCTGCTCTCGCGAGAAGATATCACCATCACCTGCAATAGCTCCTCTACTACAACGACGACGACGACGACGACGACGACGACGACGACGACGACGACAACGACGATACGGCGGAATCCTGCAGGTCGGACAGCTCGCCACGACGACGAGGCACTGCTGTGAAGCACGTCGGTCTGACCTCCATCCCGCAGACGGCCTATCACATCGCAGAATCGCCCTCTGGACGCCTGGCAGCAGCCCAGCCAACCCGTGTGTGGTGTGCGTGGAGTGGTGAGTACCCGCCTGCTTCTCTTTCTGAGTTCTCTACGCGCCCGGCAGTCTGGCCTCTCGCTGTCTCGCGCCGTGCCGTCCGTGCGAAGCGCTCGCCTGCTCTATCAATTCCACCACCCGCGAGCACTCGTCTTCTTCCTTCTTCCCTCGTCCAGCTGGTCTCGACATCTACACCTCTATCCCTACTGTCAACTTTCATAATCACTGCTTCTGCGTTGCTAGAGCTGGCCTCTTCTTTCGTTTCACCCTTCTTGAGGTCCACAGCATCTATCTATCCATCAGCCGTCTTACCCAACGCCTTCCCTGTTCCGGAAATAGCTCTGACAACATGTCAGACGGCAGGTCAAAAGAGATCCAATTCGCCGTACGGGCGCGGTCTCCCTCGGACGGTTCCAGCTCATCGGCGACTCTGTCCGTCAAGCCTCCATCATTAAAGTCACCGCGCACCGCTCGTTTCGCCGAGGCCACCGCCGTCAACTCGCCCATTGAGCCTTCCAAGGCTGGTCGAAATCCATTCAAAGACCCTCCATCGATCCACGTCATGGCTCAGCCGCAGGTGTCCGACGTGGGCTTTGGCTATGTCAACAAGCACGAGTCTGTCGAGATGCCCGACACGGACTACCAGCCGCCTCTTACTGCAAGGACGATCCCAAAGAGTCCTCTGAAGAGTGCAATGAAGACTCCTGGAGCTCCACCAAGAGATCTAAACGCCATCCTGAGTCCAACATTCAGGGAAGAACAGATCCTGGAAAAAACCGAGGCGCACACGGACAAGGAACAAGCCAAAGACATTGTAAGTCCACCGTTGGCATACTGCCAAGCATGATGCTGATCGTTTCCGAGAAACTCAAAACACGAGTACGAATCGCAAAGTTCATGCTCCGAGGCGTCAACTTCTCCTGCTCACTGATCGTCCTCGCCATGCTTGCTTCTACCTTCGCCATTTTCAACGCTACCAAGAGCCTTCCCCCACGGAACAACCTACCTCCTTGGGCCGCAAACCAGAAGACTTGGCCCCAGATCCTGCTTTTGTGCATCTCCTGTGTCTCGCTCTTTGCCTGCATGCTTATCTTTTGGGGATACTGGAAAGGCGGCCATCGCCGAGCCGAGAAGGCAGCCGTCTACTACACCGTGGTGGCTGTGGCCTTCTTCATCTTCAGCATCGTTATGTGGGCCGTGGGTGCCGCTGTGATCCAGCAACAAAAGAACAATAGCGAGAATAAGGACATGTGGGGATGGTCCTGCGTGGACAATGAGCGGAGTCAGCTCTTCCAGAACGAAGTCGGTTACCAACTTATCTGCCGTCTGCAGAACTGGAGTCTGGTGTGCGCCATTATTGAAATCGTCGTCGAGCTCATTACGATCATGGTGTATGGTGTCGTGTTCTGGCGGTTCTACTCCAAGCGTCAGCTCAGGAAGTCGATGGCTGTCCGCGACCGGGCGCGAAGCGATCTGTACCTCGCACAACTTCGAAGCCAATCCGCGCCCAATACTCCAGCCCCTTTCAGCCCTCGCGATGGCGGTTGGAGAGCGCCTGTCGACACCTATGCCAAGGGCCCGTCCGTCGAAGAGGGCGAAGTCCAATACATCGATGCCGACAGGAAACACCAACCAGCACCCTTCAAGCTTCAAGCACCGCCGATCAAAATCACGGGCGCGACTCCCAAAATGCAGCAACTCGGCTTCACGCCCGTCGAGGTCACAACACGAGAGAGGACGCCTTCGCCACCAGAGGAAGATCAAAGATCACCGCTCATGGCGGACGCACCTCGGGAAACGCAGCAAGAACATTTCGCTGCTGTAGCGCCTGGTGAGCAAGTGTACGACTCGGTGCCGATTCCGGGAGCGTACGAAGCACCGCTATCGCCCGGTGCGGAACAGATGCATTTTCCAAGGTGAAAATTTGTGATTGATGTTTTAGCATTCCTTTTGAGCGGCTGGACACGACATGATCTGAACAGTGACGGAATTGTCAAGATGCGATGTTTATATAATGATACCTCTACTGTTAACGCACGATCTTCTCTTGTATGTGAAGAATTTCTTGAATAGAACATGTCAGAAGCAGACGCATCTCAATATTATGCGCTTGTCTTGCATCGTAATCCAGAGGACTCAGGTAGCCCTCTGTGTTTGCCCGCGCAGCTGGACTCCTTGGTTCACTTCGCACAAGATTGACCCACATCGCAGAAAGACATATCCAGTCGATACCACGACGAATGCGGGAGCCTTGCCAATGCCATCGCTAGCGAATCACTGTGCGATGGCCTCAGGCAGCAGCAAAACTGTTGACCACAACCTGAAGCTATCTGTCATGGTTACACAACATACAACACGACGATCGCAACTCACACCACCCAACAAGGGCGGAAACATCGGCTTCCAATCTATATATACAGGCACACTCACCTTGGATAAGCCTCCAAATCGCGCCTAACAAGCTCAATGCCCTCTTTTCCAAGCTTCTAGTAGAAAGAATTACGAAACAGCGTCTATGAACGAGAAAGGACGAGTTCATACGCTGTCATTGGCATCTCTCTCTACCCCATCTCTCCAGAAGCCGCATCTACTAAAACAATTGGACCTCATCCCCTCGCGCTCTTCCTGAGAACTTGCGAGCGAATCTACCCCGAAATCCGAAGATTTTTTTACGCTCCTCACAACGAATTCCACATTTCTCGTGCTGGGATTTCCACGACGACTCTTGCACAGACTAGCGACTTTGTCATTCAGGACTGAGGATGAATCTTGGTGAAATATGCGCGAAGACTCACCTCACTGCAGTTGGCTAAATTACTAATGCTATTCGAATATCCTGGAAAAGCTAATGGCGGTGGCCTGAGCTTACAAATCCGCAAAATGGTTTTGCCGACTGCCGAAGCGGCACTCGCTGTGAGTCGCGACTCACTCTACCACCACAATAACAACTTACGACGGCGACAATGAGGCTCTACGAGTGTCGCGTACCGCTATTGTCGACGTGAACGGTCAATATGAAGTCAGGCGCAGCTTTTGGCTTCATATTGAACCCGTTAATAGCGGTGCGCGGCTTTATATTAATTAAAAGCTATTGTCGCGCTTATACTATTGTAAGTACGAGTCCATAATATCGAACAATAAGGCAGCTACTAACAATAAGCAGGCTATTTTATAAGAAGGCATTCTTATCTAGCGAACCTAGACCTCTTTTCCTACCTAGATCGTACTCGTAGACTCGCAAATCGACAATTCATAGTATTAATCGACTAGGAGACTCTTACATTTATCTATAGACGACTCTACGACCGATACTAGCCTAATTATCAACCTACTCCTTCGCCTCCGCCTTAGTCTACGCCCGAGAGCGCCCTAGTAGTAACTATATCGGCCCTAAGGTAAGCTATCCGAAGCCTAAAGAATAGGCAAAAGCTAATTAGCGAGTCTAGCGAGTCCTACCGTAAACTAGAGACGTAGGATAAGACTACATTCTAGTACATCTCCGATAAGGATTAGTAGCGCTATTTAAACAATCTTAAATCTAGTAACAAGTAGGTTCGTAAGTCCGCGGCTAATAGCCTACGGCGGTTTACTTACGCTAGCGAGATAATAGAGACGGATCTAGGTATGCTTTTTCTAATTTGTATAGACTCGCTACTAAAATCTAATCGACTCGTAGGTATACTATCTTCTAAGCCTAGCGGCTATAAGTAGTACGCCGCGAGAGGTCTAGATTATATTATCTATAAAGGTAAGGAATATACTTAATACGCGTTCTATAAGCGCTACGGTCGCCTAGGTTATAATAGTAAGCTCTAGAAGAAGTACGAGAAGTAGAAGGATAAGTAGGATAACTCGCTAAAGCCTAAGCCGGACTCGTAGGCTACTATAGGTAATTCTAGGGCTACTATAGGTAACTCTAGGGCTGAGATAGGCGACTCGTAGAAGCCTACGAGTCTTTAAACTAAGATTACTAGGCTTAAGGAGGGTTTAGGGTTTGCCTATAAGCGTATTAATAATCTAGAGGCTAAGCTCTACTATATAATAGACTTTATTACGTAGCTACCGGGTAGCGAGTAGTTCGTAGCTAAATATAAGGGCAAATATACTTAGTAGATAGTATAGATTAATTCTAGCCTACGAGTTATAGCGAGTATAGCTAATTTTAGCCTACGATTCCGTACGAGTCGGGTAGCTTAGGATATATAGAATCTTAGAGCGATTAAATCGCCTACGAATCTAGCAATTTTAGGCCTACGAGTCGGGCAAATTATAATACTACGAATCTTAGAGATCGTAGAATCCCTAAATCGCCCGCGAGTCTACCTAATTTTAGCCTACGAGTCGGGAGAATGTTAATATTAGAGATCTCTAAGCCTTTAATCGTTATTATATTTATACTATTAACCCTATACGCCCTTCTATCCTTTTAAAGCCTCGCTACTAACTCGCTACCGACTCGCTATAGCTTCTTTAACGCCCTTATAACCCTTTAAAACTCCGGAATCCTTATATACTCCTTCCTTAGCTTCTTATTCCTTATTGCCTCCGCTAGTACACTCGTAGTACTCGCTAGTCCGCTCGGGGGCGTACTCGTAGGCTCCGCTAGTACACTCGTAGCCTTAGTATCCTTAGGTAAGCTAGTAACCTACCTATCGCCCTAAATCTCCGTCGCTACCGGCGACTCGCTAGCGACTCGCTCTACTAAATCCGTAGGAGTAATCTCTATTCCTTCTTTAATAGTACTTAAATCTATAGGCTCCTTCTTTATTACTATACGTGCCTCCTACTTTACTACTAGCTTGCTTTTAGGCACTCGTACGTACGTAGGCTCGTCGTCGTCGTTATTATTAGTAAGGTTAATAATATCGATAGGGTTATAGGCGCTTAATCCCTAGGTACCGGATATAGACGAAGGAGTAGATCGATAGGGTAATTCGCGACTCGCTTAACGTTTGTAACTAACTAGCGGACTAGTAGAGGCCTCTTTCTCGGTAGATTAGGCACTCGTAGAGGGACTCGTAGGCTAGCGGAATTTAGCTAGTTTATTAGGGCTAGTAGAAGGCACTACTTTAGATTCGCTAGTACTCGCTACTATACTCGCTACTACACTCGCTACTACCTCCTTAGCTATCTTTCTTTTAGCTTTAGTACTAGGCCTCTAACCTAGACGCCTACTACGATAGCGCCTATTAAGGCTCTTTATTAGATCCGGATCTAAAGAGGAGCTGTCGTCGGTAGACTCGCTAGACTCGCCGTAGTCCTTCGGAAGCCTATTCTACCGCTTATCTTTAGCTACAAGGACAGCGACCCTAATATCTACCTCCTTTCGCGTAGGATTTGCCTAGTACCTACGCTTAAATAGTAGTAATTGCTCGTTAAGGTCGTCTTTGTCTCTACTGTTCGAGCTTAGTATAATTAAGAGCTTCTACTCTTTGTCGTACCGGGTATATATAAACGGACGTTTGTAGTACTATAGGCCGGTAACCTTCTTAACCTTAATATAGCTAGCGTATAAAGCCTAGTAGTAAAGCTAGTTACGAGTACGCGGCGAGTCGAGTAGTAGGGCCTTAAAGTCGCTCTAGTAGCCTACGATAGACTAGTAATCGACTAGCTCTAGATTATCTCTAACCGTCCACCTCTACTAGCCTTCCTTCTTAACTACATTAACTACTACTTTGCTTATATACACTATAACGTAAAGCTTAGGGCCCTTTAGTACTTTCTTCGGTCTACTACCCTTGTTCTACGACTACGAGTCGGCCTACGAGTCGTCTCGTAGCTCGGTACTACTACTACTACCCGCCTTAAGTCGATTCGTAGCGATTAGCGTGCTCCTATATAGACTCGCTTTACTAGTACGAGGACCTTATACCTCTCCGGATAACGGATTAATACCTATATTACTAAGCGGGCGGATATGCTACTTCTTATTAGCGGCTAAAACGGCATTAGTACGGCTAAATAAGCTTTTAGCGAGTCTAGTAAAGCTACTATAGCCCTTTATAGACGCGGGCTCCTTCCGCCGTAGAGTAGGGGAATCGATCGGATCCGGTACTAGTATTAAGGAAGGGCCTACAGTCGACTCGCGGCGACTCGCTATATTAGTGTCTACTATAGTAAAGAACGGGTTCCTAAGGCCGCATTTACTATAGCGGGGCTTATCGCTATACTCTTTAGTATAATTAAGAGTATAATCTACCTTATTAGATATATAGAAGTCTTCCTAGAAGTTAGTAGAAGAAGCTATAATAGACGTATATAGAAAGATAAGACGTAGTATTAAGGAATGTAACGTTACGAGTCTACTACGAGTATATACGAAGCTTTATAGAGGCTCCCTAGTAGTAGTAAAGACGGTTCTCGTACGATTAGACGGCTCGAGGCTATTTAAGCGAGTCGGCGCGATATACTTAGCGAGTCGTCTACTAGTATCTAGGTACTACTTAGCTACTCCTCGGAGGTACTAATAAGCGTGTATATAAAGCTTCTTAGGCCTATTACCGAATCCGGGTTCGCTACCTTTAAAGGTTAACGGGTAGCTAGCGAGTACGAGCTGTTCGTTTACCTATTATAGAGTTGTCGGAGGCAGGTATAAGCTAAGGTCTATATATAGCGAGGCGTAGTTAGCGTAGGAGTAAGAGAGGGGTAACTCTATAGGCGGGTAGCTAGAGCTGCGAGTGACTACGAGTACAGCTAAATTGGCTACGAGTACGGTCCAATTTCGAGCTACTTACCTAGTACTAATATAGAAAGCTCTTTAATTACCCGCGGAGCTTACTATAGCCGTCTATCCGGTTTATCTACTACTTAAGAGTAGTACTCGCTAGACTCTTAGGGTTAATTAGATGCCTACGCTAGGTAGTGTCCTCGAGCTCTAGATACTCGTAGAGCAAATCCGGTATACTACTAATATAGCTCTTAAGGTTTTGTACTCGTACCGGGTGCCGATTCTACTCTAAGACAAAGTAACTAACTATATAGCGTATAATTAGAGTATAGATTACGAGGAAGGCGAGTCGATTAGATAGCTTAGCGGCCTCGAAAAGGTGTAGGTTAATATACTAGTTAAATAGGTCTCTCTAGCGATTTATAGCTAATTTAGCTATCTCGCCCTACTAGTACTTAATAGTCTGATTGCCTTTACTCGTAGTATATAAGAAGGCCTTAACAAAGTCGATATTACGGCCCTCGATAAGCTCTCGAAGCCGTAGATAGGCGTCTACTAGTATAGGTGTCTCGACACCTTAATTAGAGCGGACTCGCTAAGGGACTCGCTAGATATAGTTAATTATAGTATAGTACTACGAAAACACTAAGTACTTTGTCTTTACTATTAGGCTAACGTAGAACTAGATAATCCGGCGTAAGTAGACGTTAATATAGGCGTAAATCTAAATGCCGAATTGCTCGATTTTATAGAAGGCATTAATTAACTAGACGTAGTTAGGCCTATTAGCTTTTAGTCGTACGTACCGTAGCCTATTCGGATAGCGATTACGTAGTTCGCGAAGCTTATATAGTAGAGCGTTAATTTACCGTGAAATCCGGTAGATACGGTCCCTAGTAGGCATTAGTATAGTAAGAAGAGGGCTACGAGTCGGCTACGAGTCGATTCCCTACCTACCTATAATATACTAGTAGGTTCTTAACTCTCGTACGAGCTTACGATAGCTAAAGTCTTAGGTTTGCCTATTAATTAGTACTGCTCGAAGCACCTTATCGACGTAGGTAGTAGCTACTTCTAATTCCTCGTGTTCTAGTCGACGCTTAAGGCCGTAAGTACGGCGGAGCTCTTAATACTACCTTAAAGAGATGTTATAGCTATTAAGCCGTAGTATAGTATAGCTCTTCTTGTCGCTAATAGTATATAGCTAGAATAGCTCGGTAATCCGCTTAATTAGTACTACGTTACTACTATAGTTAATTCGAGGGCGAGTAGTTACTCCCTATCGCGATAAGTGTGTCTATAGAGTTCTAATACCGTAGCGAATGCCCTTAGTATTATGTAGGCTCTATACGACTCGCTAGTAGGTATATCTAGTATGAATCTAAAGCTTAATCTAGAGCCGATAGGGCTGTAAATCGAGGGCCTAAGGCGGCATGACGACAAAGTAGACAATAAAGGACCTAATAGATAGATTGCGAGTCGATAGCGAGTACATTAGTGCCTAACTACTACGATTACGGTGTGTGAGAGTGTGGTAGTACGGTAGCAAAACCGGCAAAACCATTTTGCGGATTTGTAAGCTTAGGCCACCGCCTAATGATCTGAAGCTGGATCCCAGCCTAAATTTCTTGCCAAAATTGATCCAACAACGCTGCTTATCAAATTCCCCGACCGGCATCTTCGGCACAACGTCGGCTTCACACTTAGCGCCATTTCGAGTGAATGTTGCTCAAACCGAACTCGGAAAACCAAGATACATTTGTCTCGGGATTCTACAGACAGGCCGTTAAGGTACCTACCTACTTTCGCTCTTCTTGGGATTCTGTATGATAAACCTGCGCGGCAAACGCCCGGAGGGTGAAACAGCCGCGTCGATCAGTTACTTTTGCCCCAAATCCCCGCATTTACCCTGCACACGCAACACCCTCGGCTTCGAGATAAATTGTGGATCTGGCTGGTGGCACATCATGTCTTCCGAAACACAGTTGTTCGCTCGACTTTTATTACGTCTGGAAGAAGAGATTCGGGTGTCTTGCATTCTTGGGCGTCTTTGGTCTTTCAAACATGCCTTGTGAGTAGCCCTTCCCGATCAACCCCAACGACTGACAATTTTTGTCGTTTACAATTTCAAGCAGCGACGAGTACAGTAGCAGCCGCGGTAGCAGGAACCTCAGCCATAGCAGCATACCTCAACGCAAAGTACCATATAGCTTCCGACCTCTCCAAAGGCGGCCTAGACAATGCCGCGGCAGAGGCGCAAAAGTTCATCTCACAACGGGAGTCCGAAGGCCGTCTGCTCGTCTACCATGACCTGGAAGCATGGGCGGAACAAGATATCCCAAACCACACGTTTCTGGAATTCGAGGGCCGGTCGTGGACGTACAGGCAATTCTACGACAATCTGCAGAGAGTGGGGAACTGGCTCATGAAGGATTTGGGGATCCAGCAGCATGAGATGGTCGCGATCAGTGGGCCTAACAGTGCGGAGTATATGTTGCTTTGGTTTGCTCTGGATGCCGTGGGAGGTGCGCAGAGTCACATCAATCATAATTTGACGGGGAATGCACTGTCTCATTCGATTCAGGTGAGTTGAGGAAACATCTCCCTGAGGGCCTGGATAGCATTACTGATTGATTGCAGCTGTGTGAGCCTCGCTATGTAATCGCCGACAAAGAAACCGCAGAACGACTCGAATCCACGCGCGAAGAACTCACTCAAGCAGGCATCACGATCCTTTACTACGACGAAGCACTCTTCTCGACCTTCCGAGATACCACGCCTGTCCCCAGAGAACGAAATGCCACTTTCAAATCCGGCGACACGAGAGAATTGATCTACACGAGCGGCACTACCGGTCTACCCAAGGTACGTTATTTATATCTGTATCACCAGCGCTCTTGCTGAATCTTGGTGTCTCGACAGGGAGTCATGATGATCGCCGGCCGCATCCTCAACACTGCCAATGCAATGGCCAAATACCTCCGTCTCAAACGCGGGGACAAATTCTACACCTGTCTGCCACTCTACCACGGCGCTGCACAAGGGCTTTGCACCTCGCCTGTGATCTTCTCCGGCGCAGCGATGCGATTAGACAAAAAGTTCTCGCATCGGACATTCTGGCCTTCAGTCTCCCAGAGCGGAGCAACACACCTCCAGTATGTGGGAGAACTGTGTCGATACCTGATCAATGCGCCTCCCCATCCCCTGGAGCGGAAACATAACCTGCAAATGGCGTGGGGCAATGGCATGCGGCCGGATGTATGGGAGAGATTCCGGGAGAGGTTCAACATCCCCACGATCAACGAGCTCTACGCTGCCACGGACGGTCTGGGAGCCACGTTCAACGAGAACCGCGGCGACTTCGGCAGGAACTGCATTGGCGTTCGCGGCGCGATCTGGAACTGGAAGATGGGTGGCCAGGAAGTGCACGCGCGGATCGATCCGGACACGGAAGAGATGCTGAGGGATGCGAAGGGATGGGTAGTGAAATGCAACGCCAACGAGCCGGGCGAGGTGATTCACCGACTGGATCCCGCGACGGCGGAGCAGAGCTTCAAAGGCTACTACAAGAACGCCGGGGCCACGCAGAAGAGATTGATGCGGGACGTCTTCGAGCCGGGAGACTTGTGGTTCCGAAGCGGAGACGTCCACCGCACCGACGCGGACGGGAGGGTCTATTTCGTCGACCGACTCGGGGACACGTTCCGCTGGAAGAGCGAGAACGTCTCCACGAACGAAGTGGCCGACGTCCTCGGGACGTTCGACCAGATCGCCGAAGCGAACGTCTACGGCGTCGCCGTCCCGCACGCGGATGGAAGGTGTGGCTGCGCCACGGTCGTGTTGCAAGAAGGCCTATCACCGGATCAGTTCGACTGCGACAGACTGGGCATCTTCGTCCTCGAGCGATTACCCAAGTACGCGGTCCCTTACTTCTTGCGGGTAGCGCCGCAGTTGTCGTATACGGGGACGTTCAAGATCCAGAAGGGGCAGGCGAAGCGCGAGGGCGTCGATCTGGACTTGCTTGAGAAGTCCGGGAGTCAGGATAAGGTGTACTGGCTGCCACCGGGGGGGACGAGCTACCGGCCGTATGAGCGGAGCGATTGGGATTCTTTGAAGACTGGAAAGGTCAAGATGTAAATCGACAGAGAGACGAGAGACGAGAAATGAACGACTTACGAGAGATCTAACAGCAGACTCACAGCACCAACTCCACTCTCCCAGCGCCGCAATGATCGAATCTCCTAACAGACGAAAAAGGTAAGCCTCCCCATTACTGTCTCAAAGTAGCCACACCCAAACACTCCCCCTCCCCCCACCCGACTAGTCCACAGCCAACGTGGCCAAACAGCGACGCGCCTCTCGGCCATTCAACATTCGTATTGCTCGCTCTAGCCGTTGTGTTCGTCTACTGATTTGGATGGAAAAATCGTGCTCATGAAATCCAAGAAGTTGGATGAGCGATGGATCCCTGTGTGGAGAACAGCAGCAATCCCTGCTGCTACCTGCCTACGAAGATTCTCTGCCAGATTGTGTTGAACTGGAATTGCAAGGCTGCATTTGACAGGGAGAAGCGCTGATTCGAGCTGCTCGTTGGGGAAGTGCAAGTACGGCAGGGCAGCAAAGCTCCAATCTTGAGGCTTCAAGAATCTCGTGTCTTTGTATTCTGGCGTGTTTCGCTGTTCAACTGAATGCCCATGTCCACGCCGTGGATCTGAATCATCAGCTCCGGAATCGGTCAAGACACGAGATGGTAGCTTTTGCGTGGGTATGTACAGGGCTCTCTGACCCGCCATTTCCTCGCAAGCGCACTCGGAGAGGTCATCTTTCAGGCTCCGCTCGAGCGATTGTGAACTTACTGTGCGCAGGCTCGAGTGACCCGTCCATTCTCTTCGAGCTCCTCGAAAAGTCCGTGTAGATTGCCGCTGCGCGGGAGACTTTGGGGCGCTCTCCAAGGCTTGGGCGCTGGTTGTAGAGAGGATGAAGCCAAGAGGATGAAGCCAAGAGGATGAAGCCAACAGGATGAAGCCAACAGGATGAAGCCAACAGGATGAAGCCAAGAGCATGGAGTGAAAGACTACCATCGTAGGTAAGAAGTCGGTCCTTTCATCCTGCTTTCCATTGCCATCTCAGGCCACTCTTCCGTGAGGCGGCGGTGCGGAGTCTGAAGGGATGTGCTTCCGTATTGAAAACGTATTCGTCCAGGCTAATGTGGTCGGGCTCCGCAAAGGTCAAGTAGAAGTACTTGAGCGTCTCAGCGGTCCTATCCGAAAGAGTTAGTCATGCCGACATGGCCCAGAACAACACCGAGCTTCGACTCACCAGAAGCTTTCCATCGTATCTTCCCGCGGGGCCGTGGTGTTTCTCACATCAGTGAGAGCGGCATGCGCGAGGTCGGTTCTTGTGTGTGCATGAATGCTTCGGAACATATTCCAAGCTGTGTCTTGCAGCGTCTTATTGCCAGTGATGCGATACAGAATGAAGACGCTTTCGATGGCTTCTGGTCGCAAGCGATAGCTGGGGTTGGTGATTGCTGAAAATCCATGCGGCAAGTGCTGGGCCTCGATGATCTCCCCGGCGCTCAATCCCGCCTCCTTATCCTCGGGCGATGCATCTTCCAACACGGCCGCATGCCACTTCTCGGAGTCCCATTTGCACGGTTCGCCTATGGCGCATGGTATGAGATTTGATGTCTCTGGCATAATGCCGGTCTCGGTCTTCTCATAAGCCCATGCACATCCGTCGGTCAGCTTCCGTCCAATATCGACGTGGCTTTGATTCCCTAGTAAACGCCCACCAAGAGCAAACATGCCACCTGCATAGCAAACAAGATGCTGAAGTTCCGGCTGCAAGGAAACATTGTCCCCTTCTACCATTACCGTCCCAGCCATGAGCACCGTTATATTCTCTCTAATTAAGGGCCGGTAGAGGGAGTATTTGATCGCAGTATCCGCGGCTGACTCCCACATCCTGGCATACTGATCTGATCCGCCAAGCAGAGCATACATCTTAGGCAGGTATTCGTACATAGAGTCAGCCCAGGCGGCAAGAGAGAACAGGTAGCCAGTATGGAAGTCTGCGTCTTCGGCATTCACTTCAACTGGCCACATCCCGGGGAGCGCCGTCTTGTGCTGTTCTTGCTCAAACAGCGCCATGATCCTGTGGATAGCATCATACCACCTGGGATCGTTGGTGATCTGCGACAAGCGAGTGAATTCCAGTGACAGTGAGCCGATCTCCGCAAGGAGGACCGGTTTGGTGGCTGTCTGGCCGAGATGATGCTGTGCGTGACGGAAGTTCCATCGAAGTACAGGCAGGCGGTTTGGGGTGTCGAATGAAGCGTAGAGAAGATGCGCAAGTTCCACAGCCTTTTGGAGGAGACGCTTGTCGCCAGAGAGATCGTAAGCCGCGATGAATCCTCCCAGATAGCGTATCGTAGTCTCGAATACATTGATCTCCCTCATGGCAGAGTTCGAGAAGTCAATCTCCATTGCAGCATCCACGGCTTCGTAAAACTCATCTCTGAGGCCGGCGATCCACAGAGTGTCCAGTGTATCCACCAGAGTCGCGGCCCAGCCTCCAAAGGTGGTCTTGTGGCTGCCGGACACCGGTGCCAGTTCGTCCTTCATCCATGCTTTGAGTTGATACGCCTGCCAGGAGCGCTTCAGAGCACCTTTCACTTGAGCGAGCCGCTGTCTTCGCGTTGCAGCCTCCGCGGCAGATTCTGTTTGATTTGAGAAGTCAAATTGAATCCGTGGAAGATGGGTCAGAGCCGGCCTGGGAAGTGAGTACACCTTAGACGAAGGATATTTCTGAGGTCGCCGTGCCCAATCGATTTTGGGGTCGTCGAATGCGGTGTGCTTGCGAGACTGCGTGACCTTTGCAGGTGCCTTCTGCAATAGCCATGACCCTGGTATCCTGAGATGCAACAGAAATGTGAGAAATAACAATGCTGAGAGGGACACGGCGATCAAACGGCTCAACATCTTGCATAACCAAAAGCTTAGGATATTCTCAAAGTGAAGCTCAAGGAGTGCAGTTTCAGGTTCGTATTCGGCGACTGGGTCGCGACGCGGTCAAGGCCAGGCTGTTTCAGTTGAGACAACGCTGGTAGGGATCGTGAGCGCGAATGGGAAGGAGTAATAAAACTGCCCGAAGAAGTGAGATTGCACATGGTATCGATAGCATATCATAGGACCGGCTTGAAAGTTAAAAACGATCAAGACCCCAGGGGAAGAGTATCTGGGCGTGTCGTGTCAGCCGTGTGCTCACAAGCTTTTCCACCCACTCCTGAACAAGGAGTCCGCGCGCTTTCTAGAGTAGAGAAGAGCCCAACGAAGCCACAGCCGCAGCTACTTTGCGCACTATCCCGCATTCGCACGAGATGCAATATTCTTGTTGTCCAGAAGACTGTTGATGTTGCATCTGGTCTGATGGATGAAAGGAGTGAGTGATAAAATGTGAGGAAAGATGGAACTGCGAGAGGGGCAATTCAGGGGTCTCTGTTTAGATTTCCGCCAGCACGCACAGACCGCCATTTCACGTGACTGAATACGGCACACTACCTTATCGCGCACAGCTGTCAGAGCGGAACGGCCCGATTACATAATCACGCGTAAACAACCTGGCATGGACGCGCACACTGGTTGCTCCAACCTCACTGACGACCGTCGCGCGAGCAGTGCTGGGAGGCTTATCAGGATGAATGTGTCAGGGCAAATTCAAGGTACAAGAAACTCAATGCTCGAATGATGGAAGCTCTTGGTCTTGGTAGGTGTCAATGATGAACACGGAGAGCTCGAATCTGGACGAGATTCCACAACCTTGAGAAGAAAAAAAAAAGGCACAGGACGGACAAGCATATCTGGGTCACGACGACCTGATGATGAGGAAGAGGCTGAGATATCTGGATCAAGACGACGACGACCGGCTGAAAAGAAAGAGGCAGAGGATCTCATATCATATCACATCATATCATATATCAAGAAGAGTTTCTAGCCACCTAACTATCTACATGATAACGCAAGATGACTGTCAATCAGTCAGTCAGACAGATCAATATTAATTATTTATTAAGAACCAACCCTTTCCAAATCATCACGACTCCCGCGCGGGACTTCTCACTCTCACTCACTCACCCACTCGCTTCTCTCCTCCTGCCCGGTTCCCAAAGCGGATATAGCTCTTAGGACTTCCTTCCATCTATGATTGAGTTTACACCAGGCATCATGATCATCAACTCCGCACCCATGGCCGAACCGCACTCAACTCACGGACGACGACGTCACCTGTCTGTCCCATGAAAATGTCGTGGAGCTTCATATTGATATATCATTCTCTTTCCATTCCTTCCACCTCATCATCAGAAGAAGAAGAACAACCCTCATCACCGCCAAAGCAAAGCAGAAATAAAAAGACCAATTCACAACACAATGTCCGAAGTCCACATCGTAGCCATCATCCACCCAACGCCGGGCAAAGTCGATCGGGTGAGTGACCTTTACCTGCGTATAGACTCGTCCCTCCTCCTCTGACAATTCCTCATTTCTCAACAAAAGCTCGTCTCCCTGCTCAAGGGAATGTGTAAATCCGTGCACGAAAAGGAAGACTACACCCTCCGCTACATCGGCACCGAACAGATCGGCCCGGGGGAGGAAAAGCCCGAGACGCCGGATATCGTCATGATTGAGACGTAAGTATATACATATACCTTCCCGAATGATTCCCCCCAAAAATCAAAAGTCTTTCGTGATGGGGTTATACATAATACTGACATGGATTCCTTTTTTCCTTCCGGGTAGATACAAAGACAAAGCCTCGGCGGAGAAACATACGACGGAACCGCATTTCAAGCAACTATTCGCGACGTTTGACGAGGAAGGGTTGATGGCGAAGCCTCCGTACTTGGCGCAGACGAAGAGTATTTCCGGCTTTGATCTGGATCGCAAGTTCATCTCGTAGATGCTCCGCCCGCACGCAGGATGAGATCTTGTCGTCTTCTACGATCTGACGGATGCAAGCGCTCGTTTGCAAGAGGGATTTGCCGAGGAAGGGGGGTATGATCGCTGTCTATAGGGAGAGAGAGGGAGAGGGCATGTCAGAGTAGTTCGACCTTCTGGAAATAGTAGAAGTAGAAGAAGGAAGGAGAGGTGATACCTACCTACCTATCATTCTGACTCCCCGCAACAGTGCACCACTCTTCTGCATTCCCTCCCCAATAACTCCCTGTATTTCGGGCGTCAGGGCTTGATCTTGGGTACATTGCAGGGAGAACGTCGGGATGTGCATGTATGCCGCGTGACTCGTCGCTTCCGTATACGCTCTCCAGGACTGAGGACGGAAGGAAGGAGCTCCAATGGTCTGCTTCCTCGAGGGAAAATGTGGGCGACGACAACGGCATTGGTTCTGGACTCTTCCAATCCGGAGCGAACCGTATCGCGAATGGCATTCATGTCGTCTCCCGACGAAGCAGGCGGTAGATCGGGAGATTGCGTACCTTACTCGGCAGTGCCATCGAAAGGCATCTATATCCACGGCTTTCCATATCTGGGCTTTGATGAGAGTTCCCAAGTGTTCAGTCGGATGCCACGATCCGTGAACGAGCACGAGTGTCGGTAGAGAGGCCATTGAGAAGACAATGATGGAGCAAATCGCCTTCTTTCGTCTCTTGCAATTATCAATACATAGCTCCCAAAAATCGAACTGTCGAGGTACTCTCTATCCTTCAGCCTCACAGATTCGGCGGCTGAATCGTGACTATCGCGAGCCGTCATCTGCGCCGACATAGGCTTAAATACCCAGTAGCTGAGAAGGGCTCGAATGCGATGCAGGATCGCGAGGGAAAGATTATGTCTCGACATACTAAATGAAAAAATATCGAGAACGATGTCCGCGTGAGGGAGGAAAGAGAACGGAGAACGGAGAACGAAGAACGAAGAACGAGGGATAGAAAAGAACGCGACGCGATCGGGGAGAAAATCTAACAGCATCAGCGTTGTAACGTATACATAAAAATTAAACCCGACATCACTCTCTCTCCAAGCGGGAAAACAGTCATATGCCAACAACGCAAATGGTATAGAGAGAAGACAGACCATGGAAAACGCCGTGCTGTACTGTCCGACCGTGTCGCCAATTGAGTATCATCATCAAGGATCGAGACCCCACAGCCGTGAAAGAAAGCAAATCAGACGAAAAGCACAGTCTCGCCGCGAGAATTTCTCCTCAGACGCAGAGATTTCCAGAGTTCCTTGTCTTCTTCCTCCTTGTCCTCACCTCTCACGTCTCGCTCGCGGTGGTAGCGTTTGAGGGCCTTGTTGATGGAACAGCCGCGCTCGCTTTCGGGACCCTTGTTGATGAAGGATAGGAAGAGTTCGGCGCGAGATCGGTACGAGACCACCTGGTTACTGGAGGATGGTTGGACTGAGCCTGGCCGGTCTGGGTATTCGATGGCCTTTCGCCGACTCACTCGTGACCGGTCTTCGGATGAGAAGGAGGCCTCGCGCTGACTTCTGCGGTGCTTGTCGGCATGACGGCTGGCTTCGGGGCTCCGAGAGCGATCGCGGGCCCCGTGCTTGCTGGAAGGCGCTTTGGAGCCATTCCAGCTGCTGACGTATGAAGATTTCCTGCGCTCCTCTTTCACCTTCTCCTTCACCTCCTTCACCTCCTTCTCGCGCTTATTGCGCTTGATGGGGCTTATGGGCGTTGGTCCAGCTTCAATGCGGTCCTCGTAGAAACCTGGATCAGTGATAAGCTTGCTCAGGCCACCGGTGAGGCCCGAATGCAATGTCTTTCCAGCAGTCATGGGCGCATCCGTCATTGCTTCGTCTCGTGAGACCGGCCGCTTCACACTTGAAAGATCCAGGTCATCCACATTTCGCTTTCTCTTGCTACCGCTCTTCTCAGTACCACGCTTGTCCTTCTTCTCCTTCCTGGGCTTGGGGGTAACGTAGGGAGGAGGGGCCATGGACGCTTGCGTCTGTTGGGAATCGAAGTTGTGCCACGAGTCGTAGCGATCGAGGCTGGACTGCAGAGGCGCGTCTCCGTACGAATAGCCGTGCTGCAAGTAATGCGAGCCATTGCCATTCGAGTATTGCGAATACTGCGACGCATTGCCATACGGGGTGGCATGCTCCAACATCCTCCTCTCACTCGGCGCCTGGACAGCTCCCTTCGGGGTCGCGTCGCTTACAAGAAAGTCAAACACATTGACATTCTCTGGCAAAGCCTCCGGAGCAGGCGGTGGAGTCGGTGCCCTGGGTGGTACATCAATCACCGCGACGGCATTCATCTCGTCTCCGTCGACTGCATCCTCCACGTACGCGCCTCTGGGCACCATCCCTCCGTTGTTGCCGTTCATGGATTTCCGTTTGCCCTTGCCCTTCTCTTTCTCGGGCCGGTACAGATGTCCCTGATATTTCTGGGCTTCGCTGATGCAGGATGTATGCGATCGATATTCCGTTCCGGGGAAATGGACCATGCAATCTAGACAGGTGAAGGTTGCGCCTCGACACTGATTGCGGTGGCCGTCGAGCTTCTTCTTGGTCAGGACATCTCCACAGCCCTATGGATTCGCGCAGGACACGTTAGCACTCCGATATTTCCAGACCACCACCAAGATGATTGTATGGAATTACCTCGCAGGAAAAGGAGACCATTCTGACCAGACGGGAGCGGGCGGCTCAGGGACGTTTAAGTGGTGGGCGAGGAACAGGTGTCAGGAGGCCTGGACTGCACGCGACGCGGTACCTGCGTACCTGCTGTTGGTGGGCGTGTGCGGGTGCGTGTGTTTGGTGGGATGGTGGTCGAAGTGTTTCATTCAAGTCATTCGAGAAGGCTAGTTTTTGCGCAAGCGAAATCTTATCGCACGCGGAGCGGCAAGCGTCGTACAAAAGTCGTGGGTTGCTGGGCGACCACCGTTTCCTGCAAATCTGGTTCCTTTCGACTCCATGGACGACCACACGTAGTCGTCGCACATCCTATTATATCTCTTCGCAGATTCCCTCTCCGCATGTCGTTCTCATGAGTTATCAAGCAAGCCCGGAAGCATTCGACGCCCACGTATTCTGCCGTCAACAATGGCTTTAGGGGTGTCAACAGAGCCGTTGCCAGGGAAGCAGCACGCACGAACGCGTCCCTATCATCAATCTACGCGCCCTCCATTACACTATGACAAGGGGCGCATGATCTGTCCCGCCACACATCATCTCGAAATATGACGCTCATCTCCCAAAAGCAGCCAAAAAATCCCCGAGGACAATTGACTTTGGAAGGTGGAAGTCCACCGCACCTGCTGGAATGTCTCAGATGCACATCACCAGCACATGCACGAGCAGATCATGGGAGCAGATCACGACCACTTGATGGACGGAAGTCTTCACTCCCCGACTGAGGCTTCGGCTCTTTCATGCGCTCCATTATTGAGACCGGTCGGCAGAGGAGAATCTGAAAACCTTCCTTCTTCTCACGAGGTGGAGGAACCTCCACGATGGCCGCAGTTTACCGACGCTGATGACGGACCGCAAGATCAATACGGCAACCATAGCTCTATTAATCGACGTCCTGTCACATGGCAAGCTGCAAACTTCGAGGGAGGGCTGCTGAGACGGCCGGTCCATTTTCTGGAGCTCTGGAATCGGATTGATGACAGCGGAGTGCTTGGAAGAGAATGGGTCTGGAGAATTCGATGACTGCGTTCGAAGCGTTGACGCCTGCCCGGTCATCGTCCATTTCGTTCACTGCCAAGCCAAGCGAGGCCATAGGACCGCGAGAAAAGAATTTGGGTTCTGCTGCAAACTTTCGTTAATCATTTCATAGCGGTACACCCAAACGCCACGCCAGGAACCATAAACTCCCCTACACCGCCATTAATCTCTCCACATCTCGGTTCGGCGGCACTGTCCCATGTGGAAAACGGCCAGCCGGCAGATGGTAACACAAAAACTCGCTCCACTCAAGCAAATGCCCAATTGTACATGCGGCGAGAAGCATAGAAGACGGCCAGGAAGCCAAGCAAGGTCCACGCCGCCAACGCAACGAGGACACGGGATCTCATCTCGAAGACACTGTCTAATTGCGACTTGGCAACTCCACGACGATGCCAGGAAAGATGAGGATGCCATGTGCTTCCTTCCGAATGCTGATACGGCTCGGGGCTCCTCCGGCCGAATTGGGACCAGGAGGACGGATTGGGAGAGGGAGCGTGCTGTGACAGGCGCCATTGGCGTTGCTCCCTCTCCACGATGCACAGGGAGAGAATGAATGAAATGACGCTGATCGGGGTAAGGATGAGCTAGAAGAGAGGATGTGTGAGCAGACCAGCTCAGTTTAGCGGGTCGAGGGGCTGGCTGCACAGAATGGACATACGTCTGCGATTATGGAGTGCTCGGAGGTGGTTTGGCCGTTTTGATCGCTGGTGTTCGGAGATGGCTGGTCGGGCCGCTTGAGGGCGTCGTCTGACAGGTCCAAGAAGGGATCATGTTTCTTGTGCCTGCTTTGATGGCGTGCGCCGTGTGACTGTGCGGATAGAGTGTGCAAGGCGGTAGTCTCCGCCGACATGATGTTGTTGCTGGGAGAGAAAATACGTATGCTGCGGTGTAACGGGCAAGACGGGGTGAGGGTTGCTGCAGTGGTCAAGCAGCGTAGGTGGTGGATGATGAGGACATAACCTCGTCCGTGAATGGCATCTGCCTAGCATTGCAAGGATGAATGGTGTTGCCGTCACATTCCGCGCAGGACTGAAACGGCGCCAAGAGATGAGCCTCTTGTGCTGTGTCAGGTGTGTGTCAGTCATCACATCAGCCATTCGGTTTCGGATTCGCGGGCCGAGTGGATCGTAAGCGAAGATCTGGGAAATCGAAATCGGCGGAACGGGAGAATGACGACAACTACAACGGGCCAGCGCGGACACATGTGGACGGCGGACACACGGCGGACAGCGTCGCGCAAGTCCGACTTCACTTGTAGTTGTTCATGCATGCGCCGATGATATCGAGCGCATCGAGCGCATCCAGCGTCATACTAGCCGACTGAGCCCGCGCGGTCTGCCGGCTGTCAAAGGCGTGCGTGGCTCCGGCCGTGTCTCTCAACACCGCCCTTCTTCGCCCGCGCGCCCAGTGCACCGCCGTGCAGATGGGCTGCATACAAACGTTGCCGACTCGTGAATAATGCGCTGCTCTCACAGGCGCGGGCAGACACGGACAGGCACGGACAGACCCAGCAATAGTCCTGTACACCGCTTGCATTGCAGTGCATTGCATCGCATCGCATCGCATTACGATACGATACGAGACGAGACGATAGCCATCCCCACCGCATGGCTCAGCTCGACGGCGACATGTGCCCTCACCGGGTTGCTGGGCGGCCGTGTGCGACGCGATCAGAGATGTGTGCGCAGTGCGCGCTCATGTCCATCACATCATCATCTTGGTGATCTGGATCTGGCGGGAACCGGCCGCTGGCACGTCCCTCCCCTCACCGCGTCCAATCACCGCCGCCCAATCAGTGTAAGGTAGCGATGTTGAGCAGGACCGGCAGCACGCGACGGCCCGCGCTTCGTATCCCTCGACTCTCTCCACCCACATCTCCTCTCCTCTCCACCTCCATCCTGTGCTCACACGTCCTTTGCATTGTTCGAATTCGCTCGACCGACTCCTCCGCCACAGTGGAGGGCCCACCTCATTCATTATTCTTATTACTTACTCCTTTCGCCCACCACAAGGCTCGCGGCTGAGGCGCCCCGGGGCATGCACCGCCGCCGACATGCACTAGCCGGGCCATGCTGCGAACGAGCATTCCCGATCCGTCCTCTGCCAATGAGTCCAATCTTGCTCGCTTCCAATGGCTACCGCTCGCTGGCGCCTCTGCCAATCACCGCCCAGCACACCTTCGCTCCTCCCAAACACATCCACTGCTGATCCTCGACCTTGGCGACCATCAAAGTGCCACCATACCCACTGCCGGACACATGATGCAGGAAATCCTGGAGCGGACCTGATTGCAGTAGGTGACCATGCCTTACGGACCTGCATTGGCACCAGGCCGTTGCCACAAGCTTCTCCCAATAGTATCACTTGCACAAAGTATTGGAGCCATGTTCCTCTTTGCCCAGCTACGATGGCGATGTTGTGCCAGCACAACGATAACCGCCCTGCGACTTCCAACTCTCCTATCGTCTCGCGTCGAGCTTCGCTTTATTTATCATGATACTCACCCTCTCATTAGCTGCCATCAACCATGCTCATTTCCAACTCTCGTCCACGTGCGGTACAGCCAGCGGGTCAGCGTGCAATCATGGCGAGCCAACCCAATGTCGACCTCTCACGCAGTCAAGCGGGAGGGAGCGGGCCTGCCTCGTCGGCGTCTAGCCGCTCCGAGGGCGCCAGTACGTATAAGTCCCTCATGCCCAACGCTTGTGCATCGGGCACCGCTCATGTCTGAAGATGCTGACTCTCCCTCAGCCAGCAAACCCTCCACCCCGGTCGACTCCATCGACTTTCGATTCCTCAACTTCTCCCACCCCAAGGACGCCAAGAATGCAACAACCCGCAGGAACGTCCGCAGCCATGTCACCGGCGTGCAGCACGCGAGGCAGCGCCAGGCGGCTGCTGAGCAAGCAAAGAGAACACAGTCCTCGTCGTCGGGGGTGCCTCCCACGCCTATACTTGCAGGACCTTCTCCTTCATACTCAGCATCATATGCCGGATCACCAGCGCTATCGGAGAACGACACCAGCAGCCCAGAAGAACCTTCAGGCGCCTCTCCGGCAACCTCCTCGGTTTCACCACCAGCGTCTCCCTTGCCCAGACTTAACCCTCTAGAAGTCTACCCAGAAGAATGGCACCCGTACCTCCGTCCCGTAATCGTAAGTCTAGTGTGAGGTCGTTTCACGAAACGCCAAGACACTCTCGCTGACCCCTGTCGCAGGACCACTATCTGGAGAACATGTCTATAGACCTCCCCGAGACTGATCGAGCTTCGAGAGAACTCCTCCGCACGTCTTTCATGGACGTTGTTTTGTCGGACCGGGCATCCGTCCACGCTCTGTTGCTGGTGGCCGGCGCTCATTGGAACAAAGTGCGTCCGCAGCAACAGCATCGAATCAACTTGCTGCAACTACGTGGCATGGCCATTCAGGAGATCAATCAGGCTCTCGGCGATCACCGCAACGGCGGTCGCGCAACCAGCGATCAGCTCCTCGCGGCTGTTGGAAAGATGGCTACCTACGAGCTCTTGTTCGGTCAACGGGAGACCTTCCACACGCACATGACGGGCCTGCAGCGCATGGTCAGCCTTCGCGGCGGACTACAAGCACTCGGTCTGCACGGTCTCCTGGAGCGCATTCTGCTCTGGATCGACTCCAACGCCATGGTCATCACCAAAACATCCTCCCTCTACTTTCCTCCGGCCGCTTTCTCGTCAACATCGGGACACCCGCAACCGAACCAGCGGCTTTTTCTCCTTGGCCTGCAAGCCGGCTCTCGTAATAACTAGATGATAGAAGAGGTCTCCGCATGCGATGCACAACGATGACCTCCGACCTCTGACACGGTCCAAGAAATCGACGAATCAATCCACGCTTCTCACCGCCTCCACGTGCCGAGGCGCCCCGCGGTAGCCCTATAACCTTGCCAGCCACCAAAAAACTGAGACACGTGACCGTCACCCGACACCGACCACCGGATGGTCTCTCTAATAACTCCGACAGATACAGAGAAAAAGGTCACCAGAGATTACAGCATAGGACAGGGCGGAGACATCCCGAGTCAAAGAAAGTTTCGGACGACAGAAAAAGGGCGGCATATCTTAGGAGTTGGATTCCTCCTAGACTAACTTGTTACGGCAGTGCAGGCCACTTTGCCCATCTACTCTAGCTCGTAATAATTCCATAATGAGTTAATTTCCTTTTGTTATAGTTACTATCTACTATATAGATAAAGATACTATAGCGAGAGAAGAAGTAAAAAAATACAAGGAAAAAATTCTTTAGACTTCTTATCTATCTACCTAGCGACATGCCTAGGTAGCTAGGAGTATGCAGTGCATTCGAACTGACGGCAACGACTTTCCTATACTTAAAAAGGCAGTTACACGTCTTGAAGGGAATGTTTCTCAGCCTTTTTGTTGGGTTCAAACGACGCACCCGCTGAGAGGTGGCATACCTTCCATTAGCATGCAGTGTGAAGTCTGCCACTCGGCTGTCTTACCGGAGGGGGTGGGGGGGGGCGCGATTTCTTTTTAGCCGGGAGGTGGAGGACCACTTCCTTTGGCACATGGGGATTCGCTTTCAGCTGGGATCCATGCTTCGGTGATCGAGAATAATATCGTGAGTATCATGGAAGGCAATGTTGCTTTCTTCTGCGATGTGATGTGTGGTGATGATGATGATGGATTCCGGCGCAGGGAGTGGCTTGGAGCAGGCGATGTGTCGAGATCATCGATGACTGCATGAGTTGAGCAGCTGCTGTGGTGAGATCGCTCGCTCGCTCGGATCGAAAGACGTATCTTTGCCTGTCTAAGGTAACAACGCTCGTGGCAAGACATGGGACCCGCAGACAGTCTACAGGCGTCTCCTGACGATATGGGCGGTGGCGTCCTAATCGCAGCCGTTGGAAAGGCCCTTCATGCCTCAAAATACATTCGATACGCGACATCATGTTCTCCTCGCGCGTGCAGCTATTTCAATGCCCCTTTTGAGTCTCGTGTCCACGGATACCGACAGGTAGCACCTGTTCGGAGATGCTCGGTCATTGCCTTGAAACTTGGGATCTCATGACGCCGAAGTTCTCGATTGTAAGGGCGGGAGAGTCGAAGCCTCGGAGCTGTGGCAATTCATTGTTAGGAGAGGGATCAGGTGCATGGCATGTCAACTTGGAAATGCTCGGCGATGGAATCCGTGTGTCGAGTTGGGATGGCGTTCTGTGTCGCTGTGGCTGGCTGCTGCGTGAGATGAGCTACACATTTTTGCGCGAGGTGCAACGATGTTGTTGAACCCGCAGTTGGGAAAAGTGCAGAAGGAAAGTGGGTGGTGTGAACCGCGAACCGCGCTGCTGAAGATTTTCGTGAGCCTTGTCACTGCATACATGCCGCTGCCAATGGCAGGATGATAGCCGCAACGCCAGACGTTGCTTCCCGCTGAAAGAACCCTCGATTCATGACTGCCATAGCATTCGCTCCTGTGCTTCCGCCTGCGCGCGCCCACTTATCTCAATCTCCTAGCCTCACGCTCAGACTCGAGCAAGCAGAGGATGTCGTCTTCGCGGACTGCATAGCGAGTCAGTCATGCTCTTTCCATCTCGCCACTTGTGCATCTCTTACCTGGGCCCTTGACGTTGCGGATGATGGAACGGGTGGTGTCGTCCATGAATTCGACGCGGACCTGGGTCACACCTCCGCGAGAACCTGTTGTCTTGTCAGACTCCTCGCTATTTCTCTCATGTTTCCGTATTCGCATATTCGGGGGTTCGCATACCGGTACGGCCGAGGACTCTGGTGACCTTGACGAGCTTGACTGGGACCCTATTGTGCGCGCGGTCAGATATCTCCCATTTGCTCTTTCCATTCCGAGCGCACTCACTTGGCGGAATCCATCTTTGCGCTATATGTGTGTTGTCGCGGTGTTGTCGGTGGTGGTCGTGGGAGATTGTCTGCAAGGTGGACTCAAGGCTGGCGGCGAGATGGATTGCGGGCTCTTGGAAGGGCGAAAAATCGGGGTGGAAGCTGCCAAGAATTGCTGCTCGGCTCTCGGACCGAGACGCGCGAGCCAGCCCTAGCTATTGTTCCGCTGCACGTGTTCCATTATTGGGCGTCGGGCGGGACAACAGGAACGCCTGAAATTTCTGGGTGCGGCAGCTTAGGCCGGAGCACTTCGAGTGGCATTGGTCCTCTTGAGATACACCAAATCGTCGACGACTGCCTCCCGAAGAGCCTCAGCCTTACTCGAATTGATTGGCGAAGCTCACTCCGTCGCAGCGACTGACTACGCCGTCGAAGCGAGTTTGACTCACCGAACTGTCACCGGCGGATACACCTCTCTTCCTCAAAGCGCCTCAGATCGTCTGCAAACAACGACTCGATCGCTTGTGCGCCCACACCTATTCGCTATTCTTAAAGAAAGACAGATCTCACCATGGATTTTGTCAACCAGTATGTATTTGCACGCCGTCCTTTCCCCTCCGTCGACCAACATGGCCGGATTGAGCCTGAGCGTGAGGCCCGCTCGCCCAACTCTCCAGCGAAGGTATACGCGATCGCTGCCAACGCTAATCAACTCCTTGGGCAGCCTCAACGAACGACTGCTCTTCGCAGTCCCAAAGAAGGGACGACTCCAACAAGCATGTCTCGATCTTCTGGCCGGCTCCGACATCCAATTCCATAGGAACAATCGTCTGGATATCGCATTGGTTAAGAACCTTCCCGTGGCATTGATTTTCCTCCCAGCAGCCGATATCCCGACGTTCGTTGGCGAAGGACGAGTCGACCTCGGCATTACCGGACGTGACACGGTAGCTGAGCATGAAGCCGTGACCCCTGCAACGGAGACCGAAGGCATTGAGGAGATCATGGACTTGGAATTCGGACGATGCAAGCTTCAGGTCCAAGTGCCGGAGAAAGGCGACATTCAAACCCCGGAACAGCTCATCGGAAGAAACGTCGTCACCAGCTTCACCAATCTGTCCGAAAGCTATTTCCGTGGCCTAGAAGCAAAGCAAAGCCCCAATGCAACCAATGGCGATGCTTCGCACAACAAGTTGCAGACCAAGATCAAGTTTGTCGGCGGTAGCGTTGAAGCAGCGTGTGCGTTGGGTGTCGCAGATGGAATTGTTGATCTTGTTGGTAAGTAGTGACCTCCAGAGCATGTCTGCTTCCCGACAGCCCGTCCGCTTACGCCTTTTCAGAATCGGGAGAGACCATGCGTGCAGCTGGCCTCAAAGCAATCTCGACCGTTGTGGAGTCAACTGCCGTTCTCATTCGATCGAAGCAGCCATCAGATCCCAAATTGGTCAATCTCATCACGAACCGAATCCAAGGCGTCATCACTGCGCAGAAATATGTACTTTGCCAGTATAACGTCGAGCGCACACATCTTGCCAAGACTAGCCAGATAACACCTGGCAAGCGTGCACCTACGATCAATAGCCTTGATGCGGACGGCTGGGTTGCAGTGTCAGCTATGGTCCCACGAACAGATATCGCGCTGGTGATGGACAAGCTGACGGATGCTGGAGCTACTGATATATTGGTGATGAAGCTCGACAACACCAGAGCTACAGCATAAACTTGAGATAATAAAAGCTCTAATCACGATTTCTGGATTTAAGCCTGGCGCCAGGCGCATACCTGCAGGTACCTTGGCAACCTCTTCCAACGAGAAGCTTCTTTGAATCTATATCCTTCTTCACGACAATTTCATGTATTTGTGCGCAAGTAAGTTTGCTGACGGACTGCTAGTAGAGGACATCGATCCATTAAGGCTGGGCACGCAGCAGCTACTGCTTTCGTGAGATCGCATGGCGGCGTGCTACGTCGGTTAGGAGCGCGCTACGTTGCGTGACCATTTCATTCCAGAAACACGTAATATCCAATCAATGCACCATCCAAGATTGAACAATATCGTTGTGCGCCGGACACGGCATGTGGATAGCCCCTAACCTAGCACGTGACTTTCCGATCACGACGCACGATGACGATTCGTGAGGCTCGGATGAAAGCTCGGACTCGCGCAGCAGGCAAACAAGAACAGCGACACCCCTCTGAGCCCTTCACTGCTCGTGACTCGATCCCTCGTGCAATGACATGTCGACAATGTTGTGACGACTGACATCAATCACACTCATTGAGACAGTATCGACCCTGCTGGCTGGACAAAGTCAGCACTCCATCTAAGCGCCTGGACTGCCTCCAAGAGCTCCAAACCTTGCTGGAGCAACTATCCAAACCATGGATATTCTCAAGGAAGGGGATCATCGGTCTTCGAGCTCGTCATCCGGAGAAGCGGTGCTTGGAGCTTTCGTCCCGGCCCTTGTCGTTGCGATACTCTATATCGCAGGATTCGTTCTGATCCGCAACAACTTCCGCAAAGTCTACGCACCAAGGACGTTTCTTGGGACCATTCCGGAAAAGGATCGAACGCCAGCCTCACGCGCTGAAGACTGGTGGTGGTTCAAGGATTTTCGAAACATACCTGACCGCTTTGTGCTGCAGCATCATTCGTTGGATGCTTACCTCTTCCTACGGTTCCTCAAGTTCATCATTGTGGTTTGCTTTGCCGGTGCCTGCTTGACATGGCCCATTCTCTTTCCCATCAATGCCACGGGCGGAGGGAGAGCGACGCAGCTGGATAAGATCAGCTTCAGCAACATCGCGAAGAATGATTATTTATGGACTCATACTGTGATCGCGTGGGTCTTCTTCCTCGGGATCTTTGTGGTGATTGCTTTGGAAAGACTACACCTGATTGGCTTCCGTCAGGCATACTACCTGAACGAAGCTTACTCTTCGAGGCTGTCAGCCAAGACGGTACTGTTCCTTCACGTGCCTGCACATGCCCTGCAGCCAGACAAGTTGAAAGAATACTTTGGGCAAGAAGCTGAGCGCAGCTGGCCTGTCAAGGACATGGGAAGTTTGGAAGACCTGATTGAGCAACGTAATGCAGCCGCGTTTGGACTTGAGAGTGCCGAGATGGATATGATCGTTGGAGCTGTTAAAAGCCAGAAAGGCCAGCCGCACAACGGCACAACGTCTAATGAGGAGCAATCTGTTGTTCCGAAAACCAGTCGACCTACAGCTCGGAAACCACCCATCGTTGGATCCAAGGTTGATCGCATTGAAGCAGCCCGAAGCCAAGTGGTCGAACTAGCCGAACGCATCGACGCTATCCGGTCTGCGCCTTCCAGGAATGTACCTGAGCATTCGGCCGTATTCGTCGCGTTCTCAAGCCAAGAGGCTGCACACAAGGCACTTCAGCAGATATCGTTCCAGCCGAGGATCCCCATTGAGGATCGATTTCTCGCCATCCAGCCTAAAGAGGTTTTGTGGAAGCAGTTGGCCCTGCCTGTACAGTTGAGACTTTCGAAAGCCTCCCTGGCACTGGCTTTTGTGATTGTGTTCACCATCTTCTTTTCGATTCCAGTTGGACTGCTGGGTACCTGGAGTAATGCCAAACAGCTTGCTGATAACGTCAAATGGCTAGAGTGGCTAAATGATCTGCCTCCAGCTGTGCTCGGTCTCCTCACGGGTCTTGTCCCGCCGGCTCTTACGAGTTGGTTCGTGTCGTACGTACCAAAGCTGTTCAGACACGTGGCGAAGCTGTCCGGCGAGCCGACGACTTCCCAGGCCGAGCTGAAGACACAGGCTTGGTACTTCGTTTTCCAGGTTGTTCAGGTCTTCCTGGTGACGACCATCTCTTCCGGAACAGCGGCGGTGGTGACAAAGATCATCAAGGAGCCAGGCCAAGCCCCTACTCTTCTTGCTGAGGGCCTTCCCAAGGCGTCCAACTTTTATCTGACATACTTCATCCTCCAGGGCCTTTCCAGCCCAGCATCGAACATCGTGGACTATAGCGAAACACTTCAGTACCTCTTCTACGAGCGTTTCTGGGACAAGACACCGAGGGAGAACTTTCAGACCTACGCACAGATGCGCGGCACGCCGTGGGCTGCGTGGTATCCAAAGTTCACGAACTTCCTGGTCATTGCTGTGGCGTACGCCTGCATCCAACCGCTCATCATTGGCTTTGCAGCTATTGGCGTGTACTTTTACTACCTGAGTTACCGGTATAACCTGCTTTATGTGCGGCAGACCAAGATCGACACGAAGGGCGAGGCGTACAAACGCGGTCTGCAGCAAATGCCCACAGGTCTTTACCTGGCTGAGCTTGCTCTGATTGGTCTCTTCAGTGTACGGAAAGCAGCTGCGCAGACGACGTTGATGGTGGTGCTGCTGGTCATCACTGCCACGGCGAATTTCTTGTTGGACCGAATGCTGCGTCCTCTGGAGCTCTACCTCGGCGTCGACAAGTGGGCTGAAGAGGCGCCGCTTCTTGCAGCCGAAGACGGCATAGAGAATGCTGACGACGGTGATTTGCACGCCGCGTCGCACGGGCGACGACTTGGTCTCAGGCGACTACCGAACCCGATGCCTCGAAGGCTCTCCGATCTCTTTGACTCAATCATCACATCAGCCCGAGAGAAGGCAAGAGGTTGGCTGGCACAGCCCGGGGTCGACATGGATCCTGTTGAGCTGAGCGAGGAAGATATTGCGAAGGCGTATATTGCACCCGCCTTTACGTCGAAGACACCAAAAGTTTGGCTTCCGCGTGATAAGCTGGGCGTATCGAAACAGGAGATCGAGGAGAATGCGGCTGCTGGGATACAGACTACCGATGAGTCTGCTGAAATCGACGAGAACGGAAAGTTGCATTGGGATCATAATTTCGAGAATGTCCCTGTCTTCTCTCCGCCGAAGACGATATGAGGGCCAGAGAATTCCGAGGCACGACATGACAGATTGTTTTGTGATATCGACAGGATCGAGTAAATGGGAGTGAAGATTAGCGATGCTACAGATGGATGATATATGAGGCGTAAAAGACATGACATGTTCTCCGCGAACAGCACGAGCTACGAGTCGTTCTATACGTTTGAGTGACATGGGGGTTCAACCCATGAACGTGGTGAACGTGGTGTGGTGATGGAGGGTGAAACTGTGAAACGATGCATCAAGTATTGAATACCTCGTCATCAATATGTGATGGGAACGGGTGACGTGTGACGCGCGGATGTTGCTGTGGAGGAGATTCCGTGTGCAGGGCAACGGCAACCACAGGTAATGTGGTAAGGTAACCCGACAACGACCACGACCACTGCAACCACCAACTCTATCTCCAACACGTCCGCTACAGTGTGCACCTTCCCTCCCACAACCTCACTTCCTCTCTCGCCCTCAACAACACCTCACTCTCACCCGTCCTATCCTGTCGCTACCGACATCAAACCAGCAATGCTCCAGCATCCACTCCCCATGTGCAACCACACGCTACGCGATCCGCCAATCTAAACGTCAAGCAGACTGGAAACTCCCATGGAAGGCTCCTCGGAGACCAAGTCTGAAATCGTGAGAAGCGGAGTCAACGAGAAGACACTTTTTCCGCAACAGCGAGGTCGTGTCGCCGGTTTTATTGCCCGGAATAAGAAGAAAGTCATCGCAATGGGGGTTGTGCTGTTGTTATTGCCTTTGTTGGGCTTGATTGCCCTGCGGAATCATCATGCCAGGGCCGACTATTCGAGTCCGGGCGTCTTCCCTTCACGTGAGTTCAAGGCGCATCTTAAGAAGGTCGTCGATGAGATTGGTTTGGGCTGATGCCGTCGCAGCACAAGGCTATGGCGCCGGAAACTGGAGCGACGCATACCAGAAGGCCAATGCCATGGTGTCGAAGATGACGCTCGAAGAAATGAACAATATCACGATCGGTTACCAGACCACCACTGGCTGTGTTGGCATGTCTGGATCTGCGCCCAACGTCGGCTTTCCTGGTTTCTGTCTGCACGATGCTGGAAATGGTGTTCGCGACACGGATGGCGTGAATGCGTATGCTTCGGGAGTCCATGTTGGAGCTTCTTGGAATGCTTCTTTGGCTTACGACCGTGCTGTTTTCATGGGAGCCGAATTCAAGAAGAAGGGCGTGAATGTTGCACTGGGTCCTGTCGTGGGCCCGATTGGGCGCGTGGCGGAAGGAGGGCGAAACTGGGAGGGTTTCGCTGCGGATCCGTACTTGGATGGTATTCTTGGCGCTCAGTCAATCAGAGGCTTGCAGCAGAATGTCATTGCTAGTATAAAGCATTTCGTCGGCTATGAACAGGAGACCAACCGCAATCCGATCTCGGACGGTGACGAGCACGTCATGAGCGTGAGCTCCAACATCGACGACCGCACGATGCACGAGCTCTACCTTTGGCCTTTTCAAGACGCGGTGCATGCTGGCGTCGGATGTGTCATGTGCAGCTACAGTGAGTACTAAAGCGGATGGAGGTCGAGTCTCTACATGCTAATGTGGTCTCCAGATCGGATCAACAACACATATGCGTGCGAAAATAGCAAGACCATGAACGGAATCTTGAAGGGTGAATTGAACTTCCAAGGGTTTGTTGTATCGGATTGGGCTGGCCAGCACTCAGGCCTGCCTTCTGCACAATCAGGTCTGGACATGGCAATGCCAACCAGCCAGTACTGGGACGACGACGCGTTGGCCAAAGCTGTCAATGACGGCTCACTGAACAAGACCCGGCTGGTCGACATGGCCACCCGAATCGTCGCTACCTGGTATTACTCGGGCCAAGATGGGCCAGACTACCCGGAAATCGGTGTGGGCTTGCCAATTGACCTCCTCAAGTCGCACAAGTATGTCGACGCCAAAGATCCGGCGTCAAAGGGCTCTCTGCTTGATCAAGCCATCCAAGGACACGTCTTGGTCAAGAACGACAACGGAGCATTGCCTCTGAAGAAGCCGAGCCGCTTGTCAGTGTTTGGATACGATGCCGTTGCACAGCTTACATTCAACCCTGGACAGAACGACTTTACGCAGAACTGGGAGGCGCTCGGCTTACAGCAGCCACAGACTGCTGAGATTGCCTCCAACAAGCCCGTCTTGAACGCGCCTCAGATCTCAATGGGGACCCTGATCGTTGGTGGTGGCAGCGCCTCCAACACACCTGCGTACATCAGCACCCCTTACGACGCCCTCCAAATTCAAGCATACAACGACGATACGTCGATGTTCTTCGACTTCTCGTCCGACGAGCCAAGTGTCGCCGCAGGATCTGATGCATGTCTCGTGTTCATCAACGAATACTCGTCGGAAACGTGGGATCGACCGGGCCTTGCGGATGAGAATTCGGATAATCTCGTCGAGAGCGTTGCAAGGCAATGCAATAACACCATCGTGGTCATACACAACGCTGGTATCCGTCTGGTTGATAAGTGGATCGACAACAGCAACGTGACCGCCGTCATCTTTGCCCACTTACCCGGACAAGACGCCGGAAGATCCATCGTTCAGCTACTCTACGGCCAAGCAAGCCCCAGCGGCAGACTGCCATACACCGTGGCCAAGAAACCCTCTGACTACGGCGCCCTCCAGAGCCCCTGCAACAGCGGCGGCAATTCGCCCCAATGCGCCTTCGACGAAGGCGTCAACATCGACTACCGCAGTTTCCTGGCACGAGGCATCGAACCGCGATTCGCTTTCGGCTACGGCCTCACCTACAGCTCTTTCGACTACTCCGCTCTCCAGATCGCCGTGAACGCCACTTCCACCGCCGGCGCCCGGAGCACCGCCGGCGTCTACGCCAACGGCACCACGGACCAAAACGCCCATAGCAACGACGTCGGACTCGGTGGTTTACTCTCCCTCTTCGAAAGCATGGGCTCCATCTCCGCCACCGTCACCAACAACGGCTCCCTCGCCGCTGCCGAAGTCGCCCAGCTCTACCTCCAAATCCCCGCCCCGCCGCCGCAGAGCAGCAATTCCAACACCCCCAACACCACCCCGAATACGAGGACTCTGCGGGGTTTTCAGAAGATTGCTCTCAATCCGGGGGAGGGGAGTGAGGTGGTTTTCCCGCTCAGGAGGAAGGATCTCTCGTACTGGGATTCGGGGAACCAGACGTGGATCACGCCCTCGGGGGTGTTTCAGGTTTTTGTCGGCAGGAGTGTTCTGGATGTCCCGTTGCAGGGGACTTTTTCGTTGTATTGATTGATCATCAGGACGCGAGTGGACTGGACTGCGCTGCTGGGCATGGACTGACGTGAAGCCAGAGGCAACGTACGGGTATTGATGATCAGGACGCGACTGGACTGCGCTGGGCATGGACTAGATTTCGCGTCTGGAGCACTGTACATTGCAGTGCAGGCAGGAGGATCAACGGCACTTGCAATTACTTACTTGTAGCTGTAATCGATAAATGAATGACAATGAATGAAATGCTATGAGAGCTCTACAAAAGAAAAAATTGGGTTTCGCATTACTCTCTCTCGCTCACACATTACAGCAGCAGCTATCTCGTCATAAAAAATCCCACTTCTTCACATCCCTTTCCGTCTGTCTGTCCTGTGTACCACCCTGTCGTCCTCAAAAAAAAAAAAAAAAGTAGATCGTCGGGAAGAACATTCCCAAGAAAGGCAAAAAGGTATCATATCTCGCGCGAAAAACAAGAAATCCAAAAAGCGAACTGATCCAATCTCTTGCGCAACTCATTCTCGTCCTGCCTCGTTCTTAGAGTTCCTCCTGGAACTTTGTGCCGCTGACAGGGCTCTCGCTCTTGGCCTGTCCAGCAAAAGCAGGAGGAGGAGCAAGCGTCTCGTCAAAGTGGTCCCGGGCCTCTTCGAACTGTTCGTCCTCGGTGTTGCTGTTCTGCCGATCCCCATTGCCAGTCTCCCTCGCAGGCCCTTTGCCCTTGCCGACCGTCTCCGTGGTTCGACTGTTGCCGAAACCAAGCTGGCGAGCTACACGACCTCCGCGACCGCGTGACACGTCTTCCTCGTCTGCGCCGGAGGAGGAAACATCGTCCAGGTCATCGAGTTCGTGTTCGCCTCGCTTGAAAGAAGAAGGAGAGTCAGCTCGCGGATTAACGCCTTGACCACTGGCGTGGCTCTTTACGCCAGAGGCACCTTCAGTGCCAGTTGGTTCTCCGGTGAGACTTGGTCCGGCATCAACTTGAGGTAGAGTGGGCGAGGTTTCCTTGTTACCTGCCGTCTTGTCTTTGTGATCAGCACCAGCGATAGCAGCAGTCCCCGTCTTGATTGGCTTCTCGCCGGCCTCGGTCTTCTCATAAGACACCGAGCTCGACTGTTTACTGTCCTTGGAGTCTTTTCCAACAGATTTGAAGTCAGGATACTTGCTCTCCTTGTTTTTCTTGTTTCCGAACATGCTGAATAGGCCGCGGAGGCCCTTGTGCTCTTTCTCCTTGCCCTCTTTGCCCGATGAAGAAGGCAACGTGGGCGACTTCGACTCACTGGCGGCTGCCGCAGGAGCTGAGGACTTTTGAAGCTTGTTGGGTTTCTCCTTCTCATCAATGCTAGTCTTGGCTTCGGAAGGCGCGGAGATCTCGTGTGCGTTGGGTCCGAACGCCTCCCCATCGTGCTTCTTGCCTTGTGGATTGACGATCTGACGTAATATGGTGTGCTCCTTGTGATCCGGCTCAGTCTCCAGCTGTGCCTTTGGAACACCTGGAGCCTCGATAGTCGATGGCAAATCTTTTGGAGCCTCGGCGCGCTGATCATCCATTCGTGAAGCGGTCTCTTCACTCTGGACCTCTGGCGGGGCAGCAGCTCTATCAATGACAGGAGCAGCAGCCACTCGCTCGGCGACAGCCAGAGCGTGGTCTTTTTCCACAAAGTTCTGAGGCTTTCTCTCGTCATTCCAGTCTTCATCATCGTCGTCGTCATTGAACTCATCATCGCTGTCTGGAATTGCAGAAATGTGTCGCTCCAGATTTAGCTTATTCGACGCTTCCGACGAGTGGTCGTTTCCATAACCTACCAGGCTAGGCTGCTGCTCGAACTTGGGTCTTTCTGGTCTCGACGTTGGCTCATCGAACTCGTCGTCAGCTTCAGAAGCCGCATCATCATCATCTGCGACGAGCGTAGGTATAGTAGCGGCAGTTGCTGCCCCAGGCATTGTGTTCCACTTGTCGACAGCGTGGACGTCTCGAGCGGTCTTGAGGTCAGAAGCGGGATCTTCAGCGTCGACACCCTTCGCATCGGGATCCATCGCGTTCGTAGGGTCAGGCTGATAAGGTTTCCCCTCGGCGAACACAGGTGAGACCTGCTCCTTCCCATCGTGGGTAGCATGCTGGGGGTCCAAGGGCTCTGAAGGGCGCCCCTCCTTGTGGTCTGCCACCTCTGCCAATGTTGCTCCAGTCGCCGCGCCACCTGCGACGCCTGCGACAGTGCTCTTGTTCACATTACTGTCGTGTTTTTCTTCGACTGCATAATTGGTGTCTCCCTCCGGTGCTTGGCTCTTTCGGAATTTCTCCTTAAGCCTATTGAGCGCCGATCGATGCTTCTGATATGCGGCGTCGTCGGCAGTATCGTCGTCTTTGACCTTCTCGGCAACCTCTCCGACGGTGGCGCCAGCAGCCCCGGCAGTAGCAGCGTTCTGGCCTTCATCCCTGTTCTGTTCGCGGCTCTTACGTTTGTCCTCTTTGACGACACGCTTCTCTTCCGCCTTGCGTGCCTTTTCCTCGTCCTTGACCTTCTTGGCCTCGGCCTTCTCTTCATCTGCGAACATGTCAGCAATGAGCAAACCGGTGCGTTGACTCATACTCACTCTTGACCCGCTTCTGCTCATCCTTCTCTCCCTTCTTCTGAGCCCTCTCCTCGCGCTTCTGTCTCTCCTGCTCTTCCTTCTCCAGTCTGAGCTCCTCGTCCCTCGCGCGCTTCTTCTCGGCGGTGTCGGTGATCTCGTCCAAGGTCGGCTTCAGCCTTGCCGCAGCGATAGCGTCGATGTCGGATTGATCCATGAACTTTCCTCCACCAATGTGGGTCTTGCCAGGATTCTGTGCCTGCAGCTCTCTGTCCCTCTGAGCACGGTCGCGTGCCTTTGCTTCCCACTCCTCCTGCAGCGCTGGGGGGATCTTGCCGGTATCCGCGTAAACCTTTTCATTCATGTTGTGCATGCGAGCGCTGACCTTCTTCTCAGCGGCTGCAAGGAGTCTCGCGCGGTCGTCCTGCTGCTTCTTTTGATCGACCTGTCCAAGACCGGTGCTCAGCTGAGACATCTGCGTGCGTATGCGGCGCGCTTGTTCCTCGTCGTCGCTGTCGTCATCTCGGTCCGCAGTGCCTTCACTTGATGCTCGATTCCGTTGACGACTACGGCCACCCGCGCTACGCATTGACATTCGCGAAGACAACCTCTTGGGCTTGTCTTCGTAGCCGTAATATTCGCGGAAGCGGGCTGCCTCGAGATTCTTGTCGACCTTGGCCAGTCGTTCGGATGCCAGTTTATGCGCTGCCTCTTGCAGATTGATATATCGCATAGCCTCTTGCTTGATGTCGGGCTGTGTGGACGTTGAGCTTCGTCCTGCTGCGGCTCGGGCGGCAATCTCTTCGGGATCATCAGTCAACGCGGTTCGGTTCTGTGTCTCGTAGATGGTCTTGGCCATGGAAATGGCAGATGCTCGCAGAGCAGCCTGATGCGTAGCCTCTTCACGCTCGCCAGGAATCTCGACCGTGGGATGCTCGCCAAACTGCTCTACGCCGCCCATGCGCGATCCAACGTTCTTGATACGCGCGGCTTGCATAGCCTCTGAGCTCCAGCCATCCGGGGCCATACCCTTCATCGACCTGGATGTGCCGTGGGAGACAGTCGCGGCGTTCAGCGCGTTTTTGGTAGAGTTGTGCGAATCAGGATAGGCTGGAGGTGGAGGTGCGGGCGTGGATCCAGCTCGTTGTCTGCCCTTGTTATGAGACATTGTCGCGGCCAGCAACGCCTTGCTGCGGTTGTCGGCATCCACACCGGTGTAGACGTTCGGACTCAGACCTTTGTTGCGCATGGCCAGTGTCGCGGCCGAATGTCCCTCTGGGGTGGCGGACGCCTGCCACAGATCCAGCTTGCCGCCCTTTTCCGCCGCCAAAATTGCCGCCTTGGAGCCCGCGAGACTCTGCTCGGGCTGCCAGAGTTCCTTCATCTTGTAGTCCTTGGCGAGCGTTGCAGCCTTGCCAGCCGAGTCGGCGGAAGCACCGGTGGTGGGGAAGGAAGGGAGATCTTGCGGCTTCGCATACTTCAACGATGCGGCGGCACCTGAGGCAAGAGTTTCAGCAAACATGACGTGTGTTTGAGATCATGTCGGCGAGTATGTACTCACTTTTGGAGGAGAGCTTGCCGTCGGCTCCCAGCGGATTCTCACGCGTCTCGGAGTGACCGCGATCGGAGGCACGCTCGGGATGGGTAACGTAGAGGGCGGCGGTAGAGGCCTGCTCGGACAGCTTGTTCTGATGTTGGTGGACGGAGGGGTCGGGACACGGCATGTCGCCGGCGCCTGAGCTGGCGGTGTCTGCGGCGGCCATTGCTGCTCCAGTGTGTGGAGAAGGCGGACTCCAGCGACAGGGTAGCGAGTCGCTACGATGTGGGGATGAAGGGATCACAGGAAGTCGGGGTATCGCAGACCAAACAAGGATGGAGAGATGGCGCGAGCTATACAGATGATGGTGTTGGTGGGAGAGAGTGTCGCATGTTGGCGGGAGGGAGCAGACGTAAAGACAAGACAAGACAAGGCGTTGTGGTGTATGCTACACACTCACTCTACGCTACGAGCCATTAGAGTTCATGTGGGATCGAGGCGCCCGGACGACAGACGTCATGACAGTAGTGACGTAGCCCAGATCGGATTGTACTACAGTACCAGCACCCCATCAGCTCACATCACCACCACTTCACACGGGATCAAGCAAAGGGTCCGGCCACATGACCCATTCAAGTCTTGTCTATCTTGTATCGTCTCATCAGGGAAGGTCGATTCGGAACCATATGTGTGTATGTGTATGTGTAGTAGACGGTCGATTCAATCCCAGATCAGCGCGGCGCGAGTGAGCGTTCGTTGGTGGTGTTCACCTCGGCAACGCGATCTGCAGCAGGCTTGCCCCTTTCGATATCGTGCGTGAGTCTAGACTCTTTTCAGCTTCCGTCTCTTCGGACCCGAATCCACAGTCTTCAACTTCTCTCTTCCCAATCATCAAAGAATTTCTCCAACCAACTTCGCCAACTCCCTCCCGACCAAGTCGTACCCATTCGCCGACATGTGCAATCCATCAGGACTCCATACCCTCTCACCTGGCTCCTTGCCATCATCTCCAGAATACGGCACCTTCGGAGCGAGATCGAACAGGAACACTTTCGGTGTACTCTGCTCATGCGCCTTCGCCCATTCCGTAATCATCCTGTTCAACTCCTCTCTGTAGCCCTTCGCACGTCTCCCCAATTCACTCCCCCTGCTGTCCACCGCACGCTCCGGAACCGTTACAACCATCAGATTCGACCTGGTCTCCAAAACGTATTCATACAGCGGCTCTAGTCCTTCTTCGAATATCTCCCTCGAGCCCTCCGCACCAGCACCCATCTTATACGCCAAATCATTCGTTCCTCCCAAGAGGATGATCAGATCGAATTCTGGTGGCTCTCTGCTTTTCGTGGCCCCTCGGAGTCGTTCGTTGAAACCTCCCAGCGACGGCAGGACGCAGTCTCCGCTCATACCCTCTACTTTCACGGTGATTTCGAGATTTGGGAATGATTCTTGCAGGGTGTCGCGTAGAGCATCTCCGTATGGGTGGAAGGTCATTCCGAAGTCTGTGTAGCCTTCGGTAAGAGAGTCACCAAAGGCCAGAATTCGGAGCGTGGAGTTGTCCGGCCGCGGGATCCCGTTACTCGGCGCCATCGTGTGGTGTCCGTCTCCAGATTATTTGCAGTCACTCGCCCGTTACTTGAAGCGACAGTGTCAAGACAATGTCAACAACTCCAAAAATAAACAAGTGCAAGCTGCAGCACAAGGCTGCCTGTTCCTTACGTCAGGATAACCCTCATCACATGATAAGTACAGTTATTGTAACCCGAAGAGGCTTAGCTTTCTTGTTCCCTGTTTCAATATCTACCTACTTCACACTTCAGCTTCCTCGAACAACTATCTGTACACTTCGACTTTTTGTCCCTCCATTTCACAAAGAGTCACTTGAGGCTCCTGTTACATTGTTCCTGCTAATCTCTGGCTACCCAGGAAGGACCACGTCTATCGTGAGAATGGCCGAATCCACAACAGCGCCGCCTCATCTCCAAAAGGTCCTCAACTTCCGCGACGTTGGCTTATCGATCAATAATTTTTCCAACAAGAATTTTTTCAAGACAGGCCTTCTCTACCGCAGCGGCATTCCAGACGATGCTTCACCCGGCGATCGCCTCGCTCTGCAACAAGACTACAAGATCCAAACCATAATCGACCTCCGAACAGATTCCGAACACGTCGAACAAGCACGCAAAAACGCGAAATCGAAGCCACCCTCTGCCTCTCCTGTTGCGGAGCCGAGAGATCCCGCAAAGGCCTGGAGAGTCCCGGGCGTGAAATATGAGTACATCAATTTCAATGGACGGGCTTACTCGAATGCCCTTATCAAGCAACTCTCCTACCGAAACACTGCTAAGCTTTTTGGACTGTACCTCATCGGATATCGAACGCAAGCAATCAGCGTCTTGGGCGAGAACGTTATGGCGAAGCGAGGACTTATTGGACTGGCGGAAGACAGCCTGGCTCACTGTATTAACGAAGTAAAAGCCATCTTCGATGTCCTCAGCAACGAGCAGAACTACCCCTTGCTCGTACACTGTACTCAGGGCAAAGACCGGACCGGACTCACCGTTTTGCTGGTCTTATTACTCTGCGAGACTCCGACAGACGCGATCGATCGAGATTACATGCTTAGCGAGACCGAACTTGCTTCGGAGCGGGAGAAGAGACTTGTGGAAATTAGAGCGATAGGACTACCCGATGAATTTGCAGGGTGCGCCAAGGGTTGGGTGGAAACGGTTTCGAAGTGGATCGAGGAGGAATACGGTGGGATTCGGAGGTATCTGCAACGTTGCGGTGTTGGGCAAGAACAGCAAGATCGTGTGCGAAGTATTCTTTTGCAAGCGTGAGCGTGTGGCTGGCGGAATTGGAGATCTAGAGGAAGAGACATATGGAACAGCGTGTCGGAGCACTGGAGATTACACCGCTGGATTCAGGAGCCCACAAACTACGGCATCGGATCACTTTACCATCCAACAGATCTCCGAGATGTGATACCGGCAAACCATGTGCTGAAATTGATCAAATTCGATTCCGGATGGGACCTCGAACAGGCATATTCTGCAATCCAACGAGCAATACGCCATACTGGAATTCTCAAGGGCGAAGATCGATCTCACGAGAGAAGCTCACACTAGCGAACCCATACCACCCTCAACCTCTCCCAACCCCCTCCATATCATCTACAAACCCCCCTTGATCCTCCCTCGATCATCCAACCCGCCAAGCGCACAGGCAGGACTCGCCCTGCCCCACCCTGGCTTACAAATCCACCACTAGTTGTCCAAGCCCGGGCAGTTCTCACTGGCCATATCCGTAATATCCGTGTAATTCGGCGGATCCGTCCAGATGATATCGAAATGATCGCTGGGATAGCTGGGGGCATCGGCGTCGCCGAGCGCCTGGACAATGTCGGTGAGGGCGGCGTGTTCCCAGCAGATGAGAATATTCCCCGAGCCGGAGTAGTTGTCCACGGTCGTCTGGACGCATTGCGGGTCGTCGCGGTCACAGTGGTGGTCGATGGAGAGGCCCAGGTCCTGTGCGAGGGGAGTGACGGTGTCGTAGGGCCGTTCGCGTTTTCCGTCTTGAGAGGGAGGTACGAGGTTAGCTGGTGGCACAAAAGAAAGAAACGGGAGAAGAAAGACGGGATAACTCACCTGACTTGTAGTCTTGCGCCATGATGTATTCGATGTCATAGCCGCTGCTGGCACCGAAGACGTTTCGCAGGCATTGCGCTCGCTGCATTCCTTGGGCGCTCAGACCATTGCCACTATCCGGTTTCTCGCCATGGCGGATCAGATAGACGGTGGGATCGGCGAGGGCAAGAGCAACAACAAAGCCCAAGAGAGTAAGAGAAGAGGAGGACTTCATGTTTATTGATCCGAAAATTCAAGAAATTCAAATATTCTTCTTGTCTTTTTGCTTCCTTCCGGGAGGATTCTCCAAGGGCCCTTTTATATATGTATATCCCAGAACTTTATCTTTTGTTCATCTTCACCTCTGCCGGAGCATGCGGAATTAAGGTAAGGTAGTCACGCACGCAGCCCTACGGACTAAGGTACTGCAAGAGCCTCCCATCACATGAAGTAACATGCCCGTCCGTCCGTCATCAGTACCACCTTCCCAAACAAAGAAGGAAAAACTAGGTCCGAGCCTTTGAACCCTCAAAGACTAGGAGCTTTTCCCCTTCTTGCAACAAGATCTCCTCCGCACGCGACTCCTTCCCGCCATCTCATTCGCGCGTGGCAAATGCAATCATCAGAAGACGCGAAGACTTCCAGTCTCCATATGAAAACAAAAAATCGAAGCTGACTGGAGGATCTGCATTGCTGGTGTGGTGGTGGTGGTGGTGGTGGTGGTGACGTGATCGGCAGGCACATGTCGCAGGTCTCACCTGTCATAGGGCTCAACTGTCGAGCGTGCCAAGCCAAGCTTCCGTGCTACTGCACATGCTATATAACTAAGGGCTTCCCGTGGGCGAATGGGATCGTGGCGAGCGTATGAGGTTCGTTTGTTTGTCATGAGTGCATAGTCGTGCTAAAGGGAAGGGTGCCCGAGTGGACACGCCAAATTTGGCGCGCAAGAACCGCGTAGAATAATGAGAGGCCGCATGGGGGTTTAGACGTGGGAATGGACAGTTGGGTAAGGTCACATAATTTGGAAGCAGCTATCGCTAGTTCTCAGTTGTAAGTTGGCTACATAATGACAGTACCTAGCTTCAGAGACACTGCGCATCGACTGCGTGAGACCTAGTCAGCCGCCTCTTGAGAAACTACACTCTCCTTATTCCTTCTTTCCAGCTGCCTCTCTCCCTGCGAATAACTCTCCCCGACCAACTTCATTCATTCTTCAAATTCTGACGGCTGAAACAACTTGCCGTCCAGCAGACCACCCACCTGCGTCTTTGAAACTCCATCGCCGTTGCGACGCATCGACATCAATGCCTTGAGAAATCCCACCGGACTCTTCTTCAACCTGGACTCGCCACCAACTTGGCCCACATTGTCGCGGAGGATGAACCCATCAGCAGCAACTTCCCAGCCCTCTTGCTCCATCTCTGCAGTAAGCGCTTTCGGCGACAAGCCAAGAAATCTGCAGGTCTCGAAGTAGTGTTTGTAGGAGCTGAAGTAGAGCTGTCCAGAGAAGATGTCGAGCTGAACCGAGAGCGACAGGGGTATCACGGGCACGATGGGTCGTGCTGAGATCGTGTGGAGATGGACATCGAGCGGCGCGTATCCTGAATTCGCACGCGGTTTGTAGACGAGTAGAGTCGTTGCTTTGGATTGTCCCATGCGATGGTACAGCTCGTTCGCCTCAAACGGACTGATAATCATGATGTCCTGCACAATGTCGCTGCCGTTGGCACAGCGCGTCAGGATCCACTGCACGGGCCGTAGAAAGGAATCTTGTACGAAAGAAATTCCCTTGCGCTCCACGGTCTGAGCATAGTCTGCAGTTGCAATCAGCTGCTGGGTTCCGAGGTAGCTCGAGGGGAATGTCTTTTCCGCACTCGTTCTCCTCAATAACGTGAACGCTATGTAATACGCATTCGAGCCAGCAGTAAGCTCGCCTCTCATGGCAAACCGCTCCACGTCCGGATGCAAAAGATGCTTAGCGGGCTGCGCTGGCGGTGCCCGCTGAACTTGTCGCTCCTGCTCAATTTCTGGCGCCAATTCACGCTCTTGTTCCTCTTGGAGCGTGCCGGAATTGAATTGAAGATCGTCAAATTCACGGCAACGCTCAGCAATACGTCGGAGATCGAGATCGGTCGTGTCTGCGAGATAGGTCGGTAGATCGTGGGAGCTCCGGGGGCGGTATCGGTGCTCGATGGTTTGAGCCTCGTCTTCCAAGAACTTGGTGGCATGCTCAACAGTCATCAGAGTGTTTCCGTGCTGATCTTGAGCTGCCTTCCACAGCTTGTCTTGCCGAACGAAGCGCTCCCCCTGCACAGCCCAAAGAGGCATGTTGCGGCGAGTGTCGGCATGCGTCTCACTAATGGACCATGCAAGGACGTCTGCGACCTCAATCTTGGCACCAGCGGTAGAGCCTTTGGAGCTGGTCTCGAGAATCTTGGTCTGGATCTCCTCAGGGATGCAGAATACTACAGTCTGTCCCTGACCGAGTTTTCGAAGGCGCATCGCCGCTTGGACCAGTCTGTCTTTTGTCAAATGTGCGCCAAGCGTCAACGCAGCTCTGAAGCACTTTGGAAGACGTAAATCAATCCCACGAGTGTGTGCTTCGTCTAGAAAGACAAGACAAGCATCGAGCCGCGATTGGTATGATGATGTTCGCAGGAGATCAACAGTACCTTGTCGATCTACCACGCATATTTCGTCGTTGTCATCGATAAAGACCACGGCTTGCTTCTCCTCAGTATGACGCTCTAGCCAAGCTCGAGCCATCTGCAGGTTGTTGAGTTCCAGAATTTGAGCTCCAACGTCCAAGATTACCTGAACCGGAGGATCCAGTCGCATTACCGAAGACAATAAGCTGTGGGCATTGGAGTTTGTTTCAGCACTGCTTGTCTTGTCCGATGACATGAGATGAACTCCATTCTGTGGCTGAAGCAGGTATTCAAGCACGAGCGCATTGGTATGCTTCTGGTCTTTGAGGTCAAGATGGTTGATGTCCAAGGGAAGCAAACGCCGTGAATCGTTGGTTCCGGAGAAGCCCGTTGTCAAGCGCGCCCTAGCCTTTCCCAGGTCCCATCCAGATGCTGAAAGCTTGTGAGGGAACTCCTTCATCTCTTTCGGAAAGACGACGTGAGACAAGAAGTAGTCGATGACAGTCTTCCCATATCGTAGTGACGGGAAGACGTCACCGGTGCATTGCGGCTTGTCCTTCAGATTGATGCCCTGGAGCTGCTTGAAAGCTGAAGATAGGTTGTAGGAATCTTTGACCCAAGCTTGATATTCACTGTCCGCTTGGTCTGACTCCATGAGATGTCCGAGTGCAGTGAAGAGGTCGTCGTCGCTCAGGCCCTCATAGTAGTAGCACAATGACGTTAGGGTGATAACAACGTCCGGGTGGGAGAACTCGCTGCGCGGAGATGGACTGTCTTTCGCGCGGTAGGGAACAGCCAACTTCGTGGGCGGTGTTCGGGTGGCAAGGCCATAATTGACACGCCAACGCTTCTGACCAAGAGTGAAAGCAAGCACGCCGCCTGCGAGGAGACCGCGAAGCATAAGAAGCTGAGGTTGAGTTGTGTCAGTCCAAATCGTGCTATCCTCAACTGCCTTTATTTCCTCCACAGAGAGCTGAGGCTTAGTGATGTACGCATAGACAGCCTTGCGGATGTTGGACGACTGCCGAGTCAGGTGAAAACTGGCCAGCCCCTGCTCGCAGACCTGCGAAGCAATGCGGGCTACCAAAAGCGCTTCAGCATCCGGCCGCAACAAGCGCACCCTCGAGAAGCTTCCATTCACTCCATCGCAGACTTCAATAGAGTCAGGAAGTTCCTTTACGATGATTGGAGCAATTTCCCGCACAAGGTCGAGTACGTGTTGAACAAGAAACCATCGATCAGGGCTCAGCTCAATTGAGCGCTGGGTGCCCATTGTGTAGATTAGCTCAAATCGCGTGCTGAAGTTCTCGTCGCTCTCGTCGACAATATCGCGCGAAAAGCGATCCAGGAAGTCCTGCGTGGACATAGTAGGCTCGCCCACGTCGTGCTTCCCGCTAATGTAGCATTCCGGCGCCATCAACTTGAAGGAAAGGATATGCTCCGGCTGCACAAGCAGAATGCCTCCAGTGTTCATGCACTCATGCAGCATGTCCGTGATAGCCTCCGCAGCTGAACGACCCAACTTGAGCGACCGTGAAAATGGCATAAAGTAGACACGTCGATTGACAAGGCCTCCCAGCTTGGATATGAGCATCTGTGCCATCTGCTTGGACTGCGGCTTCGCAACGACAACTCGAGCTAGCTGAGATGAGTCGGCAAGAGCTGCTGCCACGATAGGCACAATGACGCTGCTCTTGCCTTGGCCCATGTTCAATTGGCATACGGCATTGCTGTTCGAAGAAGGACTCCGCATCTCTCGAGCAATCTGCTCTTGTACTTCGCGGATCATGATGCCGCCCTCGACTTCAATGAGGAGAGACTCAGGGTAGTCGTGTGGATTCCAATTTGTATGTCCCACGTTGCGCAGCTCGCCGATGAGATCTTCTCCAGAAGTAGCTCCAAGCTTTACCAGCCGCTGAGCCCGCTGCAGAGCGGTCAATGCAAGTGCGTACTTGACTATGCAGTTCTGCCAGTCCTTGGACAATTTTCGCCAGTGGTCTTTCGAAAGCTGCTTCAACAGAAAAGAAGGCGACAGGCGCGGCGATTGTTGTACCTGTCGGGCTGCTTTAGCTCTAGCTGTGCTACACATCGATTCGGCTATCTTCGAATAGACAGCGTCGACATGGATCGAACACTGAGCAAGGTGCGCCTCCAGTGTGGCCTGAGCAATGTCAACACGTGCAAGCGCTTCAGCATCATGCCGAAGAATGAGCGCGTCGAGGCTTTCTTCAAGATCTCGCACGTAGTCTTTCTCGTACGTTGAGCTGCTGACATTGGACCGTAATGCGCCCACGAAAGGAGTCAACAGCGGCACCATCGCCTTTTGCGCTGTCGCCTGGGAGCTTTCATCGGGAATCCCAACAAAGCTGCCACTATCAGGGAGCAACGGAGGTGGTGCCGAGAAGAGGTTCTCTTCGGCGAAGAAGCCACTTAGGCTTGGCTGAGGGGCCGGAAGCTTCATCTTTACGGATGGCAAGCTGATGATCTTGGAATCGAGACGCTCGACGGCGCGCTGCATATCCTCAGAGTAGTCGAAGAGAAGGCTGTTGTCGTACCAAGTCCCAAATCTGGCTTTGATGGCCTCCATTGCTCTGTCCATGTCAATATAAGTGGCAGCGTTCGAGACATTTGGAAGCACTGGTGTCTGGCATCGCCACTGTATCATGAGTGAATTAACCACTTGGGTTATCGCCGCTTCACTCGAACGATTCCAGGCATTGTCGCGGCGGCGCTGGTAATTGTTGTGTTTCTCATTCGTGTTCCGAGGCAGTCTGTACTCTGGACAGCTTGTCAATGGTCGACGACGCAGAACGACAACGCTCCTGATAGATTGTCTGTCGATAGTTTGGCCATTGTGAGGACCCTCGCTAGGCGTGAAGGAAACAATTTCAGGCGCGGAGACTTTCGCTAGATGCTTTGACTTGAAGCAGAGGGCAATCAGCTGCAGAATGCTCAGTTCCGCGTCCTCTGCAAACGACAATGTAGCAAGCCACGTTGTGAGGGTATACTTGCGCCAGTGAAGATTTTGTGCATCTTTTGACCAGCGGTGCAAAGCAGGAAACTTAGAGATGGCTTGTTCAAAACCATCGCGCAACAGACTTGCATCATATCGTAGCCGAGAAGCGTCTATTAGTGCCGAAGCACCGTTGACGGTAGTTGCATCCCGCATCAGCTCCCAAAGCCGGTACTGTGAAGGAACTGGATAGTGCAGATCATCACCAGCTCGCAGAAGAAGCGTCGAGATGTTGGCGACCTTCTGGGCTCGGTCCGACAACTGTGAATGTGCCCTCGATGTATACTTCCAATCACGAAGCGTGTTGAAGTCTTCGGCACCAAATCCCGATGTCCTGAATGTTGAAGATCGAATATCGTCTCGGATACGCAGATCTTCTTCGATCTGCGCTAGATCAGGTATCTGGAGATTGGCCTCAGGGTAAAATATCTCTGTCACTGCTGACTGTCGTAGTATAGACGCGACGGTGACCGCAAAACGCCCATGCTGAGAGAGAAAGCCAAGACCGCTGTCCCAGTCTACTTGCTGCATGTCACGCTTTTGAGCCGGGTAAAAGCGACGGCCGGGACTTAGCGCTGCAATCGTGACCAGTCGATCAACATTGGACTGCGAGAGCTGGTCAAACGACGCAACGGCTTTCGAGCGCAGGAGAGTAAGGGCTTGCTCTGTACCAGTCTGAAGCGTCAGAGGATCTGGTAAGCAGAACGACGTAAGCGCGTGAAGATACGTGAGATACAGCTTGCAATCGAAACCGCTGTCCTGCAATCGGTGAAGAGTAGTGTCCACTTCCACGGCATGCACCTTGCATTTCATCTTGCGCTGCACCTCAACAGATACATGATCTCCCAGCCGTACGTATGCGAGGTCCGACTCGAGTATAATGGCCAGACGACTGTTGCTGCTCGGGGATTTCAAAATCAACTTGTTCGCGAAGCCAATCAATGTTCCAAGACGCTGGTCCTGGTCTACCACCATGGATCTGTATTCACGAGACTCGAGATTCGCGGCTCCTCTGGAGAGTGAGAAGCCTAGTCGTACTGAAGGTAGCTCAATCTCAAGAGTTTGGCAACCAGGCTGGTGGAGCATGCAATGGATTTGCAAAGGATCGGCCAGAGGATGCAGGATCTGCGCAACAAGTTTTGCAGTCGCATTGTTGACGCCAAGTAGGCAAACTTCGTCTTTCACCAACTTCCAGCGAGCGGATGGTCCAGTCTGCATCAAGGTGAGATTCAAGGCAGAATTAGCGTTCCAGGGATCGTCCCGCGGGCGGAGCTCGACAGCTTTCTTCGAAGCGCTGTACCAAAGAACGTAATCGTCGATGAAATGGGACGGATAGTGTCCCTCTAGGAGCGCGCTGGGCAAAGATTCCCAAATGTCCTCAACATTCGTGGCGCGCACTATCAACTGTTCTTTGGCCAGCCTCAGCTCAACTCGACAGTCTTTGCCAAACGTACTCTTGGTGGAGAATTGAAAGCCAGCGTTGGAAGCTGGCATGACTTCGACAACGCAAGCCCCAAAAAGCGTCTTGAATAGAGCAGTGTTACGATACTCCACGGGAGGCTGCGCTAATGGTGTTCCGTTGACAAGTAGCTCTCCAGTCAGTGTATTGTAGTGTACTCGCAGGATATTGCTGTTGGTTGAGACAGCGTTCGTGGTGGTCACCCAATGGTCTGCCGGCGCGGGTTCTCGAGTCCAACCTGCACTGCTCGCAGTATACCCTGACCAAGCATTCTTGATCGCGATGTTCAATCCAGCCTGGTTTTGTACGAGATGCTGATAGCTGCGGTGCAGGATGCGCTTGAAGCGGAGGTTCAGCAGAAGGATGTGCGGTTCCTTGTTCGCCAGAGTCTGCTCGGCCTCTTGTACCATGATAGAGGCCTGGACCAGAAGCGATGCTTCTTTGGGTGATTTCAGTACCTCTCGCAGATAGACATCGTCGAGATCAAACGTAGAGGCGCAAATCAAGGCTACCTCGACACTCTTTGACAGGAACTCGTTCTGCAAAGTGTGGTCTGGTGTTGAATAAGCCTTGTTGCGAAGTGTGCCCATCCAATTAATTGCAATAGCTCGAGCGTCCCTCAAGAAAGACATGCAGCCGTCCTTCAGAGCACCATTCAGGGAAACTATGCGGGTTGCTATCGCGACGAAAGTGTAAAGAGCTTGTGCGGATTCCCAGTTCTCTTTCACTCTCTGCAACGCAACCCGCAGATTGCTCAAGACCGAGAATGCATGGGCGTTATCCCGAAATATGCAGTGAGCCTGGCGTAGCGCATCACCAGCGGCAGGTCCTGCTTGATAAATGCACTGGAAAATGACGAGAGCCGTCTCGGGCTTCTTGAAGTCCACGCCGGGCATGGCTAATTGCAAGATGATGTTTGCCCATTGAATGCGATGGCCGAGAGGAATGGTGCTAAGCTCCTTGTACTCTTCCAACGTCATACTCTCCGGACAATGCTCCTGATTGGCAATGACCGCATTCGGCGGCGGGCCATCGGGTTTCGATGCTGTGCGAAGAAGAAACTGCTGGACCGATCTGACTTCTTCCGGCAATTTGTAGGTGCAAGATATTGGCACCTTGTCATCGAAGTGAAAGTTGCCAACGAAAGCATTCGAAACGGCGTCGAAGTAGGCATATCGCAAGCCGTTATCAACGCAGATGGATTCCTTAGTACACGTGGAGATATTCTTGCCTTTGTAGTGTGTGCGAAGCATAGGCTTATCCTGTGAAAGTAAGCCGATCCGATGGCTTCGAGTCTTGAAATACTTCGTCAACTGAGGATCGTTCGATGACAGCCGATATTCAGCTCGCAGTGCTTGGTAAGCACGGCTGCCTTCAAGAACGTTGCCCAGCATGTAAAACCTCGCTTCGCGCCAGCAAGCGAACCAGCTCGGAGTCCGCAGCTCGAAGACCACGGTCTTTGCTTCAGAGGAGCGTTTTGGCAATGGCCATTCGTCTACATCGATTTCCAGGTTGTCACGCTCTCGCCCGTATCTGCACTTCTGGCATGTGGGCTTATGTACAGTCTCAGTTTCAGGTGGGTCGCACCAAGAGTCGATAACTCTCGTGTCGTATTGGCAACTGCTTTGACCGTAAAGAGCATCGAGACGACGGTACTCACTCTGGAGCTCGCGAAGCTCTGAGAGCTTATTCTCCCGGCTAGCTCGAGCTTTGGCCTCGATATCCTGCATGAGGGCTTGATGATCGCTTGACAAATCGTAGTAGCGAGAGGCGAAACCACTATCGCTTGTGGTGCTGAAGAGGTAAGACGAGCCCAGATTGCCTTTGCGACCAGCAATATAGCGCTCAATGCTCGACAAGCGCTCCATCTGGCCCCGAAATGGCAGGAGAAGGTTCTGAAGTACTGCAGTCGGAATTTCAGGATCGTATTCCGCTAACATTCCGCAACTCATAACAGCGGCCTCATCACAGGCCATCCACAGCTCGAAAATGGTTAGAAGCATCACAGAGATACCCTCTGGGTTGTGCTGGTAGAATTGACGTGCCAGCTGGTGGTATCTCTTGAGCAAATCGCATAGCAAGTCACAGACTCTGTTTGATTCTGTGGCTTTCGTCCAGTTCGAAAGATGTAGTGCAACCCACTGTTCAAATTGCTGGAGGTTCGACGCTCCGTAGTCGTTGAGCGGAGTGTCAGGAAGGGGTGGCAATTTGTCCTGCTGGTGCGTTAGCAATTTACTCGATGGCGTGAATTCTGCCGTCGAGTCCTGGCCCTTTGAAGAGCTCATAGCCTTGAGATATCCATCTAGCTTTGGCAGTGGCACACTCATATCCTTCTCAAAATCGAGCAGACTCAACGCCCGCAGGTCCAAATCACGGGCATCTTCCTTTTGTATTTGCTGCCAACGAAGACTTATCATGTGATTAGCCTTTTGGAGTGCTTCCCCAATAGCAATGCCCACAGGATCATCGAGGGCATGTTCGTCATGAAGAAGAAGCTTCTGTCGCCGACGGTCTATCTTCGCACTCATGGCGTAGTAGAGCTCTGACGGTAAGCCTAGGGCTGTGCAGGAATCAAGCACTTGACTCAGAATGAAAGCCACAACCTTTTTGTAGAGGTAATGAGAGCCATCGGCGGAGCGCGAGATGACCAGATGGAGAGCGACCCGAATGAGTAGCCACGTGGGCGAACGACGCCAGGGTCGCCGAGCATCGGTCCACAAAACTTCTTCCCGGGTATTCTTGGATACTGTGGAGGATGAGTGTGGGAGCCCGACGCCTCTGAGGATTGAGAAGAAGAGCTCAGAGATTATTGCCGGGCTGGTGGTATCGCGATCTTCTTCATGCATGGATCCAGCTTTCTTTGACATAGGTTGCATGCCAGGAACAGCTTGTTGTGACATGGTAGAGAGGGTATGGGCAATGCTCGATGCAAAGTCGGCGTCTCGAAGGGTTGAAGCGGCAATGGAGACGGCTGTCGCCGGAAAGGTGCGCACAAGTCTTCCTTGAGCTGCGTATACCGCCTTATTCTCGGGTGATAACTCGAAGGCTTCGAATAGAAGCTCATCATTATCTCGCGTGATGAGAATAGCGGCATTTTGTTCGGTGACTTTCACGGCCATGACTTCCCCATCTCCCAAGTTGTTCAGAGTCGTCAAGAGACGGGCCTCGTTCGCTCGAGAGAAGTCGAGTTCGCTATGGACATCCTTGAGCTTCGACAAGAGCAGTATCGCCTTGTCAACGGCAGCATTTGGAGAGCGTGCGCGGAACGCGAGAAGCGCTGTTGTTGTCACCTCGAGAATGGCCGCCTCGGTGGGTGCAGCATCTTCCTCCTGCGGAAGCTGAGGCGGAAGGAATAGATGCGGGATGATGCCCTTGAGTCCCTCCATGTTTTATTGGATATGATAGAGGAGATCCGATCGGCAGGGTATCGTTAGGATGCGAAGCGTGCCAGGAAGTCGCGGCGTGATGCTCAGTGCGAGAGTCAAAGGCGAATGGAAGCTTTTTGTGTTTGTGTTTGTGTGCGGTGTGCGGAAGCGGGCCGCACTGACACCCAGCCCAGCGCGCACAGAGCAGTAAGACGTCGCGCATGTCTTGTCCAGCGCGGCGGTGGTACAGGTGGCGGAGCGCAGCAGAGCAAACGCTGCACGCGAGGCCGTTGTTCCGAAGTTGTTCCGTGAAGCGACGAAGTCAACATCAGGAAGGGCTTGCTATTGCCGCCGTCAAGTGCAATGCCTCTTCTATTTCAGAATCTGGATCTTGTGCAGACTTTTTGTAAAGTGCCGCATCCAGTATCTGGAAGTCCAGGTCTCACGGCTCGTTTCCAGGCGCATGCCCAGTGAGTCAATCTCAGATTTCACCCGCCGAATGCAGAGGGTCAACTGATCCGTAGTGCCTCCTTTGCCCTCAGAATGTCTTCTAATGCCAAAAGCGAAAGGTGAAAAGAAGGCGCAAGAAAGAGTCGTCCTAAATGCATCTAGCGAAGCCTAGTCCAGCACGTGTTGCACATGCGCACCCATGATTCCTTATCAGAAGCCGAGCCGAGAGTGGAAAGCATGTGAGCTCCATGTCTTGCTCTATCTGGCCAGCCTGTTGCTAGGATTCAGTCGCGATGTTCCGATGCGTGATCTTGCAGATAAGCCACATTCGTCTCTCCAGGACTGGAACAGAATTCACATTGCCCAAGGTCGAATGGGCAAGCAGGCATCGACGCATGCGACTTTGTGCACTACAGTCATCCAAGAACCAGCATCTCTTCAATTTTCTACATCTTTCCACACTTTCCCGTCATCTCAAACCGGGTCAAGGGCAGCTCACGGAAGCGAGTTGCAGCCGTACAGATTTCTGCGCCGGCGATGCGTGCTCCGATATGGACCGAATTCCATGGTGAATCGCTCTCGGTGCTCCATCACAATCATATGAGCGCAAACGGCGCTCTTCGGGTACGGAGTGTGGATCAAAACGAACGCAAGTCTGGGACGCGTCGGGAAGTGAGGTGAAGTCACGAACGGACTTGGCACGCCTTTCACAGCGCGCCCTAAACTACTCTTGGTATTCCACAGCGATATCCACAACATCGCTCCTTGGCGAAATACGCACAATTTCAAGAGCAATGATTGCATTTGACATGTGATGTGATGGGTGTGTATGGGTAGACGAATGAAAACTAACATCAGAACGCAGGAATTTACGCCTTCCAACTCGCCTCGCTCCTCTCCGAGCACCATCGGTCGACCTCCGTGCGCAGCTTATCATACGAATCATACACGTTTTCCATCATCTCATTGACCGTCTTACCCTGCGCATTCCGTTCCTCAACAGCGATGCTCTCCCAGACCTCTCTCATCAGCTCCATGACAGCAAACAGCTGGTTCGGCAGCCATGTAACAATGGGACTGCCGCCTGTAGCTGTGGGATGGCTGCTGCGCTTGATAATGTACTCGCGTGCGAAGAGCCAGTGTCGCCAACGGAAGCTGCGAACGTGCTCGAGCAGACGGAGGTAGAGAACTTTGGTCTGGAGCGATTTGAGGCAGTACTGCTTCACGCCAACCTCCTCAGCACGGGTGCGCACATACGTCAGGAAGTCTCGGTGAGGTTTTGGGCGGTATCCGCGGAAATCTTTGAGAATTTCGGTGAGTGGATTCTGTGGCATTGGGATCTGTAGCAAGTGGTCTTTATCATTGTTAGCAAAAGACAAGCTTCATGGTAGAGAGAGGTACTGACCAAGCAGTGGAATGATCGAGTCGTTGGCACCCGATTCTCCACGGAAGTAGAGCGGCTTGTTGTCATTGATGCCTTCGTAGACAACGCCATTCGGGAACATGGACTGATTGGTGATTCCGAAGATGAACGTGCGATAGCTGATATACTCTTTCGGCTTAGAATGCGCCCACATCTTCTCCATGGACGCTTCGATCGCCTGCATGGTCTCCAGGAGGAGTTCAAAGGATCCAGCAACTGCGTTGCTGCCACTGTCGGCTGCGACTGTGTCAAGAGTCTGAACAGCTCCTTGAATGAGACCACCAGTGTGCCGCACAATGTCCACATGGGTAAGAATGAAGCCAGCTTCTGACGAGTACGGGTCAAGGCCACGCTCAAACGCACGTACGAGTCGCAAGTTGTAGTACTCCGAGAAGCCAACGTTAGGCTCTGCGAAACGGTAGTTGAAGAGCGAGTAGGCTGCAGCGTAGGACATGAAAGGCGGGATGTCAAGACTGAGAGATACGTCAGCTTGTCATCGTGTGATATAGAGCTCTGTGTCTTACAGCTTCGCTGTCTTGACCAAAGGTCCAGCTAGGCAGGCCGGAAGCTTCGCACGTCCCAAGCCGTAACCTTCCAAGCCCTTATTCCAGCGTTCCCAACATGGCTCGAGTAAGTAGGCCGATGTCAAGAACGAGTAGTCGCGGAATGCAGCCGTGACAGCGACAAGGTCAGGCTTCCCATCTGCAGCGATGAGATTGTCGATCTCAGATGTCAGATCAGGAAGAGCTTTCAGTTCGTCGATGGTAGGGCCGAGCTGGTAGGTAGCCAGCAGGCCTGGCTGTCCGTCTTCCTTGACAATTGGCATTTGCTCTGCGAGCTGGTTGAGAGGTTTGAATACATCTGGCAGATCGACTTGAGGTGTCTGCAGAGGTAGAAAGCCGGTGGAAGTCGTGATGGTGAAAGGATCCACAGAGGACGGCAGCAAAGCAGGGTCGGCATCGATGTGAGGGAAGACAGCCTTCGTGCTGGATGAAGACACCTCGGCCTTGTCGTTGGGATTTGAGGTGAGATATGGACTCATGTTGGATGTTTTATCGTAGGGGCGTGTGTGATAGACAAGTCACGTGCAGAGCCTGAAAGATGGGTCCTAGGTGGAATTTGATGCAGAAAGTTGGGAAAGGAATCAAGTCGAGTCTGGGGGTTTCGCGCGCTTTAGTATCTGGTGGCCGGTTTCCATTCCGTAGGTCTTCCTATCAGGAGTATCTATGGCTCTTTCCTGATTTGCCTGGCCGGAATGAAATCCGGCCTCAAGACCGCTAACTCACGGAGCAACCCCAACCTGACCGCCTGGTCAAAATGCCCCCGAGAAGTCTGTGGCGTAGGAGCAGTATGCAGAGCTCGCAAACAACCTCCTACAAGTACTCCTGAAGTCTCCTCTACTCGGACAGTCGTGTAGTGGCGTTGTACGCAAAATTGAGATGTCGAGGTGCTTGGCGGAGACGAAGCCAGGGTCGACCTGCGGCCTTGGCAACCAAATTCCAAGAACGATCGCTCCTTCATCAATGGAGATTCCTAGACAAAGGAGCGACATTACGGCTAGGAGCACATTCCTTTGACATGGGAGCCACTTCGACAGTAGCCTTGGCAGGGATTCGGCCGTCGCGTTCAACGACGGGAAGGCCTCCTTCGAATGCACAAATCACGTGCCATTCACTAGGTGCCGCGGTCGGCCTAGGTTTCTTTAGCCGGGCAGAACTTTGATGCTTGGCAGGGCCGACGATGTTGCAAGATTCGCGTCGAACAACATCCAACACTTCCGGAGGATGCTGTTGTCGACCAGCGGGCGCGGTTGTGCATGAGTCGTGCATGCCATAGTGGAAAATCGCTGCCAGGTTGCACTCCCGTACAGCCGCAGATACGTTCAACGAGAGCCTTCCAAATGGCATCGAACACTTCCGGACGATGCAATTCAGTGAAGACTTTTGCAAACGGCATCGAACACTTCCGGACGATGTCGTCTCTGACAAGAAGTTGGTTGGCGAGAACACTTCTGGACTGCACCATGCCAACCCTCTCACTATTTGCTTTTGGGTTCTTTCTTTTGGAAATACGAGAGCCACAACAGATATGAGTGCTCTTATGTGTACGGTGTCTCCTTTGCCAGCTCTTCACCATATGTCCTACTGCTTCAATCCTGTTGGCAGACTCAGTGCGGCCTGGTGGAGACCACCGGTGGCCAGGGAAACTTGCCGGCTCTGCTCAATCTTGACACTCTGATCTTCTGCATCTGTACAACGACGTCGATTCGTTCGGTGGTAGATCTTCAAGGTTGGCGTTCGCGGAATGACCGAGCTATATCCTGGCGGGCGTACAGTGCAGTGGGCGTCTATCGCAGCCTCCGGCGAGCTGAAATCCAGATAGGCTTCAGATTGTGGGTGCGGCGCACTCTGCTGCACCTGAACGAGTGAGAAAGAGATCCTGCTGAATGTCTTCTGGCCCCAGCGTGTCCATCACGGTGGCCTGATTGGGTGCCAACGCAAGGCAAGGTGCTCTGGTCAGCTCTCCTCACGACTGTTCATCCTACCTTCCATTTGGTGTTGAGGCGATCCGTCCATAGCTCAGGCGACGAGCTGAGGATGGATTGCGAATGGTTTGAGTCCGAGTACCTCGCGCAAACAACGAGCCTTTGGTGACAGGCTTTTCGTGCCAGGCTCACTCGGCCCGTCATCGGCGTTGACGACGGTCGGCAGTGTGTGGTCGCCAAACCATCGCACTCCTGAACTGAAGTAAGTACCGCCGCTAAAATAACATCAGCGATGCCGTCGAAGTTAAGCACGAGAGGAATAGGCGATGTCGACGTCTGTAGCTGCAAGACAAGATCGGAGTGAAAGCTTCGCCGAATGATACCTCGGCTTGGCGCCCGATCGGAACCAGCGACCACACCTCTTCGCAGCCTGGAAGGAGACACCTGTATCGTCGTCTGCTTGCGAGAAGATACTTTGTAAATCTTATACTTGTAAAACAGAGCCATTAATTCGCACTGCAATTCGCATTATGGCCGCGAAAGCGCAAGCCGCGCCTATCTCCAGGACCTCCAGCTGCCTCTGTGGTGCCGTCAGCATCACCTTCGAGGGCTTCGATAAAGGCGCCGTACTATGTCACTGCAGCAATTGCAAGTCAGCATCTGGGAGCGCGTTCATGCACAACCATCGTCTGCTGAAAGCGGATATCCACATCACCCAGGGGCTACACTGCCTGCGCGAATATGCCGATTCTGCGACCACAAGTGGAAACACACTATACAGACACTTCTGTAGCAACTGCGTAAGCTTCCGTTCCTCGCAGTGGAGCCACGAGAGGGTTTGCTGAGGGTGCTTTGACAGGGGAGCCAGTTGTACTTGACGAACTCGAAAATCGCAGGCTTTGTGGCAATCAACGCTGGCAACATGCAAGGCGAAAGGGCAGGGCCTTTTATGGAGCTCTTCCTCGATAACAAATACCCCTGGATTGGAGACGTCACAGGGAAAGAAGTCAAAGCGAAGCTGTGACGACAGCAGGAACGCGCAGCCTGGTGATTCGGACTGGCACAGCCGACTTGTATTAGTTCGCAATAGCGGCCGCCATAAATGCATAGAATCAGCGGCATTGCGTTTCAGCCGGCCTCAACGGCACTCTCGATCGTCTTCAACCTCAGAGTCCCTTTCCTTCCCCAGCCTTTCTGACCAGCAGCAACAGTCGGTCTGAAATCCTCATACATGTGGAAAGCCCTCTCGTGCAAGTCTTCTTTCTTACCGTTCCAGCTCTTCAAGGCCTCACTCATGACCTTCTTCACTTTCTCGTAACTTTCGTCACCGAATTTCTTCTTCAACGCCTCCTCGTTGCCTTTCTTGGGCTTATCGCCAACCACGGCGTTGCCGCCTTTCAATTTCAAATGGGATCTCATGATGTGCACTTCTTCTAGATCAGATTGCTGCTCTGCCCGTTTCGCGCGCTTCTCGGCTTGTTCTCCTGGATCAGGTACCTCCATCGTACCGATTGCTCGACCTTTGGAGATGGCGGCGAGGGTTGAGACTGAAGATCCGATGCTTAGACACGTCGTCCACGGGAGAGAGGGATGGAGGAAGTGCGCCACACTGCTTGCCCAGAGCTCGAGTACAGGAGCTCTGTTGATCATTAAAGTGTCATCTCCATCATCTTCGTTCCCGTCTTTAGATGTTTCTGGCTTCTCCGACACAGCCTTTTGGGGTTGTGTCCTTTGCTTCTTCGCGGTAGGCTCCTTGGATGCGATAGCTTTTCGCTTTGGCGCAGGCTTGGAAGACGACACACCTTTCTCTTCCAATGTCGTCTGACCTCGACTTCGCGTGACGGCGGGCATTCTTGTTGTTCAAAAGTTGATGAGTTGGTCGACGTTGCTAGTAGTGTTTACAGTCATGTCGTCACTTGAGGACGAAGAGCCACAGACTTTCCCGCCAAGCCCACAGTGGACAATCTCATGTGCTGACACTTCCACGCTGTGCCTGTATCAAAATTCCATCCTCTTCTTGTCTTCGCCCACAACACTTCTCAAATGAATCTCTGCCGTTCATCGCCGCTTCTGTCAAGATCGCGCTATGCCCTTTAGCAAGGCTGTCTGGATGCGACCAAGATTCATGGTACACGGCGCGAGAGGGATATGATCTAGCCAAACCAGGCAGATCCTTCGTTTCCGTGTAGCGTCAGGGGTAGATATAAACACTTGCAAGAGCTGCGAGGCCGTCTATGATACCCTGTTTGCCGCAATCAACAGCTAATGCAAGCCGGCCTAGGTAGTCACGACTTTCATGGTCCCTTGCCAGAGTGACGGCCACGCTCTTCTTTCCTATCATTATATACAACACTACCTATACGACACTACGAACTCGGATCATAGCCCCAGCTACGTCGTTTATGGGCTGGAGCAACATGCATGATCTTACATCATCAGCAACATCGACGTCGGCCTGGAACGAGGCTGGTTGGTCAATCGGACTACTTTGTGAATGGCTAGAGGATACTGGATCACCCCCTGATTTGACAGGCTTTGCGAGGCAGCCGACTTGGCTATCACGGTGTTCTGACGATGCCGCTGTATTTGTACAAGGCCGTCAGCGATCAAATGGCACCGGTCGATCGCACGATGACCTGTCACAGAAATGGGGTGATATGGCTATCAACGTCTTATCGGAAAGGAACATCAAGTATGATCACATCGTAGAATCCAATAATGGACTTCTAGAGTCATCGAGTGGATGGCGTCCGTGCTGGACGGGGACGTACACGCATGAGCGTGTCGCAAACAAAGATGTCTCGATCATAGTGAGTGGGAAACAGGACATCACCACCGAGGACATATTTGCAACCAAGTTGCATTTGAGCCAACGCTAAGATCTGCTGAGCTCTCGCGGCGGGTCATTCAGTGGGAAACCAGAGTGGTCATTGGTTCTCTTCTCGCTTTAAAAACTCATCAGTGGCCACATATGTCGGCCACTCTGTGCTTTGGCATCAGAGAACGAACAGGTCATTTCACTACCTTCACCGAAGGCCGTCTGAACGCTCGCCTTACTTCTATTGAGATCAGTGTGAGCGATGCTAAAGGAATGGCCTGTCGGAAGCAAAACTCCCTGCGAGTTACCTCCATGCTCGCCAGTACAAAAGCAAAATTCCTAGTCGCCTGCTCCCAAATTAAATTGAACGACCACAAGGAAATTATGCATCTAAAAGCTGCAGACGCAGTACACTCCTTTTGGGCCGGTGCCCAGGATCCCCTCAATACGCACAGCTGCCCTCAGCCGCCCGGGATCGGTCGTACTTTATTTTCCCCTCCTATAAAAATCGCCTTCTTCGACAGCAATCCCAACCCCCCAAGAGATCATATCCATGGTCAACTTTTGTCTGCACCGTTTTCCTTATAGCGAGCACTGATCTTCTTGTGAAACCACAGTAGCTATGGCAGTTGGCACTGCAGGCGTCATTCACCACAATCCCGATGTGCCCGGAAAGCGCACCACAAGACCGCCCAGGCGGGCACCTCCACTGTACAAGGTGTGTCAAATTGTTGAGAGCCCCCTGTGTGCGAATGCTCGTGGCGAGTATGCTGACGGCTCTTGGCGTTCTAATAGGCTGCGGTCATCGAAACAGCCGATTCCAGTTCTATTCGCGTCAATTCATCGACGGCAGATATCGACGAGGCAATACTTGCCAGGATTAAGAAATGCCTAGAGCGTGCAAATCACCCGAACGCAGCTAAGGCAGAAGCCAGAGCTGCACTCTACTTGGCTTTTCGCCTAATGAAGCAATTCAATGTCACTCAGGCTGAAGTAATGGCGCATGAAACACCAGAGACCCAAAGAAAATATGCTGGCCAAAGCACAGTTGCAATCTTGCGTCGCGACGGAAATCAAAACAAGACTGTTCAAGAAAATATTTACATTGATCCTCTCGTCTGCGCTGTCGAGGCTTACTTCACCACGAAAGCGTACATCACGCACGAAGAGCGGTCTCTCGAGATCACCTTCTATGGAATCTCTGAGAACACGGCCACCGCTGCGAATGCTTTCGAGATGGTGTTCAACCTCATCGTCGAACGGGCACGAAAGTATCCAGGGCAGAATGGCAAGAATAGCTATTGTGTCGGAATTGCTGATGGGCTCCTTCGCCACGCGGAGAAGCTGAACAAGGATGAGGAAGCTCGTGCCAAGAAGGCTGAACAGGATACCTTTGCCGCGAGGGTGAAGGAAGAGGAAGTACAGCGGCAAGCCGCACTGCATCGCTTAGGCCAATTCCCCACTGAAGGTGACATGGCCGACAACACAGCAGAGGACGTCTCGCAAGATGAGTGTGAAGAGGTAGAAGACGACCGCAGCTCCACAATGAGCCCCGACTCATGGAACCCTCTGTGGGCTTCGAGCACGTACGACGACGACGACGACGATGAGGTGCGTCAAGAGTTCATCGATAACGAAGATAAGTCTGGCACCGAAGAATTAGGCGAATTTATCGAAGACGATGTTAATGACACGCCTGTCGATCTGACCGAATATACGAACGCTCTGGTCGATGCGATTGCTAAGGAGCTTCGCTCTGCCTCATCCCATTCACCGCCCGACTCCATCACCCAACCAACATCCGAGGCGCCCATTAGTCAAGCGACGAGGACGTATTCGACCGATTCTATCGACCCTACATACCAAGATCCCATTTTGGGCCACGCTTGGGCCTCGCACATGCAGCTAATCACATTCCGCGAGACCGCGACGAAGATCGCAGATGAGTATCTAAGAGGCCAGGGTATCCAAAAATACCAGTCCAAGAAGGGAGATTTCAGCGTTGTCAATCCCGACGTTTACAAACAGGGGAAAAAGGACAGCAAGAAGATTGACGTTCTGAGAAAGACAATCAAAGAGACAGTCGCTGGCGAGCAGCCTGAGCTGGCATCTTCACGCCTCTACCCAAAATGAGTTGGGTGCTTGGAGGAAAGAGAGACCGGGAAAGAATGGGCCATTCCGCCGTTTGGTCTTCAGTCTCCGACTGATCCTGCAGAAGAAGACTCCACAAGCATGCCATTTCGACTGTAGCACAGCTCAACTGCACTATCTCAGCTTTCCGGGCAGAAGTCACCGAGCACTAAGTCCTAAATGATCCGACGATTAGAATTTTGTTTTGGTCACGCACAAGCAAAGCATGGCGCCCGTTGTACTAACCCATCAGACCTCGACGCTATAGAAAGCCTCCACAGAGTCTTCACGACACCTCTGATCCAACCAAAGCTCAAAGAAATCCAATTTCATGAATGTGGAAATCATTCTCGATGCGTAGCTGCGAACAGACTCAAAGCTTACAAGTCGTCGTATCTTCATCTGAAGATTGAGTCCGTGCGCCGAAGATTTGCCGCCGCCGCCAACGATCGACTGAGACATATACATTCTCAGTGTGTGTGTACTCGCGAAAAGTGAGATTGGAACGTCCAGCTGTATTCGAAGTCTTTGTTAGGTGTTCTCCCCAAGACCTGCTAGTTACAGATTATTCCGCTTTTCCCCCAATTTTCTGACTTTTATGCGCTGCTCGGCAGGCTTTCCAGCTCCGCCAGTCTTTGCGTCCGCGTGACAATGCGAATCTAGCTCCATAAGTGGCCCTTCATGTGAACGCGACGAAAGTCATGAGCTCGACCAACTCTCCCTCTCCTTGCCTCAAGATGGCTTCCAACATAGCACCTCCTCGTCCTCATCCCCCCCTCGGCGGACTCGAATCTCGTCTGACCCCCTCAAACGCCCTCCTGACCATCTCATCCTTCATGCCACCACCCTGCACCAGCCACCTGACAGCCTCATCCTCCCCGCACCAAAGGAAAGCCTTCTAGTATTCTCTCCCGTTCAGACCGAACCTTCCCTCTCTATACCTCTCCAAACTCGTCAAGTCCACATTAGCAGAGCAGTGGAAGACGACGGCAAGATTGACAGTCAGAGAAGGCTCTTGAACCCCGGCTTGCGACTGCGACCATCCCCCATCAACCCCAAATATCACATCGTCTCCTTCCTTCCCTATGTCTCTCAGCTTCTGTCCTCCTATCTGTTCCAGCATATCGTGGATCGAATCCCTCGCCGAAACGCGCACCGAATCCCGAATTTCACTTGACTGCCCTTTCCGGTCCCCGGTGTGGACTGTCTCCTCCCCTTCAGCGGATCGCGGGAAGATGACATGAGTCGAGGGAACTCCCCATGGCTCATGGCCAGGAAGTCTGGTTCCGTCTGCTGGTTCTTGAAGCACCAGAAGTCTCTGCCAAGGGCTGAATAGGAACGTGTGTATGCGTAGGGAATGAATCTTTTGGCCTGCGAGTTGACCATGTAACGCGCGTTGAGCGTATTCTGCAAACTCGTGCGGCAGATACTCAAGATAATTGGGAGACATGGTGTCGCGATGCTGGCGTCGATGTGGGCGATGTTCATAAAAGTCAGGTCTTGTAAAGGTTGGATTGGTGGATGTTTGCTTTGTCTTTTTAAAGTGCTTCGACCGCCTTCGACCACATGCAAGTGAATGCGTTCTGCCAGCCTAGCTGCTCAAATATCCTTTCTCAGGAAGGGTCCTTGGCCCTTGTATCGCTCAGAACGCTCTCAAATCGTCCAAAAACAAGCAGAACCTTCGCTGTGAGGATAACTGCATCTGGATAAGCAGCCTGTGGTTGAGCAAGGCTTCGATCCTCTTCAGTCTGACCTCTAATACCGACTGCATCCATAATCAGCCCTGCGGAACGCCTCTCCAAAGAAGCTCTGCATGGCAGTGTAATGAAATAGAATCCCGCCGAGAACAGCAATATGCCAAATGTTATGGCTGCCACCGGCGTAATCGAACCAACCTGGCAGGAATCGTTCGGGGATTTTGGCAGCGTAGAGTACCGCTCCGCTCAAGTAGACAAGGACAGACTTCACGATAGGCGCGTAAAAGTATGAGGTGGCTTCCCAACCGCGCTCGTAGGTGAGCTGGAGGACGGGAAAGAAACCTGTAGTCGCCAGCGTGACATAGAATCCCACGCGAGCCCAGGACATGTCTGCTCTGTTGAAGGCCGGATGCCAGGGCAGAATCGTGCCAGCTGTACCAAGCACGAAGGTGGCAATCATGTAAGACCAGCGGGAGTAAGGTTCGCAGTAGAAAGCAGTGTACTCTGTGGTCATAATGCTCGCAGCAACAAGAAGCGAAATGCCAGTGTAGTCCACGCAAGCAAATCGCTCCATGAGCGTCTGATCCGAGATGGAGCTCATGGCGTGCCACATCGTACTGCAGACAAGACACTTGCAGGCGGCGAAGAAGAAGCAACCGGCAATAAAGATATCGAAGTATGTTGCGGACGTGAAGGCATCGGTCTGCGGGTAGACGTAGAAGGCGAGAGCTAGAACGATAACAAGACCAATGGCATGAGACCAGATGTTTACGAACTCGTTCGAAAGTGCAAAGCAACCCCGAATGCAGTCCAGTTTAGTCTCGGAGAAGCGGTAGCCTGTTAGGATGTGCGGATTCACTCGCCACGGTTCCGGCAGCATCTCGTACGTTATCACGCCATGCTTTCGGGCGTGGGCGATGGCGACTTCAATCTTCAATTTCATCCGCTCCTTGGCTCGACGCGCCGCGTCTGCACCTTCGTGTACCATCTCGGCAGCGCGGCTCGAAGTACGGTCCACGTATGCCATTCCAGAATCCAGCATCTCGTGCGCAGTAGCCGCCAAGCCAGCCTTCTGTATGCTGTAGGCCTTCTGTTCCAGAGCGGCCAGATTCAGCTCCAGCATTTTCACGCCATCGTGATATTTCTGCTCGATTGTATCCCTCTTGTTCATGACATCCCGGTAATGTGCCTCTAGTGTCTCAACGAAGACCTTCCGTCTCCTCCTCCCAGCATCCACGACCTCCTCACTGACTTTGCTGCATCGTTCGTTTACGGCCCGTAGCGTCTCGTGTATACTTTTAATTCCCTCATCAAACTTCAGGTGTCCGTACGTCTCAACCATCTCTAGTCTCTTGCCCAGATCTTGCAGGAAACGATCGACCATCTGCTGGGCATTTTCGCGCTCCATGCTCCATGATCGCGGGTCATATGAAGAGTGTCGCCGTCGCTTACGGGCGCGCTCGGAGTCAACACCGTCGAACTGTGCACCGGAGGCAGCGCCTACAGTAGGCTCCTCGTGGGTTTCTGAGGGGGCTGGGGAGGTGGCAGTGTGCGTGCAGGTCGTCATCGTGTGGTAGGTGGGCATGCCTGTCCGGAAGTCTTGTTGAAGCAGTTTGTAGAGGGACCGCAACGACGCTGCTGGCTGGCCTTGGGAACGTTTGGCGAGTGTACTGGTTGGCTCTGTTGAATGAAGTAAGGACGAAGTCGAGCTGGTAACCACTACGTCAAGCTGCGGTAGTGGTTTTTTGGGTAGCTGCAGGAGTCAAATGTCCGGTCGAAGTCAATTAAAGGATGTTTGCCGTCGTAGGGGCCGTGGGGGTGTCTTGTGCAGCGAAGATATGGAAACACGCAAAGAGAATGGAGTGTCTTATCAGCTCGGGTATTGCAGGGTGTGTAAGGCAAGAGAGCGACAACGTGCAGCGAGATGGGAGATGTTGTTGGTTACTGCGGGACAAAGTCAAAGTGGGAGGGATCATTTTGCCTCCGCACAGTCCCTACTTTCAGCCTATGACAGCGGCGCCCGCCCAAGCCATTGGCAACGCGCAGACTTGCCAGGATTCCATCGGCGGCCCGATCACTGTCCCTTTGTTGCCAAACCCCGCGGCCGAGGCCTTTCACATGCCATGTCTCATGTCCGCTTCAGGTCATCCTCTTGGCCCAGTGCCCACCTGTTCCCAGTCGCTTGATGAGTGCTTCTCCTCGCCGTCGCCCTTCTTCCTACGCTCCTCCTCGACGCTCTCGAACTCGGCAGACACCGTGTCCCAATCAACTTGCCCAGCATTCCTTTCGTTCATTGGCAGTTCGCTGGCGGCTGACACCATTTCAGTGAACTCGTAAAGACGAGCGTAGACACTGGGATGATCCAGACCCCTCCTTGCTAACGCTTTCGGAACGAATGCGGCGTGCACGCTACGTGTCACAAGGAGCAACCCAAGCAGGGTAGCAATCAGCCCGATACCCGTCATCATAGGCGCCGAATGTCGATGGTGGATGGTCGCCCTGTTACAGCTGAGATTGCGGATTGTACTCGTGCGAGTTTCAGTCTCGGTGACAGACGTATCGAACTGACATGTGTTCAGGGCTGTTTCGCGATGAACGCTGCTTGTAGCCTGTTCGCCGGATATCAGTGATCCTCGTATTCAATGTGACCCCGTGTTTTGGATTCTCTGGTTCGACTGTGTGATGCTGGTGAATATCGGAGCACAGACGCGGTACGTTCCGTCCCGACCCGATACCTTGCTGGATCTTCCATGGAGCATTGATGGGAATTCCAAATGAATTCCGCTTGCCATCCTGCGCGCCGCAGCCAGCTCCACAAAGCTTTGAACACCGAGCCACCAAATTTTGATGCAAACCACACCACGCGCTTCGGAGAGGGCAGACGCGCTTACCTAGACGCGCTTACCTAGACGCGTTTACCTCTCGCGTCTTCGACTTCACCCCAAACATCTTTCTGCTAACACCATGTCATCCACTGACCTGCAGCGTCAAGGGCGTGACTGTTATAAGCGACAGGAATATGACAAAGCACTGCAACTCTTCAACCGAGCAGTCGGCCGAGGCGATCCAACACCTCAATTGCTCGACAACCTTGCGGCCACCCACGACAAACTGAACGACTTGCCATCAGCCCTGAAGGCAGCCAAGAAAGCTATACAAGCGGGGCGAGAAGATGCTACTGGATACCTTCGCGCCGGCATCATCCTCAAGAAGATGGAAAAGCCGTCTGTCGCTCTGGAGATCTACGCCCATGCGTTGAAGAGCATCAAGCATGTCGGCCAAGGCTTTGAACAGTTGAAGAAGGTCCATGATGAGCTACAGCAGCAGATCGCGCCCAACAACAGTGTGGATCCGCTCACTGTGTTGCCGAGAGAATTGGCAAACACTGTTCTGGAGTACCTTTCCTTTCGACAGAGAATCGCCATCTGCCGTGTCTCAAAAGGATGGAGACACTTCATTCGGAGCGAGCCCTCTTTGTGGTCGCACCTCGATCTTTCCGCTGCGAAGTCCAAAGTGGGTACCAAATTTGTCAGTACGGTTATGAATACCGCACGAGGCAAGCTCAAGGTTGCCACATTGAACCGCCTGTACGACTTCGACAAGGTTCTTGCTGCTGTGGTTCCGCGAATTGAATCACTCACTCTGACTGGGACTGGACTCCAGGGCGAAAACTTGGTTAGAGCACTGAGAAAAACTAGCAGCCTACGCGAGCTTCGCATACTACAAGGCACCGACATTAGCCCGCACACTCTCAGAGAACTTATTCCGCTACAACCGAATCTGGAGGTCCTCCACTGCACGACGCTCAAACATGTGTCGTTCGACGACACTTGGAACCTCGAACTGCCAAATCTTTTGTCCCTCAACCTGACCGCGAAGACTATGCTAGGCCTGGAAGTCTGTTTTCAAAAGCTTTCGGGGCATGCCAGCAAATTGGAAGATCTGACTTTCTGGGAGCAGGATGGCGGAAACGCTTTCACGAGGAATGTCGACGTAGACCTTCGAAGTTTTCCGAACCTTAAGCGATTGCTTCTACGCAGTCCACTCCGCGACGTGGATCAGATTCAGCTCCCTCCGAACTTGACCTCCTTGACACTACAAAGAAGCCGTTTGGGATCTACCTCAGGCTTGCACTTTATCACCAACACTGCTCCAAACGTGTTGAATGAATTCTTTATATTCAACTTGCCAGCTTTAGAGGAGCTGTCTCTTCACATGCCTGGTCTTCTTCTTTCAGATATCACACAACAGTGGAGCGTCACGAAGAGGCCAAACCATGAGGCCCCGAAACTTTCGAAGCTGAAGTCGCTCTCGATGTACCAGCCACAATGCGGCACGCTTTCCGTCCCTCCCAGGCTGGCGGAGTTGGATCGTCTGAGCTTACTGGATTGTTACTCGCTGAACGATGAGTATGTTGAAACAATCTTGCACGAGTTCAAGAATTTGCGATATCTGGACGTCAGCGGAAGCTCGATCACTGGCGTCGGGGTAAGAGACATTGTGAAGGCCGGACACATTCAGGAATTGGTCGTTTGTGATTGTCAGAAGCTTGGTCGGGATGCGGTTGATTGGGCGCGGTCTCAGGGGCTGAAAGTGGAATACAGGATAAACAACATTGATTCTGGCAAGAGGCTCAAGTTTCCGGCTTGAAGATGCATAGTTCCCACGCATGGAATATGGCAGGCTTGTCAATGTCATCTTCATGCTCAGCAAACACTTGCCACGAGGACTTGGCGTGCTTGGGCACTTGACTGCACAGCTACAGCGATCCGTACGTCGGAGTTTTGGCTCGACGGCTGCTACCGCCGATTTTGCGCTATCCGACTCGCTGTTGCCCTGACGTTCGCTAGGGTTCTAAGGAAGACAATAGCATTCCGCTGTGGTAAGAAAGCACCTCATTCATCGGAGGCTTGCACAGCCCCGCGAGGCTTGACACAGCCAACACAACAGAAGAGGCCGGCCTGTCAGGTGATGAACTCTCATTCCTTGATAGAGGACAGAATTTGCGGCAACAATGGCCCTCAAAGCACTTCGTTACCCGTATCCAAAATGCAAGAGCGCCATCGACTGGACTACAATTCCCCCGCATTGAAAGACGAAGACAGTTTCCGCCTGCTCAAGTTGTGCCCTGGACCTCGAATTGCCAAGTCGAACGTTGGACGATGTGCCATCAAGACGGAGATAGAAGTACATCGCTTATCAGCATGTCCTGAGTATGTGGCCTTATCTTACTCGTGGGGCGAACAAGTCAGATTCGAGGACATTGGAGTAGGAGATCTGGCATACCTTCCGGTTTCGACGCCTTTGATGAACGGCCTGCGCCAGATGCGGCATCCAGATCCAGATGCTCCTACGTATGCTTGCATCGATGCCGTCTGCATCAACCAGAACAATAGCGACGAACCTAGTAGTCGAGTCAAGATGATAGATGATGCAGCGTATCTACACGGACCGCAAGGTCTGTTTTCGCCTGGCTCGGCACGACCGATCTAGAGCTCTTGTGCTCGCCACTTATAGCTCCCTTCAACAAGCCTATTCGAAATTAGAAGCCAGGCAAAGACCTAGCGTGGAAGACAGCCATCCACCGTGACAACAGGCAAGCGCAGCATCGCGTGCGACTCTGGCCGCATATAATACCGGAGCTTCTCGATAGCAAGGATCGCGCGTGGTGGAAGAGGAAATGGATTTTGCAAGAGATTGTTGCTGCAACAATAGACCAGATCGTAACTTTTTGATAATTACACGTTCTTGGTGGACGAATTTTTCTGTACGGGGCGACCGTACTATCAGATTTGCTTTCCCCGAAGCGCAGGATTGATTTTGATGGCAGATCGCATCTGCACTCGGTGCCCGCGGTCGTGGTAAGGTCATGTCATCCTCTGACGAGAAGTTAGAGGCAGCCGAGAGACTCGGAGCGACGCATCTCATCAACTACCGCAAGAATCCAAACTGTGCTCGGCAGCAGAAGTGATGACAAGGACAGATGAGAAGGGCGTTGATATCGTCGTAGAAGTAGTCGGCGCTGAGAGTATAGAGCAGCCAATGCAGGCTACCCGACAGGGTGGCCTGACTTCACTAGCTGGCATTCTCTCCCAAGATCCGAACAAACCGGTCAATATCATGCCTTTTCTGCTCTACGATGACAAGACTAGTAAGACAATACATGTCCTGATTCTGCTCTGTGCCGCTGCTAATACGCCTCGAGTCAGAGCATTCATTGGTGCTGGAAGCAAGTAGATGTTAGAAGAATTGGCGGAGTTCATGGGAAAGTGCCGTATCCATCGTCCAGTTGTTCAGACATCTGACCTCGAGCAAGTTCAAGAGGCTCTGGATGCTCTGGCCAACCTCGATGCAGCTGCAAAGAAGGTGGTCGTGAAGGTCTAGCCGCTTTTGGCAGCCTGGAGGTTGCGTACGTCCCCTCGTTTGGAAGCTAGGTATCTCTGATAGTCATCGCAACTTCGCCTAACACCCTCCGCCAGCTTCACCTCCGGCACGTATCCAAGTATTCGCCGCGCCTTGGCATTATTCGAGTATTGTGTCCGCACACCGTCTTTGACGCTGCCGCGATCTAGAGTGCTCGCGCTTCCAGTGAAGAAGGTGATGACCTCCAAAATGAGTGCGACGACCCAAGCAAGCCACATAGGTATATGAATCCGAAACGCGGGGACATGGCCGAATTGCGCCCAGACATATGCCAAAAAGTCCCAGAAATAGACCGGCTCCTGGTTGGAAATGAAGAAGGCGTGTCCAGCCGCTGTCGCTGTCGTGAGCAGGTTCTCGACGGCTAGCACGTGGGCTCGCACCGCATTGTCAATGTACATGAAGTCGTAGATGTTATCGCCGTCCCCGACGATGAAGTAGGTCTCGTATTTGGCGATGAGATCGTACATCAGGCCGATGACAGCCGTGTCTCCCGGTCCGAGAATGGTACACGGTCGTAAAGCGCAGGCTTTCAGGCCTTTCTCGGCGTGCGCATTCGAGAGGACATATTGCTCGGCCATGCCTTTTGATTTGCCGTAATGCAGCGTGGCATACCCTAGCGGCACGCTCTCGTCCATGTTGTAGTAGTCGTGGTCCAAGTCATCAATGACGGCGGTGCAACTGCTGGTGTACACGAATCTGCGACAGCCGCTCGCCATGGTAGCTTCCAGGACATTGGCAGTGCCGTGGTAATTTATCGCTTTTACCTTGTCCCATTGCTTCGAATCGGTGCTATACCGGTAATCTCGCGCCGGGACTATTCCTGCTGTGTGCACGACGATATCGGGTTTGTAGTTGACGAACGCGTCGCTTACACTCGCGGGCGAGGTAATGTCAGCTTCAACAAAGCCAGCAATGCGCCCTTGGGTCTCGGGATCTGGCGCATGTAGGTCCAGTATCGTGATTTTCCATGTCGGATGACCTTCCAAAAGGGCTTTCACAATTCCTCGACCAAGAAAGCCGGATCCGCCGGTCACGAGGACATGGAGCACGGCGCTTTGCTCCATGGGCGGAGGAGTATGAACATATAGTATAGCAAGTTACAGATCAACGGACGTGGGATGAAACGAGATCAGCCAGAGGGCGTGAAGTCGTGCATTGACTCTAATGCCTCAGGCAGCGATTGTTTGGGCTATAGATAGGAAGACACTCGAAGTATAAACAACAGTGTAGTACGTAAGTTGGTCTACGACTCATGACATACACTTTCCTCCCTCCGAGCACCCGCCGCCACAGCCTTCATTCGCACAGGCCTCGTCGCCACCAGCAGCTTTATTGCATGTGATTTGGTAACATTGGAAGCGCGGCGGGCCATTACCTCCATTGTTGCCATCTTCAGGAATGGAAACCTCCTTCTCAACGGGTACACAGATCCCATAGCCAGGTAATAACCGATCACAGTTCAATCCGGGATTCGCCACCTTCAATCCATCAACCGTCGTCCCTCGCACTTGTGCAAGATCCCAGCATGTATCGCCCTTGGTGATCCTATAAGCTTCCATATCCGGCGAAGAGCACGTTGGCAGCGCTGGTGTCGAAGCGGAATCCAAGAACCGGAAGAGCGAAAGTAGGACCACGATCACGATGACCATGAAAGGGGCGAGGTACCTCCAATCCTCAGCTATTGTCCTCTGGGAGATAGGTTGCCCGATGGGAGGCTGGTTTGGGGAGGACCGGGTTCCTGCCCTGTGGAGAGTGCCGTAGCGGTTGCCTTCCTCGCCTTCCCAGTAGGAGCCGTCCGAGTCGCGGTATGTGTATGTCTGTGTGTCTGCATCGTAGCCTACGCGCTGCATGCCTTCCGGGAGACGCTGTTCGTCCTTGGGCCGCATGTTAGTTTTCATGGTCATACCCACAGTGGAAGACGACAGTTTCGGAATCTTACGGAGTCAAGGAGCTCGTAGCGACCTCGTGATGCCATGATCGCGGGTTCTCCTCAACTGCAAAAGGCCGTCGGCAGAGCTACTATGTTTACTAAAACGTGAAAAGGGCGTTTGAATGTCGATTTGAAAGAGGGTAGAAGCCCTTGTAGACACAGTGAAGGGTAAGGTAAGGTACCTTAGGAGGCTTGGTACCGCCTCACCTCTGCGAACGCAGTCATTCCAAGTTTCAGCGCTGAGCGCTAATATCTGCAGCGCATCCTCACAATTTGATTGGGAGATCCAGATGACTGCTGTTGTGACTTTCAGCCAAGTTTTGATTGAATATTCACTAATAGTTAGCGACGCCGTGCAACGCCGAACGACGACAACGAATGGCTTCCATGACGAAATATAGAGCACTTCAGCACCAAAAGCATATTACCACTTTGGCCGCAAGGACAGACATCACCGGCGGCACGTCTACAGCCCAGCGATGCTTGTCGACAACACTGCTGACAAAAAGATCCCCTTTCACTTATGGCCTCCGACGGCGTCACCAAACCGCGAGCTTTGCAACGAATACCGAAGCACGACAAGGAACAAGTGAATTTCGCTATTAAGTACAACTCGAAACTAAAGGTAGCTCATCAAGGTTTGAGAAATGAGAGGGTATCCAGTCGCTCTTCTCCTGCAGCTTTTCCAATATCGCTCTTCATCGTATAACCACCTACGTCCTGACACGCTAAATCGCTCTACACTCACAGCCCGATCAAGATGTCTCACAGTACTTTCAGCTGGCCTACAACGCAGCCAAGAAACCGAGGAGAGCCACTCCCATACCAAGACCCTCGGCTTTGTAGTTCTTGCAGACACCAGCGGATTGAGTCGCAGAGGAAGCGGATGCGCTTGCGCTGCTTGCGCTGCTTGCGGATGCAGAGGCAGTGCCGGTGTGAGAAGCGGATGCGGATGCGGCGCTCGAGGCGGCGGAGGAAGATGCAGTTCCAGTCGCAGTCGCAGAGGCGGTGCTTGGGCTGGTCGCGGTTCCGGAGCCGGAGGAGGCGGTCGAGGTGGCAGCGGCGCACGAGGCGGCCTGTGGGAGGGTGGTGACACCGTAGCTCCCGCAAAGGGTATCTGCGAATTGGACGACCTCTGTGTGTCGCATTATTAGCCATGGGAGTCAGGTAAATGGGCGTGTAACGTCGCGTACTCTTCTGGTCGTCGGAGGAGCACTTCTGGCTCACGCAGCACGACAGGGTCTCGAGCAGCTGGGTGTTGGAGCAGATGCACTTGACATCGACCTGGTTGCAACCGCCGTAGTTGGAGATGCAGCTGGTGGCACACGAAGGCAGACCGGCGGTGCCCTGCGCGACGACGCTGGAGGCCAGCAGAGCGAGCACGGCGAGAGCGTTGGTGTACATGGCGCGGCGTAGCCCGTGTGGAGTTGGAGTGGGCAGCTGCTCGTTTCCGCGGTGGATCTAGGGGGTGGGGCTGGTCGAGAGAAGGGGTGTTGTTGTTGTTCTTGTTGTTCTTGTTGTTGTCGTCGTCGTCGGTGTCTGTATGTCAGCGAGGAAGGGGGAATGGAGCTTCAAGAGGGGTGCCAGGAGAAGTTGGGTTATAATAAGCTAGCTCTTCAGTGGGCGTGTCGTATCGAGCCTCTGCCGGCTGGCACATGGTGCATGGCTTGTTCTAGCCAGGCTGATGTGAACACCGCTACAGCTCTCACAGGCAAACAGGCTCCCCCATTGACATTACGTGCAGGGTCTATGCTGCACACGATATCCGCATCGGGCTAGATCCCTGCAAGGGCGGATGCTAGACCAACCCTATTTGTGTTATCGCCCTGCACCCCAACCTTAGCCCACCTCAAGCTTCCTCTGTCACGTGCCTCGCTTGTCCTTCTCCCTGACCAGCCCATTCTTGTCGCTCCTCCTTCTCTCCATCTCCCATCATCTCTGCATGCCCGTCCGTCAACACGCGTCATGGTCACCAACCAGGTGTTCCACGCTGCGTCCTGGGCTATGGCTGGCCACTACCGACGGCGCCGGCGCCCTGCAGAGCTTTCTCCTCGTGTGGCTCCCCGCGCCCATTGGCAATGTTTAATTGCACACGGCGGGACTGCCGCCCGCGCAGCAGCTTATTTGCGCCTGAGATTGCAGCTGTGCCGCCTTTGCCAACACCACTCGCACTTCATCCGAGCTGGCCTCAGGCAACATTCAGGCGCAGTCCACATTTTGCCAACGTGACGCTTCGCTGATCCCACTCAGAGCCACTCTGTCGGCGCCCTATGCAAGCAGATCAATACAGCTACGCCGTCTCCGGAAACCTCGAGCGTGGATCTGCCGGATGCAGCTTCCCCGACCATTACAGACAGACAGAGCGAAGCTCATCCCCCAGCGTCCGAGGTGCCGTCCGCATCCGAGCAAAATGCAACAGAAGCAACCCCTTCCACCACAACTGATCCTAGGGAAACCGATTCAGGTACCCCTTCGTTATCTTCCTCGTCCAGGGATGATGCAACGGAAGATGCTCGTCCAGAAGATGTGAATGCCTGCGCAGATTCAGAGCCATATCGCATCTCCGGATATGAAACGCTGCATGGCAATACTCCTGACGAAGCAGGCGTCTTGAGGATCAGATTCACCACCGTCGCTGAACCTCCGACCGCATCCGACAACTCTGGAGGGAATGATGCCAACGTCCAACATACGCGTGCCACTACACGCGGTAGCAGCACTTCCTCATCGTCTTCACCTCGTTGCACCTCTTTCGATGCAAACCCAACGAGAGACATGCAGGACTTGAGTAGCACCAGTATCGTGACGCCAACGCTTCAGCCTGTTCAGCTGACCGGTGATTGGTTCAGTGGTGGTTTTGAAAAAGCTCGCCGAAGATTAGAGCGAACAGCACCCTACGAGTCCAAAGATCCAGATTTCGTTAAGATTGCTCTGACTGACGAAAATTTCCGCTATGGCAACGATTTTGTGGAAAATCCCCAATTACAATTGGCCAAATAGATGACGCGATACTCAAAATTTGTTACTACCACGACCGATTCCCAGCCCCAACTTTGTGTGAATATATTTGATCCGTGGGGAGTTGAGCGTATCGCTGAATTATTATGCAGGATCGTCGAGAGGCGACGTGGACGAGATCGTGTCCAATATACATTTTTGTCGCATTGCGAGAGAGATCGGCCAAGTCGTTTTGTATGGAACCACGTCATCACGGCAGAAATCTTTAAGTAGCGAGGTTCGCAGAGTGGCAACTCTGGTGGAGGCGGTATTGGGCGCCATATACTATGATTCTGGGTGCGATTCCCAGGCCGTCAAGCGGACACTCGATGCGTGGGATGCCTTCACGCCGAGGACTCGTGTTCACAAGGAATCCTTAACTGCAGAAGCAACTCGACGCCAAGCTGGAGCAACCCCCCACCAACGACCCCTCGTGGCAGGTAACGAGCTTTCGAGGCTTGCACGCAGGGCGCTTCGGGGTCAGGCTGAATGGCACGAGGAATTTTGACGAAAATTGACAGCTGGTCGAGCAGTGCCTACGAGACCTCACATAGCACAAGATGAAGCAGGTCAACGTGAAGTCCTCAGTGAAGGTCTTGCGGCCGCAACGGACGATCCGAGACAAAGAATCTACTTAGCCTGGGCGGTTCCATTCAGCATAAGAATGAAAATACAACTGGGCTGACTCTGGACGAGTCCATCTCGATGAAGGGATTCCGTTCTGCTGTTAAAACGGATACTCAAATTTACGTTTCAAAATTGGGGACCCGCGTCTCCGCAACAACAGCAAGCCTTCAGAATTTTCCGAAGTCTGTACGTGGAAGGCATACTGAAGGAGGAGATCGCGACGCTTGCTATGCAACGCGCGGCCGTGACAACGCAGGAACTGGTGCAGATGGAAGCTCAAAGGCTGCGGAGGAATGGGAAAAGACATGGGCGTTGACGGCGCAGAAGAGCACTTGGACGGAGAGCACAGCTTCGGAATACGCCTTTGCTTATTGTGAGCACTCTGATCAGGCGGGGACTTCTGGACGAAGACCTTCTGACTGCTTCTCACTTTGAGGAAGGGAAATGCATTCCGAACTCGGAAGACGCCGTCAACAAGCAGAAGGATGATGAGGAGGAGGAGGAGGAGGAGGAGGAGACATCTCCTCCCTCGGTCTCGACAACTGAACCCATTCTGCAAAACCCGAATGTATATTCACTATACCATGTATAACTAATCTACCAGAACTCATTATTGATGATAAAGCCTCTACTTCACACGAGAATATCTAGGGCGGTTTCCTATCTACCACGCCACTTTCTGACTCTCACAGTCTCACTCACTCACTACTGACCTTAAGTTATTGTTCGGCCTCGATGATGCCCCCGGGCGTCGTCGGAAAACCCCTGTGCCCTGTCAACTGCGAACCCCTTCCCTTCCCTTCCCTTCCCTTCCCGCAAGCAAGCAACGTTAAGCGAGGCGAGCACCAAAAAGCATCGACGGAGAGTTCCCTGTCAACGGAAAGCTTGGTCCGAAAGAGACTTCTGACGTGTAGAAGTCTGATAGTAGTGAAAGATTTCGGGAATGCCGTGGCGCGCTCGTGTCGTGTGTCGTTCAAGGAACTTAAATCCTTGCCAGGGAGGAAAAAGATGTAGACAGATAAGATATGATAAGAATAGATAGATAGTCCAAGAGTGACAAGATTTACAGAGACTTGTTTTTCTTTCTTTCTTTCTTTCTCTCACAATGCTGTCATTAGATAGAGATCTAAGGGTAAATAGATATTATTTTCGATAAGAATACATGCCACTTGTAACTGCTCTTGTAGCCATTGATAGCCCATACCTCATAAGTGTCGTCAAATCGTCGTCGTGTATAGCCTCCCGTCCTCTGCCCTTTCCCTGTCCTTTGAAATTCTCCGAAACGGGCGTGGTGATTGATTAGCCATGTTGTTTGTTTGGAAGAAATGCTTTCCTTTCCCTTTCCCTTTCCCTTTCCAAGAACGCCACAGACAAGATCCCGAGACAAGAGATCCAATGCTCTAGATGTTTTCCCATTTGCGCGTCTTTCCAACTCTTTTTTTTTCTGTTCTTCTCATGTTGCCGGTAAGTTCAAGAAAGGCAAGAGAAATCTCGCCGTCAAGCGCGTCGTGTAGAGATGGAATTGATCCTCGCGGAATTCCACGCCTTCTCGAAGTTTCAGATGGTCGTCTGGATAGAAGCGCAAGAAGGGTCAGTCAGTCAGCATCACTTCTTGAGTTTCTTTTGGGGACGTACATCTCTGCTCCACCAAAGCTCTCAATGAGCCCAGGAATTCCCTCTGAACCGGCTCGCGGAGCTCCGGCGTTCCGGGTCCAAAGCTGCCATTCGAACCCCATTTTCTGTCCCGATACTTGCATTGGAAGAGTCCGACGAGTAACTTGAACCGCTCGTCGATCCTCTGGCATACCTCTTCTGATCGCCGATAGGCTGCGTCGTGCGATAATGTGCCTCTCGTCTCGTCCGTATGGGCTTGCAATTGGCTGGTTCTTTGCACTTCTTCGAGCACCATGGCGAATCCGAGCATGACGCAGAAGGATTGTAGCCAGGTCGTGTCCTTCTTAGAGATCCCGGAGTGCAGGGTCGCTTGTTGCCATTTCAATATCTTCTCGTAGATGTTGTTACGCAGGATGCAGATGAAGAATTTCAGTTGACGAGCTGCGAGGCGCGGCGAGGTGAAGCGTTGGAGTGCAGAGGGTCGGCGCGAGTATCGAACGGAGGACAGGACGGTATAGAGCGTGTCTTCGGATATGCTTAATGTGTGATTCATGATGTAGTTGATGATTAGCATTCGGAGGATGTCTCGTAGCAGGACTCGGAGCTGGAGGGAGATGTCAGCCTACATCATGGCGTGAGAGGTGATGAGGGATGTCGACATACCGATACATCCGTCGTGTTAATGTAGAGGCTACACATCATCTCCACGACTTGTATTTGGAAAAGGTTCCCGTCTAATATCTCCTCTTCTTGGTAGCACTTCCAGCCAAACGACATGAGGATATGAGGCTCCATCAGCTGGTCCAGGTAGGCCTCAATGTGGGCGTCGTCGCTCATTTCCAGCTTCATGAGGCCAAAAGGCGGCGAGTACTTGAATTGATTGACGAAGCCATTGCCGTTCTCGGCCAGAGAGTATTGTATCTGTCCGAGCAGGTCAGCAGTTCGCGGTTTGAATTCGTACACCTTCCAGCGCAAAGGCGGACCGTATCCGCAAGATAGGTAGAGGTCGATTCCATTGTCTGGAACCCATGATTGCACTTCAGTAGCGACGGTGTCTTCTATTGTCTGTCTCGCGTGCCAATTGACCATGGAGGCTGGGGCATTGGTTAGTGGACTGCGCTTCGGATTGACGTGTGAATGACCCTTACGAGGCGCGAAATCGCGAGCAAAGTCTGGCAACTTGGATCGGTCACACTCGAAGTAGTAAGCCTGGCCTCTTTGCGAGCGCATCAAGCATCGGTTGCAGGGCGAACCTTCATCACACTATTCGAGAAATTAGTCTGCAGTCTTTATCGGCCCAATACTCGATACTCACCGGGTCTCTTTGCATCGCACATCGCCAGCAGGCGCCCACCGTGCGCATCTTATGGCTCTTCTGACGAGATTGCTCGTTCAGATGTGAGTTCTTGCTTCGTCCTCCTTTCCTGACACGATCTGACTGTGATGCCTGACTACGATGGATGGTAGGCTGGGATGCGTCTCCTCTTATGACCCTCTGATGATGACTCGCTTGAGCAGCTTGTAGCACTTGATCTGTATGGGTTCTCAAGGAAGTGGTCGGTGAGCGGCCCGATGATGGTACCGCTTGGGGATAATTAGAAGCAGAGGAAATAGCTTGGCCATGCTGAAATTGCGGCATGGGTTGGCGGTGTGTTTGCGTGGAAGGCGAAGTTCGCATTTGCCTGCTTGGCTCGACTCTAGTATCCAGGGCAGGCTGTGGAGGCCGAGTTGCTGCGTTCGAAGGAAGAGTGGGTTGCGGCTGGGATAGACGTCCTATCTGCTGGCCGAGAGCCGGATAATTCTGGGTTTCAAAGCGTCCTTGATACAGCGTCGCAGAAGTCGGGTGGTGGTAAGGAGAAAAAGGCTGTTCAGGCCTCTGCTCAACCGAACTAGTGGCAGCAGGCATATATTGACGAAAATTGGCAGTCGCCTGAGGAAGCATACTTGGGGCGCCGTACTGCATGGGAGTGGGCATCGATCCGTTATCGTGAGGCCGGAATGGGATAGCAGCCATCGCTTGGCTCGGAAAAGAGCTCTCGAGGAGGTGAGCGGTGGAAAGGTCGTCGCTGCTGAACGAGGTGCCAGTGAAGTCCAGATCACCTGGTAAGGTGTTGTAAGGGTTGTAGTGATTGTCCATGCTGGCGTCAGACAATGAGGAAAAAAAGTGCCCTGGCCATTGCGTAGCCGGTGTCTGTCGCAGGACGGATGTCTCCCGTAGGGATCGCGACGTTGCTGGCGAAGCAGATGAGTAGGCGCCGGTCACGGGTGCGGGCCGAGGGATGTTCATCCTCCCGTTGACATTGACAGCAGCTGGATAAGCGTCGAAGGTGTCGCCGTACACGAAGTTGTCGGCGGGGCTCTCGAGACTGCTCCGGGGGGAGATGGAGACGATCTCTGATTCCGGGTCATCGTAGCCCGTAGTGTCCAGGTCGTCGTTGTTGGTCGAGGTGGGAGTCAGGATATTCGAGGCACCAGCGGGCGAGAGGGAACAGCTGCCTTGACTGGCCAGGGAGACGGCGCGGTGCTTCGCTGGGTGGTGTTCGTCGAGCTTGTCTGGGGATAGCATCTCCGAGGTGAAGGACTTGTCGGGAGAGTCTGCACACGAGTGCATCTCGCAGTCTTCTTGGTCGACATGGTGATGGATCTGGGTCATTCTCCGCTCGAATTCTTCGTACGATTCCAGGTCGGAAGAGGGTGAGACGGTGGTGTCGAGCGACGAGGAGACCAAGTGCGGCGCAAAGTCATGGCCTATAGGGAAGAGCGTGCCAGTGGCCGTAGTCGCCATTTTCATTTTCTGAGCCCAGACACGCTCCGAGGCTGAATGCGAGCGCGGGAGGGATCTGGCTCTCTGGACTCCACGATGGGAGTTGCCGCGGATGCGTTGCCGTCCAGCGGGTTAGATGTCATTAGGCGATGAAGCTGAGGATGGCCGCGAGTCGTGAGAAAGGTCGGGACCCGTATGGATGTGTATGGCAGCGTAGGGACTAGACGCGATCCTGCCGCTCCGGTCAAGAGCACTAGCGACCGGTGAGTGGATGTGGACCGGTCAGTAAGGCGTAGTCCCAGCTGCACTAGCACGTGAGGACCGTACCAATTCACTTGATTAGAGTTTTCGGCCCACCGACTGAGCGTATAAAAATGGCGGCGTCATGCAGGTGAGTGTGAGTGTCTGTGAGAGATATCTATCATATACCGAACTGGTGATGTTTTGCTGCACCTTTCTCCCGTTCTTTCATTTCTCTCTTACGCCTGCGCACCAGCGGTACAACCTGGAGACAATAATCATCGGGACACAGTCGCAACACCGTCGGGAGGTCACGGCATCCGATCTGCACGCAGCCGAAGCTCATCGGGACAGTCATCAATACAGTAATAAGTACTACACACGACATGTACTCCGAGGTCTTTCCAGGAGACATGACGTCGCCGCCGCCCGCACCCCAATGCCCTCCACCTACCAACTCTCCTCCCCGACTCTTCCAACTTTTCAACCTTGAAACACTTTGCGCCGGCGCGGTGAAGCACCAATGACGTAGGTAAATACTTTCTACCTCTTTCACATCCTTCCACACTTCTGCTTGCTGCTCGCTTTGCTCGTACTGCTAGATTCCATGTACCTTCTGCGTCTACAGACACCCCCGTCAACCTCGACAATGCCAGTGATTCAACCTCACCGGCATTGACTACCTTCACTCAACCGTTCGCGCTTGACCGCTCGCAGAGACCGTGTGCCGCATTCGCATTCGCATTTGCTCCCCCGCACCCGTGAGAGCTTCGTGCTATCACCATGTCAGGTAACGAGGACGTAGATGATGAAACTCGCCGGCGCTTCCAAGCTCCCTACACGGCTAAGCACCCGATCCCGACCATCGCCAAGTACCGTGAAGAGAAGGAGGCTCGGAAAGCTGCGGCAGGACGAGATACAAGTGACGATGGAGATGAAGACCTAACTCAGACCAAGACTCAGCGTGCCAAGGATGGCTGGAGAAGTTACTGGTATGGGGAGAAAGAGGACGAGAAGACGAACCAAGACAAAGATTCCAGGGAAGGAGCAGATCAGCAACAGCAGGCGGTGGATGTTGATGGAGATGGCGATGTCGACCAAGACGACCAAGACGAGGCCGAAGCTATCCAGGATACATCTGAAGCTACATCCATGCCCGATCCCAAGAACCGACGGAAAGGGAGAAGAGAAGACGGAGCGGAGCGTGAGGTCACAGATCCAGTTACGCATCTGCCTGTCCGTATTCACGACTTCACGCAGGGTTCGCTCAAGGATGTGGAGGAAAATCCGCCGCCGATCGGTAGCACGAGTAGAACAGCCACAGGACTGAGCAACAAGAACAAATCGGAGAAGCAGCTGCACGATGAACACAAGGAGATCCAGGGAGGTCTGGATTCCATGAACACACTTTTCCCACCTCCAAGCTACGATGTCATTCGGCAAGAACTCGCCGCGCTCAACAAGCAGGGCATCACCATTGGTATGGCTGGTGCAGCTATCATAATCTTGACTGCTTTTGGCCTCGAAAGAGTCTTCAGACCACACCTTGCTCGCGTTGTGGGTAGTGACGATCACAGACACTGGTCTATCGGAATACTGGTCTGGATTATACTTGGACTCTTCACAGCCGGCGCCATGTGGTACCTGATCCAGGGAGTACGAGAATGGTTGGCAAACCGCATTGATGACACTTGGCAGGACCAAGTTTGGGAAGCCAACCTGCAAAGCCGGAAGAGAGCAGCGAAGGCGCACGAGACAGAATCTGTGACGTGGCTCAACCAGCTGTTTGGCTCCGTATGGCCACTGATCAACCCAGATCTCTTTACGAGTCTTGCGGATACGCTGGAAGACGTCATGCAGGCATCTTTGCCAAGATTTGTGCAGATGGTGAGTGTTGAAGACATTGGCCAGGGCAGCGAAGCACTGCGAATTCTAGGCATCAGATGGCTCCCTACCGGAGCGGCAGGCCGTTCAGTGGGTGACGACGGTAGCCTGAAGTCGGCCGATGACAAAACGCATAGCAATGATCGCACTGTGTCTGGAGAGGGTGAGGTAGAAGATGCAGGGCCCAAAGATGCCAGTCCAGGTGAAAAAGATGAGAAAGGAGAGAAAGATGAGAAGAAGGAGGAAGAGAAGAACACTGGAGACGGCTCCGAGCGTGCAGATGTGGCAGAGGGTATGGAGGCCGAGGAGGGAAATTTCATAAACCTCGAAGTTGCCTTTGCGTATCGTGCTCGAACTTCGAAGTCCTTCAAAGCTCGCACCAAGGACCTGCACTTCTACATTGCCTTCTATCTACCTGGTAATATCAAAATACCAGTGTGGGTCGATGTGAAGGGGATCATTGGAACCTGTCGCCTTAGACTTCAACTGACGCCCGATCCGCCGTTCTTTGCGCTTTGCACACTGACGTTTCTGGGTCAGCCAAAGGTCGACATCAGCTGCATACCCCTGATAAAGAAGGGGTTCAACATCATGGACTTACCGCTGATCAGCAACTTCGTGCAGAGCTCGGTGGATGCTGCAATGGCCGAGTACGTGGCTCCAAAGAGCTTGACGCTGGATCTAAAGGACATGCTCGCTGGCGACGACTTCAAGAAAGACACCGCTGCACGTGGCGTGATCGTGGTCTACATCAAGAGAGGCTATGAGTTCGAGATGGGGGACGCTTCCATTCCACTGATCTCAGACGGGAGCTCTGATCCCTACGTCTCTGTGGGTTGGGCTAAGTTTGGCAAGCCCATGTTCAGTACTCGAGTGCTGATCTCGGAAATGGAACCATATTGGTGTGAGCGGGCGATCCTGCTCGTGACACCAGAAGAGCTCAACGTTGATGAGCGTCTTCGAGTGCAACTTTGGGACTCGGATCGGTTCACGGCAGATGATGACCTCGGACGCATTGAGCTCGACTTGAAGCACATCATGAAATCGGACGAGACGAACGGCAAGATGGCCGATCGCACGGACGGATTCAGAGCTCTCAAAGCTGGCGAGAACATGCCAGGTAAATTGGAGTGGAGTGTCGGCTATTTCTCCAAGACGAGATTACAGCCTTGCCAGCTTGAGAAGCAGACCTATGACAGCGACATCCGATCCATGGAGCAATTGGAGAAGAAGGTGGAAGGGAGATGTCAGCGAAAACTTCGCGAGGCTATGATCAAGAAAGGGCGTCATTCAAGGGACGCCGAAGAACTGGAACAGCAGAAGAAGCAGGAGATGAAGGAGCAGGAAAATGCCATCATCATCTCTGCGCCTCCACCGGACGACTATCCGAGCGGCATCTTCAGCGTCCAAATCCATCAGATTACTGCACTGGAAGTTGACGACGTTCGTGCAAAAGCAGATCAAGGCACTGGTCCGGACGGTGGAGAAGCCGAGGGCGGCGTCGATCTTCCATCAGCGTATTGCACCATCATCATCAATCACAAGCAGGTGTACAAGACGCGAACAAAACCGAAGAACTCGCAGCCTTTCTATAACGCTGGCACGGAACGATTTGTTACAGATTGGCGTAATGCCGAAGTCTTCGTAGCTGTGCGAGACGCGCGCGTCGATGAAGAAGACCCACTTCTGGGTATTGTCCATCTCCCGCTTGGAGAAATCTTCAAAGAGCGGGCCCAAGTCAATGGCTTCTATCCCATCGCTGGTGGTATGGGTTTCGGCCGTATTCGTCTCTCCATGGTCTGGCGTAGCGTTCAGCTTCAAGCGCCCCCTGAAGAGCTTGGTTGGGAGTACGGGACGCTGGAGGTCAAGTCTACCATCACGAGCTCCGACGTTCCTGAGAATCTGAAAGATCTTACGATCAAGTTGCATTCGAATATCAGCGCCGTCAAGATGCACTCACACCAGGGTGAATCCGGGACTCGGGAATGGAAGACGCGAAAAGGCAAGAGTCTCTACCTCCCGTTTCAGAAACGTTACGCGTCTTGTCTCGCGATCCGCTTCAAGCGCAGCGGCATGCTCAAGGACAAGACTGCGGCGTACTGCATTTTCTGGCTCAAGGATATACCCGACGACGAACAGCGAGAGCCCGAACTACCCATCTACAAAGGCAATTTCGAGCGTGCTCGCGTCAATTGTCTCGATGAACCGGGCGAAAAGGTCGGAAGTCTGAAGGTCACGTTGAAGTTCTGGAGCGGTCTGAGCGAGAGACATTCGGGACTCGCAAACCAGGATCCGAATCTCAAGAATGTCATGGAGGTGCTGGATTGTGCGAGGGACAACCACGAGAGTATGCAGAAAGAACGAGAAGCGGGCATCGTGGAGGACAATGGACATGGAGGTCCCTATCATGAGGATGAAGACGACGAGGAGGGCGAGAGCGACTCGGATAGCGACGGCAGTTCCGACGACGAGGACAGAGAGAACGAGAAGGATGCGAAGGGGGATTCCAAGCCCAATGACGACGACGCCAACAGCAGCAAGTTGAATCTCGTCGACAAAGCTAAAGACTACAAAAAGCATGCCAAACAGGAACATCGCCGAGGACGGGGCGCCATGCAGTATAAGGTAAGTTCCTGGCCTCCATCCTCCTCCTCCTCCTCCACCACAACAACAAAGCCCAGATAAATAAATGATCGCGATACTAATCAGCCCCATCACCAGCTCCCGCGCACCGCCAACTGGGCCTCGAACAAAGCCCAGCGAGTCGAAAGCAAATTCTCGGGCATCTTCAAGCGGCATACCAGAGAGCCAGGCATTGAGACGGAAGTCTAAGCTCGTGTTAGTCTTGAGTTTGCTTGCTTGCGCTTTGTACTGTATTGGTTCCGATGAGATACCCCCTTTTTTTGTTCATTCCACTCAAGCGATAGCGACTGTTGTTAGTTGTAATGATGTTTCTCCTCGAACCTTCCTTGTCACGCGTTGCCGGACGGACTCATGGCGTCGGGGTGTGAAACCCGATGAGGTGACCTCTGCGGGCAGCTCAATACTGTTCTCGAGGACAGAAGTATGAAGAAAGGCCAGAGTCAGAGATACTATTAATTCATGGAAAGCAAAAAGCAACGACTCTATTTTCATGACAAGTCATCTCATAAGCCCCTTCGTTGACTGAAAGCTGCTGCTCTCCAAAAGGCAAGGACTGGAGTAATCCTTAAATACTGCCCCTCTTTCCCCTCTCGTTCCCTTTTGGCTGTTTTAATTCGCACACAAACACACACACACACACACACAAGGCCACAGAGCCAGCTGAGCACACCCATTCCTTCCCTTGTTCTTGTCCATGGTATTCCAAAGTCGCCATGAAAGAAATCCAAAAGTTCCAACCGACGTAACATACACACTTATTCGTGATCCCTATGCTCTTGCTCGCCCGTCTTACTCGACGGTGACGGACTTGGCCAGGTTACGTGGGAAGTCGACGTTCAGCCCCTCGGCGACTGCGAGCCAGTAGGCCATGAGCTGCAATGGGACGACGTTGAGCAGACCTTGCAGAACGTCAACGGTGTGTGGTACCTCGATCTTGTCGGTCTTCTCGCCGGGGAATTCGGAGTCGTTCGTGTTGCAGATGACGATTGGTCGTCCCTTACGGGCAATGACTTGCTGGTATGCGTTGAGCGACTTGGCGAAGAGGTTGTCGCGTGTCAAGATCATGACAATGGGCAGGTTCTCGTCGACAAGAGCAAGCACGCCGTGCTTCAGCTCACCTGACATGACCGCCTCGCAGTGCAGGTAGGAGATTTCCTTGATCTTCAGCGCACCCTCCAATGCAGTGGCGTGCTGTGCGCCGCGGCCGAGCAGGAGCAGCGACTTCTGGTCCTTGAACTTGAGGCACAAGTTCTTGATTTCCTGGTCCATCTTGAGGATCTCGCGGAACTGGTCGGACACCCTGCCAAGACCCTCCATGATTTCGATGCGGCGCTGTTGCTTGCTTGCGCGATCCTCGGAGAGCGAAAGTGCGAACATGACCATGCAGACGAATTGCGAGGTGTAGGCTTTGGTGGATGCGACACCAATCTCAGGCCCGGCATTGATGTGGACACCGCAGTGGGTCATAAGCGAGATGGAGGAACCGACCACGTTGACAATACCCACGGTCAGAGCACCACGCTCCAAGCAGTAGCGGAGGGCCATGAGAGAGTCGGCAGTCTCTCCGGACTGCGAGACGAACACACAGGTGTCGTCACGGAAGACTGGGGCTTGACGATCGAGGAAGTCTGATGCCAGCTCGACGGAGATGGGGATCTCCGTCAGCTCCTCAAACGCACCACGGACTGCCATACACGAGTGGAAGGAGGTACCGCAGGCGATGAAGATCAGACGTCTGCAGCGGCGGATTGTGCTGAGGTATTGCTTGAGACCACCGAGGGTCACTGTCTTGTCCTCCACGTTCAGACGACCACGCATGGCATTGACGACCGACTCTGGCTGCTCGAAGATCTCCTTTTGCATGAAGTGGTCGAACTTGCCCTTCATGATCTCCTGCAGCTCAATCTCGATCGTCTGGATGGCGCGAACATTGCTAGTGCCGTCGGTCTTGGACAGGCGGTGAATGTTGAGCTGGCCCTCATGGATGTGGGCAATGTCGTCGTCCTCGAGGTAGAGAACCTTCTTGGTGTGCTCGATGATGGCAGCGGGGTCGGAGGAGAGGAAGAATTCAGTGGGTTGAGGCACGCCGTCGTCGGACAGGAAGGCACGGGACTGCGAGCGGTGGAGGAGCGACTTGTCTGGGGGAGCCAGGAGGTTGCCGCCAAGCATGCCGGGGCTCTTCTTCAGGGCAACGTTCTGGCTGGCCTGCTCAGCTGGGAGGACCTCGCCGCCCTCACCGAACTCGACGTCGACGAAGTCCACCTTCATCTTCTTCTGGGTGCGCACACCAACGACGAGTGGGGAACCCTTACGGGCTGCCACCACCTCGCCCGGGAAGCGCACACTCTTCAGGAGAAGACCGAAAGCGCCCTGCAGCTCCTTGATGACGGCCTTGGCCAGAGTGGTGAAGTCGATGGTTGGGTGTTCATCGTAGATGTACTTGGCCAACTTGGCGATGGCCTCGGTGTCCGTCTCGGTCTCGAACCTGAATCCCTTGCTCTCAAGCAGTGTCCGCAGCTCTTTGTAGTTGGTGATGATACCGTTGTGTACGACGGCGAACTCCCACTTGGGGTCCGACTTGTGCGGGTGGCAGTTGACTCGCGATGGAGGGCCGTGGGTGGCCCATCGGGTGTGTGCAATACCGGCGTGGTTGTCGAAGACCTTGGTGAGGTCGGGCTTCTCGACCGCGATCAACTCCTTGAGCTTGGCGACCTTGCCGACCTCCTTGAAGGCGAAGACCTCGTTCTTCTTGTCGCCATCGACTGCGAGCCCGGCGGAGTCGTATCCACGGTATTCGAGACGAGCGAGGCCTGTAGTAGCAGTAAGTATATGGCCAGGGCTGATGTGGGCTCATGGGTACTGGAACTGGGGCTGGAGCTGGAGCTGGAGCTGGTAGCCTTACCATTAACGAGGGTGTCGAGAATGTACTTGCGGTCCTTCTCCACTAGGTAGTTGATGTATCCGAATATGCCACTGCCTCATCATCAGCTCTGTGCTACCCCGGTGTCCCGAAATGGGGTGTGTGTATATGTTCCTTACCACATGGTTGCGGCGGTGTGGTGAACGCAAAGAAAGCAGAATCGTCGTGGGGCTCGTGCGGTGCGCGGGAAAGGCAGCAGCAACTGTGCGTGCGGGAGCTGTCGTCGGTGTGCGGAGAGCTCTGAGGAGCTGTACGCAGGAAGGTGTGGGAGGGGAGGGGGTGGTGGGCAGAGACGGACGTTGGCGAGTTGAGCGAGTGTCGACGGAGAGAGAGAGATGTGGATGTGGGTGTGAAAGGTCGGATGCGGATGCGGATGCGGATGCAGATCAGGAGGAGTGAGGTGTGAGGTGTGAGGAGTGAGGTGTGAGGGAGGTGGTTTGTTGTTTGTTGCGGCGGCGGACGTGCGAGGATAAAGTGTGTATAAGTACGTACGATCGCGCGGGCTCGGGAGTCGGTTTCAGGGTAGCGCTAGATCGCCAAATCATCGCCAGTCCCACTGCTGCTGCTGCTGCTGCTGCTGCTGCTGCTGCTGCTGGGAATCATACCTATTGACTAGCCCTACTCTGCTCCGACTGCTGAACCTGAACCTCAGCCTCAGCCTCACATAAGTGTGCACCGGCCGACTGTCGCAGCTCATCCCTACTGCAATCTCCATCTGTCTGGCTTCATATTCACCACCTCTCTCCCGCCTCTGTCTTGTCTTGTCTGGTCTCTCTTCTCTCAGCATACCGTGGCCTGACCAGCCCAGCCCAGCACACTCCATCCCGCAAACGTCGAACGCTCTTCCGCACGCGCGAGCAAGTTTTTCAGCATGCTTTACCTCCGCGCGCAGGCGCAGCACAACCGGCTGGCCGCGTATTGGCTAGCATTGGCTCGCATTGGCTCAGATAGATGCAGGTACACGAGCCACCACGAGCACCGTCGTCGATGTGGACGCCGCTCATTCGCTCCTGCGCCGAGAGATTCCACGTTTCCTGTGTAAGCACCGCACTAGTGACGAAGATGCTTTCTATTTCTGACCTCCCTCCTCCTTCGCCTGCACCGCATCTGCCAGGTAAGGTAACATCCTCGTGCAACTATTCTCGTGTTCATACCTCATCATGCCATACTGCCGTGCCGATTGCCTTCCTTCCCGCCGACCGTATAGCCCTTCCCGGTTACTTGACCTTCCTGCCCGGCTACTTCGGCCGCCCGCTTCGCGGCGTGGCGACATCTCGGTGGCAGAGGAAGATGCAGCTTCGGTCGTGCCGGAAAGCACAAGGCTGCGGTCTGGCCCGACGAGGCCTGCTAGTATTCCTCACCGATCCTGCAGGAGGGCAGACCAGCTGTCAGAGATACACAGTGCCAGCCGCAGCGAATTTCGTCCACAGGAACAACCTCGAAACTCTCCGTGTCGCTGTCATACGAGCTTGCTGCATCTGGCAGCTGCTCAATGACGATAACATGTCATGCCACGGTGTGCATCGCGCTAAATCTGGTGGATGCGACAGACAGGCGAACACTGTTCATGCAGGAAAACATGGACCTACCGGCTGTGGCTGTGCGCCTCGGACAAGGCCTGGCAGCCTTGAATAGCGTGAGTCTAGCTGTTGGCTAGTTGAAAGCGTATCTTGACCTCATGAGACCGGTTGATACAACATATCCTTGGAGAGACAGCAGCAAACGCAAGATATCTCTCCCAGATGTCAGGCTCTCCAGATCCCATCAATGTCTAGAGCGGACGGCCGCGGAGGCACAGCGTGCCAATGGCCACCCGCATTCGTTCAAGACTGCTGGAACATGCCTGAATCAATGGACCAGTCTGAGGAATAGAAAGCGTCGATCAGACGGGAGCGGAGCAAAACCACATTGATCGAGAGCCGCGGGAGGAAGATGCCTGTGAAGCCGATTTTCCCACCTTTGTCTGCCGTCCATGGTCCCGTTATGTCGCGAAACTGCAGTTCTGTGGCCAAGAACAGCCATCCGGATGGCCTTGAAGAATCTCGCATGTCTTCATGCGACATCCCGTAAAGTGTGTCGCACTTGGGCCTGCACTTGTGCCGGATGGCTGTCCAAAGGCAACCTAACATCCCCGAGACCTGCCGTGCAAACAAGAGCAAGCGCAAGATGGAGGTGAGTGTGCAGCGCAGAAGGTAAGTCTGTTTCGGTTGGAAAGGAAGATAATTGTATTAAGGCTCTCAGACACGCAAGACATGCAAGTGAATACATCCATGGATGCTCAAAGCGGAGGTGCGAGGTGGGGCGAGATCACATGGAAAGCCTGAGGCCACACGGAAGCACGAGCCGACAGTCTTTCCCTTCCGTTGGACTGACCAAGAACCTACTAGTAACTTGAACACTCCCACCTCCATCACACATCACACATCCTTTCCAGCTCCACTCCGCCGACACAGACCCCAGCGACCACATCAGTGGATACATACCGCAACATTCTAACGCCATCTGGTCAACACCACTAGACTTGCCTCGAACCCACGCCCATCACCTGCTCGCGACAAGCCGATCGAACACCATGGCGCGTTTGCGCTACACAGTCACATTGGTGACACCGGAGACATCAGGACAGGGTCCGCCTAAGCTAGCGGTGCCGTTTGAGCCTTCCGTAAGTAGTAAGAGCCGACATTATCGACACATGCAGCTGACCCCTCTCCAGGCTCTCGTGTCTGCCTTCGTCGAGGAGATCTTCCGCCGCGTTCAGAAGCAAGGCATCGAGCTACAGCCGAACACGCACATTGCCACCCTGCATCTCGACAGCGAGACGGGTGCGATTCTCGACACCGAGGACCTCCTCTCCGATGTTGTGACGGACCCCCACACCGAGACACTGTTCGCCGTATTCCGGCCAAAGGGCTCTACACCTAGTAGTCATGAAGCCCCTCCTGGCGTACCTCAGCAGGTATGGGGTTTCCGCAGATCAGGTGAATGGGCAAGCGCTAACTGTGAATCAGAACAACAGTCTGCCCGTCCGTGACGACGGAGCCGGGCCACAATCTGAACATCCTCATCTGTCCATTCGCATCATCACGCCCGATCTGGCCAAACAGGACAAGAGGACCATATCTCCGATCAAGATCCCAACGACTGCCACCGTAAAGCAGCTGCACCAGGCCATCGCCGACCACCTTCATCTGCCTTATGCATTCGACAACGCCGGACTCGACAGCGAATGCAACTGTAATCTTGCCAGAGAGCTGGCTACTGGCGCCCGCTCTCCCAAGCAGCTGATGGTCGTACACGGCAAGTCGATTGTCCAGCATTTGGAGGTGCCCGAAAACCCCCCCGAGGTTGCCATATCCTCAGTCCTGAATAACTTCTTCGACAAATGCGGTGATACAAAGAAGGTCACGTACCACGGAGAGGAGTATTACGCAGCAGGTCAGACGCATCGTACTTTCAAGAGGATACCAGTTGTTGCGTTGTGCTCTAAGAAGCGTCACATTCCGGCTCACGCCGCAAGTGACTACGGCAGTGTTCACGCGCACCAGAGCCGCCTTCTTGATATTCACACGTCAGAAATGCCGATCAGCTCAGCTTGTATGGACGTCAAGCTGACTGATCTGGGCTTGGATACGTTAGCAGACGATGGTGCAGTGGACATATTCGCAGTAAATCGGAGTACCACTGCTTTTGGCGCAATCACAGGGCATGGAAAGGCTGCCATCTTCCGATATCAAGCTCATTGGGAGCCAGTTGTGAAGCAGTCGGATCGCGGCATGGCTACGCTGCTGTCGTCGCTGAGGGTCTTCGCATCGATTGTGCAGGACATGTCTGGGGATGAGCGGCATCATCAGGACGCCATTTATCACGTCTTGAGTCTCCTGACCAGCTTCCCGCCAGCTCTCAGAGCCATGCACATACTGGTACAAGGCAAAACTCCCAACGCAGTGGAATGTGCTGCCTTGAGTCACGCAATGTTCGAGGTCCTCAGTGGCTTCATGCCGAGCGAGATCATCGGCACCGATGGATCCCGTGTCTTCGAGGGCTCCCGCCTTCTATTTGGCTTCATTCTTGAAAAGGTGCGTAGCATCAAGCTAAGCGAAGATCTTGCCCTGGAGTCTCTCCCATATCTGGATTCCTTCGATTCACACAACATTCGAGACTTCAAGACCGGCGAGCCCATCATGCATCTCGTGTCGACCTCCCAAGGAATGATTGAGAAAGCCCTTTTCCATGCCCTCCAAGAACATGGTGCTCTTCGAGATTCCCATCTTCAATCCTACTTGATCCAGATCGACCAGGAAGAGCACGATTCAATCCTCCCTAGAGCGGCATTGCTGTCTGGCGGCATGGCTGGTGAGGTGACTGGATGGTCTGCGAAGCGACTGGCGTCTAGCTACCACCATTACGCACGTGCGGGCGCTACCAGCAACGTGTTCGATTTGACTGAGCTGAGCGAGCTGCATCACCTCGCAGAGCTGTGTGGGCGACACAAGCTCGCGGTTCATAATCCCAGTCAATCGGTATCGGCAGCGTCCCCGTGCTTGACCTTTGACCGTAATGGGCATGTGGCTGTCTACACCGGCCAAACGCCATGCTCCGATCCCGGAAAGTCCTCCCAGATCTTTCGACCGAAGCATGGTGAGGAGACGATCGACGTAGCTGTTGTCGAGCAGTTGCTGGCTCCGATAATCCAAACCTATGAGTCTGATGGAACCACCGTCTTCACTGCTGGTGGGGCGGCCGTTCGTCGACAACAGGCACCAGATGAGATTGTGATGTTTGCTGTCGACTGCAGCTCATCCATGCGAGTGCCGACAGACTTTGCTGATGTCAACGATGAAGATCCTCCAGGCCATGGACCCGACGTACATTCACTCATCGAAGGCTACCATTACACACGCCTGAACTTCGATAATATGAAGGTAAGTCCTCAGAACACATTGCGGTGCTATCTCAGGAGCGTGCTCAGGCTCCTCTGATGCTGTTCGACTCGCTGCTGCCTCGGACTTCATCGAAATACTCGAGATTAAACATGCTGCTTGGCTGGCTCAGAACTACAGACGCTAATTTGGCTATACAGGAGCGGATCTCAGCGGAAGAGTCGTTCGAGGACATGATCGCAATCATTGCAGAGGCCAACAGCTCTCGGCGCCGATTTGTTGCCTCTGAAGTCGTCGAGCTTCTTCGCATTACACTTGGCGCCCAGATCACCAAAATTCACGGGGAACTTGCGCGTCGTAACGGCATGTACCAAGGATACCCTCTTTCGGCGCAAGAGTCATCGCTCGACAAGCTCAAGACGTTTTGGGCAGGTCTTCGAACGCATGAGACTGCGCTTTGCGACTTCCTCATGTTCCGTGCAACTACGTCGCCTGATGTGAATCGCAAGTGGATGTGGTCGCTAGGTGATGGAATACCCGAAGGATCTGAATCTCGCCAGTTGCCGTCTTTGCCAGACCAGCTGACTGAGATACCGAATCACTTGGTTTGCCCGATCTCGCATGCTTTGATGGAAGATGCCGTTCGTGCTGCTGACGGCTTTTCCTATTCACGTCAGGCTATATCGCAATGGTTCGCGATTAGGGCTGCTTCGCCAACGTCCCCAATGACCGGCTTGGAGCTGAACACCACGAGTGTTGAGATGAACGGAGAGATCTCCAACCTGGTGGCCAGTTGGATTGGCGGTCGAGATCTCTTGGCTCGACAGCCTTCAAGTTCTGTCCTTCCCAATCCCACGATCAAGCTCAACTTCAGCAGCAGGATGGGCTATTTTGAGCGGAAGGTTCTTACGCAGACAAACGTCAATGATTTATATCGACTGGTGTTCCGCGGTTTGAAGGCACGCTACGCCATCTTCCAGCTGGCTAAGGGCGAAAGGACAATATACCCGTCTACATCGACTCTACATTCCGAAGGTTTCTGCCATGGCGATACCATTACGATTCGCCTTGCGGACGATGCAGATATGGTCACAGCTGGCCCCACAACCTCGACAGTATCCGGTGAGATGTGTTTGATCAAGGTATATCGAGACATCAGTGGCCCCGCTTGTTCCTACTGGGTCCGGCGCGATACCACTCTGTCACTTCGCTCTATCCTGTGGAAGTACTGGAGATCTACCTTTGCGAATGACGGAATGCCCGTGATTGAAGAGCACGCGGTCTGGACGCACATGGAAAACAACGGCGACGGTCTTCTCAGCGGCTGGTCGAACTCTTGCACCGACGGACTGTCTCAGTTCCTCAATCGCACAGCTTGTTTTGGAAAGCTGTCACCAGAACCAGCATACAAAGAGGAACAGAATGATTTCTCCGCCCTGGCTGAAGCTACCCAGCCGCTCGTCCTCAAGGTGTACATTCATCCACCAATCGAGTCGATCGAGAGAAGGGACAAGATGAAGTTCAGCCGACTTGATGTTCTCAAGCAAATGTTCGAGGCGCTGATCAACCGACTACTTGCGTATGGCTTCAAGAGCCATGTGGGCTTGATAACATTCGACACCAAGGCTCGTGTGGCCATGAGCATAACCCACGTCCTTGAGAATTTGCGCCGTGCAACAGTCGACATGCAGGCTGACGGGGACACTGCGCTCTGGGATGCTCTCGCACTGTGCCAGGACCAGCTCAAGGAGTATGGCTTGAAGTATCCCAACGCAAAGCGGAGGATGATTGTCATTAGTGATGGCGACGACACCAAGTCTACGAGCAATACAGCTCACGGCATCGCATGGAAACTGAAGCAAGATGGTATCGCGGTCGACAGCGTTCTCCTCGGTGATGATGGAAACGAAGAGCTCATGGCTCTCTCCCATTTGCTTGGCTGCTACAAGTTCCAGCCAACTTCGCTCCCAAACGCTCTCGCAATCTGCGAGTTGGAGCCCTTCCTCTCTGTAACGGAGCGTCCGACCATTCGATCGCTGCGAAACGTACCATCCGATCATATCTCGTTCAGGTGCAGCTTCAAGCGGGCAACAGTCACAGCAGACGAGACCATCGTCACTGCCGATAACTTCCCTGCGCGCAAGCAGCATCCCAACATGCACGACGATATGGTGCAGCTGTCAGCTTTCGCAATGCGAACGGGTCGTCCATCGGCTGCTGGGAGCAGCCGCTCCAACATCCGAACCTTGCGACTGATGAACGAAATGAAGACCATCGTCACCTCTGGTGGGCACTCGAGCGTCGACATCTACATCAGCGAGAGCGACATGAGCTTCTGGAAGATTGTCATGTCAGGACCTGAGGACTCTCCGTACTCTGAGGGTACATTCTTGCTCTACCTGCACATGGATGAGGACTACCCGACCTTCGCTCCTCAATGCCGTATGGTGACGAAGATCAAGCACCCAAACATCAACCCCCACGGACGTGTGTGCCACAGCCTCTTCGGTCGAGATTGGACCTCTGACACCAGCGTGCGCACTGTGATCGACACCATCTTTGGCCTCCTCCTTCAAGCCGAGGCGTCAGACCCCGTCAACACCGCCGCGGCTCTCGGATATCACCACGATCAGGTCGAGTACGCTGATGAGGTGCGCGAGTACGTGAAGAAGCATGCAGTCAAGAGTCGACAAGAGTGGAACGATGAATTGTTGGGGCTACGGGAGCCCCGCCACGGCGACCAGGAGATCGGCGATGGCGAGGATCAGGAAGAGGACGAGGAGAATTGTGATGATGATATGGACCTTTACGCATACTCAGGCGAGGAAGACGAAGCCGAGGACGAGGAGGAATTTGAAGGCCTGGAATATGACGCATACTCAAACGAGGAAGACGAAGCCGAGGACGAGGAGGAAGTCGAGGACGATGATGATATGACTGACTAGAATGGTGCTGACCGAAGGACGATAAACCATCGCTCAGATCGTGCGTTTTCCCGGCCGTAGAACCAGAGAATGGAGGTGACACACAGCGTTTAGATCAGCGCAATGACTGCTTTGGTACTGAACACTTCCGCTCTGACGTCTCACATCACAGTCTGAACTCAGAAAGCACTACAATCCTACCTCCCCATGACAGTCCCCTTGCCCGAAATCTCCGTCCCGCCTACATTCATCACGAGGGCCGGGGTTGTTGGACTTCAAAAGATATCTTTGCCTCCTGCTGTCTCCTGTCTCGTGGCTGGATCGAAAGCTGTAGTTTGCAAAGGGCTGATTGAGTAGGGGAGAAGGAATGTACGTACAAGTGGGTTGTTGCCATTGCTATGATATGATGGAATGAGTGTGAGAGGAAGGGAGGATGACGTTTTACCTTTTTGCGGTGGTTGCATGAGACGCGCCGTCGGTCGATCAGCGCAAAGCAGCTTCTTTTCTGATATCACATGTAAATCAATGTCGAAGCTTGGGACGCCCACCACCGCCACGACAGAAGAAGAAGAAGAAGAAGAAGAAGAGATAGAGGATGCATACAATTCAATTCATCTAGTATCGACAATCCTAAAAACGGCCGGCGATGATAGATAAATTGTAGTTGTAGTTCCTCCTCGTCGCGCGCGCGCACAGAGCGTGAGCGAGCGACCGTAATTCGAGAGATTCTGAATTCTTTTTCTTTCTTTGCCAGGTGCGTGCCTCTTCTCCACCATCGTCAGTGCATCAAACATCAGCGCTCAAGCAACATCATGCATGCCCGCCTCCCCCGCGACGACAACAGCCAGAATTTCCGCGCCAAGACACCACCAACACCCTGCCGGCGTGGAGCAATGAGGTAAGGTGAGAGGCCAGACAAACAACTTAAGCATTCCAGTCAAGCCGAGTAGCATCGGGAAAGAATTGCGTCGCGTTGACGTGCTCGTGGGAAAGACAAACCACTCTCGAGCCCGGAGCCGGGAGTTGGACCTGCAGCTACAGGCACTCTCCTCAGGACCCTCGTGAAGTCTGCTAGGAAAAGCGTGGCAAGGGCTCCCGCAGTGTCTTCCAGGGTAGCACCAACACCACCAACTCCCAACGCCCAGCTCCTCCGGCGGCGGTCAGACCAGCACCACCGCCAAATTCGAAAGCTGTGCGATATGGAAAATAGTCGAAGATTCTTCTGCGGCTCCAAGTGGAAGGAATGAAGAAGCTCATGATACTATCGCCTACGAGATGGCTGTGCAAAATGCACCACGCGCCTCCAGTGTCTATTCCCGCGCCACAACCGGGCAGCAAAACTTTCCAGCCCCTGAACGAGATGGCGATGATGCGAGTCTTAATGAACATCGGATGGACTGGCCAGACGGTGTTCCCGGAGCGTATGGGTATCTGGAACAAGGTGAGAAAGACGACGAAGGCACCACTGCGGTAGGGTCAGTGTCCATCTCGCCCACTTTCACCAGCCATGAGGTCGGTGCCGTCGAGGATGCCGAAGATGTACATGATGCGGCCTCTACATCAAGTCAGGAGACAACGATTCGGCCTTTACAGCCTGTGAATGCCTATATGAGGATCTGCTCTCTGAGCCAATTAGTCAGCTTCTTCAAAGCAAGAGGCAGAGATGGTGCCAGAAACCAGCGGAAAGATAGAGATGCCGCTCCACAGCCTGCCAGCGCAGGCAGGAAACGAGCTTACACGTTACTGCCGCCAGTTCGATCACGACACAACAGCGTGACACCGCGAAAGGCGGAGAATGACGATGCACATCAGAATCCTCAAGAAGAAGCCAAGTCGAGGCTTCGGAGACGTGCCATATCCAGCATCTCAAACGTTTTCCGCCGACGGAATTCCACAAGTGAGCCTCCGTGGTTTCCAGGAGCTCCATGGGCGCCGGAACTTCCAGTCTCGGATGAAGGCGAGTTTATGAGAGAAGCTTTCCAACTCGTCTCGCATCACTATGCGCATCTAGCGGCCAAACAAGGCGATCTCTCGGAGCGGGGAGTGGAGGTGGGCATGTTTCGGGCGTTCCACAGGGCGTCGAGAGAAGTGCCGGATAGTTGGCTCGCGCCTGAGATACCCGAACGGCGGGCTGGATCAGGACGTGCGGTTGCTTTGGAGCTGGACGATGGGAGGGTGATAGGTCTGAATTATCAGTGGAATCCGAGAAGTATGGACACTATGCCCCTTTCGTGTGGCAGTGACAGGCAGGCCGGGTGGGATTCTAAGTCGAGGGCCATGGCAGACGCGGAGAAAGAGTGATTGGGATCTGGAGTGTTGATAGCGTTTCAGCGAAGGCGTCAATTGCGTTCGGGAGAGATCTCATCGGAGCAGTTAATGATTTGCAAAGATGTATGTAGGTTGGAATCGTTGGTCTCGACTCTCTGCACATCATTCTGGAAGTCTACACGTCTGTGATACACGTAGAATGTCGACAAGTCATAACAATAACCTCAGCTCACTACTTACCTTGAACGTAAGCAAACCAAGCAAGGCCTGCAATTCCTTCACTCTCTCTGCAGATATGGCCTCAGCGGCGCTCAAAAGTCCCGGCTTCTTGATGGGCCTCTTCAACCTGTCCGCAATCGGCGCCTCGACATTCTACCTCCGCAGCCACATTGTGTACAATCTCGAGGAACAAGAAGCACGTTTGGACGAGATTGAAGGGACTCTTCGCGGGCACATCGGGCTGATCGAAGAATCGCTGGATCGGCTGGAGGGCAAAGGAGGCGAGAGGGGGCAGAAGATGCAAGTTGAAGGGATGGAAGCGGTGGGTGTCGCGCACTTGAGCTGATGATTTTGTGTGGACAGGAAGGAACTCTACGAGGCGAGAGGGCGGGATGAGAAGAAGAAGAAGTAGCGATGTGGATGTTGTTGTTGTTGTGGTTGTTGTTGGACGGACGTTGTGTGTGAATGTGAATGTGAATGTGAATGTGAATGTGAATGGGGAAAGGTGGGATGGTGCAACCGGGGGCATAGAGCTACTACGTCCGCTAGCTCCCGTGTCGGTGGAGCCAATGAGATGGAGGACACAGGATGGACCCGGCATGTCTACGACGACATCTCTCCCTCATGTCTCTCTATCAGGAAAACAACCATCCATCAGATCATGCCATCGTCTTGTCAGAATAACGAACTGATCGGAAAACATGTCGTGCGCATGTCGGACCCTACGCTACCACCATCAAAAACCATATGTCTTCAAAGTCATTACCTTCTCCGTCACTGGCTTCGCTGTTTCCTGTGCTTCATGGAACGCCGCCGAATGAAGTCACAAGATTCTTGCACCACCCGAATGCACAATATGAAGCGGGTCAGTTCAATCGAGACGGAGGGCATCGTCGCGAAACGCAAAACGTGCATTAGCGACACTTCACGCCTAGGTTTTCTCGTTGCGATTGCCTCAAAATCGAAGTTCGACAGTCCACACATCGCAAGAAGATGATTGTTGAATCTGCGTCGACCACCAGACTAGACAGTCTACCAGCATGCGCACACTCGACCATTCTTGGTAAGGAATCGACAATTCGACTAGCTGACCGTCGTCCGCTCTGTCGGACCTTTCAAGCTCACATATGGAGCGAGTGTTTTGCTCTGTCCTCACTCCCAGGCAGGGACACTAAGGACACTGAGGACACTGAGGACACTGAGGACACTGAGGACACTGAGGACACTGAGGACACAATCATGGGATTTCATATAATGTGCGCCTTCGATCTATGCTCTGCCACCTCTCACTTCGTTACAGACCAAACTCTGCCTCGTATATTCCAAGCTATCCCGACAACTTCACCACCAGATACGCTGACATCCGCCCTCACACGAGCACTCCAACCAGTGACTACGTCAGTAGTATGCATTCAACTCATCCCACAACTCACGAGATGCAACCCATGGCGATGGAGACAGCCATTGCCAAAGCCCGTCAGCTTCGCGCGGAGATAGCCTGTCGTCACGCCGAAATAGAGTCTCTCCGCGCTTCTCAACAAAAGACGGAGCAATCCATCCAAGAAGCTGAGGCTGATGCTTCTCACCTGAACGATCAGCTTCTGGAGATCATCTGGAGAACCGAGGGTCTTCCCAACTACGGCGACGTAACTGTAGCTTCTGACCGAGCTTGGCATGGGGAGTTTACCGAGGAGCAGCTCGCTATGGGCGATGCTCACTCCAAGGCCGATTTCCAGGTAGAAGGCGAGAAGCACCGGGCCCATTACGACGAGTCTACCGACGAGACTACCGACGAGGATCTAGAAGTGCCTTCTTCCTCTGAGGATCCCGACACGGATCCGGGGTACGATGCCTCTGACGAGGAAAGCTTGTGCGATTTCTGTGCCCGAGGTGCTGAGAAGGAACCTGCCGTCGCTTCATCCGACAGCGATGATGACGAGCAAGCCTCAGACGACGCAGAGAGCGACGTGTCCAGCGAAGATGGCTGGGGTGCTTTCTACGCTCGCGGTCGCGAAGATGCCTCTTCCGCTTCAGAGCACGAAGCCTCCACCCTCTCCGACGAAGAAAGCGACCCTCCCACCCCAGCACCACATCTCCCATCGGGCTTCAACACCATACCCATCTACACCGACCCAGAAAACCCCTCCTACAACCCGGAAACCACCACAAACCGCGTCGACCGCTCCCAACTGCGTCGTCCGACACCCCACGACCTCACCCCAGCCCCGGCGGATCTCGATCCCATTGGCAATAGCGAGAATATCGCTCCGGGCCAATCCGTTGCGGACTTCCAACGCGGCGTCACCGAGCGCGTCTGGCGCCGTGCGTGGAGGGACTGGGGTCGTCGACAGATCCGCGGCGTCAATCGCATCGAAGGGGTGCAGTTGTTGCCGATTGTCAATGGGCAGAGACCGGGACGTAAGCCTCGTCCGGCGGCGCCACGGGAAGAAATACCGCGGGTTAGAATTCTCGAAGATTGGGAGGTCGAGGCGAGACAGGCGCGAGGCTGGGAGTCGGAGTGGGATGACGACTGAGACTGAGGGGAAGGGAGAGAAAGTGCTGAGATTGTGGGAGAGGAGGCACGGAGAAAGTTGCATCAAAGATTAATGCGTGTAATTTTGCTGGTCGTAGCATGATCTGAAAGTATTAGGAGTAACGAGAGTCGTGCCAATCCTTCCCTCACTGCTCTCGCTCCGTGATAGTGTTCATTCTGGGGTATTCCGTTCGTCATGATGCCTTATTCCTACAACGCGAACAATGTGAGGCTCTCCTGAACGCCTGATACTCCAACCGTGTCACCTCAAAGCTCCTCAACAGGGTCCAGTTGGAAGACTTCTGGCTCCTCTTCATCATCGACAAGTCCTCCTAGGTCTCCATCGGAAGTGCTGAAGCCGAGATCTCCATTGTCGCCTGAGACGTCCATGGTGCCGATGCGGAGGAGATCGTCCAGCGTGTTCCTCTCCCTGGGTGTTTCGGCAGGCGCGTTGTCTTGTTGCTTCGAATGGATTTCGTTCAAAGGCCGACGGTTTGCAGAGACTACCCTGCCCTTGGAATATCCGATCGTGCTGTTCGAAGCGGCCTTTGCAGCGGTAAAGCGAGGATTGGCACGCTCGAACATGGGCTGCTTCTTCGTCGCGTGACTAGAAGCGGGGACTTTGGCTTTTGCAGCGGCAGCGGTAGTCGTGAGTCTTGAAGCGCCGGGCTTGGTGGCGGGCTTACTCGCCAACGCCGATGCAGCATTCTGCGCCTTCAGAGTCGTTGGCTTCGCTCTCAGAGCCTGCGATGTTGTGCTCTTGGTCCCCATCGGGATCGCTTTCGCCTTCTGCTGTTCTTTCTTCTCCCGCTCCTCGCACTTCCTCAGTTGTTCCTCGTAATCGCTCAGATCAGGCTCCTCCGGATCCCTCTGGGGCGCGAACGCGCTGTACCAGCCTCTGGTCAAGTTCTTGCCTTCAAACTGAGTATACGTGCGATCATGTGGGACTATGTCATCTGGGTAGTCGGGTAATGGTACCTCGCGAGGCGGCATGTATTCGATTTCGCGCTCTTCGGGATCCCGGGACAGAATGTCATTCTGGACGGAGGTGGATTCGTGGACTTTGATCTTGGAGCGGCGCAGACGAGGGCTGGTCGGCCTTGCGGATGAAGGTTTATCACTGTCTTTCGGCTTCTCCTGTGCAAGGAACGGAGTCTGGTGGGCTTTGGCGTTGGTTGTCTTTGCGCCCAAGGGTGCTCGTGTGCGAGGATCTTTGACTATGAGTTAGCGGGACCCACTGTGAAAGCACTCAGATACATACTGGCTGGCGTGATGAAGGCGTTCCTATCCGCCTTGCCATCTTTCGCACCGCCCTTTCCAAATGTCAAGTTGGCATTCTCATCGTTTCTCGTCTTGCCGAAGGGCGTCTTCGGCGGCTTGTTTGCTGGCGTTTTCGGGGCAAGCCCTCTGACGCTCTGGTTCAGCGGCTTGGCGGCGGCAGCTTGTTGCTGCTCGTAGATGGCATTCTCCTGATTGTGTCTCGCCAACATGGTGTCGTTGGCGAATTGTCGTTGTCTGAGGTATGGACATGTCGTCGTCGGCGGCAGATGAGGAGGGTGAGGTTGTGGAAAGGAGCGTCTCCAGGGCAACCGCACCGGACCGCGGGTTAAGCTTCTTTAGACCCTGAACTTTGGTGGGTAGTCGCGACCGTGCGCTGGGCCGCCGCTCGTGACAGTGCGAACAAGGATCTCAACTTCTTTGCCTGCCTGTTGCTGCTGCCGCAACCTCAAAGCCACTTCCGCAACACCAACCAAACATCCTCCCCCGACGCGTACACAGCTCTTGGATTTGGCTCCTTGTTCCCTCAGATCACCAACCTTGCAATTAAGTCGATCGTTCCGCACACTCCGCAACCATGGATCAGATCAAGAAGGTAGACCGCTTCCTCGCCCTGCCCCTCTATCGCTATTGAAACATCACAACCACTCAAAGCCCAATTTCATCCGACTGCTTGCCCTATAACACTACAATGGCCCTCAACTACGAAATACATGCAGTCGGATCTTTACTGACAACACCTCTCTTTCCAGCGCATGAATGCCCTCCGCATCGAAGCCGATGAGTCTGCTGGCAAGGTCGAGGAACTGTCGGCCAAGGTGAAATCGCTCGAGCAAGAGAACCTGCAGAAGGAGCAAGAGATCACATCGCTCCAACACAAGAACAGCGTGCTCGAGCAAGAAGTTGAGAAGCTGGAGAAATTGCACGGCGACGCCAAGGCAGCGGCCGATGAGAGCGCACAGCACGGCACTCAGAACGATGCGCTCCAGAGAAAGCTCCAACTGCTCGAGGAGGAGGCCGAGGAGAACGACAAGAACTTGAGGGAGACAAACGAGAAGTGAGTTGACTGGACACCTACATTACCCCTGAATGGACCCATCGGTGAGATTTGGAGAGACAGAGAGCTGACGTGTCCCCTTCCTACCTAGGCTCCGTCAAACCGATGTCAAGGCCGGTCACTACGAGCGCAAAGTGCAGGCTCTCGAGGCCACGCGCGACCAGTGGGAGACCAAATACGAAGAGATGGCCAAGAAATACGCCGACACCAAGAAGGAGCTGGACGACTTTGTCGCCGAGATTGGTAACATCTAAAGCACACCATAACATCACCAAAGCATTGCACCCTCCATACCATACCAACCTTCAAAGCTCTGCATGTACTTCGTCGGTGTGGCTAATGTGGGCGTGCGCTGGACTCTAAAGGATCGCATGCGGTCGCTCTCTCTACCGGACCAGCACCTCCCTGCGTCAACTACTCGCGGCCCCTGAAGATGCACACAGCGATAGCGGAGGAAACCCGAAGAAGATGAGAAGATTTTAACATGCATGGATCCGGCTGCGGGAGGGAGTACGGTCTTGCCTTCTCTCTTTCTCTTTATGCTCGCTCGGTGCGCTGGTCTATTGGGAGAGGGCGGGCGTTGCTTTGATTCCCCTCTAACCTCGCAAAGCTAGTCAGTCAGAATATGCACAAAATACCCTTTTTCCTCAAATTCACACCGTACCTTATAAATCTTTTTCGAGTGTTTTCCGTGGTCTTATTGCCTATTGCCTATAACTGATGAGCGGGGCTCGGGTACTTATCGCGCACATTGCTGGAGAGTTTGCTAGGTTGCTGCTTGGCGTGGATGTCAAGCGCCGGGCGTGTTCGTCGGCTCATCCCGGGGATGCAGGTCGAGAGTCGTGTGCCGCTGAAGCCTGAAGGACGCTCCGGCAAGAGGGGAATTGAGCCAAGCTAGATGGCAGAACAAAAAGAAAGGCTCAAAATCGAGACATTGACAGATGAGCCCTTAGTACCAGGATCAATAGCACACTTCCCGTGTAGAAATCGTTTGTTACATCACAAGCCACGCGGAGAGACTCGGCAACGTTATTTGCCCGCATCCGAAAGGCGTAAGATGCACATTTTTTGATGCTGTATGGTCTAATGACTGGACCGGCTAGATGGCCGTTTCTTTCATGTACATGCTGGCCAAGCCCGCCTCCCAAACTCCGCCCAGCGCCTTCGCCAAAAAAAGAGATATGCACACGAGAACATGAGAAACAAGTGGATGGCGATGGGGGTAAGGATGGGTATCGTCATGAGCAAGCGAGCGTCCTGGTCATCCCAAAATGCGGTGAGATATGGTGCCGTCGAGCCGCCTCCGGGCGGAGAGCAGCAGGCAAACAAGTCGGACTGCAGACGGTCAGCAACTTTCTTCCAATTGAGAAGTAGCGGGCATACCTCGTGGTCTCCCTCTCTATCCAATCGACTTGGAACTTCCATCGGCAACATAGTAGGTGCCCTTCACAGCCACACTGATGCCCACACCCAAGGCAACGGCAACGCCGATCAGAAAGGCCGCGATCCCAATCTTCACGCCCAGTCTCTGCTTTCGACTCATCTCACTCCAATGATTCCTCAACGGCGCGCAGCCCGTACATCCCTTCCGATCTCTCCTCAGCTGCCTCTCCTCTTTCCGCTTCTGCTTCAGGGTCTGCTTGGAAGGCCACATGGTGTCTTCCTTGTTGGATTCGACATTGATGGGGCGGGAGAAGGGGTCCTCTTCGTCGGCCGGGGTGAGGGGAGTGGCATTACCGCTTTCCACGTCCTTCTCGAAGACGGCGAGGGTGTCCTTGATCGAGGTACTGGTGGATTTGGTGTGTTGTGGTACGACCTCGTTGGAGGCGGGTGGATGTGTGTAGAAGGGCGATTGGATCGAAGGGGGCTGTGCGGAGTATGGGTCGGACTGGGAGCCATCGCGGGATGCAACGGGCGTGAGAGCGGGCGAGTCGAGGTGAAGAAGTGTGTCGGAGCGGGTTGGTGTGGGCACGATGGTCGCGCCGAAGGTTGTTGTGTTGGTAGCCATGACGACTCGCGTTTGGGGGGTTTGAAGAGTTGTGGATGGAGGGAGGGAGGCCTGTATGGCAGGCAAAGGTTGATTTATCGGTTGGCGATCAAGTATGAGCGCGTTCCAGAGCGTGTTCTGAGAATGTGAGATGGCGTTCGAAGGGGAGGTACAGTCGGGTGGTTGCAGCAGAGGCGAGTGCGGTGTCTCCCGTGAAGCGAGCGAGCGAGCGAGCGAGCGAGTGATGGGTGTCCAGGGAGTGTCGTCGACGGGGAAGGAGCGAGCGCAGCGTGTGGTCGCGAAGGGCGGTGGATGTGGATGTGAATATGGGTAAAGGACGGAAAGAGCGATTGGGGTATATCAATGAACCTTCCGAGTCCGTTTCAGCGCATGACCTGCAGCGGCGTGATGGGCAGGGCAGGGCAGGGCAGGGCAGGGCAGGGACAGAAGATAGGTACAGTACCTTACAGGTACAGGCAGCGGCGACAGACACAGGCCACGGGTACAAGCACAGGCACAGGCAGGCTGTGGGCGGGCAGCGTGGTGTGTTGCGTGTGCGTGTGCAGGTCCCGTCCCAGGTGGTGCAGGCACAGCCGGTGCAATACTGTACTGTACCTTCTACCTTAGTTCTGCGGCTTCCCTTCCTCACTCGACCCATGGATTCCAGTCGCGCACACCCGCGTCCCCATCGCCTGCTCTCCGGTGCTCTCGTCACTGCCCCGAATCGTCGACGGTGCTTGCTCCGGAGGCGTCTGGGCGTCTTGTCGCCATCCACTGGTGTTGTCCTCTGGCCCGCTGATCCCTGTCCGCGCACCGCCCACCATCACGCTACTCGGAGACGAGCACAGGGGTAGCAATCAAGCTCCAGTCTGCATCAAATCATGTCCACGGCGCCGTCCAGAGCCTAACTTTAGCCACGGTACCTATCCTATCGGTGCTGCCGCCCTGTGACTTCTCAATCCAGATCCTCTCTGGCTTATTGCTACGACCAAACATCTCACAAACATGCTTTTGAATTCGCCGCCATGCTCATCCCCGCTCGGCATCCCGTGTCGACCGAACTTCGCGGGCATGCCCGTTGACGACCCTCAAAAGACGGGGGAAATGGCCTGGAACCCTGTCTGTGCCAATGCTCAAAGCTTGGGAGACGGTCAGAAGCGCCAATATCTCGGCAGTCTGCCCGAAATTCATCGGACAAGGATCCACGACACTACCACCCTTGTCACGGAATTCCATCAACAACCATCACAAACTTTGGAAACATAATCCTCCGTCTGCCGCTCCTTTCTTCGGCGCTTCACAGCTGCCAGAGGGGTACAATTCGGAGGTCAATCGAGATGCACCGGACCGCCCGAGGCTCCTTTCTCTCGGACTTCCTAGCCAAAGGAATGCGCTCGTCTTTTCTTGGCTTCAATTGGCATGCGCTGCATGTCTTTGGGCGAAACCGAGCCGCTGTGCTGTCCGGCAGACCTTGTTTGGAGCTCTGGAGCTCGTGTGGTGGCGACCTAGGCCGAAGAAGATCGCCAGGCACATTTCTTCGGACCGCCAGCCGAAGCCTATTCGGACTAGGCCAGACTTTCACGCAGCCTCCCACGTGGATGACACATCGTGACGCATACAGGCTACTGTCATATGAACCGCCACGCCGTACTTTCAGCCACAGATCTGCTCCTTCAACGGCTGCTCAATCAAATTTCCGCTCCTGGGCTAAAGAAGCACGCACATCATCACCTTGTTATCTACGCAATCTTGTGCACCTCGGACAAGCTCCAGATCTACAATATATCGTGAAGGACTTGCCTCCTCGTGGCTTTCTCTACCACGTTGCAGAGCTTGTCGTTGTCGAATCTTCTTCGAACAAGGCAGCAGTGATGCTACCCGAGATTCCAAATGGTCAGTCACTCAGCTAACTCTACCGGTTTATATTAGTGTACCCATCGACTTTTCAACGCTTAGAATCGCTTTCCCGCCGTCGCCAGACTATCCGTCGATCAGAAGCCGTCTGTTATTAGGGGCCTGACAGTAGGCCGCGCATTCAATAATGCCGTCATGCGAAACCTCATACCGGCCACGAATCGTGATAGTGTCCTTACCCATGTGGACATGCTAGATGTTGTCTTTTCAATGTCCCCCCCTCTCTTCATTACGTCTGCATGCTCCAGTACTGGCGTGTACGGCATAACATTCTAGAATCATCTACAGGGCTATTCGACAACACTGCTTGTGTTATTATCTTTGCTTGATGCGCTCTCGGCATTTGGAGGCTGGCTGGCCTCGTGTCGACTTGGACTTATGGTAGCCTCCGCACGATACTCCTCTATACTTGCAGAAGCTGGACTTCCGGGTCTTGATTCTCGCGATGGAGTCTGATCGCGGTTCCGCAGAGGCCGTCCACGACGAACATGATCTCGTTGTCGTGCCCCATCAACAGGAGCCGCAGCAGAGAGCAGACGTAATGGCTCTATGCCTCGGAACTGGAGCAGAGGCTTTCCGTCTTGTTCGACAAATGACCTTGGCTTGGCTGGATTCGCACTGGCCGATCTGACACAAGGGAAAAAGTCCTACAGCCTTCTTCCCTAGTTCAAGTTCCAGTCCTCTTTGGCCAGGCCTCGCTGACGTCCGTATCTTGGACAGCTGCATATGGGACGTGATCATCCACACCAAGGCTTGAGGGCATCAACTTCTTCTGCCTTGCCCACCCTTTCAGATGCAACGAAGTATTGACGAGGGGCTCGGTGGTCTCCAAGCCCCTCTACGAGTCGGTCATGACAGCGAACCCACTGCGATGTAGGTCCGAATTCGCCCGATCAAACAAACCGAATATGTACGAACGATAGCCAGGATTGGCACCACGGTGGCCAGGGACGGTACTAGTGGAGTGCCAATCCAGAACACAGTGATGACGGGCAGCGCCGGAGCGAAACGTAACTACGGCTTGATTCGAGACTTCTCTCGCCGTCTCTTGACGCAGAAAGCCGTCAGTGAAGTAGAGCTTTGCTGGGTGGTTAGTACTATTTTCAGCAGATCGATTGGTGTCGACCGGAGTCTCACTGCTTCCAGTCCCGCGAAGCGATGAACACCAGTCCGGGTCGTTTGGTGTCCTGTCAGGCGTGATTCGGCGTGACTGTGTTCGTCTGGAGCCAAGTCGCCATAGAACGATCTTGCAATGCCCGAAGGAAGACATGAAAAGCACTTGCATAAGCTCAGAAAACAGCTTGTGGCAGAAACGGTCCATGGCAAGCTGAAGTCAGGCAAAAGCGCCTGTTCATCGTCAGTAAAGTTATCCTGGAATGCAGGCGTCGACGAATACAGAATACAGGGAGAAGAATATGAGGCAAGGGAGTGTAAAGGCATGATCCGAACACTGCGGGGCCCGGAGAAGATGCTATGGAAATTAATAGGCGAGATCAGTCTGGCTTGCGTGAAGACCGGACAATGTCTTGATGCGGGCGATTGGTGTCGACCACGGGTGAGCAGTGGACATACCTCGGCAAAACAAGACAGAAGCTGCGATCTAGGCAGTGACGCAAATCTCCTACGCGTGCTAGAATACTTTGCTCTGCTATGGGCAATTGCTCCCCATCGCTTGGATCGCCGGGAGTGCACGACTAGGCGAGACCAAAAGCGTGAGTAATGAGCATTCTTACAGTCACTAGGTCCAAAAAATAGGCTGTCCAGGACTCTAGAAATTCCTCAGGGAAGCCTTTGGCAATCAGGTCGATGATCTTGCTGGCGTAGGAGATGACATTTTTGGTCCAGAAGCCGAGCGATTCCCAAGGCAGTCATTGTTTTCGAGATGCTGCCATATTATCACAGTTTCTCGCAGTCTTCTTTCCCGTTGAGATTGACATGCGTTGTGGTTGGACCCTGCTCTAGGAGAGCCAGGGGTGCTGATGGAACTCCTTCATCTTGGGGTTTGCACGAGGAGAGGATTTCCCAATGCAGCTGTTGGAGAGCGTAGATAACGATCAGTGGATTGAGTGCGCCGTGTGCTCAACTGCGACAGCTCACTTCGTGAGAGTGAATCGGTATGCTTGTCCATCTTGACGCGGGACTGCGCCTCTCGTGCAACGGACGCTACATCGGAGGTTTTTCAGCTCCAAAGTATTGGTCTCATCTGAGCATATGATACAGCTATACAGCGAACGCTCTCTTAAGCCGACGGATCGAGACAGCCGTCTGCAATGGAAAATCGAAGTAGCAAGAGGAAAGATGCGAACAAGTGTTCGATGAGATGTCGTCTCCTCCCTTGGCGGCTTGGCCCGTATCCCCTTGCTCCCAACCAATCAAACTCCCCCCTCCCAGCGCCTCCTCAAACTTTCCTCCCACTCCAACGTCCATCCCATAACCTCCGTGATCAAGAGGCCCCGACATCCGTTAATAAACCAACCTCCATCTCATGGACGCCAGCCCGGCCGAGGGACCCGATCCCTTCAGCCGGGTGCTCCCCCTCCCCTTCCGCCTGGAACTCGAAATCGTCCTGGGATTCTGGCTCTGGGCTCTCAATCTGCATGGCTTCTACCTTCTCAACATCGACATCTTCACGCTGATCCGATATCCGACGAGGCCGGCGGAGGATGAGCCGCCGCTGCATGTTTCGACGTATAGATTGGCGGGGCTCTTGACGGGTCTCTGGATGGGCGCGATGGTTCTGTTCTGGCACTTCACGGGGGGACAAGCAGACCTGGTCATTGCATATGACTGGATTCCCAATCTGCTGTTTCTCGCTTTCTTGGCCATTTTCTTGGTGCCTCGATTTGGGTTTGCGAAGGCGATCTTTGGATCGACGAACGCTTCGGGCGTTACTCGCCTTTTTCACGGACTAAGACGCGTCGCGCTGGGAGGGATCGCGGGTCCCAGACCGGAGAAGTTTGGAGATGTCCTGCTTGCCGATGCCTTGACTTCGTATGCGAAGCCCATCTCCGAGGTCTTTGTGGCTTTCTGCATGTTCTTCAAGGGTGTGCATACGACGGATCGACCGGATCGGTTGTGTGGGCACGAGTTGATTGTGCCCCTGGCTCTTGCTTGGCCTTTTGTTATACGGCTCAGGCAATGTTTGAAGGAGGGGCAATGGGCCAACGCGGCGAAGTACGCGACGGCGTTTCCGGTGCTTGCACTGAGTTCGCTGGCAAGGACGAACGAGGGCCTACAGTTCTTTTGGTGAGGTACCTTGGTCGTCGAAGGAACAGAACATTTGCTGACGGTCATGCAGGCGTCTTGCGGCTATCACGAACTCGCTGTACAGCTTCTGGTGGGATGTCTCTATGGACTGGGATTTGACGTTGCTTTCGAAGCAAAGGCACATGCAACCGTTCGGCTTGCGACAGCAACGAGTGTTCAGGCTACCTATGGTCTACTACCTCGTGGTTGCATTTGATATCGTCTTACGATTCGCATGGTCGTTCAAGCTATCGCTACATTTGGTCTATCTGGATGGGATAGAAGGCGGCATCTTCCTATTGGAAATCATGGAGTTGCTGCGCAGATGGGTATGGGTGTACTTCCGAGTAGAGACGGAGTGGGTGCGCTCCACGCCAGCTGCGAGTGTGCCGCTGTAACACTCCGTCGTATTCAAAAGATCTCATTGCTCTGCAGGCATCTCCATTTCCTTGCCATTGCTTTCAGTCACGTCCAATGCGACCAAGAATCTGCTGACCATGTTGTATCCCGCCACAGTGATTGTCAGCTCCATCACTTCTTGGTCCGAGAACCTGCTCTTAATCCTATCAAACAGTGCGTCGTCCACTCTTACTTGGATGGTACTCTGCTCCGTGAATTCGAGCACATCTTTCTCCTCGGCGCTCCAACCTTCCCAGCTCGGTTTCCCGCCGTCAAGCAAGGCCCGTAGCTTATCCCTTTCCACGCCCGCTTTCAGCGCCAGCGGCGCATGTGCAGTCCACTCATATACCGCGCCATTCAATATGGCAATGTAACAGATGCTCAATTCGGCAAGCGCCTGCGAGAGAGACGATTTGGTCCGAATCGCACCCAGAAGGGCGTTGTAGCCATCCGCTATCGCCGGATTGTGGAGTAATGCGAGGTCGAGAGGGATCAGAGGACGAGGCTTCCGTCGTTCGGCGATGCGGTCGTAGATTGCTTGGTTCTGCGGCGTTGGGTCTGCTGGTTCTTTGGGAGCGTACGGGATGCGCATCTTGGCGAAGGCCGGCGTGTGGAAGGTTCGAAGAGGAGGGACACGCGGTGAGATGCGATGCAAGACGGTATACATGGCCTACCTGTACTCGTGCGGAGAGCTCAGGGAGAGCTCTCATCCCGCCGGCTCAGCATTCGGCATTGAGTGTCGTCCTATATCGGCGCATGTGATACAGGCCGCCTTTCTCGGGGAAGGGCATACAGCCCCGTTGTTCTTCCCCATTGCGAGCGTAGTTCATGAGCTCGTACGATTCGGTAGCGAGCAGGCGTGACAGGATGCTGTTATGGCTCATCGGCCGAGACATGAAACCATGTCGCCCGTGCACAGACCCCTGTATGACGCCACTTATGCGGTACCTGCATTATGCTGTGCACAAAGTCGAAAGATTTCCAGGGCCCTACGCCCATTCGACGTACGAGAAAGGGTAATGCGCAAAGTCATGTCTATGTTCTCCATCAACAGTCTCATCCGACAACTTTTGCGGAACGCAGCGTAGAGCTTCTCGCCGCCACGCTTCGCCAAAATGGGCCTCATCCAGGACGTCGCTGGCACATTGGATGCACATCTTGGCCATCTGCCCGCGTGGAAGCTGGCTGGACTGGCATTCGCAACCTTCATAGCCATTGCCATCCTGCTCAACGTCGCGAGCCAGATCTTGTTCAAGAATCCGAATGAACCGCCGCTCGTTTTCCACTGGGTACCCGTCATCGGCAGCACCATCAGCTATGGCATGGACCCGTACGCCTTCTTCTTTTCTTGCCGCGAAAAGTATGGTGACGTCTTCACGTTCATCCTGCTGGGCAAGAAGACGACTGTAGTGTTGGGAACCAAGGGCAACGACTTCATTTTGAATGGAAAGTTGAAGGACGTGAATGCGGAGGAGATATACAGTCCGCTCACCACGCCGGTCTTTGGCAAGGACGTGGTGTACGACTGTCCCAACTCGAAGCTCATGGAGCAGAAGAAGGTATGCGACAGGAAGTAGACTGGACTCGATTCAGAGCTAACAGGCTCGCCAGTTCGTCAAATATGGCCTCACGTCTTCTGCACTCACATCATACGTCACCCTGATTGCCCACGAGACGAAACAATTCTTCGCGAAAGACAACCCGCACAAGAAGTTTGCCTCAAACAGTGGCACGATCAATCTTCCACCTGCCATGGCTGAGCTCACGATTTATACCGCCAGCCGTTCGCTTCAAGGAAAGGAAGTACGCGAGCGATTCGATTCCTCCTTTGCCGATCTGTACCATGACCTCGACCAAGGGTTTACTCCTGTCAACTTCATGCTTCACTGGGCACCTCTACCCCAAAACCGCAAGCGCGACATCGCACAGAGAAAGATGGCGGAGACTTATATGGACATCATCAAAGAGAGAAGAGCAAAAGGAGACCTGAAGGCCGGTAACCACGAAGAGGACATGATTTGGAACCTCATGCAGTGCTCTTACAAGGACGGTACGCCTGTTCCAGACCGCGAGGTGGCACACATGATGATCGCATTGCTCATGGCCGGACAACACTCCTCTTCTGCAACTTCATGCTGGATCCTCCTGCGGTTGGCTTCGAGACCGGATATACAGGAGGAGCTGCTGCAAGAGCAGAAGAAAGTCTTGGGCGTAAACGCAGACGGCTCGATCAAGGAGCTGAACTACGAGGACCTGTCTCGTCTTCCACTGTTGAATCAGGTCGTCAAGGAGACGCTGCGAATCCATGCTCCGATCCACTCGATTCTTCGCAAGGTGAAGTCGCCGATGCCTCTCCCAAACACGCCATATGTCATCCCAACATCACACTCTCTCCTTGCCGCTCCTGGTGCGACCAGTCGCATGGATTCTCATTTCCCCGAGGCTCTGCTTTGGGAGCCGCACCGATGGGATGAGAACCCAAGTGAGAAATACGCTCACCTTGTGCCGGCCATGGTTACGGAAGGCGTCGCAGAGGAGAAAGAAGACTATGGCTACGGTCTTGTCAGCAAGGGTGCTGCATCGCCTTATCTTCCATTCGGTGCTGGACGACATCGATGCATCGGCGAGCAATTTGCGTATGTCCAGCTTCAGACCATCACGGCTGTCGTGTTGAGGGAGTATAAACTTCAAAATGTGGATGGAAGCGACAAGGTTGTTGGAACAGATTACAGCAGCTTGTTCAGCCGACCTCTAGCGCCTGCTGTTGTAAGGTGGGAGAGGAGAGAGAAGAAGTAACGTTGCAAGACGGAGCAAAGTGTGAATTTATAATAGTAAATGCAAAGCAGCGAGTCAACAGTTTTCTTGTAACAGTCAACCTGGGTCTCATGTCTTCTCATGCAAGCTTCTTGGGCTTCGGTATCGTTGCGAGGCGATGTCCCTGCCGCTGACTGTGAGACTGAGTCTGCATAGATGAAAGACATGGCGAGCATCACGCGCTGCGTCTACAGCGGATAGCTGATAGGAGCAGACTGAAGGGGAGCATCCAAATTAGCATGAGATAACACGAGCACCCCTTAGCGTGGTTTCTACCTCAAGGACCAGCCAATAAGAGGCAAGGATGTGCTTACATAACGTCGAGGCGGCAAGTGTTTGCGTCTCCACCGCCGTGGCGTTGATGATCACCTTGAAATTGTCTCTCCTCAAAGGACCACGTATACGCGACTGCCTCATCGAGCGGGCTGCGACTGCTTCAAATACCGCGAGTTGCGCTTGCTGGGACTGAGGTGCACTGTGGACTTCCTTCCGAGCTTGGACTTGGATGCTCGACTTCACTTCACCCTCCTAGCTCGATTGACAGCCATTTTGTTCCGGAAAGGCGGAAACCGAGTACTTCTGGACGATCACGCTCCAACAGAGAGGTGCTTCTTCGTTCGCGACTACGGAGCGAGACGTTGCATGACATCGAAGATGAGCGCACCGCCGGAATCGACAGAGCAGCGCGAGCTGTCTCTGGTTGGCAAAGTCGAAATGAAGTTTGCTTTCGCAGATACAGAAGCCAAGCTGGAGGGCCAATTGAAAACATATCTGACGCCTCTGTTGTTGAAGCTCGCTTCGGATCACCAGAGCGTGAGGCAGAAAGTCATCTCGATATGTCAGCACATCAACACACGAATACAGCCGCAGTCCATCCAGCTTCCGGTCAAGGCGCTGGTGGAACAGTTCAAGTCTCAGGACAGCTCGATGATCCGGCATTTTGACATGCTTTACATCCAGCAGGGCATCACGAGATTGAGAGAATCTGATAGAGCGGAACTCTTGCCAGTGGTCATCAGGGGCATTTCAAAGAATCCTAGTCACGGATCGCAGATCTTTTACTTGCTGCTCAGACTACTGGATTCATTCACACTTCCTCCGAGAGGCAGCAAAGACGACGTGGAACTGCGGACGAAATTGGACGTCTCGGATGACGATGTGAGATACCTTGCGCATTATCTCGGGAAGTTCTTTCTGTTCGTGCCACAGAAGGGACAGGCTCTGAACTCTCCTGGATTGTCCTCGGAGGAGTACACCTTTTTCAAGCAGCAAGGCAAGGACGGGGTGTGGGATCCCGCAGCAGGTGGCCTGAACCTCCAACGAAGTAAGACTCTAGCCGCGCGGCTGTTGGCAAGTGGTCTGTTCAATGACAAGGAGCGATTTCTGCCTGCATTATTCGCATCAGCGGACCCAGCACAGTCCATTAGCGATGTCGGTGATGACATGATGAAGCGCGCCCTTCCAGCGACAGATCTCGAGGATGAGTTTCTGGTGAAGGAGCTGTTTGACCTGTACTTCGGTACAGAAGCCACGCTGCGTGTGAGAGCACCACTGAGACTCAAAATCCTGAGCTTGCTTAACAAGTCTATCAGGAGCACTTCATTCTCCAACAACATCACTAAACTGGTGGATGATGGCGTAGCACCCCAGAGAGACGGAGAAGACATCATCATGTCCAATGGCCCTTTTCAGCAGTAAGTCTACGCATACTGCATCGATGCAAGGCTTTGCTGAGCATCTGTAGCTTCTCTCCGTACTTGAGGTGATGAGTGCTGACCTCTAAAGGAATGCATCAATCGGCAGGGAAGCTCTAAAGCTGAGAGCGGCAATCTTCACGTATATCAACTTTGTTGCTCGAAACGGCGACAAGCAATCACTTCACACAATCGCACAGCCCGTTATCAATCGATTACGGGACTTCGTCGAAAACCAAGGATGGCCGAAACCCGGGAATAATGAGGATTTAGTTTCTCGAGGATATACATACGAAGTCATTGGTCTTCTGGCCCAGGCTGGCCCGAGCACTTTGTTAGTAGAAGACGAGCACCCTACCATGGACCTTCTCAGATGGCTCTTCGATTCGCTTGGCAAGGATTCCTCCGGCAATGCTGTCACGCTGAGTATCGATGATTCGCTTTCCAGTGCCTTGACTGCGATGGCTCGCATAAATATCCACGGCACTGCTGCGCAAGATGTGCTCGAGGATCTCCTGATTGACCAAATGACCCAATCGGCTCATCTTGAGGGTGCTCGCATTCGAAGCACTCGATATGTCGCTGTTCGTTTCGCCAACCGCTGTCTACCCTACAGCTCCATCAAGGCCCGATGGGTGGATGTGCTAGCAGTAGGCGCGACTTCCGATAGAGCAGAGGTCCGTGAGGAAGGCGAGCGTGGTCTCAGCCCGTACTGGTACAGAATGTTGAACAGCGTCAGCGTTGACAAGAAGAGCCCGGATTTGGAACTGCCCACTTTCGAAGAAACGATGGATGAATTCTTCATCAAACAGACTCCAATCCCGAGCACTGAAGCCGCAGTTGTTGTTCAAAAAGCAAAAGATCTCCATTCATCCTCCTTTCCAATCATGACGGCTTTTGCAAGGCGGATGCTTGTCGCTGCCGTGGTCGAAGTCAATCTTGACAATGAGTGGGAAAGGCGGCTGGACGCTATGATCGAGTCAGATGTTTCTGCCAGAAATCATATGAAGGCCCACATCGCGGACACCATGACGGACACCCCGGAGCTATTAAATGTCCTCGTTCTGGCACTTTTCCAACGATTGGACTCACCAGCTGCGCCTGTCGATGACAAGCTGGTCGAATTTCTTGCCCTGAGCCCCGAACAATTGATACGTAATCATGTTGATCAGGCGCACGGTTTGATACCTCTCCTGAGGTCAAACAATCACTCGCGGAGATTGACAGTGGCGCATGTGTTTGGAATTCTTGCATCACATCCAGATTCGAGTACCCTTATTCAGCCGCTACTGGAGGCCACAGAATCATGGAGCACTGCGGTAGGTGCAGGACTCAATGTTGTGCACGGCGCAGTGGTTGCGTTAGGTCACTACTATAGCAGGTGTGCCGCGCGCGGAGGAAGTCGCACCGATATGCCTCATTACCAGACGTTCTTGAAGACTCTTACACAGATTCTTACAACTGCCAGGGATGACCTTCTGCGAGAAGCGAGTCACATTGCCATCGGGCAGATGTGCATGTTTGGGCCTTTGACCTCTGGCGACCTCGGGCTTTATACGTCTGTCACATTTATTACCGACAAGCTCTACGAGAAAGCCAAAGATGGCAACGAAATCGCCATTCTATGTCTCGGCCAGGTGTCGATGATCTTACCGGAAGACGACGAAGAGCTGCGGCATATCGAAGAGCAATTGCACAAATTACACGAGATTCGCCAGGCTGAGGCACACTTCACGGTTGGTGAAGCTTTGAGCTATCTCGCTGCTGGCTGGCAGTCGAGCGCGCTTGCTACAAAGCTCGATGTCGCTGTCGCGCCTGACCGAGACTTGGGACAAACTAGAACGAGCAGTCTCCAAAAGTTGGTGAACCGAGTACTCAAGGACTGCAGCAATACCAAGCCGTCTCTGAAAAAGGCTGCTGTTATGTGGCTGTTGTGCTTGGTACAGTTCTGCGGCGATCTGCTGCAGGACAGGCTATCCGAGTGCCAAGCTGCCTTCAGGCGCTGTCTCGCTGATCGCGACGAGCTAGTGCAGGAGACTGCTTCGAGAGGCCTCGGCCTGGTCTACGAGAAAGGAGACCGCAAGCTGAAGGATGATCTTGTACGTGAATTGGTCTCGTCGTTCTCATCCGACAAGCAGCAGTTGGCCGGGAATGTTTCCGAAGACACACAACTCTTTGAGCCAGGCGCGCTGCCCACTGGCGACGGTTCGGTGTCTACGTATAAGGACATCATGAGTCTTGCAGCTGAAGTGGGAGATTCCAGCTTGGTGTACAAGTTCATGTCGATGGCCTCGTCGAATGCCATCTGGTCCAGTCGAGCTGCGTTTGGCAGATTCGGGCTCAGCAAGGTATTGTCGGACTCCAGTGTCGACGGCTACCTTGCCAACAACCCGAAATTGTACCCCAAGCTGTTCCGGTACAGATTCGATCCCAATGGTGGCGTGCAGAAGTCAATGAAGGACATCTGGGAAGCGCTTGTTCCAGACTCGTCCGCTACGATTGACAAGTACTTCGACCCCATAATGGAAGATCTGCTGAGTAGCATTTTGGGCAAAGAGTGGCGAGTGCGGCAGGCGTGTTGTGGAGCGATTGCGGATCTCGTCCAAGGCAGGCCACTTGAGAAGTACGAAAAGTACCTGGAGCAAATCTGGACGCAGTGCTTCAAGGTTCTGGACGATATCAAGGAGTCAGTCCGCGCGGCTGCGGCTTCGCTGGCAAGAACGTTGACAGGTGTACTGACCCGCGCTCTTGAAGCCGACCACAGCTCCACCAAGAACGCGTCCGCAATGCTTAAGCACGTGCTGCCCTTCCTGCTCTCGTCATCCGGTATGGAGTCCAGCGCTCAGGACGTGCAGCAATTTTCGGTGGTCACGCTCTTGGAGATCATCAAGAAGGCCAACGGCGCCACTATTCGACCTTTCATTCCAGAGTTGGTGGAACGACTCATCGGCCTATTGAGTTCTATGGAGCATGAAGCTGTCAATTATGTCCATCTCAATGCCGACAAATACAATCTTACCGAGCAAAAGATTGACGACATGCGCTTGTCCAACGTGAGAAGTAGTCCGCTGATGGAGGCCATTGAACGATGCTTGGATCTGCTGGACCCGGACACCATGAAAGCATTATGGCCAAAGCTAGGGACTGCAATGAAGAGCGCGGTGGGGCTGCCTAGCAAGGTGGGCTCCAGTCGCGTACTGGTCTCACTTGCAACAAGAAGGATTGCACTGTTCAGAAGCTACTCTGATGATGCACTGAAGCTAGTCGAGCGGCTGATCATTGTGAGTTTTCGAAGAGGTCTGTACACTACTTGGAGGGTGCACACGCTAACATGTCCCTATTAGGATCGCAACGACACGGTAGCGAGTTCGTATGCGGCTGCTGCGGGCTACCTGGTCAGAGGCGCCTCTGACAAACAGGTCTTGAGGCTTATCGTTTTTGCGAAGAAGCTGTACTTTGAATCCGAGGGCGATCGTGAGGGAGTGGTACCCCGAAGAAGGTGCGTTGGACTTTCCGGTGATGGTCGTACCGTCTCCCAAGCCTCGCTGACAATCTCGTCTTAGCATCACGTCTGGCGAGATCATACACGCCTTCGCCAGACACGCAACGGACAAGTTTAACGAGTTCGCGTCCTCCATCCTGCCGTTTGTCTTCGTAGCGAAGCACGACTCGCACGAGCAGGTGAAAGAGCCGTTCCAGGAGGCTTGGAACGAGGTCGTCTCTGGGTCGAGAACGGTGCAGCTGTACCTCAAAGAGATCGTGGAGCTCTGCAGTGCGCATCTCGATTCGCCGCAATGGATACTCAAGCATACGGCGGCTCGGTCTGTTGCCGATGTTGTCAACGCAGTCTCGTCAAGCGAGGCAGAGATGTCGGCGACGACCGGGAACGCCATCTGGCCTGCACTGGAAAAGGCGTTGGGCGGTAAGACGTGGGAAGGAAAGGAGGCGGTGTTGTCTGCGTTTGTCAAGTTCGTGGAGATCGGCAAGCCCTACTATCGGGAGCACGAGAAAGTGCGCTCGGACATGGTCAAGGTACGTGACGGCTTCGTTGTTCCGTCGCACTGCATTACACCTCGTGGCCGCCCGTCGCGTGGAAGCCGTTCGCTAATTGGGGTTACACTAGATCGCTATCCGGGAAGCCAAACGCCAGAATGCAGGATACCGGCAACACTCGGTGAAAGCGCTGGGGAAGGTAGCGCAAGCCCGGTCGGATATCGATATGAGCGATGCTATCTTCGAGGTCGTGGGCAGCCTGATAGAGCAGCAGGCGGATGGAGACGCCATGGACGTGGACGGTGGCAAAGATCAGGCGCGCAAAGCAGAGGAGATGTGAGTATCAGCAAGACGGTACCGTTCGTCTCGTGATCACGGTCGACTGACGAGTGGAAACAGCAAAGACGCAATCACTGGTGGAGCAATCGAAACCGCTTTCGCCGCCATCAATCCTGCTGTCTCGGAGGGAAGTGCGCTTACCAGCCAACTCGCACGCGCAGTCCATCTGGTTGCCGCAGCGAAGCCCACGACGTCAGCGCTCTTGCGCAGCACATACGAAGGCCTGAACAGCGCCTTCGATCGGGTGCACAAACAAGGCAGCCCGCCGGGCGATCTTCACTCGAATGCAGCGGTCGTGGAGGATTTGCGGACTCTGCTGTTTCGCCCGGTGGTGTCCGTGGAGAGTCTGAGGGCAATCCGGGCGGATGCGGTAGCTTCCATGCTGAAGGCTTGTCCGAGTCTGAAAGGCGTGTTCGAGGTGGACGTGAAGGCGCTAATCGCGAACGAGGTGTCGTCGAGCGTTCGAGACCGCTTCCCGTCGCCGTAAGCCGTGAGCCGTCGTCAGGTGGCGCTCGAACGGCTGAGAGCACGTGGCGACCACATGTTCTCTCACGCGAGATGCACAATGTCTCCGACCTCTGAGGACGTGTGTGTGTGTGTGTGTGTGTGGAAAGAGAACAGAGAAGTCAGTCGAAGAGGGTTGTGTTTCTACTCTGGCTGTTTCGGCGTGAGGCTCACTCATATGGAGACCCTCGACCGGTATGGGTACAATCAGTTAATAACAGCGCTCAATGCAGTAATTGCAGGCCCGTCAGTGTCATTGTCACGTGCATGTCATATCACAGTCCCTCGGCACGGCAGTTGGCGTGCGGATGACTGATATTATTGCCACCATGTGGCTTTATCATAGCGGGGCGCCGACGGCTGGGGCGTACGTGTAGCGCATGGTGGCTTGCAGAAATTATTATTCTGAAATCCAGGCTTCTGGAATTCTCCTTCGGGACACAGGGACATCTCCTTGTGGACATCTCCCTGGTGGGAATCTCCTTCTGGCTAACCTTCTTCTTCATCACGTCGCACAGTCCCTGCTCTACACGCCGAGACTTCAACCTCAAACGCTGTCCCCGTCGATGGGTGGTATGGGATGATATGGATGGATTGATATCCGAACGACACGTTAGGTGCTGCCTTCAGACGACGCCTGCAGACGGCGGGCGGCGTGGAGACTCCACTCTCCACTATACTTCTCCGCTCTTCGCGCTTCCATCTCTTCGGGCGTCTGCCGATACACACCTCGCTGCTAGCCTTACGCATCCGGCTTGCCTCCCGGATCGCCAATCTGTCATGCTTTTCCTGCACGTTCGCTACTCAGACCATGCAGAGGTCCGTCTCATCAGCCATAAATAAAACATCGCAGCATCATTTGAGTTGGCAGTAGCCGACGCCGCCTGCGTCCGCGTGGGATGTGGCATTTCTCTACGCATTGCACCATCTTGCGCTCCAAGCCTCCAATCATCATGCGCGCTGCACCCAAAGGAGCCCTTTCCTATGGCACGTGCTAAGGGATGGCTACGCGACGGTCAACTCTTGACGAGGCACTTCTCTGCCGCGTGTCGCCATGGGTCCTTGCGCATCGTCAGCGCATGGCCTTCGCGCTGACTACCTCTCCTCCGCGTGGCCGCCACAATACGGCTTGTTACGCTTGTGGTTGGATCCAAGACTACGTATTTCGCGGATACGATTTCGAAACGGAATGGCTTTGAGAAGACCGACAGGGGCTTGCAGCCAGCGCAGTCTTCTCGCGGCTAACCGAGAGTCGTTGTTCTCGTTGTTGTGACAGAGGAAGACCAACCGCACGGTGTCGTGCGCAAACTCTCTAGGGTCGCGGTGGAAAGCAGTTTCGCCATTGCCGTCATGGTACGGGATGTCGCCGCCCGATTCCTCTTCTCGAGCGTGGCTGCATCGCTCCATCACCCAGACTTACACCCCTTCGTGTGTGGGACGAGAGGTTGACCAACCCCGTGCACACCCTTATTCCAAGGAGAGCACCACTTAGATTCGCCATTTCGACCCGTTGCGATGTCACTTAGAGTTTGTTTATATACTCTTGACAGTAGACGCAGAGAGCGCGAGACTAATCACAGCAAACAGCACCATCTATCCCATCATCTGCGCCGTCCGCATGCGTCCCTGATTACCACTTCTCATGTGATGTCGGGCTGAAGAAGAAAAGTACCAATGCGACTTACCCAAAAGGTCCCTCCCTACCTTGAGCAACTTGAAGCATTGTTGCTCAATCATTGGCTTCACTCCGTCGGGAATTTTTGCCTGTCTTTTCACGGCTTGCTGCTTGTGTGATCGACTACCTTGCACCGATCGGCTCCTGCCGCTGCTGTTCCTTCTCGACCACGTTTCCTGTCTGGTATCATGCAGGACCGCTGCGGAGAGAGTAGTAGCTCTTCCGGAAAACGACGAGGCCACCTACCGCCTTTGGCCCCTCGCGATTCACGACCTACGACAACTGGGAGAGACTCATCGAGGACCTCTGTTTCTTCTCCTTCTGCTACGAAAAGCAGGCCTCCCAGGCTGTCGCATCGCTCCAGAGCAGGGTGTTGGACTTGTCGTGGACGCAAGGTCAAATGTATGCTACTCTCGAAACGTTGTGGTGAGATATGTCGTCTGACTTTGATATTTGCAGGCGACGAGACTCATCCCCGATGCGGTCCATGCACGAGACTGAATCGCGAATGCGACTGGGATCACCGATGGAACTTCAACGATGCGACGACTTCAACAAAGGGCAAATACTCCAATGTGAATACTTCTGGGAATGCGGTGTGGGATCCGAATGCTCGCGGAAGTCTCAGCCTGTCGATCACGAACTGGACACATGATGACTTGCCGGACTTTGCTGCTCTGACTTCAGACGAGGATCGAGAGCGGAAAGCTGGGACTCGGAGACCGGGCACATTTGCTGTTGTTGTGACTCCAGAGAGCTTTCATGACCTGCCGGAGTATGTTGCTCAGCAGAGGCAGTGTGGGAACAGAAGGACAAGTGGAGGTAGTGCATCCTCTGCGAGTCCTCGTCGAGGAGGACACCGCAGCTCCATGAGGCCGCTGCTCACGCCCGCGAGGACGAACCCGGACCCGAACATCGTTGTTTTGGAGAGGTTTGAAGATGTATCGCCAACGTCAGCAGGACCTTTCTCTGCTTGCCCATTCTCGGCGACGTCCTCTGATCTTCACAGCCGAAGGGAAAGTCTTCCGGAGACCTTGAGAAAGCTATCGATTACCCCACCGCCATACCAGTCGAGCGTTGGCACGGCTCCTCACACACCTGTCTTCCACCAGCAACAACGAAACGAGGACCACCTCGTCAAACACTTCCGTCAATACATCATCCCACGTCTGGTACAGCCACAACAGGATTCCCTTCCTGGCGTAATCTCGCAAGGCTCAATGAGAGGCGTTCTCGAAGTTGAAGCTACACGCTTCCCTCCGCTCCATCACTCCATTTGTGCTATCAGTGCCTTGAACCTAGCATACACTGGTCGTTCGTCTCTGGAAGAAGCTATGCAACATTACCACCAAGCCCTCGCCGCTTCATCTACAGCTTCCACTCCGAGCGACCTTCTATCTGACGGGGTATTCTTCCGACACTTCCTGCTCTTTATATACGACATCTGCATTCCCATGCATTCTGACTCCGATGACGGAACGGACATGTGGGCAGAGCATCTCAATCATCTCAGACGAATTGCGATGCAACGACACACCTCTGGTGCTCGCATACCGTACGCTTTTCCCATCTGGTCGATCTGCGAGCTAGACATGTATGCCTGTCTGATGGGGAGTGGAAACTGCGAGTTCCTCCGGACGATCCTATCGAACAACATGCTCCCGCCTCTGGAGCATCAGATACCGCCCCTTGCGAACTCGGCACCAGGAACCTTTCTACCAGAAGAATCGCCCATGATGATGTCCATCCTCTACCTCAACCAGGGTATCATACTCCGAACGGCCAAACTGGCACAAACGGCGCAGACATTTCGAACTCCCGGTCAAACAGCTTCTCCCGGCGCGAGAGCACGCTGGCAAGCCACAGCGACCCAACTCCAAACCGACCTCAACACCTTCTGGTCCCAGAACTGCCCCGAATTCCTCCTCAACCATCCAGCAACCACCTCCCCCCTCCTCCCAGAACGCATCCGCTACATCTTCATCTCCGCCACCCTCCTCTTCCACGCCAGCATGCTCTACGCACGAACGTCCCTCTTCCCCTCGCAGTCCCTGATCCCCTCCTATCACGCAGCACAAGACACGCCCTCCCGCATCGCTTCCATCCTATCCCTCACATCTCCTCCCGTCAACAACAACAACACGACGACGACGCTCCCCCGCAACACTTCCACCTTCGCCCTCTTCATCGCGGGCATCGCGGCTCCCGACGCCGCGACGAAGAGGCTCTGTATCGACGGCATCACGGCTTTCGAGGGCAGAGGCATCGGGCAGAATACGTATCGCACACGCCGATTGCTGAGCGCCGTCGTCGAGGAGAGGCGAGAGGGCGAATGGGTTGGCTTTTCCCGCGAGAGGGGCTTGGGCGTTCTGAGTTGTGGGTTGTGATTCATCGATTGGATTGATTCGGGCGGGGAGAGATGATGGCAGCACGTGAACCTTTGAATTTCGCTTTCTGCTTCACGCTGTACTGCACGCACGCACGGACGGACGGACGAAAGTGGACGATGCCATCTATCTCGAGGACGAATGAATACGAAGACGAGGAAAACGGATACCCACCCACCCACCCACCCACAGCACAGCACAAACACACAATATCCAACGAGAGCTTGGAAAGGAATACAGATACAGCATATGACATGACATGACATGACAAATGAAGACGAGACATATGACATGACATATAAACAGCGCAGAGAGAGGTGCGCGGCTGGAATGCATAGATAAGATAGCATGGGACGGACAGACAGACAAAAAAGGTGGCGGGTGGGAGAGGAAATGAGAGCAAAAAGGGCAGAAATGCTTAAATGGCATGCGATGCTTGCGTGCAGGTAATTAGGATTTCTCATAATCGAGCGTCCATGGTCGTCGTCGACCCACACCCACCAGGCGGTCTTGCTGTCCTGGCGAAAAAAACACACAATGAGAAAAACGCTCACAATCTCGTGTAATGTCATCTCATCAAACACATGCAGTCTTTTGATACAAAGGGTGGTTGCAGAGGGCAGGCGGAAGCTGTTGTTCATCAGGCATCTTCAGCCTCAACCCGGCAGAGCACTTCCTCCAGGAAACCCTCGAGCAGTCCCTCCACTCCGTCGCCCATGCCTACGGGCGCAACCCCATCCCAATGGTCAATGTCCTTGAACAGCCTCGAGACCTTGCCCATGCACATACGAATCTGCTCGTGTGTCTGACGCTTGAGTTGCAAGTCGTCCGCCTCGGCAGCCGTCCTGCTCCCCGAAGGTCCATGATGCTTTTTCTGCAACAAGGATATTTGATAACTTCTACGATGCATCGCCGCCTCAAGAGCAGGGATCACGACCGAATTGAGTGCTGTGATTGGTTGGTCATGAGTTTCCGATGCCACGTGCTTTTGCGAGGTGTGTTGATCGAATCCAGATGCAGCAAGTGAAGATCCAGATCCAGATCCAGATTCAGGGAACGCCGCGCCTGCAGACGTGGATGCGTCGCTTCGGGCCGAATCGAATGAAGATCGGGGCTCCATATCAGGTCTCGTGAATGCTGGTGTTGATGTCGAAGGCTGCCGTGGCGGATCGGTCTTCGATGCAGGTGGCGCAAAGCTCGGAAGTGGTTTCTGGAAGAGGTCATTCGTGGGTGTAGATTGGTTGGGCTGCACAGAGGCTTGCGTCTGCGTGGCAGGTTTTGAGTAGCCATCAGCCGTCACGATCATGGCACTCGCTTGGGATATGTGCGGTGTCGAGGTAGAGTTGTCTTTCAATGACAAGCCTTTCATGTATTGTGACATGTCGCTGGCGATTGATTGCTGCAAGAAATCATCGTTGAGCATTCGAGGCGTCTGTGGAGTGGCAGGTGGTTTCGGCGAAGGCGGTACTTCGTCTTGTCGAGGAATCTGTGGAGGCGTCTGAGTTGCTGCAACCGGCCTGCGCACTGGAGATGCAGGAAGAGCAGTCTTCGCAGCAATGCCAGGTGACTGCAGTAGTGCAGACTTCTTCGTAGGTGACGGTGTCTTTGGTAGCGGCGGAGGGAGCATCGCGCCTCCCTGGCCACGAACCGTGCTGCGCTCTGCGTTCTCGTCAACCGCTGTGTCATTCTCCTTGTTCAAGACTGATCGTTTGGTGGGAGAGGGTGACAGGTGTGAGCTTCTAGAGTTCATTCCAGACTCGTTCATAACACGCAGGCCAGGCGCCGGATTGCCTCTTCGTCCCGCAGGCCGGACCGTGCCAAAGTCCCAAAGATCCTCCTCGTCAGTGTCGCGCGCGGGCGGGTCTTGCCTCCGATCGTCCTCATCATCCCGGTCCTTCTCATCTCGGTGCGTGGCTTGCCACCGTTCGTGCCTCTCGATCAGCTCCGTCAGGTATGCAGTCCGTTTGGCTCGCCGTATCCAAGGATGCTTCAGCAGATCTCGTGCACTTGGTCGTTCTCGTGGCTCCTTCTTCAGACATCTGTGAACAAAGTCCTTGAACTCTTTGCTGAAGTTACCTTCTACGATGGGTGCAGGGTTCTTCGGGATCAAAAAAAGAACTTTCATGGGATGAATGTCGCTGTAAGGTGGTTCGCCAAGGGCAAGTTCCAGCGCTGTGATACCCAGCGACCAAATGTCTGCCTTGTGATCGTATCCAGACTGCTTGATGACCTCGGGTGCCATCCAAAAGGGAGTGCCAACAAATGTATTCTTCTTGGTCATGGTCGCTGTCAGCTGCCCCGAAACACCGAAGTCGGCCAGCTTGACCTGTCCATTGGCGCCCAAGAGGATGTTGGCGGCCTTGATATCTCTATGTAGCTTGCCATCCTGGTGCAGATACTCCAAGCCCATGAGTAGCTCGCGGACTATGATGCAGATGTAGTCTTCGGGTAGGACGCCGGGCTTGAGCATGTCTCCACAGCTGCCTCCGGAGCAGTATTCCATGATGATCCATAAGTCCGATCCCTTCAAATATGAGCCGTAGTATTTTGTGACATAAGGCGAGCTGAGGCCGGCAAGGATGGAGATCTCCTGTATGATGTCGTCGACCTCATCGTCGGCATTCTCGACATCGATAATCTTGATGGCTACGGATTGTCCGGTGCGCTTATCGACGCCTTTGTAGACCTTTCCGAAGCTTCCTCCTCCTATACATGCCTGTTTCGTGTACAATGTCTCCGGGTCTGCGCTCTGGGCGTCCATCTTTCGCTCCTCCAGCGGCGAAGTGTGTGTGGGTCCGACCAGTGTGTCTCCAAGACAGTGGCTCACGTAAAGCAAGCTCGTGAATGCTCTCTGCGCCTTCCAGCTGTTTCCAAGCGCGTCCAAGGTCAAGAACAAGGAAATCGAATGCGGATGTAGTCGTGTATGCGTTTATGCGTGTATCGTAAATCAGGCGGCGCGTAGACGTGGAGGAGAAAGAGGGAGCGGATGCATTATCGTGGGCGTAGCTCAAGGGCAGCAAGTTCGGGGTCTCGCTACTGCTGGCTGGTCTGCAGCGTTACCGGGAGAAATTATTAGGGAATGTTATTGTTGGCGCCGGAAGGAAGGCGTCCGTCCAGCAGCAGAAGACGGAGGTCGGGAGGAAGGAATCGGCGTTTGGGACGTGTCACGGCAGGAGAGTTTGGGTGGAATTGTGTCGTCGCTGGGGGCAGGGATGCGGTGGTATTTACCACCAAACATCCTCTCACAGCCCTCGATTGGCCCCGCGTGCGCAGGGATGACCCGCCGCTAGCCAACGGCGCCAACACATCTACCCGTTCCTGCATGTGAGAGCAACCTCACCTCCACCCATCCCTCCCAACCTCCCAACACTCTCACATCTGCAATTCATTCACATTATGAAGGGCGTGGAACTGTTATCGTTATTGGCATGTATCTCGTCAGGCTTGGCGTCGATCCTGCCGTCTTCTCAAGAGCCGCTAGCAGACTCTGATATCGCCCGGCACAAGCTCCGTCTCACCCACGATCTGGTCAACTTTCATAAGAACCTTACCCAGATTGAGTCCATATCCGGGAACGAAAAGGAAGTTGGCGACTGGCTAGCCGCTAGTCTGGAATCGCAAGGCTACAATGTCGAGAAGCAGTATCTGTCAAAGGACCCCGAAAGATTCAATGTCTTTGCTTGGCCGGGCAAGACCAGGGAGACTCAAGTACTGCTGACGAGTCACATCGATACGGTCAGTGAATGAATTCAACGACCATATCTGCAATGGCTTGCTTACTGAGCCGACAGGTGCCCCCTTTCTTACCATACAATTACAACAAGACCAACAATGTAATCTTTGGCCGTGGTTCTGTTGACGCCAAAGGGAGCGTAGCTGCCCAGGTCATCGCACTCAACCAGCTTCTCGTCGATGACAAGGTCTCGCCAGATGACGTATCGGTATTATACGTCGTTGGAGAAGAAGTTGGTGGCGTCGGCATGCGCAAAGCCAACGATTTGAAGTTACATCCTAAGACGGTGATATTCGGCGAGCCAACCGAGGAGAAACTGGTCTCCGGCCACAAAGGAACGATGCAGATGTCTTTCACCGCGAAAGGTAAATCTGGCCACTCGGGATACCCATGGCTTGGCCGCAGCGCAAATGAGGTTCTAGTCAGAGCTCTCTCGCCCCTGATTGATCTTGGGCTGGAGCTACCAGAGTCCGACAAATACGGAATCTCAACTTTCAATCTCGGTCGCATTGAAGGCGGCGTGGCAAGCAACGTCATTGCCGAGTCTGCTTTCGCGAATGTGGCCGTGCGTATTGCATCTGGCACGCTGGAAGACATCCAGAAGAGCGTGCGAAATGCCGTCAAGCATTCACTGAAAGAATTTCTTGAGGGCGAGATTGGACTGGAAGATATCCTCGAAATCGACTTCGGTGGCAACGGATATGCGCCTATCGATCTAGATTCCGACGTTCCCGGCTTCGACGTGATCACTGTCAACTATGGCACTGATATTCCATGGCTGAACAAGACCGTCGAAGATCAGAAGAGGTATCTTTACGGCCCTGGCACGATTCTCGTCGCACACAGTGCAGATGAAAAGCTCACTGTAGGTCAGCTCGAAGAGGCTGTGGAAGGGTATCAGAAAATCGTTCTACATGCCCTTGGAAAGGGCGAATCTGAGGCCAAGATCGATTTGTAGATTTCGCAAACAATAATTGGGATGCGCAATGTACAGATCTCTCGGGTTCTGCTTCGATAGACTTGCGACTGTATCGCTACAAGACTTGGCCACATGATGGGCGAATGTAAGGGGAGAGAAGAGGACTATTCATATCAGCACAGTGATATGAACAGAATAAACTAGAAACTCCCTCACGGAGAGGCTTGAGTGCTCGTGGATGTGAATAAATAAGATGTAAATTCGAATTTGAAGAGCTCGCCTCTCGAACTAGGTGCTGCAACGCGAGGCGAGTTCTGCGCAAGTCATCAGCTCTAAAGGCATGCATGGCACACGCTCGAGCACGCGTCGATTTTCCTCGATTTCCCTTTCCACTGATTCTCCATTTCATTTCACTCACTTTATCGACGTCATGGAAGAATGGGCTGCGCAAGACGAAAACGTGAAGTGTTTGCCCCTTCCGCGCCATGCCACCCTGCGTCTTTCCGCCCCTCAAACATCGTCGCGCCACTCTCGAAATTGCCCCGGGCGAGGTCCCTCTAACAGCATACTGCTTCTTTACTCCTGCTTGGCAGAAGGCCCGACCGTGTGGCTGTCCAGATCAACACCTTGAGGCATACGCAGACGAATCTGGAAGCAACTGTCAGCTTTTGCGAGGAACGCTGTGCGGGACGATACGTGCATCAGGAACGAGAACGCCGTTCTGCAGTCCAGAGGCTCGAATGGGCTGTTGTCGGTCTCGCGCGGCGAATGGTAGGGTAGAGCGGCCATGGGTACTTCGGTCTTGGATCGCGATGATGCTCTAAAAGTGGAAGCAGCGTCGTGAGTTGTTGTTGTTGTTCGGAATGATGGACATGCACCGCTGTCGAGAGGCCAAAATTCAGAAGTGAGTCCAAATTTGCGAAGTTTGGGTCTGTCGCGGATCCACGAAACATTGAACCCAATCATGAGCTTGCTTTGGTCTTCTACTACCTACTAAGAAAATATTATCGGCCACGAGGAGCCCGATGTTCTATCATTGAGCCTTGTGGGCCAGTGTACCATCTTTCCATCTCAAGGATCCCCGTTGACGAACAGATCCCACAATGCAATGTGAGCGCCAAAGTAGAAGTAAGCGAAGAGCGCGACGAAAAATCTGGACAGCGGAGTATTAGCTGGGGGAGGTGATTCTGGAAGGGATGGATAGCTTACGGTATTAGCGTCAGATACGCTTCGAGTCTCCACTCCCACCAAATGTCGAGGTTGGCCCTATCTTGCAGAAAAGGGAGCATTTTTTCCGCCGCGGCTTTATTGTATACAGGGTCCAGAAGCGCGTCTGGCGGTATAAATTACAACGTTGTTTGCTAGAGCAATCTGGAAAGCGACAAGAGACAAGTTAGCAGCGACTTATTGGATAAAACGCAGGACTTAAGCACACGCGTGTCTTCGCCAGGATGTGTGTACGAGACGTTCACAATTGGGTGTACCCATCGGGACGACACAAGACGGACGGGGATCTTGTCAAGAGTGACAGATTCAAAAGGGGCGAGGGAGACTGTGGCATCGGGGTATGTCAGCTTGCACTGTAAGGACACGGAACGTGGTTGTAGCGTATAGAAATGCCACAGCAAGCTCATTTTTGACACACAACAATACTCCACTACGCCGTAATCCTACCTCCAGCCTGAGCCGCTCGAAAGTACTCCACGATCGCTTTATACCTATCAGTTAGCTCTTACCCTTCTTTCAACTCTATTTAGAGCCGCACTCTCCGAGAAATATCGGAAGTTGCTCGATGGGATACCTTTCACTTTTTGATCTACACCTTTGGCCCGATAATCCAAATCATCGGCCTTCTCGCGCGTTTCCCAGAACTCAGAGTCCTCAAAGGAGAAGCAACCTTTAGATCGTTGAGTATGACTAGCCTCTTTCTGCGATGATTTGCATTCACGCTCGTCGGGCTGTCTTTCATATGGAGATTTCGATTGCCTGCGGAAATCTGGAACGGCATTTCGGATGATGTCCAGAGAAGGACGCCGATAGCGGAAATTGTGATCGATTCGAGGAGCTCGTATCGGGGTGTTGGGTTGGCGACGATGAACAGCTCGATTTTCGGGGTTGTGCAGAGAGTTTTGGGCTTGGTTGCATGGCAAAGGAATAAGCAAAGTAAGGATGGTGAGGTGGGGCCTTTGTTGGGATCGTGAAAGAATGCGAATGAATGGACTCCAGAAATTAGATGTGTCTTCCGTTAGTATTGCGTCTTAGGTACGAGCTGAGTACAGAATTCAATCGATGAACTACGCCAAGCTTCTGATTGATAGGTCCGTGCGCATCGGCAGGGCTGGCTTGTACGCGCCGGTCAGTACGGGGAAGGTAGCGTAGATGGGTGAGAGCCTCCAGTGGGAATGCCATTTTGGAGAGTCTGCCGCAGTCGTTTCGTGGTGTTGTGATGTACGCGGTATGTGCGTGCCCAGGAGAGAGAAAGGTGGAATGTAGTTGTGGGGAGAGTGCAGATCCATCAAAACAATCAAAATTGGAAGCTTCGTCTGGAGATGACTCAGAACAGGCAGGACTGGAAAGACCGCTTCTCATGTAGAGGCTGGGAAAGTGCTACTCACCCCTGTCACAGTTCCTTCTCCAGGCGTTGATCTCGAAGATGAGATATAGCAGTCGGGCGCTGCACTACTCGCTGGCTCAGTGCACGTTGAATACGTTCAAACTGTACGAGAGTAGTAGCATAGAAGGGCTCGGGAAGTAGCTGATCGCTCCGGCTCTAGGGGCTACTTGTGACCTCTCCTGCTGACTGCCATCCTCTTTGCCGTGGCACACCACCTCGCTAACACACCACCCCTATCCACTATCGGCACGCTTCTTCTTAGCCCAGAACTTCAGTGGCCTCCAGCATCATTGGGTCCTTTCAGATCTCCAGCAGCGCGGAAGAAAAAATACATCTTCTGTTCCAAAAGGTCCTCGTACTCGTCAGAACTCAGACCCTCCTGGTTGAAACATTCGTAAAGCTGCTCGTGCAATCCCTTGTTGTTCTTACACAAACTCCAAATGGAAGCGCTCCTGGGAGACAGGAGCGAATGGTCCCGCTTCTATGACATCTTAGTACAATTCAAGTGAGTAGGGGTAAGTAGGGAAATGCTCACCTGGGCACGCACCCTCCAGCGAAGCTGTTGAAGGAAGAATGTTACAATTCTCTCCTTCTTCTCGGTCGTGAGTGGTTTCAAATGGCAATGGCTTCCATGTAGCCAGGCGAGAGAGCTTTGGTGATTCGTGGACACTTCAGCACCGAGAGTTGAGTCGATTCCGAGGTCCGAGAATGCTTTGCTCTTTCTGTTCAAGTAGACGAAAGGTTCGATCAGTTCATTCATGCGGCCGGAGTAGTCCTGATGCGCTGAAGGCGCATTGGAAGGACAGATGTCTCGATCGACCGCAGCGCGGAGTCTGGAGGCTATGCCGGTTACGCCCCCAGCCCCTGGATTGTAATTGATTCGCATACATTTCCATCGAATTAGAGTGATAGCTGTCGGATATTCGCGGAGGCGCAGGGCGATAGCTTGCAACGTCTTGTCGATCGTCTGGTTGACTTCCATCGGATCAGGGAAGCCTACGATGAGTTGCTCCAACGTTGTTATCATATCAATGTCGTCTTCAATTCTTTGCTGCTCTCCATCAGGCGACCTAAAGGCAAGCAAGACTCTCTCGCGGTACCGTCTGGACCGACCAGAGATTTGAGCCACCTCGAAGTGGTTGAGCGCGTCCATTAGGCCTCTTGATAGGCCTGTTTTGAGGCTGCCAGAATCGGAAGACCACGCCTCGCGCAGTTGCTGTGCCGAATCTTTCCAGACCACACGCAGATCCAGGTTCGCATTCCCTGTCGAGTAGATCCCTGCACCAGTTTCCTTCAGGAACGCATTTGCATGGAACTGAAAGAGGAAATAGCCGTCTGCGTCTACCATGCGGTTCATTTGGTGCAGCAGTCGCAACCTGTGCCGCTCGGATTGTGCTGCTTGCACACTACTGATGAGGCGCTCGAAATTTGACATAACGTAATTCCATCCCTGCGTATCTGTTGTGGTGTGTGGTGAAGACTGGCTTCCGTGTCCATCTCCTTCCGCCTGAAGACTTTCGCTCTCGCTTTTTACCTTTTGCTTTTCCATGCCGATCTCGACTGCTCCGACTTCTAGATCTTGCTCCTGCTCGGGAAGTTCAACTACTCCGGCTGCAGGATGTTCAGGGTGTAATAGACCTGCTACGAAGTCATCCAACACCTTTGGACCCAGACTTTTCGTGTCTCCATCATCAAGCTCTCGACTCTTGCGGCGCCAGAATTCGAGCTGGTCCTCTGTGAGAAAGGTCCAGTCAAGAGAGGCGCGAATCTCCGCGTATTCAGGCGAGACTGTGTTAGCGCCGAGTGATGTCTGATGCCCGAGAAGAGACACGAAGACGTGGTGTCGATACAGGGCGAAGCCGTCGGAGCTGAATTTGCCAGCGGCCATCAGCTTTTGTATGTGTGCGATGTGCGACTTGATTTTTGCTATCGGCGCCGAAGCCACGCTGATTACGCCGGCCATTTGTGCTTTGGTTGACGTGACTTGACCGATATGCGCATGAGACGGTCTGTGGAGAGGACGTTAAAAGGGTTTCCGCGTTTGCTCGCACGAGACCCGTCGAAGGTTCGCGCTACATCGCGCAAGTCACATGAACGCTTGGCAATCGGCCCCCTTACATCTGGCTACGGCTACTAGCTTGCTTGAGGATACGCTTTGCGTCCTCACGCACCTCTTCAGTGATCCTGGCAGCCGACTTGACGGCTGTTGCAAGACCAACACCTGCACCAGCATACGTGGTCAACCGCGCGTTCTCGCCCCAGCCTTCATCTCCCTTCTTCGTAGCTTCGTCGTACAGCTTCTGGTTCTCTTCAAGACTCATGCCCTTTTCATTGTCATGCCAGGTCTCGTTGAGGACTCCTCGTCCTCCGTAACGTTCAGGCCAATCTTTAGTGCCACGGAGATGATCGTAAAGTTTCCCTCGCTTCGTATTGACTCCACCGTCAGAGGCTGCAAGAACCGCATCTCGATATCCTTTTGCAATATTGGCTTCGGGTGCCACAAGGTACCGCGTTCCCATGGACACACCAGCAGCTCCCAATGCAACTGCAGCTGCGGCACCACGACCATCCATTATGCCTCCAGAAGCTGTCAACACGGGCTTTGTGATCTTCTGAGACGTACACACAGCCGTTACGGCATCGTCAACTTCAGGCAAGAGAGGGACGAGTCCAGCGGCGACTTGCAGTCCGTGTCCTCCCGCGTCTTGGCCCTGCACCACCAGAACATCCGGATTGCACGTTTTCGTGACCTCGACGGCCTCCGCAACGGTACCAATTTGAATCCAGACCTTCGTCTTCCCTCCCGTAGCCTTCCTGACTTCTTTCGTCCACTGAGCGAATTGCTCCATCTCACTCGGGGCAAATAGCCACACTGCTGCCGGCTTGTGTTTGACAATGATGGGCAGTGCTTCCGACAATAGCTTCTCGCCAGCCCATAATAGGAAGCCCACGCCAATCGGAAGCACGTCTTTGACTTCCCGTAAGATCTGTGCGCTGGCCTGCAGCTGCTTCACTTTCTCCAATTCTTCCTCCAACGTCGACACATCATTTCCCGCACCAACAAAGCCCAATCCGCCTGCTCGCGATACTTCTGCCGCAAGATCTGCGAGCGCCACCAGTCGCATTGGACCGCACGATACGAGCGGCGTCTTCGTCCACGGATAGTCGTGCTTGAGCTGATCCATCTTGCCTCAGTGTGCAGATCGTCTCTGAAGACTTCGGCTTTCGAACTTCAACCGCCAGCCGTCATTTTACTCGAGTATCGACTCAAAGAGCGACTTCGGAGAGGTCAGTCATCCAAGCTCGGCCATGGTGAAGGAGCTGACGTCGTATTTCCAGCTCCCCCTCTGCCATTTCCGCGGGCAGTCACGTGCGCTGCCTTACGCCTCGCTTAGTCAAGAATCGACCCGAAGCGGAAACGGCTCGGGATCGCGACTTCCCTCTCGAACTTCAACTTCACGTCCACCACAAACAAACAGAGCAAATAGAGCCCCGCCGCTGCCCGGCAACCGTGCGCTTTAAGAAGCCAAGATGAACGCCCCAGACAGGTATGTCGTTTCTCACACAGAACACACCATCAACACATCACTGTTCAGGTCTTGTACGGCAACGACTCTGCAAGATGCAAGACCCACCGCAACGTGGGCTGTATTTTCATACAAATCGCAAGCTCCAGGGCGTCACGCTGGGCGGTATTGGTGGACAGCATCCAGCAATGGGACACGCTTCCTACTCAAATCGTGTTGCATACGCCCTCGACCCACGGGTCAACGGCAATGTGGGTACTCGCATTGATGTGACGGCTGACGAGGAGACTAGATACGAGTCGTTCATCCTCGCTGAGGACGAGAAGAAGGTCGAGGTTGAACCAGAGACTCGTGAGTATCATGGAGCCCCGCGCGCGTTGTATGGAATATCCTAGCTGACAGTCACAACAGGCGTCCCCAATGCGTCCATGTTCACCTTCAACAAGGAGGACCACACGCTTGGCAATCTCCTCCGCGCGAAGCTCGTCAAATCCGAGCACGTCCTCTTCGCCGGCTATCAAGTTCCACATCCACTCTTCGCGACCTTCAAATTACGCGTGCAGACCGACGGAGAGGTAACGCCGAAAGAGGCGGTCGTGCAAGCTTGCAAGGAGTTGGTCGGAGAGCTACAGCAGCTCGATCAGGAGTTCACCAAGGAGTTCGAGCTCAAGAAGATTGCAGGCGCTGGTGCAGATCTCTAGACAGCACCCTTTGGTATGACAGGTCCAGACGGCGTTCATTGGGTAACAAGGTCGAAACACGACCGGAAAAAGGCGTTCTGGCGAGGCATGGCATGACACTCGTGGGCGTGCGAGTGAGGCGCATTTGGGCGGCGGCTTGATGAAGATACCCCTCCAGCATAATGCGGAATCAAAACTGTGACTTGACATCCTGGACCCCTTTCGCCAGTGAAAGTACGATTAGAAGGTGCGTCTGCCAGGCTGAGAAAGATGTGGCGGGTTATATTGGCACCGCGGTACCACAGTGGGTGAATGAGGAAATAAATTTGGTGGAGACGGAAGTTGGATTGGATGAAGTTCCCATATCCACCACTATGGAGACTCCAAAGGAAGACGCCGTGAACCCGGAAGTCTCGAACGCACTGATTCTGGACCCACACTTCCAGCTCCTCGATGCCGTTGAAGACAACCTTCAGGTCGAAGCAGAACAGGTCTACGGCGACTTCGCTCAGCTATGGCCGTACGGTATCGTGCGTGAAGCGGAGGGCAAACATCAGAAAGCACTCCTCAGACAGCTGGCAAACCTTTAATGAGAGTGAAAGATCTGGAGTCCAGCGCGGCGAAGGAGATTGCGTTGAGAGAGATTGATTACGAACAGCAGTCCTGTCGGCGCATGAATATGCTGGCAAGTGGAATCACACTGTTTAAGACACACGGCGTGCGGAACATCAAAGCTTCTAGAACGTCTTACAGGCCCGTCGAAGACGATCATATCTGCAAGATCTCGGATGACTGCGCCGAGATGCTGGCGGGCTCGAGGTGGTCTCAACTCAGCACCCAAGAGCAAGACTTTTGGGCGTCCGAGACAAAACAGTTAATGGCAGCAGCCTCGGAGTCCTTGGATGACAGCACATATGCGAAATTCATTGACCGAGATTTCGCTGCAAGCTGCAGTGGTCAGATCCTCATAAACCACCCCATCTGCTTCCGAATTCCGACGCCGGATGTCAACGCGCCGTCAAAAATTGTTAATCAGCCCTGCAGCGACTGTTCCCACCCGGTACTGGTTCCTCAACAGCCGCCTGTCGTTTCCCGTGGCGGACTCTATACTCTTTCTTCGAAGATCACCGATCTTATCGACACAGCTGAGAGCCTGTGCGACGATCCTCTTGCCGTGCTTAATGCGCTTGCCGATGTGCTCACGGCAGATGGGCGGGCACTTTTTGGTCGCCATGGATTGCTACCAGCCGAAGAAAAGGTTGGCCCGGAGAAGGCATCGGCTTATGTGGCAGATGTGTGGAACAGTCTGGGACCGGAGGCGAAGTCTTACTGGAGAGCTCAGACATCTTGGATCCAGAACGGTCTAAGAAAGAACATCAAAGGCTGGCTCGATCATGTGAAGAATCAACAATGCTCTCCACGAAACATCCAGTACTTCTGCAGGATTCGGCAGAGTTTGGAAGCATATGAGCTGAGGAATGAAGATGGTCAGGGAGCTCATCGCTTGTCCGATTCCTCTGACGCAGCCGTGTGCGAGGTCAACGACAATCTGAGAACTGGCTTCGTGGCGCCTAACCTACTCCGCGAAAACGATGATGTACCGAGCACCTCTTCAGAGTCAAGCGATCGTTTTCTAAAGACTGAGGCGATCCTGACGACGAACACTCGCCACTCAAATAACTTCGCAATGAAATTTCTGTGCGGCAGTCTTTCTGTGAGAGGGAGAACACCGTCAGCTGATGAAATCGTTTGGAAGTCTTTACAAGGCATTGAAAATCGCATCTGCGAAAACACGAATTCACAATTGACCGGCCGGTTTCGTGGAACGCGGCTCAACTATGACCCGTTGGCGGAAGACGTAACGCGCGAGACTAAAGTCGAAGATGGATGACTCCGTTGGAGAGTGCAATGGTTCGCCCGGCCTTGCCCCCCAGAAGATTGTGATAACGGCGTGGTCAACCCCCTGAAGGATCGCGCTGGGCAGTCCAATCCCGACGATTGTGGTCAAGAGAGCAAGGACAGTGACTTTACCCAGTACTAGAGACACTTGATGATGAATAAATGTAGCAGACGATCATAGGCGTCTTGCTCGTGTCACGTTCATTGAAACCATCAAGGGCGCTTTACATTCCTCGACAAGAGGATTCGGTCGAGTGACGCGCTTCAAAGATCCCAAACAGTTGAACTTGGTTTCCTCCACAGAGCAGTGCCAAATTGACGATGAAACGTCATATATGTGCTCTGGAGTGGAGCGCAAGAGGGCGCGGATCTATCCGCTTCTTATTGAAATTGGCACATGATCGGGGTGTCCGTGCATCAAGAGAGAGATCAAGATTGTGTGTCCTGCATCCGCGTCTAGAAATTACATCCATTTAGAGGAGCTGCTTGTCTGCAATTGATGTAGCATGGTCTCGTCGCAGGTACAACCTGTCGGATTTTTATCGTGGGTAAGGTTACTGAAGCAATGCTTAGGCTTTCGTGGGCATGTCCAGATATCATGTAGTGGAGATGAGACCGGACACGGCGACTAGAGACTGTTTGAACACAACGGGTGGAAGATCGGCTGCTGAGTGACCACACAGCGGCATAGAGTAATAATTACTGCTGTGGTGGAACTGGAAAATCTTGAGAGACTGTCAGTACTCGGAAGCTAGGACAATGCGATGGCATGGTATTGGGCGATCACAAATCCAACAATGCAGTTACTGCGGGGCGTAACCTAGCCTAACATTCTCCCACGCGCATCTTGGCATTTGATGGCTTCTCGAGGTTGGTTGGGTCTCGACATCGGCGTCATCTCTGATGTCGTGGCGTGGAAGTGGTCGATCACCAAGCACAATCGTATCATGAGCCATTATTGGCCCTGAGATAGTGCAAGAGGGCATCATAGCCTCCGTCGCGCGTTTCCGAATCCAGCCCAAATTTGCCCATACAGTCGCTCTCCTGGCGGAGTCGACTGGCATGCTGAGCTGATTGAAGCGCTTGAGGAGTGGGTATTTCGTAACCGATAGCATGCAAGTACCTGTCGAAGTACTTTCCCCATCGAAGCTGGAACACAACTTATCTCGTCTGCCCGAAGACTGATTCATAGTAGCTTTGTTCTTCGGTGGAGCGTCATGCTGTGTTACATGGCGCTGTGACCCCGGTGAAGCTACCATTGGTGCTGAAGGAGATCAAGATTGGCACTCCTAAGCCTGACATAGGTTGGGAGTCGATCCCTGAGTTGACGAGTTATGGTAGCGGTTGCATGTATGACTTCCTACGTCGCTCCAGTCAACGATCTGCCAACAGCCGGGAATCGTTTCGCACTCAGCAACACTCCCTTGACGCCTCTGATCTCTTTCTTCAAGTCTTCAATTGCATCATTCTCGCTGGAGCCATTCTTCATGGTAATCGCATCCTCGCTCGTGTGCCAAGCATTCGTCAAAGGGGCTCCAAAGATCAGATCGTCGAGGTAATGGCGGAGCTTGTTCATCCTATCCTGGCGTTCTCTGCTGCCTTCCTCGGCTTGCTCGGCTCCATCCGCTAACTCCGTGAGGTGACTTGTCATGATCTCAAGTGCTCCGGTCTGGTATTCCACGGGTTCCTTTGGCTGTGCTGCGCCTGGTAGCGAAGAACTTCGAGATGGCAACGGTGAAGTTTGCGTGCCCATGTCTCGGTGGTACAGCTCCGTAGGGTCACTTGTGATGCTCTCGTCTTCGGCGCCCTCTTCCATACTAGCTGGCTCTTTCTTAGATTCAGGCAGCTTGCTTACGAGCTTCTCTAAGCGCTCGTTCATTTCATCCACCTTACTTTGGCTGTGGGATAGGAACTCGTGTCTCGATTCCGAGAGTGTTGCTACCATCGGGTTTATGATCCATTTGCTGGCTGCATAGAGCAGGGTTGCAATACCACCAGCTACATAGACGGAGTTCAGGATTCGAGTGGGTGTGATGAGAGGCGGTTGTTTGTGTGCTTCTACTAGAAATTCTGGGTATGTGATGATTGGTGGTGTGCTCGGCCTCTGCGACGTCCCCTGAGTAGCAGTGTTCTGGAAGGGTTGTTGTTGCTGGCGAAAGCTCTCGAATTCATTCCTCTCGAAGGCTGGCTTCGGTTCGACAGCTGCGGCGACAGGCACGGTGGTGGGCGACGTGTCATCAGCGGGAATCGACTCGGGCTCTTTCTCAGGAGACTCAGTTGCCTCTGGCTCTGGTGTTGCCGTCTCCGCCGCCTTTGACTGAGCAGCCTCCGGTTGGCTGCTCACGGGATCCTCAGTCGCTGGAGGTGGTTTGGGTGCGGCGCGCTGCCACGCAGGAATGGCAGGCTTCGGTCGTCCATCCGACATGACGGTCGGTCGGTCGTAAGTGTTGCTATGTGCGGTTTCTCAGTACTATGTCAAGACCAACCTCACTAAGCGATGTCCGGTCGATGCTGTGACTGTCGGAGGTCGGCAAGCTTGAAGCAGGCCTCGGCAGGCATCCACGTGGGTCTTGGCAGGCATCAATGCGCGCTACTCCCCCGAGTCCCTTCCCGCCAGTCAGAGACAGCTCTGGCATCGCCTCCTCTCGCTAAAAGTTGTCTAGACACCAGATATTCCTATTGGAGGCATTTTTGCATTTCCGTGAGAGGCTCCTGACGATGGATGAGTCGGACGGCAGCAGCAATAAACGGCTGAAATCAGCCAACGGAGCCCCAATCAGCACTTCTCACAGCGCATCACAAGCACCAGCCGGGGCACCACCAGCAGCAGCAATGCTGCCAGCGTATCAACCGCCGCCACAGATTGGTGGGCGCACAGCCAATGGGTACGTCATGAAGCATCCCTCGTTACGAATTGCGACTTGGATTGTTTGAGGCTTCCTCTGGGGAGCATCAGTAAGCTTCTGGTTGGGAAGGGATCTGGCATGTCGATATCCGACCACGTGTGGGCGTTGCACGCGCAAACGAGGGAGCTGCAAAGCCAGGCGATGTAGACGAAGCATAACAAAGAAAGACCCTTCGCAGACCTCCGCGGCAGGAACACCAACACTACCCTTACCTCCCATGCACCTTACCACGCGGCGTCAGGCACGATATCTCAGTCAGCACCTGCATTCCTGAGCTACGGGCCAACACTGGCTCCTGTCTCGCCCGTAGCAGTCTGACCTCACGTCTTGCACCGGCGACACGACAACACCAAAATGCCTCCTAACCGCCGCTCTGCTCGCACTGTCTCCTCAACTTCTGCCAGAGACTCGGCACCTCCATACACACGGGCTAACACACGCACCAGTCCCAACGCTTCGCGATCTTCTGCCTCTATAGCTCGCCCCGCGAGCGGCAAGAGCTCACTACGCCTGACGGTCAAGGCGCCGCCCAGTAAGCTTCGCCAAGCAACGTCAGGCGCATCAATACCGCCCAATCCATATGCAGAAGCAAGCGAAAGCGATACTACTCCAGCTCCTCGCGCGGCCAGGGCGACTCGCAACCCTAGAACGGTCGTTGAGCCAGACTCTGACGAAGACGACGAAGACGCACCTGGTGAGGCAGAGGAAGACGAAGACGAGGAGGAAGAGGAAGATGACGCGGAGGGTGAACAAGATACCGAGATGATGGATAACGAGGAGAGTGAGGAAGACGCGGACGGCGAGGACGAAGATATGGAAGACGAGCATCCGCCTCCTCCAGTGATCCGGCAAGAACGAGCTACCGGCAAATCAAAACCTAGCGTCACCGTGATCGCGCCGTCGGAAGGCCCACTAAAGTCTGTCGAGGATAAGGAAATGGAGGATGAGGACGATGACGAGGAGCTATCGGATCTGGAGTCGGACGACATCCTTCAAGGACAGAACAATGATGAAGACGAAGAGGAAGACGAGCTTGACAGTGATGCGGAAGACGAGAACTCCCGTAGTGCCACACCGGACCTCAGCAAGTTGACCAGGCGGCAGCGTGGTGCCTTCGAGGAAGAAACTGTCACAGATGGGTTGATGTCACTATCAAACGAGGCGCAGAAGAAGAAGCACCTCACCGCCGAAGAACATGCCATGCGTAGGGCCGAGATGGCACGACGGCGGAAGAACCTGAGCGAGAAGCGGAACGAAGAGGAGAAGGTAAGATGACCTCCGCAATCACTTGTCTGACCGTGCTGATTATGGTTGCAGATGGACACAATCAACAAGCTCCTACAGAAACCGGCTCCCAAGCGCCGGACGCGAGCGGAGATTGAGGCTGCCAAGGCCGCAGAGAGAAGTCCTGGCGCCGAAGACGAGTACGAGAAGGCCGATCCTCTGTACGTGCGCTGGGTGAACACCAGCAAAGGTAGCTATATTGGAGTGCCACAAGAATGGCTCGATGCGCCTATCGGTGAACAGCTCAGAAAGCCTGGTGGCATGATTCAGGAGGTAGCTTGAGTGTGAGTGACATCTATGTCAATCGATGAATTGCGTAGCTGGGATACCACATTCATACCTTGGGTAGTGCAAAATGTCTCAATATTAGGGCGCTCCCACGCTTCGACTCGTTCACAGTCTTCCCGTAGATTTCCACCCCCTACCGCATGTCTGCGGCTCGAAATCTCGTCTCTGGCTCCGCGGGCGTGCCACCAAAAACAAATCTTGCAGCAAACCTGAGGGAGTCGGCCGCAGGTGTGTGCCTGTTCGTCACCGCGAACGCGGACCATCATGATCGAACAGCTGAAATTGCTCTGTGGCTCAAAGCTCGCTTGAAGCCCTACGCGAAAGGTCTACATGGCCGGGGAGGCGTCCCAGGGTGCACATCGGTGGACGCTTCAGAAGCTCAACCTTCACTCTTCGAACTACGCGAAGATTTTTTGCGGTCAGCAGAAAGGCAGGAGTAAGGGAGGGAGCAATCAAATTGCATTCAACGACCAGGCCATTAAACATCACGCGCCAAAATCCCTTGTTATTGACATGACAGCTCTTGATAGCAATTGTGCTGTTTTCTCGAGCTTGCATGTGAAAAAGCCTGCTCGCTCACCACTAACGCCAACCTTCCTCGCGTCGCCTGACCTCTTACAACGCAGTGAGCAACGCCAAACACTACTTGCTCCATCGGAGAGCACATCGAAGAGCGTTCCAATATCCGAAGACGCACGTACGCACGAGACAATGGCCTGGCTACTCCAAACGCGAAGCGAAATGATCCGAACTCTTGCAGACAACAATCAAGGTATCCTCGACAACCTGCAATGCGTCAGAGTACGCCCTTGCATCTTGAACATTCGAGACCACACATTGCTTCTAGTGGAGCCGAGGGATAGAGGATTCTGGACTCTGATTTCCGATCATATGACGCCGGAGAAGGAAAACGGGGAAAGTATACTTCAGCACATGGTCTACGTGCTTTCCCATGCGATCAAAGAAGACCTTTTCCGAGATTTACAATTCCTGGTGGAGGCGGAAAAAGGCCCCGTGGCTGTGCTTTATAATGACGGCCGGGAACTCGAGATTGGGGTGCTAATGACTGTGGATGGCTGTGCGGATACGAAGATAACGACCGTGGATCTCTCCTTTCCGGACGACTTCGTTGACTCTAGATGGATGAGCGAAGAAGAGAGCGTCCAATGCTTTGCTGATCAAGCGCAGGGTGGGGACCTTTTCCTCGCCCGCGTGTGGCAGAGATATCATAGAGCTATGTCTCCCGAACCTGGGCCAAGCAGACACGGCAATGTCGTCTTTGCCATGAGCCAAGGGTGGCTCTATATTCAGGAGATGAGACTGCAAGAGGCACTGACGGAAGGTGAGATTGCTGTCTGCAAGGCTGATGATGGCCTAGTGGTCTGGGATGGTGATGCTATTGAGAAGAGAAAGGTTCCAGATGATGTGCGGATTTTAGGAGAGACTGATATGCTGGACATGGACATGAGCAGTGTGGTGGAAGGAGGGCGATTGAGGATCAGGTTCGCTAAGGGCGGAGAGGAAGGGAGATCAGGATTGGGCAATGAAGAAGGGCTATGAGGACACTGTCGAGCATTCGGAAAGTAAGTGGATTCTGACCATCTTCTAATACTTTCTTCTTCTTCTTGAGGTCCCTTTATCGTCTTTGTCAAGGATCAGCTGAACACCAAGAGATGAAGCACATTTTCGAGCATTATTGTCACACTTTACTATAGTTTTGTTTCTCCTACGCTACCATTAGTCTTGTGCTGTTCTCATCAGCGCGAGGCTTCACTCAACTGCTGCAGGACGCAACTGCGCTGATGTCACGCCTGCGGATTGTTCTGGAGACGATGGAGAACTTGGACAAGATTAGAGCGGACGTTCAAACCCTGTGGCAATATGATAAAATCGACGATGTGGAAACTAACGGTAGCGGATTGAAGGTAGTTTAGGCGGGAGAGCCATACTGGAAAGTTTGCTCTGGGCAAAGATCTCGCCAGTGCTGGAGGGAGATACGGTATCGACGGCCTTGCTTGACGTATTGTATCTTGACGGACGTCACCGGTGTCTGTAATGGTGCGTCAATAGGACTTGCATCCTTCGAAGATTCGAAAGCTGAACACGGTTCTGAGGCATATTCCTTCACGCTTCCGATACCCAAGAGACCGACATCGAATGGCTTAGCGATCCGAAGCCCAACGCCGCGAGGAAGGTGAGTGCCAGCTTGGGGACAGCTCTTTTCTACACGAACTGAAGGATGAGCGCAAGCGTTTCCAAGACGCACAAGGTCGGCGCGCCGTACTCGATGCGATAAGCACTGTGCATAAGTATAAGGTAGAGGACTGGAATGCTAATTCGACGACATTTTACCTTGGCGACGTTCTTCAGAACCAGCTTGGTAAGAATGTTCCGACCGCGAACATAAGACATTGGATATGGAACAAGTGATTGTAAGTCCAGAATTGGGCTGTCTTGGGTTTTAGAAATGCTGAGATTGTGAGAAACGGCAACGGCAACGGCAGCTTCACTAAAGGACCTCCTACCGCTGATGCTATCTTCAAACCCCAAAAAATCGTGATGTATTACAATCCGGGGTCCTGAGAAAAGAGGAGCTGACTCGGGAATCGCCTTGGGACAAAGGGCATCTTTGTATGATTTGCACAGCGACCTACCCAGAGTAGATGGAAACGCCTAAATGTTGGACTGTTATCCCATTGAATAACGATTAGCCAGATACGAAGAATTAAACAATTCTCCGACCGCGACGTTGAGGCTGCATGTGCAAAGCACTCGAGACCGTCTCCATGGCTAGAAACGGGCCTCTGCAATACTGCCTACGCGAGCATCGCCTACGGGCGCCTATAGGCGAACGACGTGCATTCACCGATCCTTTTGGTTTCCCGAGCCGCCATCCGTCTTATACATGACGCGCGTTCGCATGTTGCTTTGTCAGGTGCTTCTGGAGCAGCTGAAAGATCGTCGTCCTCTCCGGTGGTCCGGATAACAGTGACTATCACAGTGGCCAAGAAAGCTTCACCAGGACTTTGATGGCGAAGATGACGGCACGCGTTGATGAGTTGAAGGAGGCGCGGACGAAGTGAGGTGTGTTCATGTGCTGGCGCCTTCCTAGAAATGGCCTAGCGGAGAGAGTTAAATCTGGCCTCACTTTGCGGCTCAGCTGTTCGGTTGGTTATTATGCCTCGCCACACTCAGAAGAATCGCCACGCTGTCCTTCTCACGCACAGCAGATTCGTCGACATGTCTTGCCAACGCCCCTTCGAACGCGTGTGCGGCGAAGGCACCGCTATGACCACTGGAATTGGATCTATATGTACCCTCTTTTCCGTCAAGGTGACAGGTAGGTGGACGTAGTATCAAGGTACTCGACTCTCAAGGCCTGCAAAACCGCACCGAAATGAAACTCTCAATCATCGCCGGCCTCATCGGCCTGACTTCTCTTGCCGCCGCCGCACCCGCAGATCACATCCGCAGACCTAACGACATCGGCCATCGAGTCAGGGCACCTGGCTACGGCTCCTATCCCTATCCCACTGGCTTTTACCCTACCGGTACATTGGCTGCGATGCCGATACCAACCGGCAGATCGTCATGTCCGGTCGATGGAGCCGTGTTGTGCAACGGACCAGCCCTTTTCGGACTCTGCGATCACGGCACGGTCGTTTGGCAACGAGTATCAGATGGAACGGCATGTCGAGATGGCAAGATTGTGGGCACTGGATATTACGGGACTCCGATGGCGACGGGAACTTCTTGAGGGGTGGCGACTTACGATGCGCATTCAATCGGCGCAAGACAGAAACCGCAGGGCAAATTGACACCAGGAGCAGAACTCATGTTGCATTGTTTGGGAGCACGACATAGCCGGGACGGCACTTGACACACACGCTTGGCTTTCAGACGATCTCAGACGAGTTGAACGATGTATTACTCTCACATATATATCTCAAAGGATCAGTATTTGATTGTAACTCAAAGTCTACCATTATGGCACAGAGTCTGCCCCAGCAGAACCCATGTAATCCCCCCGCCCTCCTAAGCCGCAGTCCAAGTTCTTGCGCTTTCCGAATCAATCTCCACGCCTTCTAAGCCGTCATATTCAGCATCTTCAGCAGTTCCACCGCAGTTTTCGGCTCAGCGGGCGCACAAAGCTATCTCCAAATCCGACTCGTGCGGTAGGAAGTCGCGCAGCGAAGAGACCTCCTTCCACTCCCCCACAATTTAACTAAACGAACATAGAAAGTGAGTGTGGAAGAAGGAAGTGGAGCGCGCCTGAGGAGGAGACATGCACAAAGAAACTCTCCGGCCGAGCTGACTCGCCAGCCTCGATACAGTGGCTGAGGCTTCGTGTTGTCGCCCTCGCCTTCATCCACATTCGAGCTATGTACTTTATAAGAAGCTACGCATCGGTTCAAGTAATCAAGGTATGCTTCCACATTCTGTTCAAATGTCCTTTCCTTCTCCGCGGTGCCCGCTAAGTAGCAACGTGATCTTGACAAGAAAGAAGAGGCTCGCAACCTTTTCAGCTTCGAAAGAGAGGATGCAGGTAAAGATATAGATATCATCCAGGATTCGAGTCCATTGAACGTTCGGTCGGGAAGAATTGAACGTACATCTAGACGAGAGACGCTGGAGAGATTCAGCCCGGCGTGATGGTAGTCGAAACAGACGGGGACCGCAGACTCGCGATTGTGCAGACGTTGAGCGATCTCGAGCATCCGGTAGAGAGACTGATAAACACAGTTGAAAAGTGGTGACGCCCTCTTCCACACCTATTTGCCAGCCGGCGTTGCCGACCAAAATCGTTATAGCAAAGAGCAGGGCATAGCCAGGTACGTGGACACCATCAACGTCAGTGTCCGTCCTGTCGAGAATGATGTGACTCTCACAAAGGATACCTTCTGTGCCGTGTTTCTGGATCAGCAGAGAGATGGTCGTTGAACAGATGTCAAGGGTTTGTCCCATCTGGAAAACGACAGTATACGTCAAGCTTGAGTCTCGCGGAGCTTCTATTACCAACATCATTCTTGCTACCTTCAAAACGAGCTCTAGGCAGCGCTATTACACTACAAACAACGCGGAAACGCACCAGGCAAGGAGTGCATGGCCTCATCACAGCCATGCCTAAACACAGCAAGCCCTTGCAGAGTACCGCTCTCCACCACCACCCACCCTATCGCTCAGAGCATCGAATACTTCCGTCGAAGTATCCCTCCCACTCCCCGTCCAGTGACAGCACCTATCGTCGCGCATGCACACCAGACTGTATTCACCTCTAATCCAATATCATCTTCGCATCCATCATCCATGCAAGTACTTCGCCAGGTTGATCAAACAGCATCCGCAGGATAGCCTCTTTAGAATCTGGTATGTCCGCGGCGGAGATGTGCGTATGGGTTGCGTCGACCTGGCGAAGCAAGTGTCTGATGGTGGCTTCTTTGGCCGGCAGCTTGGCGGTCTTGCGAAACGGTCTGAATCTTGCTCCAAAGTCCTTGATCACGCGGAGCACGCGTTTGAAGACTCCCGGGGTCTCTTCTTCAGGACCGTTGACCAGATCCAAATCCTGTTCTTCGTACCGTGGACGAATTTCCGGCGTTTTCCACTCCGCCTCCTGCTCCTCGAACCCCTCTGGATCGTCTTTCGTTGCTGGTTGCTTTGGCTGTGTCACGATGATTCGCGCCAACTCCCCGAGGCGCCGCGCGTTGGCCTGCCATGCTGTGTTCCGAGGGTCACCATGCTGTAGAGGAAAACCGATCACCTCGAAGCTCTGCAGTCCACGAATTTGAGTCATTTCTTTGTACAGAGCCATCTCTCTGATGCTGTCGTCGTCCATAACACCCAGTATTATCCTCTTGTTGCCGCGGAAAGACCAAGGCGTAATCGTAATGCTGATAGACTGAAGCTTTGGGAATTTTTCCAAGTAGGAAACACGTGTCGATGCTTTGTGGAGATGCTTGCCATAGGCGTACAGGATGTTCGTCAGGCTGCGTTTTCCCCATTCGCTAGAGCACGATTGTGCCGCAACGTGAGGGTCTATTGCTTGGTTTCCGACGTAGGCTGCCGCTGCTGCGGCGAAGAAGGCTTTGCTGACCAGAAACTCGTTGACTTTGAATGGCGGGAAAGGTCGGATGGTGTGAGTGGCTTCCACCATGTTTTCGATGTGCTCGCGCTGATCCCAGGAGCTTTTGGCGATAAGTTCGACACCCTCCAGACGCGGATACGCGTAATCGAAGATGATATCTCGGAGCTCTTGGGGTAGGCCGAAGAGCTTACGCTTGTCGTCGGGAGGCGAGGCTGCACCCGAAGGAGCCATTGTGGGCGCAGGATTGTTGTTGTGGTTGATGATTTTCCGGCGAGCGTGATGTTGCGCGTAGGTGGGTTTAAATAGTCACATGAAGACACGGACGGCGCTTGCTCAGTGCCGAGATTTAGCCAACGTCCGTTCGCTCGTCACGGCAACCCGTTCACGTCGCGCTTCGCCATGTCATTCACCAGATCCTCGCGCCCGATTTCGTTTATTCACCAGATCCTCCCGCTCGGTTTCGTTCATCCGTTCGTGGAGACGTTGTGTCCATTAGGCTTCACCCTCACGGCCCAGCGCCCAGCTCTTGGACCCATCCTGCCCTTCTTCACTCCATGATCGATACATCCTCCTGGCAATAATCCGCCCCTAACATCCAGCTCTCCCAGAGAAAGCCTTCTCAGCCAAGCCAACAGCACCTCTCAATCGCACCACCCACCAGATACTTCCATCTTTACTTCCGGAACCAAATTTCTAGACTCTCAAAACACCACCGACCGCCTCTATAAACACCAGTCAGTCTTTCTAGATACCCGAGAGGCCCCAAATCGTCGAACGAGACTACGAAGTGAAGAGAAAAAACTCGAACCAAACTCGGCAACCCGAAGGGGGACAAAAACCATGAAGAGAGAAAAAGAAAAGAGAAAAAGAAGAAGAAATAAGAGAGAAAAAAGACCAACCCTCCAAAAATCCTCTTGATTCGCGGCACTTACGTCCACTTCCACTACCCTGAAAATATGTACTCTCTCTCCCCATTCCACTGCCTTTCCATCCCAGCATGTCCCACACACTATACATCTATCTAGAGTACCCCTCCTTTCTGCGGCCGCATCCCTTTTGTTGTAACCATCTTAGGTCCCTTTTGTATCATCTGAGGTGTATGTATGCACGGAAAAAAAAAGAAAGAGACAGACCCCGTTCCGCTCCAATCTTGATGGATGGATGGACGAAAAATTACATCATTGCCCATCGAGAAAAGATCCCCACGGTCCAGTAAACCCCATTTCCGATCCCACATTTGAAGAGCGATAGTAACCCCAGACGACTGCCGTCCATGGATCGTTTCGCGCTATGCCCATCGAACAGCAGAGAGAGAGAAAAGCGCCGTCATCCCATATGCACACATTATGTTTTTCCCCGTCCATTAGCAATGATATATGTCCAGGCTCTTCCTCGTCACGGGGGAACGTTTGATGGGAACAAGGAGAGAGCCCTCCTACGCGTTCCCGCCCATCTTCCCCTCAACCTTTCCAGCCTCACGTACAGCGGCCATGAATTCCTCCTCACTTCCAACGTCCCATCGATTTTCGTTCCGCCATCCGACCAGGTCAAGAATTTCATCTCTGCTGCCGTACAGCTTACTTTCTTGCCGACCTAGAACCGCCACGGCAGTGCGGATCAGGGCCTTGTCTCCCTCGAACACGAACACGTCCAGAATCCTCATGACGTGCTGCGGGGCAAGGTTGTATGAGAAGAGACACCGAAAGAGGGGATCCAGATATTCTTCCGCTCTGAGACCCACAGATTCATTCGTCAGATGGTCGTGCAAGCGAGTGAACTTGTACTTCAGGGTCTGGAGGGTGAGGTCATAGGCTCTCGCCATAGCGGCTTGGTCGTGAACAAGGAAGGCCAGAGGGAGTGGTCGGTTCAGCATGTTGGCCAGCAGAACGAAAGCCTCTGGAGCCGGAAGGAGGAGGCAAATGATGCCAGCAACCAGATGTGTTCCATAAACGTAGCCCACGTCGTGGCGATACGTTGCGAAAGCCTTCAGGACATCTGTGAGAGACTGATGCAGGTGTCCGCCGTCGGGTTGGTATATGCCCAGGTCCGGGAAAGTATCAGGGACGTCTCTCGCGATGGACTTGAACCAAGCGGCCTCCTTGTTCTTCTCCCTCGCCTCCGCAGGCAGGTCCGCGAATTTTCTCTCCAGCGCATTGGCCCTCGCCAGAGCAGCCTCGAAACTGGCCGTTGAGAGTTCCAGCTCATTACCAATTGCCCTCTGCCATACCTCTCCTCGATTCCTCGGCGTAACACCTCTCCACCAAAGCTCTCGAGTCCGGGGCTCTTTGACCACAGCATCCCAGTTAGGAAGAACGTGCTGCTCCCAGATCTTCGCCAGACTGCCCTTCATCTCTTTCTGGTTCTCTTTGTTTTCCTGCTCCTTTAATAGCCGCTTCTTCTCGGCCTCCGCAGCACGTGCCATCATCTGCTGGAACTCCTTCAGATGCTTCTTTTCCTCAATGGGATCCTTCGGCGGTAGCCACGACGGTCGCGTCCGGCTCAGAACAGCTTCTTTCTCCTTGCTTATTGGCAACGGATCAATCATGATGTTTCCCTTTTGGACAGGCGGCAGACCATGGACTGAGACCTCATAAGCGCTGCTCTTTGCCCTCTGCTTTGGCATCGATGGTCGTGGTGGGCTGCTCGAGGGCGTGTTCGTCAGACTCGACCGCTTCTCCGAATCGGTCCGCTCTGCGTACTCTTCGAGAGCTTGTGATAGTTGCTTTGCCTCTTCATTCAGATCCTCAGTCCAGGACTTGCTCCTATGCTTCCGGCTGAAGGGCTCTGCAGGAAAATGCGAGATAGTGGCGCTGTGTGGGATCGCTGGTCTGCCAACATGCTTCGGTGATCGTGGCATTGGAGGAGCGTTCGAGGCGCGAGCGTGAGGCCGCTTGGCTTGCTTAGGGATGTTGGCGGAGTGGAGGTTCGCGTAGATAGGGCGTCGATGCGGACTAGGCGTCGTGGAGCGCAGAGAAGCAGTGCTGGGCGAGCGCAAACCATTGTAGTGACCAGGCATGGGCGAAATGGGGACGTTCTCGAGTATAGCTTCTTCCGGCACGTCTTCGTCATCGTCGTTGTATTCCGCCTCCAACTCTTCCGCCGTCTTCCTGCCAGTGCCAGGCTGCCACGATGGTCTCCGCGGGACTGATCCATTCTCCTTTGCGAGAGCGTCCGAACTGTTACTGGCGAGAGTTTGGGAAGAAGCGGAAAAGGCCTGTTGGCCGTACGGCTTGCCCGGCGAGGGCGATCGCGAGGGAATGCGGTGGGGGTGTTGGCGCATGAAGGGCGAGGTAGGACTGGAAGCAGCGCGTTGCATGCTCCTCCGTCCAGAGGGCAGATTGAGCGACTGATCTCTGAGTGCACCGTTCACGACTCCCTGCAGACTGGGGTACTTCTGCCTCATGCCATTGGGCAGCGGCCTCAGAGGCGGCGATGTGCCACTGCGCCGTCGTGCGGCCGAATCCACGTCGCCCGTAGCGGTCAGAGACCTCGGCGGCGGTCTCTTGAGAGTAGGTCTGCTGTCCGGCGGCAGATTGCAGTCTTCAGCGGAATCGCCGTTGAGCTCGACGTCTGCAAAGTGCGTCGACTTGTCGGTCAGCGCAGTGTCGGAGAGATCATCTTCGTCGGATGAGGAGCTCTTGGAGCTCTTGGAGTAGCTCAAGCCGGGCGGCGACGACGGGATGCACTCGAGGCTGACATTGTGGTCGACGACGCTGGCGCCCATCATCACGGATAAGGTCGGCAGTGGGAGACTGAAGCTCCTGTATCCCCTCCTCGTGCTGCCGCTATTACCGCTATTACAACCTCTCCCTCCTCCTCCTGAAACGACGACGCTGGCGGGCAGGGAAACGCCCTCAACATTCGAGGTCCGCCGGGGCGTTCGGCGTGCAGCGGTGGGGACGAGAGCGGCGGCGGAGCGCAAGGAATAATGACCTCCGGCCGTTGGGGGTGGGCTGGTTCCACAGGCGAATGCTCCGCCACCGACGATATCGATAACAACGGTGTCTCTCTCTTCCGCCTGCCAGTCGAAGGAGGAGTCGCGGCGGGAATCGAAGGGGAAGCGGAAGTTGTTGTGGTGGTGGTGGTGGTGGTGGTGTTCAACATACGCAGGCGCGACAGGGAGAACCACGGGCTCCGCTGGCAAGCGCATGTCCATCTCGTTCTGGACAGCAGATTCCCTGCCGTCGCTCACTTCTCGAAAGGAACACGCTCCAGGGGTGTTCCGCCCTCTGCCGGCCAATCAGAAGCCGCAGTGACCCAGTCGAAACAGGCCCACGTCGAGGGAGGCAATAATGTCGTTGTTCGCTTGTGGAGAGCGGAACAATGTGTCGAACAAAGAAGTTCGTCGGTTCTTCTGCCGTTTCTGTCGTTGTCGTCGTCGTCTCACTGCCGTCATCGAAGCATCCCCAGCCATGCACAATCACAGCATCCCAAGTACCGGGCGGTAGAAACGGCGTGTTGGAGGCTGGCTTGGAACGATTTCCGTCGAGGTCGTCGCGAGACAAACAAGTTACAGAGGAGGAGAAGAACGATAATGACTTGGACCCTTCGTCGCGGCTTCGACGTTGAGCTGGTCCACGCCGTCAAGGTTTAGCCGTGCAGCTTATATCGACGATTCAAGCTTTGTTCCTCCCAGTCATCAAAAATACTGGACTCTCGTTGACTCCCCTGTCTCGGCATGGTGTGTTATCAGCGTTATGCTGCCTCTTTTCCCTCGACAACGAGCAGCAGCAGGATTTGTATCGTCAGTCTCATCAAACCATCCGCCTATGAGGGACGGCCATCCCATCTTCCAATCCTTTCTTATCCACGCTTCCCAGCAAAGCTGCAACTCAAGCAGCGTTATACCCTGCGACAACCTGCTCCAGCAATCTCACGTCCACGTTTCCAATGCGCAGGCCTTGCACTTCTTTCTCCAGAAACGCAATCAAGCCGCGAAACTTCGATTGTCGCTTGCGAAAGAACGATAGGAAAGCGACACATGCGAGCCTGCAGTCGTCCCTGTTAGCCAACTGCCTTGGTTGTGTTTGTGTGTTCTGCTCCGGGCGCTTGGTAGATCTTCTTTGCTTTCGTCATGCACGCGAGTTGCAATGATTTGTCCATGCCAAGTCATCGACTTTCGCGCCGTCTTCTCTGTGCCGTGGGGCAAAGCGTGGCGCTTGTTTCGCAGCGCGCAAGCTTTACCGGCTGTGCCCCGGAACAAGTCCCTCAACAGCAGAAGCCCGGAGGAAGGAGGAAAATTTCTTTGATCTGCACTCACCATCTCGTCTGATTCCACTTGACACAACACTCGTAGTCTAGAATGTCCTTCTTCGTCTTCTTCCTCCGCTTCATGAGGACGCACGCCAGCTTGATCGAATCATCGACAGTTCCTGTGCACCATGAACGTCAGTGATCAGCAAATACGAGCTGCACATCACAGCACTAGCGGTAGACTTACGAACGACAAGACTGCTACCCGGCTGCTTCGACACCGGTAGAGATTTGACGTAATGATAGCACTTCTGCGCGAGCTCCGAGAAGCAGTGGTAGACGTTGGAGAGTACGGTCTCAACATCATTGTAGGCCGTGGAGAGATGCATCGCGTGCATCTGCAGCTTGAGCGCGTTCAACGTCTTGCGATACAACGTCTGCCCTGGCAGCTTGGTGTACTCCACTGTCACCGAGTCGGCAATGTTGCTTTTGCGCCTCCTCTCCAGGTCCTTGGTGATGTTGAGGGTGCGCGTATCAATAGCATTGCCGCAGTACGGGAAGGCGTCTTCGCGAGCATTTCTCGCGATAATTCCTTCGTCGACTTCCACGTCAAAGTTCGCGCGACTCTTCTCGGCCTTGACGGTGACTCCAAATCGTGGGATGCCAGCGTGCATGGTATTCAAGAAGCGAGCCACAACATCTCGCTCCGTGCTGATGACCAGAAAGTCGTCAATCAAGCGCAACAACACGCTCCTGCCGTCATTCACGAATTCAAGCTCTTCTCGCTCGAGCTCAGCGTAGAAATAGCTGCAAAGTAAACTGGAAACAATGGATCCCTGAGGTATGCCCTCCTTCTGACGATAGTATCGCTTGCCGATTTTGATGAGGTTGGCTTCGACGTGTTCTTCGAGCAAGGCAAGCAGGGCATGCCGACTCTCCCGCTTCTGCGCATTGCCATTAATGTAGACGGATCTCGTTCGTCCGTCTGCCGTGTCGTCCTCGACTTCTTGTCGGAAATCGAGTGCTTGGGTGCTCGCGGTAGCTTTGGTCAAGAATTTCCAAGAAGGCTTAGCCCCAAACCCGGGCATGTGCTTGTTGTCACCTCCCGCAAGCTTGGCGCGAGAGTATCTTGTTGTCTGGTATTGGCTGGAAGATATGACACGTCTTACCAGCCGCATAAGTTGCTTCTGTGGGATAGTATCGAAGCAAGATTGCACGTCGACTTTAGCGAAGTAAAGTGGCCGGCCCTGCAACCCTTGCTGAACCAAAGATTGGCGATACAATTGGAGGCGAGGGAAGAGATCGTCGACAGAGAACAGCGCAGAGCCAAGTATAGCAGGATTCGCGGTCTTTTCATAGTTAAGAACGCTGAAGGCAGGCGTCATCAAGCTGTTGATGCTTTTGCCAAGCGTCAAGCGACCATTCTGCAGTATCTGGACGCGTCGTCTTAAATTGATGATCGGCCGCATGCCACGTTCTTTGGGCAGCAGACGAATGTTGCTGATGCCGAGAGATCGCTTTGCGACCATTCGATTGAAATCGGTGGCGTTGCACTCTTCGAACATGTTGAGTTTGAGCGACGCAAGCATCGGTTCCGACATCCTTCTCCAGACATCGTGCCGGAAGTAGAACAGCTGATTGCGCTGCATATTAGATTCAGTGATATGGAAATGGGCGCGAAGGAGTGGAATGAGGAAGGAGTCGAAAAGATAGTAGAGCAGCTCTGTCATCAACTCCTTCCGTTTGGCAAAGTCGCTCATGCTCAAGCGATCTCCCTTCCTAGCATTGGGTGGAATCAACCAATCGATCTCGTCAAGTCGCAAACCTTGGAGGACGTCGTGTAGGCTCAGACTTTCGTATCGTCGCAATCGGACAAAGCGATCAATGTCATATTTCAATTTCTTCACGTTATTCTGTGCCATTTCACCAGATCCCCACAGAGCCTTGGGGAAGACTTGGAGAACAGCGGCCCGACAGAAGGCGGAGACTTGGGCAACATCGGCTGCTTGTCGGATTGAGCTCTGTGATGGCTCCGCATTTTCGGTTCTCACAGGACAGTAGTGATTCAACAGTGCAAAGTATGAGCATTTGGAATGGCGTTTCCGCAGCTGATGGATCATGTGTTGTGCTTCGCCACGGAGCCGCTTCGGCACAGAGCCGGGTCGTAATGTCGTTTTACTGCCTGCTAGATAGCGTCGCTGAAGCTGACGGCTTCTGTGGCTGGTAATTTCTCGCTCACGCAGCGTATAGTCTTTGAACGGCTCGCCCGTCTCCCGTCCGTCTGTGTTGCTGGCGAGGACGTTGTGCAAGCCGAACTGTGATGGAAAAACGTGCTTCATGACGTGCTGTGTCTGAGAAACGTCGCCCGTATCGCGGCACCTGCTCAGAACGTGGATTGGATTCAAGCCAAAACGCACATGGCCTTTCGAGGTGGAGGCAGCACGAGCATACAGCATGCGAGAACGGACGAAGCGTATATCTGAGAGACCGCGAGAGGCCTTCCGTTGAGTGACATCAGCCTTTAGCGTACTTGTCTTTGTCTGATTCGTAGAAGAATAGGTCGGTTGAAGTTCGAGGTCGCTCATGGGTACTCCACTCAGCTGAATCAGGTTACTGCTTTCGATGACAGGCATAAAGACGCCGCAGTCCAAAAGCAAGTCAACCATGACGCGCTCTGCACCTTTGCCTAGCAGAGTCGGAATGGCATTCCAGGGGTGCTGCTTCAAGGTCTGGACATGTTCGTTGGGGCCGCTCGAGTAAATCCCCGGTATGCAAGAAACGATCTCCGGCTCGGGTCCATAGTTGTACTCGGTCACGTATTTCTGGAAATTCTTACACAGAAGGTGTTTGGGTCTATACTGTCCTGTGTGCCTGCGGAAAAGAAGCCAGACCGTAAAATCAACGATCTACTTACCGTTAGCCGTGTCACGCGTGCACGGAAGACGCGTCTCGAATGACAAGTAACGGCCAGTTTCATACAGTAGCCTACCTCGGTCTGTTTCAGCTCACCGGGAGTCAAGAGGATGGAAGATTCGGAGTGGCTGAGCTGCTGAGTGAAGGTAGACAGATCATCCTCGACGAAGCTGCTCTCTTCAGTGTTGACCGGCTGGAACGCGCCCACAACCGTCTTGTCCAGCAAGCGACTAACTGCAGCTTCGGCATGCTGGTCGCCGTCGCGTCCATACTGCTGCAGTCTCCTGCGCCGCTTCTTGGTGAGACGTGAGGCGAGGTATTGTCGCAAAGTCACGACATCGGTGTAGTATTTTCCAAGAAGAGGATACGACGGTCGGTCTGTTGTCTCATCGCCGGGCTTAAGACGCTTGGCCGCGTGTGTTGCATCGCGATTCTGGGTCGGACGTTTCCTCTTCATCGCGAATGCGATGCGTGTACATGGCGACAGTGGAGGATGTTGTTGAGGGAAGGAAAGACGACACGCTAGAGGGACGAGGTCAGCTGATGCCTCAGGCTGGAGCAAGATTACCCTCGCCGTTAACTTTCCCTTGCGGCCTCCGCTATTTCACATCGCACACCCACGTGACACCTTCCTCGTCATCCTTCGCCCATACTCTCAACATTCGCGGCGGTAAAGGTTGCGGCGGACGGATGGACTGCCATCGCCGCATTACACGGATCACACAATGTATTTCACGCCTACGTAAGACCGAAAGGCCGACATTACTAACCACACGGGCCGAAAGTCCGACGTCTCTAACCACGACGCGGCGACTGGGGTACATGGAGACGGCAATTGGCAAAGCGGTGGCGAGGATGCTCGTCATACCTCACTTCCTCTACACTGGAGCGGCATGGGTACCGCTGGACTCACTCATAGGGCAAGAAATAGCTGTGGCGAAAGCCTAGAGGGTTGAGCTGCATATAGCTCGGGGCGAGGATACAAGTAGGTATGCACATCTCTCCTCTACTGCAACACCACACATCGTTTCATGATTAGGCACTTCACAACCACAAGCTCGCTGCTGTCGCGTCGTGTCCACCAGAGCCAACGATACGCATCAAGAAGCATGGCAACAGCGAACAACGTCCAGCTCCAGCTGGGCCAGTGGCCCGAATACTACCGACAGGGCATCTCAAATGAATCTACCAAGAAGGCCTCGGAGCTTCTTCAGGAGAATCACGAGAATTATCACATCTTCTTCAACGCGGATGGCTTCCACAACCACATCGCACACCAGATGCTCACCATGTGGGCTCTCAGTGCCTCTCCGGATCAGCTCCAGCGTGAGTACAACAGCAACAAATCCTACCAACGGCCCAAGATGCAGCCACACAAGTCGGTCATCGATGACCTGCAAGACCCAAGTAAATTTGTTGAATATCTCGGCCCCGAGGAGCATTACAATGACTACCTCGAATTCTTCCACAGGGAGATGGAGCGGCTTGGTTGGCAAGAAGTCTTGCAGCAGTACCTCTTCGCTGGTGACGAGAGGTCCGAGACGATGCTTGTACGCATGTACGCCGGATTCCTACATCCTCTCATCCACCTCGGCTTCGGTGTCGAATTTCAACAACCAGCAATCATGGCCGAAGCTCTTGCACAAGCAGCGTGTCACTCAGACTGGATCGGCAAGCTCCTCATTCCAGCCGAGAAAGCCGCCCGAGAACAAGGCAGCACTGGCTCCAAGAGCATCGCGCAGCTCCTTGACGAAATCCATAACGACAAAGAGCTCTTCGACGCCGTCCGGTGGAGCGATGGTAACAAGATTCGCGATGGAATCCTCGCCCGCGCTCCCGAAGCCATGACCAAGTACGTCTCTCAGGTACGCGTTCGCCCATCAGAACTAGAAGAGAAGACTGCGGAAATGACCAACGCCGCGACGTATTACACTGGCGGCGCGCAACGCAGCGACCGAGCCGTCAAATTCGACTTCTATTTCATGCACTGTGTCAACTGTTCCATCTTTCACTCGGCCTTCCTCAAACAACCCTGGCTCAGCGACGCCAACAAAGTCCGTCTCCTAGAATGGAAGATCCGTCTCGACTTGGCCATGTACGCCTCTCGCAAATCCCCCGAGATCCGCCTGCAAGATATTCGGAATTATCAGCCGAAGAGCCCATCGGGCTGGGAAGAAGTACAGGATCGTGTCTGCGCGATCGACGACGACGGGCACGCTTCGAAACTCGTGAGAGCCATTGCGCATGGTGGCGAGATTTGTCGGCCGTTCGAGGAGAAGGAAAGCTTTCGATTGAAAGGTGACGATTGGTTACAGCTCGCGCATATGGCTATCGACTCGGTGGAGATGCCGGGAGATAACTGGGTCCGGAGTGCTGGATTCGATGAAGCTTGGGAGCGCGTGCCGTTGAGAAGTAATCTTTAGCGTAAATCCTGTAGTCTTCTTGTTTCGCGGGTGTGAAGACGTATGGATACGCAGAACGCAGTAGTGGGTGTGCACTACATATAGCGCTGGCTCTCTGCGGTTCTTGGCCCCGATTCGTGGTTCTAGTTCGTCCTGCTTGTCAGTGTCTCAGAATCGCGACTGGTCTTGGAGACATTCTCAACTGCATCTCATCTTGACCAGAGAGCTGCCGGACAACCAGCCATGGACCTCTTGAGGGGCAGGAAGATTGGAGTGCTGGCGGAGATGTTCTACAGAGATTCTCCTGACGCCACATTCTTCCTAGGTGGCTCACTACCTCCCAGAAGGCATTTGAATCCTCTGGATCTCAGCCCTAATGTCTTCTCATGAAGCCGGAAAGCCGTCCCTCTTCTGCTCCCCTGCCTCCACGTCGGCATCCTCGTGGCTCTCTACGTTGCCACTTTCCGACGAAGGATCCGGCAGTAGCGGCTCTTCACTGCGCTGTTCCACAGGTGCACGCGTAGCGCTCATATCCTGCATAGCAACGCCGTGGCCGCCCTCCGAGGCATTCTGTGTTGCTTCTGACTGTCTAGTCGTAGCCAACTGCCTTCTTCCAGGCCCATACTTCTCCGTACAGGATTTGAAATTCTGTGTAAGCAGATAGACCGGGATAGCCAACAGCAAGAAGAACCATTCGATGCCTGCCATGGTCCCGAAAGCAGCGTACCATTTTTGGGTGGCGTTGTGCACGCCGGGAGAAGCAGACAGCCATCCTCCTGCCCCAGCACCATAGGTACACGCCACGGCAATGGCGTTCCGGATGATGAAGAGCGACACGAGCCCTTCGCCGCTGAACATGAGCTCGCTGTCTACGCAGTACGTGACCAGAATATTCGACACAGCCGCGAATCCGAAACTGTGAAGGGCATATCCGATTGCGGGACCGATCCAACCTTTCTTCTTGGCGAGTAAGAAGCCATAGATCATCAGACCGGGCGGTGCAAATGCGGCCGGAATCCCAAGCAGTTTGAGACGCTGTTCTGGAGGTCCTCTCGCGCGCCCTGCCGCTGCTCGGCGGTTCTGCATGGACTTGTCGAGGTAATATCCTACCACGCCAAGGGCGGAAAGAACGCCGATCCAGCCAGCGAAATGGAAGTTTCCGACGTGTCCGATGCTCCAGCTGTACGGCGGGGAAGAAAGAGCTTGGGAGAGTGAGATTTGCATAATGATGGTCCAGCCGACGAAAATCCCAATGACAATCGAGCTGTATAAGATTTGAGGATAAGAAAACATCAGCGTGATGTCTCTCAAGGACCGCTTGAAAGCAGACACGGGCTTGTCCCTTTGCAACCCGATTGTTGGATCCATCCCCTGCAGGAAGGAGCGACGAGTTGAAGATTGCGAAGTTGTGTTTGGAGCAGAACGGTACTCTGTTTCGTGAACCATGAAGATGGCGAGTACGAGAATAAAGCCAGAGACAATGCTGATCCACCCAGGAATCCAGCGCCAGCCATGAATTTGGATGACCCACGCATTGATGAGGGGGCCTAGGAAGATACCGGACGCGAGGAAAAACGTGAAGATCATTCCTCGGTAGCCTCTCGTCTTCTGATCCCATAGGTCTCCCACTGTGCTTGGGACTGTTGCGTCGGCTGCCGAAGCTCCTATCCCTGAGACCATGCGGGAGGCGAGCAGACTTCCGTAGCTCGCTGCTGTAGCAGACCAAGCATTCGCACCGATGAGCACGGCGAGCGCCAGCAAGTAGACAGGTCGCTTGCCAAGGACACGCATCATGGGCACCCAAAGGAGGTTACCAAGCCCAAACATGAGGACATTGAGCGCTGTCAAACTTGTAGCTTTCGTGAGGGATATGTGGAAGGCCTGCATGAGCGTCTTGACGGCGACGGTGAAGGCCGAGGCATTCGCGTTGGCGACGAAAGAGAAGAGACAGATCGTCCAATATGTCGTGTTCTTATGTGTGTCTTCCCAATTCCGGGGATGATTGGGATCCGCATTCTCTTCTTCGCCTGTTGAGGCCTGTCAGCTGCGCGATATGGATGTCTTCGGAGGGTGTCTCACCCCGCAAACGCCGTTCCACGTCTGCAGGATCACTGTGGAAGACCTGAGCAGTCGCTGCCTGTGCGGCAGTTGCGACGTTGGCAACAGATGCTACGAATGCGGAGAATTTATTCGAGCGAGCCGCTGCTGGACGCGCCGTTGATGGCCCTGCGCCAGTGCAGTTGTCGTCCATCATGTTTCTTTTTGGTGTTGACGAGGAACCGCACAAGTGCAGGCGATTCACGAATGTCTTAAGGTCGGGTTTTCAGTTAGGACAAGCAGCAGGTGCGACCGGGGGACTTCGATGGATTGTGCTTCCCGTTCGGGGAGATTCGTTCATCCAGATCTTCTCCTGCAAATAGTAGACCGCGCAAAGAAGTGGCTGGAGTTACCTACGATGTGGTTCTAACGAACGAAGCGGGACAGCTATTGCGCAGACCAGGTGTCGAGGATGATTCTAGTGCTCTAGTGAATGCGTAGACGTCCAGATGATGTTTGTTGACCGGCGAGACGAGGATCCCGATCGCATTAATGTTTGCGTGATAGCAACTGTGAAGCCAATGAAGACAAGAGAGCAAACGTTGCAGCTCTCAGGTAAAATTGTGAGAGAATCTCACAAGGGTGGTGAAATGGAGTTCAAAGAATGTGGTACCGCAAAGTACACGCCTACCTCAAGCCTTGGTGTCGACCAAAGGTGTCTCTTCCAATGCCCTATCGACCTCCTCTTTCGCATCATAACCAAACAACCAAGGCTGCACAACAGGACATTGCCATCTGGATGGGAACTTGCAATCGATCTGCTTGCCCAAAGTCGATGCCATCAATCTGTCGCGCGCCTGCTGCTCGGAACCGTCGACCATGTGAAAATCGTGTCGTTGGGCAAATGTTTCCTTCACGATTGTTTCGCCACGCTTCTTACGTAAGTGCTCGTAGAGTTTCAGAGCATCAGGCAACTGCTCCTTGGAATTGACAGCGGCCCGGATATAGCCAAGGACAGCGCCGTCTTCCACGGCCGAGTTTGCGCCTGTGAATCTGTCAGTGTGGGCCAGCCAACAAGTCCTTCGTCGGACGAGCCGTCACAAAGCTTTGCGCAGGCGTGTGCTGCCGCCGAGTGATTGCTTTGCTTACCTTGGGCTAAGTATGGCAACATCGGATGGCAAGAGTCGCCGACAAACACGAAATTCGATTTGTCGCTGATCCAACTGTCCAGTTCAGGCCGATGCATGAGTTTCCACTTATCGACAGTCTTCACATGGTCCAAGAAACGGTTCAAAGTAGGATCCCAGTTGGTGAAGATCGCCCGCATCTCTTCCAGCGAGCCAGATTGGCGGGCTACGTCGGCAGGCAGGTTGTCAGGCACTAGAAGCACCATGTTCGAGATGGTACTGTTTCGAATTGAATACGCGACTACGTGCGCATTGGGGCCGACCCAGAATTGGCAGGTGGGTTTGGAGATCCAGTCGCGAACCAGCGGATCAGCTACTTCATTGACGTCCAGAACGATTCGATAGGCCAAATCGCCCGTCGGCAGTGGTGCATTCTCTTGCAGCCCCTTCTGAGCTAAAAGTTGTTGTCTGCATTTAGACCACAGTCCGTCGGCGCCCACCAGTAGGTCGGCTTGCAGTGTCTCTCCGCTGGCCAGCTTGACGATCGCCTGATCAAAGTCGATATCCTCTACCCTCGCACCGAGCTTGATCTCTACACCCAGCTCACGAGCACGATCTGCGAGAGTACGTTGTACGTCTACCCGGTGCAGGTCCCAGAACGGCGCATTGTACTTTGTCTGCATCTCAACGTTCCAATTCTCCGTTTTGGACAAGATCTTGCCATCTGACCATTGGCGGACCTGGAGTAATGTTGGCTCTGCTGCTTTAGATTCAAGCTGTCCGAGGACACCATATTGCTTGAAGATCTTGCTGGCGTTGGGCGTTATTTGGAAGCCGGCTCCAATCTGTTTCGTCGTTCAGCTGTGTGGTATTGCCGACCTTGTATAGTGGTCGACGAACCTCTGCCAGCTCTTTGGCACCTTCCAGCACAACTACATAATGTCCAGCAAGAGCACAAGATATGGCGGTACTCAGCCCGGCCATCCCGGCCCCGACGATCTTGATATCGAGCGGCGCCGAGGTCTTTCTCAGGATGGCCATATCGATGATGTCTGCTGAGGTCTGCTGAGGGGAAGGGTGGAGCTACTCACGCCTTGCAGGCCGTGAAGCAGGAGATATAGGCACGGCACGTCACGTCCGAAAGGCTGAAATGTGGCGGCTGACGGGCATGGCCTTTGCCACATGTCCATGCAATCGTTCCGAAACTGCTTCCATTATTGCCTTTGGGTTGGTGTGGGGTGTCTGGGAGTGTGTGGTAAGGTATGTGGTAGGGGGCGGACTTTCTAGAGCTAGGGCTTCGGCTCAATCGTTGCCGGGTCCTATCCCCGTGCGCTTTGGCCTTGACATGTCCGTCCTTCGTACGTGTCTGGGGCGATATTGCAATTGATGCGTGTAATGGCCGTGGCAAGCTTCTATTTCTTTCTCCTTCACTTACCGGCCATTGCACGTGATGGCGGGGTACCTGTAGGGCTGAAAATAGCCTTTCGTGTTCCTGGCTAGCTGGAGGGCAGATTGTGCATGTTCACCGCCGCGCACCTCGAGCAGATCTTCGCTTTCTTCTCTGGCCACCTGTCGTCGATTAAGACAAACCTGCCACGTCGAAGTCCCGTTGGCAGTATCAGCGTCGCGATACAATTGCAAGCTTGAAGCTGCGTTGAAGTTGAGGCCATCTTCTCCCTCCTGTACTTCCTCTGTTCTCCCCACCTCTCCTTACACGGCCACCATCCAACGAATTCGACAACTCTCGACTCGTCTGTCCGCAACGATGACCGCTCCAGTGGTCAATTCGGTTCTCCCGGTGCCTTCTGTGGCCGACAGGCCCATCAAGAACACGGTCGTCCTCTTCGATGTCGACGGCACGCTCACTCCTGCTCGTTTGGTCAGTACCTCTCCCCTCGGATTGCCGGCAGAGACAGGCGACTGACCAGCATGGTCCTGTTAGAGCGTCTCCCCACAAATGCTGTCGCTCCTCGCTGCCCTACGCCAAAAGGTTGCAATTGGTTTCGTTGGTGGCTCGGACCTCAAGAAGCAGCAAGAGCAGCTCGGCACCAACGACATCAACGTCACCACCCTCTTCGATTTCGCCTTCGCCGAGAACGGCTTGACCGCGTACCGGTTGGGCGAGCAGCTATCGTCGAATTCTTTCATCAAGTATATTGGCGAGGAGAAGTACAAGCAACTGGCGAGGTTCATATTGCACTACATTGCGGACCTGGATATTCCGATCAAGAGGGGTACATTTATTGAGTACCGAAATGGCATGATCAATGTCAGCCCCATTGGCAGAAACGCCAGCAATCAGGAGCGAGGAGAGTACGAGAAGTATGACTTGGAGCACAAGGTCCGTGAGAAGTTCATCGAGGCGTTGAGGAAGGAGTTCCCTGACTTGGGATTGACGTAAGTCTTGACGCGAAGAAGCTGGTCCTGAATTGGCAAGCTGATTGATGATAGATATTCCATTGGCGGTCAAATCTCGTTTGACGTGTTCCCGACTGGCTGGGACAAGCGTTACTGCCTGCAGCACATCGAGAACGAGAAGAATTTGCCTGGCGGAGTGGAGTTCAAGACTATCCACTTCTTTGGTGACAAGACGTACAAGGGTGGCAACGACTACGAGATCTATGAAGACCCGAGGACCGAGGGACACAGTGTCAAGAATCCAGAAGATACCATGGCGCAACTGAAGAAGCTCTTCGACCTCTAAAGCAGGACGAGGGCGGTACGGACGGGAAGCGCGACAAGAAGGAAATAGTCAAAATCGAAACGTCGGCGGGGAAGCATAGCGAGTCAACCAAAAGTGCAATAGATCTTCATGCTGCTATACACTTACAAAAGCTTACTCGCAGAGAGATAGAGTCAACGATCAAAAGAATGCGGCGTCCTCCAGATCCCTCGAGACAACCCGGCGGACAAAGGGAACAGAGGGCGAAACGTGGCTTCCACTATTGTTATATCCTCGCGACTCTCTCAAGAGCCTTCGTAAGACCAAAGGAATCGCGTATGCCTCTGTGGCAAGCGATGCTTGCCCACAATCGCGCACGCTCAGAGGCGCTGCTGAGCGTTGGGCGTAAGGAAAGGACGAACGAAGAGCCATATCAGGCACGGTGATTGATCGCGCGTAGTGCAGCAAGTTAGACCTGTTCGGGAATGTTCTACTTTGCAGATCTTCTCGCTTAGGTCTGTCTATGCACACTGTGGTACTTTCCCTGTCTTACCCTACCTCACCTCTTGAAACTCGCGCAAGGCTGTGACGGCGTTTCTGCCCACGACTGCGCCATCAATTCGCCCATGGAATTACCATCACGGCGATGCGCGGTCAAGACGATGGCTGACTGCTTCACGATGCGATGCGGTGCGATGCGATGCGGTGCGACGCGACGCGACCGAACCGGCACCGAACGAAGACGGCAATTTCATCGCAAAGATATCACATCTGACCGAGCCATTTCGCCAAGAATGTCAAACGAGAACCACCAGCAGTCGACTGCGCCTCCTCTATTCAACGCCCAAAGAACCAGACCCAAACGTCTGAGCACCTCGCATGATCATCTCAAGCGTGCTGGAATCTCCACGACCAACGCCAACGTCCCGGCTCAACCTTCACGAGATGATGGCACTCCGATGCACAACCGATTGCAGTGCTACGTCTGGAGCAGCAAGTTCTCCAGGTGCTCATCGTGTCGTCCTCCGAGTCCATCGACTCTGAGTCGATATCGCCCTCCAGCTGTTCGGAGGCCTCACCAACACTCGGCGTCTTGCTCGAGGAACCACAAGTGCCGGAAGAGATGCTTGCTGTCTTACTGGAAGCGGACCCAGTACCTTCTTGCAACCTGTCGGTCTTGTCCTCGTCCCAGTCTCCGTCATCACAGTCCATGACGTAGTCCTTCAGTCCTGCATGCTGTCAGTGACGTTCCTCGCCCAATCCTGCAGCGCATGTCTGACCTGGGTGAAAGACGCAAACTTGCGACATGTCTGCGGCGGATTTGAAGCTCTTCTCACACAATTGACATTTCTGTCGACCCGTGGAGGCTGGAGAGTCCACTCTGGCCACTTCTGCTTCGTAAGGGCCATCCTGACCACGACAGTTGCCTATTCGAACCAGATCGATACTGGAAGGGCCCCACGGATGCATCATCAGCAGATATCTCTCATTTGACATCTGCGCCAGCGCCTTCTCCGCCACCGTTCCCCAGGCACTTGGATGACAGGGCACATCAATCAGTCGAGACAGCTCGGCATGAGTCCATCGCGGGGTCGATACTAGGTCTTCTCGGTCATCGTTTTCTTTCGGACGCCAAGTCTCGCCTGTCCCGCAGCATGTTATGTTCCACTCCTTGCCTTGTCCGGGCTCCAATCCTGGTATTTGGGATATGCAGTGGAGTAAGGACTTCGTCGGAGTACGGCCAGATCTGGCTCTATTAAGATGCAGACAAAGCGTCTTGCCAAGACGGCGAAGCAGCTGTAGGGTCGGCCACCATAGCATCTCGGGCTCCTGGGCGAGTTGCGCGAATTTAATGGTCGCTATTAGCTTGGCCGGCTGCTGGAATCGGCAGCCTTGCTGGCAGCTTTCGAGCTTGGTAGTCATGTCTGCGAATAACGTCAGCAGGCTTCAATGGGATGAGGCAACGCCGTGGCGTGAGGAAGTCGATTACTGAAGGTACGTTTCCCGCAAAGAAAGCATAGAGTGTCAACAGCAGGACTGTGGTGCTGCAACCCACATATAGCACTCTGCCATTGCATTCGACATTCCGCCGAACGTCGCAGTAGCCAACACGGCTACGCTGTGCAACCAGACCCAGCACCCAGGACAGCAAAGCTTGATACTAGAGAAGCGACAGGCATCGCGGAGGCTTGGTCGAGACCAATGAAAGATGAAGCCCAGGAACGACAGCAGTGTCACAACAACCTCCTCTCTCGACGCTGAGACACTGCACATTCCTACATCTTTCCAAGAAGGCGTACGTTCTCGGTACCAATCCTGAAGATAGACTCTTCAGCATCATTTATTCAACTGCGGACGTCTGCACGAGCGACTATGCAGAGCAATATCTGCCGTTGCTTTGTTTCGTTCGCTTCTACACCTGCGAGAACTTTTGCCCCGTCGATGAGGCACAGCCCCTTGCTAGACTGGCATACAGAACCAAGGCTCGGGCCGGCGGCATCCGAATCCTGACCTACAGTGTGCCACCGTATGCAATCTTCTGAGCAGGACTGTGCCGTAAGCTTGGTGAAAGGATAGTCGTCCTTGAAGTCGGCCAGAGTGACAACGTCCGTGCGCTTCATGCAGCCTCCATCTGTGACATGGATACCCATGAACGCGATCTTGGAAACACCGGACCAGCTGCCGCTGGGAGCACGGGTTCGCTCCTGTGCCGCCAATTCGGAACAAACCGGTACGGCGCGAGAGGCGAGTCTGTGCCATGTGAGCAAGCTTCGCGTTGCAACAGCAATGCATCCTCTCAGACTCTCGACAGCATGCGTTCACGGCCAATCAAGGCATCCACATGTTCTAGTCGGTCTCGGGTAGGGGCTTGCTCTTACCAGCAAGCGAATGTCCCGTCGGACACTGATCGGCATCATACCGCGAATGCTGTATCACCGGGGAATCAGCATCGGGGTTCCACTTCGTAATCGGCACTCGAGACTACTCATGTTATCGTTGTTGCGGGGCCGCGAGCGCTGTGGATACCTCCACGGATCCTTGCTCGTCAACAGTGTCCTTGCTTCATTCCTTTTTCGTATAACATCAGGCTTGGTCGCATGGCGTCCCGCTGTGCCGCGAGACGCGCTTAATTTCTGCTGCGGACGCAGCTGCCCGCGAACTATCGACCTTTGGCCCATGGCTCCAGCGAAGCGAGTGATATACGTCTCCGTGCAACACGCAGGCGTGCACCCTCCATGGCGGGGCTCCGACTGAAGGCTAGTATCGAGAAGCACGAAGACCACCATATCGGCATCTGATGACTCGAGGTCGGTGATGGTAAGGCTGACTTGGAGCATCGCCATTCCCGCTCGCCCGGGACCTCTGCTGTCACTGTGGGGGCTCACCGCTGTGATACCCTGTCGGGTTATGCTAGGCACAGTGCGACACATGATCCGCTGGCTTTACATAGCCCAAATGAACCGCCATGGCGATCTCGGGGAAGTGGCACCATATGGGTATTGAGCCGGATCCTGAGGGTCAGACATCTCGTCACTTGCCCGCTTCCGCACGATTTGATATGCCGTCGACCAGATGCTGCCGAGCTTGCTGCTTGTCATCGCGTCGATAAACTTTGTCTGGCTAGCAAAACACCCTCAGATCTTGGCGGTGCTTGAAGTGCCATGACCGGAAACACATGGCGAGACGTCCTCCTAGAGCGCGAGCGCTTTCGTCGGTGCTCACGTCGAGTCATCTGATGTATTCAACGAATCTTACACTTCAGTTGTAAAGATGGCATGATCTGGCCTTGACCAACTTACCTGCTTTGCATAATGATATGGCGCGAGGCGCGCCGTGTGGCCACTAGATGTCTTCTCCTGGATCAACTAAGGAGCCTTGTCCTGTAAGTTCTCTGTGCTCTTCTGACATCAACACTTCATGTAGACTGAAGACTGACTCGTGCAGTAGGCTTACCAGCGACGCCACTTCGATCGTAATCCGGAAAGCTGTCGTTGGCTGTGGAATTTCCAAAGCCCCGACGTTGCTTTTAGAACGTGTCAAATTTAGGACGCAGCTTGACGGCGCGCTTCATGGGTGATCTACGGAAAGCTTCAACCCTTCCCGTAACAGCCCCGGAAATATTGTCTACGTGCCGGACTTCCCCGGGCGACTTCATCTGCTCTGTCTACAAGTCTTTCCATAAACTGGTGATGAAACTGGGCATTGCTTTAAGCACTTGGTACCCACTGGCAAATCTTCGACAATCCAAAAGACAGGAGCGCCTTATTCTGGCCAACATCAACGCACAACAGGTCGGTCAACCCGCAAAACAATTCTTTCTCCAGTTTCCGCTTCAAATCTTCCGACGTTAAAAACGCTTAGTTCAACCTCCATCTCCTCAACAGGGCCTTCTACATCCTGCCTCGGATCGCTCGATGAGCTTGCGATTCTCCGGCTCGGCCAAACCCCTCCTTTGGTGTATCATCGAAAGAGAAGAGACGGCATTCGACGCGATCAAGATACTCCTCGGCCTGAGGATCTGCTGTATCGAAAATTTTCAGCAAGTTCTTTTTGAAGCCTGTCGTGATACTGAGACTGAACTTGCGACTGGCTGCATCGCGTGGCGGCTGCTGCAAGAAATGAATTTCCTTCGCGACGGTACAGAGCAAGTAAAGTAGTATTGAGCGGACGTGTCGTTTGAGGTAGTAGAGCAGGATAGCGCAGACCTCGAATTGGTCTGATAAGGCGGAGAGTATGTCGCTCTATTGTGCTGGGGCGAGCCAGACAGGCACGAGGAAGTCGAAAGGCTGTATTGCTTAGCTTCGGCGCTTGGGAAGATGCGATAGTCGGGGATTGAACGAAGTGAGCGGAAAGGCATCGTTGTCACGGTTGAAGTAGACGAGCGGACGGAGCAGGCTTTCGAAACGATCGCGCGGATCCCTGCTACCGTCGCCAATTTCAAGGGCTCGATCAGAAATGACGGCTTGAAAGGGAGGAGACATGCTGCTTACGTCGCCATTGCTGGCTGATTACGGAGACTACTTGATACGCAATCCAGTGTGGCGGACATGAAGGTGCAGCTCCGGATCCTCTCCAGCCAATGTGGAAATCTTCTGTGCAAGGCGCGCCGCGATGTCCATAGGCTCTCGAGAGGAAGCGCCGGGCCCGCTACGTAAGAGCTCTACAATCCGGATCCGAGAGACCTTTCCGCCCTTCGAGGTCCTCCCGCCAATATCTTTGTGGAGAGTAGAAAGACACTATCCCTCCTTAACACGAACGTGGACTAGACCCGCCGCTACCGGATCTCGAAGGCCTTGCTTGGATCTTGATGAAGGGAACTGCCAGTATTTCTAATCTGCAGGGGGGCATAGAGATCCACGCATTGCTCAGCTGTTGTATGATGGACTTGTTTAGTGCCAAAGCCGCCTGGAGAGACAATGTCGTGTCTGGACTCGTGTTTGCGAGGATGGGCCAAGCATGATACTCAACGAGCGTACGGCCGTCCAGCAAGATCAATTGGTTCAGCGCTTGATAAGCTGCAGCTGGTGCTATGGATGCAGCCTTGAGAATACGATCTCGTGCGGTGCCGATGGAGTTTATGCTGTTGCGAAACTTGTCATACCAGGCTGAGGTATTGGGACACGACATAAGAAGTGCCCGACGGTTCAAAGACGACAAACTCTGCACGGTCCCAGGACTGCCGCTTGCGTCTCGGCGGCGCTTTGAAGCATCTGTGAGATATGCGTCTTCGTCATTCTTGGACAGACGGTTCTTGTGAGCGCGTGTCCGACTGTTGAGTTCGATGCTGGATGCAGAGCTGGCCGACGACACGCGACATTCCACGGTGACGCACCGACGGAAGGGCGATGTTAATTTCCTGAATGTGTTGTTTCCAAAAAGACCCGAGAGGAGAGGCCCTGAGAAGTTATTGGTGCAGGTGAACGAGACGTGACGGGCATTCCAAATTTGGCTAGCTGGAGTGAATGTCTTTGGGGATTCACTGATATGATCGGACAGGTGCTCGCAACTCCTCGAACATATCCTGGAACAGGGAACGATGCTCTGGTATGTGCTCCCTATCGCAACTCTGATGTACAAACACTTGTCTCGTCCTGGTTCCATCCTTCTTCCAGAGCCTCGAGGACGACTCCCATACTTTGACCTGTCTGGACCTGCTGGCCTCCACTGTGCCCACGAATGATCCTGCCCTTATGTCGAATAGTGCCTGATTTGGCGAGTTGACGAGCCATGCTATCCAGCGTTCGAACGAGGAAGCACTTCGATTTGATAGTGTGCAGGTTGATGGCGCCTAGCCGCATTTCGAAGATGGGAGGCTGAGAGACCAGCATATCGCGCCACGAGGCATGGGGATTGGAGCGCGCGCTATGTTTGGCGTCTTCCTTCAAACTGTATTGCCATGCGTTTGCGAGGAGTGGGTTGATCGTGGAGTCTTGTGGGCTTGCCGATACCAGGACGGTAGTGACTAGGATGGTATAAGGAGGGAGAGCGATGCCGCAGAGATCCACGAACTCGGGCAATGGCTCGAGGTAAAGAGCCTGTTGCAAGCGCAGGGGCCCTTTAACGGTCTTGCGGTACTTCTTGCATACGTGCTGCGAGATCAAGAGGTCGATGATAGGCAGTTCTTCGAGGGTTTTCTCGATGAGTTCGGTGATGGCGAACACCCTACTTGCGGCAGACTGCTGAGACGCGTTAGGACCGTTCTAGTGACCTTGTTTCTGCTTGAGAACAACATACCGGCGCAGCCATGTTAGGCGTGTGTTGTCATGAATTCTCGGGAGAAGTGAAGTTGTCAGGGGTCAAACGCGACTAGCGGCGGGTGACTCCGCTTGGCGTTCACATGCCAATATAAAGTCAACGGCAAGCTTCTCACTTGTAACACGACATCCCTATTTGTCGCAGCACCACCAACAACACCTTCTCACTTGCGACACGACATCTCCATTTGTCGCAGCATCACCAACAACACCACATCCTTCCCGTTGACACAGCACTTCCTTGCCCGCTCGAAACACCATGTCGAACCAGCAGAGGACCGCGGGACCAGAGTGGCAAGAGCACCGGCACACAGATGGCCGAATCTACTTCGCGAACCAGCGCACAGGAGAGACCAAATGGTACAAAGATCTCGGCGCCTGGGACAAGGTGGAGACGTCTGACGGCCGCACGTTCTATCGCAACCGGCGCACGGGCAACACCACTGACACGCAGCCACACGACTTCCAGCGGAGCGAATGGGCGGAAGCGAAGACGAATGCAGGCCGCTCCTATTATTTCAATAAGAGCACCCGAGAAACGAGCTGGCACAGGTACGATGAAAAGAAAGCGACAGGACGCAAGGCATGGACTGACAATGTACTACTATCCACAGGCCAGGGATGAGCCTGCGCGGTCTGGCAAACAACAGCACCGCTCCGCCCGCTCCGTCATCCCATGCACCACCACCGCCGCCGACGCAGACAGCTCCGGCCGTGCCCGCATTTAACGAGCTCCCGGATCCATACAACCAATACGTCTTCCACGAGCTGGAAAGCAGGACGCGGAGCAACGAGGACTTGCTGGAGAAGCACGGCATCGACACCGACAAGACTGGAAAGTGAGCAAGGGCAGCTTCAAGGTCTCAGTCAATAAGGAAATGCAAGCAAGAAAAGGGGGAGGACGTGCCACAGCGCCTCCTACACGCAGCCAGCGACAAAGGCAACCGGGAGGGTCTCGATAGAGCGGACTGCAGCCTAATGTGTAAGATGCAGCTGACGCATCGAGATCGATAGAACATGGTCCGAATAGACTTCCACTGTTGTACTATAGAGAATGCCCTACAAGAGAGTTTCATCCTCGCACGGCTTGGCTTGGCGTTCACATGGCGACTAGGTAGCGCTAGTGGAAAACTCTAAATTCGGCTTTCTCACGCAATAAACTTGCCGCACGTTACCCACGTACGCGTAAAGTAGATGTAATGTAACGAGATCAGTCGATGTATGGTCTCACTGAATGCGCAACGATCACATCGCTAATGTGCCAATTCCAGAACGCCATCGGCACGGCTGCTTCTCATGCTTTCGCTATTACTAAGCTTCCTGGCGGAAGATTTTATCCTTGGGCTGCCTCTGGACAACTTGCTGCTATGCGTTCTATGGGCCTGCCGCGTGTGAGATGATACAGTCTTTGGCTGGAATGCACTACTCCAAGCTCTCTTCTTCTAAGCGGACTACTCCCTGCCCAAACGCGCTCGTACTGCCTTACTTCGCTACGTTCACGAACACTCTCGCGGCTCAGAAGTCTTTCCGCACGCCTCATAGTTCTGATATAGAGCTTTCTGGGGTCTTACGCGCGTCTCGCGACCGGCAGAGTTCAGTACAAGATTGGGCGCAGCACAGCTCCGATTCTTGCTTCAGAGTAGACCAGGAAGCTGCGGCACCTCTGCAGATGACCGTAAGATCAAATTCACCGAGACCGACGGACTGCGAGCCCTGATCGAAGAGGAGGAGGTTCGAAAGGATCTAAAGATTGGACATAGCAGAGGGTAGATGCTGTTCCTCCGTGCTCTGAAAGTCACGCGAGGAGGGAAACCATAGGAATCAGCAACTGTATCAATACGCAAGCGTTGGAGGTAGAGACTGAGCTACGTGGGATCTCGCCGTGTAACGGCAGATATCCCGTTAGCAGGCGCGCTGGTGGACAATGTCGCCGAAGAACACCAGCATAGCATAACATCGCCCGCCAACGTCGTCTTTGTCCCTCGGAATCAAACAAGTGATTGCAATGCCTTTGACGCTCCGCAATTAGGACAAAGAGTTTCTCCAGGGGTCTTTGACCATTGTCACTTCGAATCCGCTCAAAATGTGCCAGATCGGTCGCGTTCTTGATTCCTCCCCCTTTTCCACGCGACGACCAAGCTCTGGAAGCTGGAACCACCTTTCATTACACCTATCCTGTTCTTGAAAAGATGCAGACTCGCACCCAATTCCTCGAACACGGGCTGGTCCCTGTCCAGAATGCCTCGAAACACGAAGAGAACGAAGAATGCGCCATCTGCACCGACGCCTTCGAAGACCCCGTAGCCCTAGCGCCCTGTACGCATGCGTTCTGCCGCAAATGCATCACAGCCTGGCTCGCGCAGCGATCCAAGAACACCTGCCCGAGCTGCCGCAGGGTACTCTTCGCCGTAGACGACGCCGACCGCGGTCCCGTAGGCCGCGAGCGCGTTCTAGTAATGTCGCAAGCCCTGCAGCACTCCGGGCTCCTAGATGGAACCTACCGGGAATTCAACGAGGAGATCGAATTGAACCGGCACGCGATGAATAGAGCCACGGCGAGCGCGAATCGATGGCTGGCGGAGGCGCATCATCCCCTCACTGCCTCTGGCCCGGCGGTTGTCGAGAGGAAGTATTTGGGTTATCATCTGGTTGCTATGGCTAATCTGCTGCAGGGCTATGCGCGCGCGGCGGGGCGGTCGTATAGCCGGAGGGACCTGCGGGACTGGCGCTTGATCGTGAATGCGCTGTATGCTGTTCTGGGAGAGGAGGACGGGAGGCAGATCGATGCGGCGACCCTTCCGGACTCGCTCCGGCGGAAGGTGCAGGTAAGTCTTATGCGTGAGCGTGCGAATGTTGGGAGGTGGTTTCAGGGGAGCGACGCTGATGCGGAATCCTCCACCGGCGACCTCGACGTTCTCTTATCTTACATGGCAGCCAAAGCCGCTGAGGAGTTTGCGCGTCGAGAGGAACGCAGAAGCGCCGTTAGGAGGGAGCGGACGGTGGTGGGGAAGGTAGGTTTGATTCTGAAGCAGTACTTTTTCTCGTAGATTCGCCGTGCCGTGCGCAAGATGGTAGGCTAAGATGAGCAGTATGACCAGCATATCAAAGAGTGCTTTTCATTGATCAGGCTCTAGAATTCGGCCGTTGCATGTCGTGGTAGTATACGCTCCATTGATCACAAAACATGTCCTTCTCCCTCAAACTCATTTCTTACTCCGATTCCACTCTCTCGGGTCAGGTCCGAGAAGCAAAGTTTTCCTCAACCCAGCCTTCTCCATCATAGAAGAAAAAGTAGTGTTACAAGTATTCCTCCACATCGAGTCCCTCCCATTCACCATGCCCGGATGCAGAAGTCCGCTCAGCCGATTTTGCTTGGGTTGTCCATCAGCAAAATCCACAGTGCTTGTATTCGTAGGAGGATAGTTGCTCGGCGTGTACGGGCTGAGGAGCTCCGGATGGTGAGAATGATGAGGAGTTTGCTGATGGTGGACTTGCGCCTGGTGGGAATCGCCAATATTATGAATGTCGCTATTTCGACCGGGGCGGGTTGGCGTGTAATCGTTTGGAGAGCAGTTCTCAATAGGCGTCGATTCATCGCTGGTAGAACTGTCCTCTGAAGCTGTAGTGACCCACGTCCCTGCCGCTGAAGCCGGTGGCTGCTGCTGTTGTTGTCGTTGTTGTTGTAGAGGAGGCCGGTACGCCGCCGAATTCGAATTCGCAGGTAGAGGGATCCTAGGAGGCGGTTGTTGACGGGGCGTATCCATCACGACCTTGATGGTTTCGGTGCTGCCGGTACTTCCACTCCTGCTGGCATCAGGACGATGCTGCCGTCGACTGGAGTTGCTGCGATCGGTGGCAGTTGTCATCTGACGTCGCAGAGAGTGCATGCTTCGCTGCTTCTTCAAGGCGCGGACGGGACTTATTGAAAAGGAGAGTGTGCCCCGTTTGAGGTGCGCTGGAACGGGCGATTGGGTGGGTACAGGACTTCGTGCTTGATTGACGAAAGGGGAGTGGGAGAGCCAGGCTTTCTGTTTTGGTGGGTTGCGTGCAGAGGGCGTCGCGGATGCATTCGCCGGGGATTCTACGTGGACAAGGTAGCCGGTAGGTCCACCATAAACACCTTGCTCTTCGCCTCGCGGTGGCGTTGAGTTTAGGAAGTCTGTACGATGCCCCATACTAGCATCGGCCGTGGGTTCTGAGATGGATCGGCCGTGGAAGGTCGGGCGACGATGCATATCAGATGGCCCAAGATCTGTGAGGGTATCCCGACCTGAAGAGTAGTGCTTCTCGTCCACGTACGATCTTGACTTCTTTCGCTCTCTCCGTATGAGGCAGAAGATGATGACGGCAGCCACCAGTGATCCTAGAACGATGCCTGGAACGAACCCAGCAGCGAACGACTTGCCTGAGAAGGCTGAGTCGGACTTTGTCGCTGCGCTCCCAACGGGTAGAGGGGTGATTGTGGCACCGCTGCTGGAGCTAGCGGTTGTTGAGGCACTACTTGAAGCAGTGGATGTTGCGAGACCTGCTGTTGATGTGGGCAGGAGAGAGCTGGACGCGGCCTCCTGTTTAGTCTGCGCCTGGCAGACCGAATTCTGGCAAGTGTATCCCATCGGACAGCACGAAGTGCCGCATGATTGGAGCTCGGTGGGTGGTTGTGAATGCAGCTGGCTGCTTGGGTGGGCTGTCGCATTTTGTAGATTCTGGTCGCATCCGACGGGAGCAATTACCCGGCAGTCCTGACCAGCAGGACAGCACAGAGCGGCTTGGATGGTAGAGGTGGTATTAAGTAGTAGGCATGTTGTGCCTGCGCCGCAGCAGAAGTCCGAAGGCAACGCGTTTCCGCATTGCGTGAGTGAAGTGTCTCCACCGCAGGTATCCGCTCTCTTCGCAAGAGGGGAGAAGTCCTCGGGAACCCAGAATGCGGCATCGTGTTGTAGCTCGTCGGGTATCCAGACCGCGCGCGCCGTAGAAAGTCGTATTAGCGAAGAGATGGCCAAGAACAGGCGAAATGAAGGGAACATGATGGAAACACGATGCGCTGAAGGAGACGCGCGGATATCTCAACAGGATTAGGAAAGCAGAGACAAAGGCAAGGAAAGACGAGGCCGATCAACGGCCGGCGAGGAGGGAGACTGATCAGAAAAGATGCACACGAGCGAGACGAAAGGAAGAATGAGAGAAGAGAGATGTTGCAGGCGGGCAGGCAGGCAGGCCAGACAGGTCTTGGCGCGTCTTCAGCGGGTCTCGAGCGTGAGGTGGGCCGACATGATTCTTACTGTTATTATTATGATGATTACTATTATCATTGTCGACGAGGCAGACGCGCGGGAGGAAATGAATGGACCAGGAATAGGAATGGACTCGGGAGCACGGCGCGTGTTGCGATAAAAATGGTGGGTGCGAGGGTAGCACCAGCGGCAGCGACATGGCCTTGTGTGGATCCGGCGGTGTTGTTGGATGAGAATACCTTAGCAGCACACCGTCTCGTCTCGTTTCGTTCAGACGTTCTCTCGAGACGTCTTGTCTGGTGATGGAGACGTCTTGTCTATTGATTGAGACGTCTTGACGCCGTGTTTCGAAGACCCGACGAGACGTCGACTGATTGGTCCAGCTTTCACCCCGCATGCTCGATCAATTAAACGGCAGGACGGTGCCGGAGATGTTGGCCCGAACGTCTGTTCCATTGCTGCATTTCATCGCATCAGTTTGTTTGGAGACGGCATGCGACAACTGACGACAATTGCTGCACACCCACCCACCCACCCACGGCCGCCATGATCACGAGACGGCTACTACGCCCCGCGCGCGCCTTCGCCGTCGCCGTCAGGTCATCCACACCCTCTGCACCCGCACGCACATTCTCAATATCCCACCCACGACCTCAGCACAATGTCCCTACCCTCAACTACCATGAGCACTTTGAGGCAAAAGGCGTCAACGGCCTCTTCGACTTCCAAGGCTACGAGATCGCCTGGACCCAGTACCAGACCATCCTCACCGAGAAACTCAACGAGCTCGTTGCCGGCGAGCCCTTCGAACACGCGCTACCCCAAGACCTCATCATGAGGTTCGCCCGCGATCCCATGAACGCCGCCGTCTTCAACTACGCCTCCGCGGCCCACAACAACCATCACTTCTTCAAGACGCTCTCTCCCAGTCCGCTGAGACTGAGCAATTGCCCGGCACTGGAGACAAGTCTGATCTCAGCCTTTGGCAGCATGGAGACGCTGCGGATGACCTTTCTGGACACAGCAGCCGCCATGTTCGGCCCGGGCTACGTCTGGCTCGTCTGGACCAAGAATCCGTTGGATAATTCCGCCAACACATCCATGGCAGCCTCCGCTCGCAATAGCGGGAGTGGTGGAGGCTGGCGAATCCTCACAACCTACCTGGCCGGGACACCCTACGCTGGAGCCGGCTATCATCGCCAACAGAGCCGGGACATGAACACGCAATCCCCCTTCTCGCAACCCCCTTCAGCGTCTCAGAGCCTCGGCGCATTCGGCCGGTATTCGGACTCGGCACGTGCAAGCGCCACCACTCCCCCGGGAGGCACCATCGTCCACCCCGTCCTGTGCGTGAGCACGTGGGAGCACACGTATATCTACAACTACGGGCTGATGGGGAAGAGAGAATACTTGGAGAAGTGGTGGGACGTGATAGACTGGGGAGTCGTGGACCAGGAGACTCCCACCACGGCGAAGAGTCAGCTGGCGTTCTCGAGGTAGAAGAAAGAGTACGAGCAACGCGTCATGTCGGAAGCTGCATCGTGCCCTAGCATGCGCGGGAAAGCACCACGAGGCGAATGACCTCGAGAATGTGCCAACGCGCCGCGTCAGGGCATGTGGTAGAATGTCAAGCCCTATTCGAGGAACGGTGGTCAAGTCAGGGCACGGGTTTTAGAGAGCTCATTGCGAACTTGAGCAACATGCGCCCCGTGTGCACAGGAACAGACATCCAAATCTAGGCGAGAGGGTTGAAGAACCACGGAATACTGTAAACAAGCGAGGCGAGTACATAGAATCATCAACTGTAGCAGTAGCATGTCCAGACACTCTTTCCCCGTCACTCCACAGTGTATGATACCAGCGGGTGTAAGCTTCTGACAGGCGCACAAGGAGTTGTTTCCGCTCAAGGCTGCCAGGCCGAGCGGCCAACTAATCATTCCCATTCCGTTCGCAGTCTCATTACTCATACAAATCCAGAGCGTGTCGTAGAAAGTGACCCACACGCTCCTCGCATATTTGTTGCCCATGCCATTTGTTGTTGTTCAATCCTTTTCGCCTTAAGCACCTTGCTCTCTTACAGCTCTCTCGAGGACATGCAGAAATTGCCCCTTCCATCAAAACGAACGACCGTCGCTCATCATGCTATCTATGATTTCCTCACCTTTCGTAAAGTCGTCCCTATGCTGTTATTGCGCCAGCTTCCAAGATCTTTCCTTCCTTTTGCCAATGTCCACCATGTGTCGGGAGTCATACGTCGATTTCTGCAGCCAAAACAATCGCAGTGTCGATCAACTAGTCCATGTAGAAATCTCCCTTGAGGATTCGCTCCTGGAAATGGTCCGGTCTTACTTGCTCCTTCGGCTTCGGCATCTCGCGCACGGGTGGCTCCATCGTTGCAACGCTCTGAGCTCGGCCGTGTGATGCACGAGAAGAGCCGTTCGAAGCCACATTATTGCCGAGTCCAGAGGGCAAGCCACTGCCGCCAGCGATCGAAGAAGCCCGCTCAGCACGAGAGCGGAAATTCTCGGACCAATTAAATCGCTCGCTGGAGCCTAAAGGAACAAAGAATGGTCAGCACGTGGTCATCCTACAAGGGCAATGGGAAGCGAGCGAGCGAGCGACGAGAGGAAGAACGTGAGGAAGGATGGATGGATCTGTGCGGCAAGAGACAAACCTCGACCCTTGGCATCTCGGGAAGAGATTGTCCCGTTGGGTGCTTTCTGCAAGCTGGGGTTTGCAGTAGAAGTGGTGGTGTTGCCGATTGAAGAAGATGTTGAAGTTTGCCCACCATTTTGCCCAGGAGGTGTGTTGCCTCCGCCGCCGCCTGTCCGTACATCTCTCAACGCCTTGGCGCCAAAGCTCAGTCGCCGGCCGAACGGTGTTTGTGGTGTTGGTCCGCTGTCGAACTCGTCTTCAATCGCAGATTCATCGATGCTATCGTTGTTGACAGACGAGCCGTAGCTCTCGCGGCGGGTGGGGTAGGAGCCGAAGGGAGAGGGGTTGGTGGGCGACCCGGAGAGGCCCAAGGTCGTGAGAGACAGCCTCCGGCGTTGGGCTTGAGCAGCTGCACTCGTGATCGGTCCGGCGTATTGCTGCGTGGGTTGTTGCGAGTTGGTGTTTCCACTGACGGTATTATCGCTTGAGCCACGCGACATGGAGCCTCGATGTCCTCCAAAGAGGTTGGCAAATGTCTCTCCGGCAAAGGAGGATCGGCGGCCTCGTGGGGGAGGGGATGGAGTCTTGTCCTCCGCCATCTCGTCGCGGGTGCGTTGGTGTTTCTTGCAGGTTCGTGGCAAGAAGGAGACGAAGGTCTAGACTCAGACCTGCAGTTATAGACCAGAATACTACGCTGTCAGGCGTCCCTGGCAAGATGTCGTATACTAGGGTGCGGAATGGAGTTTCGTAAGCCGCCGCTGGTCTGGGGATACGTCACCCGAGATTGGGCGTTCAACGTCCGGATCCTGCTCTTTGCACGCCGCCGATGGTCTCCTCCTACTCTTTCTGATGATGTGTCGCAATCGTAGCGAGTAGCTAGACAGGTAGGGAGCGTCGTCGGTGGAGTTAGGAAGTCGAGGGAAGGAGGAAGTGTGGACTATCTTTGGTCTAGTTCATGTTTGGAGGAGTGAGCTTAGAGCCTGTTGCCCCGCATTTCATGGCTTCAGGGATTCCGCTTGCTCCTCCAATCAAAGAAAAGATAAGATGCACTCGCCTATCGCTTCCCTTTCACACACTTGCGCCGGACGTGTCACCGCGCGCTCACTTTGTTCGACCAGCACACAAGCATGTAGAGACTCGGGTACGCAGCGCTTTCACGTCAAGTTCCTGCAACCGTCAACGCCATGTCAGCCTGTCACTCGGCCCACTGAGCCAGCGTCCTCGACGAAACGGGCGCACAACGTTCATTCACTTGAATGGCTCGTGCGATGTTTCCATTTACGGAAGCTACGGCTACCGAATTCCAAGTTCTGCAATCGGACCATGGGAGGCCTCCACCGCGCTCCGTGCCGTTGGCTTCCACGGCCTTAAACGGCTTGCTACCAACCTGATCGCTGTGGCATGATTGCTCAGGTGCGCAATGCGTCGGCTACGCTTATACGTACCCGCACGCTGCTCTCGTGATATCTCGGTGTCTCCTCCCGTATGCAGGGACATCAGCCCCATGTCTCGGCTTGTAGATCTTGAGACATCATTCCCTCCACCAAGCTGTCATGCTTACGCCAATGGCAAGCTTGCGGTTATCTCAACGGTTGCTGTCGCTGATTTGTGCTGTCCGACTCGCTGTTGCGCTGAATCCTGCTAGCATTCTCGGGAAGACAATACCTCTGTTGCGCGAAGATGCTGCAATTGCCTTGTCGATAAGATGGCAGTCCTTGTGAAACACGATCGTACACTCCATGTTTCGACTCACGAGCTTGAGCACCCACACCTCCCAAAGCTCCCCGGCGCCGACTCCGCTCATTGTGAGCTCGTCAGCTCGTATCCCATCCACGGTCTGGTAAGTATGGTGTCATCGCCATTGCTCACTCGCTTCTGAAAGGCGTCTATGGGCGGGGGCTGTGACTATGGGGTGCTAGTGGAAGGTGTCCGACGCACCTCGACCACGAGTTCGTGCGATCATCAATGCCATGGACTATCTGATCGTGGACACAAGGAACCCTAGATTCAAAAGCGTTTGCAGCCCAAACATCAAATCGGACCCATGCTGTCGGTTTCTACCAAGGGAGATGTAATCGCTTGTCAGATGTTGACCCAGGAATCTCAAACCGGAACATATTGGCTTCTCTTCCGTGGCAAAACAGGCACTGGGCGATTCTTTCACATGTCAATTTGGCTGTGGTCCGTAGGCGCCTCGGTGCTGTGGACAGATGTTCAGCCACCGTGCCGAGCAACTTGTGGGGCTTCGCTATGAATGCTCGACCTCGATTTTGCCCGATACAGAATGCCTTCCTGGAGACGCTCGCGACTTCAATTTCAAGAATCACTCAATCAGCCGAAATCACTACGCGCCCCAAAGCTCCAAAGCTTCATTGCTAGCTCGACGACTTTTGTGACGTATATCATCCCGGTGGTTCGTTGCATCCGTGAACGTGTATGTCTGTCGCAGCATGGCCTTGCACGAATTTTTGGGAGATGTGGACGATGCTGGGTGACGCAGCCCGGTCGCAAAAGTTTCTGGAGGGCACCCTCGCTTCGACGCGCACAATCTCGAATGGCGCTCTTTCCACACTGTTGGCAACGCAGCTACACCTGGCTGATCGACATCGTGCGAGCAATTCCCAGCAAGGCGAGGATACACCAAAACTCGTTATCATGGGAATGCCTCTTGCCAAAACACTTCTTGTTGGTGGACATTGAGATTAATGTTCCGAAGGATGGGCCATTCCCTCAGCCAAGTTGATCGAAGCAGGTTGCGGTCTTCTTGAGAACAACTTTTCGTGGTTGTTCTTCTCTAGAAGGAAGAGATGAAGTCCACTCCCAAACTCAGGTTGGGTCTCAGCGAAATGGTCCGAGCGTCTGGCCCCGCCACCGGCACCAGACCTCACCTCCAGCTCTCACCTTCTAAGCTTCTCTGACAAACACTCAAGCGAATACACAGTCACAGTCTCATCCTCATAGGAAGCTGCAGTATACCTGCATCATCGATCTCAATCCCGGCATCGATCAAGGCAAGTCACGGGCCCTATCTCTTTCTTGTGTATCGCCAGCGTCTCCGCTTCGGCAAACGGCACCGCTTCCCAGCCTCCCAGTGTCGTTCGCACTGAGTGACACCTTTCACGAGTGCGCCACGGCGGCGCATTGCATGTGAAGGAGTGCGGAGTACCAAGCTTCAGGATAGCGAAGAGATCCGTGCGGCTCTCATATGAGGCTGGGTGTCTCATTACTCCGCTGCGGCGCTACCGTCACCGAGGTTTGAGCTTCCGTCTGTGGACCTCGATCTGCACTACACTTCAAGCTATCAAGAGCTCTTCTCCGGCTTTTTGCACTGTCTCTCAGCTCTCCGTCTTGCAATACCCTGGTCACCCATTCTCTCGCCTGCCAAACGAGCTGGCACTGGAAAGATTCAGCGGCAGCAGCAGCAGCAGCAGCACGCAGCGTGAACAGGCGTAAGAAAGGGAAGGAGAGAAACCGCTGGCCAAGCAAGCACAAACAATCGCAACCATGGAGTTCATCACCGTATTGTTCGCTCTGTGCGCCTTGCGCACGGTCGCAGCAGGTGAGTCGGTATTCTATGAGTGTCCCGCACAACATCAGTCTAACCTCGCCAGCACAAATTGCTGAGGCCCTCGAAATTCGCCAAGAGTCCCACTCCATAACCTCCTCAACCGTAACGCCCAGCTCGATCCTCTCCGAAGGGACTTTCGTCCCAACCTCAAGCTCGTCTTCGGCCGGCGGAGCAAGCTCGACCACCGCATCTGCCGGCGGCACATTGACCGGCCAGTTTACCGGTGCAGACGGAAACGCGTATCCAGTGACCTCCTACTCCAGCATGGTGCTCGTTGCAGCGCATACTCTCTCTGTTGGAGGCGCAGATGCCCTTGTCGGCCAGGTACGGATGCACCACGAGACTGCTCAAATCGCGTCTGCCTTGACTGAAACTAACTTCTGATTACAGGTAATCGTGACCGAAGCCTCGCAAGGCTTCGTCGCCAACGGCCAAAACATTACTTTGATCAGCATGACAAGCACGCCAACTTCCGCGGGGATGACCACCACAATGAGCACTTCCTCTTCTTCGGCGACGACGACAACGCGCGGTCCAGTAGGCCAGTCGCCTGCGGCGCAGCCAACGCAAGCAAGCAGCAGCGGAGGAGCAGCGATTCCAATGGCGACGGGAGCGATAGGAGTGATTTTGGGTGGCATGATGAGAGCGTTGATGCTCTGAGCAAGCACCAAGTGGAACAAAAGAGCCGAGTTGGACCAGATGCGTTTTTCCTGCTCGGCGTTGACGGCTTTTTTGATACCCTTCTCACCAAATTGGAGAGAAACCCGAGTACTTGAGCGCGGATGGAATTGTCCTGGGCTTTCCGAGACAGGCGCAATAAAAATGCTTGACACAAAGCGTGTCCACATTCATCGGCTATGAATGATTCTTTCGGTTCATCGCTTTCCTCTTGCTCACCTTTGCGCACTGTTTCGTTCGGAGTGCTACTGACCTGATCTCAGATATCCTATGGTTTTTGCTTGTCTTTCGCATAACAGCACGAAGCTAGCTCTGCGGGTAAGAGGTGCCGGAGCTGCAGCACAGCTGCCTCATAAGGAAAGAACCGACTCGTATTGGGCCAAGCCACAACCTGCTCTTGCAGACACCACGGCGTCATCCTGCCCACACACCACAGTCCCTTGAAGGCCCCTCATCACGGCGCGTGGAACCGCGCAGTTTCAGCGATTGTAGTCGTCGCAATAATCTACAGATGTACGACGACGCTACACGTTCCTGCGGATCAAATTGCCTGCTCGACTTGTCATTGTTCCCGAACTACCAATTCTGCGCAGGTAAACAAGGAGACAATGTCAATTTCTTCGTGCGTAAGTATCTCCAACGCAGGTTGCTATCGAGAGAAGCCACGAATAAGGTATTAACAGTCGCTAGTGTACGCAACTTGCAAGCCTCCCGGGGCTCCACGTGGCCTTTCCGAATTCTACAGCGTATATCGCGACGGAAAAGTCATACTGGTCATTGCAAGAGGGAAGTCTAGCGCCCTCATGCATCGTCTCGCCAGCCACCGCAGAAGACGTGGTGGAAATTGTCTCTACGATTGTTCGCCAAGGGCAGTGCGAATTCGCGATCAAGGGCCAAGGCCATGCTCCTGCTGCTGGGTTTGCGAACGCTGATCACGGAGTGACCATCGATCTGGCCAGCCTGGACTCTATCTCTTTGAATGAAGATCACTCTCTTGCGAGCGTCGGCGCTGGCGCGAGATGGGTCGACGCGTACGCGTATCTTGAAAGATTCGGCAAGACTGTCGCAGGAGGGCGCAATGGACAGGTCGGTGTTGGCGGGTTGACGCTCGGAGGAGGCATCAGTTACTTCTCGCCTCAAGTGGGGTTCACGTGCGACAGCGTGTTTAACTTTGAGATCGTACTGGCTTCAGGACGGCTCGTCAATACGAATGCGACTTCGCATGCCGACCTCTTCCGTGCGCTGAAAGGTGGCCTGAACAACTTTGGGGTCGTGACGAGAATAGACCTTGAGACGCTACCGATTGGAGAGATATTGGGAGGGTCGGCGACGTATGACATCTCGCAGAAGCATTCGCTTTTCGAAGCCTTCGCCAACATTGCCAACGCGCCACAATACGATAGCCATGCCTCCCTTGTGGCTGCTGCGGCCTTCAACTCGACCACAAAGACATGGACGCTCTCATCCACACCGATCTACACCAAACCCGACCTCAACCCTCCATTTTACCAGGAGCTCTTCGCCATATCCAACGTATCCAGCACGGTCCAGTTGCGAAACCTGAGCACCTTTTCAAACGAGTCCGCAATTCCTCAACTAAATTTCGCGTTCTTCACGGGAACATATGGCGTCTCTGTGGACTTTCTCGAACGCATGTTTGATATCGTAGACGAAAATGTGCGCAGCTCGAGTGAGGTCAGCTGGTCGTATGCAATCGAGCCTCTTCCGACCATTTTCACCGCACGCGGTGCCGGTGAGAATGTCTTGGGCACAAGCGCCCACGATGGCAATGGCATGATTGTGTTGATCTCGCCTGCATGGATGGATCCGGCTCTAGACGCAGAGGTGCGCTGCACGGGAAACCGCATTCTGTCGGGTGTTGAGACAGCGGCGAAGGACATGGGAACGCTGCGACAATTCGTCTATGCGAATTACGCAGATCGAAGCCAGAGGCCCGTCATCAGCTATGGCAAGGACAATCAATTTTTCCTCAAGGCAGTGGCGAGGAAGTATGACCCATCCGGTGTTTTTCAGAAGCTTGTTCCGGGCGGGTTCAAATTGGACGACTAGCATTGAGGCACCAGAAACGCCTCTACAGCAGGTCGCTCAGCATGGCTTATTCCACCTCTTCCATATCGCTGATAGTCTGCCACTTGCTTCTTTGCTCATACACATCGTGGCATCAACTTCTTTGACATCATCATGTGCAATCAATCCGAGGCTTGCAAGGCCAAGGTAACTGTGGTAGAGGTCCGGTAGATCTCCAGGAAACTTGCCAAAGCCCCCAAGCGCAGCATGCTGGGTACTTACAAGCAAGTACCTCCTGAGCCTAGCTTTACAGAACAGATCTGGTTGACCAAGCATTGCCAGGGACGCGCCTACCCACCACGCGTAGCAGGTATCTGCCGTTTTGTTTGGGCGACCATTCATGCCTGCCTCTGGTGGGTCTAAGGTAAGAGGACCGAGTAAAGTCGTCTTGTCGGGGCTTTGGTGCAATTGTGTTGTCGAGACCTTTCGAGAGTCTTCGTCGTCGGCTTTCAGAGTCTGCAAATCATCACCCGCATCTCCACTTTGGTAACCATCTAACTCGGCATCTGGATCCAACCAATCCGTTTGTCGTGATACCAGCCAGCGCATAGTCAGCTCAGGATCGGATGGCACCCTTGAAGAACACTGATTCGGTAATCCCAGCATCTTTACACGGTCTACGAAACTGGCGCAGCCCAGAGAACAGAATGTGTAGCCCGCATGTGGTTCATGAAAGGATTCATCCGCAATACCGCCGTCGTATGTCTGCGAAGATAGTCAGTCTAGTGAGCATTGTAGACGTAAGGCTCACTCACTTCTGATGCTTGAATGCAACGCATTAGAGCATCCACGTTAATGTCCTCTACTAGCGCTCCGTCAATTGAGATTGGGCCTTCTTGTAGCCCGCGTAGTATGTACCGTGCTCCAGTAGCACAATAGCCGAATCGTGGGTCTCTGCCGCCTTCGATATGTCCGTCGACCAGAGTTTCACCAAAGGATCCGTCTGGACGTTGCATATCCCGCAGCCAGTCCAGAGTTTCTCGGCGCTTGACACGTTGCAAGTCATCGCCTAGAATCGTCAACGCAGATAGTGCAAAGTAAGTCGCTGGTACGTTGGCAGGGTCCCATTTGGCGTTCTCGTCGTTGGCGAGATCGCCGAAATCAGTTCCAGGCCACATTCGGAAACCACCTCCTGGGTGCTGACAGTGATAGATCCAGTTCCGGTAATCCTGTCTCTCTGATTCTTTGGCTACGGTATCCCAGGCATCCAAGATGTCGAGAGCTGAGATAATAAAGAAGGCAAGATACATTCGATTACTCTCGTTGCCAGTGTAGTGGTGGGGCAGCAAAGTCTTCAAGCATCTTGTCCAATATTTTACATGTCGCGTCTGAAGTTTGAGCAGGGTCAACGGGATATCGCTGTGAAGACCAGGTGGCCAGCACTCACTTTGTCGAGGCGAGGATGCTCGGATTCCATGTTGTCGTGAGCAAGACTGTGTTCGGTAATCAAGATTATGCCCCCAGAACGCCGTGCTATGCATTCAAAATACAGACAAGATCGAGTCTCCGTTATAAGAGGAGTGATGTGCAGAGTGAGAAGTTCTGCATGGATGCTCCCCGTGCAGAAAATAGAAGTAAAATGGGGAAGCTTTATTAGCGCGCCTTAACCCCGCTAGTTCCGGGGGCGCGGCGCTCGTGTGCTCGTACCTGCTGTTGCCTTACATGTATCCACGGATGCTCCCGCTCCCACTCCCTCTCCCGATCTCCAAGTCGACTTCGACTTCGACTTTGACCATCATCATCCACAACTACATCCATCTTTTTTCCTCTTCGCCACGCCACCCTCGCCTTTCTGTGGTTGCGACCACAAGTCTTCCACAACATGGCCCCTTGTGCGAAGCACGCCGTGGCTACGGTATACTCGGCTCACGTACGCTCATACGATCAGCGGTCTATTGAAGTGGAGGCGGGCGGATTTCAACCAGCAAGGTGGTTCTTGGAACATGGAACTCCATCGGACGCAAAAGACTCGGAGCCTCCCAAGAAGAGGAGAAAGAGAGACTCGACCCCGGAGGACGATGACGAGGGTACTCAGTCGCGGCCAGCACAGAGCGATCTGATCCCCCTCTTTGAAGCTGCCGTCGACTTCCATTTCCCGGAGACTTTGCACGCCCGAGCTGCATCCGAGGAAGCAATTTTGAACGATGTTGACTTCGCAGGCGCAGCTAGCGCAGCTGTCTTGCCGTCCAGCATCTGGTCAACCAACACGGGCACAAGTCTACGCCTCATCTATCCGACAAGCAAAGGGCCTGGTCTCACTCTTGAATGCAGTTCAATACCGGACGAGGTGGTGGATATGCTCCGCACCATTGCCCCTCCAGAGCATCTCATGGCAGGATCAGCCAGCAAGCGAGCAAAGCAACATCCCGCGTCTGTCATCTCGTGCACGCTCACCCGTTCTCGAGGCGACCTGTATACTGTAATCCGCTTGCAAACGTCACTGAAGTGGAAATCTGGTGCGTCTGCGTTCCCCTCTGGCGCTCCAGTAGGGGCGTCTAGGGTGTATCACGATTATGACTGGTTGCTTGAAGCGTACAAGAATAATGCGCGGGACTCATTCGACCACAGCCAGCGATGGACCCCCCAGGATTTCTACGAAAGTGTTCATGTGCCGCCGTTGCACACTTCCACTCATCAAATTTTCAAGGGGGTTTTGGGTGTTGAACTGTATCCCTTCCAAAAGCGAGCAGTCTCTTGGATGTTGAATAGGGAGGGCGTGCAATCGTCACAAGCAATCGGCACACGACCGCCAAAGAATTGCCATTCTGCCGACTTTTACGAGAGCGTGGAGGACTTGGAGGGCAAAGAGTGCTTTGTCAATCACCTGCAGGGCATTGTGACCCGCACGCCGCCAGAAGTCGGAGCTTGCTATTTGTCCGGAGGTTTGTTGGCGGAAGAGATGGGTCTAGGCAAGACTGTGGAGCTCATGTCTCTCGTCTCGCTACATCAGCGTTCACAGGAACCTGCTGGCCAGATTTTCGACGAGTTTTCTGGTATCAAAGTCACCAGATCGAAAGCGACGCTAATTATTACGCCTCCATCGATTCTGCAGCAGTGGCAATCCGAGTTGAGCCGACATGCGCCGCAACTCGCTGTACATCACTACCGGGGTATTACTTCCGCAAATAAGAAAGCGCCACCGGAGGAAGAAGTGATCCAAGATCTTGCGACGAATTACGACGTTGTTCTGACTACCTATGCTACACTGGCTCGAGAAGTACACTTCGCAGAAGAAGAACCAGATCGCAGCCGTCGCCGCGCCCGTAGGTTCGAGCGCAAGCGAAGCCCTCTAGTGCAGCTTGAGTGGTGGCGAGTGTGTTTAGATGAGGCGCAAATGGTTGAAAGTGGCGTTACCGCCGCCGCAAGAGTTGCATGCAGGTTGCCCAGAGTGCACAGCTGGGCGGTATCAGGCACTCCCCTTCGCAAGAACGTGGAAGATTTGCATGGACTGCTGATATTCCTACGATACACTCCGTTCAGCGAACAGCCAAAGCTCTGGTCGCACCTGATTACAAACCATCGGCATCTCTTCAAGCAGGTCTTCAACAAAATCGCGCTGCGGCATACCAAAGCATTGATTCGGAATGAGTTGAGCTTGCCATCTCAGAAGCGTGTTGTTGTGACTGTACCCTTTTCAGTCGTCGAACAGCAAAACTACGCCACTCTTTTCGAACAAATGTGCAAGGAAGTGGGGTTGAGCGGAACTGGAGCTCCATTGAACGAAGAATGGGATCCGGATAACCCTAGCACGGTGGACGGCATGCGAAAGTGGCTCGTTCGCCTTAGGCAGACTTGCTTGCACCCTCAAGTTGGTGGACGCAATCGCAAAGCTCTCGGACGTGGCGTCAAGCCTCTGCGTACTGTTTCGGAAGTACTCGAAGTTATGATCGAGCAGAACGAGACTGATATCCGTACAGAGGAACGAGCCTTGATCTCTGCGTCTCTCTACAGAGCTCATATTTTGGGTAACAATGGCAGCGATGAGCGACGTAGTGAGAAGGCCATGGCAATCTACGAAGAAGCCATGAAGACTACAGGAGAAATGGTCGAGCAAGCTCGTGGCAAGCTCGCAGCTGCAAAGGCTGCTAACCCCTATAAGCAGGAGGAATCCCCAATGGATGGAGATGAAGCAGATGACGAACTGGCGGCCGACTCGACTTCTGTTCTGGGCCGTCTCCGGACTAGTCTGCGGATAGCGCTTCAACACCACCACGCCTGCACGTTCTTTGCAGCTACATCCTACTTCCAAATCAAAACAAACGAGTCCATAACCACTGCTGGTTCGGATCGATTCGCAGAAATGGAGGCAAAAGAAACGGAGCTTTACGAGACAGCAAAGGCTTTTCGAAAAGAGATTTTGAAAGACACTGTTCGCAAGGCGGAGCCGCCGATGTTGCAAATTCGGACTCTCGCACGTAGTGATACTTTCACGAAATTACCAACCGTCAAGGAACTGCAAAATCTGGGAGGCATCGAAAGCAGGCGCATTGTAGAAAAGAGCCGTGAGCTTTTCAATGTAATTCGTCAAGTGCTAGAGCTCATTGAAGAGTGGCGCGCGAAGATAGCCGAATTCCTAGCCAAAGCTCTGGTTGATGAGGAGGCAGAAGGTAATGAGACTACCGGAGACGAGTACGAAGATTCTACCAAACAGCAAGACGAGATGTACGTCTACTTCGACATGTTCAAAGCAGCGCACGCCGATCTGAACAGTCTTGTCACTGGAGAAACGGCACCCCTGGTGGACCACGAAATGAAGGTGCAGGTGAGGCTTGCCAAGAAGTTTCTCGACCCGGAAGTGCTTGAGGATGAAAAGACGTCTGTACATGCACCTGAGCTGGCTTTGAAATTGGCCGATTTGCGCAACAAGTTACGCAAACGCCATGAGCAGGTAGGCTCAGTGAGAGGTCTGATTCAGGAAGCTCGGGCGCTGGATTCTTCGTTTCTAGGGGTGTCTTCTCGGGCTGCTGAGAAAACCATAGCGCAGCGATACCTCGTTGCACTGCAGACTGTCTTCTCGATGCATAGCAAGGCTCTTCATGGTTTGGAGAAGGAGGTTGATCTCTTCCGCACAGCGCAAAATCTACGCGTCGAATTCTATCGCCAACTGCAAGAGCTTTCTGACACGGTTGCTCCCCTTAAGGATGAATTGGATCCTCAGCTGGACCAGGCTTCTCTTGATATCGCCTTGGAACGAGAGGAAGAAGCGTCCAAGTTCCTTGCACAGCTCAAGACGAAGAATCGTTTCCTCACTCATATTCGAGACAACGACCAGGCCGGGCCAAAGATATGCATCATCTGCACCTCTGCTTTCGAACGAGGGGTTCTGACCGTGTGTGGTCATCAATTTTGCAAAGAGTGCATTGATTTGTGGTTTAAGCAAGCCCATTCGTGCCCGATGTGCAAGCGCCGTCTCACTAAGAATGACATTCACGACATCACTTTTAGGCCTCAAGAACTACGAGCGCAAGAAGAGGCGCAGACCGGCGAGTCTTCAGCATCGCGCGACGCGAGCTCTGTCTCACCTTCCGACCCATCAACTTCGAATAGTTCTTCACTATACACTGATGTGGACACCGCTGTCATGGAGGAAATCAAGTCTATCGAGCTGCCATCATCTTATGGCACGAAGATCGACACGCTTGCTCGCCACCTGCATTGGATTCGTGATCACGACCCAGGCGCGAAGTCAATTGTCTTCTCCCAGTACAAAGACTTTTTGGATGTGCTCGCGGGCGCTTTCAAGGCGTTCAAGATTGGCCACGTAAGACTAGGACGGACGGGGGCGGCGGACAAGTTCAAGTCCGATCCATCTATTGACTGTCTCCTGCTTGACGCCAAGACCGACTCTTCAGGCCTGACGCTTGTGAACGCCACCCATGTGTTCATCTGCGAACCTCTGATCCAGACTGCAGTGGAATTGCAAGCCATTGCGCGTGTACACCGGATCGGCCAAACACGTCCTACTACCGTCTGGATGTACCTCATTAACGACACTGTTGAAGAAGCTATCTATGAGATATCTGTTGCTCGTCGTCTCGCGCATGTCCAGGCGCGCCAGAGTTCAAAGCGTAGCGAGAAGTCCCGGTCCTCAACACCTGCCCCACTGCAGGAACACGCCATCGATGCCGCCAATTCGGAAAAGCTGCAGTCGGCACCGTTGACCAAGCTCTTGGCGGCTGGGAAAGCGGGCGGAGAGTTGGTCGATAAGGACGATCTATGGCAGTGTTTGTTTGGCAAAGTGCAAGAGACGCCGGCGCCGAGGAATGCTGCAGCAGAGCGCGAAGTCGGTCGACATTTGAGAATGGAGGCTGCTGAGCGGCGTGGAGCAGAGGCTGGCGCATCTGGAGAGGGATTGAACGAATGACCTGCTGATGAACTAGACAAGATACGACAGAACAGAACCCAACCGGGTAGAACGGATGATGTAGCGCATAAAATAGCTTGGACCAGAGCATGTATTTATTGGAATAAGTAATCATGAACGCTTCATTGGTATCTCGTTTATTTGCGCTTGATCGAAGTTTCCAAACCACGCGTGCTTCCCGGTCATAGCAAGTCCCACCTGACGCCGCCATTCGATTTCCATGTCATTTGCCTCCCGATCGAGCGACTGTTCCTGTACGTGTGTGTGTGTGTGAACATGTCCGTGCGCCGTCCTGCAACAGATTCATTGCACCCGACCTTGATTTTACCTCGACTTACTCCTCCTGCCCGGCTTCACCCTGGGAACTTCCCCCTCGCTGTTAGCCGGGCTCAAACTCAACCGATGTTCCTTCGCGCGGAAAACGTGCAATCCCACATCCGTCGCCCAATCTGCGTAGCCCGAGCCGGGTTCACCAGGCAGCGGCAATCGCATCGTGCCTTCTTCGACAAGGCCCGCATTTCGCATCAGGTCGAAAAAGGCAGCTTCGCTGTCATGCCGTGTCTTCGTCGACACTACGATGATCGCTTTCGGCGAACGGTTGATGAGAGAAACCAGGATTCCGACCAGAGGCTCGAGTGTGTCTGTATTGTATGTGCACTCTGATACAACAATGAGGTCGTTCTTGCGATCTTCAAGTTTTGCTGGCAGAGGAGCGAGCCAGTCGAGTGCTTGGAAACGAGCGCGAGAGGACATGGCGGGTCGCATCCGAGCGATGTTCGCTTCTATGAGCTCCTCGACTTCCGGGAGATCAGTGAGGAGGGCGTCACAGTCTGGAATTGACTGAGCTATGCTTATGCCCACGGTCCCACAACCAGCACCCAGTTCGAGGACGTTAATGCGGCGATACGTCGCAGATATGAGGACGTATTCCAGTAGAGGTAGCGTCTGTGGGTTTTCCAGGGAGATGACCTGGTCTATGTGTTGAGCCAGGGCTTGGCTGCCATCCCAGAGATGTCTGGCAATGCTGTCACCGGCGTCTTCGAGCAAGCAGAGAGGTCTTTCTGCCAGCGACGCGAACCTCCTCTCCACCCTCCAGCCAGATTCGAATTGGCCCTTGACGGGATCCAGTGTGCCACTCCACACATCTGCAATGGCAGGCAGAAATCCATTTGCTCTTGCGTTCTTCACGCCGACATGCATGCAAGCCGGCCATTCGATGTCTTGCCGGGACAGGTCAAAAGACACGTCGACGGAACGTTGGCCTGCCCGCCAAGGTACCCTCTTGCGTATATATACCTCACCATCTTCGGCCACATCTCTGAGTGTAACAACCAAGTCCACGTCTTGTAGGTAGAAGGTCTCGCCGAGGTCGGTTGTGACGGTGAGCACAGCCTTGAGGAGGACGGTGCCACGATCAACGGAGACTTTGGGCGTTTTCAGGAAACGAACTAATCAGATCGGTGGCTGTCAGCGGGGGACTTGGTGGGAGTGTGAATGAAAGTGATATGTCTTACTGTAGTGCATCTCGTCCTCCCCGCTCGGCGAATGCTCCTCCTTCTGCTGTGCGATGAATCACGAGCCGTGAGGAGCTCTGACGGCTTACGAGAGAGCAAAGGGCGAGAGTTGCCGTGGTGAGAATGAGGGCGTAAAGCAGAGGCTGATGAAGACAGCTCTCGTGAAGGTGATTTGCATGAATCAACTAGTGTGCCTACCACAGTCAGAACAAGGTCGCGGGTGGTCTACGTCTGGGCTGACTGCGAGCCGCAAGCAGAAGACTGCACGTGAGGTCTTTTGCAACAGCGATCTGTGATCCTGCCTCCCCGGCCCCCTTGGTTGAGGTCGACGGGTGTCGCGAATGTGCTGTGAAGGTTCGGAGCTTCTAGACCGCAGCTGATGCATCGTCGGCTCGCGCGTCGGTCCGGCAGCGCGCCCGGCGGTCCAGACCTATACATCCAGCAGCTAATGGTATATTCATCCCTTTGAGACGCTGGCTTGGAGAGGCACAGCGGCTCCCATTTCGTGAAGCCGTCGCTGATCTTCTCCAGTACTCATGTAACTATATCCACAATCGCCGATTGCTTGCCCATACACTCATTACACCCTCTGCCCTCGGCCTAAACAGTCCGGTGACGCAAATGAGCCCGGGCAACGGGATCGGCAACTCGGACACGCAGAAGGCTTCGAGTACAAGTGTGAAGGGCTCTTGTGATGAAATTCGCAAGATCGAATTCGCTCGGTTTTTGAATTAATGCCAAACCTTCTCGAAATCTCTCAAAGCATCTCGCCTTGCTCTCCTCCGATGAAGTACCATCTCTGTGCAAGTCCAGAGAACACTGACAAGCCGAAGACAGACGTTGTCGCGGCAAGAACCAGTATCGCAAGCAGGAAAGGCAGCAGAGGACTGCCCTCTGCATACCGGTCCCACTTCTCCTTCCACCGCACCCACACTGGTCTGTCTTGGAAGCCCTCTTCTCGCCCCGTATACCATCCTTGAGCCCGGCACTCCTCTATCATATCTCGCAGGTCCACATATAGTCCTCTGTTCCTTCTACTGACAGCATCGCTCTTGTCTTGGCCGCAGTAGATACTCATGCACATAGTCTTTGAATGTTCTCCATTGCTGAAAGGATCGACATGCACCTCTTCTCTTGCATACTTTCTCATCACGTCCGCAATTCTCTCGTAGTTGCTTAGGCAGTCTGGTTTGAGACCGATTACGTTGAAGAGGTAGCTGTTGTAGAGGTATTCGCTGCCTTCGGTGCCCAGTCGGCGGTTCGTAAGGAGTAGCTCGGTCGATATGCGGGAGCCAGACGGATGGATCGCCATCAAGGGCCTGGCTGCCGTATACTGTCCCGATGCATGCGGTAGGGCCTGTACGTAGATCTGGCTGCCTGGTGGAAAGAGGTGTTGGTAGATCAAGAAGCGAATGTCGTAAGGGATGGTCAGGAGACCTGGTGGCTCTTCGGTGCTGGTCATTGCTGCGTCCTCTCCCAGGGCTGTCGGACTGATGATCTGGAGTGACAGTAAAAAGAGATAAATATGATGAAAAAGAAACAGTGATGCCTGGAAACCAGACAACCTACTGGACCACAATGTGGGTGCCTGATCTGGGAGTGGAGCGCGACGTTGTCTCAACCCGAGCCGTGTGTCGACAATACAGGCGCAGTAAGCAGCATGGTAAGTAGCAAAGATGCTGTTGATGACATTACCGATGCCGACGGCTGCGTTCAATGTAGAGGGTGTTTGGAGCTCGATACGGTACAAGGGGGTCCGAGCTTCCATCCATCTCCGCATCCTCCGAGGCACTCACCTTTGCTTCTGCAAACATCTCGGTTCCCTGTGTATGATCACGACGCATGCCATCATGACCATACCAGATGAATTCATTTCTCCTCAACCGCCAACTGGGCTCTATCAGCCCTCAGGCTCTCGCGAAAGCTCAGAACAACCGCCTTCTTAAGGCCCTTGCTGCAGCACCAGATGTAAACTTTGCCCTCCAAGATGCTGGTGCCAGAGCTTCGAACACGGCAGGTATCAGAGACGTAGCGCATGCTGCTGGTGTCAATAGCATTGCCATTGATCGGTTTGAAGGAAGATAGTAAGATCACACACCCTTCACCATCTTCCTTCCAGAGATTATCTCCATGGACACGACTCCTGGCTTGCTACTGCCCGACTACCTGTGGGCTCTGCTTCTGTCATGAGTCTCGAAAGGAGTAGACAATCTTTCCATAGAAGAACAATAAAAAAGGCTTTCTCCTTCGGGGTCCTACTGCTAATATGAATCAGTATGATATCAGGAGGCGCGGACTCTTCACTTGGCGTGTGGGACCTCGAAGCAGCCGCTCGATCTTCAGACGACAGAAGTACTCATCTACCGCTCGGCTTTTCGGCCAGAACTTCGACAACTCAGAGTTTGGGAATTACGCATATCTCATTCTACCCATTCGACTCTTTGGCCCTTCTCACCAGCGGTTACGATCACACGCTGAAGCTATTTTCATCCGAGACGTTAGAAGCTTCGGCGTCCTTCGACATTGGTTCTACGGTCTACTCGCACGCTACCTCCACCGTAGCACCCCATCTTCTAGTGGCCTGCGCTTCTCAGCATCCTGCCATACGGCTTGTAGATCTAAAGTCAGGCGCCAATACGCACTCACTCGCCGGTCACTCCGGGTCGGTACTGGCGGTTGCATGGCATCCAAAGGACGAGAACATCCTTGCCAGCGGAGCAACAGATGGCGTCGTCAGACTCTGGGACATTCGAAGAGGCGCCAGCAGTCTCGGTGTCCTTGATATGGACGATAGCATCGGGATCACCGGATACGATGGCAGAGGTACGGGAGCACGTCGACGCGAAAGAGGGAGGTCCCACACCGGTGCTGTCAATGGCATTGTATGGACTGAGGACGGACGCTACTTGGTGAGCAATGGCCACGATGAAAGAATGCGGATCTGGAACATGTATTCTGGTGCTAACACACTGGCCAATTTTGGTCCCGGGCTGAAGAATGCAACGACGACGGCGCTGTTTCCTCTGATCGCTCCAAGTTATCTCTGTGAAACTGGCAAGGAGACTCTGTTCTATCCCAATTCAAAGGAGATCCTTGCATTTGACATGCATTCGGGTCTTCTGCAGAGCCGACTCCGCATAAAGGGCTTACCAGGCCTGCAAGACCATTCCGACACGAGTACGCGCAATCCAAAGAATAGGACGACCTGCTTGGCGTGGCGCGCACATCATGTCGAGATGTATTCAGCGCATGGTGATGGTAGTATCAGATGCTGGAGACCACGCACCACTGAAGATGTCGTCGCTGAGAATGAGCAAGCTGGAGAGCATGATGTGGGTGAGGACGCGGCGGAGCGAAAGCGAAAGCGGGATGAGTTTGAGGAAATTGTTAAAGATCTGACGTCGAAAAAGATCACGTTCAACTGAGAGAATCACATCGTCGCGTGTCATTTCAATCATCAATATCTGGCATCTGCCCAGCGTATGAGAGACGGTGTTCCATGCAATGCGTCCAGGCACCACCGAGATTCATGAGGTGAGGTCGAGAGCTCCCGACAGACCCAACTCATATCAGAAATCGCGCTCAAACACTTTGCTATCCACCGGCAGCAACGACTCCGCAAATGATGTGTGTAGAGAAGACAACGAGTTTTTGGCGACGGGGAGATGGCAAGGTGATGAGGTGAGGTCAATAGAGTTGCGGGATGCCCCGTTGCGCCTGCCAACAGGCCAGCCAGGGACTTTCTAAATTTGGTCAAGGCGTCTCCCGGTCGTCCTTTTTACACCATCAACATCCCTGCCTTGTCTTGCCTCCTTAGCCTCCTGTTGTGCTTCCATCTTCCCGCCGCTGCGTCACCCACACCACGTTCGTTGACCTCATTCACTTACATTCACTTAAAGTATCATTCACCTTCCTCGCTACTAGCAGTAAACGCGCCTCCTCCCGACGGGCGAAGAGGGGACGACGCGGCTTCAGCATTTTTATCATTCCTACAGCCGGCGAAGACATCCTTGCAAGGCTCCGTTGGCACGACACCACCCACCCCCGGGCGACTCCAACCAGCCGCCGGTATCTCCTAACATCACCATATCTTCTGTCATCTTACACTACCCGTGCTCTGCTCATGGCTCGCAATTTCCGATCAATGCGCAACTTGGCTTTGCTAGCCCTGCTCGCCGCGACTACTCCAGCAGTCCTCGCCCAGACCGACCTTCCCGATCTCTCGACAGCAACGCAGGCTACCGCCCTCTCCTCCTCCAAGACCGATGCGACGACAAGCGAGACCACCGGCACGAGCGCAACGAGTAACACTGCACAAACAACTTCAACCGGGCAGACAACAAGCGCCACCGGTACATCCACGACCGGCACCAGTTCTGGCTCCATCACAGCCTCCTTTACCGGTCTGACCGGCCTGCCTACGATCGCAGGTGCGGGTATCCCCGACATGGTCATTCCCTATACCGCCAATGCGCCCTTCATGCAAAAGTCCACTCTCCCTGACGGCACCGTCTTCATTGCCGTTGGCGCAGTACTCGCGTTTCTTGGTGCATGCGTACTCCTATGGCGCGGTCTAGTAGCATGGAGCATCAAACGCTCAGTGAAGCGATCTGCCCGTGCCGCTATGCGCGGGTCAGAAAAGACATCGACCACTTGGGGTGGTAGCAATAATGGGGGTGGTGGTGGAAAGGGAGGTGCATATTTCAGCCAATACGAGGCGGGCAGCAACATGTCTTTGGATGCTCTCACGAGTGCAGGCAAGCCCGTACACCGCTCCTCTCACGTCCCCGACGAGCACCGCAAGTCTTCCGCGCCGCACGCCGACCTGTTCTTCTCGCCCACTGCTCAAGCGGCGTCGAACCGCCTCAGTTCCGCCCTGGGGAGTCACGGCGATCGCAACTCTACCTACCTCCCCGCGGGCTATTATGCCTCGCCCTCAGCCGAGCACGCTGGTGCGAATCCGCGCCTTTCAACCGCCAATATCGGCTCCTCACTCGCGCCATACGCCCGCTACAGCAGCGTCAATCCGTCGCCGCCCGGATCACCCGGTCTTCCGAATTCCCGCAGCACTTCGAACTACTTTGGCGGTACAAGAGGAGGTGACACATCACGGGACGGACTTCGTGCCAACGATGGGCTACGCGCGAGTAGCAGGGACGGCTACGGTAGCCAAAGGAACAGCTTCATGTACGCGCACCCGTCAACGAGCTCACTGCAAGTGGGAACAGGGGGTGGAAGAGGTCGCAGTGAATTGGACTCTAGTAATGAGCATCTTGGTGGACAGCGGGCACCTAGTGCGGTATTGGACGAGCTATTCGAGAACCATGGACACGGACCACGGGAGAGATTCTAGAGCGAATCGGACGGCGAATCTTTGCTCCTATTGATGTTCAGACGGCTCTATTACGGTCTTTTAACGTGGGGTTTGGGGGGGGGAGATGATTTGAAGGGTCGATTTATGAGTGGCGCAGCACAGGAGCCGAGAGCACGGAAGCGGAAAGGAAAAGAGGGTCGGTCAACAGGCGCCTGCTGGTATGCTGGATTTATGTGAATGCAATCTCGACAGAATCGCACCTAGCAAGCAAATGTTTTAGTAGGTAGAGTCATCTCAGAGCCTTGAAATACAAGATGGCCGAGTTCATGCGATGCCGCTCTCTCTCTTCCTCTGCGGAGAAGCCAGCAGCGATTAGCCAAGTTGTCTGTCTTTGTTCGTTCCGGTCTTGACTCAACTTCCCTAGCACTTGGCACCCTAGGCCATTGTAGCAGCGTAGACTCCGGCAGATCCGTCGGCATCGGTAGTTGGAGATCAGAGTGGCATGGCCAGAGAGGTCCCATCGCAGGCGAAGGCTACTTTGGGGAGAAAAACTTCATGGAGAGATGAAGGAAGCAAGGTGATAGTACGATACCACCTGTTGGCTCGGGATCCAGCGATGCGAGCCATGCCTCCCGTATCGCAGTCTGCTATTTATCGTCATCCATATTTTCATCTTCATCTTCATCTTCGTCCTCTCCATCCTGTGATTCCCCATCCTCGTCCTCGTCATCCTCATCGTCATCCTCTCCCTCCGGCTCCGCAAGTCCATAATCGTCCTGAAAATCCTCCAAGCTCTTCGCTTCCACCTGGAACCCTTCCCGGCTAAACCCCTCGACCATCTTCTCCTTCATACTCCCCGCGCACGTAGCGACCAGGTTGGCAGTCTCGGGCTTGAAGAGCGGAACCAGATACCGGTTCGTGACCTCTTTCACCTCCTCGACGCCAACCTTGCCAATCTTGGCGAGGAGCGCTTGGGCGTAATCCTTGCTCACGCCGCGGAGGACTTGATTGATGAAGCTCTCGTCCGCCGCGGCGCCCATGGTGGGCGCTTCATCCGCCATCTCAAACACGATCTCGCCGACGGCGCTCTGGATCGCGAGCGTCTTGAATGCTTTGGCGCCCGAGGCGTAGTCCGAGATCTCGGACCTTGCGGCGACGAAGGCTTTGTAGCAGTCGGGGCTGCGGTCGATGTAGAAGTGAAGCTTTCCGAGATCGACCGCTCTCCGTATCGTTGCGCCGTACGCAAGTCCTGTTCCTCGCACGGAAGTCCATAGAGGGCCTTCGACGGCACGGAAGAAGGCAATGGCGACCATCAGAGCAGGCAGGTCTGCATGCTCCCAATCATCGGGGCCCTGGCCTGTCAGAACCAGATACGAGGAATCAATGGCGGTGATAGGAACGATGTAGGCCGCTGAGCCAGGCTTCTTTCCCGTTTCGCTGATTGTAGGCTTGGTTTCGTCCAGAGGGTTCAGAGGTCTGCTCAGATCCATGCCGTCCGTGAGCTTGCGCCACGAGGTGATCGGGTTTGGAAGCTTGGTGATGTCTCCAGCCACGTAGATGCGGAAGTTTTCTGGGCGATGTAGGGACTGGCAGAGGGTCTGCAGCTTGCCGATGACGGCCTCCTCGTCTTGTTTTAGGAGCTTGCGGAGGCGTTTGAGGTATAGCGTCTTCGTCAAAACGTTCATGGCGCGTCGGTTGGCCGTGCGCGTTGTGGAGATCATGGCGTTCACAGCCCAGGCCATAGCATCTCCTTCACGCTTCTCACTGGGTATATCTGCAAGGAGCTTTGTCAAGGAGGCATGGAGTCTGACGGGGTCGTGAATTGAATCGAAGAGGACTGTGCGAATCTGAGAGATCACAGTCTCATAGGACTCTGGCTCCGTGCGGAAGCTGAGAGTGAGCATCTGCTGATTTCCGTAGGATGACCTGACTGCGTAGGCGACCGTCTCCTTGTCCAATTCTGCAACCAGGTCTTCAAACTCGATGCGCTTGCCATCACGTGTGACAGGTGTTGTGAAGAAGTTGGCGAGGTAAAGGCTGAGAACCGGTCTGAGCTCTTCAGGTATTGCCGCCGTGCCGAGATATAGCTTGACCCGGAGGAAGTTGGAGGGAATGTGCTCAAAGTGGATGAACAATGGCAACCCATCGTCGGCTTTGTCGACGACTTTTTGGACGTCGTTGTCTAGCTCTCCCATCTTCCTGGCGGACCCTGATCGGGCAGTGGTGGTAGGCATGAACTTGACAGATTCTGGCCGAGGAACTGGAAACTGTTCTAGCATCTCTTCTGGGATAGGCTTGCCATTCTCGGCCTTTGCCTCTTCGAGTCTCTCTGCCAGTTTCTCGAGACCTTCTTGGCCAAGCCTTTCTTGTTGAGCCTTTACACGAGCCTCTTCTTGCTTGGTGTTCTCTTCTGAAAGCTGTTTTGAGGGGACTCCAAGCACACAGACGTGGTGGTTATCGATGAACAATTCCCGGAATGCCTTCTTCCATTGAGCTTCTGACCAGTGTTCGACAACGTCAAGTTCTGACAAGTCCTTCAGATCTTGCAGGTTCTGTCCATCTCTGCTGCCGAAGAGGTGATCTTCAATTACCGGCTGAGTGAAAAAATCCTCCGAGCTCTCAGCTCGCTCTTTCAACTGTCGTCTTTCGCGCTTCAGACACTCGGACAGATACCGCATGTCCAGTGGCTTATCTGCCACCTCTTGAAGGACTTCTAGGAGTCGTCTATAGACGTCTTGAAGCTTGTCGGTCTCGACAGCGGTCAGATAGAACCAGATCACGACATCAGGCCGGGTCTCTGTTTCGTAATAAATACCACTGGCTAATGATTCCTTCTCCACCAGAACGTTCTCCAAAACACTGATGGGAGAGTCTGCGAGGTAGAATAAGATGACTGAGAGGGCCGCGTTTGCAACAGAATCGTTACAGGATGGACCTATCCAGCCTACGGTGATTTCGCCCATGGACTCATCTTCTTCCGGAAATCTGATGGTCTCCACTTTGGTCTCTGTGAGTTTGGGAGTGGGCTTCGAGTCAACCCAAGGTCTTCTGAAAGGGTCGTTGAGCGCCGGGACGTCGTTGACGATGGTGCTCTCAAAGTCGTCCATGATCTGGAGCAGTTCATCATGATCCACCTCGCCGGTGATGATGACGCGCAGATTCTTCGGCTGGTACATTTCCTTATGGTAAGCTCGGATGCGGTCGGGCGTCAACACGCGCAACTCTTTGGTCATGCCGCCAGTCTCAGATCGGAAGCCATTGCCTTCAGGGTACATCAACACTCTCCTCTGGAGTTCGATCAGATCTCCGGGGGTGTTCTCTCTGCCTTGCATTTCCGAGTAGACCACACCGGCGTCGTGACCTGTGCCATCGATGTGATGGACTTCGGTATAGCAGGCAGCATCTGTCATGGTCGGGACAATGAGGTGCTCGAGATAGACGGGGAGGATCTGAGAGAAGCCTTCCCATCCAGCGGTCTTGAGCGAGTAGGAAGTGTAGTCGACGGCGGTGCCTGCATTGGTGGTGGAGAAGGCTCTAGAGGAGAGCTTGTCGAGCAGGCCGGTGTAGCGATAGGACTTGGAACCCATGAAGACCAAGTGCTCGAGGGTGTGTGGGGCCCCGGAGTTGTCGGTGATTTCCGTGGCAAGAGCGAACTCGCCCTCGACCTTGGGTCCCTTCCGGTCGACGACGGCGATGCGCAAGCCGGTGCGTGTGGATTCATACTGGGTGATGTTGACGGGGGCGTAGTCGGTCTGGAAAGACTGGATCGTCTTGAAGCGCGGGGGCTGATGCTTCGAGGCCGGCATTCTGAGGGGAAACGTGAAGGCCACGTGCCACGACACACGGCGAAGAGTGCTTGCCGTTGTTGATCTGCCTCTCAGTCGAGTCGAGCGGTCAGTTGGCTGCGGGAAAGAGCGAGGTCTTGGAATGGTCACGGGTATATATATATACCTTAGAGTACATGTAGTACATGTAGTAGTCGATGGAAGCTCCCGTCCCGTCTTGGAAGGTCCGGTGTCCGAGAAATAGCCGGCTCGTCCCTTCCTCCCTCAGACGGGAATGCATGTGTGCCTCAGGCATTATATAATATCCATCCCACTCGAGGCCAAGACTTCTGTCCCCTTCAACATCCCTCTGGCCCTCGGCGCACTCCGCAGCGACCGACATGTCCCCCAGATTGTGAGATGGTCGTCTCGGAGCAAGATCGAGTCGAGGGATGCGCCGTTTGGCCCTCGGATGTGGACATGGCGAGCGGCTTCACCCGCCGCAACGGCAACGTCGATGCTTGGTTGGTTACCTGTAAAACTTAAAGAGATTCGCTTTGCTTCTCGCTTCTCGCTTCTCGCTTCTCTCCTTCTTGCTTCTTGCTGCTTGCTGCATATTATTCCTCACAGTGCCCGACACAATGCTACGCCCTGGGAGGGGGTGACGTGGAAGCAAACGAGCCACCCAGCCCCAGAATACCATATCACATTACATTGCGCCTGCGCCTGCGCCTACCCGAGTCAGCAGATCCATATCCTGAGACAAAGCTGCCCTGCGCAACATCTGAAGATGGCTTCCTTGTCGCGTATCCTCGCCCCCGATCCCGACCCTTCCCAAGCACCTCCCTCTCCCTCACCAGCTGCCACGCCCACTCGTCCTCCTCCTCCAGCGCCTCCTGTCGAGCGGCCGTCTGCCATGCCGCCCCGGAAGAAAGCCCAGGAGCCAGTGGATGACGACGCCGTCTCAACACCCAAAGCCGATGCTTCCAAGGGTCCGGACGAGGGGGACGAAACCACGTATACCTCCACCACCACCTCCACCAGGCGCAATGCGAACGGGAACACCTCGACTGTCTACTCGGGCAACAAGATTAGGCATCTCAAGAAGGAGGATGGCATTCCCCTGTGGAGGAAGGACATCCAATACGACTTTCTCAAGCTCGTGTTCGACGATCAGACAAAATGCTTCACCAAGTACAGCGACCGCTCCAAGGGACACACCTTTGCAGACATCTACATTGATGCCATGGCCAAGAGCAGCAAGTGTAGCAAGATCTTGAAGGAGAAGCTTCTCCAGGACCAGGACGGAGCCATCAGCATGGCCATGGTCTGCTTGCTGGTCAACGTCGGACGTATGAACACGACACTGAATTGTAATCTACCCCACACACCTCCCAAGTGCTCAAGCTGCAGAGGTGGCATTGCTGACGGTGTCTAGTCTTCCCCGAAATGCGAGCCCAATTGCGGACCTACCATTCCATACCCGCCCTACAGGCACACCAGGACCCAAATGCGTACAAGCAGCTTCAGGATGCTCCTCGCCTCAAGTCCATCCTCAAGGGAGCCACGGAAGATGAACCACAGCCAAGTACGATGGAGGACATCAAAGCCACTGCGATTCCACGGACCAACCCCGTCAACCTCATCTTCGTTATGAGCCAGTATGCGCCCAAGGTGAGCGAGGTCCACTTCCAGCCTCCGCGTGACTTCTTTGATCTGGTCATGAAGTCCGACATCAGTAGTGAGAGCCGAGCCAAAGCATTCCTGTGGTTGATCTGGTGGTACCTCGAGAGCGACTTCAGCTACGAAGACAGCCAACGAAATCCTTTCGGGCCTGGAATCTATGGCGAGGATGAGGAGGGCACGACTGGAACCCTTCCGCTGAGAGTGCCGACCCTGCAGAGCTTGACGGAAGAAGAAGCCGCCCTCGAGAACGTGGACACAGAGGACGAGCAGCACTTTGGCGAGGTCAAGCGGAAAGAACGTATCGCGATCCTGGCCAGTGAGCCGAGCCCGGCCATGACGGCTTTGAAACGAGCGAGGAAGGAGAAGGGCTTGACGACCGGCCACAACGCACAGCCCAGCGATGATGAAGGTAGCGAGGCTGGCTACCAAAAGACTATCCGTGAGTTCCTCCAACTCAATCCGAACGTACTCATGCTGACATTCCACTCTAGCTACGTCGGTCGGCAGGAGTGGCCTGCAGCACGAGACCGGCAGTGAGTACACAAGATCTCCATCCCCAGTTGCCCCTCGTGGGTTTCAAGCTGTCAATGCGAAGCCTGTGGGTGACATGCGCATCAACAATCTCTTGAACAGCGACGACGTGGGCCCCGACATGTCTCCCTCACACGGCCCCACACCTGCTGCACCTCCCGTTAAGAAAGGACCTGGCAGAGGGAACTGGCGTCGTAACAAGAAACCCGAGGCAGCCGCTCCTGCACGGTCATCTCAAGATGGCTCACATCACGTTCCCCTACTTCCAAACACAGGCCAGATCAGCTTCGTCAACGATGGCCCTGCGCAAATGCAGGTACCCCAGTCCTCTCCGAATCAGCCGTCAACAATCTCCTTTGCTGCCCCGAATACCCACGACCACATCCCTACACCATCGTATCAGGCGCAAAAGCGACATCGTGGCGTCACGCAGCATCAGTCAGCTGTGAATCAACATCGAAAGATGCAAATCGACTACACACTAGACAAGAGGATACGCAAGGAGCACATCCGAGCACGGGACAAGCGAGAAGCAGAGGGTGCAATCATTCGCGCTTGGAAGCGCATCCGCTCCATGCCACCTGATTACGACTCCGAGGAAGAAGGAATCAAAATACGAAAGGTCAAGGATCGTGTTAATGGGAATGATGATGATTGGCGGGTCACCAAGGGCAACAAAGAGAACGAAGATTTCATGGACGTCGACTCATGGCGTCGTCCACGAGTGCTCTTTGCCGGCTACGTACGCATGAACCAGGAGCCTTCAGATGTCGGGGAGGAGGCGAAGACTCTTGCACAATCTTTCCGTCGAGCTTCAAGACGACTCGAGCGATGGCAGTCTTCTGCACATCCTGGGAATATCGTTGAGCGGCGGAGAGAACGGGAAGCAGCGGGTGTCATGAGATCGCGGCGGCGTAGCATGCCGTCGATGGATCGAGATGGACTCGAGGTCGTTGAGAACGTGATTCCCCTCCGAGGTGGCGTCAAGAGGCCAAGAGGTGGCGGTAGAAAGTCCACGGGACAGAGCCATGCGAGCCACCAGGCCACGAAGGCCCAGACCGAGGCTGAACCGTACGAGGAAGATGGCGGGGCAGAGCTGGATGAGGAGGATAGAGAGCTCCTCGGCGAGGTGGATGCAGATGAGAGCGAGGAGGATGAAGACGAGGACATGGACGACTGAATTCATCACATGACATGCGTGGAGACGATTGATTTCTGCTTACTCTTCGAAGCATGCATATCACACAATGCATGGACTGGACCTTGCGAGCGTCGGTGAACATTACCCTTGACTAGATGCGCGATATGGACCACTATGGCACAGCTCGGACAAGCCGTGCGTGGACTTGATATAGACTCTGGCACAGGTCGGACAAGCCATGCGTGGACTTGATTACGTGGCGTATGTCTGTCGAGAGCGTTCTATCGTATGACGCCTCGTCTGCTTTGAAGTTCTCCCGACTCGCCCACAGTAGTGTCTTCGTTCGCGCGTGTAAGGAAATGCCGTGCTGTCTCGACACATCCGGCGGCTAACCGCTCATCTGACGTCGAAGCGACTCGCTGTTGTTGCCCTTGCCCATGGCTTCCACTTAGCATTCCCCGGGAAAAGACAATCAAACGACCCGCTACCGCTCCGGGAAGAAGTTCGTGTGGCTTCTTCAGTGTTGTCGAAGTATAAAGGCTTCTTGACAAAAAAAAATGCAAGGTCATCGATCGGCACAGCATAGCGCGAGATCCGAGATGGCGGCTGCAGCCGTCGAGAGAGTGCTCGTACTCCTTTTGACAAATGCGTGCGGGAGGGGGAAATGGAGGGAGGGAGCATGACGGCCGGCGCGGCGCGGCGCAGCGGTCTCTGATTGACGAGACGGACTGACGGACTGCGAATGAGAAAAAAAATTTCACAACCCCCTGGTTCCCTTCCCTTCCCTTCCCTTCACTGCCTCTTCTTCTGTCTGTCTGTCTGTCTCTTATTAGGATGGATGGATGGATGATAGAGCAGCAGCAGCAGCAATCAAAATTCGCGCCTTTTTTTTTTTTTCAAATTTCAAATTTTTTTTTTGTCTTTTTTTTTTTTTTTTTTTTTTTTTTTTGAGAGAGACAAAAGTTAGAGCATACCAATAAAAAAATTCCACACTTCATTAAGAGCAAGCAAAAGCCAAGCGAGATATTTTCTTCTTCTTCTTCTTCTTCTTCTTCTTCTTCTTCTTCTTCTTCTCTTGCTCAAAAAGGGAAAGTCTTAAACTTATCGATCAATTCATCTCATGAATGCATGCTAAAAACTAGATACACCTTGCTTGCTTGTTTGTTTGTTTGCACAATGTATGGAGGGAGCAAGAACAAAAGTATGCTCATTCTCATTGGAGCGG